ACCGGCTTTTTGTTGAGCAATAATACCAGCTTTACATACGAGTGAATCAGTTAATGTTGATTTGCCGTGATCGACATGGGCAATGACGGACATGTTACGGATGTTTTTCTTCTTGTCCATCAAACCCCGAATTTCGTCAACAGTGAAGTTAACCTACAGGGAAGAAATCATGATCATTTCTAAGTCGTGATACTGAGCATAGAAAATCTTACCATGATTGATTGTTTTTGTTAGTATATTATTCAAATGAGATGATATATAACCTAGCGGCCCGATTAGACGGGTTTTCTGAAAAACAAAATAAAAATGAATTCAAGGATGCTACAGACGTGAAATAAGTCGAGTGCGAAAGAAATTAGTATCTGAGGACGTTTCGAGAGAGAATATGGATATGGAAAACGAAGTGCCTATCGAGATATACGATTGTTTTCTTTACTGTTGTATTTTACACTGATGAGGGCAGAGAGACTCGCATTCGAAGTAAACTTCGAAAATATTTTCAAAAAGCAGATTTTCATATTTGATAGTTATTTTCAAGCATATGAATTATTTTCATTTATGTGAATAAATATATCATAACACACTAATGCACTTCAGTTGTTGGGTAGCAGAATGAGTAATATCAGTGCATGGAATCCAATGATAGATAGATATTTGCTATTCTGGCCTGGTAATTTCTCAGATATAATCTAAAAATTTTACATTGCTTCATTCTATTAACTTATCTTCATAGAACGATCTGTTTTTTCCTCTTGAAAACAAGATTAAAAAAGGCGTGACTAACGATGACTGCACCGTATTGAATAGTGCACAACTTGAACGGTATTTATCCGATTGTCAATAAGTGTTGTGATCTTTGAAGATGATTTATTGAACATTTTCATCATCTATTTCGATATCGTTGGAAGCATTGCTAAACAATATCACGTTTGTCGAGAAGCTATTAAGACACATTGTGTTAGACGAAGTTACGCTCGATAGACCTCGAATCAAACTTTAACTAGAAGCAAAAACAAAAAAAAGTGTTCAGTTCGGTACGGATGACACGCCAAACTTAGCGAGTCAGCTATAACACGGATGAATGCCTTGTATATGAGTTATCTTCTCTCATGTCAATATTCAAATCCATATACGACTAAATGTTGTGAAACGCAGGAGTACAAGAGCATTTTAAATGAATGTAGTTGATTGTAATGGGTATATATTTTTAATCAGTGATCAATTGATTTCTTTTCGAAACAGTTTTGTAAGAGATGAACTACAGTTCGTACCACTTATTCCGAACATCTGACAGTATAATTGGATGTTCGAAGCCGCCGCTTTCCGATGTTTATCACGGATGTTCAAAAATGCTGGTAATTACTTAGAATTTTGCTTTACGAACTCCATGAAAAAACTTTCATAATTTCTTGGTTCATTAGGCTAAGTCAAAAAGCAAGATAAATATAAAGTTTACCATAGATGAACACGTTAATACTACGATACAGAAACACTTACTAAGTGAAAAGTCTAAGAGCACTCAGTCTGATTCGCTTCTCATAATCGATGGATAATTGTAGATTTACAATATCAGGAAACATCAAACGGTTGGAACAAATGTTAATCAAAGTTTGAACTCTTGTTCCGTTTTGGAGTCTCAATAACAACTCAGTAGACTGATGGGTGTAGGATATATTTAGCTATTCTGTTTAGATACGTCTTATCAAAACAGACAAATAGGTTACCACGAAAAGGATGTCCAACAGTATCCTCGGTACAAGAATATTCAATTTACTTTTTAAACTTCAATCATATATTACAATGTGTTCGGTTAAGAGGAAAATGTCTATTTGCTGACGTTCAATCAGTCAATAATCATCATATGTGTGTCAATACGGATGATGACACAAGAAATAAAAGAAGAAAGAAAAATCATTACTAATGATACGTTTAACAATAGAATTAGTTTCATTTCTTGTTAAACAAATATTATGCATCAAAGAGATATTTGACCTAGATACCTTAAGCTTACATGCGAATAGTAACGGAAATAAACAACTAAAAGTAGATATGTTCACTCTCTCGCTCTTCGCTCCCTTTTTTTCTCTGTTTATTTGGTCATCACACAAAAGTGACAATGATATTTATATATGTATATGTATACATGTCAACGAGTAAGTTCTTGTTTTTTTTCAACGAAAATCTTATTCAAGAGGTTCTATATCTACGATTCGTGTTGATGTCATATGATCGTTTGGATTAGGTATGATTGGACGTTTCAAAGAATTGGTTTTGCCTGGCGGTGGCGTTGGTATTCTTATTTGGTGAGGATTGTTGCCTGTACGATGGTGAATGACGGGCATTGTGCGGCTCGGTTCATGCACATTCACCGGACGACGAAAAGTATCAATAACATCAGAATTCTGTCGATTATTTGGTGGAGTACTACGTGTAATTGGTGGAATGGGTCGTCGATTGCTGTTGTTCATCTTTGGTTGTCTCGTCGGACTTTCTCGATCGATGATCGATGACAGGTCCGAATCGTTCCGTTGCGTATAAAAACCTACAGCTGGCATCTCGACTGAGTTTGGATCGGTCGATGGTGCTAATCGAACCGATTTTAATATCGACGGTGGTCCTGTTTGTCTTGATTTGAATGGAGGAGGTAAGACACGGCGTGTAGGTGTTGTTATTCGTTTTTGTACTGGATTCTCATATAATTGACTTAATGAACGAAGACTATCGGATGCGGTAGCTGGTCCATTAAACACATCTGGCAAATATGCTGGTCGTGTCGGTGTTGGATGTTCCACTCGATTCTCGTACAGTTCTGGTACGAGATCAACGTATTGTGTTTTGAACGTTTTCCATTTTTCTGTGCGTTTGATTTTCTCAGCGTGTCGATTGATCAATCGTATACAAGCCAATTTCAATGCTTCGGAACCTGCTTCATGTGCACATATTAACATTTCAATCGCATTTTCAACCGTAAGACGGTAGAGAAGAAAGTCTGCTATTTGCTTTTTCAATTTGTCTAGTTCGAATCGTTTAGCTGCGATGATTAAGTCAGGAGCATTTTGAAGCGTAATCAGACAACGATTAGTGTACATAAAATTCAGAATTTCATTCATAACATCGGAATGAATATCATCAATACTGATTTGTAGAACATAGTCATCGTTCGTATTCGATTCGTGGTACTCGCCAATTAAGTGACGAAACCAGGGTGAACGCCCACCTAGAATATGCTCAAAGAGTTTTTGTCTTTTCTAAAAGAATCTTCATACCAATAATACATCGATGCACTTGAATTTTTACGTCATCCTGACATTGAATTAGTGTATCATAGAATAGACCATTTCTCAGCACACTGAACAGATCTCCTTCTAAATCATTCAAACCATGAATATGTCGTTCGTTTTCATTTAGAGCATCTCGTGACGTTGGTAAACCATTTTGATCGTAGATCGAGGTCGATGGAGTGTGATAAGATGTTGAACCAGACACAGAGTATGAATCATCGGTTGTCTCAGCTATTGAACCTTCAGGTTGATCACGTTTGATACCATACTCATCTACACTGATTATATTTTGACTATCAGCAATCGATCTATAGATAATCTCTTCATTTTCACCGCAATTTTGTATGCGTAAATGATAATAGAGTCGTTCACGCTTACAATAATATCGGATAACAAATGTTGAACTATTACAAAATGGGCAAAGTGCTCGAAGACGTACACGACCTGTTGTCGTTGATTTTTGCTGCTGTTTTTGATAGGGTACGAGCATGCCTGGTGGTGGTTTCCCTTGACTATCAATACCAATACCATCACTAATATTATTTGTTGCAACAGGATCAAGTAATGATTCATCTGTTAATTGAAACGGTATCAATGATCGGCAACGTTCACAATGAAGTGATTCGAAAAGTAGATAGCCATGGCACGTGCATATCGTTTGAATTGAGATGAACATAGTTTTAAATGGCGATGGTAACACGAACACAAAGAAAATGTTGAAAGCTGGTTGCTTGGTATCTGTTGATAATTATGGAAATGAAAGTGAAATTTATTTACTTTCGATGCTTCGCTTACTGCCTTTTTTATTTATGGATTGTTAATAGAAATTTCTATGGTATCACTGCGAAACTCCAATCCGATGACAAGTGGGCGACAAAGAAAATCAGAAATTGTGTAATATCAAGCGTGCATAACGAGTTCAATACTGAGGTTAAACAAAAGAACTAAATTGGAGTATTTTCTAGATGATGGCAAATAAGTTTTCATCGAATGTAAATGATACTCGTCCTCCGATGTACGAGAAAAAAAATATAAAACTTGTTCCAATCAATCCGAGCGTTCATTTTGCTACAACAAGTTCGCCAGCGGTAACAAACGATTCAAATCCATCGAGTTTCGTACCAATTATTGACGTTTTCGGAAAGAAGTATTTTCCTGTCTACTTTAAACAACCATCAAATGAGCTCAATCAGGTCAGATTTGATTTTTTTTTTCTTCGTTCGGAAAATATCATTGATCAACTTTAGAACACATCTACGATTCCACCAGCACCGCCGCTGCCGAAACCGAAGATTTATGTCGAACGTCTTACGATTTCACAAATCAATTTAGTTCCAGTCAAAGGCAATAAAAAGCAATCGATTAAAATTCCACCTTATGCAATAACTCAACATTCTCCTGCAGCGTACAAACATTTACGAGCTAAAACGGTTCGTATCGGTAATATTCGTTGGCCACCGCCAATCAACGCTGATACAATCAGTGACAATGATGAGAAAAAGTCTATTCGACGACGTACTCAGAAAGAAATTCACAAGAATCGCCAACAAGTCGATCTTGTCGACGAATCATTATTTCGAGGTATGACCATTTCTCTTTCTATTTAATCAACGATTAACCGTTTGTGTCAATAAGGATCATGACTTTCTAATGAGTCAATTACCTCTTTTCTTTTCTTTTCTCTCCCTACTCTCTCTCTCTCTTTCGTGCTCTATCCGAATTAACAATAATTGAACATGCGAACTGAAACCAACCATGAAGTGGGTAAACTGATCAACTATTTCGAAAACTACATTAACGATCTAAACAAAGATTTCACATTGCTTTCCAAATCAATTCAGCAGATACGTACAACCAGTCAAAACACTTCTCATCTAACCGTATCAAACAATGATACACCTCGACCGATTTCTACTACTCTACCACCGATTATCGACGAAGAAGAATCGCATCCAATCGAACCCGATCAAACGTTTTCCGAAGATATCTACGATCGTCTTACCTATCAAACTCTTGTTCATACAAATTCCTATTCAAGTCGAGAGCATCTCTCCGTTAAAAGCACAAAACGACGATGCCATCAAACAACGAAAAAACGGCTACACCGTCGTCGAGCACCAACTTATATCAAAGAACTCAAAGCTTATCTAGCCCATCGGGAATCTTCCATCAATGACATGGTGAAAATATCCGATGTAAAACGATTCAGTAATGTTCTTGTTTGGCTTTCAAATCAAGCCACATCTCCATCATTAATCGAAACGTCTGCACCGATATCCCTAATAAAAAACGATAGTAAAAAATTAGTCAATCAGTCATCGTCAATCACAACAGATTCTGTAATCGCCGCTACACAAGACATCTCACAATCATATTCAGGCGCGATACTTTTTCTTTCGAAAACCCGGATTTCATTATTCAATTGCAATTTTGCCTTGTTTGTTTAGATCCGACTGTTCCACAATGTAAAGATCAACCATTTAATAACTATTTAACTTATGACAACATTCGATGGAAATTAAAAGTCCGAAAAGAAGTTTTTTCACCAGCGGAAACTTTTAATCAACCACTACTTATCGAATTGCTCTATCGGCAAATTATTCGTGATATCTTCTCATCAGTATGTGTTCGCATAAGTGAAGCTGAACGAACAAATATGAAAAGCTTTCTGTGTAAGTTAATATCGATCTGAAGCATGCAAACTTATTTATTTTCTTTAGCTTCACATGGTGTAGCGATGATAAGTGATATTAATCTAATCAAAACTTCACTAACTAAGAAGGCAATTATTGAACAAGCACGGCAATGGTCCATCTACTTTGCACGATTATTTCCTTTGAGAACGACTTCCAATGATCTACATTTATTAGGCGTCTCTCATTCGGGTATTCGATTGATTAAACAAAGTCGGAGTGCAACTAGCACAAGTATACTGAAAGTGATGGACACGTTTCCATTCGATGTTATTCAAAATGTTTCGTCGATTCGGAACGGTTCGAGTATTGAAATTGAATTAACGAAAAAATCAATTATAGTTCAATCTGATCGGGTAGAACATTGTTTTCAACAAGCCAAGCGTTCACGATTTTCTATGTATAGATCCACAAGATCAAACAAATGATCGATAAATTCTTAATTGAATCTCGAATGGAAATGAACAGATTATCTCGTACATCAAATCATGTCAGTCTAAACCTGACCTACTTTTTTACACGTTCATATCATTTTCCTTGTAGAAATCGTTGTCCACACCGTTATCGAATCCAAGCGATGGATTTAAATCTTCAACTCAAGCTAGTTTGATGACTTACAGTCAAACTATGAGTGAGATACAACAATCACCGTCATTCGATGTGTCTACACCGAAGTCAACGCTGCCCACTGGACATTCTATGATGGAATTTGCATTACAAAATTTCAAACTTCAAAATAAAAAGTAAAAAAAACATCACTTCATGAAGCCATCTCAAAAATTTCCTCTTTTTAATTATGAACAGACGCTCGAAGAAAAATTGGTCAACTTCAGGTAAATCATCAATAGTTTGTCAAAGTTTACTCTAATTCATTTCATTAGAATGGACGTGGCAAGAGTATGCTGATCTGATCAAATGGTCAAAAGTAAGCAAATTGAACTCTCTAGTTCATATTTGATCAACATCTTCCGTTTAGATACCGATCCAAACACCTCTACTTCGCCATTCAACAAATGGTTCGTTGCGTATTTCTCGACAATGTTTCCTTGCTATCATGCGTTTCATGGGTGATTATACGATGATACGAGGTCAAGCAAATACTGATTGTTTACTCTATCTCCTCAAAGTATGCGTATCATCATATCTTTTTCATGCATGCATGCATTCCTTCCTTGAATAGAATATGTATAAACATCGGATCTTGATCGACGAAGTATTATGTCAGATACTCAAGCAGCTAACAGACAATCAGAGTCATGTAGGAGATAGTATTCGAAACGGATGGACTTTATTGGCAATTGTATTGAATTATTTTGTTCCAAGTGACCATTTGAAACCATATTTTATGAAATATCTTCAAGAGCATTATCATCAAAATGGCAAACTGATACAACTGTGTCGAAATCACTATGAACAAACAACAAAGTACGGTGGAAGAAAAACCATGCCGAATAAAAGTGAATTTGACCTATATACAACTGTAAGAATGATTTTTTTTATAAATGACCATCTGATTTCATGTGTGTTTAAGACGGATCAAAACCGTGGAAAACATCAAACATTTCTATTGCCAGGTGGCGTTCCATTAATAATATTAATCAAGCCATCGATGGTAAAAATAATTAATAGTGTTTATAGTTTTTTTTTTGAAAAGCAGTAGATTTCGTACAAATTGGAATTCTAACACTCTCTTTAGGTTATTGCCAATTGTTTGAAGCTTCTATGTGAACATTTGAATATCTCCGATGAATTAGAAAACACTGAATATTCGATATTTATTATCAGTGACACAAGTATGATCTTTTCCTTAATGTTGTAGTTGCACAATGTTTCAGCATTGTTTGTTATGTTAGAAAACATATCTCGTTTGCTGACTCCAGCAGAATATATTTTCGATGTTCTTAACGAATGTATTCGCTCGAATTTGACAGATTTTCACTTGATTATCAAACGTATGCTTTGGGTGACCATTCCATTCGTACTCACCAGTGATACACATTCCGAAATGTTCATCAATTTTATGTATCATCAGCTGGTGCCGGAGTTGACTGACGGGAAAATGATTCTTTTATTCAATAATCATTTGTCTGACGAATTGATGGTACGCAGAAATAAATAAGGTTCATTATTAAATAAGCCACGTTCTTTATTCTGAACTATTCTAGCAAGAAATTGCATTACTGGGTGCATTACAATACCGTGCCTCGAACAAGAGTGGCGTTCCATCGATGTATGTAAATCTGTTTCTCGCGAATCGATTCGAATGGTAATCTTGATGTTATTAGGAGAGAAGTGAAATATCTTCTTCCGACAACTGTATTAAAATTGAAAACTATTCATCCACAACAATGGACAACCGCCGTACATGAGAAACTTTATTCATCTGTTGAATCGATGTCATTGATCGAAGCTAAAATGGCATTTCTGAGTAATTCAATATGTGTTTGCTCCGGAAGAATAGGTTTTCTTAATCTGAACTTTATCTAGATCTCATACAAACATGGCCACTCTTTGGTGTAACATTCTTCACTGCTCAGGTTTAGCACCCGTTTTATCCGATTAGGTTTGCGAATGAATTTGTTTTCCGTAGTCTGTCAATGATTCCTTGATTCGATCACCCTGTTTCATCGGTATTAATAAACATGGTCTTTTATTTCTTGACCTAGACACCAGAGTAAGTAACATGGAAATCTAATTGTAACACGAAAAGTGCATCCGCGATATTTTGTTCCCGAGGTAATTTGTTTCTAGTATTAGAATTAAAGGGAAATGAACCACGTAAGGCATGAATAATGTTAGCGTGTACTCACACCTCGGAGATGAATTCATTTCAACGAAACAAGATTGAGGAAAGTGTTTTTTGTTTTGAATAGGAAACGATGCGCACAATTGTTTACAACGATCTAATCTCTATCCGTCGTTATCAAACGGTGATCGATATCAAATATGGAAATTTAGATGAATTACACGTGATTCAGTGCCAAATTGATAAAGTAAAGTAGAACATCTGAAGGTTATCTCACGGATCGATGCTTCTCCTAGGCTCAAGAACTCATTGCACTGAGTGGACGTTATTTAAATTTCATTGGTCGAAATTTAACGTCACCATTCGAAAGTGATGCAACTCAAATTCCAACACCGACGGACACCAATCCAATTTGACACCCTTCTGTTCGATTTCAATGTAGATACATGACAAAAAATAACTGCATAATTTTATTTGTATTCACAAATGTTCAATTGACTTATATCGTCAGATTTCGTCTAGTGAATATTTTAACATTAGTTTCACAATAAAAAAAAGTTTTCGGATGCTGGGGGATGTTTACCTACTGCTGGCTACTTTCTCATGTCACATATTATCGAACAAGCAACTCTATTCTAAAGTTCACCTCGCACTTGTAATAGTATCTTTTCCTAGTAAAGTCACGCGATAAATGAGTAAATTGATATAAATAACTCATGTCGCATAAAGTCGCTGCGATACGAACGTCAATATTCATATTGCACTGTAATCTAAGAAGTTGCCCTCAATTGAATTCATATAACTATGAAAAGAGCATTTCGATATTTTGGCGATGACATTCTACGGCTCATTTATTTTGTGTAATACCAGGAAATCTTCGTATAACTGGCAACTGAAAGCATCGGCACAGTTTCTCGTATTTTTGCAGTGAGAACTCGATTATTTCCATTGTATTGAAGATGAGATTCATGAATGTAGGTTAGTGAGTGTTAAAAGATAATGTATGTCTCTATCTACACCTATAGAGCATTTATGCTCAGTAGTCTATATCTAATCAGACTTCGTGGCTATATGACAGTTTTGAATTATTGATCAAACCATGCACAGAGTAAAGTTACGAGAGGAAGAGAACAGAACATACCATACCATTGTTTATTAGATTTATTAATAATGTAGTACGAAAAACATGGAGTAGATATTTCTCATCGTATTGTATGACGTACTTCTGTAGAATTAATAGACGTAGTTGATCTGCGATTCAATCAATATTAATATCATTCACTTGAAAATATTCTTGTATATTAAAAGCGCAGATTGTCAGCAATCATAGCTGAAAGTCACAATTTGGGATACACGATGAAAAACCAAGTTATTTATCATACGTTCTTGTGACCTGCATAAAACCTGAAACGATTCATCAAGGATCCAAAGTCCTCAATTCTATATGTAGAATGCTCTTGTTAGAACATGATTAGATTTCGACCTGTTTGTAACTGAATGTCTAATCAAGAGTCGAATTCTGGTATTCTGAAAATAAGACTTAATTAGTGTTGCATCAAATAATTTGCTGTAAACCGATTACATTCGTCTAGTCTTGATAAAAATTAATTAGGTTAACTTTCGGAAATAGAACCTTTGACCCATATTCCATAAGACTTGTCTTTCATTAAAATATGAACTATTCATCACCGTGTATGAGTTTCACAGGGCATGACTTCGTCATCAGTTACTAAAATGTTCCCTTTATCATTCTTTTCAAATAGATGCGAAACGTCAAATTTTGTTAGATGAATAGACTCAAATCTATGTATTGATCGTGTTGCGCGATGATCTCAGCGGAGTTTTCGTATAGTTCGAATAGATAGTTAAGCGGAAATAGCGAGTGACTGATTTGAATTATGATGAATGCGCTGAGGCGAAAAGCAAGAAAAGAAGAAGAGAGAGAGAGAGAGAAGAAGAAGAAGAAGTTCTCTGCAACCGAAAAGCAACACAGCGACTAATGAAAAGATTATTCCGGAAAAAGACAGATCGAACAATTTACTGCCTCCAGTCGCTCTGTAATTATATGTTGGATATATATTAGTCAAGTATGTAACGACTTCATCAAAACATATCTAATGTCAACTCGACGACAGTTACTCTTAGTCCAGATCAAGATTACGATTTGCTACTGTTCTTATCTAACTACTAGGAATTATTTGCACAAATTGATAGCAAAAGTATATCTTCGGGACGTTTCTCTCTACTCCATCGTCGGAATCATTCGAGAACATCGTGAGAACTCTTCCTCTTGTCATAATGTACATGTAACACTTTCAGTAGCATACGCAAGGAGTCCGTTCTGAGCTTGAAAAAAAATCATGTGTCCGATTTTCGACGCATAGAACACAAAATTCATTTCCGCATATTCTGAGAACACATGTTCCAGTGACAGTTGAACCCCCGCCTTGTCTGCTTATGTGAAATGATCTTGAAAGAAAGTATTTTCACTCTTTACCATCGAGATTTACTAATTAGCATGACATTTACTATTGATATAGTCTCCTAGGTATTTCCTTCCCGTCGTCGGACGTTCATTAACGTGAAAATCTCGAAGAGCTTTCAATTTTTCCGTTGATTTAGCAAAGTTTTAACAATTATGTCTTTTCAGAATGCTCCATTGTGGAAAAATTAATCGAACAGATATTCAATATGATTATCTACAGAAGATCTATTTGGAAAAGGGTTGGGCGTGGTGGTTAAATCATATCGGTAAGAACAGTACGTTTTTAGTGCCAAATTTCTTTATCTCCGTTTGATTCCCTAGGCACATTTGTTGTATTTATTATTGGCTTTTTGGGAAACATGCTATGTCTCGTATTTCTGTGTCGGCGGCGTAAGATTCTCTCATAGAGTGTTGATGATCATATCGATTTTCTATTCTATTTTAGCTTTCATAAGAAATTCCTACACACAGTACTTAATTGCACTAGCGATTGTTGACACAGGCGCAATCTCTTCTGAAAGTAAGACAAATTTTCGGTTACGAAACGAAAAACCTCTAATACAATTCTCTCTTTCAGCCCTTGTCGCATTTGATAGTTTTATTCAATATCAAAGTAACGGAAAACAAACACTGTTCCAACATACAGCTCTCTCATGTAAATTATACTACTATGTACGATTTATTTTATACTCTATGAGTTCATGGTAGGAGATTCTTTTTGTCCATGGAAAAAACTTGATTTCCCTGGGTTCTTTTTTTCGTCTATTCAGGATCGTTGTTGTCTTAGCTGTTGAACGACTAGTCGCTATCAAGTATCCTCTCTGGTCAAAATATATCTGTAGCGTTACCAATGCGCGTCGAATAATTTGCCTGATGTTTTTATTCACCATGAGTATACAATCGTATCAATTATTTGTGAAAGGTATTGATTGTTCTGTGGCAATAACATCGACGCAGATATGTCGATGTAAAACTCTACCAGCGTTCATCGAAGTCGATATATTTTTCACCATTTATTTCTGGCGTCTATTTCTCATGACATTGATTCCGCTGATCATTATCATTACCGTCAATGTTCTGATTATGAATAAGTTATTTCACAAAAATTCGTTTATGGATTGCCGAAACCGAGTTGATCACACTCACCGGAAAGCGGTTTTACGTTACCGAATATCGCGAATGTTAGTTATTGTTTCTTCCATCTATCTTCTCCTTCACGTGCCCGGCTCCACCTTAGAAATCATCAAATCAATATTCGGACATGCGCTAAAGCTATGTCGACCGAAATGGAATTATTACATTCACATTACTCAACACATCTTCGATCTATTAACGAACTGTAACTACGGAATCAATTTTTATTTGTACATTATCAGTAGTAAACATATTCGAAGTGCACTATTACACGGACCAGGTATATTTCATTTCGCACCATTCAAATATCGCAGCAGTTCTCAGCGATCGAAACATTTTATCTCGTCGTATATTTACTCGTCGCGACGAAGTCGAGCCACTACGCTTAATAAGGGCCTTGTTCGAGGCGAAACAATATCATCTATATGAGAAATTTTGGTGTGTCAGTCTTTGACAATAAAAGACAGTTCAATGTTGTTATTCAATGTACATTCTTTTATTAAAGTGGACCTGACGACAATGTTTTGTCAATATTGTACTTTCGAATTTGTTTGCACATGACAAATAAACAGACATGAAACACAAACGCTTGGATAGTCCTAGTTAAGTTTTGACAGTGGGCAGACCAAGACTGCCAAATCATAATAATAGAGATTAGGTTCTCATCGGAAATGAACAGTTACTGGCTGATCGATTTTTCAGAGTTCGAGGAATCCGCACTGTTCTAAAGTCATCTGTTGAATTTCCATTTCAACACTCAATACGCATATCTTAAACTGCGAATCGATACGGTATTAAATTTTCACTGTCAGAGCGAATCACTGGAGTGAATCAATTCAACAATATTTCAAAGTGACAAGTGCTACATCCTAATCATCCGATCACGGATAAGAGGGACGTGTTTTTCTTTCTTCCTGTGATTACCACCTGATGGGTGATGTTTCGATCGACATGGTAGCAAAGTCATGTTCCTTCGATGACAGAACAAGATATACAATCAATTCTCACACCGCGAAAATCATGTTATACCGACATGTTTTCATGTAATTTAACAAGCGTGATAATTATGCGATTCATAGAATGGCTGACAACAACAACAACGACGACATCAAACGTCTCCTGCTGATTTCCACTATTAAACATAATTTATTGATTTTCGATTTCCAAGAGACAACGAAGAGAATTGTATTAACAATAAATGATGACATATAATGATTTGTCTGTATAAAAAAAAATAAGAACAAATTCTATCGAACGAAGAGATTACTAAAATAATCATTTGAGTCGAATTCATTTTCGTTTCTTATTAATTCGAAGAAGTGAGAGGAAAGTTTGAAACGACTTCTTCTTGACGCCTGTTGTTGCCGCTGATGATGATGACGATGCTGACGATGATGGATAGCATAACTCGTTAGTGGTAATCTCTTGTCGTACCTCGTCTGTTGATGTTGGTGGTGGAGGTAATGGAACGGGTAACGTTTCAAATGCTGTTTTGCAACCAATCGATGCTGTTTGATTATTTTCAGCATAATCAACTGAAGACATTTCTGGAAATCGATCAATCACACATAACACTGTTGACTGCTCATTTTTACCATTGGAATTGACAGGTAAACATGAGAGATTATGATTTAATGTCCAATGAACTTCACGACAGTATTGACTACAATACGACATTGTACGACAATGAGGACAGTCTTCGAATTGAACTTGCTGAAAGGCAAAAGACATGACTAGTGAGAGAATTTTGACCAAGGAAAGATATTTACATCATTTTCGACCATATGACAGAGAGAATTCGAACATTTGCGATCTGCCAACTGATTCCGTAGATGTTCTTTCAACGGAGACTGTTGAGCAGGATGATACCGTCGTTTTTTACGCTCGTGTCGATCAAACATGACGCTCAGAACTTGCTCAAGTGCACAAGATATCGATGGATCACGTCGAACGAATTCACTTCGTTGCGCATATTTTTGTTTCATCACATTGATCAATTCTCGGAAATGTTCATTCTCTCGATAGAAACGTCCGATTTCTTTCCGACATCGAACTACATTTAAAAATGTTAACACCGCCGAGCTTAACGAATGAACTAGGCCATGTTGTTCCGCATAGATGATATGATTCGCTTTCATTCCTCGTGAACGCTGATGTTTATCTTCATCTTCCAAAACAGATTTATACAAAAGTGTACAACAATAGTTCACCAGGCGAATTTGCGCTTCTAGAAAATATAACGTTAGTTAAACATGCATGTGTTCTTTTTTATTAATCTTCTTTAGATAAATATCTTAATGCATTTGGAGTTTTTCTTTGCTCGTAGGAAGAAGGAAACTTACAAAGTCAATAATCCGCTTTTCTACTTTTATGCTATCAACGCACACCGTTATATAATCGGAAGAGCTGCTGTTAAAGTCTTAATTAAAGAACAGAAGAACTACATACTTTCTGACCACATATCGACATGTTCGGCACATTGTAGCATTAAATGAACACATTGTAACGCGAACGACTCAAATTTAACGAAGTAAATTATCAAATCATTCGTTTTATACTCGTCGTTTTCGAATAAATCCAAGAGAATGTCGATGAATTGCATGTCGATCAGATGTTGATAACATCCAAGAAGATTTCTTTCCACGATAATTTTACATAAACGCAGAAGTACCGATAACGATGGAATTTTTTCCTCAATTAGATGTCCATCGCGAATACCTTGGATTAATTGCATGAGAAACGTTGGATGACGATCGAGAATCAAACGAGCAACTTCAGGTATAGTGCAAACATTTGTCAACAAGTCTAAGCACTTTTGTTTGACACATCGAAGACGTGGATCCTGAAAATGATGAATTCAGCTTTGTCTAAGGATTGAAAATTGGCGAAGAGCTTACTTTATACATAAGAAAAACAACATCAATTGCGCCCGATTTTAAAACATCGTTGACAAGCAGTTGAAAAATTGAAAAATAATCGATTGATCATGAAATCGTCGTGCTGATTGACCTAATTGTAAATCACGAAATGTATAATTGGATTGTTCTGCTCGAGCTAAACCAAATAGTAATTGGGATAAATTGAATAATGCTTCGAGTTGACGAGTCGCTATATATTCATATATTATTTATTCATTAGGACAAAAAAAAAGGGAAAATCGCCTTAGCATACCGATTTCAGTGAGTGGAAGAGCAGTTGAATTTTCTGCTTTCATATTCCAGGGCGATATAGCTTTCGTTGGTTTGACATTCTACATATAGAATTCATCGAGAATTTCTTGGTAAAATAGTCTAAACAAATCTTACTCGAATCGTCAGCACGTCCAGAAGTAAATCACTATCAAATGTATTTAGATCTGGATAGGAATACCATCCATCAGCAAACTGAATGATATCCATACTATCGATATCATTTGTCATGGTTGTACAATCGTTTCCATATAGATCTGGAAGAGTACCATTTTGATCAAGTGCAGTTAACACCGATCGATTCGCAGCGATANCTCGTCAACTCGAAGCATTATTCAATTTATCCCAATTACTATTTGGTTTAGCTCGAGCAGAACAATCCAATTATACATTTCGTGATTTACAATTAGGTCAATCAGCACGACGATTTCATGAGGCTGGATTCAAGAAATTCCGTAGGCTTTTTCGAAAGAAAATCTATCAGTAGATAATATGATGAATTAAAGTAAGAATAGAAGAAGAACTTGTGTAATTCTATCACAATTGATTCATTTGTTCTTCTGGAGAGAAAGAAAGGTAATAAGATCTGACATGCAAACATGATAGACACGGCAAATGAAAGTGTGTATGTGTATTATACAAATGGATCTTTTTCTTCTCCTATATGTGTCTGTGTGTCTATCGATGTGTTGTTATTGATCTTTATTATTGATGAGCTTATTATGTTAACCTTTTTTTATATGTGCTATTAATAAGCAACATAAGAAGTGCAGCATATTGAGAGAAGTTATTTCCTGTTGTCAGCAATGTCAAGATTCAATTTCAAATTTTCCCTGTGCGCTCTAACTGAACATCATTCTTTCTGATGTTATGTCCCAGAAGATTGAACGAACAGGAAATAGAGAATAGAAGGAGAGGACCGTGGAGGAAAAAAGGAGGAAAAAGTCAATTGACGAATGAGACTAAAAATTATCTAATGCACATTGCGTTTTTTTTTCTTGTTTGCAAAGATGCAAATAAAAAGAAAAGAAACGAGAACGCAGAAACGATGCTGTCCTTATCATCTCTAGTTGTCAAAAAAAAAGACGACAACGATAACATGTGCTACTTGACTCAAGAGAGATGCTTGCCTATTTCATACCCGTGTTACGCTCGACGGAATGGTAAACAATAGACATCGAGATAGATAGATAGAGAGAGAAAAACGCTAAAATCAAAATATTTCCTCCTATTGTCCATATGACATCGTATGTAATTCGTTTTCTTGTCATTCTCTTTTGCCTTTGTGTATCTTACTAATCATCAGTCGGTCGAGTTTTTCTTTTTCTTGCAGACAAATAATATATATATATATATATATACATAGAAAAGAAATAGAATGGCAGCAGCAGCCTCATCGGCTGGCGCTGCCATTTCATCGATGATAACATTGATGAGAAAACAAAGTTTCCGTAACGATTTTGGACCATTGATGGATTACAGTCAAGAAGATACGACGGGTGGTAACTTAGAATGGATGAACCGATCATCGTTCAAAAATCTTTATCGTCTAACTGGTTTACTCAGCTTTATTTCCACATGTATGAATACACCGAAGACGTTCGAATATCATCCATTTCTACAATATACAACGTTTGTTATCGATATTACATGCGCAATTATTTTAACAATCGAAGCAGTTGTTAAAATGAAAACGCGAGGCTTGTTCTCGGGTGACTCAGCATATCTACGTGATCGATGGAATCATTTCGATGCTATCATGGTTTTAAGTATTTATTTTTCAATAATTTTACAAGTAAAAATTCACGATATACTTCTTTTCTCTGTTTTCAATGCCATTCTTTCTTTCTTTTCTTTTTTTTTCTTAAATAGACTTTCGAATTAACACATATTGTTGATACATATTCATATTTGACAATTATTCGTTCTCCACGCCCATTTATTCTTGTCAAAGTGCTAAAAACATTTTTTAAATTCGAATTACCGAATAATCAAATTAAATCGATTCTCCAGTAAGTTTCTCCTTCATCTATTATTTATATTAACACGTCACACATGAACTCTCCTCTTTTCCCAGACGGTCAAGTTCACAAATTTACAATGTGACAATGTTTTTCCTTTTCTTCATGAGCTTGTACGCTATATTAGGTGTGCAATTTTTCGGCTCACTCACATTCCATTGTGTTCGAAACGATACGGATTTAAAGTAAGTGAGAAAACATCGCTTGTCCAACTGAACTTTGTGGATGGTGCCTTTAGTGATGTCAAGAAAAAAGATTTAATGATACCAGATACGTATTGTTCGCCAAACAAAGATGGCTTTCATTGTCCGGAATATTTTGTGTGCAAAAAAATTGATATCCAACGAAATCTTCGTGGTTACAACGGTTTCGATGAATTAGCGACGAGCTTCTTTTCGGTTTACGAATCCGCTAGTCAAGAAGGATGGGTTTTCCTTATGTATCGAGCCATCGATAGTCTTCCGTCATGGCGTGCATTCTTTTATTTCATTACATTGATTTTCTTTTTGGCGTGGTTGGTTAAAGTAAGTCGAGATCTTTTGTTATTTTTATTAATGAAGGAAAGAAGTTAAAATTGAGCTCGAAGAGAGGAAAAAAGCTTTCANTATCCATGTTTCAAGTTCTCACACAAAAAGGATGGGTTGATGTGATGCATCATACAATGTTACATAGCATTCAAGATGTAGCACCATTTGTTGCTATTTATTTCATTGTTTACAATCTTGCCATTAATTTGGTATGCGTATATGTATTGTCTGCATGTGTTATACGTGTCGTCTCATTGTAATATGTGAAAGATGATTTTTAAAATATTTGATTGTAAAAATTTTATCCTTCTGGTTAGATTGTGCTTTCGCTTTTCGTCGCCGTTATTTTGGACAATCTGGAATTGGAAGAAGATGTTAAAATGATTCGACAAGTGAGAAATGTTCATGTTCATCTATCTTTCTATCGAAGATATTTTGCAGTTGAAAACGCGTGAAGCGAGTGCTGAAACACAGCAGAAATTGCCATGGCGTCTTCGCGTTTTCGAACGTTTTCCTGATCATCCACAAATGATCGAACTTTCACGTTTACCACACGATTTTATCATCCCAAAGATTCGCGATAGTTTCATGCGACAATTCCTCAGTCAAGACGACATTTATTCTTACCCATTAGAACTTTCGATGAATGCTTATAGTAAAAAGCATGCAGTGAAAACATTACATGTTCCCGAACATCGGCCAACAGGTGAAAGTATGAAACGAACAGCTGTATCGAACATAATCAGGTTTGTTTCGTCGCAATGATTCTTACGTTTGATTCGGATTGCTTCTTTGTAGGAGTGCAAGTAATCAACGACTTTTAAGTGGCGATGCAAGTCAAGTGCAATTGGCTAGTATGGGTGATAATAAAATATCCGCTTTTGTTCAACAGAATAAAATTCGAATGGATCGAAAGTAATGAAATAGGAACGAATGATTGCTGTGTATCGAAGTTTTGTTTCCATAGAAATTCTATGCGTCGATCAGGTTATCGACCGAAGCCAGTACATATGGTTCGTGAAAATGGAGATGTTAGTGGGTTACAAGGTCGAAATCAGGATGATTATGATATCAAAGTGTTTCAATATCGTAAACAACAAGCTGAATTGAAACGGTAATATGAATTATACAATATATTTGAGACAAAAAAAAGAACGACTTTATGTACACTTAGAAATCAACAAGAAGAAGATCTTCGGGAAAATCATCCTTACTTTGATACGCCGCTCTTTGCCATCGCCAGAGAGGGCAATTTCCGAAAGTTTTGTCAACTCGTTGTCGAAGCTCGATACAATGCTATTCCCAAAGATCGTCTTGGACAAGAACAGAAAATGAGCCGGTACAAACAGGGAAAGTGAGTGTTCTCACATCGTGAATCACCAATCAAGCGAAAATGTCTTATATTTAGTAAATTTCTCGGCTTGGTTACTTATCTTGACTGGATTATGATCTTAGTGACCATTCTATCCGCCGTTAGTATGTCATTCGAAACCCCAACGAATCGAGTGGTTGAGCAACCTTTACTACAAGTAACTTACGGGTAGCTTATCATATTGAAGTCAAACCATCATTTGTTTAGATTGCCGAATACACGTTTGTTATCTGTATGAGTGTTGAGTTAACATTGAAAGTCTTTGCGCATGGATTATTTTTCACACCGAAAGCGTTAATTCGAGATATTGGTGGAGCAATCGATGTTGCCGTGTTCTTTGTTGGTCTGATATATCTCTGTTGGTTGCCACAGAGTGTTCCATCGAATAGTGTCGCTCAATTTCTTATGCTGCTTCGATCAACACGACCATTGCGAATCTTTATTCTTGTGCCAGATATGAGAAAAGTCGTCTACGAAGTTTGTCGAGGTTTTAAAGAAATTCTTCTTGTAAGTACTTTATAAAGATACTTCTCGTAGGTTCATTGGATTCTTCTAGGTATCGATTTTGTTGGTTGTGCTGATGTTCATCTTTGCTATCTATGGTGTCCAGATTATCGGTGGACAACTAGCTCGTTGTAACGATCGACAGCACTATACAGATCAAGTATGCTGGGATAACTTTGTAAATATTGACTTGAAACGATTTGCTTTAGACATCATGTAAGGGAACGTTTTGGAGAGAACTCTATGTATCGAAAATGAATGTCAGTGGAAATGATCCAGTTATGTTAGTACCGCGTGTCTGGTAGGTTGTTTGAAATTGATTTTCATGACGAGGAAAGCTTGTCTTTTTCCAGGGCAAATCCACATAATTTTAATTTCGATTATATTGGAAGTGCTATGCTAGCTTTGTTCGAAGTACTTTCACTCGAAGGCTGGTTAGAAATTCGAGATATCATCATGGACCGCATGGGCGCGGTAAGTAATCTTCGTTCGTGAAATTCCTCAGAGTTACCAATTGATACAATTAGGAACATGCCATCTTCGTTCATATTTTCGTCTTTATTGGCACATTGATCGGATTAACCTTATTCGTTGGTGTCGTTATCGCGAATTATTCCGAAAACAAAGTAATTCGTCTCACTAGCTCGAGTTCTCCTCTTTTGCAGCATGAAGAACTTCTCTAGGGTACGGCTTTGTTAACTGTCGACCAACGTCGTTGGATGGATTTGAAAGGCCGTATTAAATTAGCTCAACCATTACGTACACCACCACGACCTAAAAATAGCAAATTTCGTTCTTATATCTTTGATATAACTCAAAATCGGTTGTTCAAAAAGTCTTCCGCCGCTCTTGTCTTGTTTAATTGTGCATTACTTTACAAACCATGGAAAGCAAACGAACGAATTACTCAGATATCAGCATTGATCTCCTCGCTATTCACATTTCTGTTTCTTGTTGAAGCAGTCATGAAATGCATCGCTTTGGGCTTTGTTGGTTACTGGCAGTCACGTCGAAATCGATTCGATTTGTTAGTAACGATATTGGGTATCGGATGGATTGTGTTAAATTTTATATCCTTCGGTAAAAGTGATCTGGTATGATTATCAACTCTATCTTTTTGCCTCTGTGCATTCTCATATTTTTGGTTACTTTGTTTTTCTAGCAAGAATTTAGTAACACATTCGGATTTACTGTTATTATTCTTCGATTTTTTACTATTGCTGGTAAACACGTACGTGATATTCCATCGATTGTCTTTCCGTAGGTATATTTCATTCATTTAGGCAACACTGAAAATGCTGATGTTGACGATTATTGTATCTTTTTTCAAATCGTTCTTCATTATCCTCGGCATGTTCTTACTCATGTTAGTATACGCATTTGCAGGCGTTATGCTTTTCGGTTCTGTTAAATTCGGCCCTGAACTTGGTCGCCATGCGAATTTCAAAAATGTACCCAATGCCATCGTTCTTCTCATGAGAATCGTGACAGGTGAAGATTGGAATAAGATCATGCATGATTGTATGGTCGTTCCACCACGATGTACACGCGGAATCTCTTATTGGGAGAGTGATTGTGGCAATTCCACGGCTTCAATTCTTTACTTTTGTTCATTTTATATCATCATTACTTATATCGCTCTTAATCTTCTTGTGGCTATCATTATGGAAAACTTCTCGTTGTTTTATTCGAATGAAGAGGATGCCTTGCTGAGTTACACGGATATTCGACATTTTCAAACAGTATGGAATATGATCGATACAGGAAGGAAAGGCATCATACCGGCGAGACGTGTGAAATTTTTATTAAGGTTGCTACGAGTAAGTCGTTCATGACATCTTCAAGTGTAGTTAATCGACGAGATTTGATTTAGGGACGATTGGAAGTCGATGCAGAAAAACTTTACAAACATATGTGTTATGAAATTGAGAAACTGAATAACGGGAACGATGTTACATTTCATGACGTACTCAAGTAAGTCTTTTGAAGTGTCTATCATTCTTTGAAGTCTATGTAAATCTTTGACTTTTGATAGTATGCTGGCCTATCGATCGGTTGAAATTCGTAAATCTTTACAATTCGAAGAGTTATTAGCACGCGAAGAGCTAGAATATCTCATCGAAGAAGAAGTTGCCAAGCTAACGATACGTAATTGGTTAAACAAATGTTTAAAACGAATTAAAACCAAAGATCAGACTAATGTGATCAAAAGTTTACAGCGCAGCAACGAACTAGCATTCTTTCGCGAAGCACAAGCATTAACAACAAGCGAAACGCTAAAGAAAGCAGTAGAGAGTGCAGCTGCAGAAGACGATCAACAACAACAACAACAGCAACAACAATCTGCGCAATCACAACAAGCTCAAAAGGATGGTACAAAAAGAAAACTCGATCGAACAATAACATTGCCGACACCTTCGACTGAAAATTCAAATTATCGCACGCCAGCTGGAGCGCGTGAAACTCCTGTCGAACCGAAAGGACCACGACGGCAAGCGCATCAACAGTTGCAGCAAAATATAAGTGCTAGTCTCAGTGGTGACGAACCGTATCCATGGCGTCCTTGGCAAGCAAGTAATTTTAATAATGCACGTAAAGATGTCGAATCATGGTGGACAAATCAGTTTCAAATGACAACATAAATCTATTCGAAAATATGTTGGTGCTTTGTGTATTATTTTCGCTGTTGTTCTTGTAAATTTGTGTTCTTTATTTATTTAATACACATCTACTTTATTTTTATAAAGACAAAACAATCCAACAGAGATATAACTTAGCGCATAGATTAAGTATTGTTTCGTTACAAAATTTGAAAATAAATTAGTAGATTTCTAGGCAATGAATCTACTAGGAAGCTCAATTGAAGTTTGTTTTTATTGAATGTACTGCGATGACTATCCTGACAGTACCTTTTTCACTGCGGTCGTTCGAAAAAACCGACTAAATTTTAAAATAGATAAATACTTCATGACAACTGGGATGGTAGACTGAGAGAAGTTTATCTTTTTAGACATTGCTATGTTTCTTATCTTATCACTGTTATTATTATTATACACAGAAGCATTTTAATGTTATATTATTAAAACTCTTTGCACGAATAGTATAGGCACGTTCACAAGTATTTTCTACAGTGAATGTACGAAACACTGACAAACTAGTACTGAGTTTTGAGGAAAACCATTTCTATATGCGCTTTGTGCAGGTTCCTACCTCGCCGGTTTTCAGAACTAACACATTATTTTGCCCATCAGCGATCGCTACTTTGCCAACTGTCTCTAGACAAACAATTCTATTATTAGAAAACTCAAACGTTTTCTAACATGCTTACTTCTTTTTTAGAGCAACTCATTACAAAACATTCTTACCGAAAGACCTTGAAACCTTCTTTGGCAATCTACTTAATGGCGGCTCGATTTACTGATGATACAAAGGAGATCCAACGCTTTTCTGATTACACGCTACAGCCACGACGAATGCTTCCGCCTATTCTAGGATATGAAACTATGCCTCTTGTTTCCCTGGAAGAGGCTGTCGAACCACTCCATGCACTAGTTCCCGAGGTTGAACGCATGACTTGGACTGTGAAACAGAATCATTTTGAAGATGACCACCATTTAACCGATGATGAAGCGGCTTCTATCTTACTTTACACCATGGAATGGGAACCACGAAACCAATCATTCTACGCTATTCTTAACGCCACATTGCAGGCAGCAAATCGACAACTACTTAAACCGTGGTTTCTCTTCCTTCGCTTAATTATGACATCTCTTGCGAAACTCCCATCAGAATCCGTAAATCTGGTGGTATATCGTGGTGTCAAACTAGACATCAGTGCCCAGTATTCTACAGGAACCACCGTAACATGGTGGGGTCTTTCCTCATGTACCAAATCACTGAATGTACTTAGCAACGAACAGTTTCTAGGACAAACTGGTACTAGAACGCTATTCAACATCGAATGCCACTCCGCCAAATCCATCAAAACATACTCGCTGTTTCCAGAGGAGGAGGAAGTTTTGCTACCACCAGCAAGACAATTTCAAGTCACAGGGTGTCTTAACGCTGGGCATGGCCTTCACATCGTTCAACTCAAAGAAGTCCAACCCAAATTTCCTCTTATCAATCCCGTCCCAGTGCCCTCAAGCACTCCACCAAAAGTTACTCCTCACTTCACATCTACCCACAAACCGATCTCCCCACCCATCTGCAAAGATCCCAGACTACAAACACACATCGATGCCCTATTTTCCGATCCAGTAAGTAACACTATATCAACACTACCACAGCTGAATCTCTATACTACTATAACACATTAACACTTCCTCTCGACTGACTTCTCACAGACACTCACCACCCTGGACCTCCAGGGTAATCAAATCAGAGCACAAGGAGCAGGTGATCTTGCGCAGGCGCTCCTCTCCAACAAGGTAACACTCCCCGTCCCCACTCTCATTCCAACATCAACATGCTTCTCACACAGACACTCACCACCCTGAACCTCGGAATGAATGAAATCGGTGATCAAGGAGCGGGTGATCTTGCGAATGCGCTCCTCTCCAACAAGGTAAAACTCCCCGTCCCCACTCTTCTCACTCTCATTCCAACATCAACACGTTTCTCACACAGACACTCACCACCCTGGACCTCGGTGGTAATGAAATCGGTGATCAAGGAGCAGGTGATCTTGCGAAGGCGCTTCTCTCCAACAAGGTAACACTCCCCGTCCCCACTCTTCTCACTCTCATTCCAACATCAACACGTTTCTCACACAGACACTCACCACCCTGGACCTCGGATACAATCAAATCGGTGATCAAGGAGCAGGTGATCTTGCGAAGGCGCTCCTCTCCAACAAGGTAACACTCCGCATCGCCACTCTTCTCACTCTCATTCCAACATCAACACACTTCTCACACAGACACTCACCAACCTGAAGCTCGGATCGAATCAAATCGGGGATGCTTGTAAAGCGAGGATTCGAGAGCTGCTTAAGACGCGAAGTGGTTTGGAGATTTATCTGTAGTTCGGGTTTGGAAACAGTGCGGACATTTTGATAGCGAAGTGTTATAGGAAAGATAGATATTTCACGATTTTATAAGACAGATAAAAATATTTTTTGAATGAAGAGCACGCCAAAACTTTGTATTGTATGTTCTTTTGCCGGTTGTGAAGCAGTGTTTTGACTGCCGGCTATACCTAGCTTGGTCTGAATGAATTTCGTGAAATATATGTATAAATGTTCTCAATATTGAAAGAAATATTGGGGTGGGGTTTACGTGGAGCACGCGTTGGAGGATGTGCCGTATGCTCATGTTTTAAAGTCTGACAACGGTGATTTTTGGGTAGTTCGTATTATTGATTGGGAGTGTGTGTCGAAAGAATGAACGGGCAAATAGACAGCAACATTGCCAGTCTTCCATTCGCACACGATTTGTTTGATGTCTAAGGACACATTTGTCGCTTAACACTTATGAACCGATACAATATCACGTAATTTCTAACGAACGGGGGATGAAATCGACACATCTTATTGTACTGTTCGCGTCAAAGTAGTGTAATGAATGAATGAGAAAATTGCTTCTGACTCTGATATGCAGTACAAATGATGTAAGTAATTGTAAGAAAACTATCGTATATAACTTTACCATAGAGTACAGCATTGTATTTGTGGAAGCAAGCATTGATTCGTGAGTATTTTTAAGTTGTCGCTAGCATCGTTCGATATATTTCTATTGGTCGAGAGAGAATGAATGAAGGAGATATTTTTACAACATTTATTTGTTCATTTTTTGTTCTTGCCCAATTCTTCCAGTACCACGAAATAAATCGAAGTTATCTAAAGATCATTCACAAATCAATGATAATTTCTTATATTCCATCATATAGATTAACGGTCGCTTGCAATAGAAGAATTAAACCGTCAATTACGACTCGAAAAAACGCATCATCGTCAACTAATCTAAACAAACCAATTTGTTTGTGCTTATTACATTCTTTCATATTGATTTATAAGATAATAAAAATAAAACACAAAGAACTAGAAGTGTGACGATCTTTGCTAAATAATTGTTGAATTTTTAGGTGTAGACTTTCATGCGGTAAGTATAAACAGTAAGAATACCTTTCTGTTCGTTTGTTTTTCAAGAATTCAAATGCAATAAAGACTATTCATTTCTGATTTTAGGTCATGATGAACGTATGGATTGATTACTCATTTGTTTTCCTTGTTCGTTTCATTTTTCTCAATACTCTTCCCCTTCATTATTGAACTGTTAGCTAATTCATCTTTAACTTGTTTAGATTTCGTGTTGTATTCCAGCACGATGGGTCGATCACGTAGTCCGTCGAATAAAAAGCATAAACACCGCAAATTGTCTCGTGATCGCGATAGATCGAAAGATCGAAGTGTGACCAGTTCATCACAAGGGCACAAATCGCGTTCACCCGATCGAGAGAAGAAATCGAAACGGTAAGATAAACACGTGCTCATTGACTATTCCTCGTTGTGTCTCTATTCTTTAGCTCTCGCCGGCGTTCCAGTGATTCATCAAACGATGCTCGTGATGATTCAGCATTGGCAATAGGTCGTATGGCAAGCATCAGTGAATTAACTGACTTGACCGCTCGGAAAAAAGCTGAAGTAGAACGATTGGCTGAGCTGGAACGAGAACGCATGCAACTATTGTAAGCAAGAGGCGCATTTGATTACGAATTGCTCTTGTTCGATCGAGATTCGTTTTTGTTTTTGTAGACGTCAGAAAGAAACACGTGAAAACTTGATTCAAACTGAAGTCGAACGTCGTGTGAAAGAAATAGTCGAAACACGTGTACGAGAAGAACTGGAACGTCGAAAGGATGAAATTGAAAATGAAGTTAAACGACGGGTCGATGTACTGAAAAGATCCATGGAAAAGCAGATGCTGCTCGAACTTGAGAAAAGAAATAATGACGAAATGCGAAGATTGATCGCGAAAGAAGTAAGTCGATTATGACAAACTTGACCTTTCATATGATGTATTTTGTAGGAAGAAGAAAGAAAAAAACGCGAAGATTTAGAACGAATTCTTGCAGAAAACGAACGCAAATTATCTGAAGCAGAAAAACGTATTGTAAGTGATAAAGACGTTTTTGGAAAGTATGTCGATTATGCATTTGTTTTTATTTCTTTCAGGCTGAAGAAGAAGAAAAGCTACGTACTGAACAATTACGTTTAATGGAAGATCGCGAACGATTCGAGCGGCAATTAGGCAAACAGCAATCGAAAGAACAAAATCTTATTCTCGGCAAAAACAAGACACGAGAAAAAATCTCTTTTTCCTTGAATAGTGGCTCGTTAAAATGAATCTTCCTTTTGTCTCCCTTTGTTTTGAACTTGTACAGTTTTCTGTTCTGTGTATTCAATGAAAACGTTGCTTCAATTCAGTCTTTCTTCATTTCAGATAGACTTTTGTCCTGTTAAACTATGCCGTTTTTAATCAATCATCGATCACGAGCGTGATAGAACACTTTTGTCGTACAATCATCTATACACAGCTGTTGCACATTCATCTTTTTCGTATTCAGATATTTTTTTTGTCACTCGAAAAGAAAATACCATTGGCTATTCCAAACCACGCCCTGGTCATGACTTGATTTGCCAAGCTGACGCCCTTAGAAAGATATAAATATCTGTGTTCTTTTTAGAAATACGTAGATTCTTTCATCTAGAATATCGAGTACTTAAAATGGGCACTTTGTCAGAGGTTTGTCGGAATTCTCGGAAGGAAACGAGAGGAAATCTTTATTGTTTTTATTCAGGCAGGCGCTGATCGACTTAACAGTGAAGAGAACAAAAGTGATACGGGTACAAAATATGCTGCAGTCGAGGTTGAAATTTGTAATTTGGATTATTCTATTCATTGTTATTGTTTTTGAATAGAGTGAAGAAGGTTCGACGAAAACATCACTTATTTTCTCACTTCATGAAGAAGTCGGCGCATTAGCAAGAGCACTTCATGTCTTTGAAGTAAGGAATATATCTCCTTTTCCTATCATTGTATGTGATCCTAGTCATTCATTTAGTTATTCATAGTTTTTTCGATCAGGTTCGAATTTTTCAGCTCTCGATTCTAATGCTTCTTCTCCTAATAAATAACTGACAACTTTCCAAGTCGATCTTTCATCTTCAATTCCTTTCTAGAAACATGGTATCAACTTATTTCACATCGAGTCGCGTTTATCTCGTCAAAACAAAACTGATCATGAATTCTATGTCGAATGCGATAATAGTATGGGTAGTGTTGCCGATGCAATCAAACAATTACGTCAAGAATCGAAGTATATTCATGTTCTATCGCGTGCACATCGATCTTTAGATGAATCAGGTTTGATTGAAATATCCTATTATCGAAAGTTCAATGTTATAGTTTGTCTTCAGTTCCATGGTTTCCACGAAAGTTACGTGATTTGGACCAATTCGCTAATCGGGTTCTTTCCTACGGCTCAGAATTAGATTCTGATCACCCAGGTTTTCGCGATGTTCTCTATCGCAAACGTCGAAAAGAATTCGCTGATATTGCTCACCTGTATCGACACAACCAACCGATTCCGCGTGTAACGTACACCGAGCAGGAAATTGCAACATGGGCAACTGTCTTTCGTGAATTGACACAACTCTATCCGGCACATGCATGTAAAGAATTCAATAATGTTTTCCCATTACTTATTGACAATTGTGGTTATAACGAAACAAATATTCCACAATTGGAAGATGTGTCGCTATTCCTGCAAGACTGTTCCGGCTTTCGTCTTCGACCAGTTGCTGGTACGTTGAAAGACGATCTTCTTTCGTTAGTTTTTATCGATTCATGTTTATTTGAAGGTCTTTTATCATCACGAGACTTTCTCGCTGGCTTAGCTTTTCGTGTATTCCATTCAACACAGTATATTCGTCATCATAGCGTACCCATGTATACACCAGAGCCCGATGTTTGCCATGAATTACTTGGTCATGTGCCACTTTTTGCTGATCCAGACTTTGCTGAATTCAGTCAAGAAATTGGCATGGCTAGTTTAGGCGCACCTGATGAATATGTAACTCGATTAGGTAAATTTCAACAGTCTGTTGATCGATATTACTGATTTTGTTTATTTTTTTTAGCAACATTGTATTGGTTCACCGTAGAATTTGGTCTATGTGTTGAAAAAGATGAACGAAAAGCATATGGCGCCGGTCTTCTTTCGTCATTTGGCGAATTACAAGTAATCCATTTCGATATATATTTATCGACTGACATCAAATATTGACTATCTTGTGTTTCTTGCCTAGTATTGCGTATCCGATAAGCCATCGATAATGCCATTTGATCCTTTCCGTGCGTCGATTCAGCCATATCCCATCACAAGTTATCAACCAACTTATTTTCTTGCTGAAAGTTTCAAAGACGCCAAAGAAAAACTTCGGTAGCCTTTCAAAGCATTCTTTATGCTCATTTATATTTGTTTGCATATCTACTAGACAATATGCAATGACAATTCCACGACCATTCAGTGTTCATTACAATCCCTACACACAAACAATTGAAGTTATTGATGGTAAAGAACAAATTGTTAATATGGTTCGAACTTTACGAAGTAAAAACGAAAAACAATGTTTAAAAATAAGTTTCCTATGCTTTTCGTTATTTAGATGATATGGATATGATTCTCGATGCTTTACGTAAAACGGAAATAACAACCACGAAAGCCAGCTGAACACTTCTCTATTCTTTTTACTTATGCGAATACATCTCATGTTTTTCTCTTGTCTTTTTATGTATATTTTTAACTTTATGCGGTGATAGATGTCGGTGACGGGAATGTATTATGATTTACTTTTTAGATTTTCTTTCTGTTGATAAAAGAAAAGGAGACCGAATGAGACAATTATTTACCATCAGTGGACAATATCCTAGCACTGAAGATATCGCGATTACACCACAGGTGGGCTATGCAACTGAATTCAAGTTATAATTATGTATAATCTTTAGATACACATATGAAAATGTGTTCTTTTCCTATCTATCAAAAGCATTCTGCTTCTCCTTCTTCTTCTTATGCTTATGTATCTGCGCGCGCGTGTGTGTGTGTGTAATGTTAACATGGACAATGCATCGATGAATTATCGAAGGTGAGAGGCACGATAGAGCAGGCTACAATTGCTAACCGATAATCGATATGTTTCAATGTACTCGATACATTCACTCATGAATGTATGTTTTGTAGACATGCGGTTTATCATGGGATACGCGATTGAAAGGTTTTGGAATTTGTCTACTGATTAGTATCGTGCTCGGCATTGGTGTAAGTTCGACGCACTTGAATGAAATTTGGTCGAATAGTCCGTTTTAGGGAATTATCATCTACTTTGCAGGTGGAAATTTATCTGGTTTTGCGGTTCTTTATACACTAGCTGTTCTCTTCGGGCTTGGATCGTAAGTGTATCCGTATACTCTTGTCTGTCTTCATTGTCTATTGAATATCTAGTTCGTTCTTTCTCGTGGGTCCAATGAATCAATTGAAGAAAATGTTTGACTCATCTCGATTTATTGCTACAATCGTCTTTCTCGTAAGATCTTCTATTTGAATTTCTTCAATGTATTTTTTGTTTTCTTCCATTGATAGATCTGTATAGTTATGACACTAGTGTCAGCTATCGCTGTAAGTTAAACCTTGACCAAGTTCCTTTCCATCTACATTTGAATCATCTAGATAAAAATCGGCATTCTTGTTTTGTTATTTATTATACTTCAATTTTTGGCATTGGTAAGTTTAATCACAAAATTTTTCACGAGTAATTGAGCGATTCGACTGTTTAGCTCTGGTACACCTTGAGTTACATTCCATATGCGAGGTAATTTGATTTGCACTCGCATTTCATTTCGCATAATTTGCATTTATTTTAGAGATGCCATCAAAACCTGTTGTCGAGGAATCATGCGGCATTAAACAACTCATTTTTATTTTCTCTGAATATTGTGATATATATATATATATTTTATTTATCTGTGCTTTTTTTTCCAGATTATCTTTAATGACGAGTAATTTGAATACACAATGTCATTATCTGGAGCAAAAAAGAGTCCATTAACTGCTGTACCTTACCTGAAAGTGAGTGACATTGATGGAAACGAGCTATAATGAATAGCTGGTTGTTGAATAGAAACGCTTACGACGAGCTACGGCTTTCGGTTTTTATAATCTGACTGTTGATGAATTCAATTTCACCGTACATTTTACCTTGCATCGCAACGAAAAGACTATCGGTGAGAAAAAGCACATTCTTTTCAAAAACTAATCATGCTTTTCTACAGCATTTTATACTAGTGAAGCAATTGAGAATCAAAGGGTAAGTTTTCGATGACGATCGATCCCAAACTACTAACTCTATTCAATATGTAGAGTCCCGAATGGTCTTATTTAAAAATACCACCCAGTGTGCAATGTCTACAGGGTAAAGATCACTGAAATTCGAATCTGGTCAATCGTCACCTTCCTTCTAGATGTTTTCATGCGTGTATGGATTACATCTTCTAATCATTGCCGTTTATTTCTTGAATACGACATACATCTTGACAATTCACTTATACCAGATGAACAAGTAAGACTCGCACTGCAACAGCAACGAAATCTTATTGTTCGTGCTTTTTCTTTATAAAGAAAGCTTCAGTGAACAAAGGAAACAACACACTATGGCTTGAAATATTTGGTTATCGATTTACTGATAATAATGGTGAAGATTTCACTCTGATTAATAGTGAAGATATCGGGTCTAGTGATAGGAAGAAACGGAATTTTACAACAAAATCTTACAATAAATTAAGTATCATACGGTGAGTTCGATTGAAAATTGTCTGATTTACTAGGACAATCATTCGGAAATTTAGAATGAATAATGCAATCCATGCTATTCGTAAAGATCGGCAATCGTCAGCTACCTATCTCGAACGATTACAAACATTCTTCGATGAACATGAGGACTATCTATCTAAAGTACGAGTTTCATTGATTGTCCAGTGAATTCCTAATGTGTGCTAATAGATTAAAGAACGCGAATCACGTCGATTACGAATGGAGAATTTAAAGAAATATATTCATTCTCGAACGTATGTTTATCAACAGCAGATCAATTCCAATCAACAGAAACAGAGAACGCTCGAACAGAGAAGTATATATCGATCCAAATATCCACGGTTTCAATCCTCGATATTCTCTAGGAAACGAATTGAATCACAATTTAACGAGACTATTAGTCCAAAAAGAAGAGATCCAGTCATATCAGAAGTATCTAAATCAATCTAGGTAACGCGCAGTCTGATATTACTACTTTTGCGAAATTTCTCTCTTTTTCTAGGTCGATTCTCCGAAAAATCACGCAAATAATTGCATACCGACAAAGAGAAATCATGGATGAAATATATCGTTATATTTATCCTATTCATTGTGACGCACAGAAAGAATATTCTATAGCAGACAGACGATTACCACAAGCGGATGACAAAGTCTATCAATCTGCATCGAGTATGGCGTTTATCTTCGAGAGCAAAATCACCATTCAGACGTCTGTTTTGTATTAGGTCGAGATCGTGATCACGAAATAGCCGCAGCTGTGGGATATTGCTCTCATTTTGTTCTGATTATCGCACAATTTATTCATCTACCATTGAGATTTCCGATCGATTATCACGGAATACCAGCCATTAAGATCTATGATTACACTCTAGAAACAAGCGAGTAAGTTCGGAGCGTATTTAGATCTTCGTATCAAAATGGCTGTACTTGTATAGATTTCCTTTATATCCAACGTCTAATCTCAGTGCATTTCGATACGGTTTTTACCTGCTCAATCGTAATATCGGTCAAGTAAGTTGTATCCTTCCTGGAGCGAATCTCGCACTTGGTTCTTCTAGATAATGTATCACTGCCGAACAGGCGACCGTAATACGGACTTCCGAAATACATTAGAAAATCTAAGACAGATTATTGAAAACTATTTCATCAATGCATCGAACACGAACCATCAGTAAGTAACATTGTCGCAAGAAATCTCTATATTTCATTCGATTGATTTGTTCCCACAGTCATTCCAATGGTTTGGTCGTAAGTCCTACAACTAACACTAAGCCTTCTCACACTTCTTCGCTTTTCTTGTAGAACATCACTTTCGTCAAGGAGAGAATTTTTTATTTGTGTCTGTTTTTTCTGTTTAGAATTCAACTCTATCCAGCACTTCAGACGTCAACAGATGAAGAACCTACGGACACTAAACGGCATTCACGAGATTCGTCGATAGCCTATTCTTCCTTTTCGTCGACTTCATCTCTAATCGAGAATGATGATTTCAATCAAAATGACGACATGGACCTATTTCCACATTTGAATACCATGAAGCCACGATTAGCCATGCAGATTTCCCATCAATTACAATATTGATTTGTTTTTTCGAAAAGAGAGAAAAAACGCACGTTTATCTACCTAAATTTTGTGATATTTTCGAACAATGTTGTGATTTTCTATCGTTGGTTGCTTGTTTTGTTTTAGTATTATAATCGAAATTCTAATGAACAGATAAATGTAATTCTATTTATTTAAGATTAACACAAACCGAAATGAGTCTTGATGCACAAAAACTCGATGGAAGCCAACGGCAACAGATCATGATGTCCGTGCAGCAACAATTGGCACTACAAAATGCTCAGGAACTGCTTCAAGTAAGCAAATGCTTGCATTCTTCAACTTCACGTCATCGTTTTCTAGAAATTATCTGATAAATGCTTCAAAGCTTGCGTTGCAAAACCCGGTAGTTCATTATCAAGTTCCGAACAGGTAGGATTTCTCTTCGACGAAATCAACGACTACATTCGCTTTCGTTTAGAAATGTATTACATCATGTTCCGATCGTTATATGGATGCATGGAATATCGTCTCGCGAACTTATGCTGAACGCATAAAACGTGAACAGTACCGTCACTAGGTTGTTATTTTTTTGTCATTAGAAGATTCCACAGGCATTTTTTGTGTTTTGCTTGGATTAAAAGACCATAAGAAAATGTTTTTCATCCGTTAGGTTTAATTCTAGATTTGTAAAAAAGAAAAGAATGCCAGTAGGACAGAAGAAAAAGGCGAAATACATCAATGTGTTCAGCAATGAAGGCAAAGAACGTACGACTGTTCGATTGCCAGGTATGAGTAACACTTTCGATGGACATTGTTCAAGGAAACATTTCTCCTAGGGCGTAATTCATGTGAATGTCAAGCATCCAAACATAAACTCATCGGTAATTGCCTTAAATGTGGTCGAATTGTTTGTGAGCAAGAAGGATCTGGTCCGTGCTTTTTCTGTGGGAATTTAGTAATAACTGCTGAATTATTTGAAATCTGCTCAGTCATATGTGATATTTAGGTTTGTACGAGAGAAGAACGCCAATCGATTCTATCGGGCACACGTGATGGAAAGAAACTCGAACAACAATTATTAGCGCGACAAGTTCCGAATCAAGATGCTTCGAATTTATCGAGTACAACTGATCCATCCTCGCAACTTTCGCTGAACGATATTGCGAATGCAATCGCATTCAAAAATAAACTGATTGAATTTGACCGAACGAGGTTTGTCTCGTTGACAGACGTAATCTTTGAAGGATTTCGATGTTCTAGTGCACAACGAACGAAAGTTATCGATGATGCATCAGATTATTTTGACAGCAATAATAAATGGTTGAGTACACAACAACGTGCGAAACTTGAAAAACTTCGAAAACAGATGGACGAGAAGAAAGATCCGAAAAACCGAAAGATTACAATTGATTTTGCTGGACGAAGAATAACGACCGATAGTGGTGCATCCAACGATCGTTTTTACGACGAAGCACAAGCTGTTCATGAAAATGACCAGTATGAACTAGAGAGTGATCGCTCTCAGCAACAGCAACTTCCTATTTGGGACGAGAACGATGATAATGACCTAATCAATCATAATTTACCCGAATCATTAGATGCTCCTCAAGTTCGTTACAGATCTATTAACGAATAATTTCTCTTGACAGGATAATTTCAGTGGGTCGAACAAAAAAGTTCTGATCGATCGACATTAGCACCTATTTCACAAACGACAATCGAAGATCGAGATCGAGAACGTTTACGTATTCAAGATAAAGAACTAATGCAGATGGTTGATGATGGCAGATGTCTCACAATGCATCAACCATGGGCATCTCTATTAGTTCGTGGTATTAAGATGTAAATGAATCGATTTAAGTGTCCTTGAAAGCTCTACTTTCGATTTCAATTTACAGGCATGAAGGTCGATCATGGTACACATCACATCGTGGTCGATTATGGATACACGCAGCTTCGAAAGAACCTGATCCACAAACAGTTGCTGAATTAGAAACGTTCTATCGATCGAGAAGTACGAATGGCGATGATGTTCGGTTAAGTGCGATGACAAATGCTATCTTTTCTTTTTTGTTTAGATGACCGAGAACTTGATTTTCCTACTGATTACCCGACATCTGTGCTGCTTGGATGTGTTGACGTGATTGATTGTCTCGATCGAGAATCGTATGAAGAACAGTATCCGGGTGGCGAATCGGAATGTGAATATGTTTTTATCTGTGAAAATCCACAAGAATTGATGTTTAAACTACCGATGCGAGGACATCAGAAGATTTGTAAGTCAAAGAAGCTTTACTTGTTATTTTGCTTGATATTGTTTGTTTTCAAAGATAAATTGGATAGTCAGGCACATCAAGCGGCGAAAAAGATTCTTTTACGAAGAACTGATTGAATTTTTTATCCGAGAAAAGCGAAATCATTGTTCGAAGTTTTCTAAATTTATTTTGTTAAAGCTTCACGAGGCAAAAATCCGATCATAAATAAATGTTACTATAAGAAAAATAAAAAAACTCAATGTGCCATAATAAACAATATCTGAACGAAACAACGGTTCGGAGACTGCATCGAATATCATTAATAATGATCGCGCTTGACTTGTTGCATTCGATTTCGAGCTTTTCTTTTCTTTCTCGTCGATACATTTTCTTTCTATTTCAACATCATGTTGCTCACTACAGCCCGCTCGCAGACCAATATCAGCTAAATAGCCTTCTTTCATTTGCTTGAGACTGACCGGTTGTTTCATCCAATTGATAATATCGATCATTCGTACGAAATAAACATCATTCGGATGGTGTCGTAATGTATGTTCAATAAATAACTTCAAACCTTCCTGTCTCCAGCCCATGTAAGGCTCGTTCAACCAATAACTATCGAAAGCCATGACGAATGGCGCATGATTGGAATACAGATGTCGATTGAGATTATGCTTGAGATATTGAGCGAATCGTTCGGGTGTACGTGGTACTCGACAGTGGTCACTGCCAATGGTTGTACAATTTCTTCCGTCGAAGTCTTGATACATATGAATTGGAATGGTCCAAAGGCCGGGAAATGATTGAGTGTAACAACCTTGAGAACAATCATAGTTTGCTTCGAAATCCATCGTATGTGGCCATGTTAATGGCGATGGTTGTTGTTGTTTGTAGTAAGGTGAATCCCATTCACGTGTAATCAACGTGGAGTCGTAGAGAAATTGATGTTCACGTAAGATATGCCAATGGATTTGCTTGTTATTGACTTCGTAGTTCGGTGAACGATAACCCATGATCGATGATGGACGAAGACCGGTTAACTTCGAAATCATACGACGATAATCGATTGTTTCATTGTAAAAGCGATACGAACGCCATGTTACATACGGACTTTTATCATTTTTGTCTTTCACTCGGCAGTCTACGGTTGGACATCTAAGAAATAACATCGATTTATCTTGTTTATAAATGAATGGATGTATTTACTCGCTGGAATTCGATGTGATACCTAATTCAATGTTTCCATATTGTAAAACATTACGAAGTAAACAATAATTTGTCTGATTATGGCCTCTCAAGAAAACAGTACCGCTGATCGGACATCCTAATTCCAGAAAAAGTAAAATCTTTGCGAAAGAAAGAAATAAAACAAACCATCGGGATTGAAGTATTTGCTCGAAAAGAATATCTCTTCTAAAGTGTCATAGTTTTTCTCGTCTAATGGTCCATTGATTGATAAGGCAATGAATTGAGGTGTATTTCGAACAGTCAATCCACCTGGTATCGTCTGATTGGAACAATAACAGTACGGTAATCGGCATCGATCGGAGGAACATGGCTCAATATCATTGTAAGATTGATCGCTAGAGGTGCAACAGTGAAAAAAGAGGATTAGCGTGAAAAATCTAAACATCATCCAGGGAAACAGCATTCTCTTCTCTTTCGTTCTTTCTCTATCTGACAGTCGATCGATTTAGTTCGATATATAACACTATAACACGCAAACAAAGAAATCAGACTGACTGGTCGTTTGTCTAATCAAATTAAATTTCATTTTCTCATCGAATTCAAGATTTATTGCACGTTGCTGAGTAATGCCTATTAACGCAACGCGATGCCTATCTGGCATGTATGGAAATCTATCAGCAAAACGTCGCTCTGTGCGATGATTGAAACGCTTGATAACATAATGATAAAATATTTGTTTCCGTCATGATATAACTTCTATCTTCCGTGGAAATCATACAAATATCTATGTATAGTTATCTAAGACGACATTAGCGACTGTTCCATTTCGGTCATTATTCATATTCTCGTCTGAACTATTCGGTATTTAAGGACAATATGAACTCATTGATACCAGTTAACATTCTCAGGCAGTTCTTATTCTAATTCATCAAGATATTCATATAGCATTTGACTATCCTAATGACTTTGACACTGAAGATGACATTGCGCGGCTGTCAAGAGCACAACGTAGCCATGCGAAAAACATCATTTTGATGAGATATACATATAAAATGATACAGATGAAATATATACAGATAGATATAAACAGAGTATTTTTCTCTCTACTTGAGTCAATGCGTGTTTTACTAGTCAGTATATCATTTTAGGAGTACTCAAATGAAGTTGAATTCATTATTTAAACATCATCATCGGGCCAGGCGTATTGTCACCAAAGGATTCTATAGTTTATTTACTGAATATGAAACACCCAAATTAGTGCTGATACACAGTTCTACGCTGACGATTCTGCTTCGTATCATGCAAATTATCCTTCTGATATATTCCATATTATATTTACTTCTATACGAAAAAGGTTATCAGAAGCAAGATACTTCAATTGTTTCGTCATTTACACTGAAAGTTAAAGGCGTTGGCTTTGTTCAAACGGTAACAAATGAAACTATCATCATTGATGTCGCAGGTATTGTTGACGGTTTTATTTGAAACTATACAACTTGATGTTCTGTTCTAGATTATATAATTCCTCCGTCAGAAAACGACGCTATTTTCATCATGTCAAATTTTATCCAAACATCTCAAACACGATCTCAATGCGCTGAGGCCGTATCTTTAGAAGAAGCACGATGTAAAGTCGATGATGATTGCTTGAACAAAGCTGTTTCATCGAAAGCTAGTGGACGATGGACTGGTCGCTGTTTGATAACACCATCGGTCGGAGTCATGAATACTACCGCAAATCTAACACAACAATCAACAGGCTTATGTGAATACGCAGGTATGATTAAAAACATGATGAAATATCAAATAGGGATGGAAGAACAATGACGGAACAGGTAGTTATTTCTTTTTTGTAGGCTGGTGTCCAGCTGAAAATGACGAAGTACAAGCAATGTATGTGAATGATTTTCTTAATTTTACGATTTTTATAAAGAATTTCATCGAATTTCCAACGTTTCGTGTGAAACATAAAAATATGGTGGATAACTTGAAAACTTGTATCTTTCATCCGAAACATTCGCCGGATTGTCCAATATTTTCACTCGGTTATATACTAAATCAAGCCGAGAAAGATCCAAAAGAACGAGAGTTAATGTTACGTTACGGTGGTGTGATTAGTATTAAGCTTGACTGGGATTGTAACTTAGATCGAAAAATTAATCTATGTAAACCTGAATATACGTTTGTTCGTCTCGATGTTCCGTTTCGAGAGAAACCGTTTTCGCGCGGATTTAATTTTCGCTATGCTTCGCACTGGAAGTATCATGGTGTAAATCATCGAACATTAATGAAAGCGTACGGTCTTCGACTAATCATGGCTGTCAGTGGGAAAGCGGGTAAATTCGATCCGATCACATTGAGTTTGAATACCGGATCTCTCGTGGGAATTTTCGGTTTGGCAACATTCTTCTGCGATATTATTCTTCTTCATTTATCCAAGCAATCGCGTAATTATCGACGACATGTTTTTGAAACTGTACATTTGAAAACACGAACGGAAAGCATAGTAGGACAGCGGAGAAATACCGCGAATGCAGATGTTTCTACGAATAGCCATCTCACAGTCGCACATGAAACTATACCGAGATTTGTACGGCGATCAACTTCATTGCGCCCATTGACTTTGGCTGACATAGAACGATCACCTGAATCACAACCCGTATGAAATTTACACAGTTATTTAGTTGACCTTGTTTTTGTGAAAATATAAATCTGTTTTACATTAATAAAGAAAAACGCGCTCGAACTTACTTGTGATCATCGATCACAATGAGTGAAAGTGCTAATGAACGTGGTTCCCTGTCGAGTGATATCGGTGATGTGGAAATACCATCATCCGATGATATGGAGTTGGATGATCTCCGTTTTCGGTTCTTTCTCTCGTATCTCAACATCGTTTTTGGTACAACACCAACTGCATTTCAGAAGCGTATGCGCATTCGTATCTTTTCAACTGTAACAATCGACTTTTTCTGTAGTTATTCTCAATAACGAAACAAATCGGAAATTAATGCAATTGTTTCTCGATACAGCTGACCGAAATTTGACTCTCATTTTCGAAAATTCAGATTCATTGAATATTCTCACGGAATTTCCGATGCAGATCAAATCGAAACTCGTTTGTTTCGTTAAAAGAAATTCGTCCATCATTCACGATGACATTCCACTGAAAAAGCAGATCGCGATCACTGAGTTCACTCATTCATCCATGGCACAACTGAGTTTATTCATATCCGAAGTAGATAAACAGTGCGTTCTCATGCAATCCTGATCATTTTCATAGATTCTCTGGCCTATTTTACAACAACGAAAGACGACAAGCGACTGGCCTGATATAGTCATTCGAAATTGTGCACAAAATATCTCTGAATTAACGAATCTATTGACAACAGTCAATGGAATCCTTCGAGGACGAACGATCTTGTCCATTCCACACGAAATTGACTACTTATCCAGTCCGGATTATCTTCGCGTTCTTAGCCAGTAAGTTCAGATCGGTTGCTGTTGTGTAACATTATTCCGAAAATCATAGAAACAACGGATTCGACAGTGGAAAAATTCGTCTATTAGAAAATATTGTTCTAACATGGAAAAAACAGATTCAAACCGCAATTAATTACGATGCTAATCCGCCACAAAATAAATATTATCCATTACCGAATCTTGAAATTCAATTCTGGATGGCAAGAGCAGATAATTTACAAAATATCAAAACACAGGTAGGAAGCAAGGTTAGACAAAGTTCATCATCGCGTAACCTAGAATTGTCTTAGATGCATTCGTCATTAGTTCGACGACTGGCAGAGATTCTTGAAGTATCTGGTTCGACTTATTTTGCTGCTTTTCGTGCCCTCTTCCGCGACGTCATCCAAGCGTTAGTTGAAGCACAAAATATGGCCCTGTATCTGAAACCACTGATGCCGATTCTCGATTCGATAGAAAAAGTTCCAGATATTGAAATGATTTCAACGTTTTTCCATCATTTGTTCCATTCGTTATCGTTAACTTGGGTTCATTCGACATATTACACGAATATAAGTCGATTTATTGGATTCTTACAACAGTGGACCAATCTGATTTTAAATAAAGTTTGCAATGTTTAAAAATATTTAAAAATATTTCAATAGTTTACTACTTAGATTCGTGATCTACTTCAACCGAACGATCTTTTCGTGGACACTGATTTCGATGAACCTATTCAGCTGATCAATATATCAATTGAAACATGTCTTTTCTATAAAAAGACTTATCAGCATCACAAAGCATTGCTACCCACGTATTTCAAGGATCGGCAGGTGAGACCATTTGTACTTGAATCATGCATTTGATGAATAACTTTATAGGTTCGCTATTGGGAATTTCCAGAATCGAAGATTTTCGAACGATGCGATGACTTTCTTAATCGATTGAACATGCTAAAAGTAACTTCGAAATCAACACTCACGATCGCTCTAATCTATAGTTTAGGATATCATCTCCACTGCAAAAGAATATTTCATATATGAGTCCATTGAACTGGGTGGTGTGGATGCAGATGAATTGCAAAGTATTCTACAGAAGGTTCTCAGCGATTTCAAATCATCCTATGCCGTGTTTCGTGGTACGATTTAATCAATCAACCAGAGTTTTGTTAGTTGAATGTCTTTTTGTGTAGGCTTGTCGGATGATCTAACTAATGATTCGAATGTTGAATTTGCGAATAATTACAAAAGTTTTACTAAAAACGTACTGGTTGATGATGAGCGTATCGCTAATATTCTCTGTCGGTATCTGCGACCGTGTGCAACTCACGTAAAGACAACCAATGTCAATACTATCTATCGGGTTTGTCTCGCACTTGTCTTCATGAAATAAACTTTGATTAAATTTAGTTATTTCGGATCTTCGGCCCAACACTAGAACGAAATCGACTGAAACAAGTTGTCAATGAATATACAAACACACTTCTGAGTATCATTGAAGATGCGTTAAATGAAGACCAATGGATATTCGAGGAATACATCAAAGATTCATATCCAGTATGGTTGTTGGCCATGCCTAAGTTAATTGCCGATTTGACATTTGCGGGTCAGCTACGACAGCGAATTATCGATCAAGTCGAACCATTGAAAACCGTGAATATAAAGTAATTTTCTTCATTTGAAACTTCATCGACAAGGAGAGAATTGATTTCAGTGTGAACGATAATGACACTTATAGGCGAATATTTGAACAGGAAGAAGATGTTTTGAAGAAACTTGATGATTTCATGGAACACACTAATCAGCGATGGATTGAGTCGTTTCGAAAACAAGATCTTCTTCATTTGAATGAGCCATTACTTCGAAAAGAAGATAACTACTATCTTGTGAGCATCAAGCCAGAAGTAAAACATTCTGTCAATTCGTTTTTCTGATACCATTATCGCTATTTCAGTTTTCAATAGCTCTACACGAAATCATGCGCCTGTATCAACTGCCAAGCTTCGTCATTTCACCTGAAACCGAAGAATTCTACCAGCATATCGATCATTTCCAACAGCAATTTATCGAACTCGGTAAAAATCAATTCTAAAACTATCCGCGAAATACCTTTCTGCCCCCGTCTAGAATACATCACACAATCCTATCGACATATTTACGACAACATTCTAATCATTGAATATCCCTTAATTCGTGATGAATTACATGCGATTGAGAAAGATCTTGATAGAGCCAGTACTACATTCACATTGAATATCGGTCATGGTACATCTGATTATTCAAGAGATTTCATTCGCCACCTTCGACGATCAATCACTGATTTCGAAGAACGTCTATTCAAGAGCAAAACCAATTTAGATGACATGCAACGCATTCTAAAGCGTTTTGTCAAATCAGCATTGTATTCTCGAGGTGAAACTCGGCAAGACTCCCTACTAATCGTTCATGAGAAAGAAGATAGAGTACTAAAACGAAATAGGGAATTACGAGATGCCGGTTCGCATTTACAAGATCTTCTCAAAGTCAGTATGTCTCATACCATTCATCATATTGATGATTTGACTTTCAGCAAAACAAATGGTTGTTAAAAGCCGATGCTGATTCGGACATTTGGAAAGCATATGTTGATTATGTGGATGAGATCGTCATCGAATCACTCTATGAAATCATCGAATACAATCTCAATTATATCCTCGAAGAATCTGACTCAACACTGAACAAACGCGTCCTGTTTGAAGTTCAACTTGTGTTAGATGTACAAACTTTTCTTAGATGTTCAAACATTCATTTTGATTTGTGTCATTCAAGGATCTGGATTTACGGTTTAATCCATCGTTGGAGTTCGGTAGCGCCAATGGTCTTTATGATATTGTTGACACGCTTATAGGTAATATCTTTCGACAAGCAGCGATGCTTCCACGTCTTGCTGAACATTCCGGACAGAAACATTACCAAGTAAATAGGAAGGAGTCGAGTTGAGAGAGTACTTTCTATCGATATATAGAATGATTTGGAAGGAATGAAGGCTTTGAACGACAGTCGATTGAAGATTATGGGAAGGCTACGTGATACGATGAAAGAAGCAAACGATTGGAAGGAGGAAGTTGAAGAAAATTCGTACCTATGGCTCGATGATAGGAAGGAGCACATGCGACAATTTTTATTGTACGGTCGCATATTCGAGGATCATGAATTAGAAAATATTGAGCAAATCAAAGAAAGTCCACCAAATCTAATACAATTTCAAAATCAAATTGATTTATTTCAATCGATTTACAATGATATCGATAGTTGGAACCAAACATATCTTTTCAATAGTTGGTTAAGAGTGGATGCACGGCCTATAAAACGACAGTTACTAGCATTAGTTACGAAGTGGATTAATCTGTACAAAAACTATCTCATCGATCACATCACAGTTTCTCTCAATGAACTACAAACATTTATTAAACATGCCACGGACATGCTCCAACGTGAGATGAAACCGGATAATCTCAAAGATTTGATAGAAATGATGACATTCTTGAGTCAAGTGCGTGCTCGACAAGAATATACAGATGACATGGCTGAACCAATTAAAGATACCATTGAATTACTAAAATCTTACGCGTATGAAGTACCACAATCTGTCTATGTTATGCTGGATGAACTGCCCGAACAATGGATTGTCGTCAAGAAAATGAGCGCACAGATGAAACAACAAATTGCACCGTTGCAAGCCAATCAAGTGACAAATATACGGCGTCAAATTGTCGACATGGAACGAAGACAGCTGGAACTACGAGAAAGATTTCTCGAGGATGCGCCGTTGAAATACGATACAAAAGAGCCGTATATTGGTAGGTAACGTCGAATGTTCATTCCGATTGAACGAGAGATCTTATTTCAGAACTGGATTATTGGGCATCGCAACTACGTAAATTCGATCAAGATGTTCAGCAATTGTCAGATTTAGCACGAATATTTGACATCAGCGTTCCTGAATACAAAATGTAATCGATTCTAAATTTAAATGAAGATGTACAAGTACTTACTCTTTTGTTTTCAGTGTCAAACTATGCCGTAAGGAAATGCGTCCGTTGAAACAAATTTGGGATATCATTTATTTGATACGCTCACGTGTCGATGAATGGACGAAGACTCCATGGAAAGAAGTGAATATCGAGCTCATCGATCAAGAACTACGACAGACGTATTTAAATAAAGAATTGCGTTTACTTGCAAAAGAATGCAATCAATGGCAAGTGTATCAAGGCATTGAAAAGGATGTGAAAAATCTGATTGCATCATTGCGTTCGGTTGGAGAATTTCGTAATAATGCCATTCGACCGCGCCATTGGGAAGAGTTAATGAAAGAAACGGGTGTGCAAATCAATATGACAAATGAGACAAGTCTTCAAGATTTACTTGCTCTTCATTTACATCAATACGAAGATGAGGTATTTGTAAATGAAAAAGATTAGTCATTGGATCTCTTCTCTCTAGGTGAAAAATATTGTTGATAAAGCAGCGAAAGAACAAGGCATGGAGAAAATCTTAACCGATTTGGAAAATACTTGGTAACATCGTCTCTTCGATCATCTGTATTCCTGCAATCATGTTCTTGTTCTCTTTTAGGTCTAGTATGAATTTTCAAATAGAAAAACACCCGCGTACCAATGTTACACTCGTATCCATTGATGATGATATACTTGTTGCCTTAGATGAACATCAGACCCAGTTACAAACCTTACTTTCGTCGAAATTTATTTCTCATTTCATTGATGACGTCATCACATGGAAAAGTCAGATGTCAACAGCTGATATGGTCTTGCAGTTACTGACTGAAGTACAACGTACATGGTCAAATTTAGAGGCAATTTTCATTGGAACGGATGATATTCGAGTACAATTACCACAGGAAACAGAAGCCTTCGATAGAATCGATCAAGAATTCAAAGTTTGTAACATTTACATTATGAGAAGATATTTGACCTTTTTTTGTTCATAGACAATTGCTAAAGATAATGAAGCAGATTTGAATTTTATTCGCTGCACTAATCGTCCTGGTTTGTACGATCAACTCGAGAAAATGAAAGATAAGCTACAACTATGCCAGAAAGCACTCGAAGATTATCTAGGTAAGTGATAATTCTTAGTGATTGGCTTAATTCTATGTGACAATGAATAGAGATCAAACGATTGGCGTTCCCGCGGTGAGTTAGTGTGAAAACAGATAATTTAATATGGAATAATTTAGATTTTTCTTTGTATCTGGTTCGGAACTACTTGAATTCCTGTCGAATGGAAATGAACCTGAGAAAGTCATGCGATTGTTGAAGAAAGTCTTCGATAGTCTCAATAAATTAGACTTGCGTGAAGATTCCAACGGAAATAAACTTAAAATCGCCTATGCAAGTAAGTTTTCGGTGAAGGGTATGTAAAAACATCTACGCTGACCTTTTAGTGCATTCGGATGATGGTGAACGCGTGACGTTTTTCACCGATTGCAATCTCGATGGTGCTGTGGAGATTTGGCTAGCACGATTATTAGATTTTCATTGTGAAACTATTAGAAATTGGCTGCGGGTGGCAGTCGCTGCGTATGAAGTAAATAGACGATGATCTTTTTTGTGATAAGAGGTCACCGTCATCATTGTAGGATAAATCTCGAGAAGAATGGATATTCGATTATCCTGCACAAGTGATTCTTACTACAAGTCAAATCTGGTTTGTGGCTAACAATGCTTCAATTGCGATTCTATGTTTGGTCACTTTATTTCAGGTGGACGACAGATGTGAATGGAACATTCGCTCGTATTGAAGAAGGTTTTTCGAATGCACTACGTGAATACAATAAGAAACAAATTGTTCAATTGAATACCTTGATTAGCTTATTGTTGGGCTATTTGAATGATCAAGATCGAGAGAAGATCACGACACTGTGTTTGATCGATCTTCATGCACGTGATGTTGTCGCAAAAATGCTCGCTCTAAAAGTAATTCCAGTTGGAATGAGAAATAGTGCACAACTGTGATTTAGATTGAAAATATCAATGAATTCACATGGCAATCACAATTGAGACACCGTTGGGATGCGAAAGATAACAATTGCTATGCAAATATATGCGATGCTCGATTTAAATACCAATATGAGTAATTGAAAAGATTCAAAGGAAATGTATTCTACCGCAATGTTTAGATATCTAGGAAATAAAAGTCGATTGGTGATTACACCGCTAACCGATCGGTACGTAAATTCCATCTGGAAAGAAAAAATGATTAATAAGACGAGAGATGTATGTAGTCAGTATGGCCGAGTGGTCTAAGGCGCCAGACTCAAGCGTAATGCTTCCTCAGTGAGGTGGAGTGTTCTGGTCAGCGTATGCTGGCGTGGGTTCGACTCCCACTGCTGACACCATTTTTTTGCGTTCTTTCATCCGATGAATCACCTATTTTGTCGTTAGATGCTATATTACATTAACACAATCCTTACATTTATTTGTCGGTGGAGCTCCGGCTGGTTTGTATACTTTTTAGATTAATATAATTGATTGAACTACGCTGTGATCTTAGGTCCGGCTGGTACTGGCAAGACTGAAACGACGAAAGGTTCGATTTGGAATACAATTAAGTGAACAATCTGAAGTTTTTGAATAGATCTTGGGAAATCATTGGGTGTTTGTGTGTTTGTAACGAATTGTTCGGAACAGATCGATTACAAATCCATTGGCAATACATTCAAAGGATTAGCGATGAGGTAATCGTCCATTATTTCTCTACTTTTGATGAACACTTGTGTTTAGTGGTTGCTGGGGATGTTTTGACGAGTAGGAATTTTATTATGTATATTCTGGATGATGAAAGAATGACTACTGAGTTAGATTTAATCGGATATCGATCGCAGTGTTATCTGTTGTGGCTGTCCAAGTGAAACTTATTTTTGTAAGTAGAACTTTTAGATAAGAGCCCATTGTTTATGGTTTTATCAATGTGCTCGAAAAGGATGCATTGCGAGCGAAGCGCAAATTCTTCCATTTCATGAATGCCGAAATAAAAATACATCCATCGGTAGGAATTTTCATTACAATGAATCCAGGTTATGCTGGTCGAACAGAACTCCCTGAGAATTTGAAAGCGCTGTTTCGGTACGGAAACTTTTCATTTTTTCGTTTATCTATATATACTGATAATTAGACCTTGTGCGATGGTTGTACCAGACTTTGAATTAATCGGTTTGTATTTCTGATTGCCTCTCATGGAAATGTTTATCTTTACTAAATAGCTGAACTGAATCTTGTATCTGCTGGTTTCACGGATGCCAAGTTACTCAGCCGAAAATTCGTTACATTGTACTCATTATGTCGAGACTTATTATCCAAACAAGTTCGTCCGTTAAAATCAATTTTCGTTCGATGTATACTTACTCGTTTCTATCAAGGAACATTACGACTGGGGTTTACGTGCCATTAAATCAGTACTCGTGGTCGCTGGTACCTTGCGGCGTGCTGATCCCGAGATGAGTGAAGACAAAGTACTCATGCGGGCACTACGTGACTTCAATATACCAAAGATAACTGTCGAAGATATGCCAATTTTGCTCAATCTTATCGGTGATCTATTTCCAGCATTGGATGTCGAAAGAAAAAGGTACATACTAAGTGTATTGAAATAGATGGATTCGAACATCTGCACATCTATCTAGAGATCAAGAATTTGAAACGAAAGTTCGCGAAGCAGCTATTGACCTACATCTACAAGCGGAAGAAGCAAGTCCGACAGCACAAAATAACTTCGTCTTGAAAATTATTCAACTAAAAGAAATCTTCGATGTGCGACATTCTGTTTTTATTATTGGAAATGCCGGAACAGGTATATTAGAGAACACTTGGAGATGAGAACATAAACATTTTTTGAAGGAAAAACGCAAATTTGGAAAACTTTGTTCAAAACATATCAAAATATGAAACGTCGACCACATGCTGTTGATCGTAAGTTCACGTGAACGATCATCAAGACACCGATTGATTCTCTACGCTTACTTTAGTTGATCCAAAAGCTGTAACTAATGATGAATTGTTCGGTTACATGCATCGACAAACACGTGAATGGAAAGATGGACTATTTTCCACGATCATGCGTGATCTAGCAAACATGACATCAGATTGTAATCAAGCATTCTCTTTCGCTTTCTATTTCAAACCAAAGAATCCGTTTAGCACCCAAATGGATTGTTCTCGATGGTGATATTGATCCGATGTGGATCGAGTCATTGAATACCGTTATGGACGATAACAAAGTTCTGACACTGGCTAGTAACGAACGTATTCCATTGAATGAAACCATGCGTTTACTATTCGAAATCAGTCATCTGAAAACCGCAACGCCAGCGACTGTTTCGCGTGCAGGAATTCTCTACGTCTCAACCACCGATATTGGATATTCGCCTGTATATGTCAGCTGGGTGGAACAACGTGAATCAAGCAGTGAAAGAAATCAACTTTTATTACTGTTCGACAAATATATTCCACGATGCCTCGAATTACTAAGAAGTGGACGCGTTAGAACGATTACCCCATTGGTAGATGTGTGCCATATACAAATGTTATGTAATATACTTGGTGAGTTGATTGGCAGATTGGAATGAATGACAGTGTGATTTGTGCTAGATTGTCTCTTGACGCCACAGAATTTACCACCGGACTGTCCGAAAGAGTGGTGGGAGCTATATTTTGTCTGGGCGACCATATGGGCTATTGGCGGATCACTCTGTCAAGAACAAACGCTCGATTATCGCAACGAATTTTCCAAATGGTTCATTCATGAATTTAAAACGATTAAATTTCCTCCACATGGAACCATTTTTGATTATTCTATTGATCCTCAAACAAAACGGTTTGAACCTTGGTCGAAACAACTCGATGAAACAAGCTTCGATCCTGACTTACCTGTTCAAGTATTATTTATGCTTCACGCATCATTTCATAATCTTTCAGCTGTTTTCTAGTCACAACTGGTTGCAACGAGTGAAACCATTCGATTATCATTCTGGTTGGAAGCATTAGTCAAACGAAGTGTCTCGGTTATGTTTGTTGGTTCAGCAGGTACTGGCAAGAGCGTGATAATCACCAACCGATTAGATAAATTCAATACACAAAATTTTACGATTTCAACCATTCCGTTAAATTGTATTATCCTTACACAGCAAGATATTTTCGATGAATGTTTGTTTCGCTTTCCTAGATTACACGACGAGTGAAATGCTTCAGAATTCACTGGAAAAACCTTTGGAAAAGAAAGCGGGCCGCACATACGGAGCACCTGGGAATCGTCAATTAATCTACTTTATTGGTGATTATCCCATCAAAAAGAAAAAAAATCTTTCAAATGATAATCGTTTTCAGATGATTTCAATATGCCTGAACGTGATAGATATTTTACTGTTCAAGCACACACAGTCGTCCGTGAATATCTCGATTATCAGCATTGGTACGATCGACAGAAGTTAACTTTGAAAGACATTCGAAACTGCCAATTCGTCGTGGCAATGAATCAAAATGCCGGAACGTTTAACATCGATGCTCGCCTTCAACGACACTTTGCCACGTTTGCGGTACCTTTTCCGAACAAAGTGAGTCAGAATGTATTGATTGGCAGACAAATTAACTTGTTTGTTATGTCAAGAGTACACTTCATACGATCTATTCGAAGATGCTTGAAACGAAATTTACCAATTTCACTAAAATCGATCTGAAGAGTCAAACTAGTTTTCTCAATCAATTCGTCACTGTTGCCATTCAATTTCATCAGCGCGTATCGACTGTTTTTCTACCGACAGCAATTAAATTTCATTATCTTTTCAATTTACGCGACCTGTCGAATATCATTCAAGTAATTGAACTTCGTCTGTTAAGTCAATCGAATATCAATCGATTTCCTTCGCAGGGAATGTTATTTGCATCATCGAAAAATATTGTATATCCGCAAAATTTGATTCGTTTGTATATTCACGAAGCTGAACGAACATACTCGGATAAACTGATCTGTCAAGAGGATATTGATCTATTTGAGAAAATTCTACGCGAAACAATACGAAAAAACTTCGAAGTAAATTATCTCGGTCACTTCTTTTCGGTTATTCTCATTGTTTAAGTTTGTCAATAACGAAACATTCGCAAAACCATTGATCTATTCACATTTCACCAGTGGTATTGGCGATGCGCAATACATTGCTGTATCATCAATGGACAAACTTCAGAAGATAGTGGAAGATGCGCTAATATCCTACAATGAAACGAACTCTCCCATGAATTTAGTATTATTCGAAGATGCACTGATTCATGTCGCACGTATCAATCGAATCCTCGAATCTCCACGAGGTAAATTCGATTGAACACGCAATCGTAGTGAAACGATGTATGTTTATCAGGTAATGCATTGTTGATTGGAGTCGGTGGTAGCGGTAAACAATCGTTAGCACGTCTGGCAGCGTTTGTATCTTCACTCGATGTCTTCCAAATAACGATCAAGCCAAGTTATGGAATCAATGATTTTAAAATGGACTTGAGCAATCTCTATCGTCGCGCCGGCCTGAAAGGTCTTGGAAGTGTTCTTCTCCTGTCGGACGCTCAGATCAAAGATGAACATTTTCTTGTGTTCATCAATGATTACTTGTCATCAGGTGAAATCTTCGATTTGTTTACAGATGACGAACAGGATGAAATCCTCAATTCAGTACGTTCTGAAGCGAAATCGCAAGGACATGATGAATCCAAAGAGAGTGTATGGAAATATTTTATTGATAAAGTTCGACGAAATCTTAAAATCGTGCTGTGCTTCTCGCCCGTTGGTAATACACTGCGCAATCGTGCGCGTCGTTTTCCTGCACTATTTAGTGGAACGATTATTGACTGGTTTCACTCTTGGCCAAGAGACGCACTCTATTCCGTTGTTGTTCGTTTTCTTGATAATTTTAAACTAATATCCAAGGAATCACACGATACTATTGCGAATCTGATGGCGGATATACACGTTGATGTTAATCAAACATCAATTCAGTATTTCCTCAACGAGCGACGATCTTATTATACAACACCGAAAACATTTCTGGAATTTATTAAGTTATTCCAACATATCTATCAGAATAAGCAGACAAAGATACAGTTAGAAACAGTCCGGCTACTGGCAGGATTGGAAAAACTAGGCTCGATATCAGCACAAACAGCTATTTTACAAGAAGATTTGAAAGTTACTACCGAAGAAGTGAACACAAAAGCGGAGCGAGCAGAAACTGCATTGAAAATTGTCACAGCCGAAGCAGACAAAGTGGCAAAAGAAAAGGTGGGTTGATTGACTTGAAGAGAACTTAACAATCAATACAGAAGTTTTAGTCTTTCGCTGATGAAGAACGCCGAAAGATCGAAACGAAAAAGGCGGCAGTCGAGAAAGTACAAGCAGCTTGTGCGATGGAATTGTATGTTGAACTCTTTGCAATTTTCGCTTTATCTGCAGTTTTTTGTCTTACACAGAGCAAAAGCAGAGCCGGTTCTCGAAGCAGCACGTTTAGCATTGGAGAATATTGAAAAAGGACAATTAACAGAACTGAAATCATTCGCATCTCCTCCTGAAACTGTTAAGTTTGTTATGAATATGGTTGGTAGGTATTGTTCAAACTAAAATTTACAAATCGTCTCAAGCGATTTTTATATCAGTGGTGCTATTCAAATGGGTTGACGAGAGCAGAATTATTCCCGAAAGTCAACGAACATGGACAGAAGCAAAGAATACTATTGGACCGGTGGAGAAGTTTTTACAGCGTTTGAAAAATTTTCAAGTAGCAAAAGTAATGTTGAACATTATGTTCGCTTCTAAAGTTCAAATTTTCAATAATTACAAGGTAACGTCGCAAGTCCGTGCCATCATTGACAAACTCAATTCAACACTGATGAATATCAGCAAAAGTGACAGTATTGAAACTTTAATCCAACAAATAGCGATGAAATCCGCAGCAGCAGGTGGAATCTACACATGGCTTGATAGTAAAATATACATGTTCATTCGTCACGACTGTTACAAATCGGTCTATTGTTTTAGATATGCTGAAATTTCATACTGTCTATCTGGAAGTCAAACCGAAGCAAGTAGCGTTGGAGGGAGCAAACGAGGAATTGAGTCGAGCACAACAAGCTTTCTCGAAAATTCTTGCACGCGTACATATACTCGAAGATGCTTTGACCGAAGAGAACCTCAAGATGCAACGAGCACTTGCTGAAAAAGACGACGCAGTTCGAACTAAAGAACGCTTGGCTCGACAGATTGATTTAGCTGAACGCCTTGTCGATGGTCTTGCTTCAAGTCGAATTATTTGGACGAAACGTGTTGAAACATTCAAAAGCGACTTAGAAACCCTAATTGGGGATGTGTTACTTGCCGCAACATTCATTTCCTATGCAGGGTACTTCTCCCGATCGTATCGAATCAATCTCGTTAATAAATGGAGAGCTAGTATTTTGGCAACAAAAGTAAATTAATAAAAAATAATACATACTGTATTCTATTGATTCGATATAGGGTGCGATACCTATGCGAACCGACTTACAACCGTTGTCAATCATGATCGACGATGCAGACATCGCCGAATGGTAACAATTTTCAATCGAGTAGAATGAAGTGAACGAGAATTATCTTCTAGGATGAATCAAGGTCTTCCAGCTGATCAGACTTCGTATGAAAATGCCGCGATTCTTATCTATTGCTTACGTTGGCCATTAATGGTGGATCCTCAAGGACAAGGACTTCGTTGGATCAAAAATTGCTTTGCAGAGAATTTGGTGATTCTTCGCTATAATAGTAAAGGTTACCTCGATCGTTTCGAAGCAGCAATTCGACGAGGCGATACGCTTTTACTTGAATGTGTCGAGGAAAGTCTTGACTCGATTCTCGAACCAATCATCAGTCGGAATTTAATTCGGAAAGGACAAGCAGTCAAATTCGGCGACAAAGAGATTGATTGCCATCCAAACTTTCGCTTGATCATGCAAACGCGTTTAGCCAATCCACATTTTCAACCGGAAGTACAAGCTCAAACAACATTGATTAATTTCAGTACAATCCGTGACGGTCTCGAAGCACAATTACTAGCGGAAATCGTCGCCGTCGAGCGACCCGATCTAGAAAAGAGTAAATTCGAAGTGACAAAGCAGCAGAACGAATATAAAATCAATCTAAAGAAGTTAGAAGATTCTTTGTTAGCACGTCTGGCCACAGCCGAAGGAAATTTCATTCAAAATGTTGAACTTGTCGTCACATTAGAACATACAGTGAACACGGCACTAGAAATCGAACAGAAGAAGATCGAAGCGGAAAAATTCAGTCAACAAATTGATCGTACACGAGAATTGTATCGGCCGACGGCTATTCGTGCTTGTATCATTTATTTCATTATGAATGATCTACCGAAAATTCATCCTATGTACCAGTTTTCATTGAAAGCTTTTCGAGCAGTGTTTCTCAAAGCGATCGACCATGCCGAACAGAATGAAGATTTTCGTATAAGAATTGCAAATCTGATTGACGCAATCACATTCGCTTCGTATTCGTATATCATTCGAGGACTTTTCGAAGAGCATAAATTGATTTTCACAATTCAATTATTACTACAAGTTTGTTTCGAAAGGTAAACGACATGAGATGATTTTCGAGTGTATCTAGGTTTTAATGGAAAAAGGTGAAGTCGATATGGTGGAACTTGATCTATTGCTACGCAATCCTCAAGAAACCCATGCCGGAAGTCCTGTAGAATTCCTCAACGAAAAGGCTTGGGGGAATATTAAAGCTCTCTCGTTAGTACCAACGTTCCATGGGCTCGACCGTGAGATTGAAGCATCGAGCAAACGATGGAAGAAATATGTTGAAAGCGAAGCACCTGAACTAGAAAAACCTCCCGTATGAGACGTTCAGTTAGATTCGAATCTTATTTTCAGAACAAATTCTCTGTGTAGGGTGAATGGAAAGGTAAATCAACTATGCAGCAATTATGTGTCCTTCGTGCTGTTCGACCTGATCGAATGCTCTATGCTTTGAAGTAAACTATAGGTCAATTGAATTGCACTAGCCGCCTTGTGTGTAGATTGTTCATTGGAGAGAAACTTGGTAAAAAATATACGGAAATCCGTGCACCGGACTTCGCACATACATACGAGGAATCGTCCAAATCGATTCCTATCTTCTTTATTCTTTCACCAGGTGTTGATCCATTGAAAGAAGTTGAAACGTTGGGCAAAAAACTCGGCTATACATCTCAAGCAGGCAAATTTTATAATATTTCACTAGGACAAGGTCAAGAAATCATTGCAGAAAATGCACTGGAAATCTCCGCAAAGGAAGGTCACTGGATTGTTCTGCAAAATATTCATCTAGTACGACATTGGTTGCCAATCTTGGAACGAAAGCTAGAACGAATATTAGAAAGTGGCCAAGAAAGTTTCCGTCTTTTCATGTCAGCAGAACCGAGTGCCGATGTTAGCATGCATGTGATTCCACAAGGAATTTTAGAAAATTCGATTAAAATAACCAATGAATCACACACGGGAATGTTAGCTAATCTGCACAAAGCATTGGACAGTTTCGATCAGGAAGTACTGGATTCCTGTAGTAAGGATACTCAATTCAAAGTGATCCTCTTCGCTCTATGTTACTTCCATGCCGTCGTATCCCAGAGGACAAAATTTGGCTCCATCGGTTGGAACAGGTAAGCTTAGTGATTCTCAGTACTATGACATAATCTGTTTACATGAAATAGAAAATATCCATTCTCATCTGGAGATCTACAGATTTGTATTGATGTGTTGCGAAATTACCTCGAATCGAATGTGAAAATTCCCTGGGAAGATCTTCGTTATATATTCGGTGAGATCATGTATGGTGGTCATATCACCGATGATTGGGATCGTCGTTTATGTCGCAATTATCTTGAAACATATCTGAATCCGAGTATGTTCGAAGGTGATCTTCAATTAGCGCCGGATTTTCCATTACCACCACCGTTGGACTACAAAGCGTATCATGCCTATATTGACGATAAACTCCCAAGTGAATCTCCGAAATTGTACGGGCTTCATCCCAATGCTGAGATTAATTTTCTTTCGCAAACAAGTGAAAAATTGTTTAAAACTCTGGTAGAGATTCTGCCAAGAGAAACGAACAATGTCAGTCAAGGACAAAGTGGTGCATTATCGCGAGATGAAAAAGTAAGATCTCTATGATTGTTTTCATCTGAGAAGTCGTTTTGGTGAAATCAGATCCGAAATGTGTTGGACGAATTTCAAAATCATATGCCGGAAGATTTCAATATCGTGGAATTACGTGCACGACTCGATGAACGTAACCCATATGCAGTTGTCGCCCTGCAGGAAGCAGAACGCATGAACATTTTATTACGGGAAATTCGGCAGAGTCTAAAAGAGCTTGATGGTGGCCTCAAAGTTTGTCGGCTTCAATAATTCGTCACTTATCTATCAGAATTTTGTTCACGTAGGGTGAATTAGCCATTTCGCACGAAATTGAACTCTTACAGGAATGCTTCTATTTGGAACTTGTGCCAATTCAATGGGCTAATCGGGCTTATCCGTCCTTGCATCCATTAGGCTTGTGGTTTCATGATATGCTGAATCGTTACCGAGAGATTGATCATTGGATTGCCGATTTTCAACTGCCGAATTCTGTTTGGTTAGGCGGGCTATTCAATCCGCAATCATTTCTTACGTCGATCATGCAAGCGGTGGCAAGAAAACAAGATTGGCCACTTGATCGAATGTGTTTAATGGTGGAAGTAACAAAGAAGCAGAGAGAAGAAATCCAAAATGCACCGAAAGACGGTGCTTATATCCACAAGTACGTTTAACTTCTCAGCTGACATTTCATTGTGTTTGTTGTACATCTTAGTTTGTTTATTGATGGTGCGCGATGGGATAAACAAAATAACTTATTAATTGAAGGCAAACTGAAAGAACTTTGCCCATCAATGCCGGTAATATTTGTGAAAGGTACGTTGTTTGTCATGAAAGAGAATGCTGCCAACTGATGTTACCTTTTTTAAGCGATACCGATTGATCGTTTGGATACGAAAGGCACGTATGATTGCCCAGTTTATCGAATTAAAACGCGAGGACCGACATATGTATGGCGCTTCAATTTAAAAACAAAAGAAAAACCATCGAAATGGGTCCTGGCTGGTGTCGCACTACTATTACAGGCATAAACTCGTTTCCTTTTTTATGAAAATACTCTAATCGTGCCCAAGAACAATAAACAAACAGTTTTGTCTATATACAATAGTTCTAGACTCTTCCTAAATCAACCCTATAATGGTTTGCAAGCGAAACTAGATCAATTGAGTTCATTTTGGAGTAGCTTCGACTAAAGTATGACCTATGATGTATTGTTTTTCTTTGTCAAAAAAATATATCTACAAAAATATATTACATTTCATGTGTATTCAGCAGAGAGAATTATTTCTATTTATACTTGTACGTAGACAGTAATGAATTGATGAATAGAGGACGGACGAGTAAATCATAAGAGAATGAACTTATAAAACAAGCCATCGATATCACTGCAAAAGGAATTCTCTTGTTTCTTCAGAATTAATTCATCCATTTACGACAATTGATTGCGCCACATAAACATGGAATTTTCGAATCGTCTTCAAAATCGAACTTATAATCGTACATGATCTCTTCACCTTTCGTGATACGTCGATTAGCTATGATGACAATCTTGTTTTCCTTCTCCACTTGTACGACTTCTGTAAACGCATTTGGCTATTTCATACCAAGACAACATCATTCAAGATATATTTCGGAAAATGTCCACTTACATCACAAGAATGATTGACGTACCGAGCTAAACAGCCACTCACTGTGGCATCGATAACGCAATCTTCGTCTAATCGGAACATATAAATTCCACGATTATGTGCTTCGTACAATTTCTCGCGGTTGTTAGCGACTTCATTACGAATCAATTCACCAATGTATTCGATAATCATGGTGTGTTTTTCCAGATCACGTGCAGCAAATAGGCCCAAACCCTGCAATGATAGAGTGTTTAGTTTCATTTTCGTTGAACGGACAGATTATATTTACTTGAATTCGTGATTTAGCTAGATAAACATTTTGTCGCCATTCGGCTTTTAATTTTCGGTACTGTGTAGACTTTGAGAGAACGAATTGTTTTCCATAAGGAACTTGATTCGCTATTAGAAAGAAGTAAAATGAGCTTGAGAAGAAGAGACACCTTTCGATCGTTTACTTTCAGTTCCAAGAAGACTTCTTGGAAGTGCATTTCGACTTCCATGCGAGCTTGTCGTCGCTTGTGCATGACTAAATGCAAATTGAATCGAAGTTGAAAGAAAACGAGTAAGACTGTTTCTACCGTCGAAAATGCGTGTGTAATTTAGGTTCACTTCGTGCACAACCCGTTGGATTGACTGTCAATGGCATGTCGAATAATTGTAATCGGCCGTATTTAAATGCATAATTTGGTAACGTTTCTACTCCTGGCAATGATTCAATAAGACGAACGATGTGAGGTTCCTAATTAGCAAGAGAAAACACGGAAAATTCTTCTAAGAAAAAAGTAAATATCGCCGTACTGTCAATCCAAATAAATCTTCGCCGCTGACAAATATTGGAAACATTTTCACAAGATGATATTTACGTCTTAATAAATCGATCTCACGAACAATTTTATACCAAACTGCTTTAGCACTCGACTCGAGATATTCTTCCGTTTGATCATTTTCATGTACAACTATTCGAAACATTGGCTTATTATCAACATCAATGATTGAACATTGATAAACACATCGACGATTGGGATAATGTAATGACCAATGGAATCTCGTTACAATATAACCAACCTAAAATTTCACATAGAGACAGCGCTATTAGGAGAAACTTCATGAAAACATACAGGATAAATGTAATTTCGATTATGAAATGCAGATGATTGAATCTGATGAGGCAATAACTGACCGATATTGTGTAGAATGAGACTACCGATGCGCAATATGTACGACTTGTCTTCATGCTCATCAGTCATGTAACTAAACGGAACAAGATTGAAATTGTTGGATGTAGAGAAAGATTTACTTCTGAATCTGTTTGATTTCATCCCGTTCAATCCAAATTCTTCGAAGAATCGATTTATCTAGCAAGATATGATCATCAGGGACTGTTTTCAACGCATGTAATGGACACATGATGGTCTTAAATCAAACAGGAAAAACTTCTTAAATCTTCTCGAGAAAATCTCCTACTTTGTCTTTGTAAAAAACGCATTCATTCTCAATGGCGCATTGAAAATGATATGTACTGGGGCAACGTTGATAAAAACAATTCAGACTGCTTCCTTTCTGTTTGCATATGACACATTCAGTATTTCGGGCACGTGTGAAGGCTTGTTCTACAGACATCAACGCACCACTCAATGTTTCGTATACTTCGGATGACCAAAACGCGCAATTCAAATGGCACCATTGACCAACATTGAGGTTCAATAACCTGAAAGAGTATAATATCAAATGATGGAACATGGAATGAAGCGAGGTAAGTGTCAGTACCTTCCAGGTCCATTCGGCGTCAAATCACCGGTACTATTACAAAAAACACAAATTCGTTTGTCTTGTTTAATATCCAACGCTGTTGGAATTTTAATCTTTGATATTAATTGATCAATTTCAGTCTCATCGACTGATTGAACGATTGTTTGCGGTATCAGCTCCGGATTCCATCGTTTCCATCGCTTGGTATCCTTTAACTACAGAAAAGACATGCACATTCATGCGCGATCGAATGTATTACCTCGTTAAATGGAACTTCTTCTCGCTTTATAAGCACTGGCTTGTCGACTGGTTCAGATTTTATACTTTGTGATGGCTGATTTGTGCTAGTAACGTACGTATTAAAACATTGTTCATGGCAGAAATAGATGAACGGGTCGGAATTCGCCGTTGATTCCCGAAGATGATTTGGTAGTTCATTGAAACGCTTCTTCAACCAGTTTTCATTGGTTAAATTTTGCGAACAATTGCGACAGATTTTCGGTTGACTATCGATTAGAGATTGAATACTTGTACTCGTTTCACGACCGATTTTATAAATTGATGGAGCACGACTAATCAGAGGAGTTTGTGAAGAAAGAGATAGGATATTATTCGAGTTTGGTGCGGATGAACATGTACAATTGTGAGTATTACTATTCAAGGTTTGATGAACGTCAAATGGTGGTGGATACGCCATTTTGAGCAGGTCAGCAACAGCAGCGATGACACTTTGTACATTGTTTGCAGCCTCAGTCGTCAATGTTAATGTCACTGACACCTGAATCATTTTTTAGTATTATCAATCGTTCTCTCAGGAACATCAAATGTAACTCCTTACTTTTTCTGATCCTTCGACTAATGGCTGGTCGTTTTCACTTGATAGAATGTCCGGCATCATTGATGATTGAGTTTCATTTGGGATAAACACGGGACTTAATGCTCGAAAATCATTATTGGATAATGTCTCAAGCAAATAATGATTTTCTGTTTGAATGTCATTCATTAGATCTTCATCGTCCGCTATTGTTGATGTTGAAACAATACTTTCGTCACCGCAGAGATTACTATTTTCGTTTATCAATACAGATAGCTTTTCCGATGTATTTATCTGTAATGGTGGCGAAGGTAAGCACGGTGGTCGATCGAGTACATTCGAACATAAACGATAACGTCGTTCGAGTGGAGATGCTTTTATCGGCTTGGGTGGCGCTCGTCGATGCGGACGATAATAATCGGTGATATCGTCGAGAAAAACATCACCAAATTCGCCTTGAAATGAATACTTTTTTGTGCTAGAAAAATTTACTGACAGACACAGTTCATTGCTAACATCTATTAATGGTTCAACAGGAGTCAACATTGGTAGATTACGTAATTGTTGTAAGGAGTATTCAACGAATTTCTCTGTTTCTTTGGCACCTTTTTCTGAATAGAACAACGAGATATTTCATGTGTTCCTATTTTAGTTATGATAGAAGTTCTACGTACTTTTACGTTTTTGTACTTTGGCTGGTATATCATCTTCACACGACGTATTGAAATCGTTTCCTTTACGCTTTTTTCTTGGTTTAGGAACGGGTGGAAAACTTTGATTGTGACAATTGACTGGAGGATGCGGTTTTATATCTGTCTCCGACGGCTAGCAGAAACAGAAACGTAGCTATTTCCGTACTTGGATAGATAAAATACCTGTAACAACGACTTGAGAATATTATCATCTGGAAGTACGTGATGAACTTGTTGTTGCTGTCCATTCATCCCATAAACAGCATTGGGATCATAAGCGATCGGTTGTTGTTGTTGTTGTTGCTGCTGTTGCGATGGTCGTGACTGTGGTATCATTTGTCCGTAAGTACTCGCTGCCATCATTCTTGGTTTCATCATCTGATGTCGATATGCCTGAGGCGGCATCATCGTTGGATATCGTAAATGATTCGGAACTGCCCCATTGTATGGATTGACTTTTCCAATAACGAATCGAGGATTATTACTATGGATTCCAGTTGATGACATATGATGATTGTCGAAATTGCTGTGCGGTGATGACTGATGTGGAGGGTATGTCCCGATCATAGTTGGTGTTATCGATGCTTGATTCATATGATGCATGTTAACACCTAAGTTATTAGGAATGGGTGTGGGGAGTGGTATCAACGAGGTTGTTGAAATCGAATTCGACGATGACATGTGATCGGGTTGTCTTGTTATGGGAACATTAATATTAAAATTATTCAGCAATTCTTGGTTAAAACGAACTGGATGTGAAGTGTGAGCACGAGAATTGGATATGTTATTCGCTGGATCATCAAATGGATTTTGTACAATGATAGTCCTAAAAGAAAATGTCGAATTGACTGAACCACGTGTGTATTATTCAATCGTACATGGATTTCGAATGACTATCGACGTTTGTCGAATGCATCATTTGAGCATATTGAGGAATTCCATCAAAATTATTTAGCGTTGATTCACTCATTGAGTCTACTGTTCTGATCTTTCTGTAGTATCAAGTGATTTACATGTCAAGTGACTCTAGAAAAGAAACAATGAAATTTGTTTCGCATACGAAAAAGAAAACGAAGATGAAACGAGATGCCATTTTGCGATTCATTTAGTTTTCTTCGAGGTTTCTCGTTACAGTTGATAGACGTTATGAAATCAGATAGATAAAGAGAAGACCATTTTTCGGAATAATGAGAAAGGCAACGCGTATACACGGAATGGAATTTATCAGACAAATCGAGTGATGATATCCTTTTTCGTTGGTCAGATGTCGCCGCTAGCTGGCCATACATTGCACACGAAAATGTTAGTTCGATACTCACGAGACAAAATTCAATTCATCAACGTTAAACATGTATTGATCTATTTTTCGAGCAACTATCATAAAGCTCTATAACATTTCCGTTTACTATTCCCAATTGGAGCCAATTGTTCTGTTTGAATAAACAGAACACTAAATAAAACTTACAGAGAGTGGTTTTGAGGATCATTCTTTTGAATAAGCTGTTTTTGGTTTTTGATTGAACGACAAAGTTTGTATTAGTTCTGTTCATCAACAATATATCGAAAAATAAAACCCTTTCAGTGTATAACCCCAGTCAAAGATTGATTTTGCGTCAGATTGTCTCTACTTTTTTTCTCGTTCGTGTTTTATCGTTCTCTTCTGTTTTGCCCCCACGTCTGCATGCACGTAGCGTGACGCTTGTCGCCAATCGATATACCAACGTGGTCAAGGCAACAACGTGAAATTTTATATGAGTCTACTTCTTTCTTTCGTTGAATGTTCAACTAAAAGAACTATCGACCGATAAAAGGTGAAAAAACGATTGAACAATATTTTCGTAACTGTTCTATAGTATGATTTATATTTGTAGACAAATACATAGGGGCAGTATGGATCTTGAAAGTAACTACACTCCACCGATAAAGTTGAAACCTGTAGCAAATAAGGTTTGCAAAGTTCTCTTTTTCGACAAAATGAAGATTCTTACTTTTCAGAACCATTCACATGACATATACTGCTTTGCGTGTCATTCCGAAGGCGATGTTATCAAATGTTACTCCTGTCCACGTGTATACCATCTAAAATGCTTAGATTTAATCATATTACCTAGTCGCAAATGGACATGTCCAGGATGTGAAGTATGTTTTTGCACAATAAACGATAGTACCATGCCTAGAATGAGTTTCATTTGAATAGATCTCACTGTCATCGTCGAATACAGTCAATTTACGGTATCAGACAGAACATGAACTGCATACTATGTTACAGCATGCTTTCTATCAGTTAAAATCGCAGCCACAGGTCTGTGTGAAACAATCTATCGGAAAACATCACTGAGTCTCTCATTTTCTTTTCTAGTCGAAAGCTTTTATCCATTCGATCAATGAACCGAAGTATTTGGAGTATATCGTTCATCCGTTAAGCCTAGAAGACATCGAAAAAAATATTCTACTTAAAAAGTACAATTCCACAGCAGCATTTCTTAGCGATATCAAATGGATTCTGCACAACAGTATAGTCTACAACGGAAGCAAGTAGTCTTCTCTACACGATGAAAATCCTCATCGGTAGTGTTACATTTAGAACTTAGTAAAGTAACCAACAACGCTCGTGTCTTGATGAAAAACAGTTACCATGAAGTGACCGAAATTCATATATGTCCAGAATGTTATCTACGTAGTGCACAACTCGTTGCCGCTGATTGGTTCACTATTCCATGTGCTATACCGCATACACTATGTTGGGCGAAAATGAAAAGTTATCAACCATGGCCGGCGAAAGTTTTGCGTATTATCAACGATGAGGTAGATGTACGATTTTTCGGTACACACAACCGGTAAAATGATCTTCTATAATGATGATATCGTATCGTTTCTTGTTTGGCCTAGTGCATGGGTGCCGATAAGCAATTGTTTTGTTCTGTCAAAAGATTATCCGGGTTCTCTGAGGAGAAAATCAGATGCAAAATTCGACAAAAGTCTTTCGGAGTTAGAAACACATGTGAATCGACTGAAAAAACTTTATGGACATTTTACTTATGCACCTCCGCAAACTTTACTGAGCAAAACCAAGCCATTCAAATTCGTCTCAATAATCGATGGTAATGCCAGGTGACTCCTATGAGTCGAATTTTCATCTTTCTCTAATAGATTCTATTCTACCAACCTATATGACTACACCCAACATTGACTCTTCTGGTAAACGCCGCCGGAGATCACGTTGTTATTCATCTCAAAAATCCACCGAGATCAGTAGTAATAGTTCCCAAGAACAATCCACTAAACGCAAACGAATTCACAATGACGAGTATTCAAACATTCAAGATAGTGCATTGCAACCAAGATTACAGATATGTGATATATTCAATCTATCGATCGATCAGGAGTAACAACAGAGTACATATTCTCTTCGTATCTTCATTTCCAAATTTGTTTTAGATCATCTTTATCCGGTCGACCTCCATCACCCACAGATAATAAATTCCAAATTCGTGCACTACTACGACGGTACATTGACTGTGGGTCACCTGTGGACGATGTAATTACCACAGATGTTAGATCAACTATGGACTCATTACTCAATGCAATCGACGCATCGAAATCGGCATCCAAAGTTGCATCGGTGAAACGTAATAGAACGAAGAGGTCTCGAAAACGTCGTCGAATCCAATCACGCGCACGACCAATTTTGAGTCCATCTCCAGTGTTACATCCATCGCTATCACCATTCATTCCACTTATTCCACTTCGACGACTATCAGTTAGTTCACCAAGGTACAGTTTCGCTTCTTATTTCTACACCGATTGTAGAACGCTTTATTTTCAGTGATGATACCTCGGAGAATATTCCATCGACGATACACAAGAGTTCCACACTAGACGAATCCAATAGAAGACCATCCATAGAAATAATTCCTACGAGTACAAGCATAGCTGCTGACCGCCAATCTTCGTCATCTGTTTCAACAAACTCCTTTTCCAATTCACCACCTGTCAACGCACGTTCTGATCTTCCAGTTATAATTCCTAGCTTTCCCTCAAGTTCTCAAAAAAATAATACTCCTTTGGCAGAAGCAAGAGCACAAGCAATAGATTTAACCGAATCCGGCTCAAAGCCCGATCAAGTAAGTTTCGAATCAGCTTTTGAGTCGCCCAAACCCGTTTTTTGCTTCTTCATTCAGATTTCATCAGATGATTCGTAAGTAAAACAGTATACATATCTACTGATCTACCAATCGTTTCATCTAGTTGTCAAGCAAAGCACGAAATGCAATCGATCTTCACCAGTTTTAATAATCAGGTAAATAGGAAAGTCATTCCTTTCTATTTTCACTTCACTTTTTCATATAGTTTCAAGAAGTAATATCTACCCTCACCGCTCAGATTCAATCCTCTCTCGAAACAACTCGATTGAAATACGAGAAAGATCTCGACGAACTCCATCGTTCGTATCGTCAGTCACTCAACGATCTTCACTCGATCGCGAGTATGTTCAATTGATTTCTCTTGCTTTCTTCTCATCATTTCTTTGTTCTAACTAGCTGAACAAATCCAGGAAATTCACAATACTCTCGAACTTCAATACTGGACCCGACTTTCCGAAATACATCGTCGCTACGAGACCAAACTCACCTATCACTAACCCACTAAACTTGAAGAGAAGAAATAGAAAGTGTATTTATTTTATTTCGAAAGAAAATCACACGCGTTCATATGTATTGTCAAAAAGCAACTGTGTAGAAAAAAAAAGGTAATCTCTAGGTTCAAGCATATTCGAGAGAATAATTAAAGGTTATAAGGACAAAAGATATGATGTGTTTATTTGTCTTTTCAATCAAGGCCGAGATTTAATGGATGCTTGGGTGTTTCATTGAGAAAGAACTTTTTCATGAATTCTGAGAAGAGATGATCTGAAAAATAACGAGAAGATCGAATCAAGTGCGACAAGGGAGAATTTTGAATTCAACTTACAATCCATACGCTTTTGACCATGGTCAGTGATGAAATCGAAAGCTTTTTCAGCGCTTTTTTCGTCGATATCCCATGAAATGAGCATGTTAGCAAATTCATCTTTCAAAACATTTCGTTCGTCTGAAATCATTCTTGTTCATAACAAACGCATGAAGAAATACTCTCTCTCCAATTACCGAGAAATTCGTTTGCACGCCACAGAGCTCTGTGTAAACCTTCATACCAGTCGGGAAATTCATTCTTATCTTTCAAACCACCGATGATATCGTTCATAACATCAAGCCATTCATCTTGATTATCAACAGAGACACAATGGACAAAAACACATGTGGAAAGAACATACCTAAATCAATGTTTCCATCTTTGTTGGCATCACCAACAGCGCATAAATCCCAAAAATACTTTTGAAAATGTTGCTCTAGACGTTTACGTAAAACTTTCAAACGCGCATTTTTTGCGGCTTCATCCTTTGATACAATTGACTAGTGATTAAAGGATAGAGAAAGAGTAGAAGAATTTTTATTTTCGTTTCTCATTAATCACCTCAATGGCAGCTTCGAAATCTGTCCAATTGACAAGACCATCATTATTTGTATCTATAAATAAGCGAAAAACCGAGAGACAACTATTAGCAATATGCGTAGAGATTCTTTTCCATTTACCGAGTGTCTTTGTAAAGAATTGTTGAAGCTTTTTCATTGCCGACGGGGGGATATTGTCACGTGGCATGTTGAAAATTTGCGACTCGGAATGAAACAAATCTGAAATTAATTGATTGACTTACTCGTAGATTATCGCACGACGTCTGTATTGTCTGCGAGAATCATTAAAAACTCATTCATCGTTTTCTCGCCTCTTCAAGGTAACAAAGGCTGCTTGCGCTGTCGTTATCCAACAACTGTCACTAGATCATATCTAACACTTCTATTAATAATTAATATCCATTTCAGTCGGACATTCTCTCTGATTATCGTTATCATTCAACACTTAGAAAACGTAGAATTATCAAACAAATGTGGAGAACTAGAAGACAATACACACAATCGATCTGTCTTCTTTTTGCCCACCCTTGTTTGATACGCAATGCTTAGGCGTTCTTCTTTTTTGGGGGGAAAAGAAAGCAAATGCAGAAAGTGCAGTGTTCCCTGTTTTGGGTAGCAGATATATATTCTCTGATGTGCCCGCCCGGAAACAAATATCACACAAGCAGTCTGATTTTCTGATGCAAAGATGAGACCGAGCGAACAAGCGAGAATATAAAGCATATTCTCTCATCAATATACTGTGCTGTTTTCTGCTCGATATTATCTTTTCTTCTTCTTCTTCTTCGTTTTTTTTCTTGCCTTCTCTATGTCAGAATGATATCCAGGATTGTTGATGAGCAGAATTGAGTATGATGATGCTCGATAGAGTAACTTGTTTCTTTCTCTCTGGATTTCTTCTGTATATATTATCAGATAATATAGATGCTAGACGACAGACAAGAAACGACATAAATATTGTCGAAAGAATAGTTCAACATAATCAAGAACATTAAATCATCAGATATCATTTTCACATGGACATGAAAATTAACATATGAATCGATGTAGACGTGTTCACGGTGGTGACATGAGAATGTGGAAAACAGTACAATGATATTTTGAATAGAGAAATGAAATATGTATATGTCACACCTGCACAGATTGTACAGAGTCTTTACAGGTTAATACGAACAGTTGTGTACTTTCTAAGAGAAAATCGACTAATCGCTGAATGTTCCCTTTATCAAACGGCGTTTATCTGCATATATTCATTGAAATATTTCAAAATCACGGCCTATCGTAACTTCTCTTTTTATCCAAATCAAAAATACACAATAATTTCTCTTTTATACCACATATATGCATTTCTTTCTCTTGATCTTGATAGAAACACTTGTTGACCTTCCATATAATCAAATAAGTCGGCAAGTTATATTAACAGACGTTTTTTCCATGTAATAATACAAGGTTCTACACATGCTGCTATCAACTATATCGTAGTATTATTATCATCAGGGAATAAGCCTGAAGGCGTGTCAGATACTTCATCTAGATTCGTACATATCAAGGTATCCTAAAAATAGACTCGATCCTGACAAAATTCAATCGAATAGTACTTGATGTACCAATAACTGGCAGGTGCAATCATTACGATAAAAAAAAAGACTTCGTTGATACAGTCAAAGTTACAATAGAGATACATTTTTTCCTATTTGATGAATTGCACTAAGAAAGAAGAAACCGCGCCAAAATCAATTAATATTAATAAAACTGACGCATATAGATCAGACAGAACGAGATAAGTTAATGGAAGAGTAACAGTTGTTTATCTAAACAAAATGAAATCAAATGTATCTTAACGTTCGTATTATTATTGATGAGTCATTTCTACTAAAGATATCCATAAATTGCAAAGATCGAAGAACGAAAGAAAAGCTACTGTCTTGCACACAAGATTTTCTTCGTACACGTTTTATTAGTTTTCTATCTCGCCATTCTTTTTACATGTCATCTGGTTTTACGAGTGCAAATTTCCTTTGCCAAGCATCAACTGACATACTTCTATTGATTCATCGAAAAGCGAGTCACATCTACCCATATTTAACTACGAACAATTGCGTTTTTTCATCTTGCAGATGGATACGAAACCATTCATGAATATCGTCGTTGCAATGGATAAAGTGAATACAATCGGACATCAAGGTAAGGTACCATGGGCGCCATTACCCACTGATAACAAGTGGTACTTGACACATTCAACAACAACGAAAGATCCAGCGAAACGTAATGCAATCATTGCGGGACGTTCGACATTTGAAGATGCTAGTCAATTCGATCGAAAGTATGTTTCCCGATGGCATTTTATCGTTATTACAAGCCAATCACTAGAGCGATTCTTTGACACACATTCCAATATTGAACGAAATCATATTGATGTTGTTCATTCGTTTGAAGAAAGTGCTCAAAAAGCAAAAGAATTACTGGAACAACCGAGTGCTATGATTGAATCAGTTTATGTCTTCGGTGGTGTTAAACCATATGAAGAAGCGATGGAACGGCAACTTGTTAAACGAGTTTATCTTACACGGGTTTTTGCAGAATTCAACGATTGCGAACATCGATTATCAAAATTTGATTTGAATGGTTTTAAACGAGTAAAACGATCAAGTAATGAATTGATTTCCGAATATGACGATAAAATCATAGAAGAAAATGGATGGGAGTATCAGTTTCAAGTTTACGAACGCGATGATTGATTAGGAGTTTTTACTTTTATCCAAATAATAAAATTCCACTTTTACTTAACAAAAATCTGCGGTACCTCTCGACATCTGCTGAATAATCTATACACGCATGACATCACCGGACGATAGATATCGATAAATAAATAGTTCTTTTGTTTCTTTATTTCGTAAAGTGTCTATTCGGCCTAGTAGATGTTTGTCTGTTGTAGATTATCTTCTGTGTTGATAGTCAGCAATGAAGTTCTGCGGTTGTTTAACGGTTGAAAAAGACTCACGAGATGAAAACCCTACGAAATATGTCAAACGATACTTTCTCAAACGTGGTATGTTAGATATGCAAGTTGAACTTCTTGATGACAACGTCAGTATGATTTAGATCTACAAAAGAACAACATGGGTGGATCAGCATTGGGCGTCAAGTAAGAAAACAGAGTGATATCACTTTCGAGGTATTGGGTGTCCTCTTAGATCACAAAAAGATCGAACGAAACGAAATACAACGATGGACACGACATCGACTACAGCGAAAAAGTGAAAGAAGTGATTCGTTTATGAGATATGACATATTCTTGTTGTAGTACTTCGAAGATTCAATTCTCATCGGAATCGATTGATAAAGTTGTCCTCCGTGATAGCCGTCATGATACATCGAAACGCCGTTCAGTGTAGGAAAACTGTCAACGTGTTCAACATTCACTTCGTTATTTTATTTAGAACATTCGCTAATGATAGTGAAACAGAACAGCGTAAATTTCTTCGATTGAACAAAATAAAACGTGGGTAAGATTGCAGCATCATCATTTCCATCGGTTCTTCGAAGCTTCTTTGTTCATAGATCAATCGACGAACTTCAATTCAATGGAAGCAAACGTGCAAAGTAAACATTAATGCAGAAAATACACGAGGAATGTTCATTCGATTACCTAGTAGAAGTTCGCCAAATGTCAATGATTTTACACCAACACTGAACACATCGTATGAAACGACTACTGGTGACGAACTCGATAATTCTCAACAGAAGAAAACAGTTGTCCGTCGTCGGAAGTAAACTTCACACTTTGCAAAATAATCTCAACATCAATCCACATCATTCTTCTAGACGAAGTAAATCTCCAAGAAAACAACTACCGTCTGAACTTCTCGATGCTATCAAGTAAATCAAAGCACGACAAATCGACTAGTTCTCGTTTGTTTTCTCCACTAGATTTGATCTGGTTGAATCTGTTGGGTTAGATGAAAATCAATTGAAAGTTATTCCTTATGAAAATGTCAAGTACGGAGCATTTCAATTGATCTCTACGATTCATAACTTGAATTTGTTTTTGAAAAGAACCTCGTCTCAACCAATGAGAATTAGTATCTCATCTTACACATCTCGACAACATCAACGCCGACGACGTTGCTCATCGCCATTCAATCGGTTCGAACATATCTCGATTTTCATATTTACCTATCTTTCCATTCTAGTGGTGTCGTTCACAGTGTATCAAGTCAGGTTTTACACTATCAAGCTCAACCTACAGTTGTTTGTGTAGCTCAAGTGAAATCCACAGTAAGATTTCAAGCTTATTTGACTTTGGATGTAACTGTTTGTTGTTTAGAAAATTCTAAATCTGACGAAAAAAACAGATAATTCTACGTAGACTATTTCGAATTCTCATTTCATTGCTTTGTGAAGAAACTTGTTTGGTATTTTGTTCCAAATCTTCGTTGTAGACAATTTTCTTTTCTCTACTGATATTGTATCCAATCTAGTCTCTTTTGTTTATTTATTAAATAAATTCACTTTGGTTGTTCGAATTCAGAGATAATTGATTATTCAATTATGCTTCGTTCTCCCTCTATCTTTCCCAAAGAAGACACAGATCTTTGAAATAGATCTGTTTCTTATCGAATTGGATCTCGACATTGCCAATTCAATAAACGACTTGTGCAGCTGAAAGAAACCAGATAGGACAAATTTAATTATCTCATGTTTATTAATAATCGAACTAATCATTCTTCGTCGATGAAAAACAATTCTTCGACTTGCCTTCGATTGAATTACATGACAAAGCAACAAGTTCGATATACATGAGTTCAAACAGGCGTCAGCATCTCTGATGATCGTTCCAATAAACAGCGCAGAGAAGAAACGAAGATACCGGTGATAATCATCTCTTCTCACCATCTTCTATCTCTGCAAACTTGATTTCAATCGAATTCCCCAAACAAATCAGTATCGCGCCAACGATTATCCGAAGGTTCCATCTATCTTTTCCTTTTCCTCTCTTTCTCTCTTTCTCTGTAATTTATCTTTAGCCATTTAGCACATTTTCTTGTCGTTTCTAATTATCAATCACTTGCTGTAAGTCTCATCAAATATCGTTTGAATTTTTCTCTAGTGACAATTGATTTACGAAAGAATGTCTTATCAGAAAAAAATGCAATGTTTAGAAATGCAGAACGAGAGAGAGAGAGAGAAAGAAGAAGAAGAACAGTTGTCTTTCATTGAGGGAAGCTCGTCATCGGTTCGTATATATACACATACATACAAACATTGAATTATGTGATGAAAACAATAAAGTGAGCAGACTAATAGAATATGATTGAACACGAATGATTGTTACGCACGACAGTACAATAATAAAGAAGAACTAGAGTGTCAGTAAAAAAAAGCAGACTTTTTTCATCGCCTTGCAGCACATATACACATCTAATCTGTATTACGACCTATATGTCTTTTTTTTATATTACATTTCTCCTTCGTTCTTATATAATTAGATGATCACGTAAAATAACTGGAAATTATTATTTCTTTTCTTTGGACAAGCAAATGATTTGACAATTGGTTTTAATCTGATGAATGGATTGGTGGTATTTCTTTCTTAGTGTCTATTTCGTTACTGCTGCTGCAGATATTGGTCGTGTGCATACGTTTAACATTCAACAAGACGAACGTGTTCGACTCGAATGCATCGTCACATCGAAACAGGATGCTGAAGAAGTAAAATCAAGCTTGTTATTCAAGGTCATCGTTATCTTCTTCATTTTCTAGGCTATGTGGATGCGCATTCGACCTCCGCATAATCCAGATATTTTAACTTATCGAGACAGTGTTGTTTACACGCCGGATCGTATCGAATTAGAGCAACGTCGACTTAGTTCAAGTATGAATACAAATGGAACGTTTGTGGATACATATTATTTGACATTAACTATTCTACGACCGACAGTTGATGATGAAGGCCGATATATTTGTTCGAAACGACGAGCAATCTTTGCAGAATATGATCTGTTTATAATAAGTAAAAGCGACAGTTTGATTTTGATGAAAACTGCCTCGTCTTTTCTTTCGGTCAATTTAGTTCCGCCGCAGTTTATTGATGATGATAATTTTAGTCAACAGCGGGCCATTATCGAAGGGTCAACTCTTCACCTGTCTTGTTCGGCTTACGGTCGACCACAGCCTTCAATAACTTGGTTCTATCGAGCACAGGATGATAAACGTATCATTCGTAAGTAAAACCATCGATTGAAACAAAAGTCAAATGTTGGATTTACTTCTAGTAGGTGATGGCGTAGGTTGTTTGGATAGAATGTGTGAACTCCATTTACCAAATTATACTAGAGATAATCCTGACACAGTCGAATGTGTTGCTGATAATCAAAAGTCATCGCGAATATCCAAAGTGTTCACCATTGATGTGATTTGTGAGTGTCGCAGACATTTGCCCTCGATCTTTTTAATACGAATCTTATCGTTTGCATAGATCCACCGAAAATCACAACATTTGTTCGAACGATAGGTGGCCCGAAAAGCACAGATGTTTTCCTCGAATGTTTATCCCTGGCAAATCCACCACCAGTGATTACTTGGCTTGACAATGATCGACGTGAGATACATTCAAACCATCTATATACAGTTAGACAGGTGAATCAATCGTCGGTGTTATCTTTTTCAACACTGGAGATCGATCCATCACAAGTGATTTACCACTGTCGAAGTCATAACTCACTAGGTTCAATGGAAAAATTCATCAATATATCTTGTAAGAATACTGTTTGCTCTTGCTTTAAAAGAATCTCGAACATTTCAATGTAGATTTGATTGAAAGTACTTCTGAATCGACACCGACACAGGTGTCAACAACCTCTACAACAAGTAAAACTCTATTGATAAAAAAGAAAAGATTCGCCGTACATTCGGTTTTTCTTTCATAGTGAAATCAACTCGTGCACGTCCGCGCACGATAACAACAGCAACAGTAGCAACGACAACCACACTAGCCGTTGTGTCGGTTACCAACATCCCGTCAAGTAGTTGTGTCTCTTGTTATTCGACAAGGTTTTTTTTGGTTTTTATTCTTTGTAATTTTTTCAAAAATACAATATATTGCACTGTTTAGAAAAATGACTATGATTGATTAAACCAATGAATAATGTTGACATGGAGATGAATCAGTCGTTGTCTCTTCATATGTGGCGTATAATGCGCTTCGGGGATTTGTAACTGATGATGATTGATCGAATGCGAAGTTGTGGAGAAGACATCGAGGACTTTGAGTGTCAAATGAATGTATACCCGAGTCAGCTGATGACGAACTTTGATCATTGTGAGAACATTTGCGTGATGTTGAAACGTAAGTAAATGCGGAGAAGAATTCGTTTGCGGAGGATGTGGCAGGACAATGAATGTTCGATAAGACAGGCTTTTCGGGTATTTGTATGAGAGGATTGCGTCGAGATAGATCTGGTTCATCGGTAGTAGACGATTTGAGAATAATCGGACGAAAATAACGCTCGGAAGGGTCTAAAATAGTTATAGGAATGTTTTGTCGGACGTCATGAATGATTAACGAGTGGTCTCACTTGGACATTGCTTATGTTGATTTTCTCTCCCGAATGGGCCACGACTGGCTTCATCCTTGTAATTTATCGCATAGCCAGTGACTGCATATGGATTGATATTTCCCTGAGAGTCTTCTGAACATTGTCGAGAGAAAGAAATTTTTCTATGGAAATCACATGTGCGAATGAGAATACCTGAGGCGTAACTGTCCGATCGACTTTTGTCTGTGTAGGTTTGAAGCGTGAATTCTTTCTCAGTTCTTAGCCAATTCTTGTCGAAATTATTCGAATTTGGTGAACAGAGAACAGGTTTTAGTCGTGTCTTCGGATGAACAGTTGTATCTGAATGATTCGCATTGAAAAAGAAATGACTCAGAGTTCGTTGTTCAGCTTACCAGTTTGTCCTGATCTTCGACGGTAGATCTTCATCAGGATTAAAATCAAAACAACGATAAATAACGAAATTACAATAACTATAAGACTTTGCTCAATTTGAGTTCTTCTTGAGACGGTTTCATTCATTGTTTGAAACGAAATCGTTTTTACACTCTCTCCTGCTTCGGTTTGGACTTTAACATTCAATTGATAGTGTTCATTGGGATCAAGTTGCTCGATTTTAATCATTGTCATCTCATTCTTATATGAAATCTCGCGACTGGCATTCATCTTAGACGAAAACAGCTCGATTTCGTACGACAAAATCGAACATTCATGGATAATCCAATTAGCCATATTGAGCATGATATGATTATATGCGATACTTTGAACAAGATCTGACGAATCAATCACTGATGGAACTGAAGAGACAAGCAAACGATCACAAGTTGAAATCTATGGGTCTAAACTTACCGGAACCGATGGTTCTAGCTAACAAATGTTCGGTCGAACTAAATCCAGCTTGATTACTGGCATAGATCATTATTTCATATAGATTCCCACAGGAGAGATTAGTTAGACGAATGTTGGACAAAGGCGGGAAAATGTTTACTTCGTTCATGTACGGATTCTCTTTGATTTTGTAGGTTATCGTCAAACTCTCGATAATTTCCGGTGGATAAGTAATCTTTAAACCGATTTCATTCGATAATGTGTAATGGATTTTTATTTGAATGGACGACGGCTTGTCTAGAACGAATAGAGACCTGTGAAGACAGTCAAAGATGATCGTTGAGCATACCGTAGTATCGAATATTGAACAGTTTCAATCCACACTGATATTGAGCATTGCTTTGAGTTAACGATGGAGTTAGAATCGATAGAGATCTATCGGGTGAGGATGGACAATTAATGACAAGTGGTTTGTTGATTGGATGTAGAAGGTTCGTTGTCATATCGGAAACTTCGAAAAGAAAATTTGCAAATGAATTTGTTTATTTTTAAGTGTTTCACATACGCGACTCGGGTGTTGTGATATCGATGGCTAATGATGAAGGACCGCATTCGAAAGAATTACAAACGGACACAAAAATATAATACTGCGATGAAGAACGAAGGTTTGATAAAACATAGTTAGGATGAATTGTTTCAATTGTAGTTAAGGTCGACATATCTAATCGAAAAATCAGTATCTTCCAGAGAGAGAGAGAGATTTGAAGAAGTCTTACTGAAGTTCTCATAAATCGTTAGAGAGAATGTACGAAATTTCCCGTTGAGCAGTTGCGAGTTGTTTTGTTGGACGGTCCATGTTATGTGCGCAGTTGAACTGTTCAAAATCGTTGCAGTTAGATCATCAATGACGAGAAGAGGAACTAGAATAGGCAATTATCTCGATCACTCTTGGTGTGAATGTGAGAGGCCGTCATACCACTCTCTATTGTTTGTATTTTCAATGATTTCGACTTTGGACTTGGTCCGAGTTCATTGACAGCACAGATAGCAATTGTATAATTGGTAAAACTTTTTAAATAATCTATCGTGATTTCTCGCGATTGATAGTTATGTGTGCGAACATCAGTTCGATTCCGTGAATCGGTTATTTCAATGACGAATTCGACAAACGAACTGTTACACACATGAAATGACGGATACTGAAATGAATTTTCATGTCTAAATCGAAGAAAATTACTTTCACATCGACATACCTGCCATGTTAATGTCATACTGTTAAAGGAAGTATTAGTCACACGCAGATTATAAGGAGCTATTTGTAATCCTGAAGGAAAACGACTGAAAATGAAATCAATGTAGGAAAAAGATCGTTTACGTTTAGCATCCATTTGAAAACGAAAGGGATCGCTGGGTAATGAAGTACCAATGGCATTGGTTGCTTGTATAACAACGGAAAGTGTACAAGTTAGGAAAATATTCTCAAAGGAATAAGTAGTGGTCTCGGGAGTATCAATGATCACGATTGTTTCGTTCGACCAAATGAGACCTTGAAGAAAGGAAATGATTAAAGAAAAGAAAGCTCGTTTTGTACCTTGTCTATAACGAATTCGAAGAATATATTGTGAAATATTCGAATTTCCATCGAAAGGTTTTATCCACGATAGCTTTTCCGGATGGTCCAGAAAAATATTTTCAATCTTATCTGGCTTGTCTAGCACGGTGATTTTCACCACCGATCGATCTTCTGAATAGTTATTCTTTGCTTCACATGCATAGAGACCACTATCAGACATCTGAATATTCGGAATTGTCATTGAGATATTCTTTCGATAGTCATGTTCCTTTTCGACCACAGTTTTTTGTTTCAATAGTGAAGTTCTGAATCGCAAGTCAAGTTGATTATCACTTTCAGCAGAACAATGCAGAGTTAAACTTTCGTTGACTTTCACAGTTGTATTTGATGTGATCGACAGGATTTTCGCTGGAATTTGTACAGTTAAAAAGACTTGAGAGGAGATTTGTCCATACGAATTGGTCGCTTGGCATGTGTACACATTTGATTTCATATTGAATGAAGTGAATAGAATTGGAGATGTGGTGGAGGTATTTAGAATGTGATTATTAGTCGCATCAATCCATTGTAGATAAAGATTCGGCTGTCCAGACGCGTAACAAGCGAGAGTAAACTGCTCGCCACTGCGGACAGTTAGATTTGTTAACGGTTGAATGAAAGGCGTTTGCTGTTCGATGTTAATATGTTTCGATACCGATATTGATCCAAATGGATTCGTAGCAACACATTGATAGAGACCTGTATCGGCAACAGAGGAGATGAGTATCAGATGATGAAGAGAAATATCGTTCGATGGAAGATGTTGAACTGGATTTTGAAGATTTAATTCTCGTCCGTCTTTAAAAATGCGAATTTCGGGCGTTGGATCGCCGTAAATAGTACAATTGAGATCGATCGGAGTAAGCGATTGACTTAATGACGAAATAATAACCTCATTTTGTTGATTATGTACGACAAATGGAGGCGAATCTAAATATTGGAACGAGTAGACCTGGTAAAACAAGTTGCGTCTTTCAGATGACTTACTAATTACGCGAATTTGCGTTTGTGTACAACAACTATTCATATCTAGTGAGCTGGAAATGAAACAACATTGGTACATTCCCATGTGTTCCCTAGTTGCATTCGAAATCACATATCGTGCGGAATCAATTGTTAAATCAGAAGAATTATGATACCAATGCCACACCACTGAAGCATTCTGCGGTGAATTTACGCTACAGAGTAAATCCGCAGTAGATCCTGCAGCAACGTTCGTTATTTTCGGAACATTCATATCACATTTGGTCGGAACTGCGAAGATAGAGAAGTGTCTTCTGAGTAGGAGAAAAACGAAAAAGGACTCACCATGAACTTTCAATGAAATCGTTGATGTCATTCTTCCGATTGATTCATCATCAACTCGACAAGCGTAATTTCCGGATTGAGTTGACGAAGCTAATTGGAACATAAGAGAATTATTATACAGATTGTTCTTGTCATGGCGAATTTCATGTCCATCTTTCCACCAGGATACGTGTGCATTGGTTGAGATCGATGAGATGCCACAAGGTAATTCAATCAGATCGCCGATTTCAGCTTGATATTCAGTATTATTCGGAATTGATAGCTCAGGGCCGAATGGCGAACGATCTACTCATCGCGAAATGTATTATCTGGTAAGAGAATGAATTGTTTGAGTGTTACCTCGAATACGCAATGACTTGAATCGACTTTGCTTAAGATTATTGTCGATTTGATTTTTGACGATGCAAGCATAACTTCGATTGTCATCGGATTTAGATAAATTATGAATAATCAAGTTTTTATTCGCTAATAAATTATATTTCGTTTTGGCTTCTAAAGTAAACAAATCTCATTGTTTAACTTTCATTTTGATTGAAATTCGCATCGTTTACTTAGATCGAGTTGGACGGTTTCATCATGCTTCTTTTCCAACCAACCAACAATCTCAACATAAGAATTCGCCAATGGTGGTGATATTTCACAAGATATTATCACCGATGAATGTTCAAATCCATACGGAGTCTTCACTTCGATCTCATAAGCATCATAGATTTCTACAATGAACAACAAATTCTTTCCTACTAATCCCAAGTAGACACAGGAGGGATGTTTTTATCGAATAACACTTACTAATGCATCGCACATCTATACGATAATGATAATCACATCAGTATCTGTATGTATCTATTTATTAGCACTTGTCAAAAGGTTAAGTTGTGTTCGATTTGCTTTCCGCTGAGTAATAGAAAAGAAAATAATCGAAGCTTACTACGAGTGCTGAATGAGCTCTGTTTAGGATCAGACATTTGCTTGTCTCAATGATACGGAATACTAATCTCGATCAAATTACATCGAAATGGAATTGTCAAGCAATCTTACGCGGTTTAACTTGAATGGAAAGTGATCGAATACTACCAACAGCATTTTCAGCTTGACATACATATGAAGTTGCATGAATTGCCTTGATATATTCTCGAAATGGTCGAATGAATAAACTTCCATTTTCATAAACATCACTCGAAAGAGAAAAAAGATTCAATGGAGGATTATAAACTCAGATAAGATATCCTACATGAAATCAGATGATTGAACTGACAGCAATTGATTCGAGTGAGTACCATTCGTCCGAAACCAAGCTATATCAGGTGATGGATCACCTGCTGCTGCACAGTCAAGTTGGATACCTAAGTTATTGTAGTAGAGTTGCTGTTTTGTAGTAGTCGTGAACGTAAAAGTTGGTCCAGTAGAGTATTGAATTGTCCAAGCAACTAAATAAACAAAGATTTTCATCTTATTTTTACAAAGAATTCCTTAGGGAGTTTCAGTTCTCCAACATATGTTAATGAATAGAATTAGTGTTACGTATTTCAGACACGACATGAAATTCATCTCAAATACTTTTTAATCAGAAGAACCTTGACAATTTCCGTTCGATAGTCGTAGTCTATCTTCTTCTGTATATCTGACAGCTGCTATGTTAATGAGACAATCTGGTCAATACATCGATATTTTCTCATCAAATCAAACCACACACACATACATATATTCTCCGTCTTACCTTGTTCGTAAATGACGAGAAAAACGAGGAAAGCATCGATAATCATCGTTGTCATCTTTAATCATCAAGATTATTATTTACTGTCTTGCCAAATATCATGATAAAAGTTCCAAATTCTAAACGACAAAAATTGACCATCAATTTTCTTGATGATGTTAAAATAACAACGGACATCAGGCTACTCTGATAGTATTAATGGTCGTCTCCCAGCATATCGATTGTCCTTCCTACGTGCTCCCTTCTCTTTCTTTCTTCTTCTGTCTGGAATCTAATAAGACAAATAAACTTTAGAGAATGAGAATAGAAGAAAATCTCTGACTGCTGCGATCTAGACCGAAAGTCAAATCATCGCTTCGTTCCTAATTAGAGACGATCGAGTGAGACAAAAGAAAAGTTCTGTCGAAGAGCAAAAGCACTGCAGCGAAGAAGAAGAAGAAGAAAGAGAGACAGGGAAGGGAAAAGGAAGAGAAAAGAATAATCCATCGTTTTATATAGTTATGTTAGTAAATACAAGACCACGAAAGCTAACGCAATTCATGGTCATTCTCAACGTTCTATTCAACAATCCATTAATTTAATGATTGCCTCTCGTCATCTATCAGATTTCTTCTACATAAACGAATGATAACTTGTTCTGAATGTAACATCTACGAGGAACTATGATCTCACGTGAGACTGACAAGTGACTGTTGCTCGATTACATAAAAACATCGAATGAGACAATAATGACCAGTTGCTTGTCTTTATCATTCGAAATTAAGTGACAAGCATGTCTCCTTTGTATGTATAAACAAAGGCAAGTACGATTCTTGCATTCTAAGTATACATGTGAATGATAATCAACGAGATGAAAGAATTTTTTCTTTTTTTCACCTCTGATTACTTTCGTGTTGCTTTCTTTTCCCTCAAGGCATATGACCATCTGAAATATATATGTATTCAAGGAAGAATATCTAATTGTAGTCATTAGAGAGTGTTCTTTCTTCTTTGCTTTCGTGATCCCAAGTGGTACCATGTATACATTAAGTAAAGATAAGAGTGTAGTACGCATGCATGTATTTGTGGAGTTGTAATGAGTATGTTTAGCGTTCGTTGACAGTGCACTCATCTTTATTACATGTCAATGTTACTGTTGTGTTGAATGATGATTTCCGGGTTCACTTATCAATTAATAGTCTTCCATTTTTCTCAATAGACATCATTGAAGAGAAAGCAAAGGTTAAATACACAATGAAGAGATCGAACGTGAAAATGACAGACGTGAAGTTGATCGTACGAGAGTAGGAAGAGTGGCTCGAGTGAGAACATGAGATGGTACTTTAGATAAACGTTCAAGGTATTCATCTTTGAAAATTCATTGGTCATTTCAAGGTCGACTTAAAGACAATGATGGAATTGTATGTGCATGTGAATAAATGGCGTTATAGACTTACCATGAGAAAGGCACGCACGACGGAAGTCGATTTGCATCAAAGAACATAAGCATTACAATTCTTAACATATTCCCGTAGCGGAAATCGATTAAGCGCATCGATGTTAAGCACCTCGACAGAAAAGGATGGTCTAAGAACTATCTTTTGATAAAAGGAATAAGAGAAAAAAAAGACGAGATTGAAGAACAATTTCTCTTCTCTTTTTGCTCGTAGAACGAATCGCACGTTTTACCCATCAATGACATTGTGCTTACTGACCTTGTGTTTTCTTCATCAATAGAAACGATCAGATCTTTATAAACATTGATAAGATTATATCACTGAATGAGAAGTTTGTCATTGATTTTCAATGGCGATCAAAGTATGATCTCGCTGTTTTCGATTATCAATGTCTCATTAGAGTCAAAGCAAGCCGACACTATCAATTTAATGTACCTACGGAGATGTGACACAAAAAATTCATGACGGAACCTGAAATCGTTTTCTTCTTCCGCTCGATGAATCCAAATTTATCGAATCGCTGATCAAATGAGTAGAACTCTTATGCATAAGATATACTGATTAATACTAAATGAAGCAAATAGATCAAGTGATGACATAGACAACATGATTGAAACAGTTAGAGGGAAACCTCATCAGACTGTACAAGAGTGTTTGTTTTGCTCGACTTGAGAATTGAAGCTGAAAAGATAACGTTTTTTTTTTGACGTTTCGGTGCATTCATGCAGAAACACGACGAATTGAAGTGCAATGCGATTTCTATTTTCCCATGTCATTAGTGATATTTTTATCTTCGTACAATGGAAGGATCGGATTTGACATTAATATTAATGCCAGACATACGAGGAAAATCACGCAACCTGGACTAATTCCTCTTCCAAAAGAAAGTTGAATGACAATTCATTGTTAACATGAAGAGAACAAATGAAATCGATGTTAATGTTACATCTCATGTAACCTGAACTTTTCTTTTAAATAAACACTAACACACTACCTTTCACTGTTCGTGTTATTAAAGAAAAATGCTTTTGATTTTGCATATTTTCAAGAAAATAAGCACATCTTACAATAATAAAATCTTATTTACTTTCACTTTCATGACTTTCCACTCAAAAGAATAATAATAATAATCAATTCCGATCGCTCGATGATAACACGATCAATGCAATTCTGATGACCCAATGCACTACATCGTGTATCCAATTACGCTGTTACATAAAAACGACGACATTTTAATAAGAATGAGTATACAATATCGATCATTTATACTTGATTCTGGACTTCTATTTTCATCCAATCGTCGAGTAATTACTTCGCAATACATTTACACATATTTTGACGAATGTCAATTGAAATAAATTATTTAAGCATAGCAACAACATCGATGTTTTCTTCTGTTTTATGTACATATTACTCAGTATGATCCATTACTTTTTATTCAAATTACTTCTGGCATTATTACAACACCCCACTGATTCAATTTCTTTTCATTTCGAACGAAGAAAAAGCAACTATATGCATCCCCAATCTTTTTTTTTCTCTTTTCTTTTTCAATGTATTTCGTTGTCGACAGTGTTTGTACCGCAAGAGAGAAGTGTCAGCATTAAATACCATCGTCTAAGTGTCATTCTTACTCCTGACAGAAAAACGAAAGAGAGAAAAAGGAACGTCAACGGACTGTAAACTGTTCGCATTATACGTACACATTTCATTTCGCTTTGTTAACTTATCAAACCAGACGCTACTTGAACAACAAACAACAGCAACATCAACAAACTTCACTTAGCATTTAATAGGAATGTAAAATTGGGTATTTGTTCCTCTTTAAAACATGTTTACCATTATACCCGTACTGTATACGATCGGTGTTCATTATATTCAGAAATGGCGAGCATCCTCAGTAGTCTGCGACATGTCAATAATCGTCGAGCAAGCCAAACCATGTGACAAACATGAGCACACAGCTAAAATAGATAATAATCTAACTCAACGAACGAAAACATCTAAGAAAAAACAAGATCGACGACGACAACGACGAAAAACATCGATTAGCGAACTTAGTTACGATGATATCAGCTATCTAATTAATGAAACAGGATTTACTCGAGAAGAGATTCTCCTTTGGTACGAAGATTTTCTTGTATGTATACGAATAGTCTTCAATGAAAAAAATACATTGTTTTTCTTTTACATAGCGTGATTGTCCGGATGGGAAACTTTCGAAAAGCAAATTTATTAATATTTATCAACAATTCTACAAAACGGGTCGCGTAGAAATCTTCTGTGAGCATGCTTTTCGTTTGTTCAATAAAGACGGATCAGGCTATATGGGTATGGAAAAGAAGAACACTTGATGTGCTCAGTCAAATCTGATTTTAGATTTCATGGAATTTCTTCTCGCTGTTAGTTTAACATCGTCGAAAGATCCGAAGCGAAAAATAGAGCTCTTCTTTGCAATGTATGACATTGATCACAATGGTTTGATCGATAGCAATGAGATGAGAAGTGTGATTGAAGTATGTTCGACTGCTGAAGAACTTACCTTGATTTCTTTTTACTTTTTTTTTAGTCTATTTATCAATTGATGGGAGTGGATATAACAGACCCATCGAGGATCGATACGAAAGTCTACAATTTGTTTTCGACAGCTGAATGCGATCAATTAGACTATTTAGGAAAAGAACAATTCGCTAAAGCATGTGAAAACGATCGATATCTGCGAAAGTTTTTAAAGCCGCCGACGAAATCTTCGAATAACTATTGAACAGAAGGATATTTACTTTGCCTTCTCATTGTAATCGACGAGAACACGACTAGTCAAGAGAGATACACGTTTTAAATTTCGTACATTTTACATGGCCGTTTCATTGTTTGTTTTTACGTGTCCTTCGTTTTCTTTTCATGCCTTCAACTAAATGAATTTTACATTTCAAGACACGTTTCTCAGCTTATATGTCAAATGGAATCGGGCGAGATCAGAGACTTTCGAATGTCATTTGAACTGAATGAACTCGTGATAACAGCATACTGTTTTTAACCTACCCCAATGACTAAGTAGGACGAAATTCAATTACAAATTTGTTTCGCTCTTTCCGGAATATCAAATGACTATTCCATAATAGAGTTATGGTTAGATAGAGACAAATCTGTATAGCATTTTCTTTTCTATGTTGATACACTTAGATAAATATTAATAAGAAGAAGACAGAAGAAAAACTGAGTAGAATAAGTCAAATTCGAGTTCGTTTATGAAGCTGATGGTGCGAGTAATCTTCTCAAGTAGTCGTCTTGTAAGCAACCATTGACAAATTCTTCTTTGGACAACTTGCCGTCTCCATTTGTGTCCATTTTCGTAAAAATTTGATCGACTTTCAATTCTGGTGAATTGTTACCCTTTCGTTCCTCGCCGAGAAGATCAAAAATAGCCTTTTGGGAAAAGTAAATCAGTGCAGGAGAATGCAAATTTCACATTTCTTTTACCTCCATGATCTTCTTCATTTCTTTCTTTTCAATAAAACCATTTCGATCAATATCTACAATGTAAATCATTTCCAGCATTTCCTTCGCAAACTAATTCATTGATTTCCTACGCACCATACATAGAGAATGCCCATTCGAGCTTGCGTTTTGGTTCCTGTTGTGCAGTGATTGAAATAGCAATTAGAAATTCTCCAAAATCTAAATCATGGAAAGTAGAAGGAATGTCTTTTTTTTGTCCGGCCAGACAACCGCTCTTACCGATATTGCCTGAACTGTCATTATCAAATGTTCGAAAAACATATTCACAGAATTTTTCAGCTTTCCCCATCGGGTAAAATTGTTTGTAGACATCGACGAACTTCTTCTTATTCAATTTTCCGGTTGGGCAATCTTTCTAGAAACACATAATCGGATAGATATACAACGGAACGAACATCTGTTTCTATCATGTTCACTCTACTTCGATAATATCAAGCGTTTTATTTAAGCTAACGAGCGACAGGCTCGAGACGAAATATAGTCGTACGGTTGTGACTTACCAAAAAGCCTGAGTGCCATTCACGGACTTGGTCAGGTGTGAAGCCGGATAGTCCTGAGAGTTCAGCAACGTTGGCTTCTGTTAGTGTCTTGCCATATTTCATTCGCTGTCCGCTGTTACCCATGTCGACCGATAACTTGAAGAAATGAAATCTAGAAGAAATTACTCGGAGATTTATTTATCCAGTGATTCACCAAATACTTCAAACAATCGAAAATAACGACATAATCGATTGTATTCTTCTCTGGATTCTCATATTTCAAATATGCGCGAGACGAAGACGCAGAACAAAATGCCGAGAGGAAAAAGAAGAAGAAGAAAGAATCTTCCAAGCATCATTTTCTCCTTACATCCTCTGTTGACTACTAATTATACATAAATCCAATCGTGTTGAAATAATTAGTTTAGTCTTGTTTGTATTTGTTCAATCAGCAAAGAGATTAAAGCAGAATGTCGTCGAAAATGAAGCTCATTTTCGAAACTATTGGTGTGATTGGTTTAATCGAGAGAATAGAATGAAAACGAGTAAGAAACAAGTTGTCTCTCTTTTTTTAGTCGGATTTGCTTCAATGATTCTCTTACTCGACCTGCTGAAAACTGGAGTACTTTTTTTTCGTGAAAGAAAGAGAAAGATTGGACGCAGTCGTTTCATCAATTATGATTTTTTTCATGTCAAAAAACAATCTCTTCCTTTGTTTTTCCTCTATCAAAGGTATGAAACGATGAATTATTTATATTTGTGTACATTAGCTTTGATCTGACTTTGTTTTTCTACCTTTGTAATCTAAGATGACAGATAATTGGTGTCTAATTACAGTAATAAATGTCGATGCTTGACAAACGGAAGAATTTGATATACTGCTGCAGAGAAAGAGCATCTCAGCGAAGCTTTTTTCTTGTCTGAGAACGGAAACATTGATGAATAAGACGAGATCTCAACATAATATTTGCCGTTTTCATTTCGAAAAATATTTATTCTACGCCGACATATAGCTAACATTTTCAATTAGTATCGAATAACTATTGTACTTGAAAGACGCTCGCTGTTGTGTTTGTGATATTAAACGATTATATCAAGATCATCCGTTTGAAGTACAGGCACGTATACGACGTCATAGGCATTAAGACGTTTCGAACCTAGCTCGAGTGTAAATCTATAGATTTCTAAATATAGGCATATCAAATGATTATTTTATTCTCGCTCGTGAGAGTGGTACAATCTACCTGTACAGATGATTTGATTTTCTTTTCGCGTGGCTTCAGTCTACTCGTACGTATGCAGCAACAAGGTCGTATTCGTCTTAACTACGTATGATCATTAAGAGAAACGGACCTTGATTACTGAAAGGTGATAAGAAAACAAAAACATGATAATAAGATTTGGCTGAATCAGTTGAAACGGAGACTTTATGGGAAAAGAGTTTGAACGATTAGTATTTATATATTGCATAGAATTGAAATGGATAAAGTAATAAAAAAAGCAAATGAGTGTCATGTGATTTTCATAATCTATGATTTGATCAGTTTTGTGCATGTTCTCCTTCCGAGACGATCTATTGTTTTAACAACACAGTCGGCATCATAAATACATTCAGTGCCGAATCGATCAGGTGCTGTACCTTGAGCACAACTCCAAACGCATCGGTTATCGGCAGTTAGGACATGGTATGGTCCGCGACATGCTGCAAATAATGAAATGAAAAACTTTTGATTCTAAAATAAAAAGCCTTCTTACCACCACAAACTCGACGGCCAAATGCATCGTGACCGATTTCATAGAGACGTGGTTGGCAAATACATTCATTGCTGTTGTTGTCCGGTGTAGTACCTTCGGAACAACTCCAAACACAGCGATTGTCCGATGTCAAAACGTGATAGGGTCCGGGACAAGGTGCTAAAAAAACCGAACTCAGTTCATTCATTCATTTGCTGTTCTCTAACTTCTCAAACACTTCACGTTCATCGCGAGTGAGAACGAATGTATTATATGAGTGTGATACGTACCGGTACAAACTCTTCGGTTGAATTGATCGAGACCTGTTTCGACGAGACCAGGTTGGCAAATACATTCATTGCTGTTGTTGTCCGGTGTAGTACCTTCGGAACAACTCCAAACACAGCGATTGTCCGATGTCAAGACGTGGTACGGTCCAGGGCAAGCTTAAACGAAAAAAAACGGTAACATACTATTTAAGTCATTCCATAGATTCAATCATAAAGACATCATCATATGTACTGATTTTAGTCAAATTACCTGTATCACGTTTGATCCGTTCTAGATCGAATATTCTTCTTGCATCAGCAGCTTGATTCAGTATGAGAACGATTATCAGGAAAAGTACACAATGACGGTAACACATATCTACAATAAATATCATGTTGAAGAATTTCACCTGACCATATAAACAAATCCACAGTGAATACACGCCTATGGATATGTAAGACAGCAATTAAATAGTATGCTGAAAGTCAGTCAATCGTAACTCGGTTTCATTCAATGTCATGAAATGACTCCGATACTGCGTAGTTATCAATGAAAACCGGTTTTTCTTCTGCGTCAATTCGAATGTGTAATACTAATGACGTCAAAAGAAAGGCAAAAATATCCAATTATGTTTGCAAAGTGGCTATGAGATAATATGGATACAATAACAATATTATCTAGATCGAAAATAAGCTCTCAGAATGTGTTCAATTTCCGTATGATTTCGTTTGATGAAAATCTAGTGACATCTTTCACTGTCGTTGCTCATTCGAAAGACAAAGCTTGTGTCATCGGGTGCCAATTGAATGAAATAAAATACGCGAGTAAGGTAAACTTTAGATCGTTCGAAACAGCGCCATGGGTAAAAACGGTGGCTTTTTAACACCGAAAGCAATTAGTAATCGAATCAAGGCGAAGGGTCTCCAAAAGCTACGATGGTATTGTCAGTCATGTCAAAAACAATGTCGAGATGAGGTACTCTATTCTTATTCCAATGGAAGGCATATATTTGTTCTCTAGTGTAGAATCAAAAACTCAATTCAAACTCGAAATATTTCCTTTTAAATTTGTTTCAATAGAATGGATTTAAATGCCATATACAAAGTGAATCTCATCAGCGACAGTTATTGCTTGTTGGAGAGAATCCGGGGAGATATATCGCTAATTATTCACAGTAAACAAGCAATACGTGTCGACTTGATTGCAAAAACAAATCGATTCTTTTCGTTTGCAGCGAATTTCACAGCGGCTTTTTCAGTACTCTTCGTCGTTCGTTTGGCACGAAGCGCGTATTAGCCAATACAGTCTACTGTGAATATATCAAAGACAAGGATCATGTTCATATGAATGCAACTCGATGGGTTGCCTTGGCAGGATATGTTCGTTGGCTTGGTAGTCAAGGTAATGCACATGACATGGCTAGCATTGAAAACGTTATTTTGATTTTCTTAGGTCTTTGTGAGATTGAACAGACAGAACGCGGATGGTACATAACGTTGATTGATAAAGATCCGGATTCTGTTCGTCGTGAGATGGAAAGTGAACGGAAAGAAAAGATGGATTTGGATGATGAACAACGCCGACAGAAGTTAATCGCCGATCAAGTTGGTTTGCAAAATGAAATGATTGGATTTTGATCTTGATTTTGTTTAGATTCGACGAGATAAAGAAAAAGGGATTGAATTACCAGCACCTGTATATACTGAGTTAGTTCGAAAAGATGAAGAAGAAAAAGGTTGGTAGAATTGGACTTTCCATCGTGTACTCCTATTCGTATTTTAGTGCAAGTGTCGTTCAATCCAGCGGTTCTTGCGGAAAAGAAGAAAGTTCTACCGTAAATTCATACATACAATCATTTCTTCTTTGCAAATCACCTTTTTTCTCTCTAGTCCGTCGATACTTGTTACGAGTAGTAAAAAGCAACCAGACAGTTTAGATGAACCTGATCAAAAGAGACCAAAAATTGAAACGCCAGTTCTCAAACGAACAGCGCTTGAGGAAGTTCGAGAGGTATTAAGATTATGATTCATTATGCGCGTTGAAAATATTCTGAAGATTTAGATGGAAGAAAAACGAAAAGAGGAACAAAATCGGAAAGATTATTGGTTACACGAGGTAAATTGTTCTTGAGTACGTTATAAAAAGAACGAAATCAATTGAATTTGCGTTCTCCTAGGGAATTATTGTCAAAATTCTAACATTGAAACTCGGCGAGGAATATTATAAAAAGAAGGGCGTCGTTATTAAAGTTGAAAATCACTATCAAGCTGTTATAAAAATGCTGGAAACGAATAAGAAGATTCGTGTTGATCAAGCACATGTCGAGACTGTTATACCGGCGCTTGGAAAGAAAGTACTCGTTGTGAATGGAGCATACCGTGGGCAGGAAGCGATTTTAGAAGCCATTCATCAAGAATCATTCTCTGTTGATGTTACACTGCTGACGGTAGGAAGGAGTCAATCAGGTTCAACATTGCAAATCTTATCATTCGGTCCTCTATTCTAGGGATCAATGACTGGAACTAGAATCGAGAACATGATCTATGAAGATGTTTCGAAACTAGCTTAAATATGGCGATGCTTTTTTTTTTTGTTTTTTTCGATGAATAAATCTACTTCCACTAACATAAACGCAAACTGATTTTTGATTACTATATGATTTCAGAGGCAAATTCGATTTCATCATGGTGCATTCAGCCAAGCAAGTTCTTCGTCAACAACTTCGTCAAGTATTGAAACTGATGACGAATGAGGATCGTGTTCGTCAATCTAATCATATAACAAATCTTCTTCTTCATCATCCGAAGTATCTCGCGGCCAAATCGATTTCAATCTTTGTTCACATGAATACTGAAGTGTCAACTCGAGATATTATTCAACATGCTTTCATTACTCACAAACATGTTTTCATTCCACGTTATACACCAACATCGATGGATATGGTTCGTGTCTATTCATTAGATGATCTGGATTCATTACCAATGACGAAATGGCACATCCGACAACCGTCGTTGGAAGATACGACTCGAGAAATAGCTGACAACAACATCGATCTTGTCATCGTACCTGGTTTAGGTTTTTCATTAGATGGATCTCGTCTTGGACATGGAAAAGGATACTACGATAGATACTTAGAGTCGTTAAGTCAACACTCCTATACAATTGGCTTAGCATATCGTCAGCAATTAGTGGAAAACAATGAAATACCAATGAATCCAACTGATGTTCGTATTCAAGAAATTCTCGTTGCACAAAAAAATTAATATCGTCCTCTTTCCTTATAAAATAGAATATTTCGCTAGCGACTCATCTGTTTTGTTAATTCCTTAATATTAATTAAAGCATAATCAGTTGAAGGTCGATCATTTCCCGTCGCTGTTAAATCAGTTGCAGCTAAGACTTGTCGTCCGATTGATGCAGAGCGATGGCTGCGCAAGGCCGGCGGACTCTCGTCACGAAGCATACTGTTACGAATAGCTTGAGCAAGCGGTAAGTTTCGCAGATGTTGGCCCACACAATTAGCTAGATTTCGACGTCGAACAGAATGTACTAGGCTTATTATTAACATCATGACGAGGATGATAACTCCTTGGGATACAATGAAAATAAAACTCGGTATGTCACCATGGCCTTTGTCGCTGTCATGGTCATCGTGTGACGAAACGTTCTTGCTCACTGTTTGACACATATAGATTTCTTTTAATTGCCTTGAAGATGTTAAATTTAACAGAAGATTTAAGCAAACATAGTGTGGTAATGCTTTCTCGGTTATGTAATGAACTAGAAACGAAGAGCCGTTCACACAAACGTAACTGAATAATGGAGTAATTTGATCATCATGAGCATCGGTAATAACTAGTGTTCGGTTGACTATTGATCCGTTTTCGACGGCGTAGGGAATAGTGAATACTAATCGAATTGTGTCAGATGATGCGGAATGACTACTGGACTCTGAGGAATCTTGTTCACGGCTATCATCACGCTGAAAATTATGCTTTCCTCTGCTTTTCCTTGGCGACGATACGGTTTTGAATTTCTTTTGAGAATTTTTAGTACTCGCTGCTTGTATTAAACATGTACTTGAGACATAGGTTCCATCAGGAATCGCTAGGTATCCGTTTTCTTCGTTGTTCTGATCATCCGCTGCTCGATGAGGCAAGGTGTTTCTTTTCCTCGTAGCCAAGGACAAGTTCAGACTTGCAACGATCAAACATATCCAAATCAGAAGACGTGACATGTGCGACTGATGTAAATCCAAAAAGAAAAGCCTCTGCCATCCTAAGTTATAAACAATCACCTCATTATATCCAACTCTCAATTGACTCCTTCGAAATTGATTTTTTACGAGCAAAGAATATCTTTATATGAAAATAAAATGTACCCACAACCCCGCATCAACAGAGGACACTGCTGTACGGTAAAATATCAAAAGCTAATATCTTAGAACAATCGACAACGAATAAAACATTACTTTTTTTCTCTTCTCTCTCGCAAGAACGAACAAAATATACCCAAAAATCGGGTTTTATTTGTATTTGCACATCATCTTTGATACTCAATAACCTGGCAGAAATGCACACAACTTCTGTGTTCTACATGGTAGAAGAAATAGTCATTCGAAAGTTTTCTCTACTGGAATTAATTTCTTGTTAACAAATCAGAACACGTGTACCAAACACGTGGAGACAGAAGACAAGACTGAAATGCACTGACTGGATCCCGATTGGCCATGCCTATTTATATGATCGTAAACACGTCCATTTCTTTCTTTTAGATTAAATCTTAGTTTGAATTTGTTGATACTCTCATTCAAAATGAATCAACTCGAAGGCCGAAAATTGAAGATCTCCGTTGTGACACCTAGTCACAACCGTTTAGAGTATTTAAAAGTCGCTGTCATGTCCGTTCAAGTCAACGTTCTCGCACCACTTGACATCGAATTCGAACATATTATTCACGATTGCGGTTCAACCGATGGAACAAAAGAATACTTCATCGCCAATTTACCACCTCAACGTATTTTTTACATCAAAGATCGAGGTGATAACAAAGAATCCACCAAAGATCGACAATGGATTCAAGCTACAGAAGACTTACGCAAAGATGGCAAAGGTGAATTAGCTGATAACATCACATTTATTCGTTCTGAACATAAAGTTCCACCAAGTCAAGCACGAAATATTTGTATTCAGAAAAGTACCGGACAATACATTTGTGTCCTAGTCAGTATTGCATTGATCATTGTTTGTTTTGAATTCGAATTTCTTCTGTTGTTCAGGATGACGATGATGTGTTTCTTCAACGTACCATTCATAATTTTGCTTATGCAATTCTGCAAAATCCAACCAAGAAATTCTTTGTTTCGGATTTTCTTCGTGTTAACGAACATCTTCAGTACATGGCCAAAGAAGATTATTACGGATGGGTGTTTTCATCACCGCAAGAGATGCTTCAAGCTATTTTTGACAGTTGCCATTTCATTCAAGGTAGGATGATCAATCTTCTTGCTCGCTTTTTGCATTCGATCGATTTTCGATTTAGGAAACGTCTGTTTCAGTCGCAAACTTTACGATGAAGTTGGGGGTTACGACGAAAGCGTTGGTATGGCTGAGGATTTAGATCTTTATGTACGATTTCTCATTCATGGTCACTTGAATGTTTATTTACCGATAATTTCACATTTACATCGCATGCACACGGCGAACTTTTCCATTGGTTGTGATCGAGACAAGCATCATTCTGATCTAACCGAAATTTACAATCGTAATCAAGACAAATTGAAAGTGATGGGAATCAAATTAACCTTGAGCAATTAAGAATTGCACAGCCAAGTAGTTCAATCCAAAACGAATATCGTTTTATATTCAAGCTGTATTGCGTTTGTGTGTGTGTGTGTGTGTGTGTCTTTCTTATTTTTTTAAACTAGCTTGAGAATCATAGGACACGGTAAAATTGCATAGAAGTATGACATAGTTAAATAAAAGGCATTTCGAATTATTTACTAGTTGTCGTGTATGTGACTCAAAGTATTCGAACAAATATTTGTGGGCACTTTCCCTTGGATAACATTTTTGTTCATTCCTCTATGTCATGAGTAAGATATGCTGCCTGTATCGCGTCATAGTTTTGTCAAAAACCGCGTCGGATCAGGTGTTTACCACAAAAAATCATCAGTCATGTGTATCATTTGCATTTTCGCTTGTATTTTTCAGTCATGATTAACGTGCGTTTTATGACACTTATCATTGACGTGGGTGACGCATTTTACCGTACTTCATTTTTATCTAACTTTAAGCATGTTGAAGGAAGTAAAGAACACGTGTAAAACAAAGTTGGTTTTTATTAAAAAAATTGCTTTTATACATCTGTATGCTGACTTTATGTAATAAAAAATCTCTTGGAGACGCATCACCCTCCGTATGATTTACTATTCTGATAGCCGTTGCTCTCTGAACCGGTGTTATTCCCTGTACCCCAATTCTGATTATTCTACAACACAAAAGACACGATGAGTACAAATTTATCAAATTGATTTACTCACGTTGTTGTTTGTCGCGGATAGAATTTCGTAGGCTTCTATTGAAAAAGGACAGCATATTGTTAACGAAGTTCGATAAATACCTTTAATTAACTTACTGAAATCTACAAAATTGTGCTCGAATGTGCCGTTGTTACTGCGATACCCCACAGGATTATTAGGTGAATCCATAATTGAATGTTTGTCACAGAACTAAGACACAAAGCAATAGTAAATTTTCTCATCGAGTTTAATGACGTGTCCAACAATTAAGTTGCACAATCATGTCAAGAGGATCTCTCATCTTACCTATTTTATAAAACAATAGCTATTAACGTCAAGAGAAAAATCTACACTTGTTCTCTTTCAGACTTGCGGATGTGTATATATAGACAATGAGAGACGAAGATATGAGAATAATGTGCTTGGGCGGATGTCAGTTATACATTGGTGTATATATACTTGTAATGTTGTTTATTTCCAATGTTAAACACTCTATTCATGTTGGAAAAAGCCACTTTTTTTACAGGTATAATTTTGAAAGATTACCTCATTGGTTTCGTAAAATGAGAAAAGAAGAAGAAGAAGAAGAACAACAACAACAAAGCGCAAGGTAATGTATGTTTCCAATTTAAATGCAAATCTGACCTTTGTACATACTAAAAGGACAAGATCTTTCCATTTACTTCCTATTCTATTTCGTGATCTGAATTGTTTCGTCACCCAGACGGCTAATAGTCAATTGTTTGCTTTTTACAAATATTTCAATGTAGTAATGTTCAGTTTCAGAAAAGTTCCCGCGTTGAATGAGAAACGGTTGCGAGGTATCATTCGACTGAATGAATTCATTGACGAGAGAATCAACATTTGATCGAAATTCATCCGAGACCGCAATACACGAAAGCATTTCTTCATAATCGATACTAAAATACAGAACGCATAAGACTCAAATCGAATCGTAAGCAATGGAATAACCTACGGATTGGGGTCGTGCAATGTAAATGTCTGATCCGATTTCTTCTGTTTTAACAAATCTAAAGCATCGTTTAATTTAGTGACTTCATTCAACACATCTCGATTTTCTGGATCGAGTGCAACAGCTTTTGCAAGGTATTTTTCTGCGTCATCCAATCGATTCAATGATCGAAGTGAGACACTTGCACGAAATAACGCTTTCAAGTTATTCGGCTCGATCACAAGTGCATCACGACAGGCACGAAAACATTTTTCATAATTGTCCAAACGAAGATAACATTGTGCTAAACATGTCAATCAAATGAGAGAGAAGAAAAAAGGCAATCAGTATTGGTTTACCGGAATTTAAGTGAAGTTTTAGCAACAATTGATGATATTGTTCTTCGTGTTTACCGTCGATCAATGTGACTTTATTGTGTATTAGTTGTCGAGCTTTGTTGTAACTTCGTAGAGCACGATCCAGTTGACCGTTAGCATATTCTTCATTGCCAGTGTTGCGCAGTGACTGTGCTAATCGTATTCGTTTAGCAAAATCGTCAATTTGATGTCGACTCGTTGGACTTTTGATTACCAATTGGTCATCATTAAACACAGTTGATGGTTCATTGGTTGTTAACAATTCAAATACGTAGAGACACCAAGCTGATTCGGGTATATGTGGAGCGCAGCCAAGTTCACCATACAATAAGTCACTGCTGATGATAAATTTTGCTCGTTCACGTCTTTGCATCGTACTAACAGCAAGATCAATTCCGGGTAAAACATCATATTTACCAATACGAAATTCCAATGGGCGACGACGTTTGAACGAGGTATCAAATGGCTCATCTCGATGTTCGAAATAAGCATAATAGTGCAATCGTCTGAAGAAATCAGTTATTCTGATTATTGCAGTCAAATCATCAAACAGGCAACTTACACGCAAGCGCCCGTCGCTGGCTTTTGACCAATTCCATTATGAATGACTTCTTTCCAAATTCCACCTTTCATCTCTGTATCTGATAGGCTATCGTTGTATGTGTAATGACCATCAGCTCCATTTGTAAGAATGACATGTTGCATCGTTGCGATCTGCTCACTGAACGGTAATGTTCCATCGATACGTCGTTGGCGATGAAACGGTTCGATATGAACTGCACGACTGTATCGTAAATTAGCATCATCGCCTTCATCAAGATTATCACTGAGATTAATCGGCTGTACAGATATTGATTCCATTCGAAAAATGATTTCGGAAATCTGAAACTAGTTACCTATTACAATATCCAATCGTTAGCAATCATTCGTATCCAATGCACAAGTGCACCACGTCTTTTCCATACATAGCGAAGCAAGACAAGATTGTCAATATAGATTTTCTCGATTAGTGAATAAATAAAAAGACTACCCGAACTCATTTATTTGTTCAGAATGCGCAAACGATCAGGTGATCACGTAACGCTATTCTCATAAGTTTCATTTCTAATGTAAAATCTGGGAAAATCAAATACAATTGCCGTTAATTTCATTTGCTGTCTCATTGTGTCATTGACGATCGACGGCTAGCGACATCTCTCATTTCTCTAGGCGACCAGCTTTTACATATCAGCTTGTGTGTTTTGTTCTCATATATAATAACAAGGTTTGTAAACAGAAGTAAACAGAAAGTCATTTGATTAGTTGTTTGATTTGATCAATTGATCGAAATTTACCAGGAGAAAACTAAATTTTTTCGTTCGAAAATAAAATCCTATTTTGTTTTTATTTTCAGTTGTTGTTTTTCTCTTCGTTGTCTCGTCCTTCTTGTGATGCTCGCCAATCTTGTTCATCAATATTCGTTTTCATTTCGTTTATTATGCATGTGTTTTTCGTCACAAATGTTTGCTAATCTTTCGTGATGAATACATCTGGAAGTCTTACAACGTCTCCGACATCGCCGTCAGCATCAATGTCGATAGGCACTCTCGATAATAAAAACGAACCTGATGTGGATGCGATCAAAATGTTTTGTGGACAAATTCCACGAAATATGAATGAATCTGAATTACGTGAAATCTTTGAACAGTTTGGTCCCGTCTGTCAACTGAATGTTCTACGTGACAAACAAACTGGTGAATCGAAAGGTTGCTGCTTCGTGACGTATTACACGAGAAAAGCAGCACTGGACGCTCAAAATGCTCTACATAATTTGCGGACACTAACTGGCAGCCATCATCCTATACAAATGAAACCAGCAGATACAGAAAATCGAAATGGTAATGCGAGAACACTCGTATTTTGTTGCTTTGAATACATTCCATTTAGAACGAAAACTCTTTGTTGGAATGATTTCCAAGAACTTTGATGAACAAAGCATTCGGACGCTTTTCCAATCCTACGGATCCATTGAAGATTGTACCGTTCTTCGCGATGCCAATGGAAAGAGTCGAGGTAAGCATTCGAATCGCATTTATCTTGATGGAAAGAATCAGTTTCATAGGGTGTGCTTTTATAACCTTTCAAAAACGCCAATGTGCTATTAATGCAATAAAATCAATGCATCAATCACAAACCATGGATGTAAATTGACTTCTACTTCATTTATTCATCAATAAATGCCGTTTCGTTTTTCTAGGGCTGCTCATCTCCACTTGTTGTCAAGTTTGCTGATACACCAAAAGATAAGGAAACTAAGAAAGTCCAACATCAATATCCGAATTATAATAATGTGCTTATGCCACAGATAAATCCCGGAAATTCAATGGTAAGAAAGAGACGCTTTCGTATTTTCATCCTGTTTTCTCCTTGTAGTCGAATCCTCAGGCCATGAATGCGTATAACTTCATGCCAGAACTGAATAATTTAGTATTTCTTCAACAACTATTGAAGAATTATGGCTTAATTGGTAACAATACCAATGGTAATTCGATGAAAATCTTCATAAATTTACATAAAATATCTATTCGCATCCAATTCTAGCAATTAATTATCCTGCATTGAATAATCTTCTACAAATGTTCACCAGTAGTATGAATCTTAACGGAAATAAATTACCTATTCTCGTACCATCGAACTCTTCTACTTCTCAACACGGGAATAATCAATCAGTAGATATCCAAGAACAACAACAACATACCGGCAGTTCACCGCGGTCAGCTCTATCATCCAATTCAAACAATACGTCTTACAATACTGATTCTTCTCTACTCATGTGTGGACCTAATAGTAATACTCCACAAAATACTCATCTGAATCCAAATAGTAGTTTACCGACGACGAACACTGCTCCTTATCTCCCTGCGATGTCTCCACTCTATCCGAACAACGCGAACGCGTTATCAAACGCCAGTACTGGTAAAAGTCGAACTCATTTTTCACTTCGTTATAATAAAATCGATCGTATTTAGACGCTCACCATAATCTACAAAATCTCGTTGCAATGTCTCAAGTAAATAACGGAGGTAAATCGAGCATTTCTATTTTCATCATACATCATCCATAATCTCCTACAACTCAAAGGTTTGCTACCAACAACAAACTCACCAGGAGCCGCTTCCGGTAAGTTAAAAACAACTTTCTTCATCAAAATGAAATTAGTGCTTTTCCAGCATCATTTCCTGTTTTCCCATCATCGTATTTTTCTGCTCAAGTCGCGGGTAAACATACGGAAGGTCGGTGATTCACTTCTCCGCGTATTTGTTTATAAATCTAATCGTTGGTTTTCGAATAGGGCCTGATGGTGCTAATCTTTTTATATATCATCTTCCACAAGAATGCAATGACAATGATTTAGCTCAAGCTTTCTCGCCATTCGGACTCATCATTTCCGCGAAAGTATTTGTCGACAAAATAACTAATCGAAGTAAATGTTTCGGTACGTATTCCTCTGTCGAAATCTTCGTCTCCGACGAATCTTCTTTTCTTTCGTTAAGGTTTTGTTAGTTATGATAATCCAGCATCAGCTCAGGCAGCGATCAATCACATGAATGGTTTTCAAATCGGAACAAAACGACTGAAAGTTCAACTGAAAAAACATCGAAATGAATCCAATCCGCCATCAGCCACTTCAAACAATCATCCAGGAAATTCTCCTACCACTCTGAAAAAATCGCCCTACTGAACTAAACGAATACCGCATGTTTATATCTTCATATTTTATTTCAAACAGACGCACATATTGTTATTTTTTATTATCTTTTGTAACATATCTGTTTTCGTTCGGTTGATTCAACAAAAGATGGTTGATTTGCATGATTGTATAAGTATATGTGTGGAATTTCTCTTCCTATCATCATTCTTTTTTGTTTTGCAGTGTTATCTTCTCTTCTAAGCTTCTTTCGTCTCTTCTTATTGTTATGATTAGTCTCGAACATTTATGTATTTTTCTTTTCATATTTAACGTCTTATTAGTTTCTTTTCCAAACAAGACTAACGTTTAATTGTCTTCTGTCGATTGTTTTTCTTATTCTCAGTATTTTGGGTTTTCTTCGATTATCGATTGTTTTAAGTTGTTGTTCTGTATTGATTCAACACGACTATTATTAAAAAACTATAAGTAGAAAAAAAAGGTTTATTGTCACATAATGATAAATGATTTTTCAGATGAGATAGAAAACCAAAGATAAGGTTCAAAGGATGATTTCATTTTTTTCTTGTACTGATAAGATCTTTTTGTCATGCGTCGATCGACGAGGTAGAATAGCATCACCTAAGTTGTTAAACGATTGTTTGAACGACGAGACAACTTCCGAAACGGTTAATATCGGTTGTACTTGATACACATTTGAAACATCGGTAGGAATTGAAATACTATTTGCATAGAAACATTCCATACCACTCTTGTCTCTTGGAACGTCATCCATTGTATAAGCTGGTGGTGACAATTTCCGCTTAACAGTTCTTAATCTAAACAAGTTATGTCTGGATTGCGAAAAAGTCTCCGATTCGATTATATTACTTACATAATGTAAGCCAAACAAGTTCCGATCAGGGTACATAGAACTGTACCAATGACGATACCAATCGTAAACGAACGATGCCAAACCACTACAATGATATTCGAAATTATAGAGAAATAAGTCAGTTGAACGACTTACCTATTTCTGATGTATCATCGGCACAAACGACGTTTTGCAATATGACATAAATTGTAATACTCACGAGAGCAAGCATTTTTGTAAAATGAAAATGTCTCCTATCAATGAATTTTTATATACCTGTAAGACACTGTCATTAGGAAAGAACATCTGTTGATCCTATCGAATATAAATGATGTTTCAATTACGAATATATCTTTCCATTTTTCCTAATTAAAAGAACAAACTCTCATCGAAATAGTCGATGCAACTTGTCCCTGTCCTAGGACAGAAACGCTTTATCTTGATTTACTTGCTTTTTAAATGAAATATCGAAAATAACAAATTGATAATGTATGCATGACTTTTGTATACGCAGACATGAACTATGATAATTACCTTAGCAAGCGAAGATTTTGGTATGAGGTCGCTATTTGTCGTTGGGAAACAGGCGAAGCTGCTCTGCAAGCACATGATTGGTCTGTCGTCATTTCACGTGTTATCACGATTTTTCGTCGTGCGTTTTTGTTTGATTATTTGTATTTATTGACGCATATTTGACTAATAGCAATAGTATTTTGTAGCATATCTATGGCTCAAGACAGAACTTTATACGAACGAAGTCATGTGTTCATCAAAGATCGTCTACCTCAAACGGACACTCGAGACGGTTCACTCGATGAAATCACAGGCACAATAACAATTACTACTAATGATCGTGGTCGATTCTTTCGATTTCTACCTAAAGGGATCGAAGATAACGTTACAGATGATTGGGCACTGGTGAACAATGGTCAATCAGTCATATCATTCAAAAATTCCAAGAATGAAAACAACGCTCTGACATTCTCGCCGAATCCTTTATTGAAATTTCGTATTCATTTTAATATCAATACGTTGCGAAGTATTCGTCGGCAGCATGTGTTGCATGGCATTGCCAATATGGTCTTCGCACTCAAAGATGGAACGACATTTCCAACGTTTTATTTCAATCTTGGTGGAAGCAAAGAACTTTTGGATTTACTTGGTCAATTTTTACGACTGCAAAAGTAAAGAGAAACCGCCAGAGAAGTTAAGTTTTGATTGTTTGAACTTTAGATCGCCAAGAGATAATCGATTGTATATCGTCAGAGAAGAAATTCCACAAGAAAGTCAACCACAGCCAGCCAGTGCTTATGATCAATTGAATCTATTCGACAATTCAAATGATCTATTCAAACGGATTGTTCGTAGAAAGTTCTACGCTCGTTTCGGAAAGTTAAATCTTGTTTTTCTTTTCAGAAAGGATCTGATTCTCGTCGAACAGCAATTGAGAAATTTTCTCGTGTCACTCATTTCTTTAAAGATGCTTTACTTGGCCAAAATGATATTATTACCAGTGGTGAACATTCAGAAGCGATTATCGAACCAGACATCACAGCATTGATGGAATCATTTAGTGAAGAATTACGCGAATCGAATAACGATGGTTTTGAAGTGATTTACAAAGTGAGACACGTTTCCTGTTGAACTTTCTTTCGACATTGAAATTCTGTTCGTTTAGGTTGACTTTAAAAAACTACCACAAGTTACACGTTATCCTCCATTGACAACGAAAGAGTGGAAAATGTGCTTGGATAAAGATGGACGCGTGATTGATGTGAACAAAATGAAAGAACGAATATTTCGTGGTGGATTGGAGTCGAACGAATTACGAAGTGAAGTTTGGAAATTCTTGTTGAACTATTACCCGTGGTCGTCAACATCGGACGAACGAGTGGAATTAGCGAAGCAAAAAGAAGCGGAATATTTCGCAATGAAACTGCAATGGAAATCCATGAATGAACAGCAAAAACAAAGAAATAATTTATTCAGAGATCGCGAATCTTTGATTGGTAAATTTTTAATTGTCTGATTGTGTGAGTTTCGTTCGATTAGGAGAAACTTGTTCTCGTAGATCAAAGCTTACCGTAGTGAAGCAGTGTCTTTCATCGGAATTCTTGACTAATTCTTGTCAATCTCTCTTCTTAGACAAAGACGTTATTCGTACGGACCGAACACACGTGTATTTTCAAGGTGATAACAATCTTCATCTCGAAGTCTTACATGATGTTCTAATGACTTACAATATGTTTAATTTCGATTTGGGTAAATTGATCTGAGATAAGAGACTCTGTCGAATCATTTGCGGTTTTGTAGGTTATGTTCAAGGGATGAACGATCTGTTAAGTCCGATATTGATTGTCATGGAAAACGAAGTCGATGCATTCTGGTGCTTTGTTGGATTAATGGAACGTATGCAACAAAATTTTCATATGGATCAGTCACATATTAAACGTCAACTGGGCAATCTTCACACACTTTTGCAATTTATCGACGCTGAGCTTGCGAACTATTTAGGTAGGATGATTCATTCGAGAAGGATCTTTATTGAACAGTGTGCTTTTCTAGCTGAGAATAATTCCAGCAATATGTACTTCTTCTTTCGGTGGATGTTGATCTGTTTCAAACGGGAATTTTCTTTTGAAGATGTAATGTATCTATGGGAGGTAAAAATCGAATACATGGCACACCTTTTCAGTCGACATTGATTCGTTTTTCTATGTCTAGGTCTTATGGACAGATCATCCGTGTGAGAACTTTGAACTATTAGTTTGTTTGGCTATTTTAATATCACAAAAAACAGTTATTATGGAATCGAAGTTTGGCTGTAACGAAATTCTCAAAGTAAAGATCTCACTGAAAGTCGAATTTTGTTTCATTTGCATTTCTCGTTTAGCATATCAATGATCTTTCACTCAAGGTTCAACTGGAACCGTTATTAAAGCATGCTGAAGGTCTTTATATTCTTCTGAAAGATCACGATCAGGCAACTCCTGGCCTTCCACCGCAAATTTCGGCCATTATGTTTCCAAATCAGAATAAAAATTTGAAAAAATCGACTAGACAAGATGGTCACGATTCGGATTCTGATGCCACATCTACAATTTCTTCAGTGAAATCCTCGCGTGGTGCATCCCCGAATCCTGATGTTGAGCACAAGCCGCGAACGAGACACTTAACTGAATCGCATTCAATCGATGAAAACGATAGTGCAGTTGTTAGTCATACTAAGAAGCCTTGATTCGAATACTATTTTCTTTTTCGACTTGTTTCTCATTGATTCTTTGTTTTACTTCGGTGTAAATTTCTCGTTCAAATAATTCTGTACGAGAACAAAGATGCACAATAATATCAATCATTCAACATGTTTTCTTTTCTGTACTCGTCTAACGACGTATATAAATTTATATACATATATATATATATATACACAAAACTTTATTTATTCTAGAGAATTCGAAGGCGATGAGTGAGAAGAATTTGGTGAACGATGAAGTTGACTCAGAAGATGATGAAGACGACGACTATTGTCCCGCAGATAATAACAAACAACAATCAGACTCAAGTGCTGATTCAGAGGATGACGACGAAGGTGATGCCAAGGAAGAATCAGAAACTACGAAGAAAAATGAATTGAACGTTGCACCTTACGATGAATCAAAAGTCAATGAACTATGGAAGAACTTTACAAGTACGACGGCAAAACCAGTAGAGAATGTGAAATCAACCGAGTCAAAGCCAGCAACTAAAATATTCGAATACGCTGGTGAAAAAGTCTCGGTACCGATCACAACACCACCAACAGTAAAAGAAACATCTAATCCATCGATAAAGCGGCCAGCTGCAACATCTGGTTCTGTACTCGATCGTCTTGGCATCGGGAACAAAAAGCAAAAACTCTCCACATTGGAAAAATCTCGTCTGGATTGGAGTGCTCACAAAGACTCCGAAGCACTGACAGATGATCTCGATTCCCATCGACGTAGTAAAGACTCTTATGTAGAAAAGAAAGCATTCTTAGAACGAACTGAACTGCGTCAACATGATCATTTTTTAACTCATGTAAAAAAGAAATGATGTCGCGTTAGATTATTGGTGTTGTACAAATAAACATCAGTTCAAAATGTGTTTGTTATATTTTGTTGTTAATTGAATAAAGTAAATCATCAGGCGGACCTGATTCGAAGTTGTGTAGATAGAAGGAAGTAATTCGATCGGCCTGAAAATCCTACTACTATCTATAATGAGTCAAACATGATGTGTGTATCATTGTCGTCGTTAGCATATTGCAACACAATAGTGCTTTTCATTTTTAGGCATCACTCATCGTTAAAAATTTACAGCTGTTTTATCAGGATTCAAACGTTGTCAATGGCGATAGACTGAATTATCGTAGAATAGAGTGTAGATGACCTAAAATGTCCTATTTCGAAATTCAATTCTCATGACTGTTCATTGATTCTGCGAGAAATTTTCACCCAATATGCGATTGAGAACAGATAATAAACGAAGCAGAGGAGTTTATTTATTACCTCAAATATCAAGAATACTTCGGTGTTTTATTACTTCTTCACTCTATTGTTAATCGATTGCAAAACATGACATTCTTATCTATTCCAAAATCATAATAGCCAAGTGAATGCACACAATATGATTTGGCTTTTCTTAACCATTGTATTAAATCATTCATATTTGCAAATTCAATAGTAGAACAAGTCTTTACATAAATGCGACGTGAGAAAATTCTATAGACTAAGCTCAATCCTTAGGATAAGATTACTTATTACAAAGTAGTCTACTTCTATTGACTTGTCACGAAGGTTGGGAAGATGCACAACCATCGTGAAAACGATACGATAGGCAACATGTTGGTTCTTGCGGCAACGACTGTTTTATTTTTATGCATTCTGATTTCTCAATGAGATTTCTTTGATCTTGACCATACGAACTGTCAAATCTACTCGACGTACAAATATCCAGGCATACTCGAACTAATACAATTGAGTTTCTCTTACTTTGATATTGAAATAACGAGTAATTTACATCTTTCTGTTCTCTCCCGTTTTTCTCTCTCTCTCCTCCTCCTCTCTCTTCGTCTATACAATAATGCGTCAGTTTAATCGTCATTTCTACGTTCTTTCTACAAGAAGAGAACAGTGAGAGAAAGAACGATGCGGAATAAAAAGTAAATGTATGTTACGAGGAAACCAGTCACTATTCATTTCAGTCGTAAAATAAGACACAACGAGTCGTATACGTATGTTGGTTACTGTAATTTTCTTTCTTATGTTAGGTCAACGACATTATTCTTTCTTTTCACTCACAATAGTCTTAAAGAAAGGAGAAAGAGACAGTGCAGGGATAATAAGCACAGTAGAGAAATGGACGGCGTCGCCGTCGTCGTGTGTACAAAAAGATCTAAGAGGTAGTTACATCAGTACAATTCGATATGTCATGTTATATTATTTGCCCGGCAGAGTTGTAGACAGACGTTGAAGAAAAAGAAAGAAATGAAACAAGGACTCTTATCAATCAATAACGTATAGAATCATTCACTTTTTTTTTCAGTATATGATGTTATATTAACAAATCATATGTGTAACAAATGTTTCCTCAATACGCACAACGTAAGTTTTTCTCTCTACAGTACACTGTCTTCCTCAATTATGCAAAGTATTACAGGTCAAACAGGAGGTGAAATCGCCATCTGGCTTTTAATTACCGTTGGTGCACTTCTTATTCCCATCGTTGCCATTGCTATTTGTTGTATACGACGTCAGTAAGTATTCTCTATTTGATCTTTGTCAGTCCGATGACAGTAGACGATAAGAAGCATGTTCATTCGCGTCAACTACTGTTGTTTGCAGATATCGCGGTCATTTCTCTCGTTCCGTTCTCGTAAGTTCTTTTTCTTCTCAAGTCAAGTGCTGCTTGTCTTCTTTCTCTTGCTCTGATTGCGTGATTATCCATATATTTCCCTTCATACACATATTATTTAATTATTCTTACGTTCACAGCTGTTGGCAAAACATTCCTGCTCGTCGTCCAACATCCTCTTTCGCTATCATTACTAACACTGATGAGTTACTAACTAATTCGATTTCAGTGCCATGGAATTCGTATGTACGTGAATACAGCCGAACGCTCGAGAATATGATATTGTATATGTTAAAGCTTGATGCTCGAATTGTATTTAATGTTGGTGTACTCGGCGTATTTTATTTGTTCACATTTGATTTCATATGCTTTTTTTATTCTGCACTGTTCTTTGCACCTGTGATTATGCTTGACATTGAAAGTGTGTGTGTGTGTGTGTGCATATCTTGATGATTTCCATTGATATGTTTAGCTTGGTAAGAGGACCTCAAGTCAGTTTGATGGCAAATCATACCCTGCGTATGATGATGAACACGAAGCGGGCAGAAGCTCTACGGTAAGTGAGAGATTCTCCGTCAAAGTTCACTTTGTGTTCTATTCATTTTCTTAGTTCGTATAACGGCCCTTATGCGGAATCGGGTCACGAAGATGGAGACACGACGTCACGAACAAGTTCTTTAAAAAAACAACATGTTCACTGGACTGTTGGTTCTGAAACTAATCAATCTTCTTCCATAAAAAAGCAACCGTGGTCCGATGATAATATTCTAACAACTACAACTCTTACCGAATCTCCATCGTCTCATCGTCGTTCATCTGCTTTCAAACATCTCATTCAAACTGCGATTATTCCTGCTGGTTCGACTGTCCCGAGTACTGATGCGAGCCAGGTTTTAGCTCTATCAAAAGAAATTGCATCTATCCCGACCGGAAATGATTATATTGTATAAATCACCTGTTTGCTTCTTTTTTTTTCTTGTATATTTTCTCATGAATTCTTCTTCCCGACATCATCGAATGTGAGTGATAGAATATAGAAAATGATTTACATTTCAATTGTATTAAATAGAAATATTTGCAAAAGACAAAAGAACAAAAAGGACGTTAGTCTTGATCAAGCAATTCGAAATTAACAACAACCGCCGCTGCTATTCTTCTTCAGCGCGACTGGTTTTGCTTTGTCATTCAGACGAAATGACTTAGTATTTGTTGAAATTTCCACTTGAGCATCGGTTGTATCGGTTGTGACGGGCACTGTTGATGAATGGTCAGTTGCTGTTGAAGCAGTTGGATTGTCTACTGATTTGGGTATTTTCTTATAAAAGACACTTTTGACCAATGTAACGAACGCTTGTTCGACATTCGATGCATTCAATGCCGATGTTTCCATGTACGAGACTTTCAATCGTTGTGCGAGATCTTTCGCTTGATCTTGGGATACTTTCCGTTGATCGACTAAATCAGATTTGTTTCCAACAAGGACAATTGGTATGTCTGCTGGCGTATGTCGATGTAATTCTTCTATCCAAGTGTTAATGTGTTCGAATGATTCGGGTTTGGTTAGGTCGAAAACAGCTAGGGCACCTTCGCTACCGCGATAAAATTGCGGTATAACAGTCTTGAAGCGCTCTTGACCTGCTGTATCCTAAGATTGTTGATAAAGCAGCAAAGATTTCGAAAGAGGAATATTTCCCTTGAAAAGTATTCACCTACCCAAACTTGTGTTTTGATCTTTTTCCCTTCGATTATTATTTGCTTGTAGGCAAATTCGACTCCGATAGTCGATTGCGTATCGAGACGAAATTCATTACGTGTGAAACGTAATAAAAGATTACTCTTCAACGAAAAAAGAAAACGAATGATTTACATTTATGACTAGATGAAAAGACCTGCAGCATACCTTGCCGACGGAGCTATCGCCTATAAGAACCACTTTAAATATGAAGTCATATTCAGACCCTCCACCTGATTTGGCCATGATTAGAGAGAATTTTTCGTGTCTAAACAAAAACGAATGTAGTCGACTACTCATGCACTCGCACATATTTCTCTTATTTTATTCATCCAAAATTATCTTATCAGACGAAACGTGTGCTACAAGAATAGGAAAGGTAAGCGAGCAACAAAAAAAAAAAGAGCTTGGCAATTATCACAACATGTTATTCTTTCGTTATTTCATCAGATAGAACTAAAAGACATGCATCCTACACAAGACAATGAATCACCTACGAAACAAACTTCCGTGTCCATTTCTCACAGTGATTAGTCTGTTAATAACTCAATTCGAAAACAGACGGGGAACAAGACTTAGGTTCCGCAAACGAGTGTGTTGTTCCGCTCTTAGAGAAAGTCTATGTTTATTGTGCGAAATATGAAAAAATGATAGAAAATCAAAATGCATAAGTTAATCGAAAGGTGTCTCTATCTCTGCATGAATTACAGTTACTGCTTTTGTTTTTCGTTCAAATAAGCTTGTTTTTCGTTCAAATAAGCTTGCTTTTCGTTAAAATAAGCTTGCTTTTCGGCATCGCTCAATCCTTCTTTAGGCGGTTCATCGACATGGTGAAGTTCGTGTTTACCACCTTGTACTTCTAGCAGAACTTTAGCTTGAGTAGTCGACAGCGGTGTGCCTGGTGGTTCAACGTGGTGAAGTTCATGTTTGCCACCTTGCACTTCGAGTAAAACTTTCGCTTGAGTGGTCGACAGCGGTGTGCCTGGCGGTTCGACATGGTGAAGTTCGTGTTTGCCACCTTGCACTTCTAGAAGAACTTTCGCTTGAGTAGTGGACAACGGTGTGCCTGGTGGTTCGACATGATGAAGTTCATGTTTGCCACCTTGCACTTCGAGTAAAACTTTTGCTTGTGTTGTTGATAATGGCGTGCCCGGGGGATCAACATGTCTTAACTCATAGTCCTGTTTTGTAACTTCGTCTAGCACAGCTTTTTGCGCCGATTCAATTGCATCGTCTGAAGACATAGTAAAAGTAGTTATGTATCTAAAATAGAAACGGTTCTTCTATCTGTTAAAATTGCATCAGTTATGCCGATTGTGTTCTACAAATAATAAAGAATTGTTTTCTTTCGTATTGACTTTAATGTCTCGGAAATACACTATTGCGCAGTTACTAAACTATTTCATCGATAAGCTTAGCACCTGTTCCTGTTTTTCGTCACAGATAGAATTCACGATGAATTTCAAAAATGCATTGTTACCTATTTCACAAAGCTATAGTCACATGAACTAGTTTACAGACTAGTAATGCTAATTTATAGGGTGGATATAGAAAGTAAAGCAATGAATCAGTATGAAACAGAGTAATAATTCTCTTGTCTCTTATCTTCAATTCTTTTTTTCTCTTTCTCTCTGCGTTATTTGACCGATGTGATGTATACAGAATTGTCAGGTGTTGATAAAAGTATTTATTTTCTTCTTATTTGAATAAAGTATTAAAGAATGAAAAACGTATTACTGTACAAATACGCAACGTTTTACTCGAATAATTCCATACATGTATAACTTGAAATTTGAATTCAACTCTTCAAATATTCAACCATTTCAAGTATTCAGTATCAAAGTGAAGATGCTAGAATAACTGGATAGTTTAAATATCACAATACTTGTATTCAACTTTCAAGTTTGACACTATTGTCTTTTTCCAGACAATAATAATTGAAACTCGCTTGTGACTGCAAATCCAACAGTGTTTCTCCTACGAAATAGTTACTTGCAAATAATAAGATGAATCTAGCGACATCCATATATCTTCATTGCTCAATAAAACAAAGAAGACATTTTGAAAAAATATTTTCAATGAAAAATTCATATTAGATTATTGAATGATACTTTATCTGAATGACTCGTAATCGACCAATTAAAGGATGATAATGAATTCGTGCATTCGCGGCATATTGCAGACGCGGACACTGATTCGTGCAATTGACGTCAAATACCGCGCTGTTCTCACCAAACACAGTTTCATTGACTTTGTATATCAAAATCATCGATCTTTTCGACGAGCACCACTGTTATTTCAGAAAGTAGAGCAGCGTATCCCTTGCTAGTTTTCTTCGGACATATGACTAACTTAAAGACGAACCACATTCTGAGTACATAGAGATACGAAATTGTGCGAAACATCTGTTTAATCGAATCTTTAATCTAAATCTTCCAGATTCTACCATACACTTTCTTTTCTACAGTTCTATGAGAAAATGATTACTAGATATTACGATCAATGACTCATTAGCGTTTCTTAAGTGGGAAAAAACTTTAGTGTGTGTCCTATTCTCGACTGAATAAATATTTAAAGTATATTTATTTGCTAAGACCGGTACTTTCTTCTAGATTGTGTTTCTTTGAGTATGACAGCCACTCCTAAACCTTTATCGATCGTTGCTAAATGTGCTTTATGTTCAACAAAAACTGAATTATTCGTATGTCCACATTGTGATGAAGTAATCTGTCAAGTTTGTGTGAATAAGCATCGATCCATCTTGAATGAAACACTCAAAGAGCACTGGCTAAAATGTAAAACTAAATTTCAGAATCTATCTCAATTATCAAGTAGGAACTTTCTTTCGATGATCGATCTCGTTGTTTATCGTTAGTTTTTTGTTTAGATAACTATGATAGAGATTTTAAATCAGCTGAAAATGAAATCGATCGAATCAGACAAATGCTTGAACGAAGATATTTAGAATTCGTTCAGTCAATAGATAATGAAAAGAATACGCTACTAATTCAAATAGAAGATCATATTCGTTCTACATCGTCTCAGTAATTACATCGGTTTGTTTGTTGATGGAAATCCTTGTGTTTGCTTTTCCTTAGTGTTAAACATGCAGACGTTCAGCAAGTATTTAAATCAGTTCATCAACGACTCAATGAATATTTTCAGTAAGAGTTTTCTTCTCCGTCAATCAAATATTTTCATCCTTCTCTAGGGGAACAAACACGGCATACAATACAGATGATTTTCTTCTAGAAATTGAACATCTGAATAGACAGATTACTAATCGAGAAAGATTTATGAACGATGACACTTTAAAAGTATGACTTATCGATCTGCAGCGCTTGCCTTCTATTTTGTATTCGTAGTATCCGTATTTAACACCTTCCAAACCTTTAATTATCTCGGATGTCTTTGGTGAACTACAATGGAATTCTAAACCGATGTCAATTCGTAATTCACCTCGATCTCTAACTGCGAATGGACATAGTTCACGAAATAGTGATGGATGGCAGGATGAATCGTCTAGTTTACCCGATGAAATAGAACAAGATGGCCTTCCAGCGGTACCTGTGATGCGAAAACAGAGACAATGGTCACTGGATGCGTCCGGTGTTCCACACTTTCTCTGTATTCTTTCGAAAAAGAATTATCTTTTATTTGCTTGTGATAAATATGGTTGTATCGATTTGTATCAACTCGACGGTACTGATCCGAGTGTTCCACCTCGTCATTTACGTCAATTTGAGTTATTCTCTGGAAACAGTAGCAGTCAAAAACCACAAATTATCGAGGCATTTACGGTCTACACACCATTTATTGTTGTTTCAGCCCGTGAGTGGAATAAAATTGAGGAAGGTCATCAACTGATTCATTTGGTTGACTTTTAGATTTGAGTGATCAAACAGATACAAGTTCGGTTTATTTTTTTGATCATCGTGGAATTCAGCAAGGTGAAACTTGCCTTCAGAATTTTCCTGTTCGACAATTGTCAGCTGATACTGGCTTTAAATGTTTGTGGGGCGTCGATCGACATCAACATTCAGGTAGAAATTGTAAAACGTGAAAAGACTGATTACAATCATCGATTTGTTCAGTCTATTATAACCAATTGCCAATGAATGTGACACAAATTCAACAGTCAATTGATCAACGGGAAGAATTCATCATCTTCGGACGTGATTTCGAACCGATTCGGTAGGATTTCTTAAGAATAGATCGTTCTGTCACAAAATACCATTTATTTCTTAGAATAACACAAAACCAAACGTCGATTGCTGTTGTCGAACGTAATTCTCAAAGTGTACACATCTTTAACAAACAAACAAAAGAGCAAGTGGATGAAATACAAAACCTTCTTCGTACCGATGGTACCTTTCGCTTGTGGAATGTTCTCGTACGTAGATATTTGTGCAAAATTTCTAAAATTTATATTTTGTTTTCATAGCTCCGCGATGACAATTCCATGGTTCTCAAACTAGACGAAGATTTACCTCCCTACAGTCGTCCACAAACAATTCATCATCTGATTGTGGAACTCGACCCCAAAGGTGTTCCAGTAGCACAAATAGAACGCACTGCTGTCTATGGGCTTGCTATTGGTCCTAATCAAGAAATTCTCCTTGGTTGCAAACGACATCAACAAAATGGCTCGATTGAATGTTATATCTAAACTTAATTCGATTGTTTCTTTTAATAATATTCGTATATGATTGGCAATTAGCAATGTTTCATTTCCTTCGAACAGTTTGCTTGCCGTTTTAAGATCTCTTCTCGAGGTTATATTTTTTTCGGTCAGATTTCACATAGAAAAAAAGCCAACAAAATGAGAATATCGAATTTCTCATATATTCTTCCAAAGACACTTTTCTTTTCTCTTTTAATGTATTAAAGAATGAACTGAATAACTATTTTAGATATATATACATCTGTAAGAAGAAGAGTACGCGAATTTCAATCATGATCAACGCTAATCTTATCACCTGTGCACTTTGCCGGAATTACTATGCGGATCCTCGTCAGGTAGGTAAGCTCGTAAGGGAAATCACGATTTTATTTGTTTTTTTTTTCAGATTCCCTGTTCTCATTCATTCTGTTTCGATTGCCTATCCGGGCGTTTTGATGATGAAACATTGATACTAATTTGTCCGAAATGTGATAAACTTCATCAGTATAATTCACGTGAGGAATTCGAAAATCGTTGTATGCGTGATGGCTTTCTTAAGTCAATGGTTGCACAATTCAAACGAAATCAAAGTCGATCATCCGCAATAGCATCCGGTCTTCATTCTCGGCCAGCATCGTCCCTATCACAAATTGTGCCGATGAATGGCTTTACACCGATACGTCCGGTTTCTCAAGAGGTTAATTCGAGTTTTGATCAAACTTGTTCGGAACGATCGACACCATCGATTTATAGTCAAACCAGGTCGTCCTCAGTGTTGCCAACAATAGCAAATCGTGTACTCATAGCCAAATGTCAATCATGTAATATGAAAGGTGAACTAATTGTATGCAACCATTGTGATAATGTGATCTGTACTAAATGTGCTGATGAACATCAGAGCGTGATTAATGATGATGTCAAACGCGAATGGGATCTATGTAAAAGCAAATTTGATATAATTAGTGAACGATCGAGTATAAACATGATTTAACAAGAAGTTGTGATTGATTAAGAAAGTGCTCGTTTCCTTCTAGTTCGTTTTGAGGCTGATCAAGAGGAATGTGAACGTAAGGCACGTGAATTGCAAACATTAGTGGGCGAACGAGGTGATAAATTAGTGCAAACAATTAATAATTATAAAAATGCGTATATGGATTTCATTGAAAAACATCGACGAACTCATAAACAAGTGTAAGTAGATTAATGAAATCAGAATGCTTTGAAATTGTCTTGAATTTCAGTTGTGCACGTGAGCAAATTATTGATGAGTATGAATCTATTGATGACCGCGTCAACAAACTACTAAAGTAATCGATTCCCATATGAATTTATTCCATAATCAATTCATTTATCTATTTCGCGTAGATCTGCAGATATAACTACTGAAAAGATGGACGATTTTTCTTTTGAAATCGAACATCTCGAAAGTCGTCTAGACAGTTTAAATGCAATTCTTGATTCGAGTGAATTAAAAGTAATATCCTCGTCTGCTTCTCTCTCTTTCATTCCATTTTAATCAACCATCTAGTTTCCCGTGCTGACATTACCTGAACAAATCGACATCTCGTCGCTTTTTGGTACATTGAACTTTCTCTCGTTGAATTCACCACATTCGAATCATGTGAAATCCAAACCTGATCATGATGATTATCTTCTGCTCGAGTCGTCTCAACCACAGCCGCATCGATTCGATCAAATATCCCCACCATTGCCGGTTCCTCAAGCAATGAAGAAAAAACTTCTCTGGCAACTCGATTACAAATCAGTCCCATATTATGTTCGAACGTACAACAATCAGTTATTCGTTTGTGATAAATATGGTTTGCAAGTGACTTGATTGTCAGACATAAAACTTTTTCTCTTCTGTCTTTAGGATATTTGTCAGTGTATAAATTAAATAGACCAAATGATTTTCGAGCCAAACCAATCTTCGTCCGAGAAATTAAATTATTCAACGATAATCCTACCGTCTTGTCGGACGAAGATCAAACAATCATCGATTCGTTTGTTGTCTACAAGTTCTGGATAATCGTTTTTAAACGAAAGAAAAATGAATTACATGGTACGATTTATGTATTCACATATGATGGTAAACTTCTTCCCAACGGTAAATGTGTACATAACTATCCATCACGTGAATTAACAATCGATGTGGAAACCAATATCCTCTGGTCACTCGATCAAAAGCAGCTTTGTCTTTTTTATTATCAGTTGCCCGATCAAATTAGCCCGACTGACCAAATCGAAGACGTGTTTCACAATCGTTATTCACACGTACAATTTTCGAAACCATTCGCACCCAAACATATCTCCGTGAACAAAAATGTTCTCGCTGTCTTGGACAAAAACCGACAAGCTGTACATGTCTATGACAAGAAAACGCAAGAGGAATTGTACCAACATGTGAACATTTACAATCATACCACGCATTTTTGTTGGGACATGGCGCTGTTCTCGGACAATAGTCTGTTGATCAAACTTGACGAAACGAGTACGTTGAAAGCCGGCCCGTCGAAACACATCTATTTACAATTGGACACAACGAGTCAACGCAATGTGATCGGAATTATCGAAGAAACCGATGCTTATGGAATGATAATCACGGCGACGGATGAGATTTTGATCGGAGTGAGAATAAATACGAAAGGAACTGTGAAATGTTATGGTTGAAAAGATTTTTGTCTTTTTACATATGTTGTTATTTATTGTTTTTCTTCGTTACGTTAGGAATGATTTTTTTAGACAAACTCGGACATAAAAGAGAATGAATGACGTTATAGTAAGAGATTTGTTATCATCAACGGATTGCTAACCAATCGTTCGGAGATATTCTTTATATATTTGTGAAAATTATTCATATACAATTGTTATCATTGAAAAACAGAATGAAAGCAATGATATATCATCATTCAATTATCGGATTTGTTATCGCATTGCGAACTTCAACAAAAAGTTTATCCCAATCCCATACTTTCCTATCCTGAAAAAAAAGCGAAGGTTATTCACGAAGCGAAAGAAGTGATTTTACTTCAGTATCGATTTCTTCTTGCAAGTTAAGATTGTGATACAGAATTCCTATGTCGATTTTGGGATCCTGAGAAAATAATACTTCGATGGGTTATTATTGAAATCTATACTTACAATATATTGACTGGCGCGTGTACGAGAAAATTCTTTCTCGATCTCCTTAAACGTTGCTATTTGATGAACAGAGAATCTAAATCATAGGGACACAATCAATGGATCAATTCAATTTTAGTATCGATTTACTCAGGAGCAGCTTCAGTTTCGGGAGCCATATCAATCCTCTCGTCATCATCAGCATCGTCCATTGGGATCGTCGGAATATCTATACAGTAAGGATAAGAAAAATTGCCCTTTCTCAATCTAACTGAATTCTCACCAGCAGCAACAATTTCTTCAGGAGCTCGACGAGTGATACTTCGTCGAGGCATAGCAGCTTCAATTGGTATATCTCTAAAATGAATTACGAGTCATTATCTAGAATATTCATGCCACAAGCAGCGTACCCTTGATCATCGTCGTTATTGGCATCATTTGACCAACCTCCTGTAGCTTCGACTGCAGGCTTTTGAACTGGTTTTTGCTTTGACGATGCTGCTGTACGAGTCACCACCTAGAAATACTAGTTCATCATGCCAATCAATTTCACTTCAGTAACAGCATTCCCTACCTTTGATGCACTGTCTAACATTGCATCGAGCTCATCCTCAATTCCTCCATCAAGTGCCTGGGCTGGTCCTTTAGATTTTCTTCTTGCCTAAAATTTGGGAGCACATTTCTCGCGTGATTGAAACTTCCGTAAAACTGCGAATTTACCTTTGATCTTGATTGTGCATCGCCAAGTCGATCCTCACCTGGCATATTTATCTTAAAAAAAACGACACATGACACTTGATAAAAGAAATTCTAATATTTTATTTCTCGAAGAATCTACAGTAAATACGTCTACACAAAGAAGAAAAAAAAGAGAAACTTTCTATATCTGACGTATTCAATTCATTCAAGTCTTCAGTCTGAATTGAGCATAGCCAGAAATTCGTCAAAATTAACTAAAAAACAAACCGATAGATAAGTTTCGAAAGGTATTCAACTTACTTTCACCATCGCCATCTAAATCGAATTCGTCGATCATCGCTTTCAGTTCATTTTCGTTAATATTATCCCCGAGTTCTCTAAAAGAAAACATTAACAAAACTCGAAACTGAACTTTCCTTCATATTTACCGTGCAACACGACGTAATTTCTTCAATGAAATCTTTCCTGCCTCATCGTCGTCGAATAGCTTGAACGCCTTGAGTATTTCATCACGTGAATCACGTTGAAACATCATTTCCGAAGCTAAGAAATGAACCATTGAACTTACCCGCGCTGGATAAAACAACCTCTACTTACCAACTTCATGAAAATCTTGAAAAGTGATTTTGTTTTTACCCTGACGATCATAATCTCGCATTAATTTCTGTGCTTCTGCTTTATGAACATCAAAACCTAATGCTCGAAGCGCTACCTAAACAATTTCGGATGAATCAATATGCAATAAAAAACAACTCGTTACTTTAAATTCGTGATAATCAAGTTCATTATCTTTATCATTGTCGAATAATTCGAACGCTTCTCTGAGTTCATCATTTTCTTCTTCGGTTAATTCACGTCGTCGACTTTTTGCCGGCTTAATCGCCTTTGGAAATGTTGGACTGGCGAAACTACGTAACAAGTCATTAAAGAATATTGATCATCATTGATCTGACTTACTTTCTATCCATCGTTGATTATAGACAGAGAAATACCAAAATGAACACGCACAACACTTGGTGACCATATAAGAGAAAATACCTGAGCGACGGCCTCTCTACAATTCACCGTCGAACGATTTGATTGGCTAAAAAGTAACGTATGAATTTCAGACTGAGTCTTATTGTTTGTCATCCGAAATTCGATCATCTCTGTTAAATTAATAAGAGATATCTGATTGAACGAAGTATTTGTTTTGTTATCCATACGGCCCATGCCACTTATTCTACTCAATACTCACTCTATATAACCAAGAATGATCCAGTTCGAATGAATATATCAGAATAATCGAAGCTGTAATCCAAGAGATTTCTCAAATCTATAGATATCGTAAACGATCTTCAAGCAGTAAACCTTTTTTATTCAAATATATCACTGACATCTTTTCCTTCGTGATTCACAATTGGTTCTTTACCTAAACAGATTCCCATCTCGTCCGTCAATATGCCTATCATTGTTGAAAATATTTTTTCAGATGGATATAAATGGTCCTAACGGCAACGCACATTTTCGTGCCATGCATCATCAACACGATGAAGTCCGTCTTATAGACTACGCACGTTTATGTGAACATTTATCACCACGAAAAATAATTCTCCTTCAATTATTTCGTACTGCATTTCGTCGCCTTGTAAATACGATTATATTTTGCTAAAAATTCATCTTTCGAAAGCATCTCTTAGAATCAACGATATACGCCTGCGAAAGAAGAAGAACCAGTTCGAACATCACTACCAGAATACACTTACACCGAAGATGTTCTTCTTCCGTCTTTATTACTATTTCTTACACGAGTGAGATCCTTTGACATGAGACATTTGCGAACATATGTTCGATTTCTATTAGAGTTTTGAATGGGAATTACCGAATCTAATTCAACATCTAGAAAAAATCTATTCAGATAATGATATTGTCAGCGAATATTCACAAAGGTAAAACTTTTTCACCTCGTTTCACGAAAACGAACTTTTACTTTTCAGCGTTGCAAAGTTTGCTCAAGCTACTCTTGTGGATATCATTGATCTATTTCAAGATCTGTCAAAATTCATTTCTAAACGTGGCGAATCCAATTTTACCAATAATGAAAATCAACCCGGCCATTCAAATGATAAAGTTCATTATATCGTCAAAGGATGGAGTCTTGTTGGTAGGAAATATTCTTCATTTAGAAGATATTCAATGGATTTGTTTCTTCAGGACTTTTTCTTCGCCGACACATTTGTTCATTTGAAATGTTATCCACACCAAAACTAGAAGATCTAGTCAATAGCGTTAGTCAATATGTGAATTCTTATTTCCCATCAACTTCATTTAAATGTCCATATCCACCGAAAGAGTTCGGTATGATCGTCGAATCAGAATCGACTGAAGAAACCAAGAAGACTCTATCGATCAAACAGCTGAGAATTCAAACAAAACAATAGTGAGAGTTCTTGCAAGAAATCATTGATGATGACGATGATAGGATATTTTTCTCGTTGAAGTTTATCACCAGAAATAACAATACCTGTGTCCATAAAACAAGCAGAGTATATGCTCACAAAACTGGTAAATCCTTTCGATTGGATCTACTTCATCATGCGCAAGATTTTAATTTTAGGCTTTGAGATTAGATGCAGGAATAGCTGTTGAAGACTATGAATTAGAAGTGCTTCGCTCAATCGAGAAAATCTATCCACAATTGGCTGAAGTGGTAAGTCTATTAAGAGATATTCCATGATTTAACTTTCTTTTTCTAGCCATTCGTTCATTATCTTCAAGCGCGTTCGAAGAACAACTATTCCCAAGCGAATTATTATTTACATCATTATTTCGATAAACAAAATGGATTCCAACTAACGTCCGATATTGGTGCATTGCACATGTCGACACTTTTATCACATTACAATTTCAAGTAAAACGATCCTTGGCATTCATTGTTCTGTAAGGTACAATAGTTGATTCGTTAGGACTGATGCAAAACATGCGTTGAACGATGGAATGTCTATGTCTTTATTGAGATCGGAAAAAGATATCATGCCTTTATGTGTGGTGAGTTTTCAATGGATTATTCATGCAATCAATCCTTTCACTCTTCCTAGGATCAATTAATTGCCTCGACATTGAATGCATCGCAAAAAGTCGATAATCTTCTCTTACTTGACAATCGCTATCTGAAACAACTCGATAATTCATCAATTGGATTCTTAACTACAGTAAACGTGAAATTTGATACGGAATGAAATTCTTCTTTTGCTGAATAGGACGATTGTGTTTCCGTGGAAAGTTGGCCATCGGTGCAACTGATGAGTCGAGGAAATCTTCCTGCTGTCTTGTATGTATAATTGGTGAGAAAACTCGATTGACAGTTTACATTTTTAGACAACGAATTGATATCGATTTCGAGCGAACAGATGTCAAACCGCGCTTCAATTGGATCAATCGTGCTGCTATACATTACTTGAACAAAACCGCTTTTTGGAATCTCGCTCAATACAAGTAAACAGTACCAAACCAATGAACTACATAAACATATTGATATTTAGTGATTTCGTTTTACTTTACTCTGCTATGGTTCTCGACAACAGTGAACATTTACACTTCCGGCATACGGATTATTATGCATTAGCTTGTTCATACCTCTCCATGGCAATACTAAATCGAGTACAGGAAAAATCTTTTTGAAACGACCGTATTAATGATTGTGAATCACTTAGGGACAATATAATCTCGCGAGTCAAATGTTGAATAAAAGCATCGATTTAGTCCAGTTGTCCACGAATGCACATAATTTGATTGATATGGCTCGAGCCGATGTTCAGTTTGTCCTACAGTGTCGACGAAATGAATGGGATCGAGCGTTGATTACAGCGAAAACCTTCGCGAATTATTCGCAAGTTGAATATGAAATACGGTGAGAGGAAGTGAAGACTTTCTTCACCAACGAACATGGAATTGTTAATTTAGCCGAACATTATGTTTACACAACTTAAACGAACTTGATGATGGTCAGCATGATCCGATTCAATTACAAAAATTACTAAATTGTGAGAAAGTCTCTGATTTGATATCGCGAATCAAGTAAGTCAATGCTTTCATTTTCGTCAAGTAAACTCGCTTTTTCCTTTGAAGACTTTTATTACTACTAACAGAAAATTGTGCAAAGAAAAACGATCTGGTGCCGAGCCTTGGTTTGCTCGAAGAATGCAAACAATTGTGTATTAAATACAATCTCCGACACTATTTAATTCTCTGTCGCCTTTACGAAGTTCAATTGAACAAAGTACGTCGCTATCTGCAGATTTCAACACAAAGATCTCACTGCGATTTTCTTCTAGTCGATTTCTTTAACATCCCAAGAGTCAATTCGAATACTAAATTACTGTCTGACAGAACTTTTGAAATACGGAGATCAATACAATGTTGCTCGATGCGCGTTACTACTCGGCCGGCTGTATCTACTAGAAATGGGCGAGGATCGTACTCCAGCAACTTGTAAGCGTTTTCATCGGCGATTGCCTTCTAATCGTCGAGTCTTATTTCTGTTTAGACATGTCGGAAGTTGAACATCTGCTTCTATTAGCCAAAGATATCTTTACTTGTTTCCACGAAACTCTTTATTTAAAATTAACTTATCTTTACTTAGTAAAACATGACTAAATTCTACACACATAAGACACACTGTTTTGTCTTTCTGTTTAGGTCTTTACTTATCATGATTCGAGTCAAGTCGAAAAACGTAAGCAAATGGCTAAATTATACAAACAAATCGAAGTGAAATTAGACACGAAACCTATCGTTATTTAATAAAAAAAACACATTTTCTGCCAGATATACAATAAATATATATATATATAAAGTTAACAAAAATCTGTTCTTCTTTGAATACTGAAATGTTAACGCATTGATAAAACTGAAGGTAATTTAATACCTCGACCGATCGTCTGAGAAGCTTCGAGCACACACTTGGACAACTGAGATACATCTGCAACACGTGCGTGTACCATCGCAACATAGTTTTTCGAATCTGAACCATGTTTTATCATCAATCTTCGAGCGAGATAATCATCAATTAATGAAACTGAACCGACACGTATGTAATCAATTTGTGATGGAAGATAAACTTCGATTGTTAAACGTAATGATTCATACGCTAAGAGTTCATAGGAGGGAGAAAGACGGACACGAATCGGTAGATTCAACCGGTAATAAAGACTAGTGATGATCGATGCTAATTGAATGTAGATGAAATCGATAGAATTCGATTTTAGATTGATTTCTTGAGGATTTAGTGTTGGCGAGTAGGAAATCGATTTTTTCAACATGTCTTCGAAATGTTTTGCTTGTTCGTTGCCAGCAGCATGATGATCGCTGACAAGTAAATGCTGAGAATGTTCATTTGAAAAAGCTAAATAAAAAATGTAATCGAATGTACACGAACTTCCAAACTTAGTGAAATCTTACCGAGTAGTTCAATGCATGACGATTGACCTGAATGTGGATTATAATTTCGTCCAATTGAATAGACATAATAAGGTAATGAGTCTTTGAGAAAATTTGTACGTATAAAAGGTGAGACAATACCAAGTGGTGTCGAGGTACCGAATAGATGTAAAAGTTCCACACTATTTTCATCGTCATCTTCGTTTTCAGCTAAACGAAAATTTCGATGAAATGTTAGCGGTGATCTTCGCCGTCTTACCAACAATATTGAACACATTTTTAATGTCAGAAAAATGATAGCCAAATGCTTCAATCACGAACGATTTCACCACATTGACAGCCGCACAAAACTGCATATTGTAACTGTCTAGACACTTGTTGAAATAATTCAACAAAATATATTCTAATTGAGCACTAGCGGAGAAAGAAAAGTGAAGATTTCATTATCGGGATTACACGTACAATTCACCGAATGCAAACGAAGAGAATGGTGCTGCATCGATCGTCGTCACTTCCGCCAGATCACGCCATGATCGCATGGTTAGACTAGATTTCCTCTGACTACCGTATTCAAACAATAATTTTGGAGTGCTTGTTTCAGGTACAGCTGCGTGTAATGGAGCAGGCAAACGTAAACATGCCACAAGAAACTTTGCATTCAATGAATACAGCTGTTCACCCCATTGATGTAATTCTTCCGGCTAAATCAAAAGGTAACGATGAATAGGATAGAGCAATTCTATTGGAAAGTTTTCACTCGATATCGTTTCGATGATGCTGCTTCGACTATTTGCTTATTTAACTTTTTCCATAGATGATAATCATGTTCAACTTTTTTCACATCAACAATCCAATGTCTTCGTTGTAGATTTTCTTGTAAGCGTTCTGGACTTTTAAATAACAATTCAAGATCGATATCTGGCTCGACAACAACAGGAAACGGAGTATTTAAACCACCGGGTAGCAGTGCCGAACGTTCTTTATACTGTGGGATCCGTTCAGCAATCAACGTTCGACGAATTTCATGGAGAAAAAACCGTGTCTGTCGACGAATGAGGATCATATCTAGAAGAAAACATCAACTGTACAGTTGACTTCAGCTTTTCATTCACTAATCCACAACGACAATTTCCAATGATTCGTTTTCATCATATGCATTGTAAATAAACATATATTGCTTAAAAACACAAACTGACGGATCTCGTTTGTTGCGTGAATCGCTAACAAAAAGAAATCTAATGTACATTTCGAGAAAAACACAAACGAATCTAGGCAGAGGAATACTAAATGCACATAAAAACATTATTCACAAGTTGCTCTAATTGATTTTTCGACGTTTCGAATGAGATGACAACTCATTGCATTTGTCCGTGGACATGCGATGCGATCGTTCATCGTAGGTGAGCATGAATTGATCGAATCGCTGTAATAACGTGTCATTATCTTTTCGGATTTCCATTAGCAGTTGTTCAGTCTCTTTGCTCTTCTTTTCAAGACATCGAAGACGTTTATGTTGCCGAACTAAAGATTTCGTACGGATGCGCAGTAGTTGTTTGTAATGCTTTAGTTGATATTTTTGAGATTTCACAATCAGATTTTGTTTGTAGACTCGATTGTTTAATGTATCGATCTGCTGACGAAGTAATCCGTTCGTTGATCGTTTTGGATGATGATGAGTCGAGACAGATGTATGAGTCGTGCTAGGAGAAAACGTGGTTAAATTACTCCGAATAACTGCTAACGAGGCGAATCGCGTTTGCTGTAGTTTGGGTTCGATTTGCTCACGAAAATGTTCAATTGCCATCGATGACATGTCACGTGTTTCTTGAAGAAGTGTTCGTGGATTAGGAAACGTTTGTTGCGTCTTCAATTGATTCAATACTGAATAGATTTCATCAAGTAACTGAAATGAAAGAAGAAGATCGAAGAGGATGAGAAACGATCGATTGTATTCACACTTACTCGACCCGGATAGAAGCAACAGAGCGAATTTTGAATTGATGAGCCAAATGTCAGTTTGAGCCATTGAATACGAGAATCCAAAGAAGATATGATATCAAATTTAGTTGATAACGGGTGCTAAACGAATCTCTTTATATGTATTCGTACGGTTTTTGCTATTTAGAAAGGATTTACTTTATGTCGTTCGGATTCTCTTCGAGGTAGTTTGGTTTTGATCTGTTTTTGTAGATCATGAACGATATTTTCCAATTGAAAATATCCGCGATTGAGTTCGTCGGAGCATAGGTGATGAAAGTGTTTGGAAATCGAACGCAAACGACTTAATTCTGTATAGGTCAACGAGTGGATGATTTTATCTTGGACAATGATTGGTAGATCTGAGAAAGATAATGAGAGATTCGATGTCATCTAGAAACAAATCAAATCTAGAGCAAATTATCACAAAAAGAAAGAAAATCATTATCTAAAAATAACACTAAGGTTCTCGTGACCGATGTTAAGAACAACAGAAAATGCGCGTTTAGAAGATCCCAACAAAAATATGTATATAACAATGACGAGACTTTTTTCTATCAAAGATTGTCAAGCGAATAAAGATGATTGACGAATAAATTTTACCATTGTATCAAACGTCATAAACGAAATACCGACTGCGATAGGCCCTTTGAACCAATTCATTGTTACGCCTTTATATAAGCCACTGGTAATGCCTTCTTCACGAATGATTTTCCGCGCAGTAGCTATAGCACCAAGAGATTTTTCGTTTGGGCGGATTACTGCAGCTGTTTGGAGTCGACGTCGAACAACATCGAATGGGTAGGAGGCTGTTTGACCAACTAAACCGGAGATAGCACCAAATAACCATCGTTCAAATTTTGTAAGAGGACGGTGAGACTGATAATCTAGCAAGGACAATTCTCATTCATCGATTTTCTATTTCTATTAAAGATCTTACCGAAACGGACATGTTTCAAGGACTCATAAGTAAAAAAGACACAGCCGGAATACGGTAATACACCAAAGATTGACCACAAGGCGCCGCGGTATAAAGCTGCCACACCTTCAGTTCGTAAAATACTTACAAAAACGGAATACAAATTCGTATACCTAGACGAGAAAATGAGTTCTTATGAAAATGGCTGAAGAAGAGCATACACAGTTTTATTAGTGACTGCCATTCGAGCACGTGCTAAGTCAAGTGGATACGTAGTCGTCGAAGCTGTAGCACCGGCTAGAGAACCTGAAATAAATCGACGTCCAGGTGTTTTTCTAAACAGAAAAAGATGTTTTTGTTGAATCTAAGCAGTTTTATGACTTACTCATATTTATCGGTGTTTAGAATACGTTTCCATTGTTCATGAGATGTGAAATAAATCGCTGCTGATGGAATAACACGTGCTAAGTTCGCCGAATTTCCTCGGTATAGACGAAGAAATCCTTCGTTTCGATAGGTATCTCTGATAAATCGAAAGCAAAGACTATAGCTGAACTTTTCTTTTCGAACTACAAGAAAAATCTTATGGTCTTCATTTCCAAAATAACGAAGCATCATCTACCTTGAAAATTAATCTTTGCTCGATCAAACGGTGCAATGACAGTCTTCGACGCAGCACCTGAATCAACTCACTTTTATACGTTCGAGTTTTTATGGTTAGTTTCGATTACCTGCACAACCGCCAGCAACGAGTGCTGTAAGAATCTTCTGAGTATTGGAAAGCTAAACAAAACGAAGATTATATGGGAAGCTGTCTATCAGATTGTTCGTCGCCATACGGATGGATTTGAATTCTGATCGTTGTTCATCTATATAAAAATCATTGGTCATAATAAAGATCATTCGACTAGGCCTGCATGCAAGAAAATCTTGAACGCTCATGTGAAAATCTATCCGATTTTGTGCAATATTTAATGAACAAAAGACAATTTTTAAAACATCATTAAGCGAGATTAACTTATTGTTCTTTTTGTTTTATTCTCCTCTGGCGTATTTGTGCGTCAATCGCGGCCTTTTCTTTTATCAATTGAGAAATCTGACATATGATCATAAACGAAAAGTATTCACTATAAATGCGTGTACTCAGACTGCCATAAGAGCAAAGCACAAAATTCACAATGACGGAGAGAAAATCCCGTACAAATACAATGGAATCATCACCTTTGTCTCCTGAAGAAGCAGCGGCTGGTCTTGATCCATTAGTACAACCGATCAGCACAGAAGAAGGAGAACCCGTTTATCTTCGTCGACAATCATCGATTTTCTATGTACCCGCTAGCAAAGTCAACGAAAATATCGATCAAGATGATTCCGGAAAGCAAACGAATATCGTTCGTAAATGTTTGGGTTATACAGAACGATGTTCAGGTATTATGTACGCTCTTCTATCATCGTTCTTGTTCTCCTGCTCAAATTTTGCCCTGGTGCAATTGAAAGTTACTCTATTCGATGTACTGGCAGTGCGATTTTCGATCTTGGCATTCATCTCATTGGGATTTATTACTTACAAAGGTTACAAAATCTATCCGGGGTGGGACGGTCCGCTCTTACTCATGCGTTCATTCTTTGCGGCTGGCGGTAGTATCTGTTTCTATCTCGCTCTTTCGTTTATACCGTTTCCTGATCTAACCACTGTTCGTTACACGCAAGTGGTATGGACCGCTTTGCTTGCATTGATTATCTTTCACGAACAACTGACGTTTCCCACAATATTCGCGAGTATATTAACATTAATCGGTGTTGTGTTCGTCGCTCAACCGACATTTCTGTTTGCTTCATCGAAGATCGTCAATGTAACTTCGTCTGAATATGCTCCGGTGAACGAAACGAAACAACGTTTAATTGGAATGCTCATTGCTGTTTCATGTGCATTAGCGATATCGATGAGTATTGTTCTGAATAAGAAACTATTCCAAAAACAAGTCCGACAAAGTCTAATTATGTTCTACTTCTTCTGTACAACTGCCTTCCTTCTAATCAGTATTCAAACCTATTCGCGGATAATTGTGAAATCCAAATCGAGCAAATTCGACTTTCAAGAAGCATTTTTCAACAAAAAATTCCTTTTCGCTACAATTATATCTCTCCTACAACTTTGTCCAATGATGTTATCGCAAAAAGCAATCAAACGTGAACATCCGTCCATAGTCACTGTAGTCCAATCTTCCGACATTATCTTCGCAATTATCCTTCAAAATACATTTTCTTCAATTAAGACCAATCTACTTGCAATTTTAGGATCGTTACTAGTTATCGCGAGTATTTTCATCGTTGGAGGTTATAAACTTTGGCTAGATCGACAAAATCGGATGTGCGTGCCAACCTCAGCACCAAACGAAGAATTCAGCAGTGTAGAAATCAAGAAATAAGCAGTTTGTTTTTCTCTTATTATCCTAGCTGAAAGCTCTTAAATAAATCTTTTGCTCTGGAGCAAACAGAATGACACGTATAATAATGTACTTTTGCTGAAGCAAAGGGCGACACATATGATGATGCACTTTTACGACAAACAACCAAGGATATTTACAGCGCGTTCAGTATGTGCTTGCGTGGATGAAGAACGCAAAAGAGAAAAAAAACGACTGGAATAGAAAAGAAAAGAAAAGAAAAAGCAGGCGAGAACCATACCAGATCGTACCATGAAAAAGAACATGTCCGTCGCCGATGTCGATGCACTTAATGACGTCGGAAAAACAGATAACAATGTTCCCGTTGCCGAAACTAGTATACATGAAATAGACCCGTTTATTCAACCATTGGTCGACACAAATGAATTGTCAGCGAAAAACGAATTAAAACATGAAGAATTAGCTGGAATTGATGGTGATTATCTGCATTCTCGACCAGAATGTCGACCAAGTTTAGTCTCTCAAAATCTTCGTCGGTGCACTGGCATCATGTATGCACTGATTGGTTCGTCGCTATTCACCGGTTCGGGTTTTGTCATCAAACAGTTACGAGTGGATTTCTTCGACGCCTTACTTTGCCGATTTATCATTCAAACATCTATTCTGACGACGTTTATTCTTTATAAGCGTTACAAGATTCTCACCGGTTCTACTGATTTGATTCTTTTGCAAATTACACGCGTGTTTTTAGCTGTGTGTGGCCTTTTATTTTTTTATTCAAGCTATCGTTATATACCGTTGCCTGATTTGACTACTTTTCGTTATACACAGGTGATTTGGACAGCGATTATAGCGATGATTATCTTTCGCGAACGGATTTCTATTCCAACTGTTCTGGCAATTATTTTCACATTAATTGGTGTCGTGTGTGTTGCTCAACCGACGTTCTTATTTGGAAATCGGAAAAAGCTATCGACGTCGAACGAATCACGTAAATCTGATCGAATCTTAGGATTAGCCTTAGCACTGTTGTGTGCACTATCTATATCGGGAAGTATAGTATTAAACAAGAAGTTACTCGTCTTGAAAATTCCACAAAGTGTTCTTATGTTTCATTTCTCATCTTTAACATTAATTATTCTGATTTGTAATCAATTGCGAAACCGTTTCATACTTCATACATATTCAAATCATACAATGTTTACCTGGCGATTTGCCATTGCCGCTTCTGTCTCTTTACTCCAATTACTATCATCAACTGTAACGCAAAAAGCAATCAAACTCGAACACCCATCGATTATCTCCGTTGTGCAGTCGTCAGACATTTTATTTGCACTCCTATTGCAAAATCTAATCACGAACGAAAAGTCGAATTGGTTGGTGCTAGTCGGTTCGGGTTTAGTAACGGCAAGTATTTTCCTCGTCGGAATACATAAGCTGTGGATATCTCGAAAGGCATTACTCGTGGAAAAGACCAAGGAAGAAAACGTGAAAGTGTAAAGAGAAGTCATTTACCTGTGAAGAGTTTTTATGTAGTAAGTAAATTGAACAATTCAATATTGTATTCCAGTCTTTCTAAATAAAAATGAACAAATTTTTTTTGTACGAAATCCTCTCGTGATGACCAACTAGGACACCTACCACATATTCTATATGTTAAAGTTCAAGAACATTCTGCCAGTTGAAGAGAACAAGATCATTCTTTGATATGTTTATCTAGAACATTTGGGATTGAAATCATTGAGAAGTTTTATTCGGATTATTCATACACTAAACTATGACAAAAATGCATACATATGACTAACAGAAAACAATGAGATTTCCCTGAATCAGACTGAGCACGAGCGAAAAAACGAGAAGAGAAATGACACAAGCAAAAGTTAACTACGTATAAGCAGCTGTAAGTCGTTGAAAAAGAGTTTCTTGACGAAGTGGATCATTGTTATCAGACATTGTTGCTGTTGCGCGCATGGATAAGAAAATATATGCACCTATGTATTCATGAATGCATTTACTATCGATACCATATAATGGTAGAAATTGAATTGTTTCGCCATCGAACTCTATGGTCACTAATTTATTCTCCCAATTGACATTCCATGAACGCATGCGTGATATCCACCATGTTTTCACGATATCGCCCGTCATGGACATGCGTAAAAGACGATTGGCAGCTACACCAAATAATTCCTAAATAAAATGATCGTCGAGCAAAATCATTTGATAAGTTTGCCTACTTCTTTCTTGTTTGATTCTTTAAATTTCACAACAAATGTGGTTATACCGAACTCGGGAAGAGCTTGCCATACTTTCAAGTACCGTAGTTTGGCTTCGACACCATCAAGATTGCTCACAGTTGCATGAGCTTCAAGAATCCGTTCCGTTAACTAGAATAAAACACAATCTGGTCACTCTGATTGTTTATGTCGCTCATAACACATTCATTCATTTATTCGTAAAACAGATGTCATAAAAGAAACACTTGACTTTCTCTTTTCTCGATCAATACATTATCATGACAATTGATTCAAATGTCTGCATCGTATCTGACATGAATAGACAACACGCTTATTATACCATGCCTACGTAATGCATGTTTTACTCTTCGGAAATGCCTTTGGCGATGGTTCATGGAGAATCAATCGCTCTAAATATTTCCGTATGATATCGAACATCAAATGATACTGACCTGCTTGGTTTTATATTTCTTGACGAATTTATTCGAGACGAAATTCTCTGGTTGTATGTCGAATTTGCTTTTCGTCTGATTTGGCACGGGCGATGGTCGCTGCATATGGAGCAACGCTAAGATTGATTCACGTTCTGTTTCATACGATGGTTCATTGATTGACCGACCTTTAGATGCAAGACGAAAGGCAGCCATCCATTTAGCATATTGTTCTTCCTAGATAGATGAAAAGAAAAAGATAAATCCGAAGAAGAAATGATCTAACAAACCGTGGAACAACGAATTAATGCTTCATTCATTCCGTCGATGGATGGGATTAATAAACGAATGACGTATTTCTTCGAAGAAATGTTCACATCCGGAAAGATTTCACAACCTTTTAAGGAAATTTTCTCAATCGGGGCACTACGTTGTTGACATTCATTGTTGTAGTACGTTAATTGAGTGTCTCGCATCACGAACCAATAACGTTTGAACGTTTTCAACGGAAATCGACGTTGTTTCGACAGACGTAGGTAATCGCACAATTCTTCTGTTGTAGAAAACTGTTGGATTAATGAGCTCGTCGATTGATTTGCCGTTGCTTTGGATCCCAAGAGAGAATCTTGTAGACGTTCAAGTGCTCGATCAACATCGTAATCATTTCCATTATCATATTCATGACCGACATCCTCGGTCGGAGAAAGATATGTCGACGAAGTTGATGATGAATGGAAAGATTGAATTTGAATTTGAAGCTAAAGAGGAAAGTTTTACCTCGGAAATGATGCTAGTAAAGATAACACTTACTTGTAAAGCAGCAAAAGCCATGATTTCTTCTTCTGTACAATCGATATCTTCGCTTAGAATCGACCACTTTGCTTGTTCATACAATTGATTTAATCTGACAGCATCTAATTTGGGATTCAAGTCGTAAAATGTAAAATATTTAAAACGTAATAAGATTAAATCATTTTCGTGTGTATTTTGTTCCATCAACGATCTAGACGAGTCGTACCAGAGATTGTTCAGTATTGATTTTTCAATAATATTGTTCGGCTTGGTCAATTGTGGAAGGACATTCTTGATTGGTGTCATGGGCGTCTGAGCGAGATTTCCGTCAGTGTTCAGATCCAGATTGTTTAATGATTTCGAAAGGTTAGATATCGAGCGATGCTGGCGTATAGTTGAATCCTTAAACGAAAAAAGCAGACGAATGAGAAATTAATGTATTTATTGATTCCTTTGTACTGTGGATCGAAGTTTTGGTGTCGTTGGAGAAAATAAAGTTGATATCGTCGATGTGTTATTTGCTAATGAATCTCCCATGGAGTTATGTCGATTGAGTGTGCCATTGTTATTTCGTCGACGACGTGGTGATGTTCGACGTTCATGCAATGCATTAGTACTAGGCAATCGAGACGAACGCAACAAAGAAAGTTCTTCAGCATGACGAATTCCTAAATTTTAGGAAATAAAACAATGCTAGATATTTTCATAAGAATCGATCGATATCCGTACCAAGGTCTTTACAAAGTTTACAAACAGCAGCAAAAACTGATACGGAAAAATCTCCTTGTACTGATAGAACACGTAGATCAGGTAATTGTAACCGAATTAGTTTATGCATGCTAGTAAAATGAAGTAAAGCATCGGACTGCACGCCATATTGATCCAAAGTTGACTTCGTATTTGTCAACCAGATATTTGCTTTAGCCCACCAGAGTGCATAATCAGAAAAATCTTGAGAAACGTCTAAAAGAATGAAATGAGAACGAAAAATAAAGAAAAAGAACAAACCGAGACGATTGACCAATTGAACCATCACCGATCCGACTGTCATGGAACCATTGACAAGCAAAGTGGTAGAATCGATTGTTAAATTCCATGACAATGGTTGAGGTATCGCTCGTTGATTAAGCATACTTCGATCTTAATCACACACCCTCAAGAATATGCTGGTTAAGCCCTCTCATTGTTCTCAGCCAATCAGATTCGATCTCTTCATTTGTGAAACAACTCTGCCTCCCACCAAATATTTCTGCGAAAAAAATTTTTTTTCAATAAAATTTAAAAAGCAAAATCTCTTCGAATAAAACAAATCAATCTTTCCGTGCTAATTTCCGCAGGTTTTACTAGTTTCGTTCATTTAGCGGTACAACAACGGACTGACTGTGGTCTTTTTCTCCATCCTCTCTCTCTATCTGTTTCTCTGTTAGTTCGATATTCGAAATCATTTCACATTTCGTATCACCATGAGTGATTTCAAAGCTATTGGCAAGGCTTTCATCGATTATTATTATAGCAAATTCGATGCAGGTCCACGTGAAGGCGTCGCAGCACTCTATGTACGCATATGCTACTGATTTCCACACGATTTTGTCATTGTTCTACTTTTCAAAGGAACCAACAAATGGCATGATGAGCTTCAACAATGCAGATTTTGCCAAAGGTGCGCAAGATATCGCCGAAAAATTGCGTTCATTGACATTTCAAACCATCAGTCATACCGTCTCAACCATGGACATTCAGCCAACATATGATAATTGCATTCTAATCGTCGTTACCGGTGCATTGAAAGTAAAGATTCGATCTAAATTCTCTTAGAAACTATGTGCAACATTGTTTGTTGGTTTATTCAGGCAGATAATGATCCACCAATGCAATTCACTGAAACGTTTCTACTACGTTTTATCAATAATTCATGGCTTGTAATCAACAACGTTTTTCGACTTATTCTTCACGGTTGAACAAGCAACTTTGTCTCTTTAGTATAGCACCAAAAAGGAATAAAACTATCTTTTAAGAAAATCTGTTATATTTTTTGAACTATAAAAAGCGAAAAGCGTGATTTGAATAAAAGAACCGACAAATCTGTCAAGCAATGCTGAAGCATGTTATCTACAAAATAACAACATGTTCATAGTTCATCGTTGGTTATTTCACTAATAAAATGTATTTCATATACAAGAGAATCAAATTCATAAAAGACAACAAATCTTTGTACGTTTTTCTTTTGTATGATGTGCATTGGCAGCCGTTGAAGGATGAGGATTGATAATGACAACAGCTGGATCTTCTCCGCTGCCAAGTAGACCAGTCGAGCTGCCATGAGACATTGGAAGGTGATATACTTTACTCTGGCCAACATTACCGAGAGCTATTCCACCGGTGACAATGCTATTCTTTTTATTGTGACCACGTTGTTTTTTCTTGAAAAATTCTTTACTTTGAGATTTACTCATTGGGTCAGGCTATAAAAGAAAAGAAATGCAATAAACTGTCAAATCGAACGAGACAACTTAAACAATATCGCTTTTTCTATCTAAATCATTCGAAACTAGGTTATTCGTCAATGTCAATGGAGCTGTTCTAATCTTATAGTCGGTTTCGAAACAAGATGAACTATGCCGCTTAACAAGTCCTGATTGATGGCTAATATCGAGTGAATATTGTTTGCCAGTCATGGGCCCAAGTCGAGCGCTGGTCGATGGCATTGCTAGAGAATGTCGCGGATGTTGCCGAGCGTAAGCGCAACGATGGTAGGGCATTTTTTGCATTTGTAAAGAATGTAGAGAACTTTTTACTACGCTGCATCCACTTGTTGATTCTTGTAGAGGAAGATTTCCTTGTGGCTGATGAGCAGGATGTGATGCACCATTGGAACCGCTTAATTCACTATGACGTCTGGATTCGATGTACGACCAATGAAAGAATCGCCGTCGAAAGATCAAATATAAGAAGTCGTACAAGAACTTTTTCAATTCACGCCGAAATAATTCACCCGTAAATGTGTACAAATAAAATCCACAGCCGTGGTCAAGATATAGCAGAAATCGCATGATACCATCGGACAGAATTAAATATTTCTTGTCATATTTTAAATATGGTTCAATAACTGAGAAAACGCGTAATGGAAATGTGAGTAATAAAAAAAGAAATGTTGAAACAAATAAAATATATGCTAATTGTGTATCACGTGGCGAACGTGTTTGTCGTATACCTAATTGTTTCATTAACAAACGTGATCGACATACAGAATAGACGACACTTGCATTCGCGATCAAAATGATGATAAATGGTACAAGTGAGTTGATAATGAAATCCATCCAAGAGAAGTAAAATGTCAGAAAGTAATCATAAGTTTGAACAGGTGGTCGAATCAAATTTGAACTACACATGATTAATAATTTCGTTTCTTCGCTTTGATTGGTCGTGTATGGCTCGTCGTTGGCTTGTTCCGAGCCAAAGAAGATCAAATAATGAAGATTGAGAAAGAATAAGACAGTATAAATAACAATCAATGTACAGTACGAATGTTTATGATTGAAGACATTTTGATTCCAAACAAATCGTTTCGTCACAGCTGCACGTTCTAGTGATATGACACACAGAATCCAAACCGCACAATGTGAAAAATAGTTCGTGATGAATTTGTATGTTCGACAGAGATAAATCGAACGTTGGAGGAAAAACGATTGAAACGAGTAACGGATCATGAGGCGAATGCAGTTCAATGTGATCAGTATCAAATCCTAAAGAAACTGAATAATTATATTTTATTTTAAAGGTGAGTTAAACTCGACTATTTACCATGACACTCTCGGCAACGAACAGAATCGAACAGCCGAACTTTTGAAATTTCTTTCGAGTGAAGATTAAAATGGTCAATAAGGAACCAATAAAACCAAATGGAAATAATAGCCAGGGATAAATACGATGAAAACGTATGACCGATGTAATCACAGCATCATTGGACATGTTCGACGTTGAGATCGAATAGAGATTGTAATATTCGAAATGTTCGATATTCATTCTTATGAAAGATTTCTATCTGATCTTATCTATATTAGATGTATTATACAAGGTTAAATGAAGTCAAGATTCCTTTTTTTGTTATCTGTCTATCGACACTCTATGTCAGGGAAGTTTTCCTCGCTATTGTCGTTTCTGTCAATACTCTAATAGAGATGTTCTTTCCTCGGGGCAAGGCAACGAACTTTATTCTACTAAAATTTTTGCTTCGAATGACTTTGGGCAGTTTGGCTCATTACGTATGTCCGCTATGAACCGGCGAGGTGCAAATCTTGCGAGATGAAGCACGATGCCTTGTCTGTAATGACAGGAGAAAAAAGAGAAGTTTTGACAGATTCGAAACGTGTTATATTTCTCACCAAGTGAGGAAATACGGCGAATGATGTGGAAAGAAAAACACGAAATAAATGCAGTTTGTCATCAAGAATAACACGATATTAATGCCATCGTGTTTTACTTAATTACTTAGTAATAATAAGTCAACATAAATATAGGGATATATACGGAAGAGTATGAACACATTTCTTGTCATTTCTATATTTATGCAGGAAGAATTCTAAGACTCTATTGTCATTGTCAATGTCGTCGTTACTTCTTTTTCTGTCTGTGAGGCATAGTTTTTCTTTCTTTTTTTTTGTCTATTGTGTTAATTAATGGTAATTGACGACTTATTCTTTTTCTTTTCTTATTTCATATCAATCGATCAATCTATGACGTGACGTTATGTTGTCTATAGGCATGACATATTCATAGAGATTTTTTTCTACAGAATTGTCTATCATTGATATTCTCAACATGCAACTGTCAAACATGTCGATGATTATTTTCCGATTGAGGATTTGCTTTAACAATAGTTTAGATTCCAACTGCGATAAAAAAAAACGAAATTCCGAGCGAAGAACAGCCCAACCTACTTGAATTGCATCGGCAACCATTTGATCTGTTTTAGAACTGTGCCGAGAATTGGTCAAGATATTCGCATCTTTCGGATAAAGAAGAGGCTTAGGTTTGATTGGCAATATCGTATTTAATGTGTCAGAAAACACTAGAATCATGGAATCTTACAGGTTGGTTCCGATTTCACAAAGAACCTACTTTGACTGTGACGTTGTGCGATTTTCGAAGCATCATTAGACGAAATGTTGAAGAGGCTAAGCATTGCCACGCATGACGTATTCTGGAGAATAGCTGCATAACGAGCTGGACACAAAAGAGAAGATAATAATGTAGATCATTCGTTCACCACTGCCTACCTCCACTACGGGAAACATTTAGTTTAACCAAATTATGGTTAAAATAAAATGTGGCTATATATATGCCTGTCGTCGTCGACCAAACAGAGAGAAGACCGTCTTGAGAGGCTAAGATAACACAGATATATCAAGAAGAAGCTGTCATAAAGAATGTTTTTGATTTCCTACCAGTAATTGCAATAGTGCCATCAGTTGTCAATGATACTGAGACAATGGCAGTTTGATGTCTCAGAAGTTTATAAACAACAGTACCTAAGCACAAGTCAAATGACGATCATGAAAAATAGGGCTGAGAAAAAGATTACCATCTTTGAATAACCAAAGAATCGCTTGTCCAACTTTATCACCAGTTAGAACATGTTTTCCGTCCTCACTGATTGCCACTGCCGTTATTGATTGTTCGTGTTCAACGAGAACCTGACATATTTCGGAGATGACTCAGTGTTATTCGTTCGTTTCGAAGTGTTACCTGTGTTAATTTTCCTGACGATAACTCCCATAATTTACAACTACAGTCTTCACCACCAGTGATTAAATACTGGGAATCGGCTCGAAATGCCATGCATGTAATTTTTCCTTCGGTATGATCGATCGAACGAACAACACGTGCGTCATCGAGCGACCAAATTTTCAAACTAAAAATATCTCACAATTAAATCGTCCATTGTCATTAACATTTCTTACATATTATCTCCGTTGCCTGATACAACATATTTCCCATCAGGAGAAACAGCAAGCATTTTACATGGAACATTGTACTAGAACAACACGCAGGGTTGCGTCATCTGATCAATTAAGATTAACATACCGAATCGATTAATTCACCCGTATTAGCCCACCATGTTTTGATATAATTCTGCTCATCGCTGGAAAGAATCTTTCGATTATCTTCTAATATACGCAAATGCGATATGGGAGCTGAGTGTGCCTAGAAAAACATGAATGTAGATTCGGCTAGAGCACGCTATTAATTTACTGTAAATTCGGTAACGATCTCTCCCATTTCATTGTCGTACACTTTCACAGTAGTATCTTTCGAACCCGATAGAGAAAATAGATACGAGTGTGAAAGAGCAACTTGTGTGACGGGCGCTCGATGATCGACGATCTGTTCGGTTAATTCGCCATCGATTAGATTGAATAATCGAACGACTCCATCGGTACTGCCCGCGATGGCAACGTCACCTTCACGTGAAATTGACAAAGCCGTAGTCGGATTGGCCGATGAGGGCAAATCGTCATTAGGAAAGCCGTTAAATTGTTGTTTTACATTAAGCACATGTATAGCATTCTAAACAATCGATCAATAGCCTGGATTTGATCGGATAGCTATCACAACATACTTCTGCAGCTGAGAAAAGAAAACAATCGTCAGCTGAAACGTAGAGATCGGAGACAGATGTTTGATGATGTGTTAGTGCTCGAAGAAGAAGACGAGAACGAAAATTGTAAACATAAACATGCGCATTGCTGCACCCGACGTAACAACATATGGAATCTTGTGATAATGAAAGACTTGTTACCTAGGAAAGAAATGTCTTCGAGATACTGCTTTGCTTCTTGTTCGTCTTACTTCCGTTGAATGTCCTTCGAGACGATGAATATCACTGCCTGTGACTAAAGATTTCACTTGTACTGATGTATCGTCACAGGCAGCGATAATGAACGTATCGTCAGCCGATAGAACCATGAAACGAACAGGTGATCCAATCGTGTCGATTATGTCCAGTAATTGCATTCCTCGAAAAGTCCATCGTTTTATTGTTTGATCACGTGATGCTACAAGTCAAAAGAAAAGTTCGAGCTCTGCGTTTGTCGCCGAGAATATCAAACCTGAAACCAAAACTGCATCGTCCTGTGTAAGTGCTACTGCTGTCACAGCATCGAGATGTTGTTCGACAGAATGCTCGATTTCGCCAGTTTCCAAACGAAGGACAATGATCAGCCGATTTCGCGAACCCGTTACGATATGTTCATTGTTGTGTGACACAGTCATACAAAGAATTTCATCTTGGTTAGTACTAAACAGAGCAAGCGAGGGATGTCATTTATTATGTCTTGCGCTAATTTTACTTGTATGTGTTTTCTAGGTCGCCTGAATTCAGGTTAAATAACTTTATCGTTCGATCGACAGACGCAGAAACTAAATATTTGTTGTTATAAGTCAATCGTATTGAGGTTATCAACGCTGTATGACCTGAAAGAGTAAAGTGCACACTGAGTGATGCGACGACAACGTTGGGAATAATTACTGGTGAATTTTTTCACTAGTTTCTTGGATGGGATGTGATACATCGCTATTTCGTTTTGTCGTGTTGTACAGAAAACATGTTGGTTGAATGTTGTAGGTGCGATTTTAATAGCACCATCGGGACATGGTAGAATTGTCACTGTCATTGGTGGAATGGTTGAAAGCCACGATGAAAGTGGTACGAAAACAGGTGTACCACAAGATTCACACCATTCATGAGCTTGAACGTACAGAGATTCGATGTGCTCATTGTAACAACCTATGAACAACACGTAGAGAGACCAACATGTGCTCTTTGTCTTACTTTTGATGTTTTTCAAGCGCAAAATAATCTCTCCGCCGAGCAACAGCGGATCTTCTGAAACAATATTTGCAATGGTTTTCAATGTCGCTTGAATCAGAAGAACATCCGCATCGAGAATATTGCTACAAATAATATCGAACTCCCATAACAATTGCTCAATAGATAATCCATGGATTTTCGAAAGTAGATATTCAAAACAGCATAGAGTATATTCCTTCAAACGATCGATGTCACCTAAATGAACGATCCTCACTCATCCGTTCATACGCAAAAGACGAGTTCTTACCAGAATGCATTAGTTGATACCATAGTTCACCGAGTCGTCGATAATTATACGCCGTTTCAGAGTAGAGCAGTGGCTGTTGTATGATAAATCGTCGACCATTATCTCCTCTGAACAATTCTTCGTGTATTTCTCAATGAACACAAAGAGATGTTTACCTTATTTGAACATTTCGATTCATTTCAATTAACGGTTTCGACTCGATGAAGGCTTCGAGAAAATAATTCGCAATATCCCGATGTGCAATTCGAATATCTTCCACACGTTTTAAATATTTCTGTTTCATATGTCGTCGAATGAACGAATGACTCCAACAAATCATAATTTTCAAATCAAAGCATTTTTCTGATAGAAGTGGACCTATAAAACAAACCGAATTCCTCTGACAGACTTCGTCTCTCTTGTTAAATGATTCTTACCTAAAACATGTTTTATCGCGATCCATAACGACGGTGGAAAACGCAGATATTTTGGTAGATCTCGTGGAAAGTATTCCAAAAAAAGTTCGTTATTACATGATAGAATATCTAATAATTCGATTTCGCTGATTGCTGCTTGCGATGAACTGATATAATTGAAAATATACGAACAAATTTTCAGTCCGAATCGTTGTTCACAATAGTCTGTTATTACACAAAAAAAGAACGAGAATACAACAAAACTATCTATGAAAACCCTTCGACTTACCAATGTAAGCATTGAGTACATCATCAAGACTCAAATTTGTAAAGTCTAATTTCCTCCTTTCTTGCGATAAGTAATTCAAATACGTTTCATTCAAAGTCAGTCGGAGAAGAAAAAAGATTTGCGATTGTTTATCCAATTGTAGATAAGCCGACTTCGATATTGTTTGCAAAACCGATTCCGGTACATTTCGTTGGATGGCATTCAGTTCAGATTTGATATACGACGTCAAATCCGTCAGATGAATGAACTCGCTTGTCAATGGTAGTTCGATAAGACAGTTTTCCTTCCCAATTCGATCGACCATCTCACGGATTTGCACATCACATGTCGATGTCGAATGAACACTTCGACTGACTGATAGAATAACGTAAACCTATCATATTAAATGATAGAAAATTCAGTTATTTTAATGAATATTCAGCCTACTTTTGGTGGAAGTAACTGCAGCAATGCTTGATAAATCGGCATCGACGATATATGTTGACTTTGTGGTGTAATGTCTTCAATCCCATCGATCATTAATACCAAAGGCTTTTGACTTTTCGATAGAGTTTTCAACGTCGTCTGATAAAATTCAATGCGGTTATTCAATTGATCATCTGTTTGAGCGGATGCATGTTGCAGTGAACTCATTTGTGAGCATATCGACGAGAAGGCCTCGGCAATATATCGCGAACGTGAGGTGAAGTTTAAATATCGCACAATACATTGCGTCGTTTTACCCAATGTCCTCAAAAGGTACTGAACGAGTTTCGTTGCTAGTAGAGTCTTTCCCGACGCTCGGCTGCCGAATATCATGTAAGGATAGTGTTCGGAGGTATTGGCTAATGCGAGCCATTGTTTAAATGAATGATTCGTTTCGATAAAATGTTCGAACCCTAGACAGGTCGTCGACAAAAGTTTCGAATAGTAGGTTAGATGTACAAGAGATTCATTGTAGAGAACTTGCTGGGATAGTTTCAGATGATTCGACAGAGTAAGATCGATGAATCGTTCATGTAACGATTTAATTCGCAGAAATATAGACGCATTCAATGTACGTAGGTAGCGCTGATAATCCGAGTCATTCGATTGAATATCTCCATTATCTTTCCAAGGCACATTGAGAATAGTTCGATTATCTTCGACTTTGAACTCGTTGGCATCATTGGAAGAAAGCTTATTTGTCAACGATTCACGAAAACGTTTCAATTTCTCTTGACGAATCTTATCGAGACGGCCACCAGGAAGAAGATCAATATAAAACTCATTTCCTTTACTTTTCTCTGTCAAACCTTCAAAGAAAACAAAATAAAGAAATACTCGAGAATTCTTCAGTCTTAGATAAGCACTATTCACACAAGAAACCAAAATATTTCTTTCTATAATTATCAAGCTCTCGAAATATATTTCACTTTGTTCTCCTACTTAAACTAGTTTTCTTTTGAACGGAGCGAAGAAGTTTTTCTACTTTCCGAGGAATTCCACCGGGCGATTATCTTTGATATTTTCCCTTTCCCCTCGTGTACTTTTCATTACATTTAATCATGATTATCTTGGATGACATTATTCTTCCAGTTAATACACATCTTTTGGGAGAGCATAACTCGAATGTATGATGATAAGCGTGGATTAGAAATGAGAAGACAATCAACATGAGAGATGTCAAAAATAAAAACAAGAAATATGAGAAAACCATTCGATTCGCTTTTCAACAAGTGTAAAGTTCAACATACCGTCAAATTGCCGTAAAACGCACATACAACCCGATGAGGAGAGTTTAGTTGAGAAATTGAACAACATTTCCACACCGGACAGTAAAGGAATGTCGTGTAAAATTTTCGAATTGGATTTTTCGTGTGCAACACTGAGAAAAAGATCCACGAGATGCGTATATGCTTCGTTCCATTCGAGATTTTCACGTGTGTTCAAATCATATGTCGATAACGATCGTGCCGAAAGATTGATGAAGTTTTCATCCGGATCTTTTAACTTATAGATAGATGGCGATGATTTATCATCAAATAAATACCAGCGTTCGAGTAATTTTACATCTAAACATGTCAAAGCGAACAAGATTATCCACATGAAATGCATCAAACTACCTTTGCCGAGATCCGTCGCCGAGTTTTTCACATTATTGAAATCCATCACGGACAGTTCAATCGGTAAAACAATATGTCCGTACTTATTTCCCACGAAAGTTAAAAGAAAAAGCCCACTCGATTGTTCGTACGTATGTTGTACTTCCTTCATATACCGTAGAATATGATACGGATTCTTCGATGAATCAAAATCCCAATTTAAATTCCAATCGATAAAGTAAACATAGATTCCTTGGGTGAGAAAATACTGTTGCAGTTTAGGTAAAGTTTCCGTCACCAACATATCGCGTTCAATGTCAAATTCTAAGAAGAAACACGTGATTCGTTCGATTCACTGACGAAATGTTCTTACCATTCTTGTTCGATATAACGAGAACTTTAATTTGATTCCAGGCGACTTTTGGTAATGATTGATGACCATTAAATAAGACTTTGCCTTGCATTACATTTGCATAAGCATCAAAACTGCTGACATTTGTACTATTTATGTTTGTGACGGGTTCGGTTACCATGGTGAAAATGAATGCAAGAATTAGATCTCGTCGTCGCCGTCAATTATATAACCATTTATCTGTCGATCTTTGAACTATTATCATATCAAAAGTGAGGAAAAACAAAATAGGCCTGTTGAGATTTTTTTCGGGATTGATGATCAAGAGTACTTAGCCAAGTAGATTTATAGACTATTAAGAACTTGAAATAGCTAAGACTGGAGTGTCGATCTGTAATAATCGCTAAAGTGTCAAGATTTCTCTCTTGCTCTTGCGCGCGATCGCTCCCCTCCCTTCTTCTTTCGAATTACAACTGTAACGAGACGCCGGAACGTTACTTATCGATCATGCCGAGGAAAATCTATTCGATCTGTCAATCTCTTGAAAACGGAAATGAAAAGAGTTAAAGCTAATGAGAAAGAAAATCGCTTTTGTTTATATCTATCTATCTATATTTATGGGTAATATCAATGATTGTCTATTTCTTCGATGTTTATCATTTGTTTTCTTTGACTTGATCTATCAACTAATCTTGAGATTCCCTAATTGGAATTAGACAATGTCTCCGGAGATCTGACTTACACGAATCTCATGTGTTGTTGATGAATAAAGTTATTTTCTACTTAGAAATGTTGTTGAATACAAAAAAAGAAAATAGTTCATATGACGTCGATGGTTGGTATTAGAAACAGAATTTAGATAAATATACTTTATTCTTATCCCTAACTTCCATCTTTCATTTATTTTCCTCGTTTTTTTATCGACGTGTCTGCATGTGTGTGTGTGTGTCTCTGTCTCTCTCTCTCTCTCCCTCTCATTTGTTTCCTTTTTCTCTTTGAACACGTCTACAGTATTTGTCGCTCTTATTTTTTTTCATTATTAACATCACTGGTACCCAGTTGATAAGTAGCAGGACTGAGAGAAAGCATAAGCTCTAACGTGAAGACAAAGTAGGCGTTTTTATCGCGTGTTCTAGTAACATCCGACATTTTCTTGCAATTCTTTTCTCTCTATTTCGCTCTCTCTCTCTCTCTTGCCCCATTTTGTCTGACGCCGACAGATGAAAGTAGACGGCAAGAGAAGAAGAGTTCAAATGCTCACTAGCTCTTACTAACATCAGGCGACAAACTACTGAAAAACTGACTGTGGATGTTCAAAGAAGTTTTTGCTTTTCTTCTCTTATTCTCCATCGGAACTATCATTATGTACTTATAAGTAATAGAGAAAAAGAAGAAGAAAACTAGAGCATACTAACATGATCATCGTCATTTTTGTCAACCGATCACAATATGAGAACAAAGCATTAGTGACGTTGTTACTATTACAATCACTATGTTGTGTCCTGATGCTGTCGAGCGTGAGAAAACTGAAGAAAAGACATGTAATTACCATAGCAAAAAAGTTATTTATATTCATTTTTTTCTTCACATTAATTCTCAAACAGTTTGACTTGTTTACATATCTATTATTAAAATCCAAGAATAGATTGATGAGAGAGAGAAAAAAAAATGAAGAAGAAAACTTAATATATAATAAATGATCTATACCGGAATATATTCCGACCATATTTTCTCTTAATAGTGCGCAAGCATGCATCAAAATAAGATTCTTTTCATAACACGCAAAGCACGTTCGGAGCCATTGAATTGATTAGTATGATTGTTAGAAATAGCGCAATATTCCATAGATTTAGCATGTGTATTTGTATTTAGATGCAACGAAATTTAATCGAGTGTAAGCTAGAGAGATATAAAACCGGAAGATATGAAGCATCTGTGATTGAAATCACATAATGCATGAATGAAAATTCAACCGACGAAGGATGTTCATCGTACGGCTATCGAGCTATGACAGACAGGTGAATCTTTATAGTCTGGAATGAACATCCGCTTAGTGTATCGTTTGATTAAACAAGCACAAAGGTGTAAAGTTGCTCTAGAATTTAGTCGAGTGGATGAAAGATAAATAAGAAACACAATCGATAATGATAATTGGCCAATGTTTTCTGTCAGAATGTGAGATTCTTTTGATCTAGAATGCACGAGTAGAGATTATCGGAAGTCCACAGCGGTGTTTTTCGCTTGACTAATTTTATAGTTAGCAATTGAAGTGATGAGAAACATCTAGTGTAACACTGCTTCGATTTGGTATCGTCGCGACTGAAAGAAATGACTTATTATCTGGAAGGATATACTTACCAGATTAATTGACTACAGTAAATGCGATAAGGGTCGAGATCGGCATCGTTAGCGCAATTCTCCTGAGATCGAATTGTGAAACATGAAATGACTACTGTTAATAACTTCAATGAAAAGACTTCTTTAACCTTTGCGTTAATCTGAATAGATGCATTCCGAAGAAAATATCATTGTTAATTTCGTCTCTATAAATAACTAATCTTGATATTTGCTTCTTTTTTCTTCCGTCCCGGCTCTGTAACTCACAAACATCCACAGATCTTTTGTGTCTGTATTATGCTGATATGATCTAATCTGATTAGCAAACAGCGATTAATCAGACATCTGTATAAATATTAATTCATAATATTCGCAGATGAAACTTTTGTACAAATGAAAAAGTTTTATTTTAACAAGTAATAAACTTCATTTATTGAATTTGTTGATATCTTGGACTTCTGGATTGCATTCGACACAATCGAATTGAACATAGGAGGATGCCGAATATCATAAATAAACCTGATAGACCACCGGTAACAATCCACACATATCGCGATGTTTTTCCTCCACAAATCGCTTTATATAACGCACACGGTCGAATTGTTTTCGGCGATTCGAATGTTAAATAGTAGACCCAAGCATCATGAATTGGATTAATCTGAAGATCGTAATAGCAACCACGACAATCAAGTGTTTGATTTACATAATATGTCTCTCCGCTAAGATCTGTTTGATAGCTGAAATAAGCATTCTGTGAGCGTGGGCAATCATTCGAAATTGATATATTAAAATGTATATAATCATCGTCGCAAGTTGAATTAATAACACATAATTTGCATGCGATAATTTGATGATAGAATAGAACGAAACAAAAACAAAAGGCGACGACGTTTTGCAGCATTGTAACACGCAGGAACAAATGAATTTCGAGCGAAGTCTCCTGACGATGTGTTCTTATCTGATATTGTTTGACTTTTACAGGTCATTTTGTACCCATAATTATCAATTCACGTGTTTACGAACGAGCTCTTCGTTTGTTTTGCGTTTTTATTTTCATATTATTATTGAAAGAAGAAAACAAATGTATAAATATTCACAATAAAAAACACGACACCAAATGCATACAATGAAATACATGCAATTATGACACAACGAAGAGAAAATCTGCAAGTATAGTAGACGATTACAATAGTGAAAGTAACAGTACGACTAACTGTTCGATTAAAATAGATGTGAAAGGAGAAAGAGAATAAACACGAAATGAATTCCTGATTGATAGAAATGCTTTAGAGAATTGAAAAAAAAACAGTTTTCATAGAAAGCTGTTTCAAAAACTTGACAGTGTAAAAGGTTTTTTTTTATCGATAAAGATTAAATGCATACCAGTGGATCTGCTCTAAAGATACTTTTGAAATCAAGAGATACATGTAAAACGAGATGAATCTTTATTGATCGAATGGTGGTTGATACGAACGTATGATTGACTCATCAGAAAGGGATATTGCATTGGCGCCAGGGAAACTTGCATAACCGAAATTCTATGAAGCATATGAAAGACGTCGAATTAGTTCGGAAAGAAAAGCACTTACAGATATGTTCCAAGTAGGCGCAAATAGTTGAGGGCCGTTAGTAGCGAGAATTTGGGAGAGAAGTTCTAAACTAAGACCATTGGTAGATGGTGGAGGTAGGGGAAGCGGTGGTAAACGTTCGTTTTTAATCATAGTATATGGATTGATTGTTTCGCAGGGTAGCGAAGATGTCGAGGAAGACGAAATGGAATTATTGGAGAAATAGTCCATTTCAGTTGAAGATAGTTGAGGAAGTTTTCGTGGATGTTCCAGATGAGGAGATTTACTAGTTTTGATTATGTGTTGATGAGTAGGCGGAAGACGTTGTGTATCAGAAGTAGGAGCTGTTTCCTTTGTTGACAAAATTTCCGAGAGCTTGCGCCGTAGATTAGCGTTAGTTACACGAAGAGAATCTCGGCGATGTTTCAATTCATCGAATTGTTTTTTTAAACTAGCATTTTCCGATTTGAACTGGTATAGACACGATAGTAGAGATGAAACATCATGTGGCATGCTTTGTTGAAGAAGAAAATCGCTGGTCGATTCCCATTCTTGTTCGAGAAATTCTTCTAACGTTTGCGGTGGAAAGGAGCGCGCTGCTTGTTGTGTAGTCGATGGTTGAGCTAACGGTCGACGCGGATAGAAATCGATTGGAGTCCGATCGGATTTCGACTGACAGTCTTCACCTTTCGCAGGCGCAGATATAGTATTCGACTTTGAAGGTGAGACCAGAGTTTTCGTTGGAGGACGACCAACAGGTCGAGGACCACCTTCACTTGAGTGTTGACGTTTCTTACGCAGTTGGACATCTTTGGAAGGTTTTGTTTTTTCGATTATTGGATAATCAACATCATTCTCTTCGGTTCTAGGAGAAGGAAGAACAAAACAAGGAAGAATAACGCTCAGGAATAGAATAGTCATGCTTGAATTACTTGATTTTCGAGCTTGAAGTTTTCTTAGCTGAATGATTAGGAGATTGTTGTCCAGTGCTACTAATATCAGTTGAGTCTCGTTTGCTAAACAAAGCAAAATGATTGCTATCGAGTAAAGACGACAATTACTAACCTTTTGTCAAAAGTTGATGACAGTGTATTGCCTTCTTTTTTACTCAACTCAACGAATTGAGTTAGGTTATTCAACGAGCCAGTTGGTGTTGGCGTCTGACTAGTCTCATCATTCGACCTCGAACGTTTTTCCTGATTGAATTGTCTATTGATTGTTTGCACAGTCTCATCTGTATCCGTTATGTCAATTTTCTCTTTTCCAATCTAAATCATTCGAAATATAGACATTTTGAAAAACAAAACAAAGACTGTACCTTTTGATGTTCGAATGATTTGTACTGAAATGCAGGTATTTGTCTGATAAATTTCTGAAACAAAGTCGAATAGAAAAGTTTCCGCTCACAAAACTTTCTTCTTACGGAAAACTTTGGTTGATGTTGTTCACAATAGATCAGATATTGACAATTGTTCTTTCGTACATCTTCATATAGGAGCCCGACTTGTTGTGCACAGGTAACATGAAATACTTGCGAACAGTTTTTAACTGTACATTCACAACAAGCACCTTTCATTGCATCGCTATTCAGTCGACCATTCTTCTTACAAATCATACATATCTGTCCGAATCGTGTCGAAGGAACTTTTGACAACATAATCGGTTCCATTGTCGAATCGTTTCCAAATGACGCTTCGGGTATGTAAAGTGCACATATTACATGTGCCCAATGCCCGTCCGAAGTTCGCTTCATTGCACCTTCTAACAGCGGACATAATCGACATGGCTAGAAAGAAATGATAAACTAGCTTTCAGTTCAAACAAAAAAAAATTATACGTACTGCTTGATGTTCGCCTGCTTCACATCGACGACAGTACCAATCGCCGTCCGGGATAGAGACGATACCATAGCAAGCTAACAACAAAAAAAAGTCGACTTGCTTTAACTTCTCATAGTCCATTTACCTGTGTGGCAAGCCACAGTACATCCTTTGCCATCGCAATAAACAAGTGCATTATTTGAGAAACCTTGATCATCCGAACACACACAACAACCGCCAACTAATTCTTCATTATTTACCATTTTGTTACATTGAGAATTAGGCGTCAATTTCGAAGGGTTTACATGCTGATCTATAGACAAGACTAGTTTAGAACGTTTCATTGAGTGTAAATAGAAACGAACGAACGAACGAACAAACGAACGGAACACTCAACTGCTTTCCTTTTTTTTCTTCGCATTCATCATTCTAGAGGACCGAACGGTTAATTTCATTGGTGGAGAGGAAAAGCCTCATGGACACGGCGAATTGAATCAACGTGATTGATGTTTATTTCTTCTTTTTCTCATAGACGAGTTTTATGAGATGGGGATCTATTATAGTTTAATATCAAATTTTTCATCCCCAACGGAACCAACAGCTCCGAATGTTCGAATGAATTCCAAACTGAGAAAACGACGCCGTCGACGACACAAACGACATCATCTACTAAATCAATTTTTTCTCGGTTCGAAACAGTTTTTAGTTAATACCCAACCAAACACATGTCTTTTCCATGAGTATTACCATTTAAATACAAGAAAAGAGTCCATCAATCCGATACAGTTACACATTTCATTTCCGGACAATCATGAATCGACAGTGATACGTCCCGTGCAGTGTACAGTAGCCATACGAAGAGATTCATTGAAATTAGTTCATTGTCAGGACGATTTCTACACTATTGATTTCATCTTCGATGCAGACCGACCGGTTCAAATCTACAGTAAGCTTTTCTATCCTAATTTCTCAAAGAGTATTGATTTCTTTCAGTCTATCTCATGGCACACGAAGTTTCTACGAGTAATAATGGATCATTGTCATATGTATGTTGTAATCAACTAACAGATTCCGATACAGTGAAGCGAGCTTACGTATTTAATCGACCTGCTGGCCATGGTCAACTATTTTCATTGATATCCGACGATATTCGTTTTCCTCTGTCGTTACTAAATGATGATCATCATAGTTGCACAGTGAAGACTCGCGTCTACCCAATTGTCATCGTTTGCCGAGAATTAACTTCCGAAATAACGAAGTAAGATCTTTTGTTTTAGCTGATCACACTTATTTCTTCGTTTCAAGAACGATTCCGGAGCAAATTGCATCATTTCCAACATTCAATCAGTATCATATTGTTTTGGCGACTATCCGGTCACTTCGATGCAATGATACAAAGTTGCCGATAACTCCTGATCGCGTGTCCATCCTTTTGCTCAGTCAGAAACATGTATACAATGGAATTGTGTTTAAACTATTTGAATTATATGGTATCGAGAACTCGCCATCGAAATTCAATTCCAACGATCACCGTACACGGAAAAAGCATTCTCTTGTTCAAATTGTCCCATCGATACCAACAAGCGAAAGCGAACCATTTTTGAAACAGTATGTATCAATGGTTTTTTACTTAACCTAAATGTCGATGTAATCTGGGAAAATCATTAATTTCGAACATCCGAACCGACCCATCCACTTTTTCTTTGTATTTCAGTTCAAATGAGATAAATATCGTGAGAAAATCATCGTCCGAGTTGGATTTAGCATTGAACCCGGCGAGTGAAAGTACGTGTGTGATTTGTTTAACTGATAATCGTAATGTTCTTCTACTCCCGTGTCGACACTTCTGTTTATGCGGTTCGTGTGCTGAAAATCTGAAATTTCAATCAGCAAACTGCCCCATATGTCGCATCCCATTCCGCGCTCTCTTACAAATCGATACATTGTACTCTCGGCGACATCGCTTGCCAGATAACTGTCTCCAAACTCGTGAAGATGAAGGCGACGACGACGACGACGATGATGAATTAATGTTTGAAAATATTTCACTTATTGATGCATTGAATCTTTCAACAACGAAATCAACTCATCGAAATCAACAGAATATTACAACTAATGATATCAAGTATTTCTGTAATGAACATTCAGTTTAGGATCTGTGATATTCGGTATATCATCTCGACATTGGAGGTAGATTTATTTTTTTCTAGGGAACTTTAATATTGAATTGATCCGAGTTTTCTCTTTTATTCATCTTTTTTTGTACAAAGAATACTCTATTTCCTATGATTAATAATGAAAATATTTTCGAACAAAAATCTCTTCCTTTTCCTCAGAAAGATCTCGATTTTCGCGTGCGTTCAGTTAATTGAACTAAGAATATCAATGAACGTTCCATTTTTTTCCCTTCTAGCGCAGCTTATAATTGCTACATTAACGTTGTTTTTCTAGAAAGACATCAAGAAATGAGCTGTAATAAAGCTAATTTGTTCCTTTTCCGTTTCCGTTCTACCTGATAATGCCACAAATGAGCCGTGCGAAATCGCAACGTTCGTCGGATCGAATTTCGCCATCTGTATCCTACTTTGCGAAGGCAAAACCATTTGCCTTGTTATGACAAGATCAAATATAAGAATTTGATCATGTTGCTCGTTATGATAACTTCATTCCGCAAACGCAATACGCTGCTGATCAGACAGCGATCGAATAATATTGAAGAGATAGATTTCCGTCTTTCGTTTCCCTCCTTCTTCATTCAATGTTTATTTACACAGTTCTGATCAAAGACGATCATTAGACAGAGAATCGAGCAATTAACGTCATATTCGCAGGTAGAAGAGAGCATAAACTAACTAAGAGGATAGAATAACATTGAAAAAGGATCCAGGGAAATCCTTTAGAATAACACAACTGCCATTTTTCATGCTGGAAATCGAGAGATGAGAAAACGATCGATAGAGCTTATTTTGCCTTCGCGAACTACGTCGGCTGTACGATGAAAGAACATACATTTTTTTTCCAGATTGACTTTTGTCCCGTCGACGTTAATGATCCTCATTTAGTGACGACTAACAAGGACAAAAAGGCACTTTGTAAAGTCCACAATCATTGTCACGATCAGCAATTAGACTTGATGCGATGTTTCTATGCATTGACATAATGTTTGACGTATTATTATTTTTCTCGTCGTCTACTTGTTCAGGTATATACAGACACACACACATGCATGCAAAAAATTTCTCAATGATGACGTAAATTACTCATCTTTTATATAATTACATTGTTTTTCTAGCGAGCGAGTGAATAAATGATCAAACATTTTTTGTTAGATGTGAGAGAATTCCTCTACACCTTCTCTTAACGTGACCAGAGAATTAGTTTGTCAACAGAGAAAGAAAGCGACAACAGATTCCATATGCGTCTATTATGATTTGTTGTCATTGCGTACCTTCGTGTTCGTTTGCACAATAATATATACCGTTTTTCTCGCCTTTGCTTTTATTGCTTCAGTTGTCTGCTTGAGATACGACGCATATGTGATAGGAACGAGAAGAGAAAAAAAAAAGAACGAGCTCGAGCCGAATGCATGGATACTATTACGATATGTATATCGTATGTTCGTTATTGTTTAATGTATCTCACAACAAAGGAAGGAAATTAACATATATTTGAAGTTGTTTGTCACTACTTATTCAAGGTAAAAACTTTTTCAAACGAAATCAAATTCAATTTTGCCTTTCTCTCTCTCTCTCTCTCGCCAGCAAATCAAACCTAACATTTAACGCCTACGATATTATAAATGTGCGTTTTTTCCTGTCTCTCTCTCTCTCTGCCTTTACTCTTTGTACATTACACTCTATTTTTAGATTATTTATTTTGTTTTTATTTCTTCTTTTTCTCCTTCCTATTTTTTATTAAATCATGTCGATTCATAACATACTGACGTTAGCAACATACATTATTTGTACATAGACACAGCTTTCCCTGCGTGTATATGTGAGTAAGTATTAATAATCATGACAATATTCATTTATTTGATTTCGACGAAATGCACGTGTTTAGACGAGAAGAAAGAGAGAGAAAAGAAGAAAAAAACAATACCAGTATGGAGGTTGGTTCGACAATAGCCAAAGCATTTAAACGATTTACAATACCCCGAAGTACATCAGCGATTGGTTCGTTTCCGGCATCAAACGGCACGGCGAGTAATAATATCGAAATTAGTATTGACGAATCCATGCCTCCACCATCTGAATCATTAACACATTCGTCGTCAACTGAACACAAACACCCACCTCTTTCCTACATTCAAAACATTCGTTTAAATCAACAGCACACTCTAGACGAGTCAACTCCGCAACCACATGCATCTACGCCACCCTTACGTGAAAATATTTCTTCAGTTATGATACGTTCACCATCAGCGGATGAATACACTCCGAAAAAAAGCAAAGTATGTTTGTCTGTAAAAACGAGGACGAAAACAATAACAAATCCTTTGTTTAGCTTGAATTAACCAGTAAAAAATCCCATGTTGCACGTGATATTAGTTTTGATAACTTGAACGATGTTTCCTCGGATCATTCGCTGCATGAAAAGTCTCACAAAACCAACGGACATCATCGTTCATCGATCAAATCCTTGCTAACGAAAAAGTTCCATCCCGTTTCGGTTTCAACATCTGTAAATATAACGCCAAAGCAAAAGAAATCCCGAACTTCATTTCGACCTTTCTCGCACCTCCTCAAACGTAGTCACAGCACGAACACAGACTTGGCGTTGCCAACGAGTCATCCAACCATTGAGCTTATTGACCAACGTATCCCATCGAAATCTTCTCAAGAAGCAGAAGTTGCTAATGTCACAAGATCAGCTACGAATACGTTAGGTACAACTGCAAATACAGGCCTAGTGCCTATATCCGAAGAAGACCATCCCATCCAAAGCAAATTACAAGTCAAAACGAATGATATCGACGAAGCGAATTTAAACCGATCGGACAGTGGAATATCCACATCTCAACAGACAACCAAGATCACCAATAGTTTCAGTAAGTTTATGATTACATTCATTTTCTATATCGAATATTTATGAAGATTCGGATTACCGAATTGAAGGTTACATATTATAAAACTCAGTCATCCCTGTAACACAACTAAATTGCGAATATTTGAAAAGAAATACATATATTGATTTTCTCTGTCGAACGACGACGGCAGTTTCATGTACTACTATTGTCAATCAGCATTAACGTTTATGCTATCTTCTCGAGACCATGTCAATGATCTCTGTCTTGCATTTAACCTTTATCGCTATCATATTGTAATTAGCATATGTTTTTTTTATCTGATGACCCATGTATAAACAACTAGTCAGACGTGAAAAAAAGATTCGCCGAGTCATTTATCTATGCTTGAGCGAAGCAAACGATCGAATTGTAGATCTTCCAAATGATAGACATGTCCTATTGCCTTCCTAGATATAATCCTATGCAAATATCAGTTGATTTTTTCTTATTCTTCTTATGAAAAGGTGCGTCATCGTCATCATCGCCACCTTCTGGTGCATCGTCGAAATCGAATAAATATTTAAATGTGAACACTCAATCACAACCACGAGATGATATTATTAGTAAACCACTCAAAGCTTCGTTGTCAATGACAAACAATCCTGTCTCCAGCCAATCAACTCTTCCGCATAATATGAATTACCCCAAGCCGACTTTAACAACATCGATTAGTCTATACAATGATGTCAATCATTTGACAGCACCGAATGTCAATAATTCAACAGAACGACCTGTTCTTCAGAAAACTTTGTCGTCGCGAGCTGAAGGTGAGACAAATAACGAAAATCAGCCGGTCACAAAAGTGAAAATGCGCGATCACAGTTCGAAAAAGAAGAAAGGTTTACGTGAACTAAAATCACGTATATCATTACCGCCCGAAATCAAAAGCACGTCGATCGCTCGCACGAATCCACAAGCTTTCGAAACCGACAACATTCGATACAAACTCGCTCAACGCTCATCGTACTATCAGATGAATTCCTCGTCAGTTCAAGCGTTCAATGATGTATTAAATCAATCGAATATCTCGCTTTCTCGTCTCTCACCGCACTCGGCTGGACCAGCAAGTCGAAATGAACATCGCCGTTCGATGTTAGATTTAGGTTTCGGTAAAATTGAATCCTACTCTCGACTGGAAAAACTCGGCGAAGGTACGTCCAAAGCATGATTACAAAAGAAAAAGGATTCGATTCTTCTCTTCTAATGAATAGGCACTTATGCGACTGTCTATAAAGGCACGTCAAATATGGTTAGTGGCTTCGTCGCATTGAAAGAAATCCGACTTGAACAAGAGGAAGGTAAGATTGATAGATGTCAACTAATAACAGGAGACAGAATGATTAGACTGTCAGAATTCGAGATGACAGTTCGATTTCCGTTTATCAAAATCTCATGACAAATCAGTGATACGAAAAAAAGAAACGAACTTTCGTCATATTCTAGGTGCACCATGTACCGCACTACGTGAAGTAAGCCTGTTAAAAGGTCTGAAACATAATAACATCGTATGTCTGTACGATATTATCTTTGATCAAACAACGTTAACATTAGTATTCGAATACGTCGAAAAGGATTTGAAACAATACATGGAAGATTGCTCGAATATTTTGAGCATGAAGAATGTTCGATTATTCTTATTCCAGTTGTTACGCGGTTTAGAATATTGTCACGGAAAGAAGATTCTACATCGTGACTTGAAGTAGGACGAAGACTATATTTGTCCTTATTGCTCTTTTTTTCTTAATTTAGACCTCAAAATCTATTGATTAACGAACGAGGCGAGTTAAAATTAGCTGATTTTGGCCTTGCACGTGTTAAATCATTTCCAACCAAGACATATTCGCATGAAGTTGTGACTTTATGGTATCGACCGCCTGATGTTCTGCTTGGCAGTACTGAGTATTCAACTCCGATTGATATCTGGGCAGTCGGCTGTATTTTCTATGAGATGGCATGTGGTCGACCATTGTTTGCTGGTACAAAAGTCGAAGAAGAACTATACTTGATCTTTAAATATCTTGGCACACCAACGGAACAAACTCTACCCGGTGTCACAACTAAAACAGAATTTCGAGCGTTAAAATTACCATTCTATTTTGGTGAATCATTCACGCGTCTAGCACCACGCTTGGATACGAATGGAATTGATCTTCTACAGAACTTTCTGCGCTACAATCCTCTTTCTCGAATATCGGCATATGATGCGCTCAGGCATAATTTCTTCGCATGTTATCCATCTGAAATCTTAAACTTGGGACCACTGCAGTCAGTATTGGATTTAAATGAAGTGACATTAACGAAAGATCACGGTTCGAAACATAATGCAACATCGTTGATGAAAAACGCAATTTCGAAACGATCGAGTGTGCATCTGTGATGTGTATTGTTTCATGCTTGTCAAACCTCATTGTCTCTTTCTCTTTATACATATGTGTAAATTATCGTACCATCTGATTTTTTCATTCTTCTCTCTTTTTTGCAATTTTTGTTATTTCTGTTTTCTTTTTCGAGACATTCGTAAATAGGATCCTTTGCATATATAAAATATTTATCTCTCTTACATCCATATGCCATAGAATTTCCTTTTCTTTGTTTTTCTCACAAATGACAAAAACAATCAGAGCAAAGCAATGCAAATGCAACCTTGTTACATCACATCAATTCTCATTCTTTCAGTACATATCTTTCTTCGAACGAGTTATTCTTGCTCTTAATTATGTGTATACGTGTATGAAATTGTTTTATTTATAAATACTTTCCGGAAAACAAAACATTTCTCCTGACTTACAAGAATGTAGTTTCATTTTGCTTTTTCTACATTCATATTTCTAAATGAACCAATAAACTTTAGATTATTTCTTGCTTCAATGGAATTTCACGAACCACCGTCACTTCCTCTCGTACGTAGCACTTCGGTCATTCGCGTACATGTCTCTGTTTTTCGGCTTTTGCAGGCACATCAACAGATTCGTCTGGGTGATATTCAAGCATCGGCACATAAATGGGCAGTTGCTATGGAATACTATGCGGCCGCGATAGGTTCGTTGATGTCTTTATCGACCTTTTCATAAAATCTCTTTCAGAATGTTTCAAAGCAATTCAGAACAGTTTGTCAGACGAGAATCTTCGATTCACAATTCAAGCTCAGATTACTCAATGTAACAAAACAATTCAAGTCTGCCGATTAAAAGATCGATCAGAACAGGTAAATGAATTCGCACGTGGAAATAACTCCTCGGTTTATTTTATATCAGGCAATCAAACTTCAACAAGCGGAGCGTCTATCAAAACTCACGCGAGCACATTCGACATCGAATTTAAATCCATCGACGAGATCTAATCGACCAATGACGAGACACAACACCATTCAGTTAGAGAAACATGACGTTTTAAGTGGTATGGACTCGTTTGCAGCGTTTATCTTTCCCAAACAAACTTCTACGACCGATTCAGCACCGAAAATTGCGAAGAAAAACGAAAAGCATGATGCACATAAAATCGAAGAGCTGCAAATGAGTTACGAAGCATTGAAAACTCATTTGAAAGCTGCATTTGACGATATCGAACGGCTCAAACATGAGAACAATCAACTGCGTATACAACGCGAAACTAGTACAATTCAAGAACAAAACGAAATGACACTCTCAACGAATAGCGATGACGATAATGGTACCGAAACGGAGTTAGAAGCGACTTTGTAAATATTCTTAAAACACTCCTTATAGTCACGAATACACTCATCTGTACTTTTTACAAAATTTTTATGAATATATATATATATATATATCAGATGTTTTCTTTAAACAAGATTAGCCAAAGATAAAACTTCATCTGACAAACACACCTTTCAGTTTCTCATGAGACTCATTTTCGACTATAGAAGGCGTACTCATGCTAGCAGGCAATCAGCAAGATGTTGAAAATCTATACCGTTGGTATTTTACTCGTTTTGGTAGCGGCCAGTTTCGCCCAAATCAATGATAAATGTCTTCAATGGATTTGTAAGATCGAATCCGGCTGCCGTCCACTCGGCTGCGCCTGAGATGTCAATTAAAACAAGCCTACTGAATTGATTGCGGTAAACCAGGTGGTTCACGATGCACTGGTGGCCGAACGCCAACCTGCCAAAAGGCTGCTACCGTTGGATATTGGAATAAAGTTGCTGCATGCTACAACTCTAGTTAAGAACGTGAAAAGTACTTGTCTATCGTTTTATTTAAAAGTATTTAATAAAATCTACAGCAATTTCGAAGTATTGATTCATTATCTCTATCTATCACTGAATTTCGCACACTGACCCACCTGAACCTGTCTCACGATACGCATTTACAAAAATAAACCTTTATCTATCGAGCCATCATATAGACGGAAACAACGGACTAGCAACAGTCACAGAGTGTAATCCTCTACTTGAATACAACGCCTCCATGTAAACTTTGCTTCGATTTAGCTCCGTATAGATCAACAGAGTCATGCAGTTGTCATCAATTCGGCTCTATCGATACAGACATACACATTGTTCGACAAGTGACTATCTAACGATGATATATTGATTTCCATCATCACATCGAGTGAGACTATCTCAATCAAACACAAAAAGGTTGCAACAATGATTGCTTACACATCATCGATCTTGTTGGTTCGAAATAGAGAAGAGTCCTATCAGAGATAGGTTAACATTTTTCTCTTTCGATACATGCGCATGTACACACATTTGCATCGGTATGATCGATGTTGAAATAGTAGAACAATTTGCACTAATGTCTGCCAATCAATAATCATAAGGATTATTTCTTATAACCAATTGAAGAAAAACAACAAGTACATTAATATTTGTGTTAAGTCAGGAGGAGATTGTTCGGCACATGTATCAAATCATCAATATGAGTGCTGATTTTCTTCTCATTCCGACAGATATCAAACGGACGTATCAACGTCAAAAAAGAAGAACACATACTGTGAATTTATCTTCTAATGAATGAAAGCACATGAGCACTGGTGATCATTAAGAAACACGATATGTTGAAGATTCCTCATAAGCAAAAGCAAGTGTCAAAAAGTCAATATTGACATATGGATTGAACTTTATGAATACATACGTCGAAATCAATTGTTTTTTTTTCTTCGCAGAGAGTAAGCCGGAGTATTGTCAACTTTAGTGTAACTTTCCAATCGATCAAAAGTTAATTTTTTTTCTCATTGGCAACGTTTTGTTTGATTTTCCAAGACGCGTAATATGATTCTCACCGATTGTTCAAACACCATACATGTTGATTCTTTATTTATTACTAATCAACGTAGTTACTGGAAAATACGACAATCGCTCGTTCAATCTCGATCATTTGCTCCCAACAAGACTAGCGTTCAACACTTTCTGAGTTTTTCTCATAACTAATATACTTACTGGTTGATTTTCTCTCTGCCATTCAGAATGCATATAAATAGTCTGTTAAACTGTCAAGAGAAACGCTGCTATTAGTGTATACATTTTAACGAATAAGAAAAAAGGTCTCTCTTTCTCCTTCTCTCTTGTACAAATCTCTGCATATACGCACACACATGTGAATATCACAATCATAATTTACTCATGTGTACATTGTCTACAATCGGTGCGATGTGTTATTTTCTGTCGATAGATATTAAACTGAAGAGTAAGATATTTTCTAGATTAGAATCTATTCTGATGAGTGATGACAAATTGGAAACGACTGCATCCTCTTCAGCGGACCAGGACGATAAATCGGTATCTTTGTCATTAAGTTTCGATATGAATCTGACAGCGAAGTGCAAGTCAGATCTAATGTCACCAGTCCAACCGTCTTCCGCTCGACGATCATTCAATATCTGTGATATTCTTGCCAAGCCACCATCAATTATAGCCAAGAATCAACTTCATCATTTGAAGTTTCTCCTTCAGGAACAATTATCACCTTCGGATCATGATTCAATCAGCGATTGCGACGAATCGGGCCTTGAAGAAGTTCCTGATGATGAGTTCAATCATTCGAAGTCGTCATCGACAGGTTCAGATAAGCCATCGAAAAACCGACGGCAACGGACAGCATTTACTTACGAACAACTAGTCGCACTGGAAAACAAATTCAAACAAACAAGATATTTATCCGTTTGTGAACGATTAAATTTAGCTTTGTCATTATCACTAACTGAAACGCAAGTGAAAATCTGGTAAAGGCGTTCTCATTTTTTTTCCGAGATAAAACTGGTTTTTTTTCTGTCAATTCAAAATTAGGTTTCAAAATCGACGAACAAAATGGAAGAAACAAAATCCTGGTCTTGATGTCAATTCTCCCACAATAACTTCATCATCGCCGATTAGTTTCCACTCTTCCACTGCTGCAGCTGCTTATGTTGCTTCGTTATACAATTCTCAACAGCAAATGACTAATTCATCATTACTATCACCATTTTACGTTGCATCGTTATATGCCAATAGTCGAAAATTTACATAATGTTTTTCCTCTTTTGCTTTTTTCTTTCGTGAGACATCCCGCGTCATGTTTGACAAGAAACTGTGAACATAGTAATGAAAACGATTAACATTCACTTGTATGTCGAATAACACATTACTGATATCAGTCAAATACCATTCTTTATTTCGTATTCAACAGGATTATCGCGAAGAATGATGATTCCGAAGATAAGCTAGATGTCGCTTATAAACAATGAAGATATCATCATCTATACGTCAACTCTTCAGATTGGTGAATTGATCCACCCGTGAAATTCTATATTCTACTTCTGATGAATGAATTTTCGATCAAATCTCATGTCTATATGTCAAGGAATTCCGAATCGAATCGATTCTTTTCGTTGTTACAGATTATGAACTTCCGAAAAAAAGATAATATGTGATTAGAATGCGATCGATTCTGAAGAAAATCTTGATCACAACAGGTGTCTTCTTTCTGATTAACATTCTTCTATTGATCAGTTTGAAAGGTTTTCAATCACCGACGGATAAACATGATCTGGTAGGTCTGCACAAAATATCTTCGTCATCATGTTTGATTTATCAATAAATACTCCCATAGGCACTGCCAATTGTCAGACCACGTCACCCAAAATTTCCAGCACTCGCCACATCTACACTTCCATTCACTGTGTCTTTGCCATCTATTAAAGTGAAACCTCGTATCTCACGTGAAATCATTCGATCTATTTTTTAATTCATATAGAAAACCGAAACCGTTTTGCCAGTGGTTGTTTTCGGCTGTAATCGACCACGTGCTCTCCAAAAACATATCGAAGCACTTCTCCGGTATAATATTCTCGATCATTCATTTCGCGTTATTGATTTTCATTCGTTCAGAATTCGTAAAAATGCCGAATTACATCCGATTATAGTCAGTCTAGATTGTCATGATCAAGATACCATTCAAGCTGCGAAAAACTTCGGTGACAAAATAAAACTGATCATTGACGTAAACCATCTTGTGAACATTGCATCTAACTGTCATTGACGTCTCTTTAGTTACCCGATCTTGGTCCAATTCATGTCCCCGGGCAATTTGAGCACATGGCTGGATATTATAAAATCGCTCGTCATTATAACTATTCGATTAATTATGTTCTCAACAAACTTAACTATGATGGTATTATCATAACCGAAGGTTGGTTCGTAGTTTCAGAAATGTGTATATACTGAATGAGGTATATTTTTTGTTTTTAACAGATGATTTGGAAGTCTCACCTGATTTTCTCGATTATTTCCAAGCGCTGTATCCGTTGTTAATACACGATAAAACCGTGTGGTGTGTATCGGCTTGGAATGATAATGGTATTGACAAAAAGATCGCTAAAGATTCGAGTACGAAGAACATAGTTTTCAAATAGTATGCTAATGTCTGTTTTTCTTCTTGTAAAGCTCTTCTTCATCGTACGGATTTCTTCCCCGGTCTTGGTTGGCTGTTGTCGAAAACGGTTTGGACTGAAATCAAAGAAAACTGGCCTGCAGGGTAAGTTTTTTAAAGATGTTTTAATGGATTAGACGACGAAATAGTATAGATTTTGGGATGATTGGATGAGATTGCCGGAACAGCGGCGTGATCGTTCTTGTATTCGACCGGAAATTTCACGGACAGCTATGTCGCCCGAAGGAAAGAAAGGTGTTAGTCAGTATGTATTGGGCATTGTCAAAACACGCTTGATTCTGTACAACTGCTTTCTAGGGGTCAACATTATGAGAAATATCTAAGAAAAATCGTTAAAAATAATGAACCGGTCGACTGGAAATCAATCGATATTAGTTATTTGATGAAAGTAGGTCCAAAAAGTGAAGAATTCGTTAAAACAAACTTCATTATCGTTCGCATTTAGGACCGATACGACCCAATGTTTCAAGCCCGTGTTGATGCTTGTCCAGTCATCACTGTGTCTGATTTAGGACACCTGAAATCCGAAATGAAGTGTGCTCAGATACGTTATAGCAACGAGAAAGAATTCGTTGCCGTGGCTAATGCTCTGGAAATTATGAATGATTTGAAGGTAGGCTAATCACGATTTTGCAAGAGAATATATTTCTCATCGATATTTCATTGAAGAGTAACGTACCTCGAACGGCGTATCGCGGCGTTGTTCAATGTCAGCATGGTCCAACAACAGTTTATGTCACACCAAGTCAACGACCATGGAGAGGCTATTGACACTCAGTCTAAAAACCGTCAATAGTTCAATTGTTGAAATATTCGTTCTTTTTATTTTGTTTGCTTTTTTCTTAACTAAACTCGTGAACTCAATTGTGATAAAGTCAATTGTTTCTTACAGTGCAACGTTATTTAATCGTACATCTGTTTTCTAAATAATCTCGTTTGCAAAAAAAAGAGTCTTCACAGCATTGTTTCAGATGATCGTCCGACAATGTCTGTCCGATCGTTTTCGTCAAATAATTCGTTTATCATTGAATCATTTTCGTTTTCAATCGACTCGTCGAACGAATCCTTTAGGTATTCAAATGTTGAGTACACAGTTACATCAACAGTTATTTCCATCTAATCGAGAACCGACATTTCCAGATGAAATCATTCAAATAGCAGAAAATCATTTGAAACAATTCGAACTCGGTTCACAGAACACTGAAGTACTTGAAGACATTGACTTTACTTTACCTAACTTGGAAAGTGAAGATCTGAATGAACATTTTAAAGTTATCGCAAAGAAGCAATCAGCACCCTATGTGAAGCTGATTAAAGAATTGATGGAAGCTAAAATACCAGCTCAGCCAACGGAATGGATTTATGCGAAAGGATGGACAAAGTTTGTGTTCGGATCCGAAAAGACGAAAGTTATTCAATGATGTTTCTATTTGAAGATATTTCAATAATGGCCAACAACCAGTTTCTGTGCCGTACCCTGAGGAAAAGGTGATGGTGTTTGATGTGGAAACACTAGTTTCTGAAGGCAATTTCGCCGTGTTAGCAATCGCTCTTTCATCTAAACATTGGTACGTGATTTCAATCATACATTTCTCGACATACTTTTTCTTCTATTCACAGGTATTCTTGGTGTAGTTCACGTCTAATCGACGAAGAATTTCGTTTCAAGTCAAACGTCGAACTGAATGATATGATACCCATGGAATCCGATCCATCAAAACCATCGTTAGTCATCGGACATAATGTCGCATTTGACCGTACATATATTAAAGAGCAGTATCAAATTCAAGTAAGGCCCACGATTTGTTTCCGTTGGTAACTGAAACGATTTGATTAGAAAACAGGCATGTGTTTTCTTGATACGATGAGTTTACATATCATGTGTTCGGGATTTACACATGCACAGCGAATGCAATACCAAGCCTTCGAAAAAGGTGCTACGGCAAGAAATAGTGACAAAGAAGAGATTGTTGAAGGAGTCGTCGATGAGCAGAATCTAGAGATCTTACTGGAAGCCGAAAAAGAAAAAGATTTCAAAGCATACGCAAAAATGCGGTCTCTTCAGGTAGGACAAGCCATTAAATGATTTCTTTATGTCATGTTTAATCACAGAATCTTCGATGGAGACTGGAAAGTAGTTTGAACAATCTCGTCGCTGTACATAAACTTTACTGTAAACCAAAGAAACCATTGAGCAAAGCAATGCAACAAGTGTTTATCGATGGTAATATGTCAGATGTTCGTAAAAACTTTCACGTAAGTTCTCCATTCTCTATTGTAAGAGAGAATCTCATCCGGATGATTTCCTCCAGAATTTAATGACTTATTGTGCGAATGATGTTCAAGCAACATTTGAAGTTTTTCAAAAGCTGTACCCCATGTTCGAAGAACGGTAATCAACTCCATTTACTCTTCTATGTTTCATAGAACTCTGAATGACCCTAGATTTCCGCACCCGGTAACTTTCAGTGGCATGCTGGAAATGAGTCGAATGTTTTTACCAATTAACAAGAATTGGTCAAGGTTTATCAATGAAGCTGAACGAACGTATGAAAGCATCAATTCAGACATTCAGCATGTACTCATGCAGATTGCTAATGAAGCATGCCAACAAATCACTGATGAAAAGTACGATATCGATCACTTTTTTTCATATGTGTATTCGATGCGATGTTAGATATAAGAACGATCCGTGGTTGTGGGATCTGGATTGGAATACTCAATCCGTCCGCTTTCTCAAATCGACGAAAGCTAAAGCGACGAAAAAGACAATTGAACAAGAGAAAGCAGAAGATAATCCAATTTTTAAAATTGCCGGAAATCAATGGCAGACAAAAACAATGATCGACGATGATCCACAGTTGAAGCCTAGTCCAGCTGTGCAAAACGTTTTGAATACATATTCGTCATTGTCGAAAATTCAGCCACATATGCCCGGATATCCAAGGTAAACCATTTGGTCGTTTGGATTAAAGAAATTTCATACATTAGGTTCTAGTTGGTATCGTGATCTATGCATGAAACTGCCAAAGAACGATGCGAGTGAGGAAGAGCAATCAGCATGGAAACCTGGACCGCAATTAATCTCAACAAAAATGCGAGTTGTACCGAAACTGCTGCGTCTAACCTGGCTCGGCTATCCTTTACATTATGACGAAAATCATGGGTGGGGTTATCTTGTCCCAGATATGGATACTGAAGAAGAAAGGACAGCCGATTTTCCATACGAGTAAGTCGCCTTTGATAAGCCTTCTTACTTGTCAATGCATTATGCGATAGAGCAATCAAAGAGGTTTGTCGCGATACTAGACCGATGGAACGCAATGCTGCAAATATGGCTTTACAAGAAATCGATGATCGCTTGAAAAAGATTTCGGAAGAGATCGAAGACATAGAGACACAGAAAAACGCAGTTCTTGTGGTTGAAAAATTGATAAAAGAACAGCAAAAGTTAATTGAAAGTGTAATTTATTGATTTCATTAGTCTTGGCTTTCTCCTGAAAATCACGTTTGAATTTTTACAGCGTAAGAAACTATTACGAACAAATACATCATCATGTACAATTCATCAAGGCAACGGCCCATATGAGGTGGAAAATGTACCTGGCTGTTGGTTTTTCAAAATACCGCACAAAGTGAGGTGAAACACATTGTTCTATCTCCTTCTGATAAAACTCGATCATATAGGATGGCAATGAGAAGAATGTTGGTAATCCTCTAGCAAAAACGTTCAGTTCAAAAATAGCTGATGGCACATTACGTGCCCATGGCTCAACAGCTGCAAAATGGTTACTCGAATGGAGCAAAATGCTTAGCTACTGGGAGAATAATGAAAAACGAATCAAGTAAGGTTTGTTCTTTACACAGTCGAATGTGATTCAACTGGAACATTCCATTAGATCTCAGATGGCTGTGCAAATCGATAATGATCAGACGGGCATAATTTTACCTCGTGTTGTCGTTGCTGGTACGGTAACAAGACGGGCAGTTGAACCGACGTGGTTAACTGCATCGAACGCTCAGGTAATGCTGATGTTTTCAATGCATGAAGAGTCATCGCTCGTTTTAGGGAGATCGTATTGGAAGCGAATTGAAAGCTATGGTACAAGCACCAGAAGGATACTGCTTCGTTGGTGCTGATGTCGATAGTCAAGAGCTATGGATTGCTTCTATTCTGGCCGATGCACAATTTGCAGGAATGCATGGTAAATGGAAAGAGAGGAAGATGTAGAAATGTCTTTTTTGCTGGTTTAGGTTCAACGGCATTCGGTTGGATGAACTTGCAAGGCAAAAAGAAAGATGGCACGGATCTTCATAGTAAAGTTGCTGCTCTCGTCGGTATTAGTCGTGATCAAGCTAAGGTGAGTGTTTATCTAGTTGAAATCCGGGTAGTTGTTCTACGAATTACGAAACGTTGATGCTATTCAGGTGTTCAACTATGGACGAATGTATGGAGCAGGAAAAACTTTTGCAGAAAAGTTACTGATGCAATTCAATCACAATTTGAGTGTTGACGAAGCAAAAGCAAAAGCAGATCTGATGTATTCGAAAACGAAAGGAACGAAGTAAAAAACCATCTTGAGATATTCTTCTCCTTTCGCCAATAGATATTTTACTTTAGAAGCCGCGTCTCGCAAAAATGGGAAGGTGGTTCCGAGTCCGAAGTATTCAATAGTTTAGAAGACGTCGCTCGTAGCTCACAACCCCAAACACCCGTATTACAATGTCGAATCAGTCGAGCCCTAGAACCACAGAATGTCGGCGAAGCTGTAAGTATAATTCAATGAAAAATGATATTCACAATCGTCTCTTTGACTAGTATATGACGAGTCGCATCAATTGGGTTGTGCAAAGTTCGGCTGTGGATTATCTTCATCTGATGCTTGTCTGTATGAGATGGCTCATTGAGAAATATGACATACACTGTCGATTTGCTATCAGTAAGAGTAGTTATTTTTATTCACAACGATCTTCGCTTTGCTTTTTTCAGGCATTCACGATGAAGTTCGATATTTATGTCATGTAGATGACCGGTAAAAGAATATTGATCAGTAGCATCAAGTTAGTTTTTTGTTTCAGGTATCGAGCGGCTCTTGCTTTACAAATTACAAACTTATTAACGCGAGCGATGTTCGCTAAGCAATTGAAAATGAATGATTTACCAGCGGTAAATAGTTTCTGCTGAATGAAGACAAGCTATTTGAAACTTTCGGCCGTTTTAGTCTGTGGCGTTCTTCAGTTCCGTCGATGTAGATAAGTGTTTACGAAAAGAGCCGTACCTCGACTGTAAAACACCAAGTAACCCGTTAGGTCTTGAAGCTGCGTGCGACATTCCAAAAGGTATATGGTTCCTTTTATAATATTCTCGCTAGGTTTGTTTTCTTTCGTATTTACAGGTGAATCGCTGACAATTTCTGATATACTCAAGGTGACTAACAAGACATTAGAAAAAGAAAAGAAAGAGAAATAAATGTAGTTTTTGTAATAAACCATTTGATACATAGTTTTGACAAAAAAATCATTATAGTTACGATTTCTTTCTCATAGTCTTGAGAAGTTTCTTACACGCCTGCACATGCGGGTAATGATTGATCGATAATATTGACTGCACGTTCATAATATTCTTGTGCTTTCGAATGATCACCCATCCTTTCATAGATCATGCCCATGTTCTTGTATGAAATGCCTAAATCGGGATGATTCGGAGGAAGAACGTGTGTACTAATTTGAAGATCTTTCTCAAAATACGGAAGTGCTATTTCATATTCACCCATCTGGCCGTACAGCGAACCAATGTTGTTGTACGACATCGCTAAGTCGGGATGATCTGGAGGAAGTGATTTCCGTCGAATTTTAAGCGATTTTTCATAATATGGAAGTGCTTTCGTATAATTACCCATCTTGAGATAGATTGAACCAATATTGTCGTAAGAGCCACCGAGATCAGGATGAGCCGACGGCAATGATTTTTGACGAATTTGAAGTGCTTTCTCATGATAAATCAATGCTTTTGAATAATCACCCATTTCACCGCAAATTATGCCAATATTATTATAAGAGCTCGCCAGATCGGGATGGTCTGAAGGAAGCGATTGTTCTTGAATATTAAGGCTTTCGTCGTACCAGCAGAGAGCGTCGGAATAAGCTGTCATCTTGCGATAGACTTCACCAATATTGTTGTAGGAGGCAGCAAAGCTTAGATGATTCGATGGAAACATTTTCTGATCGATTTCCAGTGCTTTTTCGTAAAATTTGATCGCTTTCAAATATCTTCCTTGTTGATCTTTGATGCAGCCAAGTTGATGATAGATGGGTCCTTTTTCTTCATCAGTCGTGGAACGTTCGAGTAAAACTTGACATACGTCTTCTGCTTTGTTGAATTGGCCCATCTTGCTCAGCACCACACTTAACTGAAACCACCCGGAACGTCCATCGGAATCTTCTTGAATCCGTTCTGTAAGTATTCGAAGATCTCTATCATTGTCACTAGTTAGTATCAGTTCGACTTCGTAAAGACGATTGTTCTCGTCGATGGATCTGAGATCTCGAATTCGAAAGACGCTATGCATCGAGAAAAGTATTTCACTCTCTGTTTGGAAACAGCCCATATTTTCGACGGCAGCAAATGGTGTTGTTGATTGATTTGAATCAACATTCATCACAAATAGGATGCCAATCATGTCAGAATTCGATAGACATTGATACGCGTAATTTAACGATATATCTCGCCTCTCACTACAGGATAGAAAGCTATTGAATGCTATCAATCCACCTTGCGTATTTGTCAACTGTTGAAAGTCAGCTTTTGATAAACCTTGTCCACGATACAATCGAAGTTGCCCACAAGAATCGTGTTGATTGAATTGTTTTCGATGTAGCTGCTGAATTTGACGATGAAGATCAACGATATAGAAACCGATGTTAATAACCACGGTGATATCCATGATTCGAAGCGCGCGATTTAACATCGGATAGAGAAAAGATTCTTTCGTATACCACCATATCGGTGTGTGATCATGATACTCTTGGTGAAATTTCTCAATATTGTTCAGTTCGTATTTATTTGCAGCAAACTGTTTTCGACAATAATCGATGAATTGCTCGAAATGCTCTTGCTCAAAGCTAATTTTCAGTAGAATCTCTTTGATGATTTGAGTGTACATAAATGAACAGTCCAGTTCGTCTAACTTTTTCTCCACGGTGATGGTATCTGCGTTCAAAAAACTAATCGAGAGAGAATTATGTTCACATTGATTGGCAACTTGCTTGATTGCGTCGCAAATCGGAGTGATACACGTGAACGTACCTTTAATTTTGGACCATTCGTTCGTCCACATCAAGTGACGCTTCCTATCAGCAGGGAAAATAAAAATCGAATCGACTTGAGGTAGATGATGTATTCGAGGTACAACTTTTTCACCAAATTCGCTTGAAGTGATCATACAAATTCTCTCGTCGTGAACGTTTTCAATGAACCGAACGCATACATCGACACTAATAAACGCGTTAACGTTACCAATAGACGATTGCAATTTTGCGATAGTCCTCTGACATTCGTTGTTGTCCTCGTCGATATTATCAGCAAGCCAGACCAGAAGAACATGCTGTACAATCCGTCCGGTAGATGCAGATCTTGACTTCGTTGCACTCATGTACTGCGTAACTTTGAAGTTGCTAATAGAAATACAAATGGAAGTGAGAAAGTAAAGTTTATATTTATCGAATCTTGAAACTTCTTTTTTGCCTTTCCTTCAGTCGAGTTTTACTATCGTTCTGCAACTATAAAAGACTGAAAAAACGATCGACATCAGCAAGCGATGGTGACATATTGCTTGTCGTGATTATGAGTAATACCGAGAGAGAGAGAGAGAGTACAGAGAATTGACTGGAAGCAACAACGAACTTTACGAGTGACCCATTGTCCAATTTCTTCGTCGAAATGGCAAAATCGACGCTGCAATCTTTATTCTCTTTTTGAAATGAAAAATACTATGACTATATCGATTACGTCCAAGAAAAAAATCGATCGTTGCAGAGCCTATTCGTTTGACTTATCGGCTCTCGGATAGGGCCGTCGAAGGTGCGTTTTTTTCAATGTTACACCAAAGCCCGGTTTGTTTGGATCTAAATCAACCCATCCATTTTTCGGCAATGGTTCATCATCGAAAAGTTGCCCAAAATACGGCGAAATACTGGCACCATCGGCTGCAAGTAGAATGAATTCACTCATAGGCAAATTAGGAAATGCATATTGTAGATGGTAGGAGTAAATCGATGAACCATGCGGAATAATGGGAATGTCATAGGCAGACGCCAGAGCAACAATACGACGAGCTTCGGTAATCCCACCGCACCAAGTTACATCCGGTTGAAGGAGATCGGCACATTCTTGGTCGAGTAATAACTTGAAACCCCATCTTGTGTATTCGTGTTCACCGCAAGTTAATAAAGCAGTTGATGGATTACGTTTCTTCACTTCGGTATAGCCGGCGTACTGATCTGGTGGTAAATGTTCTTCGACCCTAGATAAATCAAATGAATAATACCTATTATATATATACAAAACGTGTTTATACCATTTGATATTGTATGGTTTGATCAATTCAAGCAATTTTAATGTATAACCAACTGTTAGCGCCATGTAGCAATCCTAATAATGATAACATCTCGTGGGAACTATCGTTCTTCATTGCAGGCAAATAACTTACGATCATTAGTGGAAAATCAGGTCCAACAGCTTCCCGAATCTCTTTTACACGTTGAATGTTTTTTCTCATTCCTTCGTCTCCGTCAGCTGGTCCAAATGGTAACGGAAATTTCGCACCTTTGAATCCTAAATTTTTTGCTGCTAACGGATCATAACACGTCGCATAGCAAGGCAAACTTCCTTTGGTTTTGCCTCCCAATAGTTTATACACAGGTTCGTTACGCAATTTTCCAGCACAGTCCCAAAGTGCCAGATCAATTGCTGATATTGCCTGAACAGTTAAACCTTTTCGACCATAGTTCATCGACGAACGCCACATAACATCCCATAGAAATTCGATGTTTAACGGGTCTTGTCCTTCGAGAAATCGACTAAAATGATTTTCGATGAGAAAGCACGCAGGTTCACCCCCGATTGACACACCTACGCCAGTCATTCCGTTTGTTAATTCAATTTCAACAATAACCGAACCGAGTGCATCGATGCCCCACGTAGATCGACGAGCTTTGTATTTTTCATAGAATGACATGGGATTCGCGATAGGCCATTGGTCTGTTCCAAGAATCCAGTGACCTTCAGCTTGAGAATGACAATCAGCGAAACCACCGCCTTCTTCTTCAGCTTTTTTCGATGCTATAACATACGCTCGAACATTCAAGATCGTCACAGCATTTGCATCTGGTTTAACATCCGGAAGGACGGTCAAAATCAACGACATGATGAGTTCTTCTACTTAAACTAATAAAAGCTGCGTCTTTCTTATGAGAGAACCTAACAAATATGATTATACTTTAGATAAGAGCAGACGACGTTTCTCCGCCTTAAATTACATTTCAAACTTGTTTGTTCGTCCTTTTTATTGATAAAACAACAGATCATCGAGCTGTTATCAGCTTCTTAATCTTCGCTATCATAACACAAAATAAAACATGTTTGAGTCAAGTTAACGAAGATAAATTCAATATTCGACGTGTGCTTTTTCAGAAAGATGCATCGCAAGTCGTTTTTGAAACTGTAAGCATTCGCTGCACGAAAGAAATAGTGAAAGTCATGAAAAGAACTTCTTCGCCTTGCTTTCCTTTCCTTTATTTAAAACGCCTTCTACAACGTACTACTGATATACTGCGACATCTCATATAAAACTATGACACATTATTTAATGGTTATATTTTTCTTTTCGTTTACGACTCAGAACAGATCTGCTTATTTCACGCACGAGAAGATTTGGCTTTGATGATATGATCCCTTTTCTTGAAAATAAAATTTCGATTTTCTAGACTGATATTTCCGAATCGAATCGATGGGACAAAACTCGTCGATCACACAAACATTTCAACGAATACGAAACTCTTTTAGTAGAAATGGAAATCTACCATCAACAGATGCGAACGATAGACGTCTAATAACAATCAACAGTGGACCTCAAACTACAAAATTCATATCAAATGATATCAGTACGAGTAAATACTCGCTAATCACATTCTTACCAAAGTTTCTCTTTGAACAATTTCGTAAATATTCGAATATATTCTTCCTCTGTATCGTCATCTTTCAAGTAAATATTGACACATCATCATCGTAAATACATACCCAGATTTCGTTTCTTTTTAGCAAATTCCGGGTGTATCCCCAACGGGTAGATATACGACTGCAGTTCCTTTGTCATTCATTCTATGCTGTGCAGCTATCAAAGAAATTATAGAAGACGTGGTCAGTTGAATCTCTCTCGATTTGATTTTGTCTGAATGTTTCATGTAGAAACGACACATACAAGACGATGCAGTCAATCGTCGAAAAGTTCTGAGTATGTTGAAATAATTTAATATGGCAAGAAGAAATGATTATCTGTTGATTTAGTCTATCGGGAAGGAAATTGGATTTACACATCTTGGTCCAAAGTCAAAGTCGGTGATATTGTTAAAGTTATCGACAAAGAATACTTTCCAGCCGATCTGGTGCTAATCTCTTCCGGGTAGGTTCGATTTCATTGTAATATCATCTGATTAGACGTTTTTAGCGAGCCTAATTCGATATGTTACATACAAACATCAAATCTCGATGGAGAAACCAATTTAAAAGTTCGACAAGTATGTTCGATTTACGAACTTTCGTGTCAAAATCAGCTATGATATACAATAGGGTTTACCGCAAACAGCGCACGTTCTATCCAGCATGCAACTGAAGGATTTGCAAGGCACGGTCGAATGTGAATTGCCCAACCGAAACCTATACGAATTTGCCGGAACATTGAAAATCAACAGTGCTGCTTTTCCAATCCCGCTAGGCGCAGATCAGATTCTTTTACGCGGTTCTCAACTAAAGAATACAGCTTGGATCTATGGAATTGTTATCTATAGCGGACACGACACAAAACTAATGATGGTTCGTTCTGAAAGCTTTGTGGACGTGATGGTAATCATGATTTGTATTTAGAATTCATCATCCGTTCCATTGAAACGAACAAATGTTGAACAGGTTACGAATAAACAAGTGAATATCGAATGATTGCTTTTATGTTATTATAACTTTATTTAAATCGTAGATTCTATTTCTTTTGATCATACTCATCGTCTTGTGCTTGTTCAGCACTATTGCCGGCGAAGTTTGGAGCTATCGAAACAAAGATACACATTGGTATTTAGGTTACAATCTTGATGAAGATCGAGAAAGTAATGACAGAGAGAGGGGAAAGAGAGAATACGAATTATTGATTGACAGTGTTCGCTTCTAGCTTGGCGTCATATTGGCTTTACATTTTTAACATTTTTTATTCTATTCAATAATTTGATTCCAATTTCATTGCAAATTACCGTCGATCTCGTAAAATTCATTCAGGCATATTTTATCAATTGGGTAAAACATTTAAATAGCGTTGCAGTTCAATATGATCTGCGTTTCTTTCTGTTCAGGATAAAGATATGTATGATTCCGAAACAGATACTCCAGCGAATGCTAGAACATCGAATTTGAATGAAGAATTGGGCCAAGTAAAATATATTTTCTCAGATAAAACAGGTACTTTAACAAAGAATGAAATGATATTCAAACAATGTTCGATATCTGGTATTATGTATGGGTAAGTTCCCAAGAAAAATACTTTTTGCAAATGTTTTTATTCGTACTTTGATAGGTCAGGAAATTTAGCCGAGTTTAACAATTATGAACTACTGAAAAATCTCGAACAACATGTAAGTTCGTCTTTTGGTAGTGTAAAGTTCAGAGGTGCTATTTTCGGTTTGTTGCTAGGAAACACGAGATGAAATTCGCGAGTTCTTGACACTGTTGGCAACATGTCACACTGTTGTACCAGAAAATAAAGCTTATACAGAATTGCCAACGGAAGTAGCGTACCAAGCATCATCACCAGGTAGTCCAAGGCCATCGAAAACATCAATCATTCTATGAGATGCTCCTTTAGATGAATTCGCATTGGTCACAGCTATGAAATTATTGGGCATTGTGTTTTACAGTCGAACGCCAGATAGTGTTACAATCAATTTCGTAAGTCAGCATAGATATTCATGGAATTTCGTTTCAACGTGTTTCGTTTGTAGCGAGGTGAAAAAGAAGAATATAAGATTCTAAATGTCTTGGAATTCAGCAGGTATCTCATGCCGTCACATTATTTTTGCGAAGATAGTTCCATTCTCTCGTCTTCTAGCGATCGGAAACGAATGAGCGTCATTATTCGAACGCCAAGGAATGAAATCAAATTGTACTGCAAAGGCGCTGTACGACCAAATCATCTTCTCAAACTTCCGAGTACAGTTTATTTCTATTCAGGATAGTGTCATTCTGGAACGTCTTGCTGCGGACGATCAACACGTCAAGGAGACAGGTGAACACCTAGAAAATTTTGCTAATTCTGGTCTTCGAACATTATGTCTTGGCTATCGGACTTTAACAAACGAAGAATACAATGTAAATAAGCACGCTTCATATCTTACTTGAAAGATCATTTCTCTTTTGATAGATATGGTCCACTAAATATCGTGAAGCATCAACTGCAATTAACAACCGAAATGAATTAGTCGCAGAAGTTGCCAATCAAATTGAATGCAATCTGAAACTATTAGGTGCTACTGGTATCGAAGATAAACTGCAAGATGTGGGTAGTTCTCAATCATTGATAAATATTCACTTATCTTTCTTTTTTGTCTTCTAGCAAGTTTCAGAAAGTCTGACGATGTTGCACAAAGCTGGAATAAAGGTAACTATCAACAATAATGAAATGTGATTTCTATTTGAATACCTTCTAGATATGGGTACTAACTGGTGACAAAAAAGAAACGGCTATCAATATTGGATATTCGTGTAAGCTACTCTCCAATCAAATGCTCAATCTGACATTGGACGAAGCAAATCTTGAAGTAAGCTGATACCAATTGAGACTTTTTGAGAGACACTCTGAGAAATTAGGATACACAACGGCAATTACGACAACATTGCCAACAATTTGGCGATTCTTTGCGAAAAGAAAATCCAGCTTCATTAGTTATCGAAGGGCAAACGTTGAAGTATGCATTGCAAGCTCCATGCCGACAGGACTTTCTCGATTTGGCGATCTCTTGTAAAACAGTGATCTGTTGTCGGTAACAGAAATTGTTCGAACTCACAAGACTAACAAATAGTGATGTTACTCAAATTTTAGAGTAAGCCCAAAACAGAAAGCAGAAGTGGTTGAGTTAGTCAAACGATCCGTGGACGCCATCACCTTGGCGATTGGCGACGGAGCAAATGACGTTGGTATGATTCAGGTAAGATTGACATTATAAATGGTCATCCGTTGCTCTATGCTATATTTTGTATTCTAGGCAGCACATGTTGGTGTTGGTATAATGGGCCGTGAAGGTGTTCAAGCTGCATGTGCATCGGATTATACTATTGGCCAATTCCGCTTTTTGACTAAGCTTTTATTCGTTCATGGCGTATGGAGCTATCGTCGACTGTGTAAAGTGCTACTCTATTCTTTCTATAAAAACATATGCCTCTACGTTATGGAGGTTAGTTGATTCTAAAGAGTCATGATAAATCATGAAGAGAGAGTTTTCGTTCTTGTAGCTTTGGTTTGCGTTTCATAACGGATTTTCTGGTCAAATTTTGTTTGAACGATGGACAATTGGTATTTACAATGTGATATTTACTGCTGCACCACCGATGGCATTGGGTTTGCTCGACCGTTCATGCAATGCAGCAACCATGATGGAATATCCAGCGATCTATCGAATGTCACAGAATCGAACGGATTTCAATATCAAAGTAAATCAATTTTGTTGATCATTTGTCCAGGAAGAACAGGTTATTTTTCCTAGATCTTTTGGACTTGGTGCCTCAATGCAGTTTACCATTCGATCATTCTCTACTTTATGTCCTATCGAATGCTTCGACATGGTACGTTGAACTTTTCATCACGATTCTCAAACTCCGAAAGACAAATGAGCACGAGCAAAATGATTCATATAATTTAGATATTGTTCATGATAGTGGAATCGTTCTCGGATCTCATTTATATCTCGGCAACCTAATTTATACTGTAAATTGAAAGATTCTTGCCTCTACTAACCGTTTCGACACGTTTTCCCTAACACTTCCTCTGTATCCTTTGCATGAACTCACTAGCATGTTCTTCTATAACGTGTTTCTCTTTCCTTACATCAATAGACGTTGCCTTTCGCGACGGACAACTGGGTGATTCCCTCTTCTTAGGCAACATGATCTATACGGTATGTCTTGCTTGCTATCACCTCAAATTACTAATTGTTTATTATTGTTGATCAAAAAAGAGAAATAAACGAGCCTTTTCTGTTCTTTGTTTAGTACGTCGTTTTCGTCGTTTGTCTCAAAGCAGGACTTGAAAGTGATTCATGGACATTGGTAAGTAGACGAAATCTATACTCTGTTCAATGCAAAACTTCTCTTCATAGTTAACACATATTGCTATTTGGGGCAGTATTGCTTCATGGTTTATCTTTTTCGCTATATACAGTTACGTATGGCCAACGTTTCCTGTAGCACCCGAAATGCGTGGGATGGTAAGTAGAACATCAAATATGTTTTATGCAATGACATCTCTTTTGACTCGATCAATTGAACACGTAAACATTATTTCGTTTAGGCAAAATATGTGTTCTCCAGTCCATCTTTTTGGTTTGGCTTGTTGTTAATTCCTATCACCGCTTTACTAGCTGACTTCATCTATAATTGGTAAATGAAAATTTCAAGGATGAAGAGTTTGAAATACTCCTCATTCATTTCGTTTTAGTATTCAAAGGACTTTTTACAAAACCTTAATGCAAGAAGTGCAGGAGAAGGAAGTGAAGCATCAAGATCTTTCCGATCTAGTCGCATCACGACAAACACCAGCTGCACCGCGCGCTACTGAACGATTAGCTCTCCTGAAGAGTGTCTTTACACGCACAAGAACACCACGAGAAGTTGGAATCATCGATAGACCTTACCGTAAGTTATTCTTAATGCAGGACACAATGCTTGATCTCGATCATCACTCCTTTCTATTCAGATGGATTCGCCTTTTCTCAAGAAGAAAATGGTGTCGTACCACAAGATCAGTTAATCCGAACCTATGACACAAATATCGAAAAACCACCGGGATATTGAAACGTCTGCGATAATCATTCTGGTCATCGAGATAATTCGTGATTCATTTGTTTTTTCTTTCCATAGTCATCATTGTTTTTTTTTCGTATCATCATCAGCCGCGGTTTAATTGTACCTTACGATTCACATACATATTTATATTTTTGTTTATATACTATTCATTATATTTAACATATCAAATCAGATTTCAAACTGAAAGAAATCGCTTTTTTCTTGAGATGTCTGTCATAGATGCGCGTATTGAACGTGGACGGAAGACGTACGTGTAAAGAGAGAACTATCAAGCACAAATAAGAGTTATGTCACTTGACTCACGCTTGTAGAATATCGTTCGGAGAAGAAGACCAGTAAGGCGAGACACATGAACGATGTTATTGGCAAACTGAGAATTCTCTTTGCGGAATTATGATTGTCATCTATCATGGAAATAGGATATTTGTGGATTGATGAAAGCAAGTATTGATTCAACTTACGAATAAATAGATCGACACCTGCATAAAAGCCACTTGTTTGATCGAGGCACATGTAAGTTCCACTGTCGTTGTAATGAACAGGTTTAATCTGTAGAAAGTGTCGAAATTGATCGGGCGAATACGCTATATAACGATGAATATTTGAGCGGCCACGTTGCCAAATGACGCGCGGTGGCCGCGAAGCGTCTCGACTTTGGAAATACCAGTCAAGTTTATGGTGAGGAACACGCTCGGGCGTGGAACAATTGATAACAGCAAAATAATCATTTACAGATACAGAAACTACTAAGACCAAAGAATTAACCACTGTTGTTTGATTACTTTGATAGTCGTTTTCAGTCGACGAGCGACGAAATGTGCCGCTGACCACACGCACTGAAACAAAGAACTTTTTTTTCTAAATCAATGAACGAAAAAACGACGAACGATCATTTACTTAAGTCAAATAATGGAAAAAGAATTAATTTGATCAGTATGAGTAATCGATAAGAGCCTAACATGATGTACCAAGTAATGATACGTTCATTCAACAGTAGGATACAAATGACCTGTTTTGTTTACTCGAAGATCAACACCACATGATGACGATGATATTAACGATTGCTAGATAAATAATAGAATAAGAAATGGACGGGGAAAAAATGTTTTGTCATGAACTAATATATCTCATTCTTTCTCTTTTTCTTCTTTTCTTTCATTATGTATGAAAAGACGAAGCAATGCTTCAACGATTAGTCTACAGAGTAGCTATAGAGAAAAAAAAAGAAAACAGAAGAGCAGTTTGATTAGAATGAGTGCCTATTCCTTCGAGACAAAACGCATCTCATCTCTAAATACACTATCTTTCTCTTGTTCTCTTGTTCTCTTCTCTTCTCTTTCTGTCGATCATATCCATTTCGAAGTTAATTTACCATAACTGATTTGTGATGTTTCTATTCGAAGAAATCATACTCCATCGTTCTAGCCTTGACATTCAGAAAAGCTCTTAATTCAGGTGTCCTTCTCGACGTTCGTCAGATAGAAAGATCGATTGGCAAAACGTTTCACTCGTCGAACAATTAGTTAGCGATGGTTGGCATAGGACTTTGTTTTATGACTTCCGTACTTTTTCCTTTCCAGACGAGCTTCCATTGTCGTTTGAATAAGGCTTTTCTTTCTCGTTCGCTTTTACGTAATCTACAGTTCAATTCACAACTTACTTTAACAAATGTTTGCTCGCTTTACTTACTAATATTGTAGCACAGATGTGTTATATTTAGCAGACACTCTTTTATTCTCATCTAACCAAAGAAATACTACTTAGGCGAAATTATGTTGAACAACCTTGATACTATGCTGCTTCTTCATAACTGATGATTACAAGAACATAATTATTACTATTACAAGAATACAGTGACCGAGTGAGGGAGAGACAAACCTTCTCTTCATATTTGAGTCTTCTGACTAGTACACATTGATCTAATCTTCAGAACACTTCATTAGTAAATGTACAGAACTTCCGTTTTGCTTTCTAAGTAAAGCTCAAATCAAGCGTGCTTATTACAGATGAAGAAAAGAGAAGAAGAGAGATCGAATGAGTTCTAGTCCGGCTAAAAAAAGAAAAAGAAAGAATTGTCTGCTTCGCCTCCGTATATGCGTGTGTTGGTCAGGCTATCACTACCCACGGGGAAGCGACATACAATATATCGATCGATACTACTAATACAATTGCTTCTTCACATATTTCATGTTCAACTCAAAGAGTCTCTGAAGAATTGAATATTTTTAATATCTAATTGATCGCGATCGTTTAAGATTGGTAATAGATTAGGAAACTGTTAGTTAACTTAGCGAGTGAATAGACAAAGTCTAATCCTATTACCTCTCATTTGTTTAATCAGTTTACAATATGCATGCAAACATATGCAAAAGATGATACTTCTTATTCTGCTCGATTACGCTTGTCGTGATCTCGGTCTACTGATTGAAGAAAGGCTGATAATTCGCAAGAAATCACGAGCTGAACGAATGAGAACGATGACAAATGGTCTCCTACTGAAAAGGAGAAGACATTGATAGAGATTGTACCAGCGGCGTCAATGCGCATGCGTACAACATTGAACGTACAAAAAGAGGAAATGCGATAAGAGCCGTGCGGAATAAAAAAAACTCGCCCAAGAGGCAACATACATATGTAATTCATCTCATCGCGTTTTTCTTCTTTTTTGTTTTATTCTCCTGTCAAAAAAGAAAAACAAAGTTTACATTGTTATAGTTATGAACAATTAACTTGATGACTAGTGTTAAGATAATACTGACGCGAAGCATTAATCTTGCGAGGTGTCTTCCACATCTGACGATGAGCAAGAATGTTGAGAGTCAATTAATGAGCGATTCAGTTGTTCTTCTTTTCAAAACCATTAAGTATCGATTGTTAAAAGAAGATGATGAGTGCGAAAACGAGTGATCTCGTTCTTGTCTGAATGACAAGTGCTTTTGTAAAAGGGTATTGATCGATCAATTAGTATGCAGAAACTTTCAATCAACAGTTCAAATCGTCGCGTTGAAAAGAAAAAGAAGCTATTGATCGAACTCGTTATTCAATCTCATGCAAATATTCAGAACATAATGCTCAAAGTGACAACGTGTCATATAAGTAGAAAAAAAAGCATCACAGGAATCTCGTTCTTCTTTTCGTAGAGATAAATCCTTTATTATTCACATTTGAAAAACAAATAAACCACTGTGTGTATAAATATCTATGGATACAGAAACAATTCTCAATCGATCATTCATACTCCTGATGACGTTTAGGAATCACGTTTGGTTACACACAAATATGCACAAAGCCGAAAAAAAACAAGTGATGGTCTTGTAGGTAGGTAGAAGAAGAAAAAGAAACACAAGAGCTAGGCATGCACGCAAAGTGAACCGAATAAAAATACCTAAAGGAAAGAAAATATCGCTTGGTTGCTTAGAATTTTGTCTTCATGAATATTGCAATCGAAATACTGAACAAACAAACAAAAAAATATATAAATAAAGTCTAAATCGAGTCTCATTGAACTGCTTGAACGTATTTATTCTTCGGTAGTGAGGCCCCTCTTCTCACCGGTTGCTCGTTCATCGTCTAATTCTTTCGCAGCACGTGCTTCTAACTCTCGAATGTCGTTCATTGTTAAACCGTACCATTCATCTGTGCAACAGAACAATTGTCGATGAAAATTTCGAAATAAACGTTCCTCTTGAGTCATGATCAAATTTTCCACGCGAGTTTGAAGACCAAACCATTTAAATTTCTCGCGAACTAGTTTGTAACAACACCTAAAAGAACAAAACCGATTACAAAAACACACTCTGCTCTCCCGACGCATCTTACATGTATGGCTGACATGTTTGCTGCCATTTTTCATTGGCTAGTAATGGTCCACGACCGGTTTTAGCTGATTTATACTTCTCCGGATCATCAGCTTCTTTATAATCAGCTCGGCTGACTGGATCTGCGATGTTTATATAGACAATATTTCGTTTTTTTAATTCATCACCGGTCAATTGATGAACGTTTTCGGATTCGCCTCGGTCAGCTACATGCAACGTTGATATGTCGATAATCATATTATCCTTCATGTACGGATTGGTTAAGACTGTTTTACAGTATGGATAAGCGTTCCAAGCTTCTTCGTGCATAGATAAACTTGAATCGGAAAACAATAAGCGTACAAAGCCTGGCACGCGTGAGCCGAGATGATAGATTTTCTTGGTGTATTGACCTGTACGATATTTGCCGAGAAAGGCTTCCGACATGGGCTTTTCGAACGGTTGATTGGCTAAAATTTCAACACCTTCGCCACCACCGGTATTTTGTTTGGACATTTTTGCAGTTGCAAACAGTTGCGCCACTTGATATTCTTCAACTGTCACAGGCAAAATAATTCGAAATTCCGTGATAAGCATTGTTTCGTCTAGAAATCAATAATCTAGAATAGAAGAAGAAGAAGAAATCGTTTTATTCCGTCCTAAACTAATATTTGTATTGACATGTATGGATAGGGATGTTTTTTTAACCAACTTGATATATGTTGATATTAAATCATTTGCGAAGGAGAAGACTCGCGAGTTGGCGACATATGTGGACATGTGTGTTTTGAGGTAGTAGTGATAAAAAAAAATGAAAAAAGAAGTACTGAAAGACGTGTTATATATTTTCTTTCGACTCTTCGTTCTCCTCTCGTTTCTTCTTTTCTTTTTGTTCGTTTTAGATATGATCCTCTCCTGCCTTTCTCTGTCTCGCATTCCTTTCTTACACGTCTGTAAACGGATGACTCAGTCAGTTCAAACATGTGACCTCTACAGTCCCTGATATAATATTCTTCGGCGATTTAATCTTATTTAAACGTTATCTAGATTCTTTTGTTTTATTAAATTTCAGCCCAAAAAACATAGTACTGTTTAATTACTACTACTTTCGTATTTGTTGTTGTTATTTATTCGTAGTAATCGAATTCTTTTTCTTATGTCAGGCTTTATCATGCTTAGGAAAAACAAATGATTTAGTGAAATCACCAGGCAGTTGTGCCAGTATTTACTGCAGATGATGGATTCCAGCTGCTTTCGCCACCAGCTGCGGGAGCGCCGGTTCCCCATTCTTCGGTGGCAGATGCACCCCAGTTTTCTTGATGACCTGCGTAGTTTTCAGACGAAGGCATCATTGATGGGCCCTCATCGTAATAGCCTTGATCAGCATTTTGTTGACCGTCACGAACTTGACCAGTGACAGCTGTTTGATCTTCTTTCTCGGTCTGGAAATAAATCAAAGAGAAATGTGATGAGAATAAATCCTATGCTCAGAGTCATACTTCTTCTGGATCGCGATAGAAGAATAAGTCGACCATAACTTCCCATGGTGCTTGACGACTAATTTTTCCACGTAATCGGAGAACTTCACGTGTCAAAAACCACCACATAAGACCGATTGATTTGTTAGCCTAAAAGAAGATATTTCAGTAAACTAACATTCGCTCCTCTATCTAATTTAACCTTATTGTTAGCTGGAATAGCAATATCGATGTATCGAAGTGATGTTGATGGATCACAAAAGCCGATAACGGGAATATTGACAAATGAAGCTTCGCTAACAGCTTGATGATCAACGTTTGGATTGGTTATGATGATAAGACGTGGTTCTTTGAATGCAGCTTGAATTTGATTGGTAAATGAACCAGGTGTGAAACGACCAGCTACATAAGAATGGAAATCGCATGTTTTTTATTCATTTTATCCAAGAGTATTTGTCATACTTACCAATAGCGGTAGCACCTGTGTATTTTGCGAATTTCAAAACGGCACGTTGACCTGAAAAATTCAACATCAGAGCATTTATTTCCTTGTTTTTTTTTCAAATCAATTTCGTACCTTGTGGTTGACATGAGATGGCACAAACATCAGCTGGATTTTCCACAGCAACAATAGCTCGAGCAGCAAGCACGAGTTTTTCCCAAAATTTGCGGACATTGATTATGGATGCAGCTTCATTTCGTGGTTTTTTCTTCCATACATACGTATCCATTTGATAGTTAACATCCTTCGAACCAACATGAAGTTGAGCAGCAAGGATTTTAAGAACATCGTCGTCTTTTAACTGAAGTGTTGAATAACCAGATGTCATCTTGGTTTTTGTTTGATGATCTAAAATACACACAGAGAACACGAATCACACGAAAGCCTATCAATCAGAATATGGAACAGAACTTCATTTCAAACCAACAATCGTGTAGCGTTTCCTTAACAAAATAAGTAGAAAAACCGTAAACAATTTAGATTCATTCTGATTGGAGAACAAATTTCAACATGATCATTAGTCTTCGAATTCGATTTAGATAATCATTCTCAGTTGAAAACAAATTTATTTACAAGATAAACTCCTCCTCATTTAGTTTTCTGTATTTACTCCGCGTATAGATGACGCTAGAAAACAACCCGACAGTATCAATGACTCACACGTTCTCCACAAGTGACATTGACGGCAATAAGCAAAGATTATCACAATGTTCTACTTATTTTCATGAATAGTTTATTTTCAACTAAAAGTAATACTGACAAAAAAACATCCATCTCGGTTAAATAATGAGTTCATTGGTTTTCGACCAACTTTGATCCTTGGCATCTTGAACAGCATTTCGTAAATAATCCAACCAAATGTGATAGTCACTTCCATTGTCAAAGCGTACATAGATGCGTTTGATTTTCAACGACGAATATCGCGTTGGCGTTTTCAGATTCGATGCAAGCAATAGGCATAATTCTTCGTTCGATGCGTCTTGTTCAATGTGAATCACATTGGATAAAGAGACACTTGTGCTCATCGGCACTGATTGATCAATTTGAGTGAAAGACAGTTTCCATTGAGATAATTCAAGTTGCTTCTGAAATCAACAAACCAGTCGTGATATGTCGCAGAGTGAACGTTGGATCTTACCGATTCCCATGGTTCAGTATCTGTACGCTGAAAAACCATGATGCGTGACATTTCTGATTGTGACGTTGAATCCAATATCGAGTTCTCTCCATGGAATGAGTACTGGAGAACATATCTGGCTTGATTCGATAAGAAATTGATAGCTATAAATACATAATTATATGATTATTTAGAATTCATACACCCGAGGGCATACCTTCGAGTATATCCCCAGCATTTGCGTTTTGCAACAAATCATTCAAGACACGGATATGTCGAAGTGGAAGGTAGACAAAGCTGGTAAGTTCTCGAATAACAACATCAGTCGGAATCTATCAGAAGAAAGAAATGTTAAATACCAGATGAATTCATTTCTGAACTACGAACTTGACGGAAATATGCGATTTTATCACAGCATTGCTTTATCATTCGAAGGGCTTTCGTACTTCTAGATATGTACACATTGTACGAATCAATCATAACGCCAAACTAGAATGAAAGATGTTTCGAAAGGACTTGAGAATTGTATCCGACTCACCGATGATTGATAAATCTTTCCTATTGATGTGTGAGAAATGTCTTGTTCGTCAAGTAATTTTTCGCACTGACGAACGATGGACTTTGACACATTGAAAATCTACAACAAGATTCTGTATGAAATACACTTTCATCGTCAACACTAGAAATTACTTTTTCGATATTTTGAAAGAGATCGACGATTTCGGTAGGACTCAGATAGCGTCGCAACGGTCGAGAATATTTCGTGATGTATTCTTTCAAATGCTCACAGTAAGTTCGCTCGACGAAAAGAATCTGTTCGAAATGTGAGCACGGCTGAATAATGGATGATGTTTCCGAAAAACCACTATCTGATTTCTGAGCGGGTAGAGATGAAATCGAAGCATAAGAAGCCGACGATGAGAATGAAGCATTGTCTTTGGGCAAAGATTTCTACAAACCAAAGGAAAAGAAGATTAGGTTTTCCGTAGGTGACATTCATCTTACACGTTGTGAGCTGGCACACCAGAATTTCATTTTTCTTCGATGAATACCAAAACATGGAGTGAAATGACATTATATAAAGTGCGAAGTCAGAATCGAATCAGCCAATCGCGAGGAGAGAAAGAGAAAAAATTCGTTCCACTCATTAACTTAATTTCTCTTTCAATTGTCCACTGACCAATGGATGTCTCTCTATCTATTAATACTGGTTCTAAATTTCTCTTCAAAATTGTTATGTTAGTGACTGATTGGAATAGACAAGACTGTCAACATTCAAAACCTTTTTGCATGAAACTATCCTACAATGACATGTTATTTTCAACAAACAAGAGCAAGAAGCTAGATCTCAGCAATGCTCAAGTCAAATGATTTGTTCATTCATTCATTGATTCAATCATTAATCTGTGATAGAGCATGACAAAATGTTCATACTCTTACGATCCATTTCCCATATGCATATCGCACGTATAAGAAAGAGAGACGAGGAATGTTCTCTTCGTGAAATGAGTGGAACGATGAAATCATTCATTCAGAACGATATGCGTTCAATGAGCTGGAGAGCATAACGATGTGATTAATGCTGACAATGTTATTAATAATCGATTGAGGCAGCTAAATAGGTAATATTATCGAATTCAATATTTCTTCTAGCAAAATTATATTGTGATCAACACACAGAGTGTAGAGTTGTATAATGAGTATCAGCCTCGGATACACTAATCACCCATCTGTGAATAGTCAAAAATGGCATGTGTCTTGTCTCCTGTGCATAATATGTTATTGATAACAGCAGATATTACATTGGTAGATCACGTTGAGCTGGATAGATATGGTATTTTTCGTCTTAGTGTAGGTGAAATGAAAACATCACAGCAAATATGTTTTCTCGCATATTTTTGATGGTTGGAATTGATAAAACTTATCATAGACAGGAGCAGAACCGAGAGTAAATTTAGTATGCCCGGCTTCTAATTAGCTTGAAATTTCAACCAAATGAAATTGAAATCAACGTATTACGTAGTATTTGGTTTTGCATTTGCAAGCATCGATTTGATTACTGGAACAATAGTAACGCACTACAATAAGAATAAATATGAACGACCAGAAATAATGGTATACACTGTAAAGATTTTTCTATGAGTAACCAATTAAAACTATAGCCGCGAATTTCTTTCTTTATATCTTCTCATACACAGAAGATACTCTATGTTGGTATAGAAAGAGTCCAGGTCTGGATCATAACGGGCCCGTGTCAAAAAACAAATGGGCCTGCTGTGACTCCCTAGCTAGTCGAGATGTATCTGGTACTAATGTTGGAATGGTAGTCGAAGGCAAATAGGCGAATCCATGTCCAAGATATTCTTGAAATGTTATGCTTGTTTCAGTGTATCATATCCCTTCACTTTAGTTTCCACATAATACAGTAAAGTAAAAACTGATCCTTCTTGTCATATGTATTTCGTACCGTTGTTGACAAAAGAAATAGTAACAATACAAAAAAATCAAGAGGAAATTATCATATATTTACAAAAAACGATTAAGTGAAATACAGATGAGGAGATAGACAATGTAACGAGCAAGTTTCTACCAAAACACATAAGATATATGACAAATATTATTAATTTTCAATTGTCTATGAATTTCATAATCATCATTTCATAAGTATTGTTAATTCAGACGATGTGGAGATTTGGAACTTTCATTTCAATTATATTCTTCACAATCTTCTAACTTTCGTGTTGATTCGTCCACCTTTTCTTTTCAAAACATCTTCGATTCCTTCATGTTACTTTTTTGCTGGCATATTTGCCCTTTGGTCTTGTATTCTGAAACACACTATTGGCAGCTCTTTCATCTTGATTTTCCTGTAAAACATTTGAACTATTTTCACTCCTCATTGAGAATGCAAAACGAATAACAAACAATGGAAGAAATATCTATACCTTTTCGAAACATATTTGCTTTTAATACACGACTTAAATTGTACACTGATTATATAGATGATTTTTAAAAATTTGTGATCGTTTCGTCACTTATAACAAAGAGATGAAAATGTGTTTCACAGAAGGCTAAATTATGGGTGTAGAGCAAAAGCCACAAGTAAAGAACAATGTTAAATTAAAACATTCTGAATTTTCTTTTACTACCATAAAATACAATTAAAGAAATATCGTGATTTTATTGTCACGAATTTCTTCGTTCACTAATCCAAGAGAAGGTGCTGATGAGAGATGAGTTTATTTCTTATCCGAATCAAGCACACCCTACTGTACAATCCTCGGTCTTTATATAGTCCTCGGAATGTACAGTATCACGCCATATGTAATCAACTGATCATCAGCTGTGAGAAAAAGATTAGTACCTGTAAAAGTACAAAGGTGAGTACCGAGCATATGGCTCGATATGCTCCAGGTGTAGAAGCTAAGTGCAAAGAGAGTGAGTGCAAAAGTAGATGCTAACTATGAATCGTCACATTTATGAAGCGATATCTGGATTATTTCTGTCATTGCACTCTCCAGTCGAACGAATACCAGTGCAATTTTAGCATTCTATTACATTTGATTAATACACTAAATACAGCTGACAGAAAGATGATGGAGAAGAAGGCAGTATGTAAACACGACATTTATATTCTATGTATGATTTATGACTGATAACAGAAGATATTACACTAGTAGGTCGTGTTAACCTAGGTAGATATGGTATTTTATTTATCTAGGTAAAGGAAAAAATGGGGGAAAAAAATCAGCAGCAGCTATGCTTTCTCGTAATTTGAATTGAAGGAGTTTACAATTGATTGCGTTTGATTCACAAAGGAGATTTTCAGTGGTTGGGCGCATAGTTAATTCCATGATCGTTGGAATCACAGACATAAAATATATACTGCTTTCTTTTCGCAAGCTTTTTTCGTAATTGATGCTTCTATTTGTGGAGCAGGGACTTAATATTTGTCCTTCTTCTGTCTAGGACCGGGAAAATATCGGTCATGTCGTTCTGTTCCACGCCAAGGTTATCCCGTTCTGTACTTCTCTATAATAGACACTGGGTACTCTGTGCACTTTGATTTAGTACGATTATTTACATAAAGAATAAACTTGTACATCGTTCATGAACGTTCGGCTGCTTTTGAAGGTGAGAGCGCGAGTGTCGACAACAAAAGTTACACCGTGGTCCTCTGTCACGTCGTCAAGATGGGCATTGAAAAGAAATCAAATGTGTAATAGTTGTTTGTTAGGACATAATGATCAAGACTGGCTGAAGCTACTGCTCTTGATAATTAAGAAGAATATTTTTCAACAACTTTCGTGATGGCATGTGTTTTTAAAAAAATATATCAGCACAATCCGGAGTAAGATTACATTGTAAATGCAAATGGCTTACAAGGCACTTCGTGAATCATTATGACGTTCGCTCTTCAATATAACAACTCGTGATATTCCTCTTTCGAGTGCAGGTGCATTGAAGTACTTGCATTCGCCCAGTGTCTGTTCAGGACGAATGTTAACAGAAAATATCTGAATCTACTACTGAATTTTATCACGATACACGACTTACCCAATCGTATTTCGTTTTGCTACGTATGCGAGAAGAAAAGAAAATATCTTTCTGCCCATTTTCTTTCTTCTTATCTTTCTGCTGTCAAAGTCTATCTCTTTCTATTATATATTACTGAATGTGCCTGTATATAATGTGAAAGATACGATCCTTCGACAGACGAATTCCAGGAAAATACAATATCATGGGCGCTAATACTTCTTGTTTTACTGTACCTCGCCTCATTTTCTTTTCAGATAAATATGTCTTTACCAGCTTATGCAGTTGATCCAGATGCTGTTTTAAAAAATGTTCCCGAAGATGTTAAATGGAGAACAGGAATACCAAATTATGCGAGAGCGCACAATTTTTTTCAAAAACACAAAACAACAAATCACAAGGCTGGATCGTTAGAAGACATCGTGCAAAACCTTGTTAAAAATTGGGAGAAAGGTAAGCAAGTTAATCATCAATCAACATGCTCTAGTCTGTTGAAATTTTGTTATTTTAGAAGCAAGTCACAAAACTGATCCGCGTCAATGGGACACAGTTGATCTGGACAATTATCAATTCTCTTGTAATGGTCTTAACAAATACAATGGTCAAGAAATGTTAACAAAAGGAACGTACAATGCTTTATTGGGCGAATCGATGTATTACAGTGCATCATCGATTTCATTTGAAGATTCACACGATGCGTTTCGGAACGCGTTAGGTGATGGTTTTGCCTGGGAACTTCTCGAAGTCTTCTCAGGTCCACCTCATGTTACATTTACATGGCGTCATTTTGGCACAATGACCAACGAATTTAAATGCACTGGCTTGTCAGGTATACCGTATAACGTCAAACCGAGCAATAAAATGGTTGAAATATTTGGAATGTGCAAGGCAACAGTGAATGATCAATTGAAGATCCAAGATCTTCAAGTATTTTATGATCCCAATCAATTATTTGTTCAACTCCTTGAAACATGTCCTCATGCTGCCTTTATTGGTATGAAACTCCCTGAATCGGCTAACACAGATCAATCATCGGCTACCACTGAAAAGTCAAATTAACTTATTCACTGACTCTTACCTTTGCTTTCTTTTGTTTTAATAGAAGCTATTAAAATGCTTGATATAGTTAGCTTTGCCATTTCGAAGATGTCAATCTCAATTTTTCGTTTTGTATTTTCATCAATAAACAGGCGCACTAACAAGCTAACTTGAGAAAACCAGGCGGAGCACAGTGACCGTATCTAATAATAGCAGAAAACGAAAAAAAAAGCATCTCGTAAGGAAAAACAAACATACAGAACATTAGAAAGTTCATTGCAAAGAAAAAACAAACAAACAGACAATGAAATAAGTAGTGAAGAGGAAAGCCATAGTTATCTATGATCAATCGTTCGACATTTGACTAGGAATTAAAAATGATAAGAAGGGGAGAAGAACAGAATTAATTTTGTAATAATAAATTTGTCGTATTATTTATGGCGAATAAGGCATCAGACATCGTGTTTTCAGACTAGAAACAGTCAGTGCAACATGTGATAAATAAGAAACCTTACTTACTGCACATTTGTTTTGTTCGATTGGAGTCGACTGTTCAAAGTTAGTTAACTCACCGGATGATAGATTCGACTCGAGCAGATCTGGAAAACTACCAAACGACAAATCAGACATCTAGAACAAGGTAATCAGCATGTAATTAGTCGTCTTCAAGGAAAGATAGGAATAAATTTACGTTATCTGGCCAGTCAAGACGTAATCGCGATGTGTTGCTTTGTAATGCAGCGTTGACAATAGTCGCTAAATAAAAAGCACAAGTGATAACGGAGTGGTCAATATACTGGACATACTGCTCAATGAAACGCTACTCAGATTGGAATTGTCGTTGAGAAGATCATCTAAATAAACTTCAGGGTCAGAGATCTGTATGTATAGTACATATCTTACTTGGGTTTTCACAGTCACTACGAAACGGATTGTTGGAAGTTGTTGAAATATTCAAATTGTTAAAAGTCAAACGTTGGTTTGCGGCAGTTGCTGTCTGCTGAGCGTTGATATTCGCATCTGAGGAAACAAAATAAATCATACATAGGAATATTTCTACGGTGAAATTTAGATTTACCGAGTAACAGTTGAGTATTCGAAGGACGAGTCGATTGATCACCGTAGCGTAGTGGACGTCGCACCTATGATTAAACTTCGTCTTTTAACGAGTTCATTTCTTTCTTGAAAACTCCTACTCGTTTGTATCGATAGGATAAAAGATCATATTTATTTGCGGATGCAGCTTGTTCGGCTGCTAATGACTGAATTAATGGATCATCAATAACTCCATTATTACTACTGAATATGATAGCAGACGATTTCGACTGAGAAGGAGCCGGAGGAAGTAGTACCGCTGGTGCTGTAGAAACTGCCTCTGGTCCATTCGTCATTGGAAGTAGTAGTGTTAGTAGTGGTGGAAGTTCTGTTGTTGGAGCTGTTCCATTAGAAGACTTGGTAATCGATGGGTGTGTAGATGCAGGTACTTGAGATTGTTCCAAAGATGTTATCGTTGCTGTGACGTCGGTTGGCCAAGGAAGAGAATCGAAAATGTCCGATTGTTCGTCGATTCTCGACATTGGCGTTTGTCTACAAACGATCGATTAGAATTAACATGGGATAGATTTATATCTACTCACTTGTGTAACTCTCCATCGGAAGTAAGATTTAGATTTTTATTGAAAGAAGTTTGCACTGTTAGTATGTCTTCATTGGAGGATTCTTGAGAAGTTGTCGCTTGTGGAATTTGTAATAAACTGCATAGATCTGTATTTGGTGAACTTGTCATTTTCGTTGATGGCCGTCTTTGATCCTTGTTACTGAGCTGATGATGTGCACAGCATGAACAGTAACATTTCGATCGTACCGTTTGTTGCTTTTTTGTATTGATCTTTTTCGCTGTTTTCATTTCTGTTTGTGCCTGTCGTTCAGCAAGTGAGGTTAAACATTGATTTGCTATTTGTATGACATAGTGAAGAAAAGCATTTGGAGAATCAGTAGTATTTGCACGGGACAAAGGGAGAAAATCGTAGAGCAGACGAAGTTCCTTCGGACGTTGAAGTAATTTTTGTAGTTCTCCAATGGTTAAATTAGAAAATAAAGAATTCGATCGAGTAATACCTTGAATCAGATCAGATAAACCAGTCGTTGGATGACTTGTGCTAGTAGATGGTGCTGACGCTGGTAGTGATGTTGCCGTATTACTATCAGGCTCGATTTCATCTTCAGAGGCACCCTAAAAGACAAGATGACGATGATTCGTTATCTATAGAAGCTAAAAGATTGATTTTCATACTTCGTCTGTGAAATCAATCGTCTCAAGCCGCTGTTTGAATAGACCAGCACTGGTATCCGCTTCATCTTCAACACCATCAACTAATGTAAATCCCGAACTATCATAGTTATTAGTATTGCATATAGCTCGTTTCGCCGCTGATAGCATAGCTGTTCGTGCAAGATTTGGTTTATTCGACGCTGCTGGCGGTGATATCGTTGCTGAGTCATTGCTTCCATCGGTCTCCGATACATTATTTCTTTTACGAATTCCACTCGACGAAGTATCTGTCAGTGGTTCAGACGACTGTTCCGAATCGGATCGTGAACGTGCTGATTCATTGTTGTTCACTGTAGATTCCATCGACGTCAGATACGATCCATGGGGGTATAAAACTAACTGTTCCGAAGATAACTCATCTTTGAATAACTAAACAGAAACATTTATCGTCAGTCTTTCATCACCAACTTCGTCGATATATCGTTACTTACACACTGAGCATGATTATGTAATTGCCAATATTGAGTCAATTTATCGATTAATTCATGTAAGGTCGCTGAGCGTGACAGAAGAACTTCGACATGAGGATAACGACAGGATAAAGCAACACGCATGTATGCATTTGATGAGACAGGGCTTAATAGAATCTTCACATGTTTAGATAATGTTCGGTCTGTTTGCTTGGATGAGCCTGAAAGCGTGTCGTGTTTATTTTCGTTGAAAAGGAAAATCTTGATAATTACCAAGTGCACTAGCTGTTTTCGGTGGTTTCAATGCTTTGCCAATGATTGAGACATGCTCTCTTTGTCCTTTGACACGTAAAAAGGCACTTCCGTTTCGTATCAGCTGGTGCAAAACAGTAATCGTCGGCTTTTTATCAAAATCTAGTGCATCACATTGTGTCATTCATCGAAATTCATTCAATATAGAAGAACACTTACATTTCACTTTAGGTTTCAAACACAGATAGGCCAAAACAGAGCGTAACTCCAAAGAATCGACATTTGCTTTTTCTTCTTCAGTAAACGTACATAATTTGGAAACTGTTCGAAATGATCGATAGTAAAAACACCGTATTTGCCCGAATGTGCGTTTCTGCGCTTCAGGATTGACGTTTCGTCGTCGTGTGTTGAAAAATTGACCGAGTGCTTCGAAATTCTTGCCGTACTAAGTTTTTCAAAATAAATCAAGATCTTAAAAATACCATTCGCGTCACTTACTATTCGAAGCGCACCAAAGAATTGCTTCTGTTCTTCTAACGACCATTTAGTTTTGTCTGGTAATTTGGGTGCGACCTCTTTGGCTTTCTTAACTTTCGGCGCGGGCAGTTGAATTTGAACAGCTAAATGAACGAATTGCCAATGATAAGAAAACAAACATTTTCGAATTTCTTACGTGGACTACGCTCACGTTTAGGTCTTTTGGTAATTTCCTTCGTCCGTGATGCAATTGAATCTTCGACAAGATTTGTTATTGGTGGAGGTACAAGTTCGATTTTATTATCATCTGTTGTTTCACTCATGACATTGATTATCTTGAATAAACCTGAAAATTCATCGCTGATTGCAAAATATGACCTTGGGTTTAGGAGAACGAGGTAGAAGTCGACTGGGAATATGAACGATCGATAATGGCGAAAAAGAAAGAAATAGACGATCTGTCAAAATGCAATACTCTCGTTTGCTTTCTTCCTCGGCCAGTCAGAAGCGAGCGCAACCGTTCGTCTTTTTCCTTCGCGCAAGTGTGGGTGTATACACGCGCGCTTAGATCAACACTAAAACATGTACCGAATGTTACCAACAAGAGTGTTCTATGCTCGAGTATATAGACTCTGTTTGATATCATTTATTAAAATAGTTTACATACAAAAACAAGACACATCTAGTTGCTTCGTTTTTCAACGATCATGCAAGGTAACATGGGTTACTTTGAAAAGCCGAGACTACGATTGAAACAGAATACGAAACTATATATATCTGACTAGAACAAGGGATCCAAAACCATAATAACCGACTGTCAACCACTGGAACAAAACAAGACAAATGAATATTTAATTACAGATCAAAGAATGAACTTACATCACTGCAGGATCATTGTGCCGAGAATAAGGATACCGTTTGACATTTCTTGCTGCTAACATTGCCAGCAACTGTTCAATATTGATAGGTCCTTCAACAGGCCGGAGTTCAGATGGATATTCATAAGATTTCGTACGAAGGTCTACTGTTCTATGACGATGATTTTGTTCTGAATGAAGCTGTCGGTATAATCGATCGGTCAGTTGCCAATTCATCAGTTCAATACTTTTCGTTTGACGTACGTTCGAATCACTACGCTTTGAAGTTATTCTTTTCATAAAACCAATTCGAATTTCTTACCTCACAGAATGTTCAACCGGATAGGCAGTAGTAAATAGAATTAAAAGTGTAAAGAGAATCAATCGCTGCATGATCATTTTCCAAAACGAACAAATGTATCTACAAATGCAAAAATGAAAGCTTCTAACGCATTTGTCAGCATATTCATATCTGTGAATATGTTGGGCGTACAGATACATTTCTTTGCTTAAGATTATTCTCTCGCTTGTTATCAAACAGCGAAAAGAACCATCCAAGTACGCTAATGAATCAGATATATAAGCTTTTTCTATCAATATGTTTATAAGAAAATATTTGCAAGTTTTTCGCTATTGAATATTTTCAGCTTTTGTTATGTCATGCAAACGATTTCACAGCAAGAACATCGTTGCTGAAATAACGATGAGTAATCGTATATACTATACAGAACAGGAATGTGGGTTTGGTTGAATACTTTCGTGTTCTGTTATTATTGTTACATAAAGACATTTGTTTTTCAAAGGAATCACTTTTGTTGCATTATATGAATACATTTACTTTGAGTCAATAGTGCACCATTATAATTGTTGACAATTGTAGCCGGAAGAAAAAACGAAACGAACTAATCGTTTGAGCCTCTGTTTATTTTATGCATCGGACACGAACTCATCGTTACCTTTTTGTCTTGTCCGAGAACGAATTTTCATGACGATCAATCATGATCCTATTCTCTCCTTCTCCTTCTCCATCTCTTTCATGACTGATATTCGCATTATCACGTAGTTAACAATGCTTTTTACACTAGTCTTAGTGAGTATAGTTATTCCATTGGTAAACTGCAACTGTGACGAAGAATTCAAAATTGTTTGCTATTTTTCCTCGTGGACTGGTATTCATCCTGATGCGAAGAATTGCACTCATATTGTTTACACATTTGCGCGTATTGAAGATGATAATACTCTGACGGGTATTGAATTTTCCGAAGAATATCGAAAAGAGAACAGACATCCACTCGTTTTTTTAGGTGTATGGAACAATCCACTGAAAGATTTTAAGAACAGTAAAGATCCTCAATTGAAAATTCTAGTAGCTATTGGTGGGCAAGATTATGCCATTCGCCGGGCAAACGATATGATGTCCAAAGATGAATATCGACAAAAGTTCGTTATTTCAACAACAAAACTTTTACGAACACATGAATTCGATGGATTGGATTTAAATTTTGAGCCAAGTGAAGCACTGGGACCGCCATCAACATCAACACCACAATTAATCGAAGACAAGAAACGATTGTCAACGCTCTGTAAAGTAGAATCTAGACCCACATTTCTGTTAGAGAACATCTTAACTCATAACATTTTCAAATAGGATCTTCAAGAAGAGTATGCCGAGGAAGCTGGTCGAACAGGACGTGCACGTTTACTACTGACTGTAACTATTTCTGGAATCAAGAAAGAACTCGAATCGCGTTACGATTTAGCAGAGCTCGCGAAGTCAGTTAGAAGTCTACATCGGATTTTCCTCATAGATCATTTCGTACTATAGGTGCGCTGACTGGCTCAATGTTCAAACGTATGACTATCGAGGTTCACGAGATAAAATAGCTGAGCATCATAGTCCCCTGATGCCAGCAACACATGTAGAAGGTCGTGATAAAGATTTGAATCAGGTTTGTAAAAGTCGAGTATTGATTTTGGCTTTAGAGCAATTATGTGAGTTTATTAGGATACAAGCATCAAATATTTGATCAGTAATGGTGTTGAACCGTCAAAAATCTTGGTAGGTCTTCCAGCATTTGGAAAGAAATTTCGTCTAACCAGCGATCTGCACGATCTCGGTAGTCCCGCCACATTTGTTGGAAGTGTGCCTTATACTGAGGTAAAATTTGTGTAGTAAAGTATCGAAAAATTGATGAAATATTATTTAGTTGTGTCGAAATATGATGTCTGGTTGGCAACGCGTATTTCTCGATGATCGTAAAGTTCCAATCATGATCAAAGGTTTGAAACGACTTCCGTTGATTAGAATGAGCCTTTCTTTCGATTTCAGGCGACGAAGTGATTGGTTACGATGATTTACAAAGTATGGAATTAAAGGTAAGAGAAAAGATTGTCGAAATGTTTGAGCGAGAAAAGTGTTGGTTTATGTAGATCAACTATGCTAAAGAACAACGTCTTGCTGGAATGTTTATTTATCCAGTGAACTTTGATGATAGCTCAGGTCAATCGTGTAATCAAGGAAAATTTCCAATTGTTTCTCTCATTAAACGGTTAACATCGAACTATACTGTTTCATGTACACCGGCAACTACACCGCCTTTAACTACAACAGTCGCACCAAAAAACCGTACAAAAATCATTACTCCACGATGGAAATCATCGCGTATAGACCATTTCATTCCAGGCGGAGGTCTCATCAGAGATCATCGAAGACTACATAATGCAAGTTATTCTGTAACATCAACACATCTGACTGTATATATCTACTCAATCTTTTTATTCCTTTTTCTTCTATGATTAAATCTGTTAAGGAGAAAGAAAACATGTTTCCTTCAAGATTGTTTCGTGGCAAATGAAGTTCTGCTATACTATTGATAACAACTGGTATAGCGAAAGTAAAGATCATAACAGAAGCGAACTTCAATCAGTTGACCTTGGCTATCCGTACGAACATAAATAGCAGAGGCGAACAAATCCGGTGAATTCAGTTTCAAAAATGCACTTTTGATGGATTGATATGTCGGATTTTTCATTGCTTGAATGTCCGGAATAGTCAATTGGTTATAAAGATATTCTATTTTAGTGAAATAATCCGTAGGTGTTTTAAAGTAACACGTGCCTAAAGAAAAATATTCTTTCATAGAAATGGATTGTAAGAGATTTGTCGTGTCAAACCATGCTTTTCCCATTCTGCTTGCATGAGATCTTCGTCAGGCATAAGACAATAAAATCTTTTGATCAGTGAGATTGGAAGTTGCTGATCATTTCGACAATTTCGAGGCATGTCAAGAGGCGATTTAGGATCGAATTTCGATGGCCAAAGTCCATGAACGATTAAACCAAATTGATCAGCACGTGAACATTGAAATTCTCGATTACGTGCCGAATCCGAAAGGGTTGAACAGAAAGTGGGCGACCTGAAATGAAAGTCTCACAGCTATTTCACGGTTGCTTTTTTTTCGCTTGTTATTTACCAGGAGAGACTGAATAGGAAATAATCGGGTCGAGTGTTCGTGTTGCTCCATTCATGATCTTTCGATTGCCAATTATAATCAAAATTAGTTTTGAATTTTGGAGGCATTGGACAAGACTTTTGAGCACTCGAAACTCCATTTGTATACGAAGCACACGACACGATGACGAGAATTTTGACAAGAAAATATGTTGTCATCATTGGTAGTGTTTGTTAACATAAGGTTGAATCAGTATTGATATTATTTACCGTCGAAAACAAGACGAAAAATTACCTTGACGAATGGGTATGAGGGCTGTGTAATTTTTTTTCACTGATTCGAGAAATATTTATTTAGGTATAATAAATAACAGCGCCGAGCGGAATTTATGACTGCCTGACTAATAATCATGAATGCAGGTTTGCATGTCAAATGTTGGTTCTTGAAAATCACAAATAAGTGTTTCGATTTGCTCGATTCTTGAGAAATCTTCTTATTGGCCTGAAAACGGTTGGTATGAATACCATCAGCGAAGTGTGGAGAGTGCATTACGACCTATGTATGATTTCCATTTCAATTCAATTCATTCATTTGTCTACGCCATGGTGTGCGCTTTGTCTATTACAGAGTATCCATGAACACTGAAAAATGGAGAAAAAGTAAGATAAAGACTTCATCTGAGCGTGCTGTCGAAACAAAAGATAGACGGAAACAGTGTGCCATTTCAGTACTTATGCGGTTGATCTCACGTCCGGACGAATTTTCCAATCTGACAGTTGAAAACTGGCTACAGCGTACCTGCTTTACACTAGAGAATACAAGCATAGATCACCTGATATTGACCAACATTAAGACAGGATTTTGATGATGAATATTCATTCTTTTCACTTGTCAAGCTGAGAATCGGTAGATTCAATTATCAAATTCTGCCCTACGTATATGATTTGATGGAATTCGACAGTAAGACTGAGTGGATTACTGTTATCATCAGTATGGCAAATAATCATACTCAGAAAATGAGCTAAACTTATTGACTCAAGCAATGGTAGTCGGCAATGAATAGTTCTTGCTCATGCCAAGAACTCAATTGATCGAAAAGATTCATTCTAACCAGCATCAATCAATATGAAATTTTCTTCAATTTTTCCTTTGTGGATCAACTCAATAACAACAAATAGTACATCTTATTTCCTAGCCATTCGTGCGTACACACATTTTTCTCGATTTGTCAATGTATATATTGTGTATGTTAGAGCTGCGAGAGTAGCTTTTAGCATATTCACTCGAGCGGTGATAAAACTGTCAACATACACGACAAGTAAACGTATATATATTTTTTTACCCTCTATTGCGCTAGTTCTTTAAAAACCGTATGTCAAAGTACAAAGCCATCTGCGCAGATATTTGCTCTTTCTTTTATTGTATATATACACATACACATAACAACATATTTCGATGCAAGAAAAGACGCGTTCTTTTATTCGTTAATTGTACCATTTATCTGGCGCGAACGTATGACCGACCATATGAATCGTTAACATCACCAATCAGACAATGAATGATTATAATACCAACAAGCTATAAAAGCAAAAAATGTCGATGATTCTATTGACATATGCATGATCTAGACGTACCATAGTCAAACTCATGAATAGAGTTAAACCGCCATTCATACCTAATAGAAACTTTTCTTCGTCGTACTAAAAAATCCATGAATTCAATAGAAGTTTTGAGAGAAAAGAAAGAGAAAAAAAAGCACTAAGCACTTACATTTTTTTCTACTAAGTTTGGATTAGTGATTTTATCCTCTTCCTTGTATCCGTCAACTTGAGCTAAAAGTTCGTGAAGTTTTACGTGTAATAAGCAAATCAATCGAACTCAAACTTACAAGCAAATATGATGCCAATGATTCCAATAATTATACCAAGAATCATCAAAATCCATAGACATGATGCGTACTAAATCAACAGCGATTCAATTTCTCAATATTTTCACAATTTTCTGCACTTACTGCTCTTAACACCGACACGCGTAGTGTAATTGTCGCAATGATGCCGATGATGCTAATGAAAATTCCAAGAGATCCAATGATCACAAGAAGAATACCGAAACCAAGTTCACGTCGATAGATTCGATCCGAGAACGTCAGGATATTTTCGAGTCGTGGTATGCTTAAATGCCATGCGCCAAGTACAATGAATGCAACAGATTCGAGAACCAAAAGAAAGATAAACAAATAGGATATGAAGACAATAAACCAATGTAGCGGACGTTCACGAACGCGCGTTCTTGGAGTATAATGAAAATGTTGAGATTCCATTTGACTGTGCATGCTAGTCTTGAAAAGAGAAATGTTGTCTTGACAAAAAGCAAGTTCAATACACGACAAACTTCATATGCAAATAAGAGTGAAAGAAAAGAAGGAGAGGAAAGAAGAAATACAGAAGCGGTAAGAATGAGAAAGCTGCGAGTATTACTAATGTCTTAATGTGTGAGCAACCATACTATTAGAAGAAAAGGTATAAGGAATAGAACTTCTTTCTTTCGCCTTGCACTATTGAGCTCGAAGTCAATTGAATGAGGTGCAAAGAAGGTGGAGAGGAAAGAAAGGAGAGAAGACAGAACAGTGTCATTATATTAACATCAAAATGTGAACTGGCTCTATACACCTACTTTTAATTGAAGAATAATCGGTTTATATTGTGATTTAACACAGAGCATGACTATTTGTCAATATTTTTGCACGATAAAGCTGTTGATGAATTTCATCCCATTACTATTCGTATGAAGAGATTTTGATCGCAATTAAATTAGAAGTCATCGTTTTGATATATATTAACGAAAGATTACCGGCATTGTACGACTGTCCAACATTCCTACTCATTGCTTGAAGTCATACAACCGAATGCATTGATCTCACCAATCACATATGCAAAATATATGATTTTCCTGTGCGTCGTATCATTAAAGATAGTCTTTTTTTATTGATATTGAGAACAATTGATGTTCCTAGCTGACGAAAAGAAAGCTTAATTACTAACGGAATGTGCGATACATATATCTAACAGTATAAAACATATGTACACGAAAAGAAAAACCAAATTGGAATGTAGTGTGAACAGAAAATGTGTTCAGCACACATGTAAGCACAACACTCTAAATATTGAAATACAGAACAAAAAAGAAATCAAGTATTTCATGTGTCCAATAGAAAATGGAATGAGAAAATGAACAAAAGTAAGATATCGTGCGAAATAGTTATAAAAAAAATACAAATACAGACACACGGCGCAGATCTGATTGCAATTGAGAAGATTAAACAGGTATCTATTTAAGTAAACAAAACACCATGAGTAAGATAAACGCCATACTCAAGGACGGATATGATTTGCTAGACATATTGTGATAAAGCAGACTGGTATCTGGATTGTAGACTAAAAGAAAAGGAATATTTACATAGAACAAATGATTGTGGCAAGAAAGAAGTACGTACGTATTAACAGTCGTCCGTTGTCATCTATCGAAAGAAGAAGAAAAAAAAGGCATATGTGTGAAAATAGTTTCAGCATCAGAAATCTTACCGAATCGGAATTCTCTCTCGGGTGATGAATACTTTCCTTCACCACCAAGTGACCAGGCTTGTACACGTAATTTATAATTGCGATTCTTATACAAGTTATCGATTGTCACTTTGTATTTCGATCCATCAACGTAATAAATTGAAGCATTTCGAATGGACTGATAATGTTCCCAAACTTTAACCTAAACAAAAAGGATTTCACTTTGATATCATCTCGAAACAGAACAGAAGTCTTCATACCATGTAGCCTTCTAAAGGCTCTTCATCAGAGGATGTAGATATACCTCGCCATTCAACTTCGAGTTTATACATGTAAAGTTCACCAAATAACCTCACGCGTCGATCTTTCTCTCGCACTGGTTGTCGAATAGATACATATTGTGGTGGAAGTTGCGGTGGTAGACGGAATGTTCGATGTGAAAATATACTACTTTCAGGCCCATCACCGAATTGTGTGAAAACAGACACACGTATGTCATATTCGATATTGGATTCCAGGCCAATTATAATAGCACGAGATCGTTGACCGGGAAAACGACGTTCCCAGTAGTTCTCAAGTTCGTCAATACCTTTACGCCAATAACGAACATTATAACCTAAACGGCAAAGTATAATTTTGCTTATCAGAATTTGCAATGCTAATTCATTTACCGAGTAGACGACCACGTAAAACAGCAAAATCATTTTCATCGATCATATCCCAAGTGACGGTCATCGCCGTACTATTGTATGGGTTGCATTTGACATTGAGAACTTGTCGTGCTGGACGTTCTTCAGCTGAACGTATAGTGATATTTCCAGAAACAGGTCCTTCGCCAAGGGCATTGACTGCCGAAATACGCACATTGTATGGAAAATAGTAGAGTTTATCCGAACTATATTAAAGAAAAGAAAAATTAGTAAAAAATGAAACTTTTCAATATGATAAAGGGAAACATTAAAGCTAGAGTAATTATAAAAATAGACTTTTCATCTGCTTATAGGATGGACTAAAATTTTTCTATTCTTGCTACGTTTTGTGGAAAAACCTTCAACACCTCAATGTTCATAATCTCACAAATACGAATACACGTGTGGGCGAGAATAAGCAACAGAATGCAGATTATGATATAGAAGATCGTTTGACCATTACGGTCACTTTTATTTTCTGTGACAGATGTGTTTACTTACAGATGTGTAATGAAGAAGTTCCGAAGGGGATCAAGTACAGTATACGTTTGTTGCCGATTTTCTCCTTGTTTTTGTACATAGATTCGATAGGTTAGATTGGGTCCATTCCAAAAATCCATTGGTAATGGATCCCAAGTAACGCGTAAGTCGCCCACTTTACCACCACCACCATTCAACTGTGCTGGGGCTACACCTGGAACATCGGGCTGTGTAACACACGGCGGTGAAACTTCGGATCGTTCACCGGCTCCGTACATATTTGTTCCAAGTATACGGAAACGATAATCTGTAAATGCTGATAAGCCAGTTAAAGTCATTGTCACAACTTTGTTTGCAGGAATGGGAAGAGTGAAATTTCCATGGAAGACCCACCACGATCGATGATTGGACAACGATTCAACAGTAAAATGTAAGATCGGAGCACCGTGATCGCTACCCACAACCCAAGATAAGGTCACTTGGCGTTGAAATGGTTGAGTGCACCGTACGCCAGCCATGGGCCCTGGCGGTCCAAAGACATTCAGTTGATAAGATGAGGACTTTTCATCGACAGTCGTTTGTGCCACGCATGTATATCGTCCTGCATTGCCGTATTGAGCTTGAACAACGCGTAAATCACCAGGACGATCAGGATTATCTTGTCGGAAACGTCTGTTATCAATATTTAGAATTTCATTATTGAACCGCCAGTAAAATGTCAAATCCATCTGGTTCATTGAACGAGCATCGCATGGAATAATGATTGTTTGGTTCACAATGACATCTCGGCCACCTGGTGTGGAAATAATTGTCGTGCCTTCTGGCATGACATACACAAAGGTACTTTGTTGCGCTTCACCATAGATATTCCTTCCTACACACGAATAGTTACCTGTAATATACAAAAGCAATTAACTATCAAATATATTCAAAAGATCTACTTTCTTACCGGCGTCTGGCAATTGAATATTCGTAATTGCTAAATTCCCGTTCGGAAACACTTGTATATTTCCACCCACTGCTAATGGTACATTATTTTTAAACCATCGTATTTCTGGTCTGGGTGCACCTTCCGGATTACAAATAATGGTGACTAATCCTCCAACAGTTGATCGTAATGTTGACACCATTGTATTTTTACCGAATGTGGGCGCTAATGTAATCACGCGTAACTCGGCTGCACTGAAACGTTGAACATTGTTTTGGGTATTTGTTGCTGCACATTGATAAATGCCGTTATCAAACGGCTGAACGTTATTAATCATCAGAAGATTATTGGTAATAGTCAAGCGTTGCTGCTGAGCTAAAGTCAAACGATCCCAGAAGATCTCAGTTCCATTGATGAACCATGAATAACGTAATTGATTTATGTCATTCGGGTACGCTTCGCAATACCATGAGAGAGTTGTGCCAATATCGAGCACTTGATCATCAAGTGGTACAACGAAAACTGGATCGATTTGTATTTGTAATGAGACAGATTGATAAACAACAGAACGAGTATTCGATGCTTCACAACGATATAAACCTATGTCGTCACGTTGTAAGTTTGGAATGATTAATTCGCGATTGAAATTCATTAGAATTGCTTTGCTTTGTAAAGGATACAAATTACCGAATTCATCTTCACGAAACCATCGATAGCTCGGAACAGGATAACCTTCGGCAATGCATTCGATCGATGCATTCTCACCCAATTTGGGCAAACGTGTCGTCGGGAAAACATGTGGAAAGTTCGGAAAGATACGCGGACTGCGTTCTTGGCCAAATGTTGAGCGAACATCTAACTCTGTTCCTTCACTGGTTTGGGATGGCAAGTAGCGCAGATTGAAATTTTCGGCTTGAACAGCACAGTAGTATTTTCCAGAGTCGCCATCTGTTACACGAGAGAAATATAAATTTCCATTGCGCGATATGAAACGTTCGGCTGTCTGTTGAACTTTTTGATTGATAGCGCCTTTGAACCATGCGTATCTTAGCTAAAAGAAAGGAAGTTTCACGTGGAGAAATTTTTGTTCGTATGTAGCTATTTACATCTCCGGTATTGGTATTCTTATATAAACAATCGAGAATTGCATCACGGTGGCCGTCGGCAATGACTTTTGGCCGTTCACGTTTCTCGAATTGACCCAATGCTACAATGAAAATAACATAAACAGCGCTTGACTACGTTTATTTTATACATACTGATTTCACGTAAATAAACACGGTTACTAATGGCAGTGCCAAAGTAATTGTTTGCTTTGCAGAAATATGTACCACTATCATCACTTGTTGGATTATTAATCTAAACGTTCAAATAGTAGTGTACTTTGTTTCGTCAGCAAAAAATGACTTTACCATTAAATTTCCACCGTGTTGGAAATATCGTGGATCGTTTAGATTGACAAGTACTGCCTCTGATATCGCACCACTGGTCATTCGAAACCAACTGAAGGAATAAGGAAAATCAGCCAGTTGTTTTACCTTCAATATGCTGATACACTTACTAATAATCCGCAACAGGATAAGCATCAGCTCGGCATGTTAGTGTTACAACAATTGATATCGATAACTTGCTGATACCAAATGTACTACCACTACCCAATGTAATTTGATCGATGCGACCAAATTCCTGATCTTGTGGCTGTTCAAAGAATTTGGGTGCACGAGGAACAAATCGTTGTTCAATGTTCGATGGTAAACCGTATTCTGTAGAAAAAAAAATTCAGCTATGAGCAGTCGGCGTACACTCATAGAAACTTACCTATGCCTCGATAATTTGTCATAACACCATATGTATCACGTATAGGAACTTCACAAACGAATGGAAGATTCTCCGCTGGTGAAATATCATAAGGCAACCAACCCCATTGACCACCTATAAAGAAACGAACAATATCACTCCATACTACAATGGACAAGCACGCACTTTGATAAGCATAGACTAGAAATGATCGTATGCGTTGTTCTTGTTCCGTTCGTGGTAGCCATCCTTGATCGAATTGAAGATTCAATAAACCTGTAGATTTCACCCATTGCCAGAATGGTCCATTACGCCGACCACTTGTCATCCAACGTTGTGTTGACGGATCATGGGTATTTAGCCAATCTTGCACGAATAAATGTTCCGGTAACGATTCAACACTCAATAGACTTGTCTACAGTGACATTTAATGAGAAAGAAAAAGAACTATTGAATTGAATCAACCAACCTGACAAAGAGCAGCAGCGTTATCATAGTTGGCTTTCGGATAACGAACAAAACGATAGCATGAAGCCGTGCCGATAAATTCTTTCCACCCGTATGGACATTCTTTTTTATGTTAAGAAAAAAAAACATACATATCAATTAGAGAGACAGAGAGAGAGGTCATCACATGCACCGAGCGTTATCATCTGTCAGTTAGAAATTTTTTTTTCACTTACCGAGTACTTGAGCAAAAGTAAGCGATTGAAGAAAAACAACGAATAAAGAGATGAGATGGAAGATCATCTGAAATGTTCATAGAAAATACACACAATTTCAAATCGCAATGTTCATGCCCATTTTCAAACTATCAGTGACCTTGTTCGTTTATTTGTTCTGTTTGAAAGGACACTATGGAAGAGGTGAGAAAGGTATAGGTTGGATGAATTGATCTTATTTGATAAAAGTAATGGACCGATAGAGGGCGTTCGTGCCCAGGTGAGTTCATTGTGTTCTTCTCTCTGTGTGTACAATTCAATAGATGCACGCAGCGCAGAGAACACTGATATCGTGCACATTTTCTAGTAACGTTGTCATAAGATTTAATATAAGACAACTTTATTTTCTGGTCAAAATACGTGGATCGGTGATGTACAACGTCAGACGCAAAAAAAATCATTGCCCGTTGCTAATATCAATAATTGACTAGTCATTAGCAGAGATTAGTCTTGTTCTTTAATCAATCTGAGTCGAATAAGAAACTTTCCTTATGTTGACTCTCGCTTATACTCATCCAAATGAGAAATCAATCTCTATTAATCTTTAACATCGAACACTGTATTATTTGTTCAACTGCTGCAGACAACAACTGATGAACATAGAAAGGAAAGGACGGGAGAGAGAGAACGATACAAAACAAACTCGTGTCTCTCATCTCTGCATGTATGCATCTAGAAAAGCCACGAAATTAATTGATGATACGTGTGCAGCCTAATGATTTGTTGGCTATTAGGTGTGGTCTTATTGATCGAACGGATTAAAAGAGTAAGAGAAATGTACGACACGAACTATTCAACAGAGACGAAAAAAGAATGACAACGATCACTAGACGTATTCCTTGCCGAAATGTTTAATTTCGAAAACTGATTACGTTTTGCTAATAAATTTCAAATGCCGCATTTACTTCATCATTTACCACCGCCACCACCACCACCACAACCTCTTCCACTCGCAGGATCATTCGACCCGATTCCACCCATTCCTCCTCGCACCCGCTCACGTCCAGCTTCTCAACAACAAACAGCTTTCACAACACCAAACCATCCCAAGACCAATTTCCTCTGCCTTGATGATCTTCCGTCACCGGATCGTGAATGGCAACTATTCGAAAATATTGGAGATGGAACATACGGCGAAGTGTTTCGCGTAACTAGATTTCTTGTTCTTGTTCTAAAAAAATTAGTTTTTCTCTTAGGCAAAAAATATTCGCCATCCGGACTTTAATGCTGCTGTTAAAATTATGCATCCAACCAATGAAGTTCTCGAGGAAATCGAACAAGAATACCGTGTTCTTCTTCAACTATCTACTCATGAAAATCTTTGTCGATTCTATGGTGCCTATTTGAAGCGTGCACCCGCGCCACCATTACCACCTCCACGTACCTCAATAACATCTCCTCCGGCTCCGATCGATAAAATGAGTCTTCTCTCCATCGATACAAATTCTGCCAACAGCTTTGCTAATCCATCTTCTACAGTTCAACTTGATCAACTATGGTTAGTTATGGAATTGTGCACAAGTGGTAGCGTTACTGATCTGGCCAAATCAATGCTGAAAGCAAATCAACGTCTGGAAGAATCTGTTATCGCCTATATCATACGTGAAACATTGAAAGCTCTGCATCATCTTCATTCCAATAATGTTGTTCATCGAGATGTGAAAGGTCACAATATATTAATCACCGGAGATGGACATATCAAATTAATTGACTTTGGTGTTAGTGCCTATTTGGATCCAAATCGTGGACGACGGAATACATCCGTTGGTACACCATTTTTTATGGCACCCGAAGTTATTGTTTGTGAAAGACAAATGGATTGTGACTATGATACACGCGCTGATGTTTGGTCGACGGGTATTACAGCTATTGAAATAGCAGAAGGTAGAGAGAGATTTCTTCCAGTCGCTGTTGGAAACTTGATCAATTGTTTCTTCTATAGGAGAGCCTCCACTTGCTGAAATGCATCCAATGCGTGCACTAGTTTCTATTCCGCGAAATCCACCTCCATGTTTGCGTCAGCCGCATGAATGGTCGAAAGAATTCAACGATTTTATTCGTCAATGCCTGATTAAAGATTTCGTTATTCGACCCACTGTTGCACAAATGCTAAATCATCCATTTCTCATTCGAATACCTACAGATAGCACCGAAGCTCGCCGTTCGATTGTTCAAATTGTTCAACGTTACAAACGTTGTTATGATTTATGCGTGAAGAAAACCAGCCGTGAGACATGTGGAGTGAAAAACGGGCACATTCGAGGTAAGTCAGAAACATGTTCGTCTGTCGCCATCGAAAATGCAGTTATACACTCACCTGTCCTCGAACCAGCTGCATCTGTATCAAAACGAATGTTACAAATGATTAGTAAACCAAATGAACATCATAAACGGCCAGCTCCACCACCACCACCGCCGACGTCATCTTCGAATGATAACTGTAAAACCAAACGGAAATCTCAATCTCGTCGACATCAAAAACAACTTCAAGACGAAAACCGTTCCGCACAGTTCTATATGTACGATAGAGCGTCTGAAGATGCACATGTTCGTCATCCCACCTTGAGTAAAAAATCGAATAGTAAACATTTTTATAATTCAACCTACGATTGTGCGTATTCGACAACTTATATAACAACCGATGATTTAGCACAATTGGAAACGTTCGATGAACAATCTATCATGACACACATGTACAATCGATTCCTGTCGAACCAAATCTATACATACATCGGTGATATACTTGTTGTAAGTCATTCATTCCAGAAACACAATTCGTCCCTTATCTTTTCCTTCTAGGCCGTTAATCCATTTCATTCATTACCAATCTACAGTAAAGATGTAATGATTCGTTATCGTTCAAGCGTCAAAAGCGAACAACCGCCTCACATCTATGCTTTGGCTGATCTTACATACCAAGCCATGTTACATGATTCCGAAAATCAATACATTGTCATATCGGGTGAAAGTGGCTCAGGCAAAACTCAATCGGCTAATTTTCTTGTTAAGCAATTAACGTTTCTCGGCAATGCACCACATAAAAGTCTGCAAGAGAAAATTCTCCAAATTAATCCGCTGATCGAAGGATTCGGCAATGCTCGAACAATCATCAATGATAATTCATCACGTTTTGGCAAGTATCTCGAAATGCTATTCACTAAACAAGGCCGTGTTACTGGCGCACGTTTATCCGAATATCTCTTAGAGAAAACGCGTGTTGTCAATCAAGGACATGGCGAGAGAAATTTTCATATTTTCTATTATCTGTACCATGGCTTAGCATCATCGCTGCCGAATGATAAACAGGCATTTTATTTATCAACAAGTCAAACGTATCGTTACATGAAAACCGACTGTGATGATGAACAGCATTATGCGGAGAACTTCAAAGAAAAGTTTCGCACCATTGAAAAGTGCTTCGAAATTATTGGCTTTCAATCGGATGAAGTGAAATCAATCTATCGAATCTTAGCTGGCCTATTACATTTAGGAAACATCAATTTTCATCAAAATGAAGGCCATTTCATCGATGGGAAAACTTGTTTGACAGATGGTTATCTACTAAAGATTGTTTGTGAGTTATTCGGTTTAGACATAGCCGAACTTGATTTAGCGCTAACAACGTGCAATATTGTTACACGAGGTGAAACAATTCAACGTTCAACAACATTACAGGAATCTCAGTCGACTCGAGACGCGATGGCTAAAGCACGTAAGTTGTTCAGAACGTCATTGATTCATTTAGAACGATCTTCTCTAGTTTACAATCGACTTTTCTCCTGGATTGTCAATCGCATTTCTGCGCTACTTTCACCATCGACAAACAGTTCGAAGAACGTCTTTCGTCCGATAACCGACGACGATTCGAGTCTCCAGTCATATTCGTGTAATAATTACAATAACAACAATAACAATAACCAACAAGATCTAAGCGAAAACGAAGCAGATGACAATTTCGAAGATGAATACGAGACAGGGAATCCGAATATGGCCGTAATGACATCGTACCCGCCACCAACAGTTATGTGTGCAATGCGTCGAACATTTGATTATCTGGATATGACGCCATCGTCATCATCATTTTTACTTCAATTGCAACAATCTGAAGATGATGATGATGATGATGACGGTGATTACGAGCTGTTGAATATGAATAATAATAATAATACGAGCAATACTCCATCACCACCACCGTCACAAAAGTCTAATTCAAGTAAATCTAATCATCAGCGAAAATCGAACTTTATCAATGATCTAAGTAATAAACCGGTTCAGAATCTGATTGATAACTGGACAAAAGCAGTTGCTGCTTCGTCGAACTGGATACCACCAGCTGAAAGCAAACACTTCGGACGTTTGAATCTATCTAATCGCGCAATAAGCGAAACAAATTTATTGCTTCGAAAGAAAACTGTTGAAAACAATGTTAGAAAACACTACCAATCCAGCAATAATCTTTGCAACAACATAAAACAATCCACGAACTTCTCATCGAAACAAGATTCTATCTCTGAATCCGCTCAAGATCAAGATGCATTGAAGATTGCCATTCTTGATATATTCGGTTTCGAGAATTTCTCGACCAATTCATTCGAACAGCTGTGTATTAACATTGCGAACGAGCAAATTCAATACTATTTCAATCAGCACGTATTTGCATGTGAAAGACAAGAGTACATCAATGAAAACTTAGCAGTTTTACCATTACCAGCCAAAATGGACTTTACATTTTACGATAATCGACCTTTGTTAGATATGTTTCTCAGTAAACCAGTAAGTTCAACACATTCGTTGTGATTTTATTAAAAATTGTTCACCTAGGTTGGAATTTTGGCCTTGATTGATGAGGAAAGTCGTTTTCCAAAAGCAACTGACTTTACACTTGTGGATAAACTGAATGCAAACTTTTCCAATTCACCCCTATACATTCGTTCGAAATCAAGCTTTTCGTCCAGTTCGATCTCGTCGTCTTCCTCATCAACGCATCAATCAGTTCCTTCATTTTCGATCATTCATTTCGCTGGACAAGTTCAATACGATGCTCGAAGTTTTCTCGAGAAAAACCGTGATTATCTAGCACCGGAAATCATACAAATCCTCCGTTCATCACATGTGCAACTAATCAGTTCGCTCTTTCAATTACCTTCGTCGAAAGTAGGCACATTACAAGAATCCGAGCAGCCTATTACTGATGCCACTCTTGACTTAACAAATACATTGATACCTCTGAGTGCCAATCATAATCGGGTGCAAGCAACAGTTAGCACCTACTTCCGATATTCCCTAACTGATTTATTTTCGAAAATGACCTGTGGATCGCCGAAATTTGTTCGCTGCTTCAAACCAAACAACGAACGCATTCCCGGTTGTTTTGATACCCAAACTGTGCTTGAACAATTGAAGTACAGTGGGATCCTAGCAGGTTTGTACACGCGTGAAGTATACAGAAAATTCACATATCGATCTTTTAGCGGCAAAAATCCGTCGGTTTGGGTATTCACATCGTATTCCCATTGCAACTTTTGTTCAACGTTACGGCATCCTCGTTTATCCTGCGACGGCTGATCTGCCATTAACACGAGAAACTTGTGAGAATATACTGCACAAACTGAAGATGCAAAACTGGACAATTGGTTTGTTGTGATTTTTCTTTGAATCATTGAAGGAAAGACTATCTTTCATCATTTTCATTTAGGAAAAAGTAAAGTTTTCCTGAAATACTATCATGCGGAACAATTAACGCGTCTGTACTCGGAAATACTCCATGCCATTGTTACGATCCAATCGTATGTTCGCATGCGCATAACTCGCTCCTACTATAAACATCGGTATTATAAACACTCGAATGATATGATGATTCAAGAACTCCATCGGCATCCGAAATTTTCACGCGTTCGTATTTTCTCTAGAAGTTTTCATTCGATGTAAATCGAATTCTTTCTTTTTAGCCGCTTTTTGATGACGAGAAAGCGATTATTCTTGTTCAAGCGTATATTCGCGGCTATCTTCAACGACGTCAATTTCAGCAGTCCCTAAAGAAACCTTTAACACCTGAAATCGCAGCAATTCGTATTCAAAAATCCTATCGAGGTTTTCGATTTCGTAAAGTGTTCCATCTATATGAGCAACGTTTAAACACTCAAATACTTTGTTTTCTTCAACAAATTGAATTAATCAACAATGATTTTTTCATAAAAATCGTTCGAACCAACTACTGTGTACCGATGAAATCCATTATGACCTCTCAAATCAACAATAAACACTTCTTTCCACCTCCACCACCTTTGCCTTTACCATCACCGTTGATGCATTCTGACATCCCGATTCCAATTCTTCCGCCACCATCATCATTCGGTATATCTCCAGCACGTTCTCATTCGATGTTAACATCTCGTTCCAATCGATCACCATCGCCGGTCGTATTCGGATCCAAATTCGCGCAAGTTCGAGATATATTCGCTCGCGGCGGTGGCGGTGGTGGTCCAACAACCGCAGCTTATCCGTCCGCTCCGATCAGAGCCTCACTTCCAAGCTTATCGGCAATTCCAAGTTTGGAGCAAACTCGTAGTCCGAAAACAGTCACTGTTCTAAATGCTGTGCAAGAATATCAACGACAACATATTAATAATCATCAATCCAACTTAAAACGTTTCACTCAGTTTCATAGTGGCGTTGTTGCTAATCTAAACCGTTCAGCTACCAATGGCGGACTTCGATCTCGTAACACTGGACTGAATAATAATGCTAATAAATGTCCAGTCAAACAAAATCTGCCAGCATACGTTACATCATCTCCTAAACAACAACCAAAGCCAATTACACGGGTAATTTGAAATCAACTTTATTCTTTTTCTTTTTCTGAATGTCGAGAAAAGTAAACTCTACGTACGGATATCTTTAAACGCCTTTCTTCCTAGACAATAGAAATCATCTGTCAAAAAAGATAATTTCCGTGGGTAAAAAGTTCAAAAGATACTCGACGTCATTTGAATTCATTTCAATACTTGGCCTTTTGTTTTGATTTCAGGAACCATCGATGTCCACTCAACCTAAATACGCATTTCATGTTTTACTTCGTAAGACAGGACAAGATTTAAGCACTGGGCAAACTCTGGCACGACGTCGAACGACAACTGAAACCAAACAAATCGACTTCCGTAGTGTCTTGAAATCACGTCATACGTTAAATGGAACTACAGACAACGAAATCATCATTCGATCAAACAGTTTTTCTCATCATTTAAGTCCCGATAGTCGAATACGATTGAATGATCTTTAACGTCTCATAAACTACATAAATACATTGTGGATTTTACTCTCACCTGACAGAAAGAAAAGATCGTGTACTTTTTTCCTATTACGTGTACCAAGAACTCATCTATGTATGTGTAGATATTCATTTCAATTATCTTCTTTGATTGTGTTTTTTTTGTGATTAATCCAAGATACCCACAAAATTAATAAAAACTTCTTCCATCACTTCTAGGAAATAGGAAAACAACTAATCTAGTCTTATCTCCTAGAATAATATTCTCGACTGTTGGCAAATCTGTAAACACCCATGCATTTCGCGTGATATTGATATTGCAAGGAGAGATCCTTTTCTTAACATTGACAAAGGTGGTGATTGATATAGTGCATTACTCATTTTGTATTTCTTTCCGTTTATATCTATACAAACGGAAAATAATAGAACATGTATGCGATTAGTATAATATATAGATCTGTGCAATCGAAGTGCAAAACTATTTAGTCTTCTATTCATTTTTTTTTCTCGTGAGTATTTTCCCTCCAAAAAAAAGAAGTTCTGTATCGCAGTGAGTTTCCGCTTGTTATTCTCATCGTAGTCTTTTTCTTTTCTCCGAGTGAATAGAGCAGAAGATGTATCGTCTTAGAAAAGCGAACCAGCATAGCGGAAAGAAGAGAGAATATTAGAATCTATCGATACTTTGCACTTCTTCTTAGCGTCTTTTTGTCTTCGAATAATAGAAAACACAATTATCGTCAATCGAGATAAAACATGGAACGATTACAAGCGATATCAAGAACGTTCGCCTTCAATATTTTCATTGTCATTATGGTTTTATTTGGTAGGTAGATCTCGAGAGATCGACTTTCAGATCATCTTCGTTCGTGATTAGTTGCATTCTTCACGTCGAACAAGTTCGTCTTCCTATTGTTGACTCAAGTTAGGAGAATGAATTCTTGATAAGATGATTAATCATGCAATTCATACATTAACGAACTTGTCCGATTGCTGACGTTTTGAAAATTACATTTGTCATGTTCGACTTCTTACCTACTGTGTTTTGTCGACAGCTGTTTCGGTAGCCTGTGGCGTAAATGGCTAGATTTGTCACTTGAAACTGTGTGAAGGCCAGAGATAAGGAGAGATCAAGCAGCTGCATACACATCTCATTACTTGATGATGGCTTGCTATCTCTTGAGGATCAATAAGAATAATACTTGTCGATTTTCTTCTTGAACAGGTGCGAATAAATGTCAAGATTTTCGATCACCATTTGGTGCTCTGGTTGACTGTGATAATAATCAAACCCAGATTGACTGTTCTGATGAACAGCGTCTTTTATATTACTTGATGAAGTAAGATCTTTCATATGTATTTCGTAATGTTCATTTTTAATTGCTATTTTACTAGAAACTATTCGAATAGTGTCCGGCCAGTGAGAAATGCTAGTCAACCAGTACCAGTCAAGTTAGGTTTAACATTGACGCAGATATTCGATATGGTTGGTGTTGAATTCTCGTGATGAAAACGATCATCTAGTTTCGATTTAGATTGAAAAAAATCAGATCTTGATTACAAATGTATGGCTAGATCAAGAATGGGTGGATGAATTTCTTCAATGGGACCCGGACGAATTCAACGGCATTCACCGTCTGAATCTTCCATCAAGACTCATTTGGTTACCTGACATCGTTCTTTACAATGTAAAGTCTTGTAGAATTGGAGATCGTTTTCGGAGGTAAATATGAATTTGTTTTAGAATGCCGATGAGTTTTCCAATAGTAACACGATGCAAGCGAACGCGATGATCCTGCACAATGGAACTGTTTTCTGGCCGATTCCGACTCGCTTGAAAAGTACATGCCAAGTTGACGTCAGTTATTTTCCATACGATGAACAAGAGTGTAAATTGAAGTTTGGCAGTTGGACTTATAATGGTTATCAAGTGTCGGTTGAGCAACGCGCTGGTGCAATTGAACTGTCAAGTTATGTTCCGAATGGCGAATGGGATTTATTAGATACATCGTATCAAGTGAACATTATCCGATATCCATGTTGTCCAGAACCTTTTCCTGACATCACATTTTACGTTCGTATTCGACGCCGAATTTTATATTATTTATATTCAGTTGTTTTTCCATGTGTTATGCTGTCAATATTAACTCTTCTTGTCTTCTGTTTGCCGCCTGAATCCGGTGAAAAGATTGCGCTTGGTATTACTGTTTTACTCGCTTTTAGTGTCTTCATGTTAGCAATTGCCGAAAGTATGCCTGAAACAAGTGAATACATTCCATTGATTAGTACGTTGAAGTTCTTCAGTACGCCTAGACGAAAAGGAAAACACTTTTTTTTTCTTTTAAGGCTTGTATCTAACTGCAGTTATGGCAATGACCAGTGTTTCAGTAATGATGACAGTATTTGTATTGAATCTTCATTATCGCGGGCCGAAGAAAAATGAAATACCATTTTGGCTTCAGCAAATGTTGAGTTTATCAGTAGCAAATGTTGTTCGATCGTTTCGACAGAAGAAAAAAACCAAAGTTTCTCATCAAAATCACGAAGAACACACGACTACATGTAGTAATATCAACGAGCGACAAAGTACTTCAGATCGTTCGCCAATGAACGGGATCCTCTTATCGTATATGAATGCCAATGAACCCAAAACAAAGACTCGCACAGTACCAGGCGTAAGTGTCACTATGTAGAAAAGTCAGATCTTTAAAGAAAATATTGATTTTACAGGTACCATCAGTACAAATCGATTATAGCGAACGGCCAAAAACTGAAACTAAACGAATGTATTCATTACGTTTACCACATGAGGATAATCGTAGAAAAGGTCGATCGACATCTCGTTCAAGTTCGATTGGTACAATTCATGATGAAATTCAAGACACACTACATAATTTATTACAAAAACAAAAAGCACTTGAACATGATCAGAAAGTAACCAATGATTGGCGTACATTGGCAACAAAGATTGATAAAATTCTCTTCTATATTTTTCTTCTTCTCACACTTATATCGACCGTAGGTCTGCTCGTTGTCGTGCCATTGTCGCGTACGAATAGTCAACAGAAAGCGAAACTATGGCAGGGATCGCGGCGACCTTCATATAGTACATAAAAACACAAGTACCGTTCAATGTGTTGTTTTCTTTTCTTTTTATATATAAATAAAACATTATTTTCTTCTTATACTTCTTCGTCTTTTCCTTACTATTGTTGTGCGTGTTCGACGAATGGTGATTGATAGGCGCATTTTGGACATTGAACAATATTCCCCTGGGGAATATATAACGAAATGTGTTTACAAATCGGACACACTTGTTGAGCACCGCTATACGTCGATAACGTGGAAGACAAAACATAGACGCGTTCGTTCACATCCAGTCGGTTCGAACCGATCTTCCATCGAGCTTTTCGCGATGATGCCGGCAATCGTCGACGTAAGATTGTCGTTCGTGCTGATGGAACATACGCCGTTGGATTCACACGTGTTGATTTCTGATAACGTTGAATAAATAGAAAAACGTAAATAAATGCGAATACGATATAAATAATCGCACAGAGAAATTCGCATAAAATGAACGCGCGTTTGAGAAAATTGTAAGTCGTGGTCGAAAAATAAGTCGATGCTTCCTGAGAACACTGAATACCCAAACATAAACTAAAATTACTAGCAATAATTGCAATCAAAAATGCCAGAACCAATAGAACGACAAGAATTGAAATCGATTGAAGAATTAAAGCGATGAATGACTTCGTTCGCGTTCTTTTCGTACAAACTAAACTCAAAATTCATTTGCTATTGGAACTAAATATCTTCCTCTTACCATAGGCATACGTTGCAAGTACTGCTGCAAGCATGAATGGACACGACCAAAAACCTGAATAGACATTAGCTCGAAATAAATCGACGATTGCATTGCCAATTTCCATGGCGAGAACGCCCAGTGTCATCAGTAATTGACCTGTTGCTAGTAAACCGATCAACCATGGTTCCCAATAGTCAGAGGATGGAATTGAGTAAGAGATTTGGTTTTCATTCATTTGATTTCGATGGAATTTGTGTAGAAGAAGTACGTACTTTGGCCAATGTTATGATTTAAAATCGTAGTAGGATGAAAAGAATGTTTATTCATCTGCTGTTTTCTTTTGAAACTTGGCAAGCATTGAAATTCGAGTAGAGACACTCGAATCATGTGTTGATTCTTTTTCCAAAGAAAAAGCACTGAGTACATTTACTTAAATTGGTATTGAACTTTTCATTTCTTTTGATTTCTATTGGCATCTGCGAGAGTAAACATGTGACTTTCAAGAGTATTTTTTCATATCAATGTTCATCATCTTATTTGGCATAACTGAGATTCATACAATGATGGATTGAAGAGAATATTTCCAAGAGTAAAATATCAGAAAAGATAAACACAAATATTAGAACGAACGTGTTTTTTTGAGAAGTTCATGAAAGACATGGAAATAATTGATCGTTCTTCATCTTCTTTGACTTTGATCACTCGACGGAGAGTATCAAACGAATATAACTTTGAATGTATTCTATCAAGGTGTTAGTGGTAATCTCAACAAAGTCATTTGAAGCCCTCTATGCATTTCTCGCAGCCGTAATGGATCGATTTCGTGCCAGCCATCTTCCTGACAGCATGCTTTTCACGGCACCATTCCCTGTATGACGCCTTCACTTCGAATCAGATGTTTTCATGACTTTTTCTTGTAAATACTTAGATTACATGTAATGATTTAATAAAATTAAAAGCCTGTCAAGAAATAAAGTTAGTTTAGCAAGCATATAAATATGCCAGACAGTTCTTTCCTTACTGGAAAAGATCATTTCTCAGCGTTCAACAACTTGACTGATAATCTAGCGTGAAATGGCCACTTCAGACAAAAATGACATCGAAGAAAAGCAAAGCGAGACGGAAAATGTGGAAGGACATGATCCGGACATTTCCTATCAACTTCCAGCAGCGCCACCACCCTATTCATCAGTCGTATCATCGCATGACGAAACGAATCCAACGCCGATGTATATGCATCCAGCGCCGAACTTGTTGGTTATTCGAAGTCGTCACCCGTACCCAATTATGCCACTAGCTGAAAGTGTCTTGGAAGAAGAAATAGAATATATCGATAGTCACTTGGTATGGTCAAGCATCAGTCTATTCATGGGATGTATTGTACTTGGTGCTACATCACTATCACTTTCACTACTAATAAAACGATACAAACGAGAACGCAATGTTCGACGTGCTATATGGCTGTCAAAATATGTTTATAGGCTCAACATCTTTATTACATTGGGCTTCTTGTTATCATCGTTATTTCTGACTATTAGTTTTGTTGCTGTTGCAGGAACGCGAGACGATTGATTCTGATTAAAATGTTACTATAAAAATAAATTTGATGTCTTATGTAATTAATTTTAGTTGAAAAATTGAATCAGTTTGTTCTCATGAAAGAAAAAGAAGTGTCGATGATTAAATCTACACAATATGTTGTGTCACTTGTGATGTTTTTACCATTTAACTAGCTTATTGTCTCGATTAGCGTTCATCGATGAGTAGGATGAAAAGAACGCCAAGGATTACGTGTTGTATTGATCCTTTTCTATGCGCATTATCTTTTCTTCATTGATCGAAAGATTCTTTTATTGATACAGTTTGGTCAATAGAAGTTGACTTGTATGCAAACAATTAGTTTCCGCCTTCACAATCGCTATCGATCGGTTCGAATGACTTTTGACACGAATCAATTAAGAGAGAAACAGAGAGAGAGTCAACAATTATAATCGTTACATAGATTTGAAAAAGAGAATTTACATCACGATGATCGAAATCAGTTGAGCAAAGATTCTTAAGACACCGCCAATGACCAAGGGCGGCAGCGGTAAATCAAAAACACTAGGTACGTAGTGGATTTAACAGGCAAGAAAAGAAATTCAGTTTTATGTCTGTAATTCTCAAAGGTCGTCTGATATTTGGTGAAAAGCGAAAACAGCATGTATCACCAGCTCGACATCGTTCATCGACGCGACATGCCAGTAGTACAGCTGACATTCCATCGTCAAACGTTACCACAACGAATAAGAATTCTATCGATCTGCATGATTGGGCTATGTGGCGCATGCAGTTGAATGAACAGATGGGCTCTAGTATGAACGAACGACGATCCGATCTCAAGCAAATGCGACAATTTCTACAGTCAAATCCATTCTATCAGCAACACAGTCGAGATCTATCCAATGGCAGATACAATGGCGTTCGTTTGCTCTTCTCAATCCCACACACTAAACTAAAACCCGAGTTTCTCAATGAGATACAAGAAACAGCTCCGAGAACGAATGAGATCGGTGATGCGGTTGTGTATGAACAGAAGAAGATTCGTTCAAATAGTGACGATCGAACAACTACCAGTGTGAATTCACTTTCAGCAATACAACCAATGATCGTTGATAAAGCAGTTAATCAGTTGTTGCCTAAAGCATGCGTAGGAAACACAGGTGGTTTTCTTCAAACAAATGAACAGATGATTGCTATGGAGGGCATACGTACCCGGTAAGTGTAGACAAATGTATTTTTCGCATCCAAATCGATATGTTGATTATTTAGTCGAACCACTCGAAGTTCATTTACTGCATCGGATCGAATCCATGCGACATTACAAAAAGCAGTCAAAGATGGGAATGTCCTCGAGAAAATCAAAGCATTTGAAATGCAAGCTGCTGCTGCGGCACAAGCTGAATCAATTCCAAGATTGAATGGAATCAACTATCGCATGCAAACACTTCAAGCCGTGGCTCAACGAACATTAAGTCCAGCAACAATACATCCTATTCAACAAGTCGTGTCTCCTATTCAAATCCAAGAGCAATCTCTTTATCCGAATCAACAATATCGAGATGATTTACATGGATTAATGCCTGGTCATAAATCTCGCAAAGGTGCACATGTTCTCGAGCCAGCTCATGGCGATATAATTCTCAAACGGCGACCACCTTCACAGAAAGCTGGTAATGAGGACGAATATTCGGGCATAGCGATTAGTTCCATGGCACTAACAGCCTCTCAAGGACAGCATCGTAATCATCATCATCACCGCCGATCGAGTGTCTCGCGTTCTCGTCATCGGCAAGAAATAGCATATGACAAACGCACGTCTAGTCGTCATGAAAGTCATTCACGTCGACATTCTTCTAAACAAAAAGGAACAAGCACACCATCGGCTAAATTATCAACACGTCATCGTTGGCTTAAAGGACGAAAAGAAACACCTGTTGAAACTCCTTCGCGTCAAGGTACTAATCCCGACATTGCAAATAACCGATCAAACAAAACGAAAAAGAAAACTGTTGAACACGAGAAAGTTTATGTAAAGAAGGCAACAAAAACTGTTGAGAAAGAAAAGTCTCCTTCGGATAATAATCGCGTCTATGGCGTACCGAATGCCAGCGTTATTGAACATGCCAAAATCGAAGAACAGCTCGTACGAGAGCATGTTGATAGAACGAGTACCTTGATAGCGATTAAAGATGACGATACGAGCCAAAATAGGGCATGCGACATCGTTATTCAACAGCGACATACGAAAAACCATCAACAACAAAAATTATCTAGTACAGACGGAGATATTTTGAACAAAGTCGATGAAAACCCTCGGTAAGTATACTCATGAATTTCATTTATTCGTTAGCAGTTTTTACATTCACAGATCTACACGTTCCAGTGGTTATCGTCATCATCACTCTGAACACGATGGTGACGGCAAGGATGGTCACAGCACCGATGACGATGTTTTTATTGAAGATAAGGTAGTTAAACCCAGACCGAATCTTACGCGTCATCAATCTACCATCAATACATCGAAAGCCGACTCTCGTCGCCTTCAACAACAATCATCGAGCGGTTTTCGTCGACATGCCAGTCAATGTTCAGCGGATGATGCACCTTTATTAAATTCGATGGAGCTTAAGAAACAAAAATCACCGCTGACGTTAATCACTCGCACGAATCCGACGAATTGCGATGAAGCTATGACCTATGAAACTCCGCAGTCCGAACAAATTCAACCGCCTGTATGCAACACTCACACAATGAAGAAGAAACGTCCATTTCATACAATAAATACTGCTGGATGTAGTATAGCAAATAATCAGCAGATGAGCAAACAGATACTTCATGCAATTATGAATTCAATGAACCATAATCAAGAACCTTTATCAAACACTCCACCGCCAATACCAGCGTCTCCAACGTCTGTTAATGATGATTTTTTTGAAAATGGGCCTCTTACGAATCCTGAAGAAACTATTGCGAATATGACACCTTCTTCTTAACAAATCTTTGTGAAGAGAAAACAAACATTGTTCTTGTAAAAATTAGTTCTATTCCTTCCAGGTTTATGTTTAATAAAATATATGTACGAAAATATCTCGGACTCCAAAAGCGACAAGCGACAGTGATCATGATGTCGCCCTATGATAAATCTTATAGATCGGTATGTGCAACCAATGATAATACATCAATCAAAATTACACATTACACACGCATTCTAACTCACATTTAGCAAATCGGTTTTCCGATGGCAACGAATACATTAATTCAACGTAAAGTTCGCGAATACGAAACGTTTCTGAATGATCGTCTTCGTGTTGACTTGCAACGGGCATGGTCGGAACGAGATCGTCTATTTTCCGACATTGCTGAATACGAACGATTACGTGGGACATTGAACACTCTCAATGATTTGTATAAAAGTCGGAAAGAAACAGATATGGATGATCCATTGCAAACGCAAATTGATCTCGGCTGTTCGTTTTTTGTTCAAGCGGAATGTCCAGTGAATAATCGAATATTTATTTCCGTTGGTTTTGGTCTTTTCTGTGAATTAACGTACGAAGAGGGACGAACTTTCATCGAGAATAAACTACCGTATTTACATGAACAAGAAGCTGAATTATCCAAGAAGATTGCACATATCAAAGCGAATATCAAACTGGTTTTAGAAGCATTGAAAGAAATTCAGACGATCGATGATAAAAAATTGCAAACAACTGTTTCACCTTTTTGATATTCAATATAAATAAAAGATCATTATTTTGTTTGTGTTTATTTTCATATCTTTTCCTTGCGGAAATAGGATTGAGCTAGTTGTACCACGCGAACAAGAAATGCCTTCTTCTCTTTCACCACCAAAGTTCATTGTCCGAAGAGCTCAGTTGGACTTTTCGAACGATCAATCAACAATATGAGATACAAACCAGACTTCGTAGTTGACAATGTTAACGGATGAGACTGATCGAGAGAATGACTACTCACGAGATAAGTGATCATGTATGTTCGTTCTCTTTTCATTCAATACGATATGTATTAATGTACTTTAACCGAAGAGCAGAACGAGAAAATAAAAAGCATCGTTTTTCTTTCTTTCTCTCTTTTTATCTTAGTAATATCCTCAAATAATAAACACCTGGCCAATCGATGGTTACTTCGGTAAATTCAAATACACAATTGATTTTTTCAGATGCTTGCAATTCGTCAATTATCCTCTCGTATTTTTCAACGTTTATACTTACCAACTTCTGTACGGTATCAGTCGAGTACTACAACTACCGATCTAACGTCAACGTCATCCTCTGATCTGGAACAGAAACCGGCTCAAGATTACACACTGTGGGCAACATCAGAAACTAATCGATTGATTGACTACTTATCCATGCGAATCAAGGCAGCCGGACCTATAACTGTCGCTGATTTTATGTATGAAGCATTACTAAATCCTAAATATGTACGTAATTTCTCATTATATTCGTACTCTACCTACACAAAAACAGATGCATAAATTGTGACTAAGGATTATTTCGTTTCTCTTTTTTCCCTAGGGTTATAGCAAACGACATGAAGTATTCGGGAAAAAGGATGATTTATTCGCAACACCCGAAATTAGTCAATTGTTTGCTGAAGTAAAATAAAACGCGTTTATTTCTTTTCTTTACCTTCTATCTAAAATCTACACGTGTGCATAGTCGTTAGTAAAATGGATTATACAAGAGCATTCCACAATCGGTGGAAATTTACTACAATTGGTTGAAATGGGAGGGGGACGAGGGACAATGCTGAAGCGAATCATTTCCGTAAGTGTGATCGGCCGGTAACATACTGATCATCATTCTGCTATTCTAATTTGCAGTTACTACATGAGAACCGGTATTCTCACCGGTTTACATTCTTTGCTATCTACGAAACCAATCCGTTGATGCGACGAAGACAAGCACAAACATTACTCGGACGAACGGTATACCTAAAATATGTCGACTGTCCAATGACACATCTTGATTGATCTTTAGTTCGATCCATTAATTGCAAATGATTACCGAGTGAAAGATGGAAATTATTCATTAGTGTGGGTTGATGATTTCAAGCAATTGCTTCCCAACGATACTTATTTTCTTGCTACAGACTTCTTCAATGTTTATCCCATTCATAAATTTCAAGTAAGATTTCTTGTAATCGAGATGACTTCAACCAAGTATGTTAAAGAAAACTCCTCAAGGTTGGAAAGAAGTTCTGATTGACTGGAATCCAATATCCAAACGACTTCAATATGTTCTATCGGTACAACCAACACCGATGATGAGACTCTACCAGAACGTACGCTTGAAATCATGACACGAATTAACATTTTATTCAACTTTGTCGTTTTAGTATCTAAATCATATCACTGATCGGCAGCATATTGAAATTAGTCCCAAGCGAGCAGCGATGATGCAAGCGATGTGTAAACATTTGACAACATATGGAGGTTCAGCTTTGGTAGGGGATTATGGTCATTGGAATGAAAAAAGTGATACACTTCGCGTGAGTATAGATTTACATTTTTAAACGACATAGGGAATGCAAAGAGGTTGGAGCTTATTTTAGTAGATTCGCTGTGTATTATCAACTTTCTTTCACGCATATGCTCGTAGGCAGATTTTTCTATTAGTAGCGTTGAGGAAAGTAGATTAGATGTTGAAGTATGCAAAAAAAGTAATCCGTCATGATGAAATCTAATGAGAAGAACATTGGTAATAACTAGGCGTGTAATTTTACATTTCATAGGCCTTCCGTAAAGATGAATTAGTCGACCCGCTCTCTGATCCGGGTAATGTTGAAATAGTAGCAGATGTGGATTTCAAAGAATTATATGAACGCGGAATGCAAACACAGAACGGTAAAGTTCCATTAGAACAACGAATACTTTTTCTTATCTCTTTGTTCACATTTAAGTTCAATTCTTTGGTCCAGTCTCGCAAGCAACTTTTCTACACTGTTTAGATTTCAACAAACGATTGAATGTAAGTGATGCAGCGTCTATCTCGACGTGAAAATAAAAATTTTGATTTTATAGAAGATTCTACATAACAAAACACCCGACGAACAAGAAGATATTTTGAATGACGCAGAAAGATTAATGAGTCCGGAATATAGCGGTGAGCGATATTTGTATATGTGCGCACAACGGACAAATAAAATAAATGCACCTGCGGGCTTTACGTCTTCGAACTAAAATCGCGAAAATGAATAGGAGAATGGATCGTATTTTTTTCTTATTTTTCAGATGCCCGGACATTTTATTAACGAAATAAATTCGTGTGTAGATGATTCATTAGTTGGCTATGTTCGTATGCATAGTCATTTAGAACTCGCTGGTCGAGCGGTTATCACTCGATCACCGATACCACCTGTAGCTGTCATTAGCGGAAATGGATCAGGTCATGAACCAGCAATGGTAAGATACAAGAAAGTAATTGATGGAAGAAAGTTTTAGATATTTCATATAGGTTGGTTATGTTGGCCGTGGAATGTTATCTGCTTGTGAGTTTTGTGAAGATGGAACACAAGATATATGACGTCGTCATTTGTTTTTCTTTCAGCTATTTCTGGTTCAATCTTTGCATCACCACCGTCGTCGGATATCTTTCGATTGATTGTCGATTTGAAACGTCGCGGAGCCAAACAAATCCTGCTAATTATTCTTAACTACACAGGTGATCGCCTTAATTTCGGTTTAGCTATGGAGCGCGCTCGCGAATTATCAATCGACATTGATATGTTAGTTGTCGCCGATGATGCGGCAATGAGCAATTCAATTGGGTAAATAGACGCAAGAAAACATCGGTTTGCTTAGTTCTCGACTTGCTCTTTAGACCTCGTGGATTAGCGGGAGCTTTGCTAGTTATCAAAGTAGCAGGCGCCCTGGCTGAACAAGGCAAAAACATGAGTGAAATTGTTGACATCTGTCAAAAAGTTCGAGGACACTTACGTACAATTGGTCTATCTGCATCTGGCATTCGAGCTCCAGGTCAACACCAATCATTTGAAGTTTGCTTCTGATGTTATTCTAGAATGATTGGAGATTTTGTTCCATTTCATTTTAGTTGTTAGATGATGAAATGGAACTTGGCATGGGTATTCACGGCGAAAGTGGTGTTCAAAAGTTAAAACTAGTACCCTGTCGCCAAGCAGTCGACTTAGCTTTAGGACAATTATTCATCGGACCAGGTATATTGGATCTCAAGCCTGACAATAGTGTGTTACTCTTCGTGAACAATCTAGGTTCGTATTGATCTATATGATGGATTCAACATTTGATGTTACTTTTTTATCGTTTAGGTGGCTGCTCAAATCTTGAACTAGGTGTCATTGTTAAGGACGCGATTGAGAATTTGGAGTGTCGAAAATTACATGTCAAGCGCGTTATTTGTGGTGAAATGATGACGTCATTTAACATGAAAGGCTTTTCATTGACTGTACTCAAACTTGCCTCGGACTCGAGCACAACGATTTTGGAACTACTGGATTCGCCAACTGATGCATTCTCATGGCCGAAAACAATATCTCCAACACAAGCTTCAAATAGCATTCAAGCACTATCAGATTCGTTAGAATTCAATGATCAGTTCAGTGCTCAACTTGTCATCAAGTACAGCCTATTTGATTAACAGGAAGAGTGTTTTTTATCATATCTGTCGTCTAGTGAAACATATGTGACATTCGATACAGCAGTAGCTGAATTAGTAAAACAAGCTTTGCACGCCGTTGTTCGACAACTTCACAACGATGCTGACCGGCTCAATCGTTTAGATGCTGTGTTAGGCGATGGTGATACAGGAACGACATTTGCTCGCGCTGCTGACACCATTGCACGTGATCTCACTGTCGGTAAACTAACTCTTGATCGACCCTCTTCACTCTTTCGTCGACTTGGTCTCATTGCGGAAAGTCGTATGGGTGGCACATGCGGTGCAAGTAAACGATTGTCTTCTAAACAATGTCATGCACTTTCGTTTTTCTACGTAGTTTGCGGTCTATTCTTTGCAGCAGCAGCTAAACAGCTGTCTCTATCAAACCGTTCGACGAAAATGATCGAAAGTCTTAGTGATGCGTTCGAAGCTGGCATACAATCCGTCGAATCTTACGCACGTGTACAACCAGGTGATAAAAGTTTGCTCGATGCGCTTATTCCCGTAGTAGATTTTATTAAATCTAAACGTGCACAAAATACTTTCACAATACAAGACTGGAAAGATTTAGCTGGGATTGCTGATCGTGCTGCTCATAGCACCAAAAATTTCGAGCCAAAAGTTGGACGAGCTTCGTACGTTAAATCCGTTGATACTCATACGCCTGATCCTGGTGCTTGTGCTGTTGCGTTTATTCTTCAAGCAATTAGCGAAGTGTTCATTAAAGCACATGCTCATTGAATCTCAGTTACACTACGATCTGACACTGTCTTACTCTTCATCTATATTCGCATTCCCAATCTGACGGATGAGTTCTTTTTTCTATAATATGTTTGTGAGCTTTGAAAATCAAAACGTTTTTCTTAACTATTATCGAAGATAATAAACGAATGTTTTATGACATCTAACGATATCGAAGAAAACTTCGCTCTCTCCACCTTTATCGTTCGGATTAAAAAACGCACATGATAATAAATCGATACATAAGTGAATATTATTTGTATGATCCGGTAACATTATATCGTATAGTGAGGAACATTTTTTCGTCGAAATGCGGTAAATGCAACCAATGGAAGAAACTCCAGCAAAAAAGGTAGGTATTGCCCAAGACAATTATTTCTAATTCCTGCTTTTCAAATGGCAAAACAATTGGCTTACATGAAACCGACGAGGATGAAGATTACAGACTTTAAAAGCGTCGATTCGAATGACTTTGTTAGGGTGAAAACGGATTTGAAATATGCATGTATGCTGATATGAAGCCATAGCGCATTTTACTACGCACTAAATTCGAGATAAGAAACATTCTTTTGCCGCAAAAGCGCTTCATTGAAGGAATTTGATTTAATCAAAAATCTGTGAGTCATTTATTTCAAAGGAAACATCGTTCGTATTCTCTTGTCCTTTTTATCAGACATAAAAAACAAATAACAATCAATATGATTTTTTTGTCAGAAAACACAAAACAACTATAACATTTGGGAAAATGCCTATATGTATATATATATATACACAAACACCTCGTCAATCAACTCTTGATTCGAGTATCACTCTGGAACATCGGATTCACTGACTTTCTTTATTGTCGCACCAAGTTTATTTGATTTGTTGGCATTGATGATATTGTATGCATATGGTGAATGGGCTTCCTCGTTGGATTCTGCATCGTGTTTCGGCTCTGGTGTCGTCGGTGAAGTGAGAATGTCAAACACATTGGAATCCACTTCGGTCATTGCTTCAGAATTGTCATCATCAAGTGATATCAGAGTTTGTTCTCCAAGACGGCTCGGTATCTTCGCTGATCTTGTTCGTGTACGACGTAATTCGTTGAACGACATGAATAGTGTTCGTAGATGCCGTTCGATCTGATCGTGTGTGATAACAGTTACCAGCGAAAAGTCTTCCTCCATGGACCGAGGCTTTTTCACCACTCGAGGAGTGGTCGAGCGTGGCCGTATACGAGATTTGCCAAATTTGTACCGTTGCCGTTTCTTGTTAGTCCTTGTCTGATTCATTGAGAGAAACATCGAATCATTCACAGATTTCTTAGATGATTGCGACTTAGAATCGGTGAGTGAATTGTTTTCATCGTTATCCTCATGATTGTGCATATCAACATTTGTCAATGCTATCGAAGATTCATAGCCAGATGAGCACGAAGGATTTGTATCATCAAGTTGAATTCTTTCGTCATTACAATCACTGGAATCAACAATAACAAACGAATTATCAACATCTAATTGTGGTAAATCTTCCAACGGTTGTTCTTCCTCGACGGAAGCGACCACAGGCATCATATCGTCGTCGTCATCATCATCATTATCGTCATCATGATCACTGACTATCGTGCAAGTTGCTTGATGATTGGGTGACTTCACGCCTGTATCATTTGCTATCAACGCATCTGAACGATTTGGAAGTGAAGACCCGGTATCACAAGAGGAGGCCTTTGCGAGTGGATCGGCTTCATTGCTTACTGTTAGCGGATCTATACTGGCTGTTGAAGCTACCGTTTTACGCTTTTTAGCACCTGAAATCGATAGCAGTTAATCAAACGAAACTAATCAACGGTTTGGATACTCTCTCAAGATTTGTTCTAAACGTACCTATCAACGGCGCTTTGAACAGTTGTTGTTGCCGTTGCAATTCATTGTCCGAGGATGATGAGCAGGTCATACCAATGGATCCATGTTTGAGATCATTCAGAAGTGTGATACATCTTTCAAGGTGTTGTTGAGAAATATAATAATCCTCGTTCTCACTATTCATTAGTGAATGAGCTTTCATAAACCTCCTTTCGTCTTCATCCAATTTAGTCAATCGTAAAAGTGAATTCGCTTGAACCCATTGGACAAACTTATGATAATCAATGTCGACAGAAAACTGTTGAAATATGTTCCTAATCGATATTTTCCAATCATTGACCGGTGTATCAACTGATTTAACAATTGCACTCAACGAACAATGCTCATAGAAGATCGTCTTGACTTCCACTTGTTGTTTTATCAATGGAGTCGGTTTCGACGAGGAATACGCATAGAAAGATGGATGATGAATCATTGGATTGATGACGACATTCGTTGGTTGACATTTACTTGACTTTTGTACTACTGACGATCCAGCTAAAAAGAGAATAAGGAAAACTAGAAGTCGAACGACACAGAATAAGTTTTTCTTACCGCTCGATTTCGCCGGTGATGTACTATTCGCAGTAGCATTCAATAATTTGTTCTTTTCGTATTGTTGGTGTTCAAGTAATGTACGAAAATGAACTGGCGATTGTAAGCTGGGACATTTTATATTGAATATATCGACAAGTAAATTATCTGGCGTTAATGGCGGTATATCAATAGAGAAATAAATGAATAGTAAATTGATGTAATCAATTTCGTATTGTCTTGGCGCACGTGCACCACGTTTTGCTTGTAAAAGTACATTTGGCAAGGATTGAAATGTGTATAGAAGCGGCACATAGAACCGATTATTCTGAACAATGTATGGAATGAGTTTATTACCATTCATTAGTAATGTACCACCTTTGTGCGCTAGAACATTGGCATGATACTTATTCACTTGCGTACGTGGTTGTTTACTCGGTAGGAATTTGACGTAAAGGACGCGATCGAGAGCGATCATCACATGGTGGAGATTGACAAGTAGAGTTTTTTCCGGTACTTTTTCGTCGAAGATGTTTATATTTGTAATGAGACTATTTAGAATGTCGAAGTCTTGCTGTGTAGCTTTGATAAGGAATTGTTTCAATGAATATTCTTGATCGGTGAAGATGTTGCATTTAATCAGAATTTCATATGGAACATAGAATTCACGTTGGAATTGAGATGTCAGTGGACGTGTTTGAGATTTAGTCAAATCATTTTCGCATACTTTTAGTTTAACGATGTAAGGCACGAAAACGTTATTGATTTGCACCCAACCCGATTCTTTCGAATTCGTTGGAGTCGATTGATTTGAACGTGCTTTTTGTAAAGAAGTATCGCAATTAGATGGAAGTAGTGGGGTTTGCGGTGAACTCTTCATCGATGAAACAACTTGTGTAGGTAGTTCAAACGCTGTTGGCGGCACATCAGATTTTGGCACTACCGTGGAGGATGGTAGTGATGGTGCGATAGGACGTTTATAAGTCGCCGACCATGTGTTATCTCGTAGTTTTCGTAATGTTTTGTAGAATTCTAGAAGATCTTCGTACCGGATGAGACAATCTGTCGATGGGATTGTTTTGAAATGAACACTTGCTAAATGCCATTCAAGAATCGAACGAAATAGTTTCGATTCATTTTCCGTGTACGAATATGAGACCAGTGGCGGAAGAGAACGAGCTAAGGCTAAATGTCGTTGCCATGATTCAGTTTGAAAGAGAGTATTTTCCACGTACATTTTCGATGTATAACGATGATAGATGCTATTTTCATGTCTATACACATAGGGAAAAACAAATAAAGGGCGTTTTTCTTTTAAACATATGTTCTATTCGTACCTATAAATGACCGGTAAATATCGTCCTTCGATTTCTTCCCACGAAAACTGATTCAACCGACTTGGCTGGTCCATTGCTGTTAGAACATGGGATTTTCTTATGGATGAATTATTTGCGGTTATGTTATTCAGTAGTTTCGTCATCTCAATTGGATCGACAAACGACTGATGAGAATGACGATGATAGTATGTATTAGGATGACTAAGCAGATGTACATTTGGAGCGGCAGATGTGGTGATCACCTCTGAAAGTTGAAGATTGTTTACCATAGCTGCATGCTGTTTACTCTGTAGATTTTCGTATTTGATAGATGAACTCATGTTTGCTGTATCTGATGAATATGGGCGATCATCTAAATATAGGTAAAAGAAAGTTTGCATCCGGTGTATATATTTTCCATAAATTGAAAGGGAAAAACGTCTAGTTCTTAGCTGTGAAATCTAGCTTCAGAAATAATGTTTGCAGTCATAATTGGGATGAGAAATATGTATAAAGTACATGGAGTTCTTTTCTTCTAACATGTCGTTTTTTGTCTGCTCGTTGAAAATTTTCTGCACATGAAGCAAACGAAGGGTTGAAGGATAGGGCCCGGCCCTGCATCGTACTTCTCCGTTCTCTCGATAACGATAGCAGTAACGACGGTTACCATTTTTCAATCGTTTGCACTCTCTTTCTCCACATTAAGAAAGTATGTGGGCTCATGTCTGTGACGTATTACAAATCAAACTGCGAACAGAAAAACTCCGTACGTAGAAAAAAAGAAAAGGAAGAGACAAAGTCGACGTCGACTTTGTACATAGCCCAAAAAGAGAAAAGCTGATTGGTTTCTATGGAAAGAGTTTTCCACTAATACTTAGCCGAATAAAACATCGCTTTCGATCAATGTTCTTTCTTTTTTTTCGAAAAGTCATGTGTGAATTGTCTCGTTACGCTCCTTACACCTTTCGTTCGAGTCTAAGCTGTAAAAATGAACTTAAACTGCGCGTTCTCTATCACAAATATTGTCTCGACAAAGTATATCATAAAATGATTGAGGAAAGATGTGCGATCTGTTCATGACAAATTTCGTTGCACATACACAACTACAATCGAATGACGCACGTATTTTGTTATGACGACCATTCATGGAAACGCCTACATATGTACGCACTTTTTTCTTCGTAGTAAGAAAGAAACCTACTTTACGTACATACAGTCGGATATTCTACATATCCATTAAATTGAGTACTTCGTGCGCCGTCTTCAACAGGCATTTGTTAACAGATTAACAGGATTTGTACGAAATTTCTTTTGTCATACTGATTTATACGAAGAGCATGCGAGTTATTCAACCCAGAAACTGTATCTTAGGTAAACGAACTTGTGTATATGCATCAAGTTACAGCCAAATATAGAACAATCATTCTTTTTCGTGAGAAAAACACGCACCTATTTCGATTTGTGTTTCGTACGATCGTTATCTTTTCATTTTACTGATAACTACTGCAAACATTTATATTCTTGTTGTATCAACTAGAATGTCTCTCTGTCTACTTACTCGGTTCAATGGAATGATTCGATATGATTTTCCGGTTTTGACGGCGTCGACGACGATGGCTGTCAACAGACACAATGTCATGTCTTGCGAGATCTTCGATGATCGGCGAATGATTATGTCTTATCGTTAGAACCGGTAACGACCCGTTGCCAACTAATTGATGCGCTCGACCATTACAATGTGACCGATCTTCGCACCGCCAGTAGATCGTACGATTTTGAATTTTATCTTGAACGTAACGGTGACCACAATAGATCAAGCAAGGCTTATGGCGTTTCGTCTCAGCAAGCGAATATTCATTAGATTGAATGTCTGTCGCCATAACCGATTGAGTATTGCCTTCTTTTCCTATTTATTTTTTGCGTACAATTTTACTCGTGCGAAAAACAGTAAGTTTGCTAGTAATATGTTAATTATTCGACGAAACGGATACACTACCCGCGCTTGTCAGCCCCACGAACGCACATATGCAGTGTGAGCGACTACTCTCGTTCTCTTCGTTTTTCTTATTCTTCTTTTTTTGTGATTCTTTTATACGTTCGCACTTTTTTTTTCTAATGTGGTTGTTTCTACCGATCTATGGCAACGATTTCGCAGTACACAGTGTTTAAAAACACTCTATGTGCTTTTGTAATTGATTAGTACGGGTTTTCGTGATCAGTACACCTGCCCACTGAAGGCGAATTTTCAAACTCATCTGATTTCGAAAATTTTTCAACAGATCCAGCAAGAAATGTCAATCAATCCCTGATGCTTTTTACTTGCTTTCGATTAGTTCGCACGCAGAGAACCTCTTCCCATCGTTTCTCTACTTTCATTCATTCGAATTTTTTCTTCTATCACATTTCCCGTGCAGTGTTCGTTTTTCTTTCGCAAACTTTGTTGTATTCATGTAGAAAGTAGAAAGTTTGAAGAGAAGGGGAAGAGAGAAAATGAGTGTCAATGCGAGCAAAGGCGTCATTGTACTTTTGACGTAGCATTTTGCATAGTAACGACGGTAGTTCACACGACAAGAGAGCGACATGAACGGACAGAACAGGCAATGCATGTGCATCTTTATTGCATTCTGTCGCCCAAACTAGTCATCCAATCGCTTTTTGTCGAACGCGTACACGACCAAAATGTTATTCAGGTTACGCGTTTACTGTTGGCTGACTGCCAACTGCGGGGCAAGATTAGGGTAAAAATCGTGCGAGAGAGAATGGGACTCGTTCGTCTATCCAGACAACGAAAGATGATGAAACAAAAAATGATCTTCGCCAAGACCATAAAAGCCCTTCGAATAGAAAATTTAAAATAAAGTCAAACACATGATGCTACCATGATTTTTTCATGAACAATTAACTGTCATATTCAGCCACGAACCTATATCGGACTCCAAAAGTTCTACCATACGATTTGTCAACACTACCACACGAAATAAATTTCACGATAAAAATCTTGTTTATGCTTTCTTACACGGAAAGTGTAAATTGACCTTGTATTTTACTCGAGTCGACAGCAACAAGGACAACTTATAGCTTCTGCTGCATATTTACACATTATTATCAAAAACTCGGTCTCCTTATTCAATGTAAAATACAACTCACCTTACTCAGAGTTCATTTCTCTGCAGAGTCTTAATTGCTTAACTAACATCGACATAGTAAATGTGAAACGCTGAAAATAATTTCTCTTTTTTTTTCCTTTCTATTCTAACAATTAACGCAAGATAGACGTCAGCAGCAATCCATATACATGGAGGAGGATAAATTCGATAAAATTGAACGGACGAATTTTCTTACTATTGTCAAAAAGAGAATAAAATAACTTTGTCATTTCGTCTACATTGACGTACAATGTCGATAGCTGCCAGCTTCTTCTTGGAAACCAATTCAGTAGAATTTCAAAATCGTTATTTATGTTCGTACTGTCATCATCTACTTGTCGATCCACGATTTCTTGCATGCGGTCATCAATATTGCTTCCTTTGCCTTGAAAAGGTTCTTAAGTAAGCTCGATTCGCTGAAATACAATCTTTGATATCATCGTCATATAATATAGAACAAAGCCAGCTCGATGTACACGAACCAGTTGCGGTAAAACCATAGCAACAGAAGGAGTAAATAGAGCCAATTGACTGCTTTCCATATGACACTATTCGGTTTAGATTTATCCCAACATACCCATGGAAAACGAACTAGAGCATTTTACAAACATCCTTTGTCGAAATCAGTCGAATGGCTGCACTTGGAAAGGCAACTATTCAGCCTATAAAGTAATTATCAAAATATACAAACGAAGTTCTATTTTGTTTTCTCATTCATCAAGGACCATTTGCAAACATGTCAGCACGAGCGTTTCCAATGCGAATGTTGTTCAACAGTGTTTATTCAACGCCTTGCATACGAACAACACTCTTCACTTTGTCCAAAAGCTCTTGTGTCTTGTCCTTTAAATCAATTCGGTTGTACTATTCAAGTAAGTTCTCCTCACGTTCGTACTCGACTTAATCATTCATTTCGACTAGTTACCGCGTGAAAATCTTGCAAATCATGTTCTTTCATCGTCAGTCGAACATCTGCAGATCATCGCCAGTGCACTGGCATCTCCTCAAGTTGTGTCGACATCTGAAAATACCAGTCCCGCTGAAATGAATCTTCTAAAGAGTGAATTTCATCGACTAATTCAATTCTACGAGCAGTTCCGTGCTGAACAGCAAACCATACTGACAAAACATGAACGGGATATTAGTCGCGCCCTAGTCAATTCTCAATTGAATAAAGGCGAAATCTGTACTTTGGAAAAGAAACTCCCCACATTGAAATCATCGAATTACAACGATGGCACTTACGTTTGGATTATAGAAAACATTCAGGATCTATTTCGAAATGCCAAAAACTCACCGCAACCAATCCATGTCATCTCGCCTCCATTTTACACAGCTAATGATGGCTACAAACTTTCACTGAAATTGTATTTGAACGGTGATAAGTCTGCTCGAGATACTTATCTGTCATTATACGTAACTATTCGCCGAAACGATTACGATGCACTATTGAACTGGCCATTCGCTTATCCAATCACCCTCTGCCTATTCGACCAAAGCCAGAAGCACGATCATGTTGTGCGAACATTAACACCGGACATCGAAAGTAAATGTTTTCAACGGCCAGAAATGGACGCGAATGTCAGTGCTGGTATACCGGAATTTTGCCCACTTTGGAAGGTGTTTAGTAAAGATTTTGATTATGTTCGAAATGATAAAATGTATATCAAAGCTTGTGTTGATTTCAATATCTTTCCAGCAAAGGTCTGGTCGCACTGGGCCAAGTTACAATCATCTGGTTTACCAAGCCATGTTCAATATGTTAAATTACGAGAATTATTAAGCAATGAACACTAACAGAAAATCTTTGCTTTACTAAGTATTCAATATATATTTCGTGATGAAAAAGAGAAATGCTATGGAATGTTAGATATACAATAAAAATAAGAGAATCAACAGTAAGATAGAATTCATTCGATCACATGCTGATGTTTGTGTCATTCGATTCAGTGCACTTCTGTTCGTCCATATTTGCGAAATATTCGGCGACTTGATGGTTTCTGATTCATTCGCTGTGAGATTGGTGACTTCATTGGTCAGTACTGGACATGATCCAAACCAGGGAACGGATTCAATCTGATCCCAGCGGCAAATATGTTCTTTTTTCAGTCGTGAGCAGAAATCTAAAGTACAATTGGCGAACACATTGGTTAATTTCGAGATAAAATATCGATCTTGTCCTTGTTGAGTGCAAGTCAAGTCCCAATAATCAATAAGATATCGTTCAAATTGTGTTAGAATACAATCGCATTCAAGGTAGACGTTATGATTGACATCGAGAAGGTTCTGTTTTGTACTGTTATGTTCCAATAGTTGGCAAAGTAGATCCGAAAATGTGTTTGCAGAAAAGAGATTATTCGAGCGAAATGAAAGCTTTTCCAATGTTAAAATGTTGAGAAAGCAAAATGCACGCGACGATATCGTGTCCAGATATTGGTTTGATTCGAAATCAATCACACGGATTGAATGAAGGTTCGATACGAAATAATCGCTTAAATATCGAATGGAATTCGACGACATGTTCCAAATTTCCAACGATGAACTAAACAAATGCGGTACATGCTCGATTGAGTTAAATGCTAAGTTTAATATTTGTAAGTAATTCAGTGTTCGGATGAAATCATTATCGATAAAACGGATCTGGTTGTTATTCAAGCGCAGTTCTGTTAAACCGACTAAACCCGAGAAGAAACGATTGCATAATGCAGTCAGATTGTTCGAACTCAAATCGAGAATTCGAAGATTATGGTGAGAGTTGTTTGTAGTTAATTTCGATATCGTCGAAAGCGTCGAATCATTCAGTTGACAATCCGTCGCATATAATTCGCGTAAAACGGGTGCCTGGAGAAAGATTTCGCCGAGATTTAAATGTTCAAATGGGTTCTTCGATATGTCGAGAATTTCTACGAAGAGAATGTCAAAATCGGATGTTTGAATTGCACAAAAGTCCTACCTAAACTCACACCTGGCGATGTCAAAACATTCGGATGAAAGCTTTTCAATTGATTTTGATTAATAAATAGTAGCCGTAAGTTTTGTATTTGATCGAAAGCAGTTACTTCAATGGTTTGTAACCTATTCGAATGTAAATCTAGTTTTTCCACATAGATATCCGAAAAAACATAACTATCAATGGATGTAAGCGAGTTGAATGAGAAATCCAACGCATACCAATGCATATTATTCGGTAATTTAGGCAAGAATTCTAATTGTATGTTATGACAATGTAACTGAGATTCATTTCCAGAATGATAACATTGACAACGTTCGGGTAAGATCAAATGTGTACAATCCGAGAGATCATATGGATAATTGGCATCTTCGGTGAACACGAAATGGATTAAAGACAAGTAAAAGAGAAGTTTCATGGCTGGATCGAATCACGGGAAGATCTAGAACATAAGCGGAGAAATAATGAACATGTCAATCAATCTCATTAACACCAAATGAAAGAATCTTGCAATCGTAACACTCAACGTATCATTATTGATAATGTCTTCTTCAGGCATTTATTTTTTTTCTTCTTCTTCCCCGTCTGTCATATCTCTATTATCACTATGATGGGTAAATCTGTGCTTTGGGAAACAGTAGATCGTCAGTAGATAGACGAGTAATTCTTCTTATGCTCGAATACTAATGAATACATGCAGAAAAATCAGATAGATATTCTCAATGAAATGGAAAAATATTCATTGTTACTCTGTTGTGCAACGAAGGAATCGAATCGGATGTGTTGAAGAGACTCTGCCTTTGATTTCTCTCTCTCTCTCTCGGATGTTGTTCTTTTTCTAGTCAGTTGTGCATTCTATTCTATCTGACATTTGAGTCCTGATATGACGCACATATTGACATATTTCATGCTATCAGCTTCGTGTTCACATTAATATAGAAGCAGAAGTTCAGTTGATTGATTATTGTATCAAATAAACATGATACTATGCATAAGACACAGTTTGTTCTGAAAAGTCAAAACAGAACTAGAAGGTCATATGGAAGTCTTCTTCCAGTACGCTTGCGAGAAATGAAGTCATCAACGAGATTACAGTGAAATATGACAGAACTGAAAATGCGTGTTCTCTCAGCGATATATCTTATTCGCGTGTCATACGACGGTTCGCGTCTGTCAGTATTGATATATTGTACTGCACTAGTAATAAGAACTCATCCTCGAGTGAAAATATATGTTAATGAAGTTCTTTATTTACAATACAAGCAAATTGATCATATTTCATTTGGCTTGAGACATATGGTCTCTTTTTTTTCAGTCGATATGCGCGTAATAACTACACGATATTGATTGAATTTTCAATATTTTTAAGAAAATAGTACGAATACAGGATGAGATACATCACCGGCTCGCTTTGATTTCTAGTGCCGTGCGTGCAACATGTCGTTCGATAACGACATCTATCCAAAATGTTTCTCTAAATTAGTTAATAGATTTTAGATGAGAAAATTTCGAGTAAAAATCCATGATATATTGCTAAAGAGAATTTTGAGAGAATTTGAATATTACCATGAAATCATTTGTTGAGAGTTCGTTGATTTCCTTCAATGGTATCTGTACAGTTTTCGTCTTATCTGTTGTTTTTTGTTTTCTTCTTCTCCGTCGTGTAATCAATCAAAAATTTTCATCTCTTTCAGATCGAAAATCGATGGCAGCCTTACGGAAGAAATTAGTTATTGTGGGCGACGGTGCTTGCGGTGAGTTACATTATCGAGATCTCAGTCTCATCGAAAACAAACTTTTCTCTAGGTAAAACATGTCTGTTGATTGTCTTCAGTAAAGATCAATTTCCTGAAGTCTATGTTCCAACTGTATTCGAAAACTATGTATCTGATATTGAAGTCGATGGTAAACAAGTTGAACTAGCCTTATGGGATACAGCAGGACAAGAAGATTATGATCGTTTACGTCCGTTATCGTATCCGGACACTGATGTAATTCTTATGTGCTTTGCAATTGATAGTCCCGACAGTCTTGAGAACATCCCTGAGGTAATGGAATATAAATTGTGCTTCGGCCAAGTCAAGAATTCTTTTTCTGGTTTTTAGAAATGGACGCCTGAAGTAAAACATTTTTGTCCAAATGTCCCCATTGTTCTCGTTGGCAATAAGAAAGATTTACGCAATGACGAAGCAACGAAAAAGGAGCTGATGAAAATGAAACAAGAACCTGTTCGAAGTGAAGAAGGGCGCAACATGACAGAGAAAATTGGCGCCGTCGGTTATCTCGAATGCTCAGCCAAGACTAAAGAAGGCGTACGAGAAGTCTTCGAGCATGCAGCACGCGCTGCATTGGCACGAAAGAAGAAACGAAAAGGTGCTTGTATTCTGATCTAACGCTTGGCTTTCCCTCTTTTTCTTCTATCTCATTTTTGTGTGAAATAACTAGTCGCAAACAAAAACACTACAACATCTTGTTAAACTAGTCGTGTGCAAGTGTGTCTTTTCTAAGAACAAAATTATGAAGGAAAAAAAAACTACAGACAAGACTTTTTTGGGTTTCTCTTTTTTTTCTACTCATTATATTACTATTACACTTAACCTTCTCTTTCCTATTCGATTAATGTATATTTCGTTCTTATGATTATTTGAATATTCTGTTCTGCTGTTGCTTATTTGGTCAAGAGTTTCAAAATGAGTGTGCGTTTTTGTATATTAAGTTCAACCCTCCCTTCGTTTTTTTAAACAATAAAAGCAAACACACATATCTGAATGAAGAAGCCGATTTCGATTCGATGGAGAGGATCTCGTCCTATTTGCAGGCAAAACAATATCAACAAAGCACATCTGCTTGCGAGACTTTTTTGATTGATGATCTATTGCATTGTCTACTACTGTCGAACCGACTAGGAAAACTATCTTTACATGACAACTCATACAGATCAATAGGATTTGTATACATGTCTTTGACAGAACATCAAGATTATTTCGATCGACACCGAAAACTTTGAAAAAACTCGATCCCAAATGGTTTTCATGCAATCAATATTGATAATCGCTTTGCAACAGACCATGTTATCATAATTAATTGAATAAGCTTGACTCATGGTCATGGTCACATCGATTACAGTCATGACCATGACTAAATAATATTGATTACGCTAATCTCGAATCAATAAACAGATCGAATAAAACAAGAACGACATAGTTTAAAAGAACCAGCTGGTTTGAGAGAAAAAAACCAGGCTTGAGATTGACGATTTTCATTTGTCATCAGTGAATTGATTAAACTGAAGGTAAAAATTGCATGTTGTCTCATATTTCCGATTGATAATCATGGTTAATTATTAGTTTTCGTTTATATTACGAATAGATTTGATTCAATATCTTCTCGCTCGGAGCCATCATTTGTGTATATCCGTTTTACTTTCTTAATTACCATGTTTTGCCTAATAACTCATTTATTATGCGTGCATTCTACGGTTTTTCTTATTGCTCAGAAAGCTCAAACAGGTTTTCACACTGTTATTATCTCAACGTTGGAAAAACCTTAGTGTGCAAAGTGTGGTGCTCTTTTTACTTTACGTTTTATAGGAACGGAAATAATATTGCCCACCAGAGATCCTCTTTGATTTGAACGATGATTCAACAATCCCTAGATAATTAGGACAATGGAATTTCATCGAATGAAACAACATGTGACGACATTCTTTTCATTATTGTTCATCCGGAAGATTTCTTTACTTGTCGGAAGAAGATCGTATTTTTCCATTAATAAATGGCGAAAGCAACGAACTTTTTTCGCGAGGTTTTAACAACATATCATCTATTGTATTGAGATATTTAGCCTTTCACTGACATCACACTCTTCTTAACATCTTGCCATTCTTTGGGCGGCAAATCTAATTAGACACAAGGGTTCAATGAGATACTCTTGCTATCTATTTTTATACATGATTGAATCTAGTTTAGCACTAACATGCTACGATTGCTTGAATTGTCCGTATCCATGGTCAAGTTATGGCATCCAAACCTATGGGTCGACACTCGGCGTGTTTTCGCGTGTGAGATCTTGCTATGTAAGTGAATTGGATCGCGTGCAATATAATGACGAATGTTTTCTTGCAGAAAAAAGAGTTTTATAACGTAATTGATCGACGATTAGATCGCGTTGTACGCGGTGCACTTGACCGCGAATGCTACTCCGGAAAAACTGAAACAGCTAACGAAAGATCGGTGACGTATTGTTGTTATTCAAATTATTGTAATGCTGCACGACTAACGACCACTTTTATGTCGCATTGGATTATTCTTTTCCTAACGTTTTTTGTCTGTCAGGAGAGGATAAATAGAAATTGAAATCATGAACTTGTCATTACAAAGGATTGTCAAGTATCGACGTCATTCGTGATGTCACATAGATTCTCTTTTGACAGATTGTTTATTTACAAACTTCATTTTACAATAAAGCACCTGTCGTAATTAGATTACACAATGAAATTTTTACGACTTTCTCAGTAGATGAAAGATCAAATAGAGAGAAAGAAAGAAAAACGTTTTTTTAATTAAATCATTCACGGTTCGCTGTTACGAAGAAAAAATAACGTTTCACCTCGAGGACGAGTATTTCGGCACAGTAGATATTCTACTTCATGTTGTACTTATAAATAAATAAATTAATGGTAGTGAATAGATTAAAAAAAGCAAATGAGATACGTTTCATTAGATTGTTTCATCCCTGGCTGAAGTATGAAAACACGTTCAACATCAAACCATGTAGTCGACACTTTGATCTTCATAAGAAGGATATCATGTTAGTTAATATTCATAAGAAGATAATTATCTATCTGCTCATCCTATCTTGTCTTTCAGTAAGAGTAAAACATCCTGAGAGTTACTTCTAATAGCGTTATACACAGCCTCTTCTTCGTAATTACCCTGGCTGTTTATAGAAGCTTTTAAAAACTTGTCTACATACATCAAACGGAACAAATATGATTGTTGATTTTATAGCCATTCAATGAATATCAAAAAGAAAAGACACGCGAAGAAACCCTCGATGTTCAGCTCGATGCGATCTGTAAGTATGGCTGAGTAAGTTTGTCGAACGTATATTGACAAGATTTGTGTTTTGCATGTGATTCATTACAGTCGAATAATGATCATATTGTTCTTATATTATTTCGCTAATCAATCGAATTATGTAGATTTCTGTTTTATTCTCATTTTGTTTTGACGAGATTAATTTCTTCTTGCGACAAGAAAAAAAACGAAGAAGAAAAGAAAAAAAAACGAGAGTGACAAGTACTGAAAGGAAGTAAAAATGTTATTAAAATAGAGAAGAAACGAGAGAAAAAGAGAGAGAAAGAAAGGGGGGGAGAAGGAGATAAAGCCCGATAAAGATTTGTATTTAAGTCATAAGAAGCTCTGTCTTCATTTTAGAAATTACACATTGACATCTACTTATCCCTTTAAGTCATTTTGAAATAATGAACGGAACAAACGTTTCGTTGTCTAACCAGTCATCGACATGGACCGGTGCTACATTTATGAATTATTTGCAACTGTTCTACATTCCTTTTCTCGCTGTACTCGGGATTTGTGGAAATATCATTTGTGCCATCGTCTTCACTACCAAATCGCTAAGGTAAACCGAACTGAATTCCTTTCCTTGACATGTTCTTATTTCACCTGGTGTTTTCCTTAGACGCCTTCGTTCATCATCGTTCCTATTTCTCCTAGCAGTCGGTGATGTTTTCTTTCTTATCGATCTCATACCCGGTTGGATCAATACCAGTTTCTTTCGTTCTTTATATCATGGCACAATTGTCATCTGTAAAATTCAAACGTACGTGTCCTTCGTAGCGTCATTTGTTCACATCTGGATGGTGCTAGCTTTCACGGCTGAACGTTTTCTTGCTGTGAACTTTCCCTTGCGACATATGTCTCAATGCACACCGCGATTTTCGCGAACGATTATTTTAATTATCATCTGTCCGGCATTGGTATTCTACATTTATCCATCGTTTTTCGCTTCTGAAGTCGATAAATATGGGCAATGTCGAGAGAAGGAAAGTCACCTTCGTTATTTGACGCACGTGAACACCATCGATACGATCATGACGATGTTTCTACCGTTCATTGTTGTTTCGATTTTAAACGTTCTAATCATTCGTAGATTGTTCTGCTCAGACACCTTTCGAAAACATGTCTTCGACAATGGATCGAGTTACCAATGTCGACGTACGTCAAGTTGGACGTCAACACCGACGTTCGCCTCAACTCGATCAGAAAAGTCTCCAGTAGTTCCTCGGAAAAAACAACAACGGCAAGATTCAACTCGACGACATGTTTTAAATGAATTACGGCTCACTAAAATGCTGTTAGCTATATCATTAACATGTCTTTCGCTTAATTTTCCATCGTATTACTTACGATTGATTGTTTTCTATGAACAAACAAATGGCAACTCGACAATTGATGAGCGCTATTCAAGCTTTGCACTCTATCGAGATATTTTGCTGCATAATCTATCGTATTTAAGTTATTCAGTAAACATTGTTATTTATATTCTCTTTGGAGCAAATTTCCGTCGGGCATTAAAACGCGCTTTTGTGCCAAACAAAAGAGTTAATTCAAAATTATTAAAGTTAAAGGCAATCAGTAATGATAACGACACATGGTCCCTTGATTATTCTATAGCGGAAACAACAACATCGTTTATTAGTTCTCTGCGTAGTCGTTCCAAATCTCCTAAACTTCGCGAACAACCTACTCTACATCGAGAACTGACGAAAAAACTAAGCGAACGCAAATCATGATAAGAAGGAACCGAAGCGAACATTTCGTATTTCTTTCCTTTGTCTGTAAAGTAAACTTAGTCCTTTGAACAGAAATATAGGTCGAGTGAGAGCTCGAAAAAAGAGAAATTAACCTAAGAGAATCATTTGTTATCAACAACGAACATATGTCTTTGGATGACATAAACAAATAAAATTGATGACAAAGAAGAATTGCTTATTTATATGAAAAGAAGAACAAATCGGCCTGCCGGTAACTTGACATATGACAATTTCTTTCGAATGCATGCTTTACTTTACTTTCACTTGAAATTTGTTACACTATTGATCACGTACGTTCTTTCAGATTTTTGAACAAGAATCAAAAGCAAGGGAGGCAGAGCGATATGAGAGTTTTGATGAGTTAGAACAAATGAAAATTCGCGGAAAGTAAGTAGAGATAACATAAAACTATACTGAATCATACATATGCACCGAAAGTCTTTGGAACTTATCAAAAAATCAACTCCTTTGCGATGATTTGTGCTTGAATTAGGAGTGATTTAATTCAGCTTTTTCCCCTTGATCAAAAGACTACGTGAATTATCCACAGAATTGAATAGTATACTTCTTTCCACTCGACGATGAGCAGCACTTGAGTGTTTTGTAAAATAGGTCGTTCAGTTTGTGTTATTGAGAATGAAGGAAATTCGAAGGAGATTTCCGGTTTGAAAAGATCAATTAGCGATGTGTGAGGTGACACGTATGAAACTACTACGGAAGTGAGTTACGTCAACCGGTGTAGCTGAGTATCAACAAAGAGAGAAATTCGCATGTGTGCGACGAAAAGCGTCTTCTCAATCGGCTGAGTTTTGCTTTGAAAATAAGTCAACCAATCAAACGCCGTAGTTAGTCGTATTATTCACCTTCGTAATTTGATAAGCAATGATTGATTCGAAAACTATTTTCTCCCTCAAATGTTTCTTAAAACAATCATATCTCTGTACTTCAGAGAATCCAATCATCGCTCGTGTAGATAAAATGTCTTCTATCAATCAACCATCAACAGTTGAGTCGACTTCGCTAAACCTTTATACATCGAGAGCATATATACTCTTATCTAGATGACGCTAAAATCATTGATATAACAACAGCGACATATTCCTGTTAGAAAATTTCTTTTCAACAAAAATATTCATCGTTTGAAAAATATGTTAAGTCTATTTAGCAGTGTTTTTCGGTATATTTGCATATCAATCATGGAAAAGTGTTAAATGGCTGTTAATGTCCAATGAGAATGATAAAAAAATGAGTGACTGATGATGCCTTGTCAGTTCTTCGTCTTTTCATCATCATCATCATTTGATATAGCAAACATATTTTTCTCTGTTTATTTATTCGATATATTTTTTTATTCATCGATAGAAATGCTAATTGAATGAAATGTCTTCATTTTGTTTTCTCTTCTCACATTGCCAAAATGAAATATTTTTCCTCTGTTTAGATGAAAACATTTTCTTGTCGTTATGATTAACAATCTCCATGGAACAAGATCGGTAAAAGCACGGCAAATGACTTGTCGATTCTTTTTGTTTTTGTCGGATGATTTTTTTTCTTAATGTTGTTTGTGTCTAGTATTTTATCGTATTTGACTGATCCCGATTTACCCAATGGTTCGTGTCACTCTGTGTTTTCAGTTTTCATCGTCAACTTCATCTGTTTTAGGACTCGAACAGATAAACGTTGTCGTTAGTCGAGATCGATATGGATACGGTTTGACAGTCTCTGGTGATAATCCTGTTTATGTCCTCAGTGTACGAGAAGATGGAGCCGCACACCGAGCTGGAGTCCGAGTGAACGATCAGATTATAAAGGTAAATTATCCGTCTGCATATGACTCAATGCAATACCGAGAGTATCAATAAAAATCAGATATCATGTTAGACAAATAGATTTGTTTTGTTCTCATTAGGTAAGATTGAATAGAACGGCGTTGCCTTTGTCAGAACAAACAAATAACTGATTAATGACCTTGGAAAACACATCAACGAGTATATTTTGCTCTGTAAACTTCATTAGTTTTTCTTTCTGTACAATCTACTCTGATGTGTACATATCTATATAGTGAATGAGTCCACCTGTTTCTTTTTTATGTGTTTCCCATACATGACAAGTTTTGTATGTGTTTTCGGGAGTGACACGCGAAAGAGTTTTTGCTGTTGTATTGAATTAGATAAAATCATCAGCGATGATGATCGGCATTCCAGATAAGTTCGTTGATGAAAAGTTTATTTTTGTCTTGATTTCTTTTCAGGTCAATGGCACGCGTGTAACGCATTGTACACATGTTGATGTAGTCAATCTAATCAAATGTAAGTTTGTTGTTTTATTTTCTAATTAATCAGAAAAGAGTAGAAGTCGACGAGATCAATTTGCTTGTCAGAAGAGGAGTATTCTAATCTGTGAATGTTCAAATAAACAAAGAGAGAGAGAGAGAAAGAAATCCATTCGATCGGTTGGTGGCCTCAGAAGATGATTTCGCAATATGTTGATAAACATCACATTATCTCATTCCAGATTGCATTGTTTATTTTTTTCTTCGACCTTGATTCGTCAGATGTTGTGAATGTACGTGATCGAAAGAATTTCTCTCGTTATTAATTAATTACATATCTTTCAAGGAATTTCATCTAACCTCTCTTGAATGTCTTCTGATTATTTTACACATGGGACAAACTAATTCAATGAATGCAGTTGACAAAGATACGAGAGATCGAATTTCGTTCGTTACTTCGTCTTGTTTTTCAGAATTATTTCTAATCTCTATCATCAATAGAGAAAATAACTGAAAAAAAAATCAGTCTTTCTTCTGTGTATCTACATCAAGATATACATGTACGCATAATACAATCGAAGAAATTCTCCTATTACTTTGTTTGTATATATCGACTGGAAAGAGGAGATGGTTGATGGCATGTTTCTTCCTTCATTCTTTTTTTTTTGCCGTCGTCATTACGGACAATTTCTTTTGTTACACACAAAGGCCATACGCTCCGGCAATGTTTTTGTGTATTAAGAATTAACAATTTATCATTCTGAAAATAACATACTAGCCGATTGTATCAACAAAAGCGCGTTATCTTCGAGCAGAATGGTGCCGTCGTATTGAACAGCATTCTTGCGTTTGAATCAATCGCTAAGCAAGCAGTTGAGCGAAATTAATCTCGATCGTTTGCGTTCGTATTCTTTTAGATTTTCTCTTTGAGAATACAAAGGAAAATACCGATGACTTCTTCAATATCCGTACACATACCAGATTGTAAGTTAGGTACCGTTCGTGTCGATCGAACAGTCGATATCTATCCGACACCGATAATAAATGACGAGTCGATTTTCCATGTCAAGTCCTATGTGCCCAAATTGATCTTAAAACAGCAATTAACAGAAGTTCCTGGCGAATTATTTATTGAGGATTGCTCGGACGAACGTCAATATGCTCCGAAGACCAAATGGAACTATCAAAGCCGTTCAGCAGATGAAGATGAGTCTGATATCGCTGTCATCTATTCGCTTGTACGATGTGCTACAACTCGTCGAACGTCAGTACCATATCTTTCTGTTTTACCCTTAGCAACAAATGTGAACATTCCTCGACCGTGCGCAGCTCGAACTTATACATCGGAGCCGCCATTAACTCCCATTGTAACACACGTATCGAAACAAGCGGAAATCAAAACATTGACATCCACGCGTACAATAACAACAATAACGACACCAGTAACAACTGCTACCCAGCTATCACCACCGACTCGTATTCAAACGTCTACTTCATTTACGTCACATGATCGGCCATCAGCACCGTTAATTGCTATTAAACCTCGTCCGTATTCATTTCGTAGCTCAGGACGCAATGTTTTCGAACGACAAATTTCGCATATAACAGAACGTGTAACACAATTGCATGAAACATTTTTTTCTCGTCTATCGCATTCACATCTACCTCATCAACCACGAAATCGTTCTCTCTCAACTTCTCATCCACCAATAACCGATTTGAACTCGGACGAATCCGACCTCATAGAGAAACACCTAGTTAGACCGCGACCGAAATCGGAAACCTATGAGGATCACCATCGTGTTCAGACAGGTAAACACCCTTCCCTTCTGAACCAAACAGCTGCAGATAACAAATGATATATTGAGATACTGAGAAGACAAAACCGACACTAGGAGACATATTTGAAGTCTCATCTATATTCTGTAAGCGAATATGTTACCATCTTTGACTGCCATGTTGACATTTAAGACATTAATTTTTCCGCTTTGCTGTCATTCTTCCGTCTATTATCGTTAGTATGTTGATGGATGTAAAGAGTAAAAAGGAAGTTCTTCGATATACATTAGATATTCATTAATCTTTGCCATTTGACTATTTCTTTTATGAAACGAGAGAGGAAAATCAATTTCATCCATATCTTTGCTTGCGTTTAGCTGGTCCGTATGCTCAATTAACTCTTCTGGGTCAACCGAGGGCAAATCCTGCCTTTCAAACGCAAAAGTCTGTTTCATCATCCGAAACACAGAATGAACGCGTACAGTTTCGTACACAAATATCTACTCCCGAACGATCATCATCAACACTATTCGATGCAAAGAAAGCACGTGATGCCTACGATAAGATTTTCAAGCAATTCGAAGTACGTCCGAATGAATCGATTGACGTGCTCGATTGCTAAGCATTATTTTCAGACTGCAAGAAAAGAACTTGATCGACAACGAGCCAAAGGTTCGAATCACAATACAGCACGTATAACTCAGCTTGAAAAACAGCTGCGGCAATTCGAGCAACAATTAAACGAGATCAAACGTCGTTTGGAATCGATCGAGGTAAGCAAATTATTCTGATTCTGTCATTCATAACCCACAATGATGATTAAACTAGCCAAATTGTGATTCATCACAAACTAAACATGATGACAATCAAGTTAATCGAACAAACACATTCATTGAATCATCAACAAATCGATCAAACACTGTAAGTAAACGAACAACTTCCCAGGAGATTTTCTGTTAAGAGTATCTCTGAAAGACACAAATCCTCGTCATCCCCGCCTATATTTCTCTAGTTTCCTCATGGCATAAGCAGTCACAAGAAACAGAATTCCTTACCCGAATCGACAATTTCGCAACTCATAACAGGAGGCTTACCCTCGACTAATGCGAATTCACCGTTACATCATATCAAACGTAAATTTCAAACTGGAAAGACTGAGGCATTCGATCTTGTTAAGGTAAAACTAGATCCATACTTCTTGGATTCTCACACATTTAATTGCAAAACACTTCTGCACACTAACGATTTCCTCTCTATGAAAACATATCTACGTCGATCTTTGATCTCATGTGATTGTCTTTTCCTCTGGTTCTTACACGTTATTTAGTGTTCCTTTTGCTAATACATGTTTTCTCTATGCAGATCTACTCTGATATTTGTCTCTCTTTGATCTAGAATACCGATACGTTGAATAATATTCCAGCAGAAGAAGTCTTCAAGTTTCGCGTGAGTATCAGATTACAATTATTGATTGATGAAATTAATTTTCATGTCACAATGTTCCTGTGTCTGTCTGTATATGGTTGTCGTTAGTAAATAAGGGCATAACGATAAAGGTCAATGTATACTAAACATGTGCTCACATAGGACAGCTAGTGAGAAGATACGATTGACATTCGAGATTTTTCCATTTAGGAGCTAATTGAAAATGAAGATGAAAATAATCATGCAAATCAGTCGAATGTTCAATCGATATCAACATTCGATGATCTTCAACTGTTAATCAATACAACTAATTGGATCCCGATAACTATTTTTCTCAATTTTCTACTTACTGATACAAACAGTGATCCAAGTCATTTAGTAAGTCGTTTGGATACGTTCAAATCATCATAAATCTCTCTTCTTCGATTTAGTTGTTTTATCTGATAACCGAAGAACTTCGTTCGAAAAAAGCCGAAAATCGAGCTGAACTAGTACGATGGGCATTCGAGATTCATTCAACTTTTACCATGTATAGTAGTGTAAGCGTTTCACATGATCATTTCCATCTCACTCATTCAAGTCTTCGTTTCATTAATTAAGCCTTTATACATTGGCCTTCCGCAATCACAAATGGATGCTATTAATCGTTCTTTGATGGTTCATCAAATAGATATGAATGAAGATATGAAGATTGTTTTCAATGACGCTCGAGATCATGCGAAATCTGCCATTTCCAACCGACAATTACCGGATTTCAATCAGAAGCGAACAGTAACTGCGAACAATGATCTAACGTCGAAACAAACGCACTTCGTTGATGAACGTTTACGATCAATTTTCGAACAGCACTACAAATCTGTCTCGACAGAAGATTGGAACAGTACGAAAAACAATCGAAGCCTGGCATTATTATGTTCATTGGCAACATATTTGAAACGTTGTGATATAAAGAAATGCGGAAACATTCCACTAGAAAAAATTCCGAAATTTCTCGATAGAGAACCGAAACGTCTATTGGCCAAACTGCAACGAGCAACACCAATGAAAAAGGTAAATTGATCTGATGTCCGGAATGATATTTTCACTGATTAAATCAGATCAAAGAACATCAATTCAACGAACATCAGTTTACTACCGAAACTCTTTGTCAATTCTGTTACAAACCACTGTGGGGGATCAATTATCAAGGCTATTTATGTGGATGTAAGAGATCCAAGTGAGGAATGAGTGGCTGATTTGTGATATGTTTTATCTTAGATTGTCAGCAAGCTTATCATCGTGAATGCGTATTGAACAGCGAAAAGTGTTCGAAAGATCGTGTGAAATTTCGTAAAATGCCAAGTAATCGAAATCCTCCGAGTAAGTGTGTGAAAACCCTGCGGTATACTTGACCAACTCCAGTCGAAAAAGAATACAATTGTTGATTTCTTGTATTTATTCTCTTCACTCTCAGGATCAGCGTCAGTAGATAATTTAACACAGAGTTATTTCATTTTCTCCGCTAAACCTATGCAACAGGCTGTTTTCTTACGACGTTCTGTTGGCGGAAGTAGTACTTTATTCGATGGTATTATGATGAACTTGAACGGTATTTTATCTGTTGTCTAATACATTGTTTTTCGTTCGCTTATTGTACATCTGTTTTGGAAAGTCTTTGAATCGAAGACTAAATAACCTAATATTTGTTTGTCTTCTTCAAGGTCCATCTCGAACAGAAAGCGTAATTGATGGACGGGAGAGTAGTGTCCGTAAGTTATAAAACTTATGTGAATTCGTAAATCAATAGTTGTTGTATTTCTAGCAAATGAAATCAATGAAAATACGCCTGGCTCAACTGACGGAACCGGTTAGTTGATTAGGAAGTAAATAGTTGCAAGAGTATCCTTTTGTTCGGTCTAGATCCCGAAGGAAATGCGGCAGCCAATGATCAGAATAAAAATCCAACGTAAATTATTTCTATTCAATGAAAAACTAAAAACGATAACTTGTAAATTTATTTTCGAATAGCGTTGGACGATGTTCAAGTGATCGTCGAGCAGCGCCCGATCGACCAGCTGCACCGAAGAACCGTTCAAGCAGGTAAATATATTTGATTTCATTTCAATATTTGAACTGAAATATCTTCCAGCGAAAGCGACGATAGTGATGAAGGGTATTGAAATATTCTTATCTCTTTTCATCCCATCCCATCTTGTATCTCTCGTTCGCATGATAGTAATTCCGAAAGCGAAGATTCGAGCACTCTCTTTCATACGCATGAGCGTCTGGGAAAATCTTGTTTTTGACCCGCGACATATTCATGCTTTCTTCTTATTATCCGCTTTGTTCCCCCGCCATTTATCTAAACTTAGTTCGAGATTTTCAATTCATTTTAGTAATCCACAAATGGGAGGAAATACTATTGATGAGTTACTTAATCATCACAATGATAACGAATTAGCCAATCAACAGGATCCAATGTACCAACAGTGAGTGATTCACACATAAGTGTTGATGCAAAGTATTGCATTGTTCTTATTTTCAGAGCGACGTCATCAGAATTGTTAACGCAACAAGCAGCCGATGGCGATAGTGACTTGGAAGCAGATGTAAATACATTGCCCAATCTGAGTGAAGTGATTCCTGCGGATGTTCTTCAAATTCTTTATCAAACGCGAGAATGGAAATTTCAAACAACAATCAATGAGCTGATTCACACTCAACGTACACACTTGAAGAGCTTGAAAATTATGAAGAAATGCTTTCGCGAGCCTATGGAACGTTTTCCCGGCATGAGTCCAGTTGAACTTGACTGTATATTTCGCAACCTTGATCAGTTAATTCATTTGCATAGTAAGAATTTGAAGATTTGCTTCTCTTCGAAAACCTTCGCCTTTATATTTCAGCACAATTCAAATATGCACTTCGTCAGCACCGCGAAGATGCAAAAGATCACGTGGTTCGAAATATCAGTGATGTAATTCTGAAATTTGTAAGCAAAACTTTTCCGACTGAGAATTGCCAATGCTGAGATTCGTTTGTTTTCAAGCTCGACGGTGAGAATGGTGAGGAATTTGCTCGTGCCTGTGCATATTTCATCGAAGATCAATCGCAAGCAATCAAATTAATTAAGAAAAAAGAACAATCGCCAGATTTTGCTGCACTTATGCGAGTAAGTAAATGTGTCATAATCTTGACATTGTCATTCGTATTTCATTTGCACATAGACATGCGAATCTAATCCATTATGTCGTCGGCTGACATTGAAAGATTATCTACCATCGGTTATGACGCGTTTCACGAAATATAAAATGTTGTTCGAAGCAATGCAAAAATTTGTCACCGAAGATCCGATGGAGTCCGAGAAATTAACTCGATGTATCGAATGTGCAGATTATATATTAAAACGTATGAATGAAGCACGATTGAAGAAAGAACAAGAAGCGTTATTGAGACAAATTAAATCCAATCTTGACATACAAATACCAAACGATGCCAAAGTACAAAATCTCAAAGTAAGACAACATGAAATCCATTGAATTGTTTTCCGAATCAGTAGTTTTTAGGATTGTTTGGAAGTTTCGAATGATCGCTTGATTTATTCTGGTACATTGAAACTATTACCAGATTTAACCACGCAAAAAACCGAGTTTGAGTGTTGCTTATTTACGGATATATTTGTTTTCTTTCAAAAAATACCCATTCAACCATCGGAACAACGTGGTATCGAAGAGTCGTATAAATACGTGCTGAAAGAACATCAACGCGACGCGAACAGTGGCCGAACACAGCGTTCGCGTCCATTGGGAAGTACAACAAAGTTTACTACAGGGCAAAATTTTATTCTCACACCAATTATTCGACTGGAACATTTGTTAATAAAGAAGAAAGCATGTGGAGGTTAGACTGAACATCTCATTTCGCCGAATCTGCTATGTTTATTTGTTTACTTGTAGGTGCTCGTTCGTTCTACGTGATCGATACCGATAAAAAGCAATTGATCGAAGTCGAAGCAAATTCGAAAGATGATCTGGAAAAGTAAAATCGAATCTTACTCGTCTACATCTCTACTTGCTGTACTTTAGATGGTTAGGATGGATTGAGAAAGCTCGAAAATCTTTGGACAAACCAAAGCCTTTCCTATCATCTCTCGATGAGAAAATTCTACGTTCATCTTCCTCCACATCGACAATCCGGTAATCTTTTTATTCTCGAAGAATCTAATATTGAACCATTTATTTTTCATCTTCTTCTTCTTCTAGATCAACAATCATCGAAGAAGATCCAAACAATCAGCTGCTCGAATCCAATGATAAAGATACACTACAATCAATAACAGAGTCAATTCTTCCTATTGACAAAGAACTGAAACGTTTATTGTACGAAAAACAAATGCTTTTAGCACGTCTTCTTAACATTCCTCAAGATACAACAAACGCGCCGACGTATTCACTGAAACCAAATTCTTCATTAGAAGCGATTTCATATGCCAATAGCTACTGTAAATGCGCTTAGAATTCATTTTTTTGTCAATTATTACCTATGAATATTTAGACAATCAATTGTTACAAGTCATCACACAACCACAAAACGAAACAACAGGAACTGTAGATATTCATTCGATTTCTACTGTCTTAATTCAACTCGGCGACCAACTCTCTTTAGCTTTAGTACGTATCGAACGGAGAAAGCCAAGTTTGATTTTCAATGGTCGTTTTTTTTTTCTCTAGAAACTGATCAATCAAAGTTTTAAGCATAAAGATAATGAAAATTTACTACTACGCAGAAACAGTACTTCATTTACCGTTACTCCATCACGTATGACGTTTTCGAGAAGCTCGAAGTTCATATCGAGAGAATGTTTTTCTTTAGTGAATGGTGAACAAAATCCAAGTTATTCTGATATGCCCATATCATCTCTTCATTCATCTCAATCGCTCAGTTCTGTTATAACTCCCTTTCAGCAACAATCATCGATAACTGATTTGGATGAAGGAGTGAAAACTACGCCGTTGAAGCAATTACACGTGGCAAGAGAAATTGTCGAACGGTATGATGAAGGTGTGTTTGACGACGGTGCTGGAAGTCAAACTGAAGATGAAAATAACAGTGTAGTTATTGCTGACAGTGATGATGAAGATGAAGTCGAACATTTCGATACGACTGATGTCGATGGTCACCAACGGCACATGAATGAAAATTCTCTGCAAGATACACAAACACATCCTACTGGTGATAAAAATTCAAGTAATACATCAATAGACGATCAAACACTTCCGGCATGTCGATTTTAACAGAGCAGAAGCTTTTTTTTCGATTGATTTCAGTACATCCTTGCTAATAAATTTAGACGAGATATGAGTCACTATGCAGAGATTGGTTTTCGGAAATTTCGCTCGAATTTTCTTTTTGTTTTTCAATTAACAAATATTCTCTTGTCTTTCTCTTCAGACGTATTCGATGAAGACAATCTAAAGGCCAATGAACCTGCCAGTGAAGCATGAATGTTCTCAAAGAATGATCCTTTTTTTTATTTCGTCTACTTTGGTGCTTTTCTTTTTTTTCAAAAACAAAACTTTTTCTGCGCAATGATCAATCACACGCTTGGTTTTTTTTTGCTATGCTTTTTGTCCTTCTTTTTCTCTTCGGATTATTTCAAAGGTTTTTTGAGTTTCTTTTATATCTACTAAGCTTGAATCCAGATTCTAAGACAGCTTGTCTTTTCTGTATAGGCCTCTTCTCCTTGCAACGAATTTCTTCTTATTTTTCATGTGCTCGTCATCTTTCTCTTCAATATCCTTTTCTGTTGATCGAAATATTAATATATTTGTTATTGATAATTTTTTAAATAAATAATTTGGAATATCTTTTGAAAACAAATCAAAGTATCGAATGTTTGAAATGAATAGATTTATTGAAGAAGAATAGTCGCTCGTATCGATACACACAGGATACTTTGGAAAAGAAAGTCGAACTTGATCTTATCGAACCAAGGATTTCTGTCGATTAGTATTCAGTGTTATTGGTGGTAAAAACGATTGCTCTTGTCTATAACTTCCTCCGGATCGGTAGCCAGTGTTGTTGGTCGACTTTCCTTGTATTGGCGGTGCATTGAAAACGTGCTGAAAGAAGAAGAGAAGTTCGTGCGGATGATTGAACCAATTACTACTTACGCGTCGATTTGTGTTTATTTGTGCTTGTCGAAATGGCATACTATCAAGATCGGCAAGTAAGAGTTCCTTCTGCATACGTTCAAATCGTTCGGCAGCGTCATCATAAACTTGATATTCATTACTTGGTTTGACGGATGATATCAGTTCATCACCTTCGACTGTGCCAGTATTGTTCCCATTTAGATAACACTCATTGTACCAAATATCATATTCTAGAAGATCCAGATAAGCTAATAGGAAAGCATGGCGGGTGGATATTTACCTTGAAGTAATCGGTTTTGGCATTGATTGAGTAAGTTTTGACAGTAGCTGATTTCCGTTTGCAGACTTTTCCATTGTTCATAATCGGTGCGATATGTACCTTTTAACTCTTGCAATCTCGCGATCAATTCATATTCTTCTTCGTCAATTATTGTTTCGCCATTGTCATTTAAAAATTCACCTAGAGGGAAACAGGTTATAAATGATTAATTCACGATATTTTTCTGTTGTGCGTTTACCCATTCTCAACCGTTCATTTTTTTTATGTTCGGCATCCTCACGTGTTCTGTCAATCTCGTTCTTCGTTTGATTGATGCGACGAGCTAATTCAGCATATTGTTTTTTCTTTGATGCTAAAATTTCCTTGTTTTCCAAATAAATTTTGTTCAAATTTACACCACGAGTTTGCTTAAAATCTTCGAATGCTGTAGATCGATTGGGAGGAGTACTAAATCATTCGATTGCAAGATTCTTTTCCTCAGAAAGTAGTTTTACCTCGGTCGCTGATCCTTTATTTCAGGTAAATCACTCGGTTCTTTCGCACGCGCAAATTGTTGTTCGTCTTCGGCAGTTTGATTTCGCGATAGACTCGTTCCGGGCAATTTCGATAACGTCGGCGACGCTTTATCTTTGGTGCTAAACATAAGACTGATGATAATCAATCGACTGGTGTTCGAAAAGCAACTACCTGGCTTGTTTCGCTGCTTGTCGTTTGCTACGTGTCATTTTAATTAGACCTTCTTTATTGACGCGTTGCTCTTTCGGAACTGTTCCCAATGCAAAACTTTGCCCATCAAGTTCTCCAGCAGTACCTGTCAGATTGCTTGTACTTTGACTGACAACTGATAACTAAACGTGAATAAAGAAAACAAATCGAGATGAGTATTCGAACGCAGAGATTTCGAAATATATATGAAAGTTGTAGCACAAATAAAGCAGGGAATAATCATAATCGAATATGATAGTTATCACAATAGAGATAGATGATTAACAATGAAAATTTTGTTTCATAGAGAGATAATTTAGCGTATATTTACTTACGGTTGCTGAAGATTCGTCAATCTGTAAAGGAATTTCCTTTGCATTTAAAAATGTGTTTACAAATTCTCGGTAGAAATAGGTGGTTTTCGATCTGATCAGTGATCAGATAGTAAAGAACTTACTTTTTGACTATCCTGATGTTCGTAATCCTGTTTTTCAGCAACGACATATCGATCGCGATATTTCTTGTCCACGTCTTTTTCCGTATTTCTAAACATCTCGATGGATTAAACTATGTATTCAACATGAAAATTGACATACCGGCAAATGGTTTTGAACGAATTAAAGGCAGCTAAAAATAAAGATGAAGATACTCAAGTGATGCATTACATATATGAGGAGGTCTTATCATCTGTTAACTAACCTTGTACTTGACGAATATTTCTGACTTGAATTTCATCGAGATTTCCTTCGACGAACCGTCGGCATTGGCTTTCAATTTCATTTAACTGTTCAGTCGTCAACGGATCATAAGAAACTCCTTGTCGGTTAGCCAGTTTATCATGAATTGCTAATTCTTCTTTCAAATGTCGATTCTCTCGTTTGTAGTTCTCAATTGCCCTGACAGGATCAACGATTTCATTGACAGTCGGTTCAGCAGGTACACACATCATTCGACTAGCAAAGCGAAGTGTTGAAACCTAAGTTAACAAAAGACACAAGCAGATCGATTTCGTTGAGTTTGCATGTCGATTACTGTTTCTTCTAGATATTGAATTTCTGGCCAAATATTTGCTATCATAACCGTGTGACATCGTCCACCGATGCTATCTTTCAGCGCATGAGTCAATTTTGAACTTCGAAAATGGGAAAAATTTGTTTTCTTATCCGATAAGTTGAGAACGACTTGTTCGAGAAATGATAAGGATTTATTGATGAATGTTGCTTCGCGTTTTGTGACACCCTCAGACTAAACGAGAAAAAAAGGCAGACTATTTCGATAATCTTGAAAATTGGAATCCCTTACATTGGTCTTTGCTAATCGTTCGCTACCGGCTAAGTCTACAAGGTTCAATTTTGAAGTTGTATATTTCTCGTCGGATGATAACATCGATCGACATTCGATAAGAATGGTAAATATGCAATGTGAACGCGATGATTGTTTATTTAAGACATGTTGACCGACAGCTCGATTCGTTTCACCTTCGAACAATAGATTTAAGGCTTCTTCTTCAGTGTTTGCAAGACGGTAGGATAATCCTTTGACATAAATGAAACCCGCATCTTCACCAATGGATAATTGTTGTTGATGTTGCTGATATTCCGCAGGAGAATCAATTGTGCGAAGCAAATCACACATTTGATCGTTGTAGATTTCCAAATAAGCAATTCTATATGAAACGAAGTATAAAACGAAGTACAATAATTCCATGTACGTTACCGAACTGTGTAAGCAAACTCTTGTCGAGCATTGATTTGTTGATAGAGATGTTGTAAAGCACGAGGAATGACTCCGCGATTTTGATAGCTCTCAGTGAAGCCTGTCATTGTATGGGTTTTACCAGCTCCTGTTTGACCGTAGCAAAGTATTGTTCCTAAACATGGAGCAAATAACAGTTGATTTTGCTCGAAGACAAACAAACCATTGTAGCCGTCGATCGTTCGGTCGACAACGTCTTTTGCAACTGAATTGAATATTTCCTCTTGACTGACATTATGGAATACATGATCGATATGAAATGCCCAGTCGTTGACTTTGTTGTCGACAACATTATTTGAAGCAACACGATGAATACTAATTGTCTGTTGACAAAAGTTAGTCGTGAAGAACTAATGGTAAGAAGAAAAGTTTCTACGAACTCGGTTGTCTCGTCCAATGGTAATGGCATCCGAAGCAAAATTGTTTGTTGGACGAGTTCGAACAAATACTTTTACTTGGTTCAGCGATCGCTGTGGCATACTCAGGTAGTTTGTAAAAAAATCTGTCAATCAAATCACAGTTACTAGAGGAAGAATTCACACATTGGTAACTTACAAGAAATTGTTTATAAAATGTTCGAGAAGATCGATTGAATTTCTATCAGCAAGAGAAGTTTATCACTAGTAAACAAATACGAAGGAAGAACATCTTTATCTACAATAAAATTTCCTTTTACGAATTCATTTCTTCGAGAGAATCGAACGTCGGTTTTTACAACTGGTATTTACTTGTCACATTATTTGATGTGAAACTATAGAAACTCCTTGCTGATCACATATTCATATGCATAGATGGCGCTGAAATATACAATGAAAAACTCATGCTGACGTTTACTACATATTTTTATGCTGGATTTTTCTCCTTTTCTACTACAGACATCTTCACATTCCAGGTTTTTCGATCGTATGCACATATCCTCATCTCCATTTTTTATAGTTGTGTTATATCAGGCTGCAGTCACTTAATCGACAAAAAATCTAATAAAAAGAAGTGAACATCTGTTGAGAGCAGGCGGGTGTGTGTGGATCTGTATGCGATTGCGGGGGTGAGGGTGGGTGTGGACTGAACGTGTTCCAAAGTAGAATTTGCACCATTCTTTTAAGACTATGGTGACCAAATAAGTTATTACCAAACACATTATTGTTGGCACTAACCATCTGTCGGCAGAGTGTACCCGGTCCGTTATATTGAGGTTTCCGTACTTTATATTTGTTTTCTCTGTTTCCTTCAAATATACACACATTTCTTTCTGAACGGTAAAAATAACAGTCAATCGAACATTTCCATTGCTGATCCACCGCGAAAACGTATGATTCAAAAATGCCGAGATTGTCAGAACACTTTGCGCACTTACGAAGTATTGTCTATGTTGTCAATATATATAGACTTAACCATATGCCTGTGTTCATTTCGTCAACAGCATTGATGACGAAAAGGCTTACGTCGTCACATCCAAATCATTAGCTCAGCATTTGGTTTCCAATATTCATGACATTCCGCAAGTGGATGATATTTACATCGTTTGTGATGACAAGTCCGAGCATGGCACTTGGAAAAATAAATGGGCTAAAATCAAGGGTGTTTATACAAATATTAACGAAATCTGTGGAGCAACACAACCAAGACTCTATCGCGATGTGTTTCATCGTGGCAGAAGAAGGAACTTCCAATTCAAATCTCAATCAATTGAGACTAAGTTTTATGTACACGACAGTATTCAGGAGTGTCCTTCTGGAAAATGAAACATGACGAAAAAGCTAGCAAACGCTTAGTATAATACTGGCGTAAACTTTATCATGATAATCTGCGAAGGAAAGAAGTTTTCGGTGAATTCGAACATGATTATCATCCAGATAAGACCATTTGGCGATATACAAGTGAATGTTTCACCTATATGAATTGATCAGTCGAGCACTTCGCACTCTGGATGCTGAAGTATTTGTTCCATTTGCATCTAGCATTTCGACAGATTCGGACAAGGTGGGTATTCTACTCATGATCACAATCGATCCAAATGCCACCACAAATCTATTCGCATCGCTTGAAAGTCTGAGTTATTACGAAGGGGAAGCAGAAAGTTCTTTTTCTCCATACACAGTGTTTTTCGAGTCGGCACAAGCGAACAAATGGATCGTAAGGATGAACTTTACCAGTAGGTATCACTTCGATTGACTGCTGATGATGATCCACAGTTTCGTATATTTACAGAATGTATTAAATGTGACGTGAAAGGTAGTACAGGATGGGGCCGTTTAGGCTACGTATTGATTAAAATAGGACAGCCAGAGAAAGCCAACGAGCTGCACACAGCGCTACGAAAAGAAATATCTGACGAGAGCGACAGAGGTGATTATGAGCGGGCTCTACAATACTTTGAAACAGCACTTAAAATTCGACAAGAAATTTTTCCTTTCAATCATCGTTCGTTAGCTGCTTCATACAATAACAATATCGGTCAGGTGCACGGAAGCACATAAGACTATCCGAAAGCACCTTCATTCTATGGAAAAGCTCTTGAAATCTGGCAGAACGCTCCTTCTTGGAATCAGACTGATAAAGCTATTACGTATAAGCACATAGATATGCTGCATTGAAATATTAGAGTGTATTCACAAACACTCACTTATTTGGAACGTGAACTACACTCAGATCACTCGCATATAGAAAGTGTAGAAGAATGTATTGAATTGTGTCAAAAAAGTATCAGGAAATAAAAGACAACTGCTTCTTTTTCACTTGAAATGATTTGTATTCATATGCATGCGCGCGCGTTCAAAGTAGAACTCTGTGTAAGTAGTAACACAGGGATCATATCCGACCAATAAAGGCGATACACATAAATACGTGCATTCACTTATGTATCGAAAACCTGCATGGATATAATTGTGTTGAAGATATTACTCAGTATCAAAAAAAGTTTACACGGTGTTTAAAATAAGCAACTCACGACATTCGACAATCAACGAATAAGAAAATGTTAGTCGATATGAGGTCATACAAGTCTGGCGAAATGAGGCTACTGATCAAGAGATTGCTTACATATACATCACTATTGGTTCTCGCTTCGGACATCGACAGACTTTACAAATTTTCGTATCTGAAATTCTACACATGTATAAGCTCATGTAAATAGCTGAGTATCGTTCAGTGAAAATGGGTATCTGCGTAAAGAGTTAACGAATGGGTTATTCTATCCAAAATACTTTGCATGGCTTTCTGCGATCGTCGGCTCTTCTCTTCTATGCTACGGGCATATCTTTCGGTGTTGATGGAAGTTAACAAAATTTCAATCAAATCATCATGTCTAATGTATTTTTAAAAATACACTTTCGAAAAAAAAACTCGAACAACCACAAATTCTGACGAGATATAGGCTCTCTCAAAATGAAGTGAATGTCCTTCGAACGCGTCAGCATAGTGAAGAAAAGGATTTCTTTTATTCTTTTCCGTCATATAGAGCTTTTAATGTAGATGCTTCTTAATTTTTTGCTTCGATTTATAGATGTCCGTTTGTGTCTATGAAAAAGAATGTCTAGCATCATTCAGGACATAAGTTCGTGTGTGTTCTCATCCGAGATTGGATTAGCTGTGGACAAGCTTCATGTCCATTGGCAATTTGTTGAATTTTCCATATAAGATCATGTTGAATTTCGTCCGTTACCACTGAATCTTGCTTATAGCTCGGATGAGTGGTGACAAATTGTCGAATCCACGACGCATCTGTTAGTAGAGTACCTAAAAGAAAGCAATCGACAAATGCAACTGACAAGTTCTTTTACATACCGGCAGCTCGTTTGGAAATCAAGGAGAGATACTTTTCAATGGTGCATCTTGTATCGCTGGTAATATCTTCCATTGCGTCGAGATATTTTTGAACAAGCGGGACTAAACCGGGAAAGTCACCGATTCCGTTGATGATTTCATTGATGGATAGGAGAGAGATTTTGTCCGCGATGCGGAAATGGAACTTTTCTTGTCGAACAGAGTCACGATGATGCGCTCGAGTGATATTCTCATTGACTTGAGAAATCGGAATTGTCAAATCTAATTCAAAGGTGAGAATGACTCGCGTTAGAAGAGCCATAAATACGGTGAGTGAGGCATTTTCAAAATCAGTTATTTGGATCTACAGAGAATGAAAACTAGTCGTAGAAACAAGAATGAAATACGAACATCCATTGGCCGAAATTCCACTCTCCATCCCATTTTGCCATCGTCGAGTGGTGGTGGTTTGAATCGAAGTGAATGCCAAACTGTTGAATTTAGATTCTTAATTGTATGAAAGAAAAAAGGCAGTATGAAATTCAAGTTCATATGGAACAAACTTCGAAGTGGTACGATGTTGTATCATCTGTTGGATAAAGATTTTCTTTGATAATAACCAATGGATCTCGGATGAACAAGTGACCGAAATGATGAGCCAATGTTGGTGACATTCCTATTTTATAGAAGAATTCAGTCAATTTGGACTTTGCGAAAGAAAGATTAGAAACCGTTTTTAATCAGCGTGGATACAGCATCCTCATTTACATCGAGTTCAACATCATTGAGATGATTATGTTCGTCACATAGATAAAACGGTGTTGGAGCACAACGTGAGTTCAACGTTGGTCGTTGTCGTTCCTCTGGGGTTCGATCATCTCCTGCTTGGAAAACAGCTTCATATCGAGAATCCATTTCTGTCAGATAACCACGCCAAATTGGACAAGCATTACTCAATGCTAACTAAAACTTACAACGTGAATCATATTAGGAGACGATCAGATACGAACCATGATTGCTGTTAAGGGTAATAATTGATCATATACTTGAAGGCATTCACTCAATGATTGTGCTTTGAATGTTACTTGTAGACAACAGCAGCCCCAACCAGCTAAACATCCATCCAAGTAAATATGATCATCTTGGATATCGATCTTGTCTTTCCATGGAGAATCTTGGAATGGTTTTGGAGTTGAACTATCTCGAAAAACTGTTCACCGAAAGAACAATGGTTAATAAGCAGTCATATCGAAACATTTACTTGGAATAGCAACAGGTGCTGGTAAACTTCGTCGTTCATTGATATTCAACAGCACTGATCTGTAACGAACAGATTAGTTGCGAGTATTTTATCGGAAAAATCTACTTCATGCGAGGATGAACTGGAGAGATAAGTATTTCTGGATAGTAAAACGATTGATCCGAACCATTTTCCTCCGGTGGATGAATATATTGACCATGGCCATATCTACATGTAAAACATTCAATCATTGAAGACAATTAATAGTAGAGTCTTACCGCGGAAACGCAGCAAGGTTCAGAACAAATTCGCAGTCTGATTTTTTCGATAAAATTTGCTGCACTTGATTTCGTCGTAATGCCATATTCGCTTCGACAGTGTTAAGATAAGACGAAACGTAACCGTATGGCTGCGATGGTACACCTTCAACCATATAATTGCATGCTTCTGGATGCCAAGCAATACGATGAGTACTAGTATGGAATTTCAAATGAGAATTTATCGCTAAAACACAATCAGTTACTCTTCTTCGACTGTTTCGTTCATTTCTTTCAGAGGTGGCAAAACTTCATGACCTGACAGTAACAATTGTACACGTTTGTTTGAATGATCGAAACGTACCATCGCGAATTCCAACTTAAGATATCAAAAGTAAAGATATACGGCGTATCGAAATAAAATTCCAACATACCTCATCACCCCATTGAAATGAATCTCCTTTTTGATCCTTGTATTTTTCAAAGACACGTATTAATTGATCTAATGCATACGATCGATAAACATCGGACACACTTGCGATTTCTTTCCAACTCAACGCCGTCCCTTCCGATAGGACTCCCATGTTTAAATGTTATCGTCAAACTATTCTTTCTTTTACTTTTCTGTTTGTTTTCTATGTAATCTCCTACAGAAACGAAAACAACATAAAAATAGATCACATCCACGTTTTTTGTTATTCGCATATCTACTCGCTGCACTTTTAGAATTAATCGATACATGTATTGTATTTAACATCATCCTACAACGAGATTTATATCTATACGAATGCAATTCGTTTCAACATTATCATGTCGCTATGTGCTTTGTCTTTAGTTTCTCGAATTTGAGCTGAAGCAATATTTGCATATTGTGTATTTCGTCATTTACACCTATTGAAACATACCGTGAAATTCAACATAATTGCACAATGCGCACAGTTCGAAGGTTCTATGAAAGGTTGCGTGCAAAAAAATGAATTAGGTAAATTACAAAAAACAGCGATAGAAATGTGCGAAAATGAAATCAATTCTCTAAGGATTTTCTTCAATTGAACTAATAAGAAAAGTCACTGTAGAGAATTATAAAACATCATCAATATCAATTATATAGCAATTGTTCTTTTACATTGATCTCGCTCAGAGTAATCGAATGCGGCCTAAATATCACTTTAGTCCATTGCCATGCCGATCGTATTTACATGGTTAATTACCCTTTAATTTACCATCTGACACAACGATTCAAGCAACATATCAAGACAACTGTTAGTTTTTCAGAAATAACTTCTGCGTACGTTTCAAAAGTATTGCCTTCTTTCTTGTCCTATGTCAACATGTTTCACTATACAGTTTATACCATTTGTTTTTTTCACTCGAATGGTTTTCGTGCGCATTTCAAACAAAATATGTGTTTTTCTTTTCGTTTGTCATTATTGATCAATTTTCTTGATTTCCTTTTCGTACGATTGCAGTAATGCAAAGAACACACACATTCGTCCATTAGATTCTTTTTCTTCGTAATAAACATCGACGATCGGAGTATTTACGAAAAAAACATCTGTTCTGTTTTTGGCCACATCTCTTCATCGGTTAGCCCAAAAAAAAAGCGACAGAGAAAAAACCTTTCTATCCCTCCCTCCTCCTCCTTCTCCTCTTCTGATTTCTTTTCTTCCTGCTCATGTACTCACTTGTGTCTTCGGAATATGCAATACATCGAGCTAGTAATGTCGAGTAGAAGAGAGAAAAAGAGAACGATAGAGAACTGCTCGCTTTTTTTCTCTTGATGCTCGTTGTCGTCTCTTTTTACACATTACGCGTGCACACACACTTTCGAAGTATAAAAAATCCTTGGCAACAACCTCCTATTGACTATACTCCCGTAACTTTTCTTTTCAAGGCTATTGTACTATGCGGTTTTTCTTACTAGATTTCATTGAAACAGAAGTCATGGAATACTTCTATTCATTCCTTCTATTGTTGACATGTTTTTCTTCGATGAACGCGCAAAGCTTTACACGTGAGTTCCATCAAGTATCGATTCTCGATTTATATCGATTTCCCCTATGTAGAGGAAAGTCCATACATGTTAATTCGATTAATGGATCTTAAAACACATGAAGTACGTGCGAGAAAACACGTCGATTGCGTTCCTATTATTATTTAATGATTCTAGTGGAAACCTAAGATGCTTGACGAATTTGAAAAAGTTCTCGACTCTGAATTGAAGTACAGCGACGAGAAGAAAGGTGTAGCATGTCAGTCAATGTAAGTGAATCAAACGGAAAAGTTGTCTTGAAAATCGGCGATCTCGTTTTTTCTTTCTCCAACTATTAGCGATTTTGAACAGGAAGCTGGATACCCAAAGCAAGATGCTCGCTTTCTCGATTTGAGTATTCGGGGCCTCTGTACTGATGTATATGGTAAAGTTCATGATATTGATAAAGGATTAATGACTGGTAAAGACAGTGAAGAACATCGATAAATTTCGTGCTGAGTTCAAATTTTTTAGTTGCTATTGAACGACATGTCGATGAAGTTAGAGCTGCAACAGGAGCAACGCTTTACAAAGTTGGTAATGTTCAGTTTTTCAAACGTGATCGCAATCAATTGAATTTCATTATCATCCCAATTTCCTTGGGATTGGTAACACTTCTTTTTGTGTTAACCTTTGTTCTACGGCAATTAAGGTTTGTTACAAGCTTATTTTTAGAAAGATCAGCTAGTCTTTGACTTCCGCAAATAGATACAAACAAAAACGCCGTCATATTCTCAACGAATTACAAAAGAAGAAAGACGCTGGCGATAAAAAATCTCAAACAATCGCTAATGTTGATCCACATGCGAATGAAAAACAACGTCTTTTACAACTCGATCCAACCGTTGTTGGCAGTGCATCGGATACATTAGGTAGTCCAAAAGATTTCACCAACGAACAGTATCCAAGTTCAGGTCGAAGTAATCGAGGCTCGGAAAGAAGTTCACCTTCACGAGATAATCGACAAGGTTATAATGATTCATCTTTTCAAAACCAACGTTCACTTCGAACAAGTCGAGAACGAATGCAACCGCCTTATGACAGCGAACAGGGAGACATGATACCCATGCGAGAACAACAACCTCGAACAGTTATACGAACAATTCGTGATGATGGAAGTCAACCGTACTATCAACGGAACGACGATCCGTCAGTGAACTTTGTCCCGATACCCGTACAAGTAGAACGAAGTGGTCCTCAACAGAGACATGTACCAGCACCGTACCATTCGGATCCCTATTATCGACATGAGAATTCCTAAATACGAAAAATGTCGTTTGAAATTTGATAAAACAATCGTCTATTTTCAGGCTTGCTTCTTTTTCTTCTGTATGTATGATGACTAATACAACTTGTGCTTCTATAGTAGTTTCTTTTTCTTCTTATATTCATTTAATTTTCAAACAAAACCAAAATGTTTGACAACTAATCACTTTTTTTTATTTTCTAATTAAACCGACAAACATCGTTCTTGGTTTTTTTTCTCTTTCTGTCAACTAGATCACTTCGACATATTAGCTAGAACAATGGCAAAGCGGGAAAGAAAATAAGGACAAGTATTTTAATTCCATTCACTCGTAGGAAGTATAGGTTTTCCCATTAGTATTGTTGTGAGTATCAATACAAATCTGTTTTCTAGTTAAATATTAATGTTTAAACGTGATGCCTAATCCTCAGGAGATCATATTAAAAACAAGCCGTGTTTGTTGATTTTTGTTGACTAATATTTATTTTTGACACCCAGAGTGTGAGTAATGAAGATAAACGTGTGGGTGAAACGAACAAATCATCGGCTCTCTGATTTTTATTTTCAAGAGAATATAAGAGGTACTTTCAGATTTTGGTTAATGTAATGCGATAGACAGAGCGCACGGACCCGACAGATTGTCGAGAGAAACCGATTTTGTTTTCGAGTCGTGTAGTTAGTAATAGAAGAAAAACAGACAATCATTTCTATGACCTTATCGTTGTAAGTTACTTTTTTGTTGATTATCTATAGCAACAACCGATACACTGTTTTTTAATTTGTTTCCGTCTCTGTCACATGAAATCTTTTCATGGCATTCCACATATCGATTGTATCCTGTCGAGCTTCTTTGGTTGCATTTGGCGAATAATCCAGAGCATCAACGTGCCACATACCAATGCCTAATAAGCGTCGATCAGTGGCAAGATCATATTTAATCACGAGTGTTTCAGGATCATCCATCCATATCTGATGAGTTTTCCCATCACCCTGATTGAAATAATCGAAAAACACACCACCCGTTCGATTATCGATCATGCGAGTCGTTGTCGCATTTACTCTTAATAGTTGTCGACAGTACTGATAATCATGTTGAGTTCCAGCAGCATCCGAACAAGGCGAACCACGAAAGGGAACGTGTTGAATTTGCTAACGGAAGCAATGAGAATCGAATAAAAAAAAATGAAATCGATCAAGATTACATACACATGTCTGATTGACATCAAGTGATAAACATGTGTAATCATAGCAATACCAAGGTACTAGAAGCAAACGACATCATCTGAAACTCATAAGACAAACTAAATAAATTACCACCAAGAACGAGCTTCGATGATGCTATTTCAAATACTTGTGTATAGTTTGTTAAACCTGCCGCTACACGCGCAATAGGTGAATTTGCCGATGCAATGCAATCATTTAAGTCGTAGATTTGTGAACGTAAATCATAGGCCATTACGAATAAGAAATCACTAACACGTGCTAAACCCTGATAATCGTAGCAACGTCCATCAATACACGGTGCTGACCAGGCAACATCAACACTAACCTAAATGAAACTATAGATTATCGTGAACACGACCTGTGACGTTTTACCATTGAACCAGATATTTCGATATGTATCAGATTGGTAAGTTCTTGAACAAGTTGTGTATATTGATCTGCCATGATACTTCCATCAGGAATATCATCCTCCATATCAAAATTAATACCGTCTGTATAGGTGCTCTTGACTTTGTTGACTTGAGCGCGAACCCATTCACTCCGAGCAGTTACATTTCCTAATTGTTTCACATCGTAATTCGCTAGCCATGCCAGACGAACTTGTCGAGAATGTGCTAAACAAACAAGTTGAGGATCGAAACTGTCTGTACATATGACCAATGTCGTTATTTGATTATAATCGTATGCACGCCAATTATCTTTCGAAACCATAAATGCAACTTTCTCATGGCGCGAACCGGTTTGCAATGGCCGACACAGAGACTCGTCCGGACACGGACAATCTCCCACTACGAATGTTATACTCAAAAGAAAAACGAATAAACTTCGAAAGTCCACCATCTGTAATGAAAAGAAGGCGATATGCATTCAGACACGCATCTCTTGATAAGATAAGATATATGATTAGTAAAGCGCTCAGTTACATGAGAATCTATTTCAGAACTGTTCACGATGAAAAAGAGATTGTTATTTGTTAGTTCGATCTTTATGTTTCCATCGACAAATCTTGTTTTTTTTTCTTTCCTATGTGACAGTCAAAAACTAGAACAAACATACATGCGCAAAGTTATATTCTGCAAACGAACAAAGAAAGAAGGGAAAAAAAAAGAAGATAAATGTCGTCACATCACACTCATAAACACAAGAAAGAAAGAAGAGGAGGAAAAAATCAGTCAATGTTTGATCTACAAGATCAAGCAAATAGACAACAATAATAATATACAGAGAAGAAAACAAAACAATCATCCACTTTTCGCCGGGGTTATATATCTTGTTGTTGAAGTTTTCTCAATTGGAAGTGAAGATGTATCCATAACTGACTCGTCGTATTGTTCACCTTCGTCACTTTGCTTTTCTTCTAGGAAAGAAAAAAACGAAACACGATCATTAGTAAGAATTCAAGTTCAATGAACTTACGATTTTCTTCTTCATCATAGTATGTAGCTTTAATTCCATCAACAATATTCAAATGATCACGCTGTAAGTGATCTTTCATGGATGCGACATGTAAGATACATTTTCGGCAATGTTTAAATTTCGATTGTATAGTTCGACCTTGATCAACTTTATTAAAATGAAGTAGTAAATGTTTGTAAGCTAATGTTCCATCCATCATCGTCGAAGAATTGTTCATCAATGGTAATTCAATCGACACAAAACAGAACGGACAGAAAAAGTATCGTGTACCCTTATGCACTTCATCGATATGGTAGATCATGTCAGAATGCATGGACGTACGAAATGAGCAGACTTCGCAGAAATATGGCATTTCTAAACCACAATGGCAAAGATTCAAATGTGCGATGAGTTCCAATAATGATGCATGGCGTTGTTCACATATTCGACAGGGATATTCATTCATTTCGAGCATATGTTTATCATCGATGTGCATAGCAAGAAAATATGGGTTGGAGAATTCCGACTGGCAATGTGGACATTTCGTGTTAATTTGTTCAAATGGTGAATTCGATTGCAGTTTACGTTCGTTATTATTATTAGTTGTATTGCTACTTTGTTGATCAAAATGTTGACATAAATGAGTGATCAGTTGAATATTATTATCGAATATTGTATCTTCACATACGGGACACTGAAAACGACAGAAAAAGATAGTTTGAAAGCTAACAAATGAAAATTCAGAATTCGTACTCGACTTCGGAAATCTCCGTAATCAGATAGAGGTAAGTTTCGGCAGGGTTTCTGGCCGTAATATTTTGGCAAAGCTCGTTTGTATGTATGTTCTAAAACGATCGATAGAACTTTTGATATACTTGAAAAGAACAACTATTTACCGAGTTCAACTTCCAAGCCTTCTTCTACAAAAAGAAAAAGAAAGGAAAACAAGTTTCTTATTGATGTGAAATTATGCACGTACCTCGTGTTCGAACTGTGCCCGGTTTAAGACGAGGTAATGGTTGATCACGCGGATATTGAGTCGAAGCATTCGGAGCGAAAGCTGGTTGCAAAAAAGGAATTGTTGCTTTTCGCGTCGGTTCTGGTTTAACAAATTGTGTTTGATAAAACTGACCACGTGTCGATCGTTGCTGGTTGGTAGTAGCATGATGTTGTTGTTGTTGCTGTTGCTGCTGCTGTTGAAACGAAATCGGTTGACGAATATTTCGATAGGAATTACTGCTATTATTACGTTGATAAGCCGAAGAGTAGCTATTTGCTGTTGAATTCGGCCGTTTTGACCAAGGTAATCGATCATCTTGCTGACGATTAATCCAATCACGATCGCGTACAGTATCGTCTTGATCAGCTTCGTCTAAATTCCAATCATCATCATCTAAATCATCGGCATCGTCATTGGCGTATGTTGAACGACGAGATTGTACAGGTGGTGCTGCGGGTGGATATCGAGGATGTATGCGAGGACGGCCAACAGGATTACGCGGCTTGGGCATCACACCATTTGTTGTATCAGTTCGATCAAGAGCCTATAGAAATCAAAGATTTGCTTCTATTATAGAACATGACTTCAACATACTTTAACAGGACAATTTGCTAATTGTGTATCAGATAGTTGATCTTCCGAACAATTCATATTTAAATCCATGTCAATCATTTGCTTGGCATCGTTTACCACTTGTTTCATACTATCATCGAAGTTTTCACTTGTCGGCGATTGTAAAACTGTTGCATTTGATTGCTCTTGCTGTTGCCGTTGTTGATAAGTATTATTATTACGATAAGTCAACGGTGTGGAACGCTGTTTCATATTATTAGTGTTATTATTATTATTGGTAATCGGTTGTTTTGCACGATTATTCATCATGTCTGGTCGAAAGCGTTTCGATGGCGATGGACTCTGTTTATCCATCAATGAACGTGAATGCGGTGTGAAAAGAGATGGTACTGCATCAGGTCGAAGTACAGCTGGTCCTTCGAAATCGTTTGTTGTGAAATGTTCTCGGCAAACTTTGAATGTCGACGTTGAAGGTGAAACGGATAGATGTTGAAAACCACATGCATCGAGCCATTTACGTGCTACAGTTGGATCACGTGGAATTTTATATAGTTGTACACGATGACGACGAGCAAGATAATTATGAATACAACCATCGACGTGACAACGATTCGAGGCTCGATTTTCCAACTAAAGAGAAACGATAGATACACAAATCGATAGTTTGAATATTGTTCTTACATTATCATGATGATTCAACGGAGTCTTATTTACTATAAACGATGATTGAGTTTTCTCTATTGATTCTTGTTGAGATGCAGCCGTTGGTGCTAGTCGCGTTTTAACATTTCCACTTTCTAATTTCAATATTGGTTCCAACGTTCTTCCATCAATTTCCGGATTACTGGTATGAAATGTAATATTCGTTTTCTTATTAGTTTTATTTGTCTCTTGCAATCTATCTTGATAAGCAATCATTTTATAGAAAACCTCTAAATCAAATAATGTAGGTAGAGATTTCGGCTTTAAAACTTTGCTTGAATCTCCAACATAATCAAAGCAGGATTCTTCGAAATGTTGTTCACAAACACGGTGTGTGGGTGATGGACGTAGATCTGTTCGCATCGTATTTTTGTACCATGCCGCAGCAATATTTGATATGTGCACAGGGACAGTAAAATACCGTATAGAAGGATTTGATTGAACGCCATTCGGACAACCCTGTACAATACACAATGGTTCGTGATTATTGGAATATGACCTGGAAGGAAAAGGAGTGAATTACAGTTTTCGCTTTTTTTCTTTGTCTATATGTCGACCATGTTTGACTTACATCTCACCTCGTTGTTGTTATTTAAATACAACAACGAATAGTAAATTAGAATTAATGAGTGGACACTGGCGTGCTCAGTCGAAACAAAATATCTAAGAATTAGAAGAAATTGGATAGCGACACCAGTGGAGAGGCAATCGAGCCAGGAAAAATAATGGAGCAGAATGATGTGAGATAGACGCGAATCGAACAACAGAATGAGAAAATGAAAGCAAGAAGAAGAAAGAAAAAACGAGTTACGACTTTCTTCTTTCTTTCTTCCTTTCTTTCTTTCTATTCTTTCTCTTTTGCCTTTTGCGTTCTGTTGTTCAGTTTAAAAGCAGGAAATGACGGACGAATAGACGAGTGTCAGGTGAAGAAATGTCACTCCTTTTTTCCAAAAATTTCACTCCTTTTTTTTCATAGTTCGAGGCTGATTGTGAGTATCATTTGTTTAGTAAAATATGTGCAAACAGTACGTTGAAACATTTCTTTTGTTCATTTATTATTCCGAAGAAAAAGCAAACGATTCTTGTCACTAGTTTATTGGACTATTTTTATTCGCTAACTGAATAGCGTCTAACATCATATCCCAAAACTGTTCGACATTTTTCATTTTCAATGTAACCACACAGTTTTTCTCCCGTCGATGCATGTCGTACAAATCACACACCGTTCGTCCTTGACAATATTCACTTCGACGTTCAATCCCGACATGCATGATTTGCTCCTCAAACAAGTCCCTATTCGCGACATAAGCCACTGCACATGGATCATGCAAAGGTGGCGCATCGAATTGAAAGACTTGTTTATAAGTTGCACCGAAGAATAGAAGTAAATGATCGAGAATCGACGCATATCGAGACGATAATGCGCGAAGGCGTTCGCTAATTTGTTGAGTTGCACAAACCGTGTGGGTCAACTCGATGGGCACCATGACGAGACGTGGAACATGACGAGAGGTAAAAACAATATGAGCCGCTTCAGGATCATTCATAATGTTAAATTCGGAACCCGGTTCCATATTGCCAAGTCCAATACAACCACCGAGAAGGACAACTTCTGCTAATGACTTGCTGATCTACAATGAAACATATTTTCAATGATCAAAGGAATAACAAGATCGAGGTCTTACTTGAGGAAATACTTTCAATAATAATGCAACATTGGTCAATGGACCAGTAGCAATTAATGTGACAGGTCGACCGACATCAGTAATTCTCTTGTAGATATTCCATAAGAAATTATCGTCATGTTTGTCCGATAGAGTCTTATATTCCGGATGATCGGGAATATCAGTACCATCCAAGCCTGTCTGGCCGTGAATTTCCGGACATATTTGAACTTGCCGGCAAAGTGTTTCTTCACAGCCACGAATGATAGGAATGGTATTTGGCAAACCCGAAATGTATGCAACTTTATAAGCATTCTGTGTTGTTCGATCGAGTGTTTGATTTCCCGCAGCTGTTGAAATTCCAATTAATTCCAATGATGGATGATAAGCAGCTAGTATAATAGCAAATGCATCATCGTGGCCTGGATCACAATCTAGCCAAACAGGTTTTCTTGTTATATCGCTCATGATACAAACGCGAAGAGAAAAACGAAGTGAATCGCTTGTAAATAGATAGAAGATACATTTATATGTGCATTCAATTCTTATCAGTTGAGCCGTGTAAATCAATCCGATAGCATTTTTTCACGTTGAAACATTGGCATGTGAAAACAATTCGATTTCTTTTATTGTTGTTGCTGTTGAGGACGTGAAAAATCTCAAACTGCATTAACGACTATGATATATCCGATTAGAAAACGTTCACTATGACAACGACCAGGCATTCTTATTGATTTTTATACAAAAAACAACTGTCATCGGTTATATGTAATCTAAGACAAGCCGCAACAATGAAAATGTTGCAAGAGGTATCGCATATTTCAATGTCATTATTGTTTTTTTCTTGTTGTTTGGTTGCTGCTCAAACAGGATGACAAGAAAAAGAAAAAAGAACGTTGCCTAGACACATCTTAGATGTTTTTCATCGTCTACAACTTTTTCTTGAAAAGGAACGAAGAGCTCTTTTCTACATTTTAACCCGTAGTAATTCGAAATGTCCCGTAAAATTAATCGAGCCGCTCCCAATAATTTGTCTTATGAAATCAATGCACCTCAGAAAGCAATTTATCGCATTCAAGCAGAATCAGACGAAAATCGAACGGAATTTCTGAAGAATACCTTTGTTCAATACTTTGGCGATGGAATACAAAAGAATCCGGAAGCATTCCGCTCCCGGTTTCGGAAAATGTCCGCAACACCATTTAACTTCTATCGCGGATCAGCCGTTCTTTTCTATCAAGATCTGAAAGTAGATAAAGATCCCTATATTGCAAAGAATCATGCAGCTGGACAAATATTTATTCATGTAAGTATAACCCATATTCCCTTAAAGGACTCAAAATTTTAATAACTAAATATTTTAGGGTGATTTACATGCGCAAAACTTCGGCACGTATTTAAATTGCGATGGTATTCTCAATTTTGATGTCAATGACTTCGACGAAAGTTATCTTGGCCCATTTACATGGGATGTTAAACGATTAATGGCGTCATTGAATGTCTTGTGTTATTCGAAAGGCTTTTCAGATGACGAAATCAAACAGATCTTACATGTTTGTGTCGACTCATATATCAAACAAGTGAATGAATTCTGTAAACAATCGAAAGATCGATTTGCGTTGACACTGAAGAACACAAGTGGTCAAATCAAAAGACTTTTGAACGAAACGCGTATTAAATCACATGTCGAGTTATTGAATAGTATGACATGTATTGAAAATTACAATCGACGATTTATCCGTTCGAAATATGTTCAAAATGTCGACAAAGATTTGTCGGCTCAATTGATGAATGCCTTTCAACAATATCTCGATTCCATACCAGAAAATAAGAAATATTCCGATCGAGGTTATAACAATGGCGAAGTTACTTATAATATTAAAGATATTGTTCAATGTTCGTCGCCAGGAATCGGTTCCGCCGGAAAGATTTCTTATCAGTTTTTAATTGAAGGTCGAACAGAAACATTGGAAAATGATATTATACTCTATATGAAACCAGCACAGAAATCAGCTGTGTCTTATGTTGTACACAGTGAACAATTAGCTAAATATTTCAAACATGATGGCGTCCGAACAGTTCTATGTTCATACGCAATGCAAGCATCAACACCTCGATGGCTTGGATATACACAATTGAATTCAGTTCCGTGTATGGTAGATTCGATTACGGCACATGCAGTAGATCTTGATTGGAAAGATATTAATGATTTAAATGATATTTTGGAAGTCGTTCAATATTTAGGACGCGCAACGGGTAGGACGGATTTGTTTAATTTATGAATATAAGCTATGTCCTTTTCTTTTCAAGCGAAGATTCATTGTGTGGCTGATTCAGATTGTGTGAATACACCAAAAGAGGTCGAATGTTTACCATTCTCAATTATTCCACGTGATACCGAAAAGGCAATACGAGCTGCTGTCGAAGGACAAGTGAATGAGTTTATCGATGATATGATAGAATTTGGAATGGTAAGATCTGTACATTTCGTCTGGAATTCTTACTAATAAAGACTTTATTTAGGTCTATGGTGAATTAGTTCGACGTGATCATAGCTTATTCTTCGAAGCATTTCGTAATAATCAAATCCCAGGCCTTTGATTTCGGACGAACAAAGCAAATATTTTGTTATGAAAAAATAGACGCATTTTTCATGAATAAATGAATAAAAACTAGTCAACCATTTGCTTTTGTGCGCAATATGTCATTAAAATATGATCATGTTTATACCGTCACTGATTTGACGTCATTTAAATATACGCTAATGACATTTTCCCTTTCTTCATAAAGGTATAAAAGTAGGTAAGATTTTTCGAAAACCTATCATATCCACCTTTCGTTTTTCTTCACAACAAAAACAAGTCTTTATCGTTCTTAGCTATCCGTTATCAATATATGGGTCTTAGTACACTTCTTGATATAGGTTTAACTGTCTACGAAGCTTATGATGATGGTCTCTTCGATGGTTTTCTCGATCGAGTTGCCGATCGCTACCCAACACTTTACAATTTCGATTCTTTACCGCTTTTTGACCGTCATCTTCCAACAATTGGTGGCTTTAACCCTCGGTCATTGTTGGGCAGTGAATTTCCAATGTTTCAGCGATCACAATATGGTCTCTTCTAATTTTTGTTTTTCGAAATTTATTTGTCATAATTATTTTCATCTAATAAAACAAACTTTTCATTCTACATGTCGAAGATCTTCTATTATACACAGGCATGATCGTCTCCTATTTCTATTACGCATAAATCTCTGATTCAACTATCATTGTTTATACTTCCAAAGGAAACTGCTATTCTCTCTTCACGAGAGAAAAAGAAGATGTTAGTTCTCTTTTTCTTTATTTCTGCTGCGATTCATTTCGAAGGAGAAGATCAAGTACACGGAACAACTTTTCTTTTCCTTTCAAACAATGTTCTCTTCAAATGAACCAACAACTAAATCAACCGATCATGTCAGTGTGACCGTCGTTCGTAAATCTGACGGTCATTCGATGACGTTTGTCTTGGATGAAAAAACACATATTCATGATTTAAAACATGAACTAAAACGACGATTAAAACCAAGATCAGAAAAAGGCTGCCGGCTCATCTTTCGGGACAAAGTTCTCAAAGGTAAACATACACTTAAACATTATGGAATCAAGAAAGGTGTTAATGATCAAGCTATTTCAAGTATGTGATTTTGATTTCGAAAAAGCAATGGCTCATACTGCGTTTTCTTCTAGTGGACGATACGAAAGAATGGAAATCGTCGTCGTCATCATCCGATACTGACAATGAAAAATGATATTCGAATGTTAGAACAAGAATATGAACTGTGTTTGCTATCTGTAGGATAACGTGGGTTTTAGATAGAAGAAATTAATAAATCAAATCGATCAAATTTTCGCGATGCCATTCTTTTGGTTGATTATCAAGTTAATTTATTTTCTCACTTTAACTTCTTGATATTTTACTTATCAGAGTAACTTCTTTTCAAAGACATAATTAACTTTCTACGCCGAAGATCTGTTCTTTGACACTTAGCAAGGCAAGATGAGAAGACATCGACATTGAAGATGATGATAAAGTTTTGCTTTTTTTGATAGATTCAACGTCATAGCCAATCAGTTGCTTACGTGACCTATCAAGAAAATAAACCTCGTTATTGAAAACTATTTTGTGCATGCGTCTACATCCATCTTTCTTTTCCTATCATACTCATCATCAATCACTAGAAATATGATCTCAATGAATAATAAGCACTTGCTTTATTAACTTGTATATACGCATTGATTAAGTTGCCTTTCATTGGATTAGAGATTATCTATATGATATATGTGTATAAATAGCAAAAAATCGAGTCAATATATTAACTGAGTTTTCTTGTTGAATAGTCCTGCTCAAGCGAGAAAAATCTCTATGAAGCTTCAAAGCACTTTTATCTTCTCGTTCAATGTAGAATCTACTGTGAACGTCATTCTTTGTCAGTCGATAATGGGGAAATGTTGACCTTAGAAACTAATTACAACAGCTCCTGTGGGATAGAACAGTGCGTCCCGAACTTAGAAACCGGGTACATTACCTTGTAGAGATTTCCAAGTTACATTAGACGATGTATAATAAGTTGATTTTCTAAAGAAAGCAGAGTTTAAATCAACAGCTACAATGAATATAATTTGCATCTTTAAAATGATGCTATATTTGAAAAGGAAACAGACGTACTTGATCCGTTGTTCATCAAAAGATATACATATATAACTCAACGTTTGAATTTAACTATCCAATATCAAAGGATGGGCGCTGAAGTAGTTGAAATACCAGAATACTTGAATTCAACTTTCAAGTTTGACTTTACTGATGAACATGTCATGTGCGTGTGCAATCAACGACAAAGCAGATAGCAATATTATATCGAGCCGATAAGGATATTAACGTACGCATTGGTGAAGCATACTATTTTTCAATAGACAATAGCCTTAATCGAAGACTATATTGGCTACAAGATTCGACCATCGATTCTTTATATAGTATGTTTGGATATGGAACTGATTTTCTCAGTTTCTTGGCAATCAACGACATCTACGAAAGTCGAGTGGGAATCGCCATTTTTGTCTTCTGCTAATGTCCTTTCAAAGAGATAGAAAAATGGAGTTGTAGTTGTAGTTTCTCTTCTCGGCTGTTGTTACTATTTCCTTCGCTCGCGCTATTGTCAATTCCTTTTCTAGATCAATCGTACAAACAAAACAGTAGTTTTTCTAGTCTATATTTTCATCTCTGCTATACAATATGTCACTTTTGGCACGACCAAGTGTTATTTTTGCTATTGTATTCGGTTGTTTTGCCGTCTTAATACCGCGGATATTTCTTCCTCTATTACGATCAAAACCCTCCACGCCTGTGCATAATTTTGATGACCGTGAGTTAGCGAAGAGAAACAATCCATACATTCCATAACTTCTTTGATTATCTAGATTTTCAACGACCTCCGGCACATGTCTCTCGCAACGAGCGTGGTGACACCGTGGAACATATTTCCGTTCGTTTCTTTTTTATATTTAGGAGAATATTCCATACTAAAAATTATTTTTTTTGTGCAGGGTACACCACCGCATATGCGTGGCGCACATCCAAGCATGAGAATGCATCATCCTGGCGCGAATAATCCTCAGCAAGGATCATCGGATCACGGCAGCTCAAAATCGATTGTTACTCTTGCTCTACCAATGTACACCGTTGGTATTGGAGTTTTCTTTGTATACACTTGTTGTAAAGTGAGTCGAAAATCTCTTGGCAGTTTTGTCGTAAGTTGGTTGTCGAATTGTTTAGTACTGGTCGAGGAAAAATGGCGATGATGATAAAGGAAACAGCAATGACTGTCGATGGAAACGAGAAAAACGAAAGTTAGGGAACGATTTGTTGGAGAAGGACAGTGAAGATGATGAAGATAATAGACAAGATTTATATGCTGGTAAACAATGGCAAATTCCGAATGAAATATAATAATTGCACGTTGATTTTTCTTGTTTAGGCTTAGATTCAGATTACATTGAGTATTTGAAAGCAAAAAAGCAAAAAGCACTCGATGCCGAACAAGCTATGACCGAAGAACAGAAACGAAGTATATTAATATTAGTAATCTTCATTCTCGATTATATCTTGGTTTTTTTCCAGTGCACTACGCTCTTGAAGAAATGAAGAAATCTTTATCTTACATTAGCTCGAAATTAGTCACTAAAGAAAGCCGCAATAATCTACGTAAGATTGAATTTAAGAAGAAAAGTACAAGGTCGTTTTTCTATCATTCATAGATGGAAATGAAATTGTTCAATTACAAGAGCGTCTTATGTCAACTGAAGCTCAAATGTGTAAGATTTTATCAGCGCTCGATACAGCATCGGAAAAAGTCAGTAAACTATCTCGAACTATAAAGGAATCACCGAAAGTATGCAACTACTCAGTAGTTGATTTTGAATATGATTGTATTTATTACATTTTAGGTTGAGAAAGAGCAGGAAGAAGAGCAAAAACAAGAATCAGATGAACTTCATGAGGAAGAAAGTCTATCTTCATCCGATGAAGATGAAAAACAATCCGATCAATGTCATCGCTCATCGGAATCCCTCAGTAGCAATAATTCAGCTGACGAAGAAGAGCAAGATCAAACAGCACCGGAAGAACAGAATCATTTAATCAGACGAAAACCTCATTGATTCTCCTTTTTTTCACATTTCTTTACCAGTATTCTTTTAGCGATTGAATTCTTCATCTCAATGTTGTATATTAATGTGTTGATAAATTCATGCTAGAATCTCATTTTAATATTGAATGTCCGTTTTTTTTCAGATTAAGACAAAGCATACAAGCTCAATGACTGATACTTACAAAAACGTACGAATTCCTGGTCCGAATGATAACGTCTACAAAGACGAATGCCTCTATTCATTCGATAATCCAGAATCGGAAAATGGTCTTTTTATCTGCATGTCAACATTTTATGGTTTGGGAAAAGATCACGTGGCAAGACATTGCAAAGCTAATCCGGACAAAAATGTCTTCTTGCATATTCTCAGACGGCGAAAGCCGATTCCAGTTGATCCAGATGCTGAACCAGCAAAGATTACCAAGATGGCTATAGGAATCGAAGGCGGATTCGATCCGAACGGCACAAAACGATTTACATTTGAGGAAAAATATTCAATTTATGTACATCCGAATATAGTTATCGCATATCCGGATGAGACTGGTCAATTACCGGAGCATGTTAAACAATCAGCTGAAGGAATTATTGCGGCAGAATCAGCATTTTTAAAAGAAGAACGTGCATTAATGAATGCCACATGGAACGGTGAAGTGCGAAGAGAAACGAAACATGCTCATTCGTTACAGCAATTGGATAATGGTCGAAAAATTCCTCCAAATGGATGGAAATGTGAACAATGTGATTTGAAAGATAACTTATGGTTGAATTTAACTGATGGTGCTATTCTTTGCGGGCGAAGATTTTATGATGGAAGCGGAGGAAATAATCATGCTGTTGAACATTATAAGAAAACAAACTATCCATTGGCTGTCAAACTTGGTTTGTAAAAAGCCGGTGTTTCCTCGCTTTAGTTTTGCAATATGAATGTACATTGTAGGAACAATTACACCGAAAGGGGCTGATGTTTATTCCTATAGTGAAGATGATATGGTTGAAGATCCTAATCTCGCTGTGCATTTATCACATTGGGGTATTAATATGATGAATATGGAAAAGACTGATCGTTCGATGGCTGATCTGGAAATTGAAATTAATCAGAAATACGGTGAAGCGTCAATGATTGAGGAAGCCAACTCAAAATTGCAGCCAGTTCATGGCGCTGGTAAAATTTGCTTTTTTTCTCTCTCGCACATGGCAAACTTCATTTTTCTAGGGTATACGGGAATGAAAAACCTAGGCAATTCTTGTTATTTAAATTCAGCGATGCAAGTTTTATTTACAATCAAAGATTTTCAAGAGAAATATTATCGACATTGTGACTTCTATTTCGATAAAGCCAAAGATCCCCCACATGACTTCAACGCTCAAACAGCTAAGCTTGCCTTTGGATTATTGTCTGGACTTTATTCTCGTGAATTACCTGCCAGTATTGATGCAGCCTTCAAGCCACCCTCGTGTATTCGGCCGCAAATGTTTCGAACTTTAATCGGCCGCGATCACGCTGAGTTCGGTACGAAACAACAGCAAGATGCTGCAGAATTCATTGAATACTTTCTCGAACAAGTTCATAAACATTGTGCAAGTGATCCAACACCGGACGCATCACTCGATCCAAGTAGTTGCTTTCAATTTCAATTAGAAGAACGGATATACTGTCCAGCAACAGGTCAAGTACGATATCTAACACGAGATGATACAATGTTTCGAATTAATGTACCGCTCGATGCGGCGAAGAACATGCATGAAGTTCTTCAGTACAATAAAACGAAAGAGGATCTAGAAAAACAAGGCAAAAAGATCAACGATTTACCGATTGTCCGTCCAATAATTCCACTTACACAAGCTGTTGCTCGTTGGGCTGAACCCGAAGTGATTGACGATTTTAAAATCAAACGAAGCCAACCGAGTACAACTGTGCGAAAAACCCAACGATTCTTGACATTTCCCGATTTTCTTCTCGTTCAATTGAAGAAATATACATTCAATGACGATTGGACACCGAGAAAACTGGATGTTTCCATGGAAATACCAGATGACATCGACTTAAATTCACTACGAGCAAAAGGCTTTCAGCATGGCGAAACGCCAATGTCGGACGGTAAACAGAAATTTCAGGCAAAATCATCAATAAACATTCTGGTATTTTCAATTTAGATGATGAACCAATTACTCAAACGACAGCATCGAAATCGAGTGAACAAATTAACGAAGTTTATCTACAGCAACTTATGGAAATGGGATTTTCGTCGGATGCTTGTAAGAAAGCATTAATTCATACGGGTAACAATAACATTGAAGCAGCGTCCAATTGGTTATTTGAACATCAAGCCGACGCTGATTTTGATCAACCCTACAAACTAACGGATGTTGCTTCTTCACCTATCGTAAGCTGAACTCTAATTGGCAGGATGTTTGCATTACAATTGTCACGATCTTCCTTTTAGTTAGATGAAGAGAGTATTTCGTTAGTAATGTCGATGAATTTCTCACGATCACATGCTGAACGGGCATTAGCCATGACGAACAATAATGTTGAAGCAGCTGCTGATTGGGCATTCAGTCATCCTGAAGATAGTTCAACTTTACATGCGTTGATGGAAGCATTACCTCAATCATCTCCATCACGTCATGCAACCAAGAAAACTCATTTTCGAGACGGAAGCGGCAAGTATCGTCTTGTTGCATTCATCTCTCATATTGGAACAACAACATCATGCGGTCATTATGTCGCACATATTTTAAAAGATGGCCGATGGGTTATATTCAATGATGAAACAGTGGCAGTATCCGAACATCCTCCAAAAGATTTAGCATATCTCTATCTATACAAACGTTGCGCAGCATAGAACTGACTCTCGTTACTCTTTTCTTTTTATATTTAAACCAGTGAATATTACTTTTGATTTGTAACTTACGGCTCAGAACAACTATGATATTCTTAAACTAAAATGTCCCTTTTATGTTATTTTTTAGATGTATATTAGCTACCGCTTGTCATCAAATTGAACGAAAATCATGTCAACAAGCAGTGAAATGCAAATTCGTCGGTCGGCGACTACACTTCGTTCGACAAATCCAACGCGATCAGCACCAACGTTATCATCAGCAACTTCGCACCGACGCGTCGAGCCTGTTCTCTATAGTGAAATGGCGGTTCGATTGAATGAAAACAGTCTCGAACAATGTCGAACATCCGTCAGTGCTCTATCTGGTTGTGTTGCCGGAATTCTCGGTTTAACGTCGTACAAAGGATTTCTCTTCTATGGCTTTTCTATGTTTTTTCTCTCGTCGCTTATCTATTGGTATATTCGCCATGAGCATCGAACATTTTTTACCAGTCTAAATAATGTCTTTTTCAATGGATTTTTTAACGGTTTGCTCACTTACGTTCTATTTTGGACATTTCTCTATGGAATGGTACATGTATACTAAGCGTGCACATAGTCATATTTGTATATAATCTCACCAAGTTATTGTTTTCCTGTCTGTATCTCGAAAGTCATAATAAACAAAATGATGATGATCTCGTTAGAACTACAATCAACATACGTGTTTTGTGTGGCAACAGATGTATGTCAAATACATTGTTGAGTTTCTCAAACGCATTTTGATCATAGGGGAGTGAAGGCGGTAATAAACAAAGATTTCCTAGGCCTATCGTAAATCACTCTATCTGTTTCAATCGATTATTTTGCCTCCACAATATTAGTCATTTTATTTCTACTGATGAAAGCTTAGATTGTTACTCATCGTTCGGCGTCGTGACAAAGCTTTGTAACATAAGTTGCCCGATGAGTCATATTCATAATGTCGCGTATTATTTTCGTCATAATAAGTCGGCGTCAAAAGACGAGGGAGTTTCTTTTCTTTTTCTTCTGTTTTTTTGAAGAATGAAAAAAGAAAAAGAGATTTTATTCCAAACTTTTGTTGTCGCGAAGACAATCTCAATACTAAAGTAAAATAAATCATAATCAGTCCCTGCCATATAGATGAGTTTACTACAGTCAATGTGGCTCTTTGTCTCACAATAATCATCAACCTTGAGAACTGCTATAATTATCGTTTTCTTTTATATCTGATAAAAAATGAGTCATAAATGCCAAGTTCAGTTGTTTTTTTCTCTGTTCAAGGAAATAGATCGTATCTACATGGTCACATTAGGTACGGATGTTATCATTGCGCTCATCGTAGTTGCAGTCGTCGTCGTAATCATAGTTGTTGTTATTGTGGTAAGACTAGAATTTTTTGTTTCATTTGAATCTCTTTTCATGGAATTGTTTAGGTTTGTTGTTTGTGTCGGAAATGTGAACAATGCGCGAGGTGGACGCGACGTAAAGCTGATGCACGTGAAGACGCGCGACATGAACAACAACTAGAAGAACGAAGACGTGTACATGATCAAGTTCGAACTGAACGTGAGGCAGCTCGAGAACAGATACGTGTGAAATATAATTTAAATGGTGGCCAAACGAACTTGGCTGTTGTTTCATAATTTGTTCTTTATATGTGTTTTTTTTTCAATAGAAAGAAAATTTGACAAACTGAAAATTCGTTTCGTATAATTTTCATTTCGTTGAGTACATGTTCAACTATTCTCCTTGTATAATAGTTCATTCTATTACCGATTGATTAACACAGTGGGTGGACGATAAGGAGAGATGAGGTCAAGTTGAATGCAAGAGAACCTTGTAAATGAAGAGAGGAAATTGTACTGACATTCAATATCATTTTTTTGCACTGCACATACACACAGATGTTCATAAAATATCTTCGAAAATTATCCAAGTAAGGTTATTAATCTTTGTTTAAAGATTAACACATGTGAACGTTTATGTAATCATAAAGGAAAAGAAGTGGAGAATTGATATGCTAGTTACTCGGCAAAAAGAATAGACTTAGTTTTCCTAATTGTTTATTCTAGGCAGAAGATGGGTATGTGTTCGTTTTTTTTCTCTTATGGGATAAGTGCATGAAACGCTTGAACAATACAAGTCGCAATTATTCTCGTCATCGGTTTGACAGAGGAGTTACAAAATGGACGAATGCCAAAGTGCAACACTGGATGAGCGAATGCGTTCGATCCAATTTTTTGCTAGTGAAGAAAGAATGGGTTGAGATAACCTATTATTGGCAATATGAGTGAATGAGAAGAAGAAGAAGAAGAAGAAGAAAAGACAGGCAGGGAGAGAGAGAGAGAAGAAGAAGAATAAATAACGATTCGTCTCTTGATTCAATCAAACGGTTAGAGGCACGGGTGATGTGCAACTAGTGCCGGTCGACGCCGGTCTTTCTTTTCTTCCTCATTTTCCCATTTTCTCCTTCCTATGACTGTTTTTAGCGATTGTATCCGTTTATAACAATATAAATTTTACATCTTCGCCAGCCGCACACTAACATTGACAATGAACAAACATTTACTAGAAAAGAAATTGATCATGTCAATTGTCATTTTCAAGCAATTTCAAATGTAATAAAACTAACAGTGATTGTTCAGTAAGTTCTTTCTTCTTCTTCTTCTTCATTATTGTTATTGTATAATCAAACGATCGTTCTTACAGACGGATATCAAGTAAATATATACAATGATGTCTCGTCGTTATATGGCAGCTGTTCTTTTTCATACATATCAAGATCAGTCAATTATGAAAGAAAAGTTCAGCATAATGTGTAGGAATAGTTCGCCGAAGACAAGTCTCATATCTCTAGTGAGCGCATGTATACAAAATACGAGTATCAAAAAAGCAACGTATGAAAGTATTTGAGTGGAAAAAATTTCGAGGCCATCGATCGTATACTTCTCTCTTTCTATAGAGAAATAAGGTGTATAAATGAACGGACGATCGAACATTTGCATATGTGAATATGATTTATTTACCATACGAATATGTACACGCCTCATAGTGGTGGTAGCTAGTATGTAAGAGAGAAGTAATATCGAAAAAAAATTGAACAGTATATATTTAGTATACGTAAGAATAATGATATGTAAATGAGAGAATAGTTATTTGTATAGTACTCAAAAGCAATTAGATGTTGGTTTTTTTTTCAATTCGTAGATGGAAGAGAAAGTCTCAGAAATGAAAATAAGGATAAACAAAATTGTTTTGTTCATTGATGTCTTTTCTTTTTTTTTTTGAGTATGTGTAGTCGAGCATTTCAAGGCTAGTATGTGTCAAAGTAACCATTTGAGAAAACATCTGTGAGCTCATCATGATTAATTCTTATCATCATCTCTCGGTCTGCGTTTCTCATCTTGTTCATTATTCGTCAGCGAAAGGAAAGTCAATGTCATCATCATCATCAAAAAGCCTTGCTTACTCGTCTTCGCTTTCTATCATCACTTGTTTGCTCGATCTTTACATCTATCGTCATTGATGAGGAAAGACATAGCAAGTCAAGTAAGCCAAACATCGTAAGATCCTGTAGTAAATTCCTTTTGCTTTCTTTCTTTATTGCTAATAAGATTTTCATTTTCTAAAGGGAAAGATAATCAAAAACTTACTCTATTTCTTTTTCTCGTAGCTATTAACTTCATGTTCGATCCACAGTGCGAAATAACCTTAGTTTCTCAATTACTGGATTCTATTGATGGACATTTGAAACTGATTCATACACCAATGAAATCACACGATGCTGGTCACAGTAACGACGATGAAGAGCTTTGGTTGAGCGACCATCGATCGATATTTTCATCTTGCGAAAGTCCTTACCGAAAACCGATACCTTCGATTCGGAATAGCCAATACGAAGGTTTTCATTGGGATTTATACGGTAATAATGAATATCATCGACTCGCATTTGAATACGATAAAAGAAGTCATTCGTCACCCACGCATATGTTAGAATGGTCAATGCAGTTCGAATCGGATCATCTGGCAGATGAGATTGATGATACGATGTCATCTTCAAATCAACGACAAACATCATGGCAAGCAATCAAAACCAAATCTGTAGATTCAACTGGTTCAGCATCATCATCATCGTCATCCTCCTCATCATCGACGCCTACAAGCTCAGATAGCGGATCATATGCGCCGAATCCTCTAACATTATATCATTTATTTCAAAGCAAAAAATCTCAACAACATCCGTGCCGTTTGTATCAAAACTTTAGTGATAAAAGTCTATGTGATTCGTTAACATCTTCGTCATCGTCTATTTCTGCGCATTTTCCTCAAATTTCGAATGTAAACAGTCCGACAAAAATCACTCAAATTGATCTGATTAACCCAAAGCAACACTCGAAGACTAGTGTTGATCAATGTCTACAGACATCTCTCATTCTTTGTCAAACGAACAAAACATCTATCACTTGCTCAAAGAGTCCTGATCGTTTATTAAATCATCCTTCTAGTCAATCATCTTTCATATCCGATTATTCTCTACCGGACCTTGATTTCCTAACATATTATGCAAAAGAAAATCCGTCACAATTCTCAGCACATTCTTCTCGAGCCAAACAGTCTCTTCTGCCGATGAAAAGTCCATTCATTGAACAATTAACACCTGAAAATAAACCTCGACGAACAATATTCTTCTGTCATATCCCACTTTCAACTCGTCATTCATCATCAGCGAAAGAGAAATGTCTCAAACCGAATTCAACAACGATATCTGCATGCTCGAGTACATCGAGTAGCGGCTATTTTAGTAATTGTTCGACAAATCATACGCGTCATATTCAAACACCGTTAAAATCATGTTTAAAACGAACGAAAACAGATGTTTTAGCTGATGACATTGCCCAGGATGTATTTACATTCACGACTGAGCGAGTTTACAATCAAATCGATAGTTCTGAGCAACGCCGATATTCAGTAGAGCAAGAAGAACATGATCTGGGAACGAAGAAGAGCGTTAGTTTTCGCGATGAAATTGCTCGAAGGTTAATTAAACCATCAACTAGTCCAAAACTTCTAGATCAAGGTATGCTGTTCTGCCACATTTATCTGGTTTTTGACAATTCTTGACTTTAGATACTTGTGATATATTACCACGAGAAAATTTGACCGATAGTCCGCCGAGTGAATTTAATTTATCCGATGGTGAGGATGATGAAGAAACAGATGAGAAAGAAGAAGATTCTTTAGTGAATTTCGTTGCTAATACCTGCGAAGATATCATCAAACCATTACCGATTCGAAATGGAAGTGATAAGCACTTGATTGATGCATTTTCTCAAACAATTCTTCGTATATTAGAAATCAAATGTAATGATCCAAAGGTAGAACTTTCTTTGACTTTATCTGCATCATCACGTGTTTTTTTTTGGTCTTTAGACTTATTTTCTCAATAATCAAACAAATCCTGAATTGGATCGCATTCTTCGTTTTGATTTTTGTCCTTTATTGCGTGCAGTTCTTGAAGATGGTTTACGGCAGCATTCAGGCTCATTGTTTTCACGCAAAATGAATCTTTGGCGCTTGATTGATCTCACTACTCCGCTAAACAGTCGATTCAATGAAGCTAAAGTGAAAGTACAAACTGATTCATCAACAAATGCGGATTGGATTGAGAAATTTAATTCATTTGTCTATCAATTACTAAAGTAAGACGATGAATATTTTAGAAATTCATTCGAATCTATTCCTATACATCGTTTCAGTCTTCATGAACTTGCTGGATGGTTAACGCATTTCGTTTTACATCGAACAGTACTGAAAACTTATTATGAATCATGGGCATTTCTACTTGTGAATTCAAACAAGGATATTTTCGAGTGTCTTACGAATCAATTAGAAAAACTATCACCATTGTCCTTTCGATTGAGGTATACGAGTTTATCCAATTCAAGAATTACTCTGACAAATCAATCGTCGATTCTGCCGAAAAAATTTCATGTGCGAACATGGTTACGTGAGCGAAAAACACAGGTGAAAATCTCACCAAAAGACGCAATTTCTTCGCGAGTATCCACTCTTTCTCAACGACACAAATCCGATTTAATTCCAGTTTCCAAACGACATGAAAAACTTTGATATCGATGCAAGAATTGCATTCTAAATGCTGAGATATTTCTTCAATAATTGTTCTTTTTTTTCTACATTTCAACACACGTGTTTATCTATCGAAGGTTTCTCTGGCCTTTTTAACGAATTGTTTGTTCAATTCTAATTAAAAATAAATATCTGCCTGTCAAGACTTGAGAATAGCCTTTTTTTCTCCCACACCTGCTTGGAGCCAACAGAATGTCGCGAAAAAAGTAAGTGCTGTCTGTTCTTTGACAGAAATCTTTTATGCCAACAGATCTGTTGTACTGTGATATAAAGTGATATCATCGTACAGAGAAGCATGGCTTGGTGGTCTAGTGGTATGATTCTCGCTTAGGGTGCGAGAGGTCCCGGGTTCAATCCCCGGCCAAGCCCGGCTAATTTCTTTTTTTCGATGTATACATTTCATTCAGTGACATGAATTGATTCGCTAAAAGTAGGTTTGTTTTCGATATAAGCAATAACAACAACATTCTCCAGCGAAGAGTTTTTATATTTACTTCATAAATGAATTAAATGCTCTTCGATGTTCTTTGTCATTCTTTTCTCTTACTCGTTCTGTTCGTTTTCTTTCCTAACGGAGTCTGTTCTCTGAACAAGGCGTATAAAAAAACGACGAAAAAGAAGTGAAAATGAGAGAGAAAGTTATTTTAATTTTTTCGTTTGTCACGAAATACATATAGAAGACGGATTTGTTATGGTAGCAGTAAAAAAAACGAACGAGAGAGCGTCACATCTACACACATACACATGGAGATTTGAATAACTTACAAGAGTGTATCGAAGACAAAATGGCGATTTCCTCGCAACAAGCTACCGGTCGGCAACGCCATCCAACCTTAGTCGCGCAAACAGATGAATTCGATGAATATGTTTATTATCCATATTATGAAAAATCCGTGCCCGGTGGTGGTTATGAATATGTTCCTGAACTTGAAGAAGTTGTAGAATATGAAGAAGAACCTGTGGAATATGTTATAGAGCGCGCGCCACAACCCTCATCACCACCACCACAACGAACGACTGTCGTACAGAGAACGTGAGTGTGAGATTAGGTCAAACTGAAGTATTACGATCGAACAAAAAAGAGTTTTGATTTATATGCGACGTCAGAAAAACGGAACAAAGAAATGATCGTAGTATGGGTTTCTGTTGATTGATTAGCAACATATGTGTTCGAGAGAAAACAATGATGTTGTTGTTGTTGTTGTTTTTGTTGTCGTGAGTTAACTTTCAGTTCATTGCTCGCGGGCACTTTAGAGTTTCCTGTTAAAAAACAACGCTAAAATCAATGAAAATCACTATTTTCCATTTCGACTCTCTTTTCTTTCACAAAATTACCCAGAGAACTTTTCCTTTGTCGATCCAATTAAGTTAATTACCAGTTCACATTCACTCAGCTAAGATCAGCTTTTATTTTTCAAGAATCTGTTCGGTAGATAAGCAAACCAGTAGTGCATTGTTTCTTATTGCTCTATTGTGCATGAGTATCTCCGCAAGAGAGAGAGAGAGAGAGGGCGAAGAAAACTATATTTTGAAGAATAACTTTTCTTCTGATTCGGAATCATTTCCGATAAAAGAAAACTATTAGTGAAATGTCCAAGCAACCGGTTAAGTCATACACTATTGAAGCACACCCATTGTTTTCATCGAAAACTAAAAACTTAGATAATGATATCCAAATAATCCTTACTGAGCCTACTATGGTCGCAAATGAGGATTTACACAAGACGAATGTTATGTTGAAACAAGGAAATCAATCTCCTACGATCCCAAAGACGGAACAAACAGCACGAGATAACTTGAACTTTACGCAACGTAGTTTTGCATATAGTAACGGGTATATAACACGAGCAGAGAAGAAATATTGCATAACCGAGCATTTTCTGTTACTTATCTTCATTCTTATGTCATTTAGTACCGTTCAACATGAAGTTCCGCGTTACATCGGTTCGGATAAAGATCGTGTCCGTGTTGTCGTTCGGTAAGTTCTTATTTCGACATGACACACATGCATTGCCATTGTGTTTAGTGTTCGACCGATGAGCGAACGCGAGTATGACGAGAGTCGAAAGCCACAAAAAGTTTTACATTGTGTCAACGAAAATTCTATCATCGTAAGTTTGACTTTTCTTTCGGTAATATTCTACTGTAATTTCTATCAAACAGTTCGATGGAGGTCAACACAGTCGTCGATTTACTTTCGACAGTGTTTTCAACGAAGCATCATCACAAGACGAAGTATTTCAATACTGTGGTATCAAACGCCTAGTTGACATGGCTATTGAAGGATACATAACTACTTGTTTTGCGTACGGTCAAACTGGTAGTGGAAAGACACACACAATGATTGGAGCCCAGGGTGCTTCGATTGTATGTTTCGATTGTTTTGAATTCTTTGTTCAGACATTATTGACTCATTCATAGTTCCGCATGGATGAACAATATCGTGTGGAACATCTTGGTATAGTACCACGTTCGATCAATTATCTTTTTCAACGATTACGTGATAAGACATTACAATCTAGTTCTCCGTATTATATCCGTGTCTCTTACTGTGAAATATATAATGAACAAGTAGGAAAACGGAAGATGTATGATTCTCTTGTTTCAATTGACAACTTAGATTCGTGATTTAATCCGTCCTGCCAATCCAGACGCTTTGCAAGTACGTGGTTCAATTGAAGATGGATTCTACGTGGAAAATCTTTACCAAACGTATATTGAAACTATAGACGAATTACTCACTATTCTAGAAGAAGGTTTGAAACTTTCAGAAGAAAAGAATTTTTCATGTCAAATTGATTGTGTGTATTCAGGTGAACTAAATCGAGCAATGGCTTCGCATAAACTTAACGACACGTCATCGCGAAGTCATGCCCTCTTATCTATACAAATTGAACAAGATGTACAAGAATCTGATGATCCAAATGAACAAATGACTCGACAAGGCAAACTTATTTTTGTCGATTTAGCTGGTAACAGAGAGAGCATTTCTATCCGAATATACTTATCTAATCATCATCATCATAACTTTCTACAGGTAGCGAAAAAGTCAAACTTAGTCACTCTAAAGGCAAGCAGCTCGTTGAGACGAATAACATCAATAAAAGTCTACTGACACTTGGTAACTATTTCAAACCAGTTCTATTCTTCATCCATATAACACACATGGTCTTTCTAGGTACTTGTATATCGGCCTTAAGTGATCCAAGTAAACGGTCTGGTCATATACCGTATCGAGAATCGAAGTTAACTCGACTTCTAGCAGAAAGTTTAGGTGGACATGGTATTACACTGATGGTATAGTTATTAATCTATCGTTAGGAATAAGAAAAGAAACTTCTCGAAATGTCTTCTGTTTAGATAGCGTGTATATCTCCCTCAAGACTATGTGAAAATGAGAGTATGAATACATTGCGTTATGCTAATCGTGCTAAGAATATCGAAAATGAACCGGTTGTAAAGACGGACTCGAAAGAAAATGTTATCAATCGTTTGAAACTAGAAGTGCGAAAATTGAAAGATGAGAATAATCAATTAAAGAAGAGACTAGGCGGACAAAACTCAGCCACTAGTTTGCCACGTCTTAAACATCGAAACTATGATGAAGGTAGGTGAATTCATACGACAAAAATGTGTTTCTTAGTATTTTGTTCGATTAGGTTCACAAACGTCCATACGTTCATCGGCAAGCAGTGAACTATATGATCGACAAGATACACAGTAACTATCATGTAAATCTGAAGTTTACAAAAAGTTTGTTTTTCGTGCTTGATTAGTGGTCGAATGAATGGCGTGTCTACTCAAAAGATTCGAAGTCATCACGAAACGTTAACACGTGAAAATGAAAAACTCGTACGACAACTGCATCAACGTGATAGAGAACAAGGCCTATCGAACGGAAAACGGGTCATTGTTATTGAGGAAGATGTACCTGATGAAGAAGTATGACTTAATTCTATCAAATATCTACATCTGTACTCTTCTATCATTAGACATATCCATCGAGCAATCGTCAAGTTACTCGAACTTATGCAACAGAACCTAATGACGAAGTGTTCGTATTTTGAAAATGTTTTTCGAAAAAGATTTTCTTAATTTCTGTATTGTATAGATTGGAATTAGTGCGTCGGCCATCGTATTTAACAAGATATCGAACGTATCGTAACAAAAGCTCAGAGGGCGAGTCGCCACAGCGACGTACAACAACTGTCGTACGACGAGCAACATAAATACATACATGACAAGGTAATGAGAGGGAAGAAGATTGAGATGACATGTGTATTTCGTAATACAGCGTAAGATTTGAATTGAATTTTAAAAAAATAAAGTGGAAAAAGTACTGCGAACATAAGAATCAGAAGTAGGAGAAAATGAATAATAAAACAACAACAACAACAACGACACTAAACGAGGCGATAAGAGCTTTTCAAGTAGATTAAACGATGAAAAATACGAACCTTGAAGAGCTAAATTGTACAAACAATAGTCATGAATGCATATGATCGTTTCATTGTGATTATTTATCAAAGATTTTCTAAATTAACAAATCTGAAAGTGATATCACTCTTGAGTTCTTTTTTTTCCTTTAATATTTGTCAATTTAATTGCAATCGATCGAATTTCTGACTATTTACCATGTCTTTCCCATGGGATTTTTCGTTTTAGTTCGACGATACTTTTCTGCAACTGATCAAATCATCCCGAGTATCAGTCAATTCTCTTCACAATGTATACATAATTTGTTCGAAAACGAATTGTGTGTTGTCTTTTATTTTCTTCTCTTTTGCTCTTATACATTTGCGTCAATAAACAGAATTCAATTTCTCTATGCATTGGATCCGTCGTACGTTTGCCCTGTCGACGAGCATCATTATACCAATGAACCGTAGTTTATAAAGATGCTGTAGCTCATTCAAATGCGTTTCTTTAGAGACTACGTTGAAAATGTAGTGTATAAAGAAATGACGAGCAAAGTTATAATAGTACGATTTGCTGCGCTTGCACTCCGATCAAATCAACATGTCAATACTTCAAAGCCGTCTCTTGATTCAGTACTCATCAATGAAACTTCGGCGTCTTCGTCTTCTTTCATATTCAATGTACTCTCGCCTTCAATTGAAAATATTCCAGTACTTCTGTAGAAATTCTCGATTCATTAAAAGGACATTTCGCACGACTCTTTCTCGAAAGCATTTTCAAAAGAACAAAAGAGTCAGGGACATTATGTACAGAACATCGAGAAAATATTCAGATTAGACGCTGACAACAACGGATAGTTGTCATTTGATTTGAAACTGACGACTCAGTTTTTTTCACACAGATCACCGAATATTTATGTGCGCGTACTGACTCCGTGGTTTCTTTTGAAGAAATATAGCGATCAGTTCGGATTGTTTATCATCAAATAGAATGAAACACAGGCGACTTCTACGATGCTAACGGTGATAATATAGCGCATTCATGAAAAAGTTACTTGGTTGAGTATGAGAAAAATATGACAAAACGAAGGATGATTCATGGTCGAGTATTCTCATGGATGTAGTGCGTAAAATACGTGAAATGAAAGAAATTGATGGTACGTTGAATTTGTCATAGACGTGATTTGCTAATAATTTATCGTGAGTTCACCAAACTAGCATATCGAGATCGCGAAATTTATGATCGCGTGTACGATCAACAGCAGAAGGTGTTGTTATATGCAGTTTACTTTCACTGACTGTACCTGGTGATACAAGGACCTTGAACAAGAGAAGCTGATAATTATAGAGAGAATAAACTATATGATTTGGAAAGTTGACCTGTTTCATCACATGGAGTAAGGATTTTATCTGTACAAATGTGAGAAACTTCGAAACAACGATTAATTTCACAAGAGCGTAGTCCTGAATTGATCATTTTCACAATTCATAAACGTACTGAAGTGGGTGATGGTCGTCCGTTAACGAAAACACCACGGAGTTGATAGACTTCTCCATGAGCTGAGTTCCAATTGGTATCCCCAAATATAAAATCAACTAGAAATGAAGGAGCATTGACTCAGAGAATATCAACAATTCGACCAGCTTTCATCTTTTTGCCTAAGGTGAGATTGATCAATGATATGAACAGGTCATAATTCTATTTCTTAGGTAATGACGAGATTCGAAAACAAAGCTAACTGATCTGATAAAGCACATTTCATACGCTGAATGCTTTCATATCAATAGCGATGGCAAAACCAATACATCATTTCCTTCCTCATTCTTTTTCTTAATCATACTACTCTACGTTAGTTTTCGCTTTTGTCTTCTAAATATGTACATGATACGGTCGTTCATATTCATAATCGATATTTATCTACGCACGATGTGATTTGCATTTTCATTAAAAAGAAATTATTTTTGATTTACCTGTTCTACATTGTATCATTAAACTAGCAGAGATGTCCGGTTGCAATTAAGAGATATCTACATCCAAAGGCTCACTCGTTATAGCACGGAACAACAATTTAGACTGTGCGTGCTTTTCTATATAAAAGAATCACTAAAATCATTGACATAGGAAACGACATAAATTTCTTCTTTTATTAGTAACCAACAATTCGCTATTACAGAAAAAAAACACGATAACATATGAAAAACTTCTCTAACGATGATTGATAGCTTCAATCATCTTTAATTGCTCTTCTTTGTTTTTCTCAAGAGCGCTTCTCATTTGTTTTGTTATGTCAATAACAAGATGATGTGCTACCGAGATACAATTTTGAATCTAGATTAAAAATAAAAACAAAAATTCTGTTTAACAAAGTTCTTATCGACAAACCTGAGTGCGATTCAAAGATATCTCTCCAAGCATTGTCAATGTACTCAATTCTTTGTGTTGATTCATACCCACAGCAAACAAACCTTCCATAACTTTCTCTTCTGCTTCACATGCATCGGTCAACATATATTCTCTAAAAAAAAATATCAAGTCAATTTTCTGATCGTATCATTCATTCTTTCTAACGTACCCGTTTTTAAACAGAGCAAAGGTTATGATGATCGGAAAGTGTAGAATACGAACTGGTTGAGGATTTCGTTCAGTAATTGAATGCTACGCGAATACGAAGTCAAACACTTTGAGAAAACTAAAACAACGCTTACCACATGAACATCTGTTCCGATAACCGTCACAGCTGGATAACTAAACGAAAACCAAAGTATTCCTCTATGGCATCGAAATCATTTTTACCGAAAATGAGCTAGTGCACATAATGCAGCCAAGTTCCCGCAATCAAGGATATTTCCATCATAATCTAATACGTGCAAATTCACGCTGATTTCCCATACCTAAAAGCAAAAAGTGAGTTTCAGTCTCCTCCCCCTCAAAAGCGGCTTACATATTCATGGGCAAGAATACACAATGATTCCATATCAACACAGCCGGATTCGCGGATATTTTGTAGCAATTGTCGACTCATCAACGTTGTCCATTGTGCTTGTCTATGAATAAAAACTCAATGGAAATGTTTCTCTTGATGAAGAGACTGTTTTACCTTCCAGTTTCAAAGTTGAACACCATTGCATGACTATTCTTCAACTGTACTCTTAATCGACCTTCACTCGGTCGTGTTTCTTTGGGTTTTACTATGCGACATGATGTTTGCGCTAATACTCTAGAAGATCATTGTAAATAAACGAACGTATGTTTATCAACTCACAAACTTCGTGAGACCGAGCGAAACAGTAACTGATCCATATTCTTCTCGAAAATCGATTTGAATGTCGCGAGTGGCAAACGGCAGGCGACGATCGAACCTCTAGAACAAAATCAATAGTTTATGTCATGATATTTCTGGCGGATATTTACTTGACGATCTTGTAAACAACGAATAATGAAATTCTTTTCACACTTTCCAATCACTTTCGATGCCATACTAAAAGCACAAAAAGAAATCTTGGATTTCACTGGGTTAGTCTTTATCGCTGGCTTAGTATCACAGAAAAAAAAGGAATTTATTTTACATAAAAAATCTTATCAAATAGTTCGGTAAAGAATCGTTCGAAATTCAATCGATTAAATCGATCAATTCTCTCACGAACATGGTTATGAATATCACATCGTTCATCATTAGTCATTTCCATGAGTTTTTCCATATTCGTAACATAGGAGTCAACATCACATGCGAGAAAACCTGTTTGTTCGTCATCAATGATGTCCATTTGTGTACCGCCAGATTGATGGCCGAGAACTATCAAGCCAGCAGCCATCATGCGAACCAGATCTACAAAAAATATAGAAGGTAGAATAGCTAAACCGAAGGTTTCACATACTAATGTCAAATGCTTGATCTTTTCTCGTATGTAAGCCAACCATTGCTTGGGCAAGTTCGGCTTTCGTTTCGTTAAAACTGATATTAACCTTGAATACGACTTTATCTTGAATGTTTAAATCTTCGACGAGGAGTTGTAATTGTTCAAGATAAGCTTTCTCTTCGTCGCGTTTGCTATAACCGATCAATACCAATTTCAGTTTTGGATAGTCTTTAGATTTTCTAAAAGAAAAGCGTCGATAGTGATTGAATTTCGTATCGGTCAAGATTTGTACCTTTGCAAAAGCTCATTGAACGTTCGAATTTGTAATTCATGTTGAGTTTCCTTCTGGAATCGTCCGATCGAAACAAAAACTGGATCTCTATCAGTTACGATCACATCGGGAAATTGTTCGATGTCACATGGCGGATAGAGAACATGCGCTGAAGTCAATTCTAAATACTTTTTTGTCCACGATGAATTACAGTAAATAACTTTTGCGCATCTAATACACCATCGATCGACATAGGTAATCAATTGATAATAAAATAATTCGATTTGATACAAGATTGAATTATCTTTGCCATAGTCGTCGTGGTCGTTCGTTGATTGAATTAAATGACTAGTAATGGCCGGAGAATGGACATAAGATATAATTGGAATCGAAGCCAGATAATGAAAACATAGATAAGTGAAACTGTAACCTGCTGTATCGATAAAAATGTCAGGTATGAAACGAATCAATGCTTCCAAACTGACAATAATCGAACCAATACTTTGTCCTAGCAAAGTACATATTTTGTAATATTTCTTCTCAAGAAGAAACCGACTGCGGAGAGGAATGAATTCAATGGACGATTTCGAACTTTTAAGATCGATATCAAAATATCGTTTTATGCGTTGAAAGACTTCGTCTTTCGATTGAACTTGTCGATTGCCGGTGTAAACAAGGATTTGGACATCGTGTTTGTATTTTCTCAGTATCGATTGTATCGCATACCATAGAACTTGTTCTTGATCGTGATCATTATCACAATATGGATGAAAAAACGCTACACTCAAACGGCTTTGTTTTTCTTTCAATGTCCATAAGCGACAATGACGACGATACCATGGAATGAAAACAAATGTTAAAATTGGGATAAAACCAATCGACCATCCAATTAATGTTAAAATCAACCAGAAGAGGAAAACGAACAGACAAATATTTAAAAGAATCAAGGTTACAATCGAAAGAGAGAGCAGATAGATTAATGTTAAACTCCAAACGATGAATAAAAGAAATTGAAAGAACCGTTTCGGTAGATACTGCATGTCGAAATCAAATGAAGATATGATTCAACGGAGAAGTCAATGTAGATGGCGCTGTACGTATGAAAATCAAATGGGGTTTTTTATGCATAAAATGAAAGAAAAATTTTCGAGAGGAAAGATTTTCATTGCATGGAAAACTTGAAAAAATTGGATTTCCAAGAAACGATTTTGATTGTTATGATTAAATAGCCAATGATGAAAGTTCCCAAGAGCTCCTTTGTGTCTCTACTCCTTTCTCTTTCTCTCTCTCTCTCTCCTCTCTTCTCTTCTCGTGCCAATTTGTTATATGATTGAACGTTCTCGTTTTCTGACTTGCGCGCGAAAGATTATCCACGCACAATCATCTCTTATCCTTTCTCTTCTTATTCATGCGTATTAGTGCTGTGCTGTTATCATCAACAACTTTCTGTATCATCTTTTCCATAAGATCACCTCTTCTCGTTGCATAATCTTCGCCAAGATTTGTTATATGGCTACTCGAAGAATACGAGTATGTCATGTATTTGATTTGTTGTTATTTCAAGTCGATATAGAACATACAAGAGAGAAAGTCTCTTACCGGTTACTCGATTCATCGCTTTCTTAACAACATTATGTGTGTCCTGATAAACAAAAACCATCACATCATCATCAATAACAATCATCTATAAAAAAAAAAGCTTTGATCAAACATGATTTGATTGCATAAAACAATGTCCTGACATTCTTTGTCTTCTCCCTCTCTCTCGTCTTTTCTTTTTCTCTTGCATATATCTCCATAGTAAAATCGATTTCATCGGCAACATCTGAATTCAATCGACTTTTGTTTTCAGATGGCAAACTAGTCAATGAATGACATGAGATGTCCATCTGGTACCATTGTACAGACAGACAGACGATAATCTTTTCATTTTACATGCTTAAGCCTTATTGTTTATGGATCGATCTGAAATAACATTAGAATACGGGCTGATAATGCCGCAAGTGCTACTCATTAATAGTCCATATGTGTTTTCGCGTTCCACGTCTTTGTTTTTCCTTCTATTCTTGAACTAATTGATCTGCTCATGATTAAAAGAATAGACTAGACATAATAAGTACTCGACTCTTTTTTTTTCATGAACAACATTTCCGTTTGACATATCTTGATAATCATTTGTAACCTTCTTATGGCTTGTTTCATTCGTTCTGATTTCTACCGTTGTTCTGTATTGTGACCCCGATCGCACGAAGGTGTTGCCCTCGATCGTCGCTCTTTTTCCTCTTTCTCTGTCCGATCGTCGATCAATCTGTTGTTACTCGTTGTCCATTCATCACTGCGCAGTAATGGCAAGGAACGAGCAAAAAAAAAGAAAATTTGCCTTCTGTCTGTCGCTTATTCTCTATTTGAACAGGAAGAATATTGAGTGGCTTTGTTTCAAGATAATTTCATTCAGACCACCAGACAATGTTGCATCCATGTCGAATCCTTTTTTCTTTTCTAGATGTTGAATAACAATGCTGAATGAATTATCAAGTAACATCATGTTGATAGAGACACGACTACGTGAGTATATATAAATATATCGATCGTATCTATTTCGTGTTTAAATCATCTGATTGAATTTGATTTCTTTTTTTTTTTGTCACTTCAATGAACCTGCGTAATTATCAATTGTCTAGAGATGGTCAGTCGAGATTAGACATAACGAGAAAAGTTATTCTTTGAGGGACCGATGTGCTTCTTCCCGTCGATGAAGATCGATTTCATTACAAGTGTTTTCTGGTTGATAAAAAATAGATTGATATATACGTATAAGAGTCATGGTGTTAGTATCCCAGGCATATCAATTAATCGATAAGAAAAATGTATACACCGAGGCGACAAAAGACAAGACATTTTCAATATTCTTTCCTATCAGATTTTGCAATTGAAAAGAGACGAAGAAGAAGAAAAAAAGTAATAACGAGGGATATTATAACAGTTGTTCGTTCGAGTGTAGTCAATTTGACTGTTCTATCTTATTTTCTTTTCAAAATAAGATTAACGTCGAGAGTATTAATTATTCATATTCGAATTTCATAGGTAAATATTGACATAAAGTGATGATAATTTAGTCCGTCAAGAAAATCGGATAATCTGCGTGTGTGAGTGTGCTACAGCCAATTCATTACTTTACTCTCGTACTCTCTCGCATACACATGCTACTTAATAAGGATTGCATGTCGACGTTTTATTACCACAATCGTTACGCAAGTCTTTCTTAACATGCATTTCTCTCTTTTTTTAGTTCCATATTATTCAAAATTGTCTTAATTGCTCAGATGAATTCACTTCTAATCATCATCGTTTGGTATTTGCCATTAATGGCCCAGAGTCAATCCGGACCATGCTCATGTCAATTAGACAGCACGGGAATGACCATGGTATGTGTCAATGTGAATACAATTCATAGTTATCAACAGTGCGTGCATGAGCAACTGAATTTGCAATCGGATTTGAAATTAAGACGCGGAGGAGTAATCACGAATTTAACGATAAAAAATCATCAATTACGTAGTTTAACAACTGATCTCTTTCAATTCTCCTATGGAAATACGTTTTATCAATTGACTGATTTACGTTATTTACATATTGTACGCGGACACTTGAAACAAATACAAAATCGATCTTTAACATTAATTGAACGAGCACTTGAACATCTGGATTTGTCCAGTAATGAGCTCGAATACGTGCCTAAATTGTCAAACAACAACGAACAATATGGCAATTTAATGTATGTATAACTCTGATGTTGACAAAGGTTTATTTATTTATTTTTTTTTATATAAAAATTTAGAAAATTAATTTTATCGCATAATCAAATTCATCGTTTGTCTTTGTCCGACATTCGAGCATACAATCACTTGCAACAACTTGATTTATCCTACAATCGCTTACAATATGTTGACATGTCTATCGTGACTTATCTCACGAGTCTACGACAATTATTTTTAAATGCTAATATGCTGCGAACTCTAGCAAATAATATCACATTTCCGAATAATTTTCATTTCAAATTAAGCTCGAATCCATTAGAATGTGACTGTCGTCTCCGATGGTTACGAAATGGTTTGAATCGTTTACAATATCCTATCTTTCATGATGAACCTCAATGTGAAATGCCGAAAGCCCTAGCTGACAGAAAAATTGCCTCTCTACGTGAACAGCAATTTGTTTGTGGACCAATTATTTCCAAACCTGATGTGACAGTATTGAGTGCTAGTAATGGAGAAATTGCTACGCTTCGATGTGATGTAAGTGATGCTAATGATCGCTAACGAGAGATTAATCTTCCGTTTCTTCAAGGTTTATTCCGATCCAGGCCCCGAAGTCTGGTGGACATTTCAGAACAAAATCATCGGTAAAATGGTCACAGCTGTTAATGAACCTGATATTCATACTGGTTCGTATACAATTCGTTATTCATGTCTGTCGATTTCTATGGATTCATCATCTCCAACTTGTTTAAATAAAACAACAACATTAACGATTTCGAATATTGGCGCAGAACATAATGGAACCTATAATTGTGTGGCTGCCATACGTAATCAAGGTCGATCCGATAATGAACATCTCTCGTACGAATTACGTGTTCGTCGATCATCACCGTTGACGGAAAATTCGCTTCTTCTTTGGACGATTGGAATCTTTCTGTTTCTATTCGTATTTCTCCTTATGCTATTATTCTTTTGCTGGATTTTACGTTGTCATCGAGCAAAGCAACAACAAGCACAACGAAACAAAGCTTTGTTATTTAATTATAACGGCTCAGCAATGAGCAATGGTTATGATTACAAAGAAAAACACGATGAAAATCAGCACTTTGTCGGTAATGGAACATATGATCCATATGACATGATCGATTCCAGATCGCAACTTGGTCCACCGATGTACAGCGAAGTTCGAATGGTTGATTCGACACCGTTGAGAAGTATTAATGGCGGTGGTTCCATGTCATCGACACTATTACGAAGAAATGATCCGTTTTACGATAGCTATCGATCGGACAGACAACTTTATGAACAGGTACGGTCATAAAGTTTTATACCAGTTTAATTATACATTTCATCATCGGTATATTCCTTTCAGATGTATCGACCATCACCCCTCGAACCTGCAGTTGTTGATGAATTTGAAGATGAAATGATCTTTCCCACAGGTTATGATGAAGATTATCAATATCGTGAAGATATAATGAAACCCAATCAAGCGGTTGATCCTCGACGACAAGCCAAAGTTCAACATACGAATCACGATCGATCTGCAAAGGCAACTTCTCAGCACCTCCAGTCGACAGCTATTGCTGGTCACCATAAGTTAAATGGTACATCGAATGGATTCGTTCCATCGAATTCTGATAGGGCGGAATCTCAATACACAGGTTTAATTGAATCGCAACTCTAGTAAACAAGCTCATATTTATATCTCTGCAATGAACAGTGTTTTCTTCTGTTTAAAATTAACATCTGGGTAGTTTCATATGTATGGATGAAGGAAAAATATTTTGTCAGATGTATATTTACTTGTTTACCAATTTCGTGTTTTGTTTCTTACAGATATTTTTCGCGCGTGTGTGTGTGTATAATGGTTTTTCTTTTTTTTCCTCTCTCTAGTTCTTTAACTATGGTTCGAATGGCTTGGAATTTCTTTGTTGCTTCTTGTTTAATTTCCTTTTTTTGCCAAATATATAATCAATACTGATACTCGATGAACTTGATGACTTTTGACACGATTCTTAGCCGGTTAAGACTCATTTCCGATGTATTTTATAAACTCTAATAGAGATGTTTTGACCACACTCACAACCCTTTACAATAAAAAGCATAAAAATTCATTCCAATGTTTCTCTAGAACAGATTCATAGCATCAAATACGTCCTTCGCGCCCTACAAAAAGACACAATACATAAGAAGTTGCTATCAATTATGATAAAAACACCACTTACTAAGGATGAAAAACAGGCACATACCGATTAAGCTTAATAATAAGAGGAAACCAAAGATAATACAGATCCATGACCAACACGGGCAATCAGCGTTCAAGTTTAATGCTGGAATGAGACTAAACGAACCTTTTGGTGCCACATTGGATGTTGTCGTATACATTACTGGTTCGGGATCCGGTGGTGGTGCTGGTGAAACCTATTGTTTGATCGGTATGTTAATACAAAATAAGAATTCTCATGCGACATACGACATAAGTATCACGAGTGTGAATCAATGGAGGTGGTTTTCGATCGGGCATGAAAATCGTTTCTTTAAGTACCGGTCGATGAACGATCTATAAGAATTCATGAAAGAAATTGAACAGCATTGGTCGAGAGCCTACTTCGACAGGTCGTTCGAATGGTTCATCGTGTTTGTAGAAGATGGCTTCGTCTAAGAGTTCTGTTTTGCCTGGTCTTCGAACCTAGATAAACTGAAAAATGTAGAAATTCTAACAGAGAATAGTTTTATTCTAACGTAGTAGTTCGGATTTGGATCTTGAGAGAAACCACTTGCAATCGGCATGTCGTCTTTTGTTTTAAAATATCAAATTGTCTGCTTTATAAAACTAAACGCAACCAGTCAAGCAACCTTGTCAACTTGCTTTTTTTTCTTCTTTTGTTCATCTATTGAATGAAATTCGAGTTAAAAGCTAACACATATCACATCGCCTGAATAATTGTCTAGGATATCGATCGTCTCGCAAGTGAATGAAGTTTGAAGAAGTATATTTGTTTGTCAAATTCAAGTTCAAAAGAAAAAGAGAAGAGAAAGAAGAAGAAATGGGAAATTGAAATTCATGGCAGAAAAAAGAAAGATCAAAGACAAATAGTTATGAATACAAATGTCAGAATTGATAAAAACAAATGAGAGGCTAAATTTTTCGATCCATTCTTCGTTATATCGTTCTCCAATAGTTGAAGAACATAATCCGGATGATCAGTGATAAAACCATCGACTTGTACCGTATGCCAAAAGTAGTCAACAAGATTTTCGAAGCTACTCCCAGGAAATAGATCTTTTCGGAATGTATAAGGATATACTTGAAGGTTATATTCATGTGCCCATTTGGTTAAATTGCTCATCCCGACGATTGTTCCATTCGAATCATAATCCACAACGAGGAGATGGTCAGGTGCTAACGCCTGAACTGTTTGTGAGAGATTGGCAATTCCTTCTCGACTTCGATAGAAATCATAATCACTCGACGATTCCCCGACGCGGTTCAATGTCATCAATGCAAATAGACGTAATTCACTGCCAAGATTACGACGAATGTTCATTAACTCTTCAATATGAAATGTTTGAATTACAACTGGATCAGTTGGTCGTGTTAAATTATAAGCCCTCAGTGTGCCAAGTACAACGCGTGAGATCGATCGATTGTTTTCAGTGTGATATTCAGGCTTTTTTATCTCAATTAATAATTGTCGTTGTCGGCCTGTTGCACGGTTAAGACCGAGTAATAACTCAATAGTTTCATTCAATGTTGATAACCGAAAAGGTACAACAGATCTCGAAGGAAATCGTAATGGATATATCTGGGTGCCATTCAATGGTCTTACTCGTTCACGAACAGTTAACTGACGTATTTCATCCAAAGTGAAATCAATAACGTAGTTAAGACCATTTGAACGATTTCTACCAGGATGTATTTCTGCAACATTAGTTACACCATCCAAATAGAGATCTACATTTACAAACGAGACATTTCCTTATTAAAATACGAATATGTTTTGCTTATTACCATGAATAACAATCAACTGATTGTCTTTGCTCAAATTAACATCAATTTCAATAAAATCAGCACCGAACGCATGCGCCATGGACTGAGTAGCTAAAGTCAATTCCGGTAAATAGGCGGAACCACGATGTCCAATAACTAATGGACGTTGCTGTAAACCTTGACAGATTGCAAGGCAGTAAAAAAGCATAAAGTACAGTAACATGTTTTGTGTGCAACAAAATCTACTTGGTATTGAATTAGAAGTATCATCGTATTTATATGAAGGAAGATTCGATATGTTTTTTATCTTGTTTATGACAGAGTAAATGTTGACAAGAACTTTGCTTAAAAACGCATAGAGTATTAACATATGGATTAGAAGATGCATCAAGTGCGCGCTGTACCAAAATGATTCTCTATAGGAAGCATCTGTCGTATGCTGTGCTGAAGAATTCAGATTTTTCGCCAGCAAGAATTCATCATTTCTCGGGTAAATTTCAAGTGCATGGTCATAAAACTATTATAATCCGACACTTTTACGAATCTTGAGCAAATTTACGGCCAGATTAGACCTTGTTGAGATGCGAAAAACAGAGCATTGAGAAAACAATTTTGATCTCTAAGAATAGTATTTGCATTTTCACCGATCATTCATTAACTCCATCTATCTTTCGCTTGTTATCAGTAACGAAAAACATTTCAATGAACAATCTACGCATATTTCACAATGGAATAATCAAAAAGAATGAACACTCATTAGCATGAACATGCTGGTTATTTATCCTCTATCTTTACCTTTGTACTTTCACATTGTCTTTGTTACTTGAACACATACATATAATAGTAAATCGCCTTTTCTTTTTCTTATATTAGATAATACAAACATTTCGTCTTCGTAATCATGTTGAAACTTATCGCGTTAACCGTTTTCTTACTCGCATCACCATCATTTGGTTTAATCGAAAGTTTACTTCAATCGCAAAGTGACTGTTACTCGGGTTGTCGATCGAATTATGCTACGAATTCAGATCATATCTTTGCTTGTCAATCAGGTTTGTTGCGAAAAAAAATATATCTTGATAAGCGATAGAATTTGTTTTTCTCTCAGGATGCAATTACAAATTACAAGATGAAGATTGTGTAAATCAATGTCGATTGATTTCGTCTGACAAACAAATGCAAGCTAGTTGTCTCGTCGGCTGTTCAATGAATAAAGTAGTGAGTCGAACAGATCGATTTCTATTGTAAACTTCATTTCGTGTTTAGAACATCCACGATCGTCCACATCGTATTGCTGTCGTTCAAATTCACAGCTCGTTGAACGACGACAGTACGGTCGAGGAACGTATTCGACCCATGGCTTCATCAATAGCTGATAAAATCAAAAAATTCTTGACATTAGCTAAATATACCCATCTTTCATCATCGAATGATGATAGCGAACAACCGATCAGACAGTTCGTCGTTCTTCACGGAACCAAACTTGAATCTACAACGGCTCAACTTCATCACTATGTTAACCATCTTCATGGCCAATGGAATGAACTTGTCCACAAACAATCCAAAGTTGCAACTTGTTTCTTTGTTGGCCTTTGCATCTTATCCTCTTTGATGCTTTGGTGTAAGTTTTGTTGTGTTTTACCTCATCTCTCCAACATTTTCGATTCCCTAGATATGATTGTTTCACTCTGTCGTCGTCGGCCAACGTCGCAGAATATGTCTATTCGCGCTCAAGACCTTGTCTTCGATAGCAGTTATGAAAAAGAAAAAATTCAACCAAATGAATACTATTACGATGCGACACAATCCGCACCAATCAAAGTTAAATTAACACATATCTAAAGAAAAAGAAGTGTCTTCTTTTCCTCCTTAAATACGATTTAACCAGTCGAAGGAGATATGCCAGTCATTCATAATAAACGTTTCTTTTTTTTTCTGCAATGTAAATGATCTCTATCCTATCTACGTCGTCATCTTTTAATTCTGATAATAAAAAAAACGTCATTTTTAATCATCTATTTGTTTTCCAAAGCGCACTTTGCCTATCTAAGTCTTATCTGACTAAACAAACTTACGTTGTCTAAGAATAGGCAACCTTGTCGATTTATTCAGAAACAAACAAATTTTGGTCATAGCAATACGAAATAAAACGATTACAAACACTTTTTGAAACGAAATCGTAGAAATGCAAAGACGTTAAGTCTACTCCGATGTGCCTTGTTTTTAGTGGACTTTACTTGATTCGTCCATTCGGAAGGCGTTTTCTGAGTTCATTGCTATGAAAAGAAAGAAATGAAATTGATAGAGCAAAACAAATGATCTTTGTTTACCTTCGATAGCAACTTCTGCTGCGCGACGATCTTTCACAATAAAAGCCGCTGCAAAGAGGAAAGCAATTCCACCCAAACAAGCAACAGCTGGCGTTAGTAATAGCCCATTGCGTAGTGATTCCCAATGAACATCAGGATCGTTCGATTCTTTTCGAAAAAAGTCACTAATTATGCCAACAACATAAGGACTTGAAGCGTCGCCCTATGAAATACGAGATCATTCAAACAAATCTCCTCCACAGAAACTAACCAGCAAATGCATAACAAATATTTGAAGAGAGCTTGCTGTGGACCGTCGTGATGGAACGATGATATACTAAAAACGAATTGACAATGAGCTTTTTCTGTGTTAGAGTCAGGTGAAATGGAATTTACCATTAATATATCGGATATCAGTGCCCAATTGCTAGAGAAAAGTGTTTGACAGATAAAAATACAGATCCATGTCGCTATTGTATTGCTTTTTGAAAGTAGAAGCAGAGCAACTACGAACGGTATCCCTAAAAGTACAGCGATGCCACAAACGATCGGATCGCCACGAGGATTTCGTTTTCGATAACTACAGCAGATGATATCTCAATATAGAAACATTTAGAAATCTTTCCTCTAACTTACCGTCTAGCGATTTCACTTCCAAGAAGTACACCCAGTAGTCCTGATACACAAGTAATGATACCGAAATACAGACTCACGCTAATGCAAGCAAACTAAGAGTGGGAATGACATGATAGGTGTTTGTTTACTTGGCTTCTGTTTCTTTGCCTCTTTGAGCTATTTGAAGGAATTTTGGACCGTGCCATGCAAGTGAGCCAATAGCAAATGCAACCCATGTGAATCCAAGAGTTGTGAAAACAAAACTTTTCCTAAAGGATCATATGATACTAAATGAAATTGATTCTAATTTTCACCAACACTCTCAAAATCTTCGAGACGTCAGAAACCCAACTTTCTTGTTTCGTTGTTGCAGCGCCATCAGCACTACCACGAGCTGGCTCTTTGACGATAACTGCCAGCAATACGACGCAGACTATACCAAGAGGCGGTGTTACCTAAACGAAACATCGACTGACTAATAGATTTTGTCTCCATCGTGATTAGAATATCATTACTCGTAGAGCCCAACGCCAATGACCAAGTGCTTTGGCTACAGACGATCCGACAATATAACCCAAACCACTACATAACAATCTGTTCGATATGATACTCAAATTGAAATCATTCACTGANATCGTGATTAAAATCATTACTCGTAGAGCCCAACGCCAATGACCAAGTGCTTTGGCTACAGACGATCCGACAATATAACCCAAACCACTACATAACAATCTGTTCGATATGATACTCAAATTGAAATCATTCACTGACCCGCCTAATGGAATAGCAATGTTAAAAATAGCTAACATTAGTGTTCTCATATCATGTTTGTACATGTCTGCAATGATAGTCGGTGCAACGCATGAATACGATGCTTCGCCAATGCCGACCAGTCCACGTAAGATTAAAAACACAACGAATAACTATAAGAAGCGAGACTTAGCGAACCGAGATATATATTCACCAACTGAACTTACATCATTTGGCACAAATGATCCAGCTAATGTTGTCACTGACCAGAAAGTAACCCCAGCAATGATTAAAGCTTTTCGACTATACCGATCTCTAAAACAACAAACTTATTCGTTGGCACCTGTAGGTATGTCCGTACAAAATTCTACCCTAAATAACCAAACAGCGGCGCCAAAGCCATGTAACTGCAAACAAATACTGTTTGAAGCAGGCCACTTTTCGTATCCGAAATATGAAAATCATTTTCAATTGATTTCAACACACCTATATTGAAATTCTCTTTCGAATAAGAATACGTTCGTTTCTTCATAGTTTATACAAACCAGCGATAGAAAATCGATCCATGTAATTCAATAAGTTGATAAAAAATAGAACAACCATAGTGATACCATTTTTATAACGATTTCCACGAGATGACGATCGAGTTAACTGAAGAAAATCAAAGCTATGAACGCATGACAAATTCATCAAATTCTCCTTTACTGTTGGTTGACTATCGGGTATAATTACTGCTATTGTATCAGGTATGTCCACAGACATGATGAACACAATCTTTTAGTGAAGATATAAATCTATATATGTCAACAAACGGTCGACCTACTTGTCAAGACATATATCCATTCGCTTCTTTTCTTCTATGTCTTTATATCTTCTTGCTTTCAAATGAAAAATTGCAGGTAAACCTTTTTAATATTGTCAGCTAGTGGCATCTTAGAAAACGGAATAGCAAACGTTGAACTTTCACTACATAATTCAGCTTAGTAATCGTTATTTGAAATATTAAGACTAGCGAAGAGAAACAAAAACTTTTTGTCAATATTATATCACCTTGATTTTAAGGAAAAAACTTCAATGATTAGTTTCGTCGTCTTTCTTCACGCTTATTGACGTCATCGCATTTTGCAATCTTTGGGGTGGACTGCTGACAACTAACAGTAATTTCTGTTGAATGTCATTACACTTACAATTAATCAACCGAACGAAAAATACATTTCATAACATCGTATTTATGTATTGAGAGAACGCATATCCTATGAGACATAGAAAGCAAGCACAATAAATGTACTTGATATGGTAAACGTCACCTGTACTATACATTTTCAAATGCCCCTATCTACGATTAATATGTATCCAGAAATTATTACTACCGAACCAATTGCATTGTCTACAAGCTATACTGAGCGCACCAAACAAATATCCGTCGTATCAAAAGACTCTATCACTCATCGATACCCAAACATGCAAAGAATCCAAAATATCGAGCTTGTCTGGCTAGATTCCAACGTCATATCTGACCAATCAATCGCTCAACTACACAACGTCGTTTACAATGTTCATACGTATACCAACAGTGAACAATGCATTAAATTTATGCGAGGTGTTCAGGATTGCAAGGTACATTTGATTATTTCCGATCGACTTGCTCAGCATATTGTACCAGATTTACATGACATATATTCATTGGATATCATTCTCATATTTTGTTCCGACGAAAACTATGATGAACAATGGACAACGCGATGGACGAAAATTAAAGGTATTTTCACGGATATCACAAAACTTTGTGCAGCTTTACAACAAACAATCGATCAAAATGAACAAAATTCTCTTCCGATGACTTTTGTATCAGTCAACCAGAAACTCGATCAATTAGACCAAACTTATATCTATACTAAAATGCTAAAAGAACTATTAATGGCAAGTCAATTCGAAGACAAACATATGGCACAGTTTAGTACATATTGTCGACAACTATTTGTTGACAATAATGTTCAATTGCAAAATATCACTGAATTCGAGCAATCATATTGCGACAAAACACCAATATGGTGGTATACGCATTCGCCTTTTCTTTATTCAATGGTTAATCATGCGTTGCGATTGATGATTAGTGATGTGATTGTACGAACAAGATTTTTCATTGATGCACTTCATCAACATATCGACCAATTGCACAAAATACAGTGCACAAATCAATCGTTTATTGTACCGTTTACGGTTTACCGTGGGCATGGTCTATCGAAAACTAAATTTGAGGAATTAGTTCATTCTCTACACGGTTTTCTATCGTTTAACACGTTCTTATTCGCAAGTAAGGATCCAAGAACGTCGCATAAATTTATTGAAAGTATCGTTAAAGATTCTGATTTGATTGGGATTCATTTTATTCTGCATATTGACCCGACACAAACAGTAACACCATTTGCTTTCATTGGTGATATTAGTTATTCACGAGACGAAAATGAAGTTCTCTTCTCTTTACATACTATCTTTCGTATCGATAGTATCAAACGGATCGATGCTGATGATAATCGTCTTTACGAAGTGAACTTGACGCTTACTGATAGTATTAACGAAGAGTTGTATGTTTCTACAGATAGTATTAAGCCCTCAAATCTTTCAAACACTGAGGCTTGGCATCAACTAGCTGAGGCTCTACTTAAAAACAATCAATTTCGTCAAGCTGACGAGGTATATAACAGCTTATTGAATAGCACAACCATCGAAAATGAACAAGCTGTTATCTATATACAACTGGCTTGGATTCAAGAAAAACAAGAACACTATCGCGAAGCAATGCACTTCTATGAAAAAGCAATAGAAATCTACGAGAGAACTCTTCCATACAATCATTTGACTCTAGTTAATCTCTACAAATGGATAGGCAGTATCGTTTATAATATAGAAGAATATTCCAAAGCACTTTCATTGTTCAAAAAAATCCTTCATATTCAGCAGCAATCATTAGCGCCGGATCATATTGACTTAGCTGACACTTATAACTATATTGGCAATATTTACTGCAAGATGAACGACTATGCAGAAGCACTCGCATATCATGAGAAGGCGTATGCTGTTCGACAACAATCATTACCTACGATTCACTCAGATCTAGTCCTTTCTCTTGACAATATCGGTGTATTACACTACAATATGGGCAATTATTCGCAAGCACTCATATATCATCACAAAAGTCTCGTAATTCAACAACAATTACCATCTGTCGATCAACTTGGTTGGAGTAAATCGTACGATAACATTGCAAATGTACATTACAGTATGCATGACTATGTACAAGCACTAGAATTTTATAAGCGAGCTTTAGAAATCAAACAACAATCACCTTCACCTGCACCCATCGATCTGATCAGATCTTTTACTAATATTGGTGACACATATGATTGCCTGAATCATTATCCAAAAGCGCTTCAATCATACGAAAATGCGCTTGCAATTCAGCAACAATCATTTCCTACTAATTATCCAGATCTTTCCAAATCCTACTATGATATTGGTCGTATGCAATACAAACTGGACAAAAATTTACAAGCATTGTCATCATTTGAGAAAGCCCTGGAAGTCCAGCAACAAGCTTTACCTTCCAATCATCCTGATTTAATAACAACGTACACCAGTTTGGCTGATGTTCACAACAGTTTAAGCGATTATTCGAAAGCACTTTCATCATACGAAAAGATTCTCGAAATACAGAAACGAATGTCACCATGTAATCCAGTTGAATTTAGTAATACTTATGTCAATATTGCTAATACACAACTCAAAATGGGTGATCGTCCGAAAGCTCTCGTATCATACCAAAAAGTTCTCATTCTTCGTCAAACAGCACTTGCTAAAAATTCTCTTGATCGACATCAAGCTTGCGATCACGTCGCACATCCAGAAGACTCTTAATGAAGACTACCCACTCGTTCTATTGTTGTTTGTAAATAAAAATACGTTTTTTCTTTCGACAACAAAACTTGGATATTCATATGTGACAGCTTCGTATGAGATACAATTCGAATAGATATTTATTCATTCAGCAGAAACAAAACGATTAAATTGATTCACATAAAGAGAGATATAAGGCAAAGGTAAAAAGGCACTTCATTTCGACATAGAAACCTGAGATTAACACGAGAAGAAAGAAAAAGACAATTATACAAGATTTTCGGAAATCATTGAACAAATGCATCTGACAAACAAATATCTATGTTATTCGTTGCAAGAATGATTAAATATGAAAAACAACAACATTGAGAGATAAGGTTATACCCGTATATAAATATATACATACATACATATACAAATCAATCTCGTTTATTGATTCAATTTTGACACTTCGATTTCTTCACGAATAGCTTCTTCGTAATCACGCAATTTTCGACCGTCTTTTATGTGTGCATAATTAGCCACAAGACAGCAAAGGAAATGAATCTAAACATCCAAATCAGCAATCAATCATTTTCATTCATCGGCAATTCCTTACCAAGCCCATGACAACAAGAAATGCACCCAATAAACCAATCCAGAGTCGTAGCGCATGTTCAGTCTAAGTAAAAATTCCGAGTGAACAAGAACAATGAAAAATACTTTCGATTTCTTACTAGTGTACACAATTCATTGAATTCTTGTTGACAAACTTTCAGATCAGGTTTCTCTCTTGGCACAGGAAGTCCGTACGTTGCAGGAGTCAAACAAGCGATGGGCGCGGCGGAGTTGGGCTGACCAGACAATGTTGGTCTTCCCCAAGTTTCGTCACAACGAGATTTCAAAACATACAACCCGACACAAGGTATCACTGTAGTTATCATAACAATTAACCACGTGAGCAACATCAAATAGGCAATGAATGTAAACTAGAAATCATTCTTTGATGTAGACTTACAACCAAGATCTCAGTTGACTTACGAATCCTGTTACAATTCGACCACCAAGTCGAGAACGAAATCCAGTATAAACTTGATGGCGAGTAGCACCTGTGGCTAACGATCCGACGATAAGTAATATCAACGAAAAGCCGCCCATAATCGCCATGACGAAGATAACGCTCAAACGTAATATACGAATCCTAACAGTAAAAAACAACTCCTAGATGAAGATGTGCGAAGTTCGTTGCTTTCATACCATTCAAGATCGATATATTCATATTTGAAAACATTATTGATTTGTTCAATTGACGATCGTGTTGGATAGTAAAGGCAGCCACAGAATATTCCTGTACCTGTTAACGTGAGCATAAATGCCAATAAGGATGCAAATGGACAACTTCCACAACAGCGAAGAAAACCTGAGTGAAGAAAATTTTAGTAGAAAACAAAGCCAATCTCAAATTACACAATCAACAAACCATTTTCTTTGTATCTCATCTCGGACATTGTCCGATCGGACCAAAGTTCTCGACTTCGATCAGCAAATCGACTGATATCACCTAGTAGAAAACAAGAGACAAAAACTAATTTACTCGGTAATTTTCAACAACATACGATCATGAACAACCATATCGATAAGGTGCAAATGTTGACGATGGACGTAACACGAACCGAGCGAACGAAATGTTGACAGACAGACAAGCAGACAGAATAAACATGCAAACAAAGAATTTCATTGCTCGCGGATTTCAGCCAATGAAATGTTTTTCTTTGTCATAAACGATCGACGCCTTTCGAAGTACGAGAAGAAAAAAAAAACAGATTAGAAAAGTGTTCTAAACAATGAATAACGATGAAATTGTCTCGGATATTATTTCATTGATTCACTCGGATACGCAATCCAGTTATGTGATTTGTTCAAAAGTTTCATCGAAAATCTTCGCTTACTTGTCGCAATTACAATTTCATGAAAACCAATGGAATGAATTGATTGCAGCAACTGAGGTAAGACAAATCAGACGGAACTTCGCGCTTTTATTTATCTCGTTTTTCAGCACTTCGACCAAAATATTGATCACCCTGATCTTCAACAATTTCGACAATTGCTCACAACCATTAGCCACTGTGCAAATGATTGTGAAGAACGAAATTATACATTGGGACGAGATAGAAATACGCTGTTCGATTCCATTAATCAGCTACGAAATTTGCTGGTAAGAAAAAAAATCTTATTCGAAAGTAGCCTTGGCAATAATTATTGTAGAAATCGCATGTTAATCTTCGTTGTGTTTTACTCAAAAAACTAATTAAACAGGAAGAGATACAGTTACAGCTGATTGATCTCATGAATTTAACCGGAATGGTTTGTAGCCATCATAGATCGCATAGCAAAAAACATATAATCTATTTAGAATGTTGGAAGTGATATTCACGGAGTTCTTTGTGATATTGTTTATCTCATGTGCCAAATCGATCCGACATATGCCACAATGAACGTAATCGATCATCCAATTGTGTCGAATTGTGTGCGAATCATTCAAACGAATATAAATTCAACAGGTGGTTAGAATTCTGCTCTGCGTATGTAGCTGCTCGAAAGAAGATTTCGCGGATTGAAAAGACATTACATGAGGAAATAGTCAGGAACTCTTATCAAACCTTTGTGTCATTTAGATGATAATTCCAAACCTACGGTCTTATCGGCTTTGAGTCTCCTATCTACACTTATATTCACAAATGAATCATTTCCAGTGCACACCGCTGGTAAGAATATCAGTTCGTTTTGGAAATGAATAACATTGTTTTGATGTTGTAGGTCAATTAACAAATACTAGTTTCTTAAAATCAATGTTTGAATTGATTGAGACGAATCACGAAGATGAAGATTTAGTATTTGCATCAATTAAATTCTTGCTATCATTCAATCTACGCTTTGAATATCCGCACAAGAACCCTCTAATTGAAACATTATTGAGTATTAATGAAGAAATTTCCTCTCGCGAATTAATCGAACGGCTGATTTTCTTATTCAATCGCAGTAGTAAGTACTATGCTGTTTTCATAAAGGTTTCTCCCAACGTCTTCTGTCATTTTAGTTGATCCGACCGAACACAAAACAATCAATTCAATAATAAAACTTTTTCAAGACTTATTTGATGATGAAAATTCCTCCAGTGATATTTTATTATCGGATTCTAATCGACGGTTGATTATCGAAATCATTAGTAGAGAATTATCGAATCGTTCGTGTGCTGATGAAAGCACTACAGCGTATCTTTCACTTTTAGAACTTTTGCTTCGTTCGCAAACAATTACACCGGAGACATGCACACGTATCGATGAACTTCAGACAACATTTCGATCGTATTTGTCATGTGAAACTTGTTTGCATCAGAATCGTTTTATCATTGCTGAAATCATTGGAAAACATTCATGTTTCTCATCTGAATAAGGTATTCTTTTGCATTTCAGATTAGTTTTCTTTCATATCGAATCAATGCCGGAATTAACAACAGACGAGAAACCGAAATCGGCCGAACAAATCGATTTAGAAGAAGCCGAAAATGCTTTAACAGGAAAAGATTATAAAACAGCAAAAGAACTATTAGAAAAACTGGGTAAGTTGTCAATATTTATTTGAATCTATTTCGATCGAATTTGACCGTTTTTTAGTGAAATTGGAAGTAAAACCTGACGATGAAGAATCCGTACGTATCAAAGAGTCAGCTATACTTGCACTCGGAAGAGTTTTCAAGGAAACCAAAGACGCTAAATGTATGAAAATGAATGATCTCGATCGATTTGTATCGCTTGGTTTTCTTTAGCGCTGGCAACATTGATCAAAACAACTCGTCCATTTCTCGGTCTTGTTAGCAAAGCTAAGGCAGCTAAACTCGTTCGAACTTTAGTCGATCTCTTCCTCGATATGGAAGCTGGTACTGGTGAAGAAGTAAATACATCTATTTCCTAATCGGAGTGACTCTAAATTGATTCATTTAGGTTTCCTTGTGTCAAGAAAACATTGAATGGGCTAAAAATGAAAATCGAACATTTTTGCGTCAAGATCTTGAAGTAAGTGAATTTGAGAATGAATCAGAAAAGCCACTGACTTCTTTTCTTTAACTTAGGCACGTTTGATTGCTTTGTACTACGATACAAAGAAATACAACGAAGCTCTGACGCTCGGGTCTCAACTATTAAAGGAATTGAAGAAGCTCGATGACAAACAGTTACTCGTCGAAGTTCAACTATTGGAAAGCAAAACTTATTTTGCTCTGAGTAACATTCAAAAAGCACGGTAAAATCTATTTATTTGAAGACGAATTCTTTCACATCGAAAGACTTTTTCTTCAATAGAGCTGCATTAACATCAGCAAGAACAACAGCGAATGGAATTTATACACCGCCTAAACTTCAAGCTAGTCTTGATTTACAATCAGGTAAATTCGAAGTGAATTCACTGTAAAGAGATTGACATTGTTCTCATTTTGAATATCCAGGCATTCTTCATGCAGCTGAAGATAAAGATTTCAAAACGGCATTTTCGTACTTCTACGAAGCATTCGAAGGTTATGATCAAATCAATAGTAATAAAGGTGTTACTGCGTTGAAATACATGTTACTATCAAAAGTGATGATGAATTTGTAAGTTGAACCGATTCAAATAGATGTGTACATCCGCATTGATTTCATTTGGATATTAGACCGGACGATGTCAATGCATTGATGTCAGTTAAACTAGCATTGAAATATAGTGGTCGAGACGTCGAAGCTATGAAAGCTGTTGCACAAGCAAGCAAAAAACGATCATTGGCTGATTTTCAACAGGTTTGTCGTTAAAAACACTTTCTTCGCGTGTAAATTTGATATTTGTCTAGGCATTGAAAGATTATCAAAGTGAACTATCGGAAGATCCTGTCATTCATTCACATTTGGGCACGCTGTATGACAATTTACTTGAACAAAATCTAAGTCGTCTTCTTGAGCCATTCTCGAATGTTCAAATCGCTCATATTGCACGTTTAATTAATTTACCTCAAGTAACGCGTTAGACTTTGTCGATCTTTTCCAATCGTCTTTACCGCTTTTAGGATGTCGTCGAAAATAAACTTTCCCAAATGATTCTAGACAGAAAACTCAGCGGTATTCTTGATCAAGGTTCAGCTAACATCGTGATCTTCGACGAACCGCAAACGGATACCCAATATCAAGATGCATTGGTCATTATTCAAAATATGTCCAAAGTCGTTGATACACTTTTTAGTAAAACCAAGAAACTTTCTTAGATTTCATTCTTTTTCAATGTTTATTTTCTTTCTTCTGTTAAATTCTTGTTCACATTCAAGCAGGAACTAAAAACCAACCAATTTATCTTTTTTTTGCTCTTGTTAACTTCAAAGAAAAGCAAGAAAATAAACATGATAACCTTTTAAAAGTCGAGAACCATCGATACTAGTTACTGACACTTATCTGCGACATCGACATCTGATTCGATTCTCACGTTCGATACTCTACACAGAGATGACGATGCAAAACACGGAGAATACTTTGTCATACTTCGTATTAACATTTTTATAAATCCTCGGCGAACGAAACTATACAGTACAAAAACCAGAAAATATGTTAATAATCATTGCTCTTTTCGTCGTCACTGCATCCGTTGCTTGTGAACGTGCAACTCCACCAGCGTATCCAATCTGGCCAACTGGTTTCAAGTAATAGTTCGTGCATTCAAGATCTAATTTTATTCCTTCATCTACTTTTAGAACAGAAGCCACAATCGTCGCTTTCGATGAAGATAATCAACCTCATACGCATCGTAGTGTGTTCTATTATTCGTATACTAATCAAACAAGTACCGGACGTTTACACGGACTCGAACGACACGATCATTTCGGTTACTGCTATGGTTGGGCTTTGAATCAACCAAGTTGCATGATTTTAATCACTGAAAATGTTTACGTGGTTGCTCAGAATCTTTGCTGTATGGCTATGCCAGGCAACTTTGGTGTGCCTATAAATTGGCTCAAAGGTGCAACATGGCTCGGAATCGAACAGATTCACGGTCGAACAGTTGATCATTGGTATTCGCATGAACATGAATATTGGAGTGAAGTCAATGAACCAAATAACGGTGTACGTTATTCAGGACCAAATTTTAAGACACCACGACAATTTACCGATTATGATGTTTGGCAAGTTGGTCCACAAGATCCAAGTCTTTTTGCTTTACCAAAAAATGTCGATTGCAGTCAACCTTGCCCATAAGTTGATGTCTTTCTTTGACATTTCAAATAAAATTGAATACCTTGCGTGTTTATGAAGACAAGCTTTTATTATAGGCTGATTACAAAATCTGTGACGGTTTATACTTTTCTTCGATAATGCTCGCATTTGCCGTTAAATATCGTAATTCTGATCGATGATAATACAATTGCCGCTGTTGACCGCGATAAAAACGACATGTCAATTTTTTGATCGCTCTCAGACATTGATATCTGAATATGTCTGAAGAATAAACGTAAACAAAAAAGCTTGTATAGTTGCTCCAGAAGAGTAAGTAAACAACTTGATTAACAAGATTTTCTTTCGCTTGATATAATGGTGATTTCTTCAAATTCAAGGTAATCAGCAAATAGCAGTTAAAGACTGAAAATGGAAGAGATGCAAAGCTTGACTTGATCGTTTGGAGGATAAGCATTAATGTCAATTGATAATTGATTTGTCGAATACGAGCAGAAGCGGACAGAGTTCGGTGACGAAGATGACGCGCATTGGTACATGTTAATATACCGAAATAGAGCATGACAAGTGGAGGGAGAAAGCCGTTGAAGATGCACGTATAAATAATTTGTAGTAGTAAACAGGAAATTTGTTGCGATGAGTTCGAACAGATCAGTTGTTCGTTGTGTGACGAATGATTCAAGCGGATGGAGCAGAAAATAACAGGAATAGCGAAAACGATCCAAAAGACGATCGAAAAGAGAATACAGCGCAATGCAATTGATCTTGTACTTAGCTTCCATCGTGCGGTCTTTCGTGAACTGAGAACATATCGATCGGCACTGGCGATTGTCGTTAATGTTGCTGATAGAACAGTGAAAACAAAGACTATGTAACTCTTCAGTTTACAGAAAGCATTGGAATTTATTGTCCAATCATAATCGAAACCGTATTGGAGGATGTTTGATAAAGGTCCGAAATTCAAGTGAATTAAATCGCAAATCGAAGCAACAAGAAGATAAAGTGTACACGCACGTCTCTGATATGTCCGTTGCATGAATGTTAAAACATTCATCATGGTCCCAAAGAAACAAACAATATATAAGATAACGCCGAAGTATTTCGTGAATTGTTGAGAGAGGTGATTGTATTTGAGTGAGATGACAAAGTCCGTGCTACTATTGTTGATCATGGTAACTCGCAGTTCTATATGCAAACTCTGTTGCTTCCAAGCATGAGAAGGTTTATTCAAAAGAGAGTGAGATGCAAGATTCATATAGGATTTTCTTTTCTTAATTATTCAGTAATTTGAATAAATTAGAAAGATTTCTTTTGTTTTTCTTTGATAAATGAAAGAAGATAAGTTATAGAAAAGGATACTAAAACGCACAAACTTAACCATGCATGTGACGTCGACAACATCCTATTTGAAGGCTCGGATTACGCAACATGAGATGTAGGAGCTTTTCTTTCTATCGACAAGTTTCGCGTTTGAAATGTATTGCTTTCGATGAATACGGTAATTCAATCTAGGTAACGATAGTGTCACTGTAGATTTTGCTTCACAAATGTCAGCACTTGATTCAATCCGCTTTGAAGAATTTATGCTCAATCGATCATAATTAAGGCGCTTTTTGTGATAATTCAAAGGTACAGTTATCAAGCGTACTCACACTCACGATAGATTTCCTACTGAGGAAGATTATCCTTATTATAATATATCCGTTCTTCCATTATACTGATGTGACTAAAAATAACGTTGTCTGTTGTGTGTATGGTTTCATATATATATATTTAGAAAATGAGTCAAATCAACATTTCACTGCTTCAATGATAAAGAGAATTGAGGCAGCGAGCACTTGATTTGTGTTACAGGCTTCCATGTAACGCTTTTGAAAACTTTGGCTCTCGTCTTCAGTCAAGACACCTTTTGAAACTGATATTTCACCCATTCCTTTCAATTTTACCCAATCTTTATCTTGGCTGGCGAGAAATTCACCCGTTTGAAGGAACGCTGTTGGATTAGAATCTTTGATCTCAAAGCCTAGTTTTGGTAGCAGAAATTGCAGACGAATGCCACATCCGCCATCTCGTCGATTAGGTAAAACTGCGTCGTATGTTTTAATCAGTGTTTCGTCGGAACTATAAAGATTTCCACTGCCGCCTTCCAATGCGATCAACCGACCGTTGACTTTCAACACTCGTTTGATTTCCGCTAAAGCTTTGGAAAGATCAACGTGTTGAAGTGTGATATCCGAACGAACAATATCGAATGTATTGTCATCGAATTTCATTTGAAGTATATCACCACGTACAATCTCAACGGCGACATTCGATGCGAGTTGATCTTTTTGTTTAATATATAAAGCTTTAGCTTCTTCAATCAGTGTGGAGTTTTGATCGAGACCTGTTATTGATAATGTTTTGCCTAGACGTGTAGCTTCTTCAGCTACTAATAATAAATCAATTCCCAAACCGCAACCAATATCGAGAATTTTGATTTCTTGATTGTTATCGAATTGCTCAAGTTTCATTATTTCAATAACACGCTGTTTAGCTTGAACCCATTCAGGTGATAGACGTTGCCGTAATAGATGTTCAACAAGGTCTAATTTCAAACCTGATGGTAAAATATTCTTCTCATCTTTCCAAACATTACTGAAATCTTCTGTCGAAAGCTTTTTGTTTTCTACCATTGTTGTACGAAGAAATGATGTCGCAATTGTCTTATATTTATATCGAATACTGACATAAAGATAAATATTTTCTTTATGACGTGATAGAGCGAGTAGTGACATGAGATGAATCACTTTCACCGGTAAAGGAAACTCAACTGTCAGATGTCGTCTTGAACCGCAATTCGAACACAATGAAAACTAGAGACAAGTGCAACTTAAAGTCAAATGAAAATTCATGACGACCGTTGTTTTGTGAGAATGTGAACTGAATTTTGAGTTGGTGTTTAATCAGTAGTCATATCTAAAATGATCTTAATGTCACCGGAACTGCCTTCTATTTCTGTGAAGAAACAACATTATGTTCATCTTTTCATACCACATACCGGAATTAGCTGTTACCATATTCTTTTAACCCTTTCTTTCGCATATTTTGTTGAATTAATCATCATAAAGCAAAGTAATCGACTTAGTGGCCGCCTGATTTTCTGTACTTTTTAATATCCTTAAGGAAGCAAATGTCAAATTGAAATATGCAGCCACTGATCGGAGATCGTCCTCAAAAGTTCTGTTAAGAAGAAATAGCAGTCTTCAAGTCGACGTTTCTAATGGCTACTCTTAAAGAGAGCGATTTTCAGATCGGTAACTGCATAGTACTTCGATAAGAGTGACAATTAAGTCATTCGATCAAACGGAGTATACAAAAAAGTCGGTTAAAAGGCTGAAATTTCTCATGCAATGCTACTCCAAGTGCTCTGAATAAACGGTGAAGATAGTTTGAATGAATGTTATTTTCTTGAAGATATATAGGACATTTCCGGGAATTTTAATATCATTCTAAGTATACAGATTTGATTGATGTTTGAAAGAGCGGTGATATTTTCTTAACTGATTCATCGGGTAACTAAAAAAAGCATCATCAGTTGATAGCAGGTAGACTTTTCATCGGCATGTCGATTGTGGCATTTCACCTGTTCGTCTTTTGAGAATTATGCGCTGTGTCAAGATTAGACAAAATGCAGTAATCAATAATATCATGTCTATCTATGATGAATTATTTTACTTTTAGCGCTGTTTTATTGAAAACTCATTGAATGAATATGAATTCAGTCAAGCCGATATCCATCGCTGATGATTGGTTCATGACACAATCGTTTATCTTCCCACGAGGTGCTTTGACTTCGATTAACCTTTCTGAAGAATTAATCAACTGCGTTCGATACGAAGAAGAAGAATATAATAAGTTATTACATAAGTATCATCTGACTGTTGACTTGTTAGACCAACGTGAAAAAGATATGTCTGAACGATTAACTACTCTCAATGATTTTTACACCAAAGTAACCAATATCAACCAAATTGATTTATTAAAAGATCTTCTGAACAGCTCGATGTGGAGTAACCTTTATAAACTGACGACTAACTTAGAAAACTTATGTTTAAAGCCAAGTCAACAATTTTAATGCAAAAAAGCGTCTTCGTTGTCTTTCTTTTAATTCCCAATGCACTGAATTACTCCTGATTTGTCAATTCAACTCATATAGGTTGTGAATATTTTGTTCCGTATAAGAATTATTTGTGCGTTCATCAATAAGTGTTTTATTCACGAATATTTCATGTTGAGAAAGACATTTCCGATGTATTATTAAAACCTATTTAAGACACATAAAGAACCCCATGAAGTCTGACTATTCACACTTCTGCACTTCAGGCTAATACGATTTCAAAATTCACACGAATGCATTAGATTGCTTTGGTAATGAACATCTTAGTACTTGAATCTATTCTTCCTAATAGGCACGCACTCACACCGTCCAAAACGACTCGTCTCTCCATGAAGAAAACTGCCTATATGCACTGCATTATGATAGACCATTGAAATCTTTTATTCAGTGATGTCATCGAACAACAGCATCTCTGTTGGGAAAAGATTCTACGCAACGTAATCGTGTAGACCTGTCAAAGAACTACAGCAGATAAATTGAAATGTTTTCCCTTATTCATTTTCCTCAGTAGAAATCAACTAGAAATTAATCAAAACTATTCGACTATATGTATGTAGGCACAACACATAGTTCAGTATTATATAAGCAGATTAGAATAAACATGATTCTGATCGTAATAAAGCAAAGAAATGGACACTTTCGTCTCTGCTTAGAAATCTAAATCCCATATCAATTTCTGTAGCTAGAAAACTGATGAGATTTCTCAATGTTTTATTCCGACTAAATCTCTCTATTTTGCCTCTTTTTACATCAATACTAATCACGCAAATGTCCCTTCGTATTCTCTTTTTTCTGTCTCTTTCTCTCTGGCGCTTATTTTCTAAGTCTGTTTTATATCTTAAGAGCGTGAAATACCTTCTCATTTTGTCGATTCTTCATTTGACAAGTAATACTCACTTATCTCTCCAAGCGTTCATCTCTGTCCTTTACTTTGTTGTTTGAACCTTCTTTCTTTTTTAGATAAATACACTATCCTAACATATCGTCATTTTCTCAACAAACGAAATGTTAACAAAACTGATTCTACTCATCTCCTTGTTTCATTTAATGCAATGCTTGTCAACACGAAGTAACAGTAAGTCAAAATAATCTTTCCCGATACCGTTGATACGTCCTGTGAATGATAAAGGCGAACCCTTAGAAAGATACGTGTAACATGCGATAGTTGACTATTTCCTTTTAGTTTGGTGGAGCCGACGCAATGACGAAGCACAGAAAGATTGTGACATTGAATTTACAAATGAAAATCCATCATTGGAAGCGAAAATTTGTGGTAAGAAAGCATCTTGTTCAAGGAATCGTTTCGATGAAACTTCATCTAGGTTATTGTTTCGCTAAATGCCAACAAAAATTTGCCGCCTGCCTTTTGGCTCAAATGAGCAGTGCCGTAGACGGCTCGTTGGATTTATGTCAAGAAAAGTCATCTGAATGTGAACAAAGCTGCTTTCACGACAAACGAACAAGTCGAATCGCTGAAGCCAATTGGGCTAAAGTCGTTAAAATCTTGCAACAATTTCACAATCATGCACCATCGCAGGATGTGGAGAAGACAAGTCAATAGACGCTCATACACTCTCACTTGACGACTAATGCAACTCGGTACAATCTTTATTTTGTTCGTGTGTAATATTTTCCTCATTCGATGATTAAAATAAAATAAGAAAGCTAACATGCGACGCGTATTAGTAAAAAAAACGAAAACACACTGAATAATCAAATGAAATAACGAGATAATGTTTGCCATTGTAATAAGATAAGTATAACATAGCAGGAGAGAATGTTTCTTTCTAAGTCATATTCGGTTTAATTAGAACACGACTGTAAACTTTCTCGATGGATAATTTCATTGCTGCTGAGAGGTCGGATAGAGCGTACGCTGGACCTATAACTTCGTCGTAGGGATATTTCTGGATTGTTTTCTCGAGAAAATCAACTGCTTGGTCAAGATGGCGTGGTGCGTAGTTATGAACGCCTGTTTATTTTTATGTAACAAAAGAAAAGAAGCTTAGACTTTATTTTTAATTAACATTCTCCCTTTTACCTTTTATTGTAAGACATTTGCGTATAATCTGTTCGCCAGTTATATTTAGTTCTGAATGCGGATGCACCATGCCAAGAAAAAGATATAATCCGCCTGGCTTCAATAATCGAATTCCGTCATTGACAACGGCTGATACTCCGCACACCTAAAATAATGTTATCGTGATTCGAACAGAAAGAGAAAAAAAAATGAATGTTTACTTCGACGACAACATCGATTTTGTTTGTTTCTTCATGAAGAACTTCATCTAAACAGAAAATCAACGAAAAGTCTTGCTGTGTTGACTGCCAAAAACAAGTACTAATTACTCATATCATTTGTAATTTGCGAAAGTGTGCATATGACTGAGACATGCGTTTCTCTCTTCAAGCAAGAAGTTCAAATTAATGTGCAAGAAGAACAAGACAAAAGGAACACCGAGCAACACAATGAAACAGAAATGAATTAGAAATTATGATTGTGTAGTACTTCGCCTGTCTGTATAAGTAGGAAAGCAGAAGAATCATATTAATATTTGTGCGTTCAGCTCAGAGTTTGTGGAAAATTAGATTTACCATTATAAAGTGGAATGGCACCGAAACGATCAATGAATTCCGAACGACGAATACGCATGCCCGAACAGTAAACAGTATCATATCCGAGCTCACGAAGTGCTGCGCAAGTATATAAACCTAAGATACCATCGCCCTAAGTAATTAACAGATATAATCAGAACTGGGTTTCTCAGGGGTTCGTAATACTTATTCACCTATATTAAGTTTTAAGATACAAAGAACAGCTTATTTTCTTTCTGAACTAAACTAATTTAAGTTTCAAGAGCTCAATATATGTACCTGAACAAAAGCTCGACCGTTCTTTATTTTAGGAACGAATTCCATCGCACACATTGTCGTAGCCAATGAGCAATTGATAGGCGCAGCGCATCGGTCGGATATGACATCAGGTATTTTCACCACGTGTGTACCACGCCGAAGAATAATATACGATGCATAACAGCCATTGAAACCTGATCCATCACTCAATTTTGCATGACCATACTAAATAGACGAAAAGGAAAAAAGATGAAATTAACACAGACAGACAATTCAAATTTACCTTGAATAATTTGGTACATTTCTGATTAAGTCCTTTCAGGCAGAATTCACATTTGTTACAACAATCAGCAACGGAGAATGTTAAACGATCGCCTTCAGATAAATCGCTTTCAGGCCGACGATGAGCAACAACTTCAACAACAGCTTCGTGACCAAGCACGCTTAAACAAAAATTGATATGCACTTCTCAATTAATGTATCCAATCAATCTATTACCTTGGTGTCGGTTCAGTTCGATGACCGGTGATTGTATGCACATCACTCATACATATCGAGGCAAGACGAACCTTTTCATATGAAAGAAAAATTCACCTCGGTATTTGTCTCACAGAAAGAATTTCAACACTTTACTTTCACAAGTATTTCTCCTGGACCCAATTCTGGTAATGATATAGTTTCGGACGTGAAAATTTCTGGAGAATGGATTCCATGGAAAATCGTACGTGTACCTAACATTGACTCAGTATCCTGGTTGCCGATCATTTCTCCTTCTGTTTGTTTCTTATCGCAATCATTTTAGTTAAGCTAACCGATGATGGAGTAATTAATCCGTGAACGTATTGAATCGAGTTACGATAGAGGTCATTATTCGATTGATTCGTCATATAAATGGTGCAGTTATGAACGAATAGAAATATCAGATCAAATGATTGATTGATTGATTGATCGTTCATTTAGGCGTTGGTAATATGGATAGGACAACGTTTTTAAAAGTTTATTTTCCCAATGGATCTTTTCATGCTCTGAGATATACGCCATCGACGACAATTTCGGTAGGAAACTATTGTGAAAAGAGGAAATGCATTGCTTGGCTTTTCTCATAGGATTTGATTCGAGTCGTTTTAAAAGGTCGTCTTTCACCTTATGAGTTGTTTTATCATTTGTCATTTGCACTTCGTATAACATATGTTGGTAAAGAGCAACACAATCATTTACCAATATTAATCACAAATAATCATATTGTCGATAAATGGCTCCATCCGAATATGACTATGGAGAAAGTGCAAGACTCTTATGGACCAACGGAAGAATTGAAGTAAATCGATGAATGGATTTGTATTCCGAAGACGAAATGAAATAAATAAATGATTTAGATTTGAACTTCGTCTACGGTATTTCCCACAATCTCTCGATGCTTTCGCACATGACAAAGCTACATTTGGTTTTTTTTACGAACAAGTGAGTGAATTTTTCATAGAATATTTCTTCTACTTCTCTCGACAACGTTTCATTTTTAGCTTCGTATTGATTATATGCGTTTCAAAGCTGAACATGTTTCTATGAATGATGCGATTGAATTGGGCTCATTGGAGATACGAAAGCTTTTCAAAGATCTTAATTCTTCAGCGCTCGATAAAAAGGTGAACATGGATTATTTAGAAAAAGAACTTGGACTAAGAAAATTCTTTCCACAATCTTTGCTTGACACACAAAAGGTATGGAAGAATTTCTTGTTTGACTATGTATGCATTGTCTGCATTGTTCCCAGCCACGTGTACTCCGAAAATATATCAAAAATTGCCTGAAAAAATACGAAGGACTGGCTGAAGAAGAATGTGTCAAGCGATTTTGTCTTCTTCTAAAAGATGTTTGGAACTGGGAGCAAGAAATCTATACGTGTAAACTTGGCGTAAGTGTAAACTTCGAGAAAGTGTTGAGTCGGATATAATTATTGACTTTCAGGCTGAATGGGCAGTGCCTATCAGTCTTGTTCTTGGCCCATCAGATGGTATCAGTTATCGGACATCGAATACGACAAGAGTAAGTTTCGATGGAATTGGTAAGTCATGTTACTCTTTTACTCGTAGTTAACGAAAATGACACCATTTGAAACGATTCTATCCATATCAACAACAAAAGTCAATTCAAGCGATTGTGGTCTAATCAAATTAAACATTGCTGGATCGTCGGAGGTGAGAATTTTCTTTCGAAAATGAAATACATACATTTTTTCTTATTCTAGGTTTTAACCTTTAGTTTCTCCTCATTAACCGAAGCGCATGATGTTGCGATTCTCATCGATGGTTACTGTATGTTAGTGAATAGCAATTCGCATTCGCTTTGGCGATCAACTGGCGATGATCAGCAAGGTTTAGCAACACGAACATCGCCAACATCTACTTTTCTTACTTCGCATTCTTCAGAATTCGCTTATCATCATTATCGAAGTAGAATAAGTACTGTCTGATGTGCGAACGAATCATTGAGAATTTTCTTTCAGCGAATGAAGATGATGACGACAATGATTCGAATGGAGATTACGCCGATGTACTCTCTCCGGAATATCAAATTGATCGAAAACAAATCCATATGATTGAATCATTGGGTAATGGGCAGTTCGGTGAAGTCTATCGTGGAATTCTAAAAGTAAAATGTCAACTTTCAAATACCTTTATCATTATTCTTCTTTAAGACTGATCAACAATTAGAAATCAATATTGCGATTAAAACATGCAAAACGCGAGACTCCACAACTACAGATGCATTTCTCGATGAAGCATGTAAGACGTTGTCTCGGTTATCTATCTATCGAATTTCGATTTCGATGAATTTTCAGATGTAATGCAAAAATTCGATCATCCGCATATCATCAAACTAATCGGCGTTTGTACAGATCAACCGGTGTTGTTAATTATGGAATTAGCAAGATTAGGCGAAGTAATATCACTTTAATCTCGAAGCTGTTTGATCGATTTAGCGAATTTAGTTACGCGGATATCTAGTCGCCAATCGAGCCGATTTCGATTTAATCACTTTAGTTCTCTATTGTGAACAACTAGCTTCTGCACTTGCATATCTGGAATCAAAGAAATTCGTCCATCGGTAAAATAATATTCTTCAATGTTTTTCTTTTACCAATTGCATTTCATAGAGACATTGCGGCAAGAAATATTCTTGTTTCTAATCACGAATCAGTTAAATTAGCTGACTTTGGCCTTTCAAGGCAATTGACAGTCGATAGTTCTTATTACAAAGGTAAGACGAGACCAAACACTTCACTCATTTCTATTTCTTTTCTTTTTAGCATCCAAAGGTAAACTGCCAATCAAATGGATGGCACCAGAGTCGATAAACTTTCGTCGTTTCACACATCTATCCGATGTTTGGATGTTTGGTGTGTGTATGTGGGAAATTCTAACCATGGGAAGAAAACCATTTCAAGGTGTAGCTAATGTCGATGTTATCGATCAAATTGAAAATGGTGTTCGATTACCATTACCCGGTACTTATTGTCCGCAGCGTCTGTATGATTTGTTACAAGAATGTTGGTCGTACGAACCAACGAGTCGGCCCAATTTCCTTCACATTCATACCCGATTGAAAACTATTCTGAATGAAGAACGAACGAGCGTTGATTTGAAACCAGATAAGATTCCGATCGAGTTCTTGACGACATCAGATGATCAGGTACCACCGAAACCAGTATTGCCGAATAAAAACGGATTCATTGGTAGTCGATTACAAAGTTCGTTGTTGATTTCGACTTTTCTCGATCTAAATTTATGTTTAGTTAACAACACATCAACAACTGCTCGAAGTGAATCTAGTCATCAATTTCAAACTGGTGCTGGCATCAGACAGAAAGTGAGCAGAAGGATTTTTCTCTGAACAGAAACAAGACCTCGATCGCTTCTAGTTTTCATCTAGTACATCAGCTCCTTCGTTTGATGTACAAGACTCGCCCGATAGAGTTCCCAAGTTTTCCAAATCTAAAGATCAACAGCAAACATCTTCGATACTATTAAATGATCTCTTTCATTCTCAAACGAAACAGATTGTTAGTGCAGTACTCGCACTGACACGACAGAATGACATTGATCACAGTAATGCTTTGGCTCAACCGTCTAATCGTCCCCTATCACCAGTGAACGAGAAAGAACAAATGCAACTAGTGAAAAATGTTGCCATTGCCGTTCGTGATCTTCTTCAAACAATTGATTATGCACCTGCACCAATCAAAACTATGGTAAATATCACTTTTTCTCCTGCAAACGTTCTTAAAAATCCATTTTTAGTCTGAACAACGCTACAATCATTTCTCCGGCTTAGTTGTGAATCTAATTGAAACCGTTCGCCAACGAAACTATGATAAAATGAATGACACCGCCATCAACATTGCTCGTACAGCTAAAGCACTTTTCGATGATATTCTTCAACTAAGCTAAAACTTACATTCCCAAATGTATATGACCTGTCGAGAACAAAACTGAATCATGTCTTTCATCGAGTAACAGTGAATAACAAATCAATGAAATCTTGTTGTAAATTTTTTTGCTGATAGTCTTATTTTCATGATATGTAGAACACATCAATAGAATAAAAAGCAAGTTCTAATTGAATGCAAGTAGTTTTGCGCTCCATCAGTTTCCATTAGCTTTTGGATAACACATCCTTAGCAACAAATCAATAACATTTTCATCATGAATCTGCATTCATTATGTAAGGATATTGAACAGTTTCTGCAACAAAATGATCATAATTCCAAAGCACAGTTTCTCAACTGGTTGAAATCGCGATTGAATATTCCAACTGATGAAACCGATCACAAATCTCTCATTAACACATCACAGCTATTTTCTTGTCAATGCGGCCATCAGTACTCGCTTCGTGTTGCGATTACCGACAATTTTCAAGAGCACGAGCGATTTGATTTTTGTACAAAATGTCAAATTGATTTACACGACCACGAGAGCTATCGGAAACATTATTCCATGCATCAGCAAGGACAGTTATTTTGTAAATGCTGCTTACAATTCTATACGAACGAAGAAATGGAAACTCATGATTGTGAGCAAGGAAAATTCAATGAATTGCAAAGTCTAGAACAGTTGATTCCACCGGATACGAATGAACAAGAACAAGAATCGAATCTTATGGGTAAAATTCACGATATTTCTCTCGAAAAGGATGCGAGCAGATATATTCAACTAGAGTTTGTCAATGATGCTGATACATCGACTTCAGCACGTCTAGTTCATCTCGGTTTACCGAAGTTGACCGATTCAATCACTGAAATCCGTCATCCGGATGGTAAACGACAATTTCGTTGTCCAATCTGTTCCAATTCCTATGTTAATCGGTCAGGTCTCAATCGACACTATATCACGCATAGTTCGCAAGACTTCTGGAAAGTTGGTTCGTACGAAATCTTTCTCTTTGGACTTTATTCTCGAAGGGAAACTTCTCTTGCAGAATGTCAGTATTGTGGTAAACGATACTCTCGAAAAGATTCGTTGAAACATCATATGAAAACACAACACGCTCAAATGACTATGCCGAGTAGAACATTGAGTAAAAGCAATAGCACTTTCTACCAACAGTCAAACGAAAAATTGTATCAGTCACATCGCAAATTATCGTCGAATTCAATCAATTTGGAATCGGCATTGTCAAATGAAAAGGAACACGATGACGTGGTTTTGATTAATTGAAGTACTTTTTCTTGCGTCTAATAAAAAAAACCCTACTGCTATCGAATTTTCATTCCCACGAAACAAAACAATGTAGCAATGGCAATCTTTCTTCTGAATTTGTATTCGTGTTATATCGAAGTATCGTTAAGTCTTCAGTGAAAATGAAGAATCCGATTGATTAGACAAGTTTATATTATTAAAACAACACATTTCTTGTAACTGTTTGTCGTTGTTATAATAAATTTCAGATGTTTGATTAGCAACTACCGTGGAAACGAAAGGAGAGGAGAAAGAGTAGAACAAACTAAAAAAACGACTTTATTTGTAACTGTAGAGAACGCAAGGAGAAGAAGAGAAAAATCAAGTGTCAAGTAACAACAACAATACTTTACTAGACTTTAATTCTTCAATGTCAATTCTGATTTTTCTTTCTTCAGGCAATCATTGAACAGGTTGTAACTCGAAAGAACTTCAATTAACAATAATGATGACAACGGCGATCAACCCTGTTGGCCATCAATTATCGAAGACCATGTGTTCTCAGTGCAGCTCGATGGGACATTTTCAATGTATAGATCATTGTAGAGAAGTCTTCTGTGGCAGATGTAGCGTGAAACATCGTTTTGCTGTAACGAAACAAATGGACAATTTAAGCGAAAAGCTGAAACGTTGTAAAATAGATCCGATCACCACTCACGATGAGATCGACGCGAATTTCTTGCGTACATCACAGCAAACGATTAAACGCACACGAGATACAGTTAGTAATCTCATTGCCGAGCTTCAGCAACGTGAAAATACGATTATCAAGACAATCGAACAAGGCGTGGAAGTTCGACGGAAAGAACGAGAAAGACGTACTGAGTAAGTCTCTCTGTTCGAAAGAATCTATTCCTAATCAATTGAGAATGATTTCAGTTCGGCACTACTGACAAGTGAAGAAGCAGTTGACTACACTGAACTACTCAAAGAATGTCTCAAACAAGATCAGCTGCTTCACAATGAAACCATGGTCAATATTCAACATCGTCTGGATGCTCGAAATGCATTGGGCCAATCAGCGTCTGAAGCACAAAATCCTTTAGTTGAATTGGGAAAATTCGAACCGGAAAGACTCCTTCAACTTCGCTATGCTCCCCGAGTGGAATCTTCTCCCGCAAAAACTCGAACAACTGCTACGACAAAAGTAACTGTACGATTAGATAAATGTAAACAATTTCAAAGTCCGTTACAAGGCACTTTCTCTGTTGGTAAACATCCGACAGCTGTATCATTAAATGATCGTTATGCGGAAACATTTTTCTGTCGTCGGACACCAGGCAATAGTTTGATCTTACTTAGTTCCACATCCATCGATCTTGTGAATCGTGGCTCCGGTGTGGAATTAAGCGTTCGACTATCGAAAATCTTAGGCACAACAAAAGATAAACTACTAGCAGGTACTTGGTGCGAATACTCTCAACGCCTGATACTTGTTGGCAATCACCGAATGTATTTCTATGACTTTCAAGCTCAAGAACACGCAAGAAAATTTCGATGTTCACCATTGCATGGAGATCCGGGCAATACACCAAGATTTATCAACTGTACACACAATGGTACAATATTCTATGGTAAAAATCAACTATCATATCTTCGACATCGTTTTTCTCTTCATTTCAGCTTTCAAATCTGATGCAAATTCGTATACGATCGAAAAACACGCTAGTCCATTGACCTTGTTGAAGGAGCCTATTGAAGGTGAATACGAAAATACTAGTTATTTCTTTCAAACCAAACAAACTGTTACTATCCATGGCCGTATGGCAGCCATGTGTGTTACACACAACCGTATTTCCATTGTTTATCGTCGATTTCTTTCGGAGAAACATGTGGAACACTATCTTTGCTTTTTTGATCATAATTTCCGTCGACTGAATGATGAAAACGACATTCTACTTCCCTCAGATATAAAATGGATCACAGCAATAACACCCTATGGCAACGATGGTCAATATCTCCTCTGTGATCCACGTGGTCAGCAATTATTATTCTATCGTATCACGGAAGGATTCTTAACTCGTCGATTTCGTACAGGTGCGATCAATGCATGTTGTTTAACCGATGGGAAACTCGTTCTATGGTTGCAAAAACAATATGCGAGTACACCAACGGGTAAACTTCATTTTATCACCGCTCCACACCTCGACGAGCCAGCGAGCGTCGCGAAATCTTTTCCGCTATTGAAACAGAAATGACCTTTTATATTTATCTCTGCGTACATTGTATTTTTTTTACTTATTTTTTGAGAGAACAGTTTCTCTGAATCAGAGGATGAAAAAGAACACTGCAATCGACTTTTAATCATGATTAAAATCATCAACGACAAGTTCGACTCTCTAAGCAAAGAAGATTGTAAACTTTGATGTTAATGAAAAACAAAAATCTCGAGCTCGATGCACTTGCAGTTCTCTCTAATCAATCTACTTTTTTGTATTCACCTTATTATTCTTACGTCTTCGTTTGATTTCGTTCTATAAATGAGTTTATTTACAATTCAAGTAGTTAGTTTATTTCGGATGAGAGAAAAACACCGTACTACGTCGAGGTACGTTCGTTTTATCAAACGGAAGAAGAAACGTCGTGTAAATCAGTGTGACTTGCCTTTCAATATGAGTAATTTCTTTTTTTATTTCGCCCTTCGATTGGAAAACAACATTTACCCATACGCCTAGCAAATGAAGGCCGAAAAGATGATCAGAGCCGACGGTTTTTCATAGGTGATAAACAAAGTGAAACGCATGACGTCAAGTTACCTTTTCGAACGCTGTTCACGTCAACGCACAATCATTAACTTGCCGTCAAAAACTTCCTTGCCGAAACCTAACCTAGTCGAGTATTAAGAAAATCTTCGAACGAATTCGTTTGATTTGTCGAGAGCAGAATGGCAAAAAAATTCTTCGGCACCTTAGTGAATGCGCTTTTCTCAGTACTTTTGCCTTTCTCATCGTACAAAAACAAGTGCACAAACGAAAACAACCAGCAGAAGAATTCTTAAAAATTACTAGGTAACCATTGCACATTCATTTCGTTGTTTTGCAGTCGAGATTAAGTCGATTCTTGTACTCAGACAAAGGGATCAATCTTGTCGAAAAGGAAATCTTTTCACAATCGATGACTATTTTTACGAAAAAGACATACTTTCTCTTCAATACAGTTGTATTTTAGAACGGAATACACCGAGCTCTTAATTACAGTGTGACTCATTTCTTTTCGAGCAAAAGGTAGGTGCAAAAACTCAAAAAGGAGAGATAGTTATTTACATTATTATGTCAGGAGAATACATACGAAGGAAGAAGAGATAACCAGCACGCTTGACTGATAACTATGATTTGTCGTTCGTAATATAAAAAAACTTTTTTATCGACAAGTTTTTCTTTCTGTACAAGCGGTACATGTACGCTCGTTCTTTCACTCTCTTTTCATTTCGATACATACACATATGCACTTCTAGAACACATCATTTTTATTTATTAATATATTGTTGGCTGTATACATACATAAACGTACCGAAGTACCGCATTGTGATGAAAAAATTTATTTACTTGAAGCATATCCAAATTCAGAATGGTAAAGACAATCCGCAAAGCGATTCGCCGGCAATAATTCCGGTAAGAGCATTGTTTGCATAGCACTAGTAACATATGGGAAATATTTCAGCATTCATCCGAATTCGAACGACTATGGAAAGAAACGGAACACCTTCGTGCTGATTATAGACTAACAAGTGATAAATCAGACGCATCCGAACACACTCCTGTCGCAAAATCAGTTTCAATTCCGGATGATTCACACAGTCCGTATCATACATACGATGGATTCGTTCCAAAATCTGCTTTAAAACATTTTTCACCGACTTCACCATCCTGCTTATCTGATTACAGTCCGCCTGCGTATTTAGTTCCATTTCAAATGTACCATCAGCAGCAGCAACAACAACATTACTCTGTTACACCTCTCGGTGAAGTTCCGTATCAACACTCATTATCACCGTTTGACACAAGCCCATTTCAGCAAATACTAAAAATATCTTGCGTTTGTCAACAATGCCAATCGATTACTAATGATGCCTATTCGGGACCGATTACCTACGAGGTGTTCAGGAAACAACAGTATCGACACCATCGTCCACCTAGCCACTGTTGTTCATTGAAAAATGAGTTATTATCCGGCACAGCATTATCTGAAGATGTTAAACCGATTGATGAAATTAAAGAACAACCGATAGAACAAGAGAAAAGCTTTCGTGCTTCGACACTATTATCCTTACATATATCTCCGCCATCACCTGAAGATCCTTTAAAGTTAAAATCACCGTTCTATCCACATAGAACGATCGGGAAAAACCGATCGTCAACGAAGAAAACGTCAGAAATCACCAAAGCGAAGCATAGAACCCCGACGGCAGCGAAAAAAGATTCAAACACAGGTACAATTCATGTTTGTCCGTATCCGGACTGTGGCAAAACTTACAATCGACTATTTCATTTACGTTCGCATAAACGAACACATATGGGAATCAAACCGTACTCATGCACATGGCCAGAATGCGGATGGAAATTCGCTCGATCAGACGAGTTAACACGACATTTCCGGTAAGCGACCTCTTCTTCGAAATCATCGAATATTCTCTACTTTTTTGTTTAGTAAACATACCGGTGTTAAACCATTTGTCTGCAAACATTGTGACCGAGCATTCTCACGCTCCGATCATCTTCAACTTCACATGAAACGGCATACTTGAACAAGAAAAATAAAAGCACGAATCATTAGCCGTTACGATAGTTATGCTTGTTTTGTTTTTGTAAGATATGTACACTACGATGAACAAATTTCCTATTTGAAAAATATTTTGTTTTGTAAAACAACAGACGTTTGTGATAAACGAACTTTAGTTTTAGTTTCAAATCGATCGTCGTATAACAACTTGTTATCATTATAGTTAGACAAATGCCTTAGGCGAGTTTACTCATTATCGTCATGACGTGCAAATATAGATGATAGAGCTATGGAACAAAAACACATATACGTTTCGATTGTTTTCATCGATAATAAAAACTATTCTATCAAACTTTCGTACTTAATTCTCAACTTAAGATATCGATTCGAATAGCTCTACACTTCTCCGTGGACGATGTCAGTCTCATACGTCAATTTACGAACAAATTCCGCGACATGTGAAATATGTTGAATTCTTGACTTCCTTTCGAACGGTGTACGAAAATATCCTTTTAACCGACCTTTTTCTTTTAACAATGTCTGTTATGGTTCGTTCGTGAACAAGCATTAACACGCTATGGTACATCAATTAGATCTGCTATATTTTATAGACGGAAAGAAGGGCGGAAGGCAAGGTTTCAATTTGTCCTGCTTGTTCTTCGAAAAACTCCTTGAAATTCTTTCGCATATCGATTGTCGCTATTCTACAAAGACCATATATTTATCTCTTCTAATCGTAGAACAGTATATCAAAGTTCGTCTTTTCTCTCTTTTTTTTCGTTCTCTCCCACATTTTATTTATCTTATCTTTTATTTCATTCACCGAGTGTACTAATAAACAATTCAATCAAACACGATGCACACTGTGAGACAATCGTTTCTTCTTCGATCATTAAATTCCCGTCAAATCCGTTCGTTTTCGTCGCATTTGTTCGAGATCAACCCAGAAGTGAAATCAGCTTTAGCTGAACATCGCCCAGTTGTTGCTTGCGAAACAGCAATTCTCACACATGGTCTGCCACGTCCAGTGAATATTGAAACATGTCTGCAAATCGAACAGATTATTCGTAAGCATGGTTCAATTCCGGCAACTATCGGCATTTTAAATGGTCGAATTAAAATTGGACTCACCCAAACTGAACTTGAACAACTTGGTTCTTCGAAAGACGTCGAAAAAGCATCGCGTCGAGATCTGCCGTATCTCATATCTCGTCGTGCATCAGCTGGAACTACGGTGGCTGCGACGATGCTTATCGCCCATCGTTGCGGCATTTCGATCTTTGCCACTGGTGGTGTTGGCGGTGTTCATCGAGATTCACAAATAACAGGTGATATATCATCCGATCTCGACGAATTAGGTCGTACACCGGTTTGTGTGATTTCAAGCGGTGTTAAATCAATTCTCGATATTCCTAGAACGCTTGAATATCTAGAAACGAAAGGTGTCGGAGGTAAGATAATTAATAAGACATAAATTTCATGTTCATTCAATAAGGAGAAGTTCGTTTTAGTTTACACTTTTGGTGAGACAAACGAGTTTCCGAATTTCTTTACACGGACAAATGAAGTTGGATCGAGATCGTGTGCTGCCATTCGAACTGTAGAAGAAGCTGCTCAACTTGTTCGTAGTATGATCGACTTGAAACTTGACTCTGGTCTGCTATTAGCTGTTCCCATTGATAAAGAAGACGAAATTGTTACAAACACTGGAAAAAACATCGAATCAATCATCGAAGAATCTCTTCAACAAGCAACAAAAGAAGGTATTATCGGAAATAAAGTTACACCCTATGTGCTCGGCAAGATTCGTCAGCAAACCGGTAATAAATCGATCAAAACGAATCAGAACTTGGTCTATAAAAATGCTCGCATTGCCTCACAAATTGCCGCATGTTTATCATCGAGCCAACCAACGTCTTCGTCACTGAGTAAGTGATCATGTTCTTCATCAAAAGACGAATGAAAGCAAATGACTTTTGACATCTCTTTCTTTTCGCTTATTTAATAAATAAAGTTTTGCTTGGCGCACGAAATCTTGATTTACATATTCAACTTCATGCTGACTTTGTTCCGAACAAAGGTTCAACTCTACCGTGTCGTTTGCAACAAAATCTCGGTGGAGTCGCATACAATGTTACACATGCACTTCATCTATTGAAAACACCTTCGATTCGTCTTCTCACAGTTTCGGGTACATCAACAGGAATGCTCCGAACTGATCCGGTTCCGACAATTGTTCATGAAATACCGGGCGAATCTACAGCGAGTTACATTTCTCTACTTGATTCGAAATCCAGTGAACTCATTTGTGGTTTTGGTGATATGAGTATCTACGAACGACAAATTACACCAGATTTTCTCGACAAAAATCTTTCGATTCTAATTAAAAGTCAATGGATCATGTTCGATGCTAATTTAAGTCGATCCGCCATTAAACATCTCATCGATATCGGTGTCAAGTACGAGAAAAGATTAGCTTTCATATCAGCCGGTGGTCCAAGAAAAGCCGAACGAATCAGCGAACATCTTCGAAATCTTCATGTACTCTTCTGTAATCGTTTGGAATTCGAAGCGATCACTCATTCGTCGTCAATTGAGTCGAGTTTGAGAAAGGTGTTAACAGAAAACCGAGATCTCAAGTTGATCTGCATCACCATGGGTGCAAATGGTGTTCTCGTCGGTACCAATGATCGAATAAGACGATACAAAGCATTGGCTCTGAATAAAACTCAACATGAAATTCGAAATGTTACGGGTGCAGGCGACAGTTTCGCTGCTGGTGTGATGAGTCAATTGTTGAAATCCAATCTCGAGAATCTTGAGCGAGCCATTGCTTGCGGCTTACTAGCGGCGAAATTTACTTTAACATCCGCTAATACGATCAGTGAACGATTGCATACTATTGATGACGCGATGCTTGATGAAATTTGTTCCAACGAACTACAATATGAGAATGTTAATCTGTAATAAAGAAAAAAAAGTCCGTTTGTTTTCGAAAAAAAAGAACGAATTCTTCTCGTTTTGCTTTCTTCTATTCAATGATTTATAGATGACAAACAAACTTTTCATTAATCATGCTTTCTTTTGGTCATTTTGGGCAAATATTCTTTTTATTTTCGGCATGATCGGCTATCTCTTCATGGACATTCTTGATTATATGCATTCAAATATTTTCAATACATTTCTTACAAATCTGATTTATATTTTCCTCGCCTGTCTATTCGTTATCAATGCTACTCTACAATTTTTTGTTCTCTACTACATGAATAAAAATGTACAACGATATTACACCATGGTTTTATCTTGTCTATTCGATAAAATTGCTAGTCATGCTTACCTTATCGGCGCAATCTTGGCCACCGCAAGTTTAACTAAAGCCACGACGATTTGGACATTGAACACTGTAGGAGTGTGCGGATTTGTTATTGGTGCGGCAATCAATACGATGATTCCCGCGACGGATACGATGTCAATCTGTGCAGATTATTTTAACTTATTAGGTTCTCTATTGTATCTCTTAGCAACAATTGTGACTCGGATACCGTTAACACAAATTATCGGACTCGTTGGTGATGCAGTGTACTTGATTGATTCGATTTTATATATGATCTGTTGGTTTCAAGAACGTGAGATGATGACAGATTCGTTGGGACAATACGTTTTGATTAAGTGAGAATTTTGTCAGATATATGGAAGATCTTTTCTCAGATAGGAATTCTAAAAAACCAAGAATAAACATTCGTAAGACGTTTGACAAGTTTTTCAATCAAACATAAGATGCATTTACTATTGAAAATAGAAGTTTCTATTCTAAGAAAATCGATCTTTTCTCAAGAATTTTATTTTTAAAAAAATATACAGATGAATCAAGAAAACATTTGTATTCTTGTTCTCAATACGTCTAGAAAATTTCCATTGATCATTAGCTGCTATTTTGTAAAAGAAAAGCTAAAACATGCTGCCAACTTTGTTCACGCGATTGACACACGAGAATATTTTCTTTCTTTGCTATGTCTTCTAGATACTTTCTCGAACGCGCGATATCCTGTCGTTCGGTTTTGCTTCGAATTTTCTCGCAGTTTTCGTTAATTGTTCGTTGCAAACAAATAATGATGCGATACTGACGTTGACCCATCAGGAATGCGAGTTCAGTTGCCAGATGTGAAAGACGTTCTTGATCATTTATGATGTAGAACAACAACCGTGATCGCTTTCGAATGTAACTATCGTAGAGATTGTCGAGTTCGTCGTGTTCATACGAATGCTGTTCTTGAATATACTTGAGATTAAGCTCATCAAGAAGCGGAACTACGAAGGTTTTCAACCAATATTGATCATGCTCGCCTGCTGCTATGTACAGGTCGAAGAGTGGAACGTTTTCACATGATGACGTCGGTGCGACGGGATGCGTAGGAGGAGAAGGAGGAGGAGGAATGAATGTGGACTTTAGACGTTTGTAAAGGAAAGATATTGGTTGAATTAACGACGAACTCTGTGTCAACGAAGGTGTAGGTAATGAAATGTGTAAGAAAACAGTTAAGAAGATGTGATTCAAAATAGAAATAGCGAGATAAAATCTACAAGAAACGAATGAAAAACAGAAATTGCATATAATTAACGAAACAAGTTTATTTTCGCTACCTTGAAGACATATTTTCGTCAAATGAGTTGTCATAAACATCAGAATAGACTGATACCGATGAAGACTGAGATAAAGTCCGATAACTTGACCCTAGTGAACCATAACCGTCATCCTCACTCTCATTTGTTGAACAAGATATCTGTGTTTTCGTCGAAGTAGATAGTCGACGAAATTGTACACCGGTTGTGAAATGAGTTGAATGTATGCATGGACTAAAAATCGGTGAAACATAACCGTTGCTTGAACTATGACGTCGAGAGGAAGATATTGGTGACGATGACGTCATTTCCGATTCAGTTACTTGCTGATAAAAATCATCAGATGTGTCATCACCTGTACAGCAACCTAGACGAAATCATTAGTGGAAAATGAGATTTTGATCCGAAACGGAGAGTTTACCTTTATTTTCGTATCTTTGTGTAGATTTTTCTTGAACTATCACAGTTTGATTTGAATTCTCCAGAAAAAATGTTGCACATTCTAATGCTACGGTGAGATTATCGAAAATCGGCACATTCATATTCTGTAATAATCTTCTTAGAATTCTTCTTGCTTCACAAGCATTTCTGTAATCATTTTCATCATCGATTTCATTCGAGTTCGTTTTCTCTCGGATAAATTTCACTTGAGTTCGATCATTCGACATACCATTCATAACAACAATGATATTCCGACCACGTGCTGCTAAGTAAGATACTTCTGCTATCGCTGCTAATGATCTCGTACTGTGATCAATGACGAAGAATAGAACTGGAGCATCTTCCTTTGCACGATACTCAATTTCCACTAAATCCGGTGTCCAATTGGGCACTTGGGGATTATAGTATGAAATCGAATGTGATTGAAAATATGGAATTGCTTGTTCATATCTCCATGTTGTTGGATTACATGAACCACCGAGGAAAACGTCGAACTGACATCGATGTTGTTTCGGCAATGTTCGCCGGTTTGACGAACATGTAATCACATCGATACCGTAAACACGTTGAAGAAGAAGAATTTGAAGAAATTGAAAGGCACGTTTGAATTTTAGAGTTTTACACGGGGCTTGTTTTGAAAGATCATCGAAAGTAAATGTACGGTGAAAGAAACGACATTCACTTAAACCATTCATTTTTATCATATAAACACTTGTATTATTTGACTACATTGTGAGAAGTTCATCTAAATGAAGTAATATATATACATAAGGTGGTGAAAATGAACGGCTTCAATGTCACATATATATATATATATATGTACATTGAAGACGCAATCAACAACGTGCGTCATTGAAATGCAGAGAAAATTGATGGAAGAAATAGATATGAAAATTTCTATTTTTTTATTATTCATCATGATTACTGTTTGAATAGTCAAGTCTTCGGTACTCGACACTTAGTTTTTGTTTCGTTCTGTGCGCTTGCAATTGGAAGATGTGCCGAGCAAATAGGTTCGGCCGGAAAGCAATGAATGAATGGATGACGTCGTTTCGAAAGGTAATGAATTATACGTATAGTTAGATGGCGCTTTACGCTGCTTTGTGATCATCATTTGGCGATAGCAACGCAAGTAAAGATAAGATGTTTTTGAATTATGACATAACCTTGTGAAGCAGAGTATGTCAATGTTAGAAGATAGATACAATTACAAAAACAGATTTATTTACAAATTGGATTTCACATTTCTAATGATGTTTGTATTGTAATTTTAGGATGGCTTGTGATACAACGAACGAAAGGGAATCAATATTTCGTGTGTAAAAGGAGAAATAGTCGAGTCGTGTTTATTCGGTAAATTTGCAGAATTTGTATGGCAGCGCACGGTCATGTGACAAGTCGTAAACATGAGAGAAGAAGGAGAAAATGTTGAAGTTTACACAATGGAATTCGTAGTCATCGATGAGTTGATCGAAGCAAAGCAAAGCAAAGAAAAACTACCGTACAAGAAGAAATGATAAGAAGTAACATATAAGACTAGTAGGAAAATAGAAACGTAGAAGAGAAGAGAAACGGTATGCAGAACAAATCGAATTCATGAAATGAAATATTTGCTTTTTTCAAATTAATTATCAATTCACCGGTCAAATTCAAAATCATTGACCACTTCAATTCGACAACTTGTTCTCGCTTCTCCAAAACGATTTTTCACGAGACAATCAATACTACCAGCATCATTTCTCATACACTAAACAAACAATGAAAGTTATTCATGAACTTCTTCTTATCCATTCGTGTAGGACTTACACAAGAAAAACTGAAGACCGCTTCTTCATCATAGTAATCATCTTTCGCTTGCGATGCTGTTGAGATTAACTAAAATAGCAAATTAGTTAAAATTTCGGATATACAAAGAACGAAAACAGAATACTTTTCCATTATGAAACCAATCGACGGTCACTTGTGGACCTTTGACAATGCATGACAACTTAACTGATTCTCCTTCGTTCACAGTAACATCAGACAATAATCGTGTGATGGAAGGTGTTGCATCTGCTGGTGAGGCTTAGAAAAGAAACGAACGTCAGTTGATGAATCATCGAATTTGCCTTACGAACTACTAATAATTGTACGATAACTTCTTCTCTTCCGTGTGTATTCATAATTGTACATTTAACTTGGCCATTGTCTCTAAGTGTAACAGAGTCAATATCGAGATAATGGATATCATGTAATTTGTGTAGTCGATATCTGGATGATTTCACGGCATGTGATGCAAAAGTTTCACCAATACGTGAGCCATTATGAGACCAAAAGATTGTCGGATGTGGATCACCGCCGAAGCAACATTTAAATTTAGCTAAACAAGGCGATCGTGGTGAGCACATATATGCGTTCGATGAATTTACCTGTTTCAGTGGGCAACATTAGTACTGTTTGTGGTTTGATTAAAAAATATGGTTGAACGTATCTATTTTCGTCGGTATTTGACCAAGGAGAAGGTAGATCCGATTTACGTTTCACTGCTTCACTACATGATCGATAGTTTGTTGTTATGATTGAGCCGTTATTCAACGTGTTGCGCTTTCGTACGTGTACTAGACAAAAAAAAAGACATGTTGAGAAAACGAAAATAAGATTCGGTTTTGTTCAGTAGAATGAATTAAAAGGGACACATGCACATGCATTCAAGAGAAAAGGATATCTAAGGATGAGGAGAACTCGTACTTAATCCGTGATCGAGTGAACGTTTAAAATGTTGCAATCGTTTGATGATTCGATCGATAAATGTCTTCAAAACTACTAAATAAGAAATGAAACGTATCAACAGTCATCTCAGGCTGTCTGCTTCGTCTGAAAAATAAAAAGTATCTTTTTTTCCGATGCATTACCTTTTCCTCCGTTCGCAGGTGTTTTGGTATCATTCAATGTTTCTTCATCGATAAATAATGTTGTATGCAAATCATTGACACAAACAGAAACATGATTGACACCTTTGGATAGTGTTGAGTTGTTTTTCTGAGAATTGAGTTCATTGTTCGAAGGTGAGGAATCTAATCGGAAATTATTGTCCGAGTCGCTCATAGGAAGACATTCGTCTGTCTGACGTGTTAAACGTTTCCAGAGCGTTCGAGAAGTTTCCGATGAGTTTACAAACTTTAAAAAGAAATCTTTCGTTTTGAATATGAAAATCACGAGTTCTTACTGATGAATTCATTGTCAATGTTTGTCTATCAGTCATATCTGTATCACTTGATGTATCATGACTACTTATCGTTGAACTACATAATCGATGTTTGGAACGTCTACGTTCACACATAGTTGGTAGAGTACCATTGATTGGTACTCGACCATGAGATGTTTCTTTCGTGTTCTGTTGCTGAGGAATTGATGTCATCGATTCCGAGTCGGTTATTGGATCAAGCGTCGTGCGATATGAAAGAATAAAGCTCGGATGTTTACCGTTAGAATTCGATTGTTGCTCATCACCAGAATCAATCATTGTTCTCAACATTGAGTGATAGACATTATCCATGGTGTGGCGCTTTCGACGATCGCGAATTTTTTCTCGAAAGGCTGCTGATCGAGTAGCCACTTTCGTCGGAGGCGATGACGGTGTTGCTGGTTGCGATGGTGGTTGTGATGGTGGTATTGTGCCGGCAAAGTAACGATCATCGAGAATAGACGAATATCGACGGCGAAGTTGTCGATTATTCTGATGATTTCGCTCACGATAGAGCAAATCGATATTATCCAGTTCAGCGGCAGATAAACGTTCGACGATAATCAAATCCGGTGGATAGCATTTTTGACGATGAACAACAGATGAATTGACGTTCTCGATTCGTTCATACGTTGATTGATCTTCAAGAGGCGGTGGAGGTGGCGGAGAGAAACGTATATGAATAGTATCAGGAAAGATGAAGTCAGATATTCGATTGAAACTTTTCGAAACCGGCCGAGACATACGTGCCGAATGATAAGACGAGCGTTCTCGTCTATCTGATGTAAACCATGCAGATGGTATATTTTCATAAGTATTCATAGTATTTTCCTTCTTCTCTTATATCTAAAAGAAGAGAAAGAGAAAATTTTCTCGTCCTACAGTCAGACAACTTTTGATCAAACTGTAAAATATTCAATGAGTCTATGTAATTTACTCATAGGATACGAAACAGGTCATCATTGAATGATCTGTAGTTAAATAGCATTAGGAGAAAGGGTGAATTGAAGTGAGGAACAGACTATTGAAAAAGAAAAAACGCGAACGACTAAATTAAAAAGTACGTATATGCGAACACATTATGTCTGAATGAATCGTTCGTATGCAAAAAAGAATACAATCGGTGAGAATAGATCAAATTTCATTTGATTACAACTCTACCGGCAATAGTAACAGTCTCATACTTATGCAAGTAGGTGCACATAAGACATGTACAAACAAGCATTTTCATTCATTGTCGTTTATAAACATTTATCAATGCAGGATACAAAATACGGCACTCATGTATATGCATATCTAACAAAAAAAAAAGATCAGGCGTACATAGTCGGAGTATAATGGATATGCCTAGATGATAATCGCAGAAATTCCCGCAAGGGAAACGTGAATAAATGAGAAGTATCTCACGGTGTGTTTCTTCCTTAGTCGATGAAAAAAACATATCGACATTACATGCGTGGCAATCGAGAGAAGAAAAATAACGCTGTTGTAAATCAAGGTTAAGCGTTATTTAGATATTCGTGAATAAATGTTGAAATAAATGATACGATGGCATCTCCTCTGAAAATCTCGATTAGTGAGTTATTCTCGAGGAGGAAATGTCACGAACTGTACGCAATTTGTAACAAAAACAAAAAAAGGATGACTTTCTCTTGCTTCATCGAAACGAAATAGAACGTGCTGAAGAAGAGTCGAATGGCCTTCGCATATAATAAATTCTATCCAAGTATGTGTAGTACGATATGCCGAGAAAAATAATCGGATTTCGGCTTCTTCTTTTTACACATACCTTCGAATATTTTGACGTTGTGGCGGATGAATCGTTAGTTATTTGTCAAAAAGTGAAGACGGACAACAAGTCACATGTGAACTGACTCGAACTAGTATCTATGTCTATGTATGTCAATTTCATCTACATATTATCAATGTCAATGGGATGAAACTTTACTGTGTCGATTGAAACAAGGTCGATCAAAGGGAGAGAGAGAGAAAGAGAGAGATGAACGATACAATTAAATTTGTCGACTTTGATTTACTTCGTAGGCCACACAAGATCAAACAGTATTCAATTGATGAGTGTTTATGGTACATTAGGCGATGTTATGTTTCATGGCAGTTTAGAACACGAAATGTGTCACGAGTGAATCTCGTCTTTGCGTTCAAATTAACTTTAACATAGAAAAGAAAAACGAATGATTATCATACATACTTGTGATTAGTCTATTGAACTTCGCATCGATATGGTTTCGGAAGACATTCCTTCGTATCAGTGACTATGTAAGTTTTCATGAGTTAAATGTCAATAGAGGACGTTTCGTTTCTTTCGAAAAGACAGTTAGAAATATAATTATCGACTCTTTTCATTCTCGTCGCAAGTGGTAGACGAGCTTTGTGCTTCGGGAGATCATTTTCGCAAGTAAACAGATGGTCTCTTTTGTATTGATAGAATCGTCGAGCTTTTCTCTGAATAAGAAATGAAAGCAAAACCAAGAAAAAAAACATACAAAACTACGATTAGATATGTGAGGTTTTTGGAAATAACAAGAAAAAGTTTATTGAATATAGGAAGGAAATAAATCACGTTGATAATAAAACCAAGGATAGTCATCAGATGATCTTCCTTTATTCAATGGCTTTCTTCGTACACCAACCGCTTCCAAAGAAGTCTTTTCTTGATCGACGATTCCGTCATTTCGATGACTCTTTTCCAACTGAATTGACGAACCTCTCAAAGAACCGTCCTGCTCATGTTTTAATTGAACTTGTTGAATACTATAATACGTGTCATCGTTTGTTTGATCGATCGATAATGTCGAAGATGAAGATGACGATTTCCGTTGATCGACAGATTTCAAGACACAATCATCATCTTGATTAGAATAAGCACTGTCTGCTGATGAAGATGTACTATCACACCGATGATTAGTCGGAGGTAAATCAGGTGTTGAGGAATCGATCAGCTAAGAAATCAAATCGAGCATCTCGTTCAGATAAATTCAACAATGTGTTGTTACCTCATTCGATGCTGTGTAAATAAATTCATCGTTTTGCCAAGTTGCACTTGTACTGCGAGTCATATCCCCGAAAAGTGATTCGACTCGAAGTTTTTCATCGATAGAGAACGTTGGTAATTTAACTCGAAAGTGAAATTTTCCTGCATCGTCCATGTATTTTGCAAATGTTTCAATACGCTTTTTAATCGTTCCGATTGATTGTGTTGGATCGATTGGAGGCGAGTTCACTGTGGGCGATGAAAGCAACGAACCAAGATTGCCTTTTTTCATTCGCATTAATTCGTTTTTATCAACTTTGATATGTTGCATTTCTTTTTCAACAAATAAATCATATTCTTTACTTAAGACTTCATACTCGTCCTGAATCGTTTGAATAATCAATGCATGAGCTTTGTTAATCGTGTTCATCGTGTCGATACGCCATTGATGGCATTGTTCAATTGTTTCATTTTTTTGTCGTTCAAGATCGGTTTTTGTATGAAGAATCTTTGTCAGAAGACAATCGCTCAATTCATGTAAATACTCTAATTCAGCAGTGACCTTTTTGTAATGTTTATTGCAACACCGAATGCAAAGACGTTGATTACAATGACAACATTGAAACAAGCCGTCGTGCTTCTGACAATCATCACATTTTAATGGCGTTGTCATGATATCAAGGGATGATTGGTGATGAATTGAATTCATGTTGATCGATGGCTGTGGCGGCGAGGAAGTTTTCTTCATTTCGGGTAGATATTGTTGACGCTAGAATTGACATCGATGGAATGTTCAGAACTATGCGAAATCGGAAAATTACATACCAATCGTCGTATGGATGGCGAGTATTTACCTCCGTCATTAGTGAGAAATGTTGTATCGAATTTCGTTAAACCACGTCTGGACATGATTCGATCAAAGAACTTGCCCTTCTCCGGCATTGATACATACACATATACACGCACACGTCTAATCTTAACCGAGCTAATGTTGCAAGTCGAAAGACATCAACTAATCAAAAGAGCGAAGACGAGAGAGATATGTCAGCAGGATGTGTTAATACGAGAAAACAATCAGCATAAGAGCACGTATAAATATGTGGGTGGCGTAAAAACAACAACACATATATACAATCAGCAATGATATCAATCAGTATTTATATACATTTAACTTAACGAAAGGTTGAATTGTCTATCTAATCCATTGTATCGTTGTAATTATCTTCGAAGTAGAAAAAGATATTCGTCGATAATATCTTGTCAAGGATAGTAGTGAAAGGTTTTTCTCTTTGTCATTCGAAGTCAGATAAAGTATTTGTTTACGTGTCTAAATGCCATTCTGACATGATTACTATTCGTCTTCATTTTCTTGCTGTCTCAATTAACTCGAAGGAACTATTTTAAGTAACTCGAACAAGTCCGGTAGATAAAAACAATATTTATTTAATATGCGTATATTACAGATAAAGATTCAACAACAATAGTAGAGTTTGATGGTTGTTTGTGGTTTTTCGAATGCAGATATACGTATGTATTGACAATGGCATCGATTTGACATGCGGTTATTCCGCTTCTCTACTCAGCAAATATTTGATCGACTCACTTGCCATATGTTTAGAATTATTCACCGATGTGTATAACGAAAAGCAAAGATGTCGAACCGATGCATATTATTTGTCGTAATCCTATCATGAAGTTTTCATCGATATTCGCCAGGAAACGACGCCATTGTCGTCGCATTGATTAGCGTGCTACTTACAGGTCCTTTCAACAAGATAATCCGTTTGATGCTCGATTTCAGAAACGAATGTTCTTAGACTTGTACGCAAAGAAAATGTCATCAACATGAAAAAAGCCATTCTTCCTTGATTTGAGATCAAATGTGGTGATCCCTTGAAGAACATCCACAGTAAAACTGACCTTTATTTGACTATCTAAATAACGATACAGGTGATGTCATTTGAGGGTGTCATGCTACTATTGGCTGAATGTATACTGTTATATTTGATTTCTTTTCTCTTGCTGATATACTTTCCGTGCTTTTCTTTTTATTGACAAAGTAAGTATATATAATGCTTTGTCAAAACAACGAAATAAACCATACTTTTTACATAGAGAATGTCGAATAAAGGTCTCGTCGTGATCACTGGTGCAAGTTCTGGTATCGGTGAAGCAGCAGCTCGATCGTTTTCTCAAGCCGGCCATCCGTTACTACTACTCGCTCGCCGTCTTGAACGTCTAGAAGCATTGAAACTACCCAACACAATCTGCGAAAAGGTGGATGTTACCGACCGTGATCAAATTAAATCAGCTGTTGAGAAAGCCGAAAAACAATACGGTCCAGTCGATTGTTTGGTCAATAATGCAGGTGTGATGTTATTAGGTCAATGCGATACCCAAGATCCGAAAGAATGGGAGCAAATGGTACAAGTTAACATCATGGGTGTTCTCAATGGTATTCATGTTGTTCTTGCTGGAATGAAAACACGTCGTCATGGAACAATAATCAACGTTAGTTCGGTTGCTGGACGAAAGACGTTTCCTAATCATGCTGTTTATTGTGGCACGAAATTCAGTGTGCACGCATTCACCGAACAGATCCGAGAGGAAGCAGCGTCGTATGATGTTCGTTTTATCAACATTGCACCCGGTGTTGTTGAAACCGAACTCTTATCGCATACGACATCGACAAAGATTGTAGACGATTATAAACAATGGAAAAAAGAAATGAGTCAACCGTTGGAAAGTGAAGATGTAGCGAATTCGATTATGTTTGCATATCAACAGCCACAACGTGTTTGTATTCGGGAAATCGTTCTTTGTCCAACAAGACAAGATAAATAGATGAATGACAATGTTCATTAGTTTTCTTTTTATGAATAACATCATTGCGATTATCGGCTTTGTTGCGCTGTTCTTTATGAAAAAATAGACTACAAACATACATTCTCATAACTGAATACAAGGTGTGTCAAGCTAGAAATACAATGCTGTTATAATACTATTTGTACAAATGAACGATGGAACTGTTCATCTTGAGCAATCTGACTGAAAGACGAAAACGATTCAGAATGACGGTTTTCGCTCCTCTTGTTCTTCAACATCGAGTAAAAGAGTCGTACAAGTTGTTGTATGATGTCGAATGATCACATTGGAGTCCATTCTTTCTTGACTTTTTCTCAACATCGTATGATTGAGAAAACTTTCCACGGTCGATAAATGTAAAGGCATTATATAATGTTTTCGTAGTTGGATAAATTGCATATTTCGACTCAATGTTATTGCTAACCACCAGCGAAAGTTGATTCGCTGATGATTTGTATAGAAATAAGCATCGCGTTTGGATGCTCGTAAATACTGATGACGTTGTTCGATTTGTTCGTTAACAATCGAACAGAAACAAACGAGAACTGGATGGGTGTGAAGACATTCCATATGGATGAATGAGACGTAGGAAATATAGCCACTGTCCATTTTCTCCAATGCTCGGCCGAGAATGCAATAATCCAAACGAGGAAGAAAGAGAAATGTTGCTAACCAGCCTTTAATTAAACGAATTGTGCAAGAAATCATGCCGAGAAAACAGTCGAAGAAGAAGTTGAAATAAGTAAACAGGAAGAATATTCGCAGATTTTTCAATACTATTCCATTTCCATGTCTAGAGGGAAAAAATTGAAACTCGCAATTATAATTTCGAGAACTTGATTTTTCTCTGTACCTTTGCAAAAACAAGGTTTTCGATAGAAACCATTGAACGATAAATACCATGAGATAAATAACTAACAAAGGTATTAATACTTTTGCTATTTCTTCAACGAGAAATAAATGTTTACACATAACACGTAGAATCACCAACGTAAAGAACAATAGATTTCCAATAATAACATATCCAAATGTTAAATAAGCGATACAATAGCCCGGATAATGAATGTTTTTCGACATAAGTCTCATATTCTTGAATGCTGATCGCGAAGGAATATCCACAAATATTCCTTGATAGGCGTGCAGCATATGTCGTTGATAATGTTTCATTCCGAGGCATAGTTGACCGAAGTATATGAGGGATGTTAAACAACAAGCAAACAGCATTTCGTATTTCAGATTGGATAGTTTGGGTTCGGGAAGATCGAGTTCATCGTAGAGGATGTACAATGGCATCAATGTAAAACTGTAGATCTTTTCAATGAGATTAAAACCGTTTTCTAGGATGTTGAAAGTCAAGTAATAGATTAGCATGAAGGCAATCATGTAGAGATTGAGGATTTGCTTGGAATATTGAAAGTGTTTCTTCGGACAGTAGAATTTATGGAGGAGAGATTTGATCCAGGAGGGTTGGCAGTGCTTGTAGGGAGTTTGAAAGAGATGTCGAACATAACGAAATTCAACTGCTTGATTTTCTTCCGAGGAAAATGTCGGTTCGTGATAAATGTGTTTTGACGACTTCTTCCTCGAATTTGTTTCATTGTTACAACAAGAAACGAATTCGTATAGATTTTCAATTAGTAGATAAGTCAATCGACAACAAATATACGTTAAACATAAATAGTATGGAGCGTATTTAATTACACCGACGATAGAAGAGTCAAGCCCAAATTGTTCGAATGTCGAAAGAGAATCGTTTGAATGGAGGGACGTCGAAAGATTTAAGTTAATGGACGACCAATTTAACGAATGTGGAGGCATTGGGGTGGATAATGGCTAAAACACAGAGATAGGACCGAAAATACGAAAGAAATAGTTTCTTACATGAAATGCTGCCACGACTGTTGTTGTTGTTGTTATTGATGTTGATGTTTTTGTTCCGTGGAACGAGAAACGTTCACGGAATCTTTGCATTCGTCTTCGAAATCCGCCAGATCGAGCATCTTCATATTCCGGTAAATACATCGATGGTGTTGTGCTACTCATCAATAGATTCTGCTCGTATTTTGCTGTCAGTTCGCTCTTGAACTGTTCGAATTTCTGCCATGTTCGTATCAATGGGCTCATATTCATGCAGAATGCTTGTTCAAAGATTCGTAAACCTAAATCTAACCACATATGCAGCGCACATAGAGCATAGTAAAGAGTATTTCCATTAGTCATTTCAATAACTGAATAAACAGGATAATACCGTAGACCGACAATGATAATCAAACCGAATTGTCGGACGAGATCAAACAATGGACCGTTGATTGTTAAGAGTTTCATTTGTGCCGTTTTGAGAAATACTTCTTCGATTATTTCCAAGATTTCATGGCTGACAATACCACAGAGAACCACGGTATCGAAACGATTTAATTTCGAAAATGGATTGAACGGCAATGGAACGTAAACAGACCATTTACCTTTCGTCGACTGTTTTCGTGTTTGATTAACTATAATGAACAAAATGATCACTGAAGCAAGTGGCAGTGTTAACAAGTTATGATAATAATTATTGTCATATAAAATACAGAATTGAAACAATTCAGTCGAATGAATGAGCGTTTCTTGAACGTAATCTTTCGCATTGATGATAATTACAACGATAATGATTGTTAATGTTAATGGAAAGAGAATGAGAAGCAATTTTTTTGGTCGAATAAAAAGTTTGCGAACGGTTAAAGAACATGACGAACGATATGTGGAATCATTTGACGTCGACCATCGATGTTTATCATCGAACTTCGATGAGCTTCTCATAGAATTTTGAGCACTACTTCAAATACCAGCATGATCACATAATGACAATTGAACAAGAAGAGAAACTTACGCTGGACATTGTTGACGAAGAGTTTTTCGAAAGAACCACGATTCTTCCGAACGATCAGTATTGATTACATATGAAACAATAAAAGCAACGAAAACGATCACAATACCAATGATGATTTGTACACCTTGGCTACTCCCTAGAACCGATCGAAACCATGCTTTTTAATACCTTTTTACTGCAAGCTTACACTTTTCGCATTGATCTCCTGTATAAAGAAATCGACACTGACATTTGTACGAGTTCGTCCATGGTAAATTAATACATTTGCCATATTTACCACAACTACTGGTATTATTGTAACATCGATCAATGACTAAGAGACAACGAGTAGGATCACTGTGCATTGTCGATTGAACTTACCTTGTTTGCAAACATAAGGTCGTAAAGCTTGTTCAACACACGGTGCTGGAGTAATCACACTCGTATTTCTCGCTAGCCAGAGAATACCACAATCGTAAGCAAGAATATCTCGATTATTATCCACCCAGAATCTATACACTGGCGTTTCTTTCAATGGTATGTCGTTGGACCAAAACCAAGTATCTAAACTCGAACATTTATCATGCATCACAATCGAATGAACCTTACTATTCATTTTCCGTAGGCCAACATACACAGAGACACTGTCCGATCCTGATTTTAATCCAATCAGTTCGCGCTCGATGAATTCATACTCATCGATCGATTCAATCGCTAGTAAACGAGCATCTCTTGTCGAAGGTAATGTTAAACAATTGTTATAAGCTCGTTCCCAGGACGATGCAGGCTCTGCCTTCATATATGTATAACATGAACCAGCATAATATTTCGATGGCGAGATACATTCTGAACAGATTGAAACGAACAAAACGATACTTGGGAATATTTCGTAAATAGATAACATACGTATGCCGTGTTTTACTTTTTCTTTTGTTTCTTTAATTAATTGAAATGCTTCTTGGCCGCGATTTGTAACTACAAAAGAAAGAGTTGATGTTTGAGGAAAAAATCTATTCAATATTTACTTGATGATGTTTGAACATCGTTGACAAGAAGAAAACAAGCAAGGATCGGAAGTAAAATTCGTCGAATCATTGCAAATTCATCATAACTCTGTTTAACATCTACAAGGACAAACAAAATCGATACAGAAACGCCGAGACAATGAACGAAATTCGATCACGGACAATAACATCTTTATCATTTGGAATAAGTCACGTTTTGAATCATATCTTTTATTGTTTCTATTATTGCCGGATTGTACGGGCATAAACATGAATGAAATCTCACACCTACTTGTAAATATGGAAAGAGAGAGAGAGAAAAAAATTCAAATCGATTGATGTCAGACGCCTGCTTAGATATTCGTTACTCATACCTATAATTTGTCGATGTCTGTACTTACAACTATTAGCCACAATCATCGATCTTATCGACGTGACTTTTCAACTATAACTGTATTTGTCTTGTACAATTTTGAAGAAAAAAAAATGATAAGAATGGCCGAATGGACGATCGAAACTTATGCAACTGATTCTTTTGAATTCAAAACGTTCAATCTCTTTTTCTGTTGATAATGTTTGTTCAAAGAAGGACATATTCGTATTCAATGAAGTCAAGAAAAAGAATGAACAAAAAGTAAACGATTACATCANGGCGCACATCTCAACATGTTATATGAATTGAACTTGAAGGTTAAAGAAAATCTCTCGTATGTTAATGTAAAGTCTCAAAAAAAAAAAAGAGTACCTGAATGAACGTTATTATACAATATCAAGAGATGGATATGTGTATATATATATATATATATATATATGTATCTACACCTCAAGAATAACCTTCAAACGGCTCGAGTTGCACATCAGTGAGATGATGGGACAAGAAGTGTTGTGAAACAGAGATAATGGGATATGAACGAATCCGACACATCAAGGTGAAAGAGAATCTTATCAGGTTATTATTTGTTTTTTTTTCGTCGGCACAAAAAACGGTTAATGATAATACAATGAAGTTTTTCCTTCCTTCCTTTCTTACTCTCATCTTTATACGTACAAGAAAAAAAGAGAGAGCGAAGAACAAATCAAACTTGACGCTTGTTGAGATATCGAAGGAATGTATGAATACATAAGCAAACAAGAAGATACGTTTCTTATTCGTTTATGATCAACGAAAAGTCATACAACGTGTGATTAAACACTTTAATTCTCACGGTTATAAACTACAAAGAAGTCATTTATGAAAATAATAGATTGTCCAGTATATGTAAAAGTCAATTTAACTCATCGATTCAATGAAAAGTCTTTCCTATCAGACTGTTTGTAATAACATACTTCAACCTATGATTATTTTTCTGATAAGCAATCTTCGTATTCAAGGGCATATATCCTTACCGTTTTTAGTTGAAGAGGAAAAATAGATTCGCCGCAAATGAAATTACAGATAACAATACAATACTGTTCAATGAGAAATTCTATTCGAAAGTCGAAGGGAAAAGTCGTTAGATGCGCCATTGTAACGTTGAGTCAGCAGACAACGATGAGCGAATACTCTCCATTTTAGCCAGTTCATTCGATCGTCGATAGTATTCATCAGGTCTTAATCGCATCACCGGCACTCGAATGAATTCTACTTCGACAGTTGTATGCGTATTTTGATGTTCAATGTAACGATTAGTCGGATCATTGTGATAAGTATGGTGTTTCTTCGGAGATTTTCTTACGAGTGAATCTTCGTTTTCATTATTGACTGTTTGAAAGACGAACAATTTCTAGAGAAAATCCTTTTTTTTTGTAATCAAAACTCACGTGATCTCATTTGACCATCTGAACGACGATGAACAAGCGACTAGTTAAAAAATACAAGCGGACAGATAAACAATCTTGAATGTATCGCCTTTCTATTTACTTGATGTGACGGTGGCTTGTGATCTACTGGGACATACCTATCATAGAAAACAGGACGATGATTGTACGAATACGATCGAGTGGAGAGAGAATCTTCGATTGATAGTGGTGATGTCGTACGCTGTAAACCTTGATCATCTTCTGGTACAGTTAAATTATGTGTCGATAAATCTCGAACTTCTGGTTGTGGTGACATGTCACGCACTCGAATCTCGACAGATTCACTCACGGGTAGGCGAAGTTGAACATCTTGTTTATCAATATTTACATCGTTTTTCTTCAGTTCAGTCGACGTATCTAATACGTGATCATTTTGTTCGACTTGTTTATTCTCAACAAGAAGAAAACATAAAAGAGAAGTAGTGAAGTTTTTCCTACTTACTGTATTTACATATGGATAGACGTTGTCGCCGGCTTCGATAATTACCGAGTTCTTGTCAAAACGAGCTAGCGGAGGTGATAAGATACCTCGCTGGGCTAATTTTCGTAAATTTTTATCGCGTTTCTCAATGAATTTCTCAACGTAGTCAAGCAACGGCATATTCTTCTTCGTTTTTATTCGTTCATGAGTCGACATGGTGTTGTTCGAGTACTTTAATTGATATGCCTTTAACGTATAGAAATAAATACGCAATAATAGCTTTACTGAATGTGCAATGAAGTGTGAAGTTAGTCGACACTATTTGTCATACCGTCAGAAGAAGCGAAAACAAATTATTGCTTGCTTCATCGGCTAGTTTCACTTTTTTTTTATTTGTAAAAAGAAAACAAGAGCGAAAGAATGAAGCAAAAACCGGATACTATTTATTAAACATTCGATAGTATAGTTTCTGTTCAGTTTTCTTTTGTTGATCAATGGCGCGATCAAGTCGTTGAGCTTCATCAATGATTTCAGCATTGTACGGTTCGATTTGAAATGCTGTATTTAGATATGCACGTGCTTGATCGAATTGTTGCAATGAACGATGAGCGATGCTGATGCGAAATAGAGCTTTAGTATTCTTCGGATCTGCCTGCAATGCCTCATTGCAATTCTTAATTGTTCGTTCAAAATTTCGTAGTTTTAAATAGCATTGAGCTATGAAAACAGAATGAAAGTTGAGAATGAAGGTTTGAGCGCGACGTTTACCTGAATTAAGATAAAGCTTGAGAAGTAGTTCTTTGAGTTGATTTGTTTGTTGTTCATTGGATGGATTGGTTTTCAATAAAAACTGTTTGCCCTTTGCGTAGTAACGAATTGCACGTTCGAGATTGTGTTTGGCGTATTCATCCTAAACAATTTATCGAATGGTTGAATACTCTAAGGTCTTTCTTACATTGCCCATATCGCGTAAAGCTTGTGCAATACGCATCCGTTCATCGAAATCTTCCGTGACTTCGTCATCGCTGGTTTTCAATTGATTTAACTTGTCTGCTAGTGTACAATCAATCCATGACGTCAATTCTATGATAAATAACGACCATGCTTTCGGAGGAATACGTGGTGGACAGCCTAGATTCATCGAGAAAGAACTTATATGGACTAGGGCAGCGAACTGATATGATACTAACCATGTTCGCCATAGAGTAAATCACTACTGATAATAAACTTTGCCCGTTCGCGTCGTCGCATGGTACGAACGGCAAGGTCTAAACCAGGTAGAACATTGAATTTTCCTAATTGAAATTCACATGGACGACGTCGAATATACTAAAAAGACCAACAATAGATTCATTTACATAGAATCAATTCAACTTACGGTACTATCGTACGGTTCGTCGTTCAACTCAAAATATGCATTGTAATGTATGCGAACTGTTGACCCGATCGGTGGTGTTTCACCGACACCAGCATAGATGATCTGTTTCCAAATACCTCCAACTGCCTCACTACTAGGTATGCCATCTAACGGTGTGCCATCGTGGCCATTGGTTTTAATCAAATGTAGCATACCGCCGAGCTAAATTTTTTGAGAAAAAGATCCAATTTGTGAAGAAGGATAGAGATCGAACTTGATCGTCAAAATCTTGAGTGTTATCGATCAATCTATGACTAAACAGATCTCTCGGTGGTATAGTTGATTTTAATTCATCGTTAATATGACGATCAGTATCGCATTGATGGTTTTCTTTAACGTCGTCCATTGCCATCTGAGTTGCAGCTCGAGCTAATTCAGCTGGATCGAGTTCGGTTTGATCTAATTCTAGTATTTGACCTTTACTCGAACACAAGGTCTGCATGTCAATAGGATGACGGAGTTTGACGTGACCATATTCTTCTTCCCCATTGTTTTGCCGTTCAGCTTTTACACGAGCTGCGGCTTCTTCCGTCCATTCACCGTATTCATCCAAATCCGCATCCTATGAACAATGGAAAAGAAAATGATTAATTCGTTTGAAATATTTGAACACTAACGTCATCGAGAAGTTCATTTAACCTTTGTTCACTTAATTTCGACATCATTCGAAATAGATATCGATCGATCTATTTCTATTTGAATGAATTCGTTGAGCCCTAACACGAACGCTACTTTCAATGTGAATCATTTTCGATAACGATGTCGCTAGTCTTTGATAGAACTTCTCTCATGAAAGTGATCCTGTTAGAACTGGCTCACATTATGTACGATTCGAATTTCAGATAGAACAATCTATTTCAAGCGTGGTTTGAAACATTTCTCGCTCGTTTTTGTTGCTATGGAAAAGATGTAAAAGATCGAACATGGTGTCACATAATGTACAAAAACCGAAAACGTGTAGCTAACTTACGTGTGGAAATTCATGCAGCTTAACAGATGAGACAGCGTGCAAAAATGATCTGTTCTCATGCATTGTTTCTCTTTTTTATTTATATACATGACTTAAAAACCTTTCATTCTTGATAATAGATTAACAATTGAAGTACTTTTCTTGCATAAAAGTTTAGTAGCTGAATGGAATGTAATCAATGTTGATTGTGGTATCTTCTTCTCAACTAACTGTAACATTGTTGATCTAAGATCGGGCATTATTCTTTACATTGATTGATTTATTTGACCTGCTGACAGATCTCTTGAGTAGGACAAAGTTAATGTTTCTAACGACTGAAGAGAGGCGTACTAGAAACGACAAATTTAGTATTTCGTAGATGAAACTGATGTCCTTGATGGTTGTTTTAGTGAATGGCGCATGAAATTTTTGATCTTCAGAAAAACAAACAATTTACTTCTAATGCTTCTCTCAAACTTTAATGTACATTTTAAGGTTTCTTTTGATGTTAGATTAATAACCGTTTTATAGACGTTTTGCTTATTAACCGCCCTTAGAATCATGGAGGTGGGTGAATCGAGCTACGCTCTGCTAACAGTAAGATATTTGGGTGGTCTTCTTCATCGACTCATATACTTGTGTAACGTAGAGCCCTTATGACAGTTTTATGCAAAAACATCTTCAACACTATGGCTATTTTACCGGTGAGTTACGATTCTGTTTGACGAGAAGTTCTAGACATGATTTGACTTTTCCAGGTCGACATGAGGTAGTGAAAAAGTATGGTTTTGTTCCTTCAAAGCCGCAATTGATATCATCATCCAGTGATTCAAACTCGAGTTCTGATGATGAAGATCAAGGTAATGATTTCGATTAGTTCATCATAAGCGTAGAATATTTCTCTTCTCATCAGCACAAGCTGAACGTCGTTCACCTCCTGAACACGGTGGTAGGTTTCGAATATATGCACATTGAGTTTGCAGTTTTGTTCGCAATATATACATAATATTCACTAGTATATGTTTTGAGCAATCGTATCACAAATAACTTCTCACAATAACAGCTAATTGTCTCTATCCATTTAGAATATAAAGGGAGATCACTTCTTGCCGACCAAAGAGCAGTAAGTTTGTTCGTATGTATTCTTATTCTGACATTCATTATGTCGATATAGTCACTTCGACAAAATCGACTTCGTTGTGGTTTGTATCTACGTAGTCAAAATGATGATAGTTCATTTGAACCACGATGGCCGATCGAAATTGAAGTACTATCTGATTCACGTGTTAGACATATCAACGTCGTTCCAAAACAACCCGAACCTTTCTATAAATCAAGTGCGTGATAGAGGTTACATCCGAATCAGTTTCTATACGTTAGTAATAACTTTAGCTGGTCGTGATCATATGCCGAGTGTTCGTAGTATTGATGAGAAATTTGGCCGCGTAGTGTTTAACTACAATCCTGAAACTTGTGGTTACGTAAGTTTTCCATGCAAAAAACTACATTGGCAATGTTTATGCTAATCAATAGTTTGTTCGATCTCGAATTGGTGGCAATCGTGATGGTTGTCGACAAGCCGCCGTAACGCTTCGTGGCCCTGAAGATACAACTGTTCTTTTCGAATCACGTTTTGAAAGTGGAAATCTTATGAAAGCTGTTCAAGTGTATGAAAGATTGGTTCTCATTCCTTTGTAATGCTTGCTTTCTAGTGGAGAGTTTGAATATGAACTCTATCTTCGATACGATCTCTACACGAAACGTAATACGCAATGGTTTTATTTTCGCTTGCAAAATGTCCAATCAAACAAGAGATATCGTTTTACTATTGTCAATTTCTTCAAAGTATTGTTCATAGACTGAATCAGAATATGGTCTGATCGGATTTCGTTTTAGACAACAAGTCTTTACAACAATGGAATGCGACCGTTGATGTACAGTGTTCATGATGCAGAACATAAAAAGATTGGATGGAGACGTTGGGGTGAAGAGATCGTTTACTATAGAAATAATTTAACGTATGAAAAGCTTTGATGTTACAAAAAACCAAGCATTGCACTGGTTTGTTTTTAGAGCACCAGAGAACTCCACGGTGTTTATGTATTCATTGACTTGGACGTGTAAATTTCCAAATGACAGTGACACGTACTATTTCGCACACTGTTACCCGTATACTTACTCCGATTTACAAGTAATTCTGCACAGATATTCGGAATTGGCGGTCAGAAACATTCTTTTAATTTCATAGGATTATTTAAATAGTATTCAAAATGATCGAATTAAAGGCGAATATTGTAAACAGAAAGTTCTTTGTCGATCGTTGGCCGGTAATTTTGTATATATGTTAACAATAACAAGTCCAGCAGCATCAACTAAAATACCTGAACAACAAATAAAGAAAGGAGTCGTTGTTACAGCACGTGTTCATCCCGGTGAAACCAATGCATCATGGATGATGAAAGGACTATTAGATTTCCTGCTGAGTGATTCACCTGATGCTAAGGTATGAAGTTGAAGTCTTGTATTAAGCCGAAATTCGATACAAACGGTCTCGTTTTAGCTTCTTCGAGATAATTTTGTTTTCAAAATCGTTCCAATGTTAAATCCCGACGGCGTTATTGTTGGGAATTACCGTTGTTCGTTATCAGGGCGAGATTTGAATCGAAATTACAAGACAATCTTAAAAGATGCTTATCCGTCGATCTGGCATACGAGAGAGATGATCAAAAGGTAAAGTCTCTCACTTGAACTATAAACATTGAAAGTTGATCTATAGATTTATGACTGAAATTGAACTGGTCGTGTATTGTGATTTCCATGGTCATTCACGACGGAATAATGTATTTATTTATGGATGTGAAAACAAACGTGAACCAAAAGAGCGATTCAAAGAGAGAATTTTCCCATCAATATTTTCGAAAAATGATCCGTGCAAGGTTGACTTCTATCGAGTTATTTTTCACTATTTTTGATAAACACGTTTTATTTAAGTTTTCCTATTCATCATGCCGATTCAAAGTGCAAAAGCAAAAGGAAGGAACAGGACGAATCGTTATGTGGTCCATGGGTATTAAAAATAGTTTTACGTTAGAGGTATGAAGTGTGTTTCCGAAGATACTCCGAAGACACTTCCATCTGATTTTAGTCAACATTTTGTGGATCTACACTAAATGAACAAGCTGGCCATCAATTCAATACGATAGATCTTGAATCAATCGGGTATCATTTTCTTGATTCTATACTCGACTATAGTGATCCAGATCCAACCAAAGTGAATATGTTTCCATGGAAGTGTAGACCGTACAATTCGATTTTTGTATTGTAGCGTAATCGGCTATTGACAGAAGCTCGAGATAACCTACGACAGGCGATTCGACTGAAACTTATTTCACGTGGTATCAATCCATCAACAATATCAGACGCAGATCTCGATCAATATTCATCCGAAGATGATTCAAGGTAAAGGAGAATAGTAGAATAGAATTATGAGCCATTGATTTCATTTTAGTGACGATGCGGGATCGGATTCTTCGGCTGATGATGGTCTACCGAAACATTTAGAAGCTATGGCTGCTGTAGCTAAAGTAAGTCCTTTTGAAAGTTGTATACAATCACGTCGTGAATTCCAAAGGCTCGAGTAAAGAAAACACGCAAGAATAGAGAAGTCATGAAACCATCGAAAGAACCAATGATCAAAGAAGAGCCGAATAAAGAAAATGCTAACAAAGTAAGTATATTCGCACAGCATACAATAAAGAGTAACTTAAACCGAATGTGCATCTCTAGGTCAAACCTATTGGTTTAACCATGACTACATCTCGTAAAGTTAGCCTTCCGATTATTGTAAGTTTTTTTTCCCATTCAAATGAAAGTTTCATTGAGCTTTATCCGATGGATAATTTAGAATCACGAGCCAACTAAACAAACAGTGTCACAACCACCAGCACAACTATTGACAACACGTCGAGGAGGTGAAGAAGATGCAGGTAATCGAGGAAGTCGGTGGCCAGCGATTACGAGAATTAACAACAAAACATATAAAACAACACGAGCTGATGAAAATGCACAACGATCACGCGTGATTATTAGATGAGAAATACTTGTTCGAATTATGTCGCTCATTTTTCACTTCTAGAATATTTTCAGCACGATCTATGGAAGAGGTAACCTGGCTGATATGCAAAATAATCTGCTCTTTGTTTGTATGGACTAATACCAATATACTAAACGTATTTCCTTCAGTCTACTTCTAAACTAACGTTTCATTCGGGGATGAGTCAACTACTAGAGCTTATCTTACCGATTAAAGTAGCAAAAAAGTCCAGCATTAAATCATACCGTGTTATTGTCCTTTTCACTGATTCGATAATACTGATGGTTTCTTTGCTGTTATTTTCAGCTATGATGTCCATGCAAAATCTTTCAGGTGTGTAAACTAACTACGATCGATCTTATCGATTCAGTCGAAAGTTATGCTCTGTTATTTGATATTATAGATGCAGATCCTGATGCAGCTGGGAATCTAACAAATGCGACTACTGCAAGTTATCCTACTATGGCCGAACACTCTCGATCGGATGAAGTTGGTTGTTGATATGTTTGGTAATCATCTACTATGCATATGTTTCTTCCAATAGGATACTTCTCTTCGAGTGACGAAAGATACTCAGGGTGGATTTATTATTAGTCGAATGCCAGCAGCACATTGTAGCGATGATGGACGATCGCAGATGAGTAACTTTATCACAAATCGAATTTCGGGTCATTGTAAGTCTTCAGTCGAGAGAAAGATCCGTACGAAAATAAAATCTGTAATTTTTACTTCAAGTGACTGAACGCTTAATCGGACCATCTCGACCGCATAAAAAGATGAGATCGCCCATGATAAATATCACGCAAAGTCAAACTGTACTTGATATTCAAGCAATTCAACCGCCAATACAAACAGGAGTAACTAATTTCATATATTTTGACTGAATATCATTCTGACGTTTTCGTCGACAGAATCCTAGACGTGTTTTCGAACAGCAACAACATCAGCGTCAACGTGTTCTGACCGTATTTGGCAAACAAGATTCGGCTGATTCTGTGGATCGACTAAATAGCTTTTCAAAGAATTCGATCCCGTTGCCAGTTTATGACAGAAAAGTAGACGAAATATTATCCAACCGAGACGATTCATCGGCTACACTATCAAGATCCGCACCGAAACCAGCAGATACAGAGCCAATCAACATAGTTTTCAGTTATGAGCATTCACCACAAAACAGACCACAAGGAATCGGAAAACCTCCCAAGAAAACAAAGGCCTAACGAACGCGCTCGAATAAAATTGGTACCAATAGTCATTCATTTTATCCTGTTATTGTAACATATTCATAATGAATCTCGCATTCTATCTTTTGATGAAATAAAAATCATAACCGGTTGAAGACAATTGCATTGTGCGTTCGAAATACAAATACGGCTTTGTTTTTACAAAAGGTAGATGTTCTTGAGTGACATCTATATTGTATCATAGTGTCGTTGAGCAATTGCTAAGATTGATGGCTGATGATAATCGAGAAGAAAAATAAGATTGAGCATGAAAGACTCAGTTCTTACGAGAGAGGAAAGAAAACTAGAGTTAACTTGAATCTCTACAAATTGTTTATATATTCGAAGGAGAAAATCACCTGACCTTCATCGTTCTTTGCGCTTTTATGAATCATTAAATACCTTCCATTCATTAATTAAGTGAAAACGAAGAGCTGCTAGTTTCGAAATCTAATATCATAAGCATGCGATTATCTCTCTCGTGTTTCATTTCCTTCCATTACTTTCATACCATCTTCATCAGTGATGCGTCACCATGATTTATGCCATGACAACCACCCATGAACCGCGGTAGAATTCCACTATTTTTGTACTCAAAACTTTGATTGGCATTAGTAGACATGAGAATCGACTTGCTTTTACAATGATGAGCGTCTATTTGTAAGCATTTTCTTCCTACGGTGATTTTTCCGGTGTCCAGATTATTAAAATGACGAGCTTATCAAAGCTACTTCTACTTCGAACTACTTATAAAACACTCTTTTCTCTTATCGATAAACGCTGCTATCTGCATCGTCATAAACTATGCAACAAGTACCTATAAATTCCTGCATCACTGGTATATAATCTCTTCCTTATTTTGTTTTTCAGATGGTGTGAATCAGATTCGTATAAATGGCTGATGTAGACGATATTCAATTCGATCTCAATGCAAATGGTGACCAGTCTGTTGACGTAATCGAGAATTGCCCATCGCCGCCGCCTCCATTCCATCGAAAAGTAGTCGAACCAGATATAATTGTTGAACCTCCGATAACATTTGTCGATCACGAACATGTAATTCCGCTGAAGAATATTGTTCCATTTGATAATATATTTTTCAACGATGCAAAAACTTATCTCTTCGAAACCACTTCAAATTCTGCAACGAATTTGAATGAATCAGTGAACAAATCTTCTCGAAATGTTTTTCAACGTTTTCTAAATTTCTTTCGCTTCTCAATGCTTTCTCAACAAAATATCGAATTCAATCAGCAATGTGAACAATTGCTACAATTGACTAAATACCCATGTAATATGACAGATCGCATTCACATACGAATTCTCTTTACGATCTATCGTCGATTGACTCATTCGAAAGAAATCTTTTACAGTACATTGGGTCCACACTGGGAAGAAATTGGCTTCCAGTCGATAAATCCGGAAACTGATTTTCGTTCTACCGGCCTTTTCTCCATATTTTTTCTTCTGTATTTCGTCGATTCAATGTACTTACCATTAGCAAAGACGATCTATTTACTTTCATTGGACCAGGTTCAAGAATTTCCTTTTTGTTGTATTGGAATCAACTTAGCCAATATCTTAATCAAATATCTCCGACAAACGAATACATCTCGTGCACATTTACATAAATTGCTCAACGAAAACACGGCTATCGATATTGTAGGCAAATTATTCATTGCCCTCTATCTCAATTTCTATTTAAAATGGAGAGATAATGGTTACACCATCACAAACACTCAGCAAGTGTTGACTGAATTGGAAAAGATCCTGCACAATCAACCGAGAATGCTACTTCAGGAGTTCGATGATTATTTTCATAAGCGACAAGAACACCGTGCACAGCAGTATGAACTCAGACAGACGCAAGATAATTTGATTTAAACATGACATATTTTCGAGAATGTTTCTTTATTTTCTTTTGTCATATCAATGTTGTTATTGATGTTTTTCTCACACAAATTTTCAGTACATACTTCTTTCAGATAGAAAAATCATGTTGATCCGAGATATATGCGGGTTCATATTGTCTATTTTTGTCACTGGCGCAACGCTTTGGGCGTGTAGTTTTAAGGTGGAACATGTTGTGATGGGTGAATTGGCAACAGCTCCTGGGGGAAAGTATAACTTTTTAACAATATTAAATCTAGTAAGTCGGAACTGTTAATTGATTATTCAACAAGAAGAAATTGCGTTTTCAGCATCTACAAGTAGTTTATTTTGGTGTATGCATCCTGAATTTCTTCCTTGGTACAAATACAGTCGCATTAGAAAAACGTTCGCTTTTACAAAAATTACGCGATTTTCTCTTTGCTGGCGCAGCTTTTCCAATAGGAATGGTAAAACAAGCAATGAATGTTAAGATGTTTCACTCAACATTGATTTTCACTTAGTTTGTATGCATTACCTTCTGGGGTTTATATCATATCGATCGAAAGCTGATCCATCCGAAGGAAATAGATGGGCTTATTTCACCACTTCTCAATCATGCTATGGTAACGATTTCTAAATTATCGATTCTTTCAATTCATGTTCTATATCGTCTAGCATACTCTGCCTGGAGTCGCGATTTGTTTGGAAAGTCTTTTTCATTATCATCGTTACCCATCAAGGATTTTAGGTTTGCTGTCCGTAGTCAGCATATCCATTGCGTATGTAGCATGGATTCATTACTTGCATCATATTCTTTGGTTAAAAGTACAAATGAGTGTTTGGGTGTATCCAATACTGAATGAATTGTCATTCACGCATCGCGTTTTGTTTTTGTTGGGTTCAACGATATTCAATATTGGATTGTATCTGATCGGTGAAATGTATACATCGTTTTTAACAAGTAAATTTTAGGATTGATATCGTTTCGAAAAATAGTGATTGTGTTTATTTTAGATCTACGAACATACAAAACTGTGCAGGGGAAAAAGAAATACTAAATGCAATACTATCGAATCTCTTTTTTTACGTTTTTTAATCGATGTGATCTATATTAAAAGTTTGCTCATTTATCAATACGGTTAACTTGTTTTTCTAGATGCCTGTAGAGAAGATAACTCTAACACATCGATTTGGTATCATTTCATCGACATATAAAGCAAAACTAGCCAAAAATTTACAAGAAAAAGGAGAAGATACCGATCGATCGGCCTCTTCCAATACTAGCGATGGACACAAGTATGGATACAAGAGAATGTCTCCCGCATTTCCTTTTATGTCTTCTAGAAAGCATTTGTTACTTGAAGTCACTGAAGAATTTGTACAGGATTATAACCGAGCTACGCCTGGCGAACGAATAAAAAAGAATGACACTATCTATCGTATGTTACAGCGATTGAAAGTACGTGAACTCACTTTGCTTAGCAATGAATTGCACTATTGGTCTTTTGAATAGAGAAAATCTGCACAATATCAATCGCACACGAACGGATCAATGCAGTTACAAATGGCTTGGTAAATCTTTTTCGTCGGAAGACATTTTTATTGTTCATTTGCTTTACTTCCTTCAGGGCTGAGTTATGTTTATTATCTCAATGTAAATCAAAATATCAAGAAGGTATTTAGAGAAACCCATCAGAATCACCGAAACTTGGTATTATCTTACATTTAGAATGCTTAACAACACTTTATCGAGCTTTAATCTACAGTCCATTGGATGCTACTCAAATCCCAACATTATTTTTTCTTTCGGAAACGATACTCTATTGGGTAAAGAATGATGCCGTACTGGAACCATTTCTCACATCGACGGAATTGAAACTATTGAAAGTAAGAACGAACACAATGATTTTCGCGAGGAAAAAAAAACAGAAAATGGAATTATTTTACAGATTGCGCAGATCATCTTTCAACTATTGTATTTTCATTACTTAGAAGGTAAAATGAACAGTTTCGAAAGTCAATTCAATAATTTGCTCTATGATATATAGGCTCAACTGAACCGTACGAAGAATTCAAAGTGCGTCTTTACTCGTACTTGGATGGTGAATATCCTTTTAGCTTCTTCCGTTCAAAACTATGTTCAAATTTAGGCTTAGACGAATGTGAATCGGCTTATTCGTCGTATCCCAATGCTGTGTGGTGTATTCGGTACATTGAATCGGTTGGTTCGGTTGTTGTTGCAAGTGTTGGAAGACATCCGATGAGTTCTCGATGTAATGTTTCATCCGTCGCAAGTTTTCCTATTCCAGAAATTCCACCTGAAGACTCAGAGAAGACAAATAAATCAGAATTACGCGCTCAAGTACAAGAACTATCGCCAACCATATGGTATTCAGTTGAACTTTGGTCGTTTGTGAAGAAACATTCGACGACGAATCTATCAGAATCGCTAAATCAGTATTTTAATGATGTAATTCTTGCATTAGTCCGCTGTCGATATAAACTGCTTGAAGAAAATTGGTACGAAATTTCCGAATGACAAGAAGCTAAAACTGAACAATATTGCTTTAGGATTGACATCGTCATAACCTTTCAAATTCTGGCTGACTTGGCCAAAACAAATGTTGATGCGTTAGAAACCATTCAACTACTAGCCCAATGTAATTTTGTTTTCTAAAATGAATTGTCTACCATGATTGTCTCTCTTTTTCTTTTCAAGCTGAACCGACCACTCAACTGATGTCTCACGGTTGGCGTTCATGGTCTTGGCAGTTGATTGTTCTTCTATGCGAATGTCTGACATCGATCGGTATTGGTTCAGATCAAGCAGTCATCAAACGAACTATTCTATTCGGGAATGAAACATCATCCGACACGATTCTTGCATATGCAAGAAACACTGATGAGCAGAGCATGCGATCAAACCATACGAATGATAACGTCTGTCTGATGCATATGTTCAGTTATCGTGCGACTGATAACGATGATCTCTCATGGCGTATTCGATACATGGCGCTTTTATGTATGTCTCAACTGTACAAGCATTTACAGACCGAGCGTCGTCATAAAACTCTAAGTAATTTACTTTGGATGTTCATACATGAATATGAGCAATACGAATGTGATAATCGAATACTTGAAGCATTAAAAGTTGGACGAGTAATATGAACCAAGTTTTTCGCATCGTTCCTCGCTTTAAGAACAAACGTTTTATTTCACTCTAGTTTGATGATGATATAATACAATCGGTGAAATACGACTTGACGGAGAGTCAATCCGGTACGATTTATACGAGTATAGCTCAACGTTTTGCAAATGGCATATTGCCACGTGCGACGCCATCAGATTTGCAAACACCACAACCGAAAACGCAAACGAATAAATTTACAAAAGCAAGCCAAAATGCATCTTCACCGCAAAACACACCTCGAATCGATCAGAATCTACTTCCGACATCAGCTGCAAGGTAGGTTCGTTGATTTTCCGTAATCAACTATTGCCTCTTTCGCTAGACTCGAGAAAAAACCCATCCTAGTCAAACAGATTATCAAAGATAACATCAACGATGTGTTTAAACGAAAAGGACAAGTGTTTCAAAGTATCGTTATCGATCAAGTTCGTTGACTTTATTTAGTCAGCTGAATATTTCATCTTAATGTAAAACTTTTCGATTATTCTAGTATCGTAAGCAACTTGAAGAGAACAAAGAAGAAACAGCCGATGTGATCGAACAGTTAGATTCAATGATTGATAAAGCAAAGAAAACAACGACACTGAATGAAAATTTACTCTCAAGCATATTGGCACCATCGAATAAGAAGTTCATATGTGACCCACTTCAAGAACGGCGAGCATTAAACGAATCGATGGGTCAATCATTGATAACCGATGAATGAACAGTGATAATCTCATTTATTTTCTTCTTCCGTCCATTGATTTTAATCTCAATTCGCTTTTTACTTTCGATCTATAATAAAATATAATACTCTCTTTGCTTCCAGTCAGCGACTGCATAACCAAATAGATCCTTTATGATTGGTTGATTGACACCCAATCAAAAAAATAAAGACAAAGTCTCTTTATTTTTTTCTCTCTCTCGCTCTCTACGCGTGTTGTGTTTTTACATCGCAAAAAAAAGAAAACCGATCTCGTCTTGTTTTGCAGATATAGTTCTTTGACACAATTATGTTAACTGCCAGTGCCCGTTGCCTATCTCTTAGTGCATTACCACGCGTCAATGCGTTGGGTTGCATTCGCCAGGCATCACATAGCTCGAACAAGAATAAAGATGAACCAGTTGCTGTTTCGACACCATCGCACGATGATTCTGGTCCGTCACCAATGAGCCAACGACCATTACCTCCTGATGATGGCAAAGTCCGTATGTATCCCTAAAATTGCGTTGATTTCGTCATAGGTCTAACTCATTTACATAGGCTTTCCCAATCCTTGGGATATCATCCTCAACAAACGTCGTTACGAATACGCTATGGTCAGCAATGTGATTCGTGCAATCGAAAGAAAACGTTCTCTTATTCATATTCTAGAAATTCAAAGGATATGACGATCCATTCGATATGATGCCTGTCAAACGTATTGCTAATAGCACAGCAGAAAATCCCAACTTATTGCCAAGCTCAAATGACAAACGTTTAATGGCTTGTATCTGTAAGTTCATCTATTTGAATGTATATGTGAATGAGCGAATGTCTGCTCCTATAGGTAACGAGGATGTTTATCACTTGAAATGGATGCATCTTCATCGTGGTGAACCAAAACGGTGCTATTGTGGTACGAATGAGTGCTTTTACCTTCTTTGAAAATTTAAATATTCTATCTCCTTTTCAGGTCATTGGTTTAAGTTAACCGAACGACAATATGTCGATTTGAGTGACTTTGGTATCACTGAAGAAATGCAGAAACCAGCCGCCCATTGACACTTGTCCTTTGTCTTCTTTTCTTCTATTAGATCATTATAGCATTTTTTTTCGTTCATCGTCGTCATCGTCATCACTTAATTGGAATAAAGAGGAGAACCCACAGTAAAAAAAATCATCTTTCTATTTGTAGATATGTCTGATTATCAGTTGAGTAATGAGGATCATGAAGCTTTGGAGAAATTTACGAAGTTTTTTCTCGTCAAAGCTGCGCAGATCATCGTTCAATCGCGATTAGGTGAAAAGAAGATAACCAAATCGAAATCTGTCTGTTCCGGAAATGAATGGGTACGTATTCGATTCATTTCTATTCCTTTCTCTCATGCTCTACTTTAGTTCCATCTTTCAATCAAAGACATTCCAGAAGTGACTGTCAATGCCAAGAAATGCCTTGTCGATATTCAGCATCTACTCATCCAACCACCACATAGTCCGTTTTGTGTCGAAATATCTTTACGCACGCCCGACTGTGCAACAATTAGTTTAGAAACGTGGTGTATATCATTCGATGATTCCGTTTCGGATCCCGCACAACGCGTTCGCTTCAATATTTACAATCGTATGAGTATAGTTCTCCGATCGTTATTAACATGTACACGTGCAACTCCAACTTATCAACTATCACGTAAACAATCGGCTGATAAATACATTATTTGCTATAAAATGTATAGTGGAGAGCCGATTGTCAGTCATCTTGGTGAACACTACTCGAAGAAAACGATCGGAAGCATTCTCACTCCGATTGGACGTTTTGTACTAAATGTCGCATACAGAACACATTTAACGATGGCATTGAAACAAATTGAAAATCGACCAGAAACAAATTTGAATCCATTGAGCATCGATATTAAAGATAATCATTTTGCATTGGATCGAGATCAGCATAGTGTTGACGAGTAAGACAAGAAATGCATTTGCATCCGCAAATTAATTTTAATCATACAGGGAAGTCGATATACCACTACCATCAACGCATAATTCAAGCGTACCAAAGAGTTCACCGATTGAGATGATGAAACGACGGCATACTAGCTGTGATTCGGTGTCTTCCAGTCATGGGTAATTGACTTTCAAAGAGAAAACAACTGTGATTGTGTAATATCCGATTTTAGAACTCCAGATAAAGTCTACTACAGTAAACTTCGCACTGCCTTTGCAACACCAGGTTCAATAGCACATACGCCCTCACATGTGGGTTCTTATTCGCGTGCAAATGAGAATGATTTGCCATATGTTCTTATGCAACAGCAGGTTCCACATCATCAATCGATGGAACATATCCATCAGTCAAAAGCGAATTATTCACCTAATGCTGATTTAGACAATGAAACAGCGCCAGATGATTTTATTCTTGTCGAAGTAAAACCCTTCTTTGGTAAAAGTGATTCGACCGATGATCTTGCTCTATTTATTCGTTCTTGTCAACAACCACCGATACTTGAATCATTTGTCGTCGAACCATCACTTGGTGAAACAATCAATCAATTAAATGATGAATTACGTGTATTCGAATCGAAAGTTGAAGAGTTCGATGAACTCGTCGGCTCGCTGACAGCGGTAGAATAACAAACACCGTTTGTTTTGTCATACTATATTTTCACAGTGCTTTCCAATTCTTTCGCGATCTCCCTTCTCTCTTCATGTACAGTCCAAATGAGAAAGAAACACTATTTATAAGTTTATTCGTTTGAACGAATGTAAAATATATTCTATACGTGCTCGACAGCAGTTGAAAAGTAATTTATTCGTTTTTGTCGCATACGTTATCGTTGTCATTCTGACATGTTTTGTATATTTATTCAGTGTAATACATTTGTTTCCAAAGAATAAAATTTCTACATAAGTTTATCGAAATTTTGCTCAAAGAGAATCGCGATGGTCTCAATTAGAAAATTGCAGTCCACTTGGTGATGGATTGGAAAGTGTTCAATCGATAAAATCGAAGATCTTATTATCTCGGTTTTATTTTTTTCTTCTCAGATCGTAGTATAAAAACAACATCTTCTTGTTGCCAGAGAACGAACAAATAAAGCCAACACACTCGCACAGCAAACACACAAGACAATAAGACCAACAAAAAAGAAACGTAACATACACGCACACACACACACACACACACACCCTCATCAAACCATACACTTCGAGTAAAAAGAAGAAGAAGAAGAAGAAGAAGAAGAGAATTATTTATCACCGAGTTTTTCGTAAATAATTCATGTGCATCTGAATGCTCTTTTTTCCATAAAAAATCCCTTCTTCTATTGCACTTTGTTTGTTCGAAGTATGTTGATGCATTTATTCAACTCTGGACTTTTGATCATCAGCGGCTGTTATACTATCGTCAGGATTTTGTAATGTACTCGATGCCACAACAGCATCATCACTTATTGTGCTTCCGTTTACTACTGTCGAGACTTCATTGAGATTAATTTTATTAATGCCATTGATTTGTTCATTGATGCTTTGATTCTGGTCATCCGTAGTCGTATCACGAGCCATTTGTATGATGGACTGAATACGTCGTTGTGCAAACTAGAGAGACTCAGTTCGTATGAGGAGTGATAAGTAAAGAACTTTACTTGACTAGCTTGAAAAGAACCAATGATTTTAACGGGTACTTCGCTTGCTGATGTTTGTTGCGAGTCATCAGGCAATTTTATAATTGCACCTGTTGATTGCTGTAGTTGACGAACCTGGAGAGGTGAATAACGAGAGACAGTGCAGATCAAATTCACCTTCCTCTTACGTTATGTCCACCTTTACCGACTAAACGCCCGATCAGCGATGTTGGAACAAAGATTTCTGCTCGAAGTCGTACTTCATCGTCACCGGCATATCCTAGACATGAATTTATTCGACATGTCTCTATCGTCAGTAAAGTTAGACAAAAGGATGCAAACCTTCTTGTCGAATTTTATCATATATATAATATTGGCTTTTCCACTGCGCTTCAGGTGTACCTGTAATCGTTACTTGACGATCAACGATTTTAGTTTGATCTTCATCGGAATTCAACGGAGCAATCTACACGATGATTTCGCATTTATGATTCAAGAAGAAGAAAACGTGCAAGGAAATTTCGTACTTTAACCATGGCGTTGGAATTTCTAATGATGCTTTTAATAAAAAGACCTTTGCTACCGATGATAGCCCCGATGATCGTATTGGGAACATACAAGTGAACAGTTTCCACAGCTACTGGTGCGTTTTGTAACGAATATAAATGTTGTTGCTGAGAAGGAAACTGCCCGTTGACGTAAGGATTCGGCTGAGATGGCATCATTGGACCCGACGATGCATAGGGCATGTAAAAGGGGCCCGAGGCTGGAAACATCGATGTCTAAACACGAAAATACGCCAAAATCTTCGTTCAAAACTCCACTTACATAGTACGTTGGATGATAGATTGCATTTGAATTCGCTTGCTCCACATATTTGTTTGGGGTACCGTTACTATTGTTTGTTTGTGGTTGTTGTTGTTGAATTATCGGTTGTGCCGCCTGAGGATAATGTGGCGTCGACAAAAGTGGGCCACCAGTCGCCATCACCGCCGCTTGTTGAGCGAAGTGCTGCATCAATTGTTGCTGTTGCTGATAATATTGAGATGAATAATTCCATGCTCGAGTGTTATCACTTTCGTATGCCAAACATAATTTTCCGTAGATAGCTTCCAAAGCACGCATCTGCTGCTCCAATTCACCCTTGATCGATATGACTCGTTCGGTATTGTATGAATTTAATTCATTTATACTTGACACCGCTATGCTAAACATAGAGATGTCGGTGATCGTCTAGTCGGATACGAACGATTGATCAACAAACTTTGTTTCGGTTTCATTTTTAATTGTATTTATGATATTTCCACCTTTGCCAATGATTCGACCGATAAAATTATTATGTGCAAGAACTTTGACTACGATTTCACTGAAAGAAGAGAATCCTCACATTAAATCTTCGACTCTCATGGACCAACTGTACTTTGTTTTATTCTTATTCTTCGAATCTTCATACATTATTCGGTAAACTTCTCGACAGGCTTGTATACAATTTTCTTGTTGGCCACGAATAACAATCATTCGTTCTTGACTATTTGAAGATTCACTCTTATTCACATCAACTCTAATAAATCAAGAAAATGCTTCGCGCTGAACGTTTCGATGTCGGACAAATCTTCTTACTTCGCATGTGTAGTTTGTTTTATTTGCTTAACTGTTGCACCTTGTTTACCAATAACAGCTCCAACAGAATCGCTGGGTACGAGAATTCTAGAATGACAATGAGATTTATGATGCCTGTCTTCCGCGAGACAATCTTGTATACCGGAGTGGATAATCATTTGATTGTCCGTGTGTGTAATCCATTGATTTTGGTTCGTTAAAGTAAAAGAAAGAAAAATTCGAAACAGAAAAAATACAATCACTCAAAATCACAGTTCGATTATTGAGGATAACAAAATTAATAATATAAAAATTAACCACCAATAATCTAAAAATAAACGTTCGATGCAACAATCTCCGAATGTTAATCTATGTGTTAGAATTGAGATTGAGAAAAAAAAACATCAGAAGGAGAAGGAAAAGAAATCAAATAGGCATGCTAACTGTAAACAAGCAAATAAAAATGAAGAAAATTTTTATAAATTTCTTTTTAAGTATTCAAGTTGTTTATTCTCAGATGGAAATATGACAAAACGGGTTTTTTTACTTTATGAAATAAAAATAAAAAACTTTCACGACATAGATGACGCTAGATGAGAAAGAAAGTCTTCTGATTGGTATATCATTGTAGGAATGAATGATAATAGAACAGATTTCAGTTTTTAGTAAACATTTTCTGAAAGTGATGAAATAAATCATTTTTTAGATTGAATAGTTCAAATCATGCAGAAATCGAATGACGATTGCTTCTATTTCCTCACATCATCTTGTGTAAAAGTACGAGCAAAGTCTTTCCCATCCACAAATGTACTTAAACAAGTGCTTGTTTTAGGGTCCAGCATGTCCATATCGTCATAATCCCTTAGTTTTAACTTGCAATGTCATGTGTCCGGCCTGGTTACGTGGAAACTGTGTTGATCCAGCTTGCTCGTTACGCCATAGTGCTATTCAGGTAAATAGTTAAAGAGGAATCTGAATCGATGACTATGGATTCTATTTAGCGTCCAACAATAAGTAATGGAGTGTCGTGTTTTTATGAAAATACACCGATGGGTTGTTTGAAACCTGATTGTACATATGTTCATTTACGTGCACGTCCCATGTCACGAGCTTCATCAATTGTGCGATGTAAGACAAAGATTATTTTCTCATTACACGAAATCTATCTCGTTGATTTATAGCTTCAGCAACTAATCTAGTTAACAAAGATGCAACGAAACCGCCAGCTGTGACCACTTCTCCTTCAGTCGAGCCCGTATCGACGATTCCAGCGACTCCTTTCGTCCCTCCTCCAGTAGAAATATCAGCAGTTCCTGATTCACCTCCAGCAGTCACCAAAATCGAAACTCCACCACGTCGTGTAGCAATTCCAGCAGAAAAAGAGCAAAAAGAAGTCACACCCAAGAGCACCACTGTAATACAACCTTGTGAAGAAGCGAAGACTACGCCACAACCAGCGTCAAATCGAAATGTTGTGATGAGTGAATCATCCAATGTTCCTAGTCGAACAGTCGTACATCGAGTCGTCGTTTCATCTGATGCGAAAAAATCGGCACCAAAAACGACAACCAACGATTCCGACAGTGATATTGATTTAGATGATTTAACCGAACTGGAGAGTAATGCAAAAAAAGGTACGGAATTACATATCTCACGCAAGTATCGAACAAAAACGAGTTTTTTTTGTTTATAGTGAACTCTCCTATTGATATTCCATTTCCATGCTCTGCACCTTCAATAACTAATCGTCTGTTTATATCGTCGAAACCAAGTCCTTCAGCGGATAACAACAAACCGATTCGATTAAATCGCGATCGTTTGCCCGCAGCAAAAGCAACCATATCCAATTCTACTAGTTCTCCTTCCCAACCAGTCAATGGAGAAAAAGTAAGTAGAGATAGAACTTGTCTTCCTATGAAGAACAAAACAAATTTGAATTTCACTTTCTTTTAGACATCTGCGGGTACGTTTACTGGCATAACATGTTTTCCATTTCTTATCAATCAATTAAATACAACAGCATTCCCACAAACTCTCTGTGCTTGATCTCTTTCACTTTTGTCTCGTGTTCTTTTAACAAAGTCCGTCGTGAGTTGAGCGAGATTGAGTGAGCGAATTGAAAAAAATAACAAAAAACAACGTTTTCTTTTTATTAATGTCCATGTTTTCATCGTCCTTCTGATAGATTTGTTTGAATGATTTACGATTGTATGTCATCAGCATCGTCATAGTTGTTATTGTTGTTCTTTTTCTCTATTTTCACTTCAAAGTTTTCATGTAATCGTACATTCGAATTATTCTAGGAACAGGATTATCACAAGATGATGAACGAAAACTTAGTCGACTCGAGTAAATAGGAACTGATTAAAATGACTGATGACGATGATTTCCTTTTGTTTCTACAGACGGTTTAAGAAGCAACCAACACCACCACCTCGAACTGTGGTGAATTCAACACGCAATGTAGTCAATTCCAAACGGTCAGCACCTGACCAATCGGTGGATGAATCGCCACCAGCCAAACGGCTTTCTTCTCAATCAGATAATAATCATCGTCAACAAAAAAATACGACAATTGGTGATTTATGTTCACTACCACCATCGTCTTCGAATTCTCGCCGAACACACGAACGTCCTCATCGTCGTCGACGTTCATCATCTTCAAGATCAAGATCAGGCTCACGATCACGATCGCGATCACCATCACGATCTCGATCTCGATCACGATCACCGTCTCCTTCGCATTCAATACGAAAACCATCACCGCCCCATTCAAACTATAAACCTACGTCCTCGATGAACGATACTGCTTGGAAAAGAGAAGTCGATGCATTTCTTGCTAAAACTACTCAATCAAGACCAGTCTTACCCACAGCATCAGTTCAACCTCAACCAGTGCCATTGTTCTCAGTGCGTCCGCGTTACGTGCCTCCACGTCCACTGATGTCACGACCGGTCGCTCCTCGTGCTCCAATTCTAAATCCGCGACCACCACGACAGCCAATATCAACCACTCCGATGCGGCCAACGGCACCAGTGATATCTGCACCTCGCCCTCCGTCACCACAAGCACAAGCACAAGCACAACTACAACCGAATCCCATTCAACAAACTCCGACTGTGAATAATTCATCTCCAACAGATGCGCAGAAAGAAGAGGATGAACGTCTCTTACTTGGCGACTTAGATGCACCGTCGGACGTTGTTGATACTTTTGCTTTAATCGATGAAGCCTTGCTTGGAGTTGACGATTTTCTCGAACTGGAATGACCTTGTATCTGTACAAATTTTCATAAGCAAAAATGAACTCTTCAAATTTTCCTATATGTGTCTGCAAACATGTGTGTATCTCATATTATTTATATATTTTTTTCCTATGATGTTTATGTATTTAAAAAACGATAAGTGAAATATATTAACTAATTGAATTTGTTCTGCTACATGCATGCCTATATGTATTGTAGATGAATTCCCTTCTATCGCCGACAAACGTGAGAACATGAAAACAAGATATTGACGATCATCGGTATTCGATACGTGTATGTTATTTTTAGCTCTGCTCACAATGTGCGTCGTATTTTGTACAATCAATACGTCATCTCCCGCAAAGTTTACAAACGATAACAAGTGAAGCAGTGAAACAATTCTCGCCAAGAAGAAGCACTAAACATTTGAGAGTGAGATATAAAAAGTCTTTTCGAAAATAGTCACATCGATAATTCAACATTTTTTTTCCACTAGCGTGAGATTGATCGACAAGTCATCACAGCAACACAAGAAGCATTCGATACTAATGTCGAGTCAATATTCAATAAGATATCAAAAGAAGGTGCTCGTTGCTATCTTACTGCAAAGTTTCTTTCTCACCTATTCTAATGTAGATTTGCAAAATTTAACTATTGCACCATTATCGCCTTGTTTGTCATGCCAACTTGGTATTACTCAACATGTCACCCATAAAGATTTATTGAAAGTCGAGAAACTAAGTAAAAGCTTTCTCATCGATGACATATCAGCATTCTCAAATTTTCTCTCTTCGATTCAGTTTACAACCAAGTACGCGGATTCAAAACGCGACATGCTGACTCCTACGGCGTTGGTGGAAATAGCAGCACCTCATCGTCGTCGTCAACAGCATCCGGAAGATATTCTCGAAATTTCAATGATTTCGAAGGATATCGCTTGGCGGTTGGTGGAAGTGGAAGACAGTCATCTCAGGCTTCTGATCCAAATCAACCACCGTTGACCGCATTTGTGAATCGAGTTCGTAGTCATATTTGATTAGCAATCACTAAATCGTTTTCGATCAGTTTATGCAATACGCTCGAGGAAATACATCGTCTCAGAGTTCTGAGGGTAGACGTTTTCAAGATATTCTACAAACAACATCGAATGCGGACGAACAACAAAAAGTGAAAATTGCCTTTGCTGAAGGTAGGCTTTGGACTTGTTTTGTATCTAGATTCGCAATAGAAATATGGTGTTTTAGGTTACGTTGCTGCTGCCGGCGAACCAAAGCCTAAAGAACGTCCATCACTATTCAAAGCAGTGCGTGTTATCTTATTTTACGGTTTATTGATTATGATTATTCTCAATGTTCTTTCCGCGTTTGGCGGTGGTACGTACTATTTTTGTGACTAGGACTAAATGCGAGTCGCACTATTTTTAAGATGGTGTTCGCGGTGGATTTGCAAATGCATTCTCAACAGTTAGTAAATATGAAATCAATCCTGAGGAGATCAAAGTGAATTTTTCTGACGTTCGAGGAGTAAGCAAGTGACATGTGTCTCTTCCTTCAATAAACGTTTTTGCCGAATAGGCTGAAGAAGCTAAAGATGAATTGATGGACATTGTTACGTATCTCAAAGATGCTGAAAAATATACTAAACTAGGTGCACGATTACCCAAAGGCGTCCTATTAGTGGGTGCACCTGGTATAGGTACGCATTCGTATTAATTTTGAACTTATGACACTCATCTTTCGGGAAAATTATTTAATTTCAGGTAAAACTCTATTAGCTCGAGCTGTGGCTGGCGAAGCCGGTGTGCCATTTTTCCACACGTCTGGTTCTGAATTTGATGAAATGTTTGTCGGTACTGGTGCTCGCCGTGTTCGTCAGCTATTTAGTATGTTAACTTGCTGAAATTCTTGATTAAATTCGAACTCATTCATTTTCAGCTGCTGCAAAGGCTCGTGCCCCGTGCGTCATATTTATCGATGAAATTGATTCTGTTGGTGCTAAGCGATCGAGCTCACAGTTACATCCCTACGCTAATCAAACAATCAACCAACTTCTAGCCGAAATGGATGGGTAACAGAGTCTCTAAAAAACATCACTTGACACGTCGACGCATCGTGTGCCTCATTTAGATTTGAAAAGAATGAAGGCATCATTATCTTAGCTGCGACTAACCGTCGTGATTATCTCGATTCGGCACTTTTACGACCAGGTCGTTTCGATTCCGAAATCCACATTGCTCCGCCAGATCTTCGTGGACGAAAGGAAATCTTTGAGTTGTATCTCTCAAAGATCACCCACGATCGAAGTATCGATACAGAATATCTGGCGAAAGGTACCACCGGTTTTACTGGGGCAGACATTGAAAATATGGTGAACCAAGTATGTCATAGAATTACTTGAACCAGTATGTGCACATTTACTTCGTTTTAGGCTGCACTCTATGCAGCGCAAATCGACGCAACCTCTGTAGGAATGAAACATCTCGAGTATGCACGTGATAAAGTTTTGATGGGTCCAGCAAAGAAACAGAAAATACCCGACGACGAAACAAACAACATTACAGCCTACCATGAAGCTGGTCATACGATAGTTCGATATTTTACTCAGGATGCTGACCCGTTACATAAAGTCACCATAGTACCCCGTGGACAGGCACTTGGTTTTACAGCACACATTCCCCTCAAAGAAACATACAATCGAACTAGAGCACAATTGTTAGCTGAAATGGATGTAATGATGGCCGGACGTGTGGCTGAAGAACAGATTTTTGGCTCAGAGAAAATAACGACGGGCGCAGCCAGCGATTTCAGTCAAGCAACAAAACTGGCGACAAATATGGTAAATTCTTAGTTATGAAGACTGTGACAGTATCGATAGTTATCGAACTCTTTAGGTGAAACAATTCGGCATGTCTGAGAAAGTCGGCACAAGATCGTTTAAAGAAGAAGAACAAGATGCTGGTTTAGGTTTTGTTCGTGTGAACGACGTGAGTCCAACCATGCAGGAAATGATCGATTTAGAAATAAAACGTCTTATGCAAGTACGTATTTGGAAAATTTCGTCGAAATCGCTTGGACTGAGGGTTTTTATTTATTCTTAGGAATCGTATGATCGAGCTAAGGCTCTACTGAAACAACACGCGCACGAACTGAAACTTCTTGCTGAAGCTTTACTTCATTATGAAACACTTTCAGCCGATGAAGTCAAAGCTGTACTTGAAGGAAGAAAAATCAATCCATAAGAAGCGAACAGTGTATCTATTTAGTTTGTTTACTCCAACCCGTTATGCTTTCTCTCTGTCTCCTTTTTTTGCTACCTATTTCTTTTCTTTTCACTCTTGTATGTAGGCAATATATATATATCAAACGAGATGGAATCCGAATTTGTCTTTCTTGCCATTCTCGAGCAAATCTTTAGAGAATAAAAAGCAGTGGAGACGTCGACCTACATTCAACAATAAAAGACATTGATCCGGTATTGTATTTTGTTGATGAATGAGAGGAAAAAGCACTAATCAAAATAAACTCGATTTTTTTTTCGAATGAAATTATGTAAATTCTGATTCATGCTGATATACTTGTTTTTTGTTATTCTTATTCTGTTTTCTATTTATATTGGCCTCGAATGTACGTTAAAGGGTAAATCAATAGTTTGTTATTGATGATGAAAATGTAACAACAGGTGTCATATTGGCTTTCAGTAGCAAGAAGTGCGAATAATCATCGACGAGATTTCGAAGAAGAAAAGAACTTGTCCTTGAATTGAGTTTAGCAGGAAGAAGAAATCGACTGAGAAAATTCAATAATAACTCAGATGTTTCTACTCGAAGACAAATAAATAACGATTTCTGTTCAAATAACATATCAGGCAAGGAGGAAAAAAGGTTATTTCATTGAAGAATGATATGTACATAGAAAGATATTTATATTACATCATACAACTAGGCAACTGGAAGGTAAGAGTTAATGGATATTCTTCTGGGTGTCTGTCATGATAATCAAGATAATCAGAATGGCTGATTACGAAGATTGAACGTCAACATTCGTTTCTATTAGATCACTGCTATGTTGGAAAGAATTAACATAAATATTACTCATTAGAATGGCATCATTGATACTTATCTCGATAAGAATTCGCGTTTTTTCCCAGTTGTTTGTCAAGCCTGTGCCGTTCTCAGGTAGAAAATGAATGGTATTCGAAAAATTTTAATCAGAATACATACAACATCATTATTGATATATGGAATAAAACTATCCATCTTTTTAATTTCATTCGAAATGTGATTCATCGTTGTGTATGAGATAAGACTTCATTTGAAAAGTCATGTTCGTTCTATGACACCATACTTGGAGCGTGCGCTTGAATCAATGGTGAAGTTTCGTTTTCACCTGTTGACACATTCGAAAGGAATGTTTAAAATAATAGAGAAACGTAGACGAAGTTTTATAATCTATCAAGAAATGAGAAGGTGGGTGGATCGTAGGAGAGAAAAGAACGAAACAAGTTTTTCTCTCATGTCCGTTCTCTTTCTCTCCTTATGTCTCTTTGTCTTTCACGTACTCTACATATATATATATACCATAATAGTGTGCATATTGGTTTACTTAATAAGATTGGAGTTCTAGTGCAACAGATCTTATTGACTTCTTGCTCTAGATTATTGTCATTTACCATTGAAGAATAATAGATTGATGTCTTCGTCAAACACTTCTAGCCGTCCAAGTGGAGTATGTGCCGAAAATTAATTTTATTTATGGTTCTATTCATTCTTCTGTTTCTAGTGTGTTTCAATTCCTGTAGTAATCGTTACTGAATCAAGTTCGAATTCTCATGCGTATTCAAGGCCGACTTCCTCTTCTCGTCCGTATTTCAATAAGAATATTTTCTATGACCGTTCTCATTCACCATCATGGGTAAAGCTTTCGACAAATCGTTTTCAACCACGACACAGTCCAGTTCCCAGCTACGATCGTTTAATTCAAAACTCTTACTTCAATCAGCCATTCTATGACCATCCATCATATCAAGAAACTCCCTATCAATCGTTTCAGCCACCAGTGTATGACTCAAAACCTTTACATCCGAGCCGATCCATCGATGATCTTCTCTCACCATCAATGAGCTCAATGCGGGCGAAGAATTCGTTGAGAAATTCAACGTATTTCTCGCCTTTAATCAATAACGGATTCCCATCGGACTCTGATTTTGTTGATTTCAATAGACGTATGGATTCTTTTCATGACTTCCCAGATGCTCATCATAATTTTCCGACAAATCGACCTCATCCATTTGACCAACCACAGTCGTATTGCCGCCCAAGCTTCGCTCATCCAAACGAACAACGGTTACCCAACGATTACCAACAATCCAATTCTACTCAACAATCAAGCAGCAAGAGTAAGTCGAATTTCGTTAGATGTATTCAACATATTTGAGTTTCAATTACATGAATCATCCTTCAGATTTCTAGACACGATTGCGATATAAGCTTGAGTTTAGCAGAGATCTATTCCCTGGAAAGACTAGACAAATATTGTTGTTACACTCTAATCATCTCGACATCAGCCATCACGGTCAGATAGAAGACATCGTTAATAAACACAGAAGGTCAGTACTACTATACCCTGTACGGGCCGAAGTGGATGTGTATCTTTCTGCGTGCGAAGTAAGGAGAGAAGCAACAGAACGACAAAAAAAAGAAGCGAAGAACGATAGAAAAAGAAGAAGAAGAAACCGACTAATGAAAGAACACTCTGTATAGTATAGCAGTGCTCCATCTTCGAGGCATAAACTCACAAAATATGACTGTTTAACGGAGATAAATGTTTACAAAAAACAAATCTTATTCGAAAAACATGGGCTCAACAAATAGTACATCGAGAAAACGCAAAGGTTCGTATTAGTTTCATTAAAATTAGAACTATCCGTGAATGAATGGTTGTTTTCGTTGTATTTATTTTTGTTTTCTTTTGTTGCAGCACACGATCGTTCTTATTCACCGACTTCTCAACGCGATGAATCACCAGTTCGTCCAGCACCATCAACATCCCCTCAACAACAACAACAACAACAATCACAACCGCAAGAATATGAGTCTGATTTCAAAGTAACAAACAATTCGACTAATCCAACCACGAAATCAAGTACAAATGCGACATCTTTACAATCAAATGATCAACAGGTTCCAACAACGGACACCATACCCGTTCGTGATCCAAATGTGATTGCATTAGAAAAACTCGAACAAATCAAACAAACTCTAGCTGATTTAAATCAACAAGTCGAAACATTCTCTGGCTTGACGCGCGACGATCGTTTATACAAAACACTCGATGAACAAGCTTTGAAAATAATGATGCGTTGCGATGAACTAGTTGATGTCAGCACTGATATCAAAGAAAAACGTAAAGAAATGATACGTAACGTGCAAACCGTTCTGGCAAAACTCGAATCTAAAGTGCCAATCAATCCAACGGCTGAAATGGAAACTACTTTGTCACTTTACGATCCACCAACAACGAATGCAAGTGAATTTCATGAACAAGACACTTCTACATAAGTTCTTGTCTGTTCCTATTCTCTTTTACTATTGTTGTTGTTGTTTTTTTATAAAATCTCTTTCTCACACACACACACACTATATATATTGTATTTTCAATTTGCTCTTGTTTTTCTTCTGTTCAATAGGACCGATGAAAATCATCGAATAAAATGATTTGACATCTTCATTTTTGAATTACTTCTATCTAAAGGGACAAATAGCTTAGTTTAGTATGCAATCAAACGTCGTTGAATGAATAATTCATCTTCCTTGTAATTACAAAACTTCATCGATTGTTCATTCCGTGTTCTTCTGTTCCTTATAACAAAACACGATGTCATTTAATAGATGAAATGATTTGATCCAGTTTGACATGTAATATTGATAATTTAATTAATAACACAAAATACTCACATAGTATATAAATAAATCTTTTCTGATTTCCAATGAATTAGAAGAGTAAAACGAAGTTCGTCATTTACTTTTCATGGAAATCCGTTTGAACAGATGTTCAACAACTTCAAAAACCTATCGGCGCTTTCTTGTTCTCTGTCTTCTTAGCGAATATAACTGCTTTTTTTCTTTCTCTTTTATTACATCAAGACATCGAAAACGCTTCATAACTCGATCTTGTCTAGGTTCTCTTTTTCTCTCATTTTTTCCGACTTTCGATGAGATTCTATCCAAAGAGATTTTTTCCTTTTTTGTCGCTCCTTTGATCGCCATCTTCAGCATTTTGCATCTTTTTGTCACACGATCATGGTATGGTAGTAGAAACCGAGAACGAAGACACAACAACAAGAGGAGAAACTGAGTGTCGAGGACTAAATTAACTTTTCTGTCTGTCTCTCTTCTTCGCTAACTTAGATCGTTTAGACATTTCTCTATGGACTTCAAGAAGATTTTCCTTTTTATCTCTAACTAAATACGAAAAAAGTAAGGGAAGCACAAGCAAGGCTATGACTACGGGCGGCACACAAGCATAATGGGACGAAACCAAACGATGGATCAAACTATTCTTCTAATCTTACTCGCCATACTCATCTTTTATATATCTTATTCATCGACTCATTCGGCATCAAGTTCATCAGCCTTAGCTACCAGCTCATTGAAATTCAAAAATCCACGATTGGATAAAGATAAACTTCACATCGGTCGTAAAAATAAATTTGCAGACGACGACGACGATGATTACGAAACCAGTAAGTCAAACTACTGTCTGCTCTCAAAAACAGACCTTGAAATGCATTTTAACGGAAAATCAACTAATTTGATTTTTGCTTACATCAGCCATGAACCACAAAAAGCTTCTCATAGTGATCTTGTAGTCATCGTCTGTAAATAGCTTACATTATCGAGATATACATTTTTTGACTCGACTTATGATTTGTGTAATCGTTTTGCTTTTTTTAGAACTGCGCAATCATTCGGATGAAGCTCGTTTACGCTTAATTTTATTGGATGGATACGTTCCTCAGGCACGGCCAGTAGTCAATACCACCAACGCAACTATCGTCGATGTTGGGTTAACGATTATTCAGGTGATGGATCTTGTAAGTAACAACATGTCTGTCGACTTCTCTCATCTACTACGCGATTTCTTGATCGCCGTATTAGGATGAACAAAATCAANATTCGATCCAAGTAAAATCGATGACGAAAATTTGAAAATATCTATTCTACGTGAAATACTCGAATGTCAACGATTACTATTGACAATTCATGCAAAGAAACAAAATGTTCAAAATCAAGCGCTGTACGATATTTTTGAAGAATGGAAAATTCTTGCTATTATTGTTGATCGAATTTGTTTTGTATTTTATCTTGTCAGTATGTTGGCTGCATCGGTTATTTTTTTCGCACGTGAACCAATCATGAAACGAAATAAATAAGCCTCTCTTTGTAATAAAATTCTTCTCTTGTTTTTCTTTTGCGAAAAGTGAGTATATCACGTCAAAATAAATAATTGTCTTGTCATCTAAGAAAAAAAACTGCATATTTACGACACATTTTTGTCTTCTATATGATTTTAATAGCCTATGACATGAATTCAATAGATTTTATTAACTAAATGACATGGCCAATCATCGAAAAAACTGTTGAAATTGCGAATGTAAATTATTATCAACGTTGAATTATATTCTTTTTCGATAAAAACTCATCGTTATGCGTTGTGATATACAAAAACGACGATGCATTTATCAGTTGAATATTTGTACTTAGCATGAATATATCAGTTTTATTGGTATAGACATACACACAGTGATAATAGAATTGCACATCAACATGAATTTTTCATAATGACATTAATAATGTAACCATTCGAAGAAAAATTAATCATATTTTTTACTTCACGTTATATTTGATTGATCTGATTTCTGAATTGAAGTGTACCCAATATTTCGTAACTTATAAAACAGTTGCTTACTCATGCGTAGATCATTGCCCGAGAGACTACAATTCGATAGTCTTCCAAGTTATATACTATAGCAGACTATATTCCTTACATTTCGATATTAGTTTTTCGAGCTGAACTTACCTACATTTAGGTTCATCGCGCAGCTCACCAAGATAAAATTGAACCCCTAGGCAACAATACTCCATACTTTTAGCTCGATTGCTATTTCAACTACTCGACAGTGCAGTTTCCGGCCATGCCGTCATCAAAAAGAAAATAACATTCGAAATCAATATCTTAACAATAGTTATTACAAAACATCTACAATAAACAAAATTTGTTCATGAAACGAGTACATATCGTATTTTAACTGTCATACAGAATCAGATTCATGGTTATCCTAACTTAACACGCCATAATTTTACACTTATCGTCAAAAGCACACAATAATTTTTGAGTATCATATTCTTCGCTAGCTGATTAGATAAAAACAATTTATATAGGAAGGAAAGTTTGGTCCGCTACTTATCGTCGCTGAGAAAATTCCTTTTATTTTGCCAAAGACGTTGCACAAGTTTATTTTGACGCCAACAATATGAGAATCTGCATGTTGAATTTTTATGGTTAGCATTGAAAAATCCTATCGTGTTTGAATCCAATCTAATCCATTTTGCATTGTAGACATTAAGTATCAAATATGAAAATAAAACAAACAGGGTCTACAATAGCCCGATATCAGAATTGACATGACTAACCTTGAGTTAGTGGGCCTATGGGAAAATATATGGTAACATTTGTCAGGCAAATTTCTAGACAAGTACAAGTAGCGCTCATCCATTGGATTCGCTGACCCTTTTCTGAAAGAATTAGAAAAGTAGTGGATAAAGATTCGCACTTCACTCGCAATCTATTCAGTTTCAAACTGAAGTCACTTCTTATATGAATATTCCTTCACTTTGAATCATTTTCTACTTTATTCATGTCAAATTACACTTTCAATTGATTTGTCCAAAGATAAGAACAAATCGAACACTGTTTATAACTATTTCTTCATCGACTCTCTTCCGACTATTCAAAATCAAAAATCAATTTACTTTTACTTATCTTGTCTCCTCTAAGCAACTCTAATAAACACCTAGTCTTTCCCATCCGTGCTCATTTTACCATCTTAACTCCATTTGGGCTAAGACGTCATCCAAAAATGAGCTCATTTGCGAAAAGACCATTACATAGGCATATTGTTCTATGCAAAAGGTTTCGTTCTTCTATTCACTTGTTCATTCGCCACTAACTACCAAATGTACATTAATCGTATCTTATCTTTGTTTTTATTTGATCGAATCGTATATAAATGGTTGTTCTCCGTGAGAAAAATGCAATGTTCGATATGAACAAATGGAATCATATGTAGCTCCGTCAGCACTGGAGCTTCTTTTATCAAAAATTTTCACACGCATAGTATCAATCTCGAACACTTGAGCTGAACTATATTCATCTATTTTTAATTCATCAACGTGATTTAATCGAAGCAATTAATCACGTAACTTTATCCACCAGTAAAGTTTTATGATCACAACCTCAGCAGTATCGTTAATTGAACTGATCAATCGGTTTCTCATACCAGGTATTATTTACGTTCTATCATATGTACTCAGTCAGTTTCTACATTCACTTTCCCCTTCAATTTACCCATTATTCACTGTACGATTTTCATATTCAAGCATACACATTCGTCCAATAAATCAAAGCTTTAGAGAAACTTCGCCCTTCATCAATGTGACGATCACATCATACCTACTGATACGTTTATCGTTACAATATATGAACTTTTATGAATCTATATCACGTGTCTCGTCTTTTCACTGTATGTTCGTTTTACTCACTTATGTATCCACCTATTTTATGCATCTTACTCGCTGATCAGCTGATCTGATGTACGTGCTACTGCATACTTCAAGCACAATACATAGAGTAACGAATATGCAGTAGAATCATCTTCTCTGCTTGCTTGATGAAATAAAAGATATACATCATCAAATCTTCACAATCAATAAATGAAGTAACACATGTTTTTAACAAATTATCACAGCTGATATATTTGCGTCATGTCGCAGAGAACCATATACGATCCAGTCTTTATTCATTGAATGGATCAACAATGAATTATTTCAACTAAAAAACCTCAACAATTTATTCCAATGGCTAGGATTTTTTTTATTATTCGATAATACTCATATAATATACTCAATGATGTATCAAAACTCGTCAGTTTGACTTAAATTATCATAAATATATTCTGATTTTTTTGTTTTTATTCTTTGTGATTGAAGATTTTAAGATGAAGTAAAACTCAATGAATCTCTTGAAAAAGTTCATATTTAAGTAACAGTCATCATTATTATTAATGTTATTTACGAATCCTATCATCAAAACGTTCGATGAATATTGATAAATCGTTTTTTCTTCTTTATTTCAACCCAAAGAAAACATTCATCTTCAATCATTTGTCAATTTACAAGAACAAATCGATCGATATAGACAGGATGATTCTATAAACTTGAAGAAGCATTATCTAAAAAATTTCTTTCAATGTTGACATAAACATGTGATTAATGCATATGTTTTTCTTGATAATGAATCCTTTATCATGCTATTCAGATTAATTATTGAAATATAAACAATAATTGATAGTCAGAATGAAAATATTCACTTTATAGACTCAGAATAATTTCGAACTTAGGCGGTATTAACATGGGTTATATAGTTAATTTATTATTAGTAGATAAATGAGATGATAGTATCAATAGAAATTGATAAAGAAAAACAACATATGTTAAATTTTTAATATTTATTAAGATTTCACATTCGAAGTATTAATATTCTGTTGTCAATTATATTTACTTTTTCACGATATGCCTTGCTACTGCTAAGAAAATCTTCTATTTTGCTTCTTCTTTTTCGTTGTGTCTATCGTATGTTTACAGACTAATCCAACTCGTACTCTCATCTACATTTTTAAAACGAAAATGTAATGGTGAAAGGGATTTTATTTCAATTAAATGTTTATTGTAGCAAGAAGAAAATAAAATGGAAACAATTCTTGTTTTACTACAAAGAGTATACGCCTGCAGATATGCTTATGATTCAAATGACGACTGAAGTTTTTCTACTAACAGGCCAAGTCGATGACGATTATCATATGCTTCCATTTCCTCTAAATGTCCGTATGCTAAATCAATTAATTTGTTAATACTGTTTTCTTCAGTATCGTCTAGGTCAATAGGATTTTCAAGCCATATTTGCCATCGGTGATAATTCTCATTAAGAACGCTATTAAGATGGAGATCAATATTATTTTGAGGACCATCCATTAGCACTCTGAGTACAGATTGATGATTTTTAGCCCAAAATAGCAAATTCCGACTTTCATTAGGATTTAACGAATCGGATACATAATCTCCAGTACCCAACGATAGAAGTCGGATACGATTTTTATCACAATTGCAATTAGCAGATATAGCATGATCATAGGCGAACATTGCTGGATTATTTGCTTGTACACCACCATCAACATACAAAACATTTTCGAGTTTATAAGCTTGAAAATAAGTTGGTGCAGCTGTTGTACACATAAGTATTTCCGTCAGTAGATGATTCTTTGTTCTATCTTTCAAACTACCGTGTCGTGTGAATATATCAGTGACATTACTGTCACTTTTTACTGCTGGTATAATCAGTTCGGCTAGTGCATCAGATAGACGTGAGCCACCAAAGTAATCACTGAACAACATATGACGACCTGCATCCAAATATTTGGCTTCTTTTAACACATAGTTTCGCATCCGACTAATAAAGTTTTCATTTATTGAGAAAACTTGTTTCGCTTTTTTACGATAAATTTCAACTAAATCTGCTGCCTGATAACGAGGTTTAGATGAATCAGTCAGTGATGGTGTTGTTAGACCTGCACCAATAATTGCACCGGTTGATGTACCCGCTATAACATGAAATATGGACGAAATCGGTTGTCGAATCTTATGTTCTAATGACATTAACCAAATCGCTGGAATGATACCGCGAATACCACCGCCGTCAATAGATAAAATATTATAAACTGAGTGTTCATTGCGAAGACTTGAAGAGTAGGAGTCAAAATCAATTGGATCGTATGTTCGTGATCGATCATTTTTCATTTTAATCGCTTTTTCTTCTCTTTGTATATCAATATTGTTTCGATCAAGACTTAAAGCTCGCTGAATTCCGAATTGGGCATTATTATAATCACCTAAGTTTCGTTGTGCTTGCGCATAAATCAACCATAATTCAGCTGATGACAGATGCTGCCGTTTGCCTAACCGTTCATTAATACGTGAGAATCGATGCTGCTTTAATAGACATCTACAAAAGCCTAGTTCAGCTAAGTCATGTTGCTCTTTTGAGATGACATTTTCCATCGACAGAATTTCGCTAAAATGATTCTGCGCTTTCTGCCAATTTGCCAAACCTATTATATATTATATAAATACAAATATATATATGTCGTGCCGAAGTTACACTCTGTGCCGAAGTTATAACTTCGGCAAAATTTTTTCCGAAGTTTAACTTCGACGAACAAATTTTGTCGAAGTTGCTGTGACTGATATAAAAAATGTTTCTGCTGCTAAAAATCATCAAAACGTTTTTATACCATGTTTCCTAAATTTTTTCGATCAAAATATTCAAATTTTACTTTAAATATTCAAAAAATCTAGTTTTGATGAACTCTAACTTTATTATTTCCAACAGCAAATAATCGCATCATTGTGAACTAGTGGATCACTTTCAGGCTTTGCAGCAACCTCCGAATAATACGTACGAGCTGTGTCGATATTTTTAAAGGCTATACATTTCTTAAAATATTTTTAAAAAAATCTGAATATTTTGATCGAAAAAATTTGTCCGTTGAAGTTAAACTTCGGCACGACATATATACATTAATCTACTTAAACAACACATCACTATACCTGCTAAATGATTTCTCTTATCATCCTGACGAGCTTCGTCCTCATAATGCTTAGCAATTCGTAGGAGAACTTCTGCTCGCCACGGATGATTTCTTGGTAAGTCTTCCATTTGCCAATGTAGATGATTTATTTCAACAGGAACGACGGTAAATACATGACTGATACGATCATGTCCTGGAAGAACAACTACATATAAATCGTACACTTCAGTTTCTCCAGATGTATAATCTATTACAGCGTGAGATGTTGTGAAGACTACTCCATATTTTGCGTCAGGAATGACATTACATGGATATATTTTTAAATTGGCAAATGAAGATAGAATCGGTAAATAAGCTTGGTGTCGGAATATATGTTTAGTTGAATCAGATTGATTTGCCCATTCAGATAAGTTTGAAACATGCTCTTGTCGTAGAAATGCAAGAATAAGCTCATTGTCATTTCTATATTTATTCAACATATGAGCAATTAAATTTTCATGATTCAAACCATGCTTATTTGGCATGAGCTGAGTAAGTAGTACTAATTGATCATCTTCATCGTTCATCTTTATTATTTTTTGACAAGCATTATATCCAAGATGGTTTTTCAGATACTCAATATTAATAAGATCGAATGATTCATTATGATCAATAGCATGTATATTTGTCAGGTTAGTGGAATTTGAACTATCATTGTCCATTCCAAATGCGCTCAAAAGATCTTCAAGCGCTTGAATACGTTCATCCGGTATATAGAAGAAACGATCACACATTGCGTTTTCCGATGCATTTAATTTTTTTAATGATTCTTTACATCGTTCGTAATTTTCTTTACCTACAAAATAAACATCTATGATTTTTTACTTCTAGTAAAGTATTATAAAAAATCTAAATCATTTTATCTATTCTATAGAAGAGAAATGATTGAATGAAATATTAAAATACTAAAAATTCTGTTAGCTTTATATGTGAACCGTGAAAGGAAACGAAAGAAAGAGAAAAAGTGATTTTCATGGGGCTTGAACTCATACATTCTAGCCTCTAATATTAAAAATAATCTGTTGAATAGCAGCAACTAGTGTAAATAAAAATCGAATGTAAAAGATTCTGTAACAAAACTACTGTACCTCCAGCTAATAGACAAGCGATAGCATAGTTGAGACGTGCAAGTCTATAATATCCTCTTAAACGATTGGTGACTAGAGTTTCGCGTGCATCAGCAATGTCTTTCTCAGAAATTGGATTAACAATTTTGGAGACCAGTCGACCAAGTTTTTGATGATGATAACTTTCAATATGTTTATCGAATTTCTCAGCGGCTTCAAATAAACGTGGACTATCATAAGTTCCTTGAAAAAGAATTTTACTCTGTTCAAGTAAAGCTGTATGTTCAGGATTTGTACGCCGTGGATCATGAAAATCAACACCACGAAGAAGAACTTCACCGATTAAAATGAGAAGATATGCAATTTTATCTGCTCGAAAACCATGTTTGAGTAAAGGTTCTATAATTTGGTCGACACGAATTTCGATACTGATTGTCTCACTTCCTGATCGTTTATCCATTAATCGTCGTTCTTCATAATAAGGTTTACATAGAAAGTCAATAAACTTATCATATTCTTCATTATTATAATGTTTAATCGCTTGATCCATCATTTTATTTAAATTATCACGAATTTCGTATTCATGAGAAAGATTTTCTGTTAATAATCGTTTAGTTTTAGAACTAAATACGAATTTGTTGTATAGCCATGAAGCAGCTTTAACGATTATTGGAATGCTCACACCTACAGCTAATTGTGTTGCCATACCGGCGACTTGCATAGCCCGATTTGCAGATGTGAGAAAATCTGAACCTTCCACGTATCTACTCTCATCACTGAATTCAGTTAATTGTGCGCTACGAAGGACACATTTTCGAAGAATAGTTTGTCGAATAAATATTTGACTTTCATCGAGAATTTCTCTTGATGATAACTGCGGATCGGTACACAAAACTATTTCTCGATGTGCATTCGCAGATACAGTAGCATTATTTTCTTCAGCAGTCGTCTTCGTTAAGCCTTGGTATTTTTCTAAAGCTCCCTGTAACTGCCGTAATTTTTGAAATAATCGTTCAGTCATATTTGCTTGTGTAATAATATAGATTGCCGCAACAATATATAATTGTGCTTCAACATCATGTTGTCCTGATAGACGCATCATTAAACCCATCCATTCAAGAATTTGTGCACGTTGAATAATATCATCCTCTTTGAAGCTTATTTTACCAAGAGATTTGAGTGCAGCTCGATAATGTTCGAATGCAACAAGCGCTTCAAATGAAAATAATCGTTTTAGTTGGTCAATATTTAATTCTCCATCACGACCAGATTTAAAACGCTTTTTATAATCTTGGGCCAAAGCTGCATGATTGTGTCCTTTTTCCAGGTCATTCTGTATAACACTCGCTTTATCTATAAATGAAGAAATTTCTGATAGATAACGATCTCGACAAGAATTAATATGTTTCATTAATTCATCGAATATGGGGTTTGCACGATGTCTATCTGAATGAAACAATAGAGCCCATTGTCGATAACGTTGTGTAATACATAGCTCTGTTCGAGGAATATCATGAAATAACATGTTCTCCAGTTGAGGAAGATTAGAAAGAAGAATGTTTGCGAAATACACTTGTCGATCTGTGAGACCACTAGACACAAAAGAAATGACATCGCTTAGTAATTCAAGATAATTGTTTTTCTCATTATTTTCTTCATTTAATAATTCATCAAATCCATTCATTTTTAATGTTTCAAGTAAACTTTGGATTTCTTCACCATAATTCTTCAATATCAAATATTGATCAAGTGTACGTACTTGTTCTTGAAATATGATTTCTAAAGATTTATGAATACGTGATATTGTAGTCGTATCTTGTGATTGTTCAAGTGTTGCAACCAAATTAAAAACATCAGACCATGATAAGTTAGAATCAAAATTATTTCTGTCATTCGATATTTGATTAGATTCATCAATAGTTTCTTCTACGCAATATTGATTGTGTAAAATTTCATATTTACGTAATAATTGTTCTTCTGTGGTTCGCTTTTGCTCGTTTTTCATCTTTTCATAGTGTGCAAGACGAATTTGGTGATAACGATAGCGATGTCGAACATAATCAGAATACGATACTGTTTCAAGATCCATTATTTCTGTGAAAAGCATAGTAAATTCCCGTTCGATCAATCTACTATCAACCTGCCCGTGTGAGAGTGTTCTAAGTAGTGCGTTAAATGCTTTTAAAATGTTCGAGTTTGATTCCTCCATTATTGTCACCTAAACAAAAGATTATTTAATATGATCATGAAATGCTTCGATCCAAGTCACTTTAGCTTTAGAGTCATATATCAAAAGCTATAGAGTCTATACATTCTTCTCAATCAACATTCAGAAAACTAATTATGTGAACTAATCATGACAGTACAGCGTCCATTAATACATAGGTATATCCAAAAGTAATGTCGTCCTTATTTTATTTCTTTATTAAAAGATTAAAAGAAAATTCTTTTTTTACAGAAAGATAGAGAAAATGAAGTTCTATTTTTCTATACTATTAATACCATAGCAATGAATTCTCGATGTGACTTATGTTTATGTATAACTTAAGGGACGAAAAGGTCATTATGAGTGTTTGCATTTTGTATTTTATTTTGTCATCCAGTATTTTTCATCACAGATCAAACGTACCAGAAGATGCAGCGTGAAAAGTTGTACAATTTACAGAGAACAGTTTATTTTCATTCTGTACTTTTCGTTTTCAAAATTACATGAAATCAACTTTCATTATTGTGAAAGTTAATTACACAGAATTTTTTCTTTTTTTGAAAACGAAAAGTACAGAATGAAAATAAACTGTTCTCTGTAAATTGTACAACTTTTCACGCTGCATCTTCTGGTACGTTTGATCTGTGATNACAAGAACTTACACGAAAAGATCTAATGCATTGTATATAATGATGTTTCTAATTCAAGAGATCCGGAAAAGTTATATGAGCTTAGTATCATCTTTGCTTTGTATGATACATACATCATGTGTTTTCATGGGAATTCAGTAGAAGTAGTTCGCAAAGCGATATGGCCGTCGGTGGAATTCCATCTTAGTAACTACAGACGCGTGCACTGTAGAAACAGTATTCTGAACACATGCAGCGCTATGAAAGATGTTCGTTTTGAAGCAAATCATAGAATAAGACTTTCTTAACTAGTTTCTTTTGGTAGTAGAATGAATCGAAGATCATGATTGTCGAAGCGACAATAAAAGAAAACCCAATCGTTCAGTTTGGAAGTTGATCAACGGCGAAAGGAACAACAGATACAGCATGACGACGGCTAGCCGTGAGTGGCCGACCGGAGGAGGTCGATGAACGACTAGGCGTTTAGGTGCTAGATTAATCCTAAAGTGTACGCTTAGAATAACCTTGCCAGGCTTCCGATAGTTTTGAAAGGGATTTGACGAATGGATATTCCTCAATGAAAATATTCGACAAGGTATCATTTGTTGACAGGAGAGAAAAGAATCGGATTATCGCTGGAAGACACAGACGAATGTTCAAACTTTTCAAGTAGTCTACTGTATATCGTCCGTCTATGAGTGACTTAGTAAAGCATTTATGAAAATTTCTATGCGCGTGATATGAAAATAGAAAAACAGATGACAAAGGTCAATGGTTGGCCGTGAGTGGTCGCCTGACTAGCCGTTGAGCGATGAATTTTTCAGTCAACATAGTTAGTGCTGGAGAATTATCCACTGAGAAATGGCTAATCGGTCTGATTCCTAAAAAGGCTTTTGCATCCTATTCATTCTAGTGTGTGACATAGGGCCATGATTCAGTTGAGCACTAGTAGCAATCGCAGTGCGTTTTTCTCTTGTGAAGTGTCTGAATGTGTTCAGCATTAGGAAAAGTCTTTTAGAAAAAGGTCAGCGAATCCAAAGGATGAGCGTTACTTGTTGTAAATTCTACGTTTTATCTACATCACGTATAGACTATTACTAAACAGTTGTATTCGTTGAGGATGCTGCATTGATAAACAAACGATGACCAAATGTGCGCATATACCTCGATTAAAACTAAAATTATTTGTACTTAGATGATGACACTTTGTATACTTTCAGTCTACTCGATTTATATGAGTGCACTTTGACTAAGTACTGTTAACCCCTTGCAAACAGGCAGGATATATACATACCATTTCAGATACATCTAAAAAACTAGCAACACTACAGACATAAAATCAGTCTGGAATGACTTCAGATAACCAAAATCCACTTCTCTTCAAACCTCATCCTTTCGTGTGAGGTTCAATAGCTGCTTATCATTAGATATCAAATGTACCGGTCCAAATCTGACTAAGAAAATTTGTAAAACTGGTTATCCTTCGCTTTTCATACGGCCTCAAATTTGCTATCGTTTCAAGCAGTGCAGAGATTTTCGATGTAAGCAAACCATAAACGAAAAACCCTGTTATCAGAATAAAATACAAACAAGTTCGAGGGTATATCCACTGCTTTTCCCCCGATAAAATGTTGCAACCAATACTTCTCTGATATTTTCCTATGGATCAACACTGAGAGTGCATGGAGCTGATCATAATCGACAAAATCACTTCTTCTCAGACTACGCTGATCGTGGGAAATCATTAATCTAACAGCGCGATTTGGTGCGCTACATTTTGACCATTCTCTCTTCACTGTGCCATTTTAGTCACTCTGTAACACATTGTTTCTCTCCAATGCACCACAGAATTCATAGACAACGGATATATACTACTCTCTCCAAAAACAAATTACAAACAAACATAGCACTTCATTATCAAGCTCTCAATACATTTAGGCTTTGGCATCAGACGTAAAACAGCTAGACAATAATGAAACAACGCTCCCATTCCATGTACCATGATCTGATCACTTCGCTTTTACGAGATCTGACCTATAAAATCCATACGTGCTGTACTCCTGTCGATTCAATTCTGCTATATCTCCAATAGAGTCAACCAGTCTGCAGTAATGTTGTCTTGCCAATCACACAGTATCAGAAAAAAATTCCAAACCAAGAGAACCTCCCCTGCACGCATCTTACTATCACAGCTCTTCCGTCAAAAACTGCTCTGTTACACCTCCCTAAATACAGCATTCACCTCCACTCTTCCACATATATTTTCCCACAACAAAAAGCATTCTCATTCAGGTCACAACCACTTCTCACAACAAAATAAGTTTTCTATTGCTTCGCCACTTCTAACTACCACCAAAATCACACACCAAATGATATCGACTAAGTTCTCAATCAAAAAGCACCTTTTAAACGGCTAAAGCCACCAGATACACTATCACTTGTTCTCCCATTCCATTCAGCGCAAGATCTACACCATATTGACGCCCTAAGAATTACATAAATCAGATATTCCAAATTTCTTCCAGCAAAGCATCAGTCTTACTGCATTCCAACACAACGCGTCCGCAATGTGTCGTGCCTCTTCATAACCGATTCTGTTGGCGGCGAGATAGAGCGTGGTGAGTGTCTGTAGGTGTGAGAGAGACTGAGTACTTCACCTTCCGCGAAATGAGATCAATATTACCGTGTTCGTTCGCAACGCATCCGCAAAGTGTCGTGCTCCTAGATCACCGATTTCGTTACGGTGGAGGTTTAGTGTGGCCACTGTCTATAGGTGTGAGAGAGGCTGAGCACTTCACCTTCCATGAAATGAGATCAATATTACTGTGTTCGTTCGCAACACATCCGCAATGTGTTGTGCTCCTACATCACCGATTCTGTTAACGCCGAGATCGAGCGTAATGAGTGTCTGTAGATGCGAGAGAGACTAAGTGCTTCACCTTCCGTGAAAGGAGATCAATATTACTGTGTTCGTTCGCAACAAATCCGCAAAGCGTTGTGCTCCTCCACCACTGATTTTGTTATAGTCGAGACCTAGCGTGGTGAGTGTCTGTAGGTGTGAGACGGGCTGAGTACATCATCTTCCGTGAAATGTGATCAATATTACCGTGTTCATTCGCAACACATCCACAATGTATTGTTCTCCTTTATCACCGATTTGGTTCGAATTGAGGTTTAGTGTGGTGAGTGTCTGTAGGTATCGGAGAGACTGAGCACTTCACCTTCCGTCAGATGTGATCAATATTACCCTGTTGATGCGCAACACATCCGCAATGTGTTGTGCTCCTCCAGCATCGATTTGGTTATCGCCGAGATCTAGCGTAATGAGTGTCTGTAGATGCGAGAGAGACTAAGTGCTTCACCTTCCGTGAAAGGAGATCAATATTACTGTGTTCGTCCGCAACGCATCCGCAATGCGTTGTGCCCCTTCATCACCGATTTCGTTGTGGGTGAGGGTGAGGGTGGTGAGTGTCTACAATAAAGTAATGTATTATAAAAAGGATAAATAGGAAAGAGAACGTTTGATGACAGTTGTGGTTGCATATGTGTGATGTGAAATAGATATGTTGGGGGAGGATTTGTACGGAGCAGTCGGATGTAGATCTGAGTTTTTAGGGGTGAATGATGATGGTAGTTGTTGCTCAGGAAAGACTGCGTTCAGAGAAGAAGCACTGTGTTGGCAGTGTAGAGAGAAGATTACGGCGAGCTGATCGAGTAGAAAGAGTAGGGTATAACCATCAATAGTTATTGATTGTAGTGAGATATCTCTTTTGATGGCGCGCTGCAATGAAATAGAAGTCCTACTTTCAGGATATGTGGGAGTTGGATTTGGCGTGGGCGAGAGTGAGGATTAATATGGGCATAGACCCAGAAATTGTGGAGATCAGTTTGCTGCATTTGGGAAATTTTATCAAAAGTGATAGCTGATACACTTTTGTATCGAATAGTGCAACATACATAGGAGAAAGACGAGAGAGTGGAGGAGTGCTTGATTTGAGATGACTGCACACTGCGAGTGTCTGATTCGATCAAATTAGATGAGGACTATGCGATTACTTTACCTCATTCTATGAGGAAATTTACGGCGTCAAATATCATTAGGCTTACATGTAGAACAACCGACAAGAGTGTTAAGGTGCGAAGTAAACTTACTCGATAGCGCTCATAGGTGCTCAGGATCTGATTGAGCCGCTGGGAAATATTTTGCATCGAGCAAAATAGTGTCAGCTTGTTTTGATGATCCATAATTCGATAAACAATTTCGACGGGTAATGTGGAAAATGTGTACATGTTGTATTTCAATCGTGCAGCAGACCGTACTGTAGAGACTGAAAAGGATGAAAAATGTTTGACTTTATTCGTTATGAGTAGTAACTCATGGTGATGATGTAGTTGTATATGTTTTTGACGAAAACAAATGACGTGTAACCATTTCAACAGTTACGAATCGTTGGTGTGCGCAGAAAGATGGCATTAGAATATGCATGCTCATTGAATTCTGTTTTGACATTTACAATGGTAATTTTAAGAATTAAAAGTAGGAAATCTTTTATGCTTGTGACTCTTTTGCAAGCCGATTCGATTTTCTTGAAAAGAAATTGACACCTCTAAGTTAATTTTTTTAGCTAAAAAGTATAGCGGAAGATAAAAAACTCTACAGCTTACATTAGATATTTATTTTGATTATGTAAGTTTTGTTAAGAGAACACTAAATGCCACCAAGTCAGATTTCACTGATTGTTTTGCAGCATTTGACGTCTTTTAGTAAATGAAACACATGATTGTAATAAGTTTCACTGCATAGTTTCCTGAAAGCTTCATGCAGCATCTCTCAGTGTGTTGGTTTCATTTTTCAAATCTTGTTCTCTTTCTCGTAGAGAAGAGTCTTAGAAACATAAATTGTTTGCTTGCTTGCTTGTTTGTTTGCTTGTATGTCCGCAGGGTCAAAAAAACATTGAAAATCGATTTTTCCGAAAAGATATTTCCAGGTGTATTTCGATGCGGAGACTTCGAATCTGATGTTAGTTTTTCGAAATTTTTAATAAAAAAATTTTTTTTGAGACAAAGACCCATTTTTTTACAAAAAATTTTTTTTTTCATAAAATTTTACCAAAGGGTTTTTGGGTCCTGGAATTCAAATCTGATGTTAGTTTCTCGTATTTTTTCGTAACAAAAATTTTTTTGAGAAAAAGGACCATTTTTTTATGAAAAAACATTTTTTTCATAAAACTTGACCAAAGGGTTTTTTGGGTTGAGGAACTTGAATCCGATGTTATCTGTTCGAAATTTTTCATAAAAAAAATTTGTTTAGACAAAGAACGACTTTTTTACAAAAAAAATTTTTTTAATAAAATTTTACCAAAGGGTTTTTGGGGTCCAGAAATTCAAATCTGATGTTAGTTTCTCGAAATTTTTTGTACAAAAAAATTTTTTGAGAAAAAGGACCATTTTTTTATGAAAAAAATTTTTTTTATGAAGACTGACGAAAGGGTTTTTTGGGCCGTGGAACTCGAATCTGGTGTCATCTCTTTGAAATTTTTCATAAAAAAATTTTTTTCAGACAAAGAGCCAATTTTTTACAAAAAAATTTATTTCTATAAAATTTACCGCAGAGATTTTGAGGTTGAAGAGAAGAAATCTGATGTTATTTTTTTGAGAATGGAAAAAAATTTTTGCAAACCAAGGATACCGATTTTCAGAAAAACATTTGTAACTTGTTTACGAGTTCGACCCTTTCTTGCTCAAGACGCTGAACAGAAACGTCTGGATGAACTTGACAAAAAAAGAAAACGAGAATGTACCTCTTACGCTTTTCGAACATGTATAAACCGATACACTGTTAAGAGTTTAGTGCTATTACAAGCATATAAAATGTATTATCGCTTTTCAAATTATCTTAAAATGATTATTCTTATATGTTCATTTTTGTACCTCTTTCTTTGCATTTATCTTAATTATTGTAGTAATCGTTTCTTTTCTCTCATTGTAGCAGATATTTCCGATCGTGTTTTCTTATTTTCTTTTTTCATGTAATAACTCATAATCTACTTAATTGTATTGACACTTATTTAGAATGCCTGATTCTCAATTTGATATTTGGTATAAATATCTATTACTACTTTCGTGAAAATATCTAATCTACACTAAAAATAAATTAATGTACACAATAATAGCTTTAATGTGTAATATCTGAAAGCACGATTTCTACGAGAAAGAGCTGAGCGAGTCGCTAGACGAGCGTTACTTGTTTGACGATAGATAAAACAAAAAAGGAAAAATAATCGTTTCCCGACCTGAAAAACCAGTCACATCATCTTTTATTTATTTTTAAAGCCACAAACTATAAAACTGAGCTACGGCTTATCGCAAGAATGACGTTAACTTGAACACTTAAAGTTAAGTTAAACTGGCACTCCTAAAATGTATATCTGTTTCTTGTGTTGAAGGGTGAGTTAGAACATTCGCTCTCTTTCATCAGTGTGAAGCTAGCACGAAGGAGCTAGCACGAAGAAACTGTGTGTAAGCTAAAAACTTTTTTCCAGAGTTTGTCCGGGCCATCAAACCTAGTCCATTCGATTCAGAATTTAATTCTGCATCGAACGGTCGTATTTTTATTCACCGGACAAACTTTGGAAAAAAATTATCGGAAACATAAATAGACCTATATGAGGCAAACAAAGATGTGGTTAAGCTTTTTTTCAAAGTTTGTCCGGTGAATAAAAATACGACCATTCGATGCACAATTAAATTCTGAATCGAATGGACTAGGTTTGATGGCCCGGACAAACTCTGGAAAAAAGTTTTTAGCTTACACACAGTTTCTTCGTGCTAGCTTCACACTGATCTCTCTTTCACATAAATAGAATGATAGCTCCTTCATCGAGATTCTCTAACAATTTGTTGTGAATTCATTGTGATGAATCAATTCCCCCATGGTATTTTAGCAAATGAGAAAACATGAAAAACCTTCGAAAAAACAAACGTTATCGATTCTCTTCGGAAACAAGGCGTTAGCTTATTGGAAAAGTTAAGCCGCTTTTTGATATCCCCAAACGGATAGCTTTAAAGAAAATCATCAAGTCTGCAAGAACGTTGTAATATCTTACTTTAAAACACCTGTAGTTCTGTTAACAGATAACTGCCGATTAATTTCTTTCAATACAATAACCATGACATACATATGCGAGCATTTACAACGAAGAGCAAACATAGTACCCGATTTATTATCTGACTGTGGAGGATAGTATTTTATGTAATGCGTGCTACATGTTATATCGTTCCATAGGATTTTACTCTGTGCTTTCTGCAATAAATTATGAAACGAATGGAACTACAATGTTCTAGTTCTTCTACTAACAGTAAGAGCAGAGGAAAATGACAAAACGCTTCCATTCTATGAAACTAACATATACTTTCGAAAACAAACACGAAGCGCGGTTTTTCAGATTACAATCAGACACAAATGGCAAACCCTAATATTATAAAACATTTTCAGTTTTCCACAATGAAACATCATCAACATACATCTAGAATCGCTTTTGAAGCGTAAAACAGAATAGAAGAATGTAAAACTTTCAAAAGAAACTTCGTGGCAGTGCTTATTACTGAATAGGTTTTCGACAGATTTGTTTCTTAATAACTTCCATTCGATTGTTGTTTGGCATGTCGTATTTTGAAATATAGAAATAAACGATGATATTATTTATAGATCATTCGATACAAATTCTTCTGCTTGACGAAGTTCGATGAGCATACGATTCGATATTAGATCTTTTATAGAGGATAATATCGATGAAATATGTGAATACAATCTGGTGTGAAATGAGTTTTTGACAAATATTTGGTGTTCTACTGTTTTATGATCGTTTCAGGAAATGTCATGTCAGTTAGAGATGATTAAGAAAGCAAACTTCATGAACTTTATTTTGACATAGCTAGATTTTCATTTATCCACTCTTTTCTTAATTTTCATCTCATTAAAAAGCTACCTTGATAATACTAATGCCGTTTCTATTTGTGATACCTATAAAATAAATAAAGGACGCGACTTCTCTCTGAAATTCAAACCAATCTGCTTAGAGTCTCTTTGCTTGGTGTGTTTGGTAATGGATATGTTGTTCGTCATACATACAGATACAAATCTGGTTTTTTGTCTTATCTTCAGCTATATTTTCCAATAATGTTTAGAAAATAAAAATATGTTTTGGACGTTTCAGTAACACTTATATAAATCTAGCTGCGAAGGCTAGAACATCCCTGACAAGCGTAAGATAAGTTGATTGCTAGGACGAGAAAATAGTTTTGAATGAAGTCTTAATCAATATTGAGTAATACTATAGCAAAAGAGTGGATGATTGTAAAGAGGATAATTTAACTATGTCGAAATACGATCATGATCCAGAAATGGGCAAGTCAGAGGTTTTTCCAAGTCAAGTCACAAATCACCTGATTTACTTTGATTCAAGTCGTAAATATATCTGACTTTCCATCTCTGATGCTAATTGGCTCTATGAGTTAGTATGTCGTCTTTAATTCTGAATTTTTGGCAAACTTGAAGTCTAAATTTCATACTAAAATGTATAAAACACCAACGTATATGTGTAAAATTTTCGACTTGACTTGTCCATATCTGAATTCCACATCAAAAAGTTATCATAATCCTTATTCCCTTTTCTGAAAGAAAGAGTTATGCAGCGTTTAAATGCTGAGCTAAAAAGCTTAAAGTTTGCCTGTCTGTCCTATCCAATCAGGAACCAGCATTTCTAAAATCAATGAATCACCGGGAGGGTAATCGAACTCGGGGAACTTGAATATGAGGTTAGTTTTAACTAATTATTAACTATTAATTAACTATCTGTCGCAACTAGACATAAATTATTAATATGCAGGGTAAGGGATGACCGAAGGGTAATCGAGGTCGAGGATCACGAATCCGAGGTTAGTGCTGATTAATTAATTAATAATTTTTCATTAACTAGCCACGACTTATTAACATCCATTGTCAGAGTAGACCGAAGGGTTTCTGACGTCGGGAAATTCGAATTTGAGGGTGAATTTCGTTTTATTCGCTGAGCCAGGGCTTGTTCTTTCCTCTTTACAAAGGAGCTATTTTTCTTTATCTGTTCTAAAATCTTTTGTAGAAGATGGTGAGCTGAACGCTATTCACGGGCATCATGCGTACAACGATAGTAGCTCAAGAACTTACAGGAAAAGATCTAATTCATTGTATATAATGATGTTCCTAATTGAAAAAATCCAAAAAAGTGATATGAGCTTAGTATCATCTTTGC